ATATATATATATATATATATATATAGATAGATGATGTGAAATTTAAAGGAGGAAGGAGTTAATTAAAGTCATCTGTATCTCTATCTTACATACATATTATATCATACTATTATTTATAATAGAATAAAATAGTGATTATTATTATTACTACTATAATTATAAAAAAAAAATGGAAGGAAATTCAAAAGGTGAGAAATCACCAGAATATATTCTAACAGATCTTTCTTCAAATAAAGATAATATTTCATTTCAACGTAGTGATGATGGACATTTAGAAGAATCAAAAAATGGTCTAGTTAATAGATTTGTTGATTCTTTTAGAAGAGCAAAAGATCAACCGGGTGAAGATGAAACTAATGATTTAGAAGATGGTGTTCAAAGTCTCGCGTCAAATACTCAAATGAAAAAAGCTATGAAATCTCGTCATGTTGTTATGATGTCTCTTGGGACAGGTATTGGTACTGGTTTATTGGTTGCAAATGCTTCATCTTTATCAAAATCTGGTCCTGCTCCTTTAGTTATTTCTTATGGTTTAGTTTCATTTGTTACATATTTCATGATTCAAGCAGCAGGTGAAATGGCTGTTACTTATCCAACTTTACCAGGTAATTTCAACGCTTATCAATCAATTTTCATTTCAAAACCTTATGGTTTTGCAACAGTTTGGTTATTTTGTATTCAATGGATTACAGTTTTACCATTAGAATTAATTACAACATCATTAACAATTAAATATTGGAATGATAAAATATCACCTGCAGTATTTGTGGTAATATTTTATATTTTCTTACTATTTATTCATTTCTTTGGTGTTAGAGCATACGGTGAAGCAGAATTTATATTTAATTCATGCAAAATTTTAATGGTTTGTGGATTTATTATATTTTCAATTGTTTTAAATTGTGGTGGTGCAGGTGATTCAGGTTATATTGGTGGTAAATATTGGCATGATCCAGGTGCTTTTACTTCTCATACGAATATTGGTAGATTTAAAGGTGTTTGTTACGTTCTTGTAACAGCTTATTTCTCTTATGGTGGTACAGAATTATATGTTTTATCAGTCAATGAACAAGAAAATCCAAGAAAATCAACTCCTGCTGCTGCAAAACAATCAATTTATCGTATTTTAATTATTTATTTATTAACAATGATTTTAATCGGGTTTAATGTTCCACATGATTCTGATCAATTAATGGGTGCAGGTGGTTCAGCAACTCATGCTTCTCCTTATGTTCTTGCTGCTTCAATTCATCATGTTAAAATTGTTCCACATCTTATTAATGCAGTCATTTTAATTTCTGTTGTATCTGTCGCCAATTCTGCTTTATATGCAGCTCCAAGATTGTTATGTTCTTTAGCTAAACAAGGTTACGCTCCAAAATACTTAGATTATGTTGATCGTGAAGGTAGACCATTAAGAGCTTTATGTGCATGTGCAGTCTTTGGTGTTATTGGGTTTGCTGCAGCATCTCAACAAGAAGAACAAGTTTTCACTTGGTTAGCTGCTATTGCAGGTCTTTCAGAACTGTTTACATGGTCAGGTATCTTATTATCTCATTATAGATTTAGATGTGCTATGGAAGTTCAAGGTAGAGATCTTTCAGAATTGGGTTATAAATCAACTGTTGGTAAATGGGGGTCATTATATGGTGTATTTTTCAATATTCTTGTGTATATTGCACAATTTTGGGTCGCTATATCTCCACCTGGTTCAACCGAAATTACTGCAGAAGCATTCTTTGAAAGTTATTTAGCTTTACCAATTTGGCTTGCTAGTTATTTTGGTTATATGATCTATAAACGTGATTTCACATTTTTAACGCCATTAGATAAAATTGACTTAGACAATCATAGAAGAATTTATGATCCAGATTTCTTAAGACAAGAAGATGAAGAAAATAAAGAAAGATTAAAGAATGCAGGTAGATGGACAAGAATACTAGATTGGTGGTGTTAAGGGGACAGTATTACTGTTTTTTATTTTTCTGGTTTTGTCCTCTTGCATACATCCACACCAAAAAGAAAAATTAATAATAAATTAAATTAAATTAAAGTTGTAATTCTTTTCTTCTTCTTTTTTTGATTTATTTATTTTCATTCTGCATAATTCAATATTCTCATATGACGAACTTATGACCAAATTAATAATGGTGATTCGTCTATTATCATTTAAAAAATAATAAAAATATAAAAAAAAAAGGAAAACAAAATAGCATATCGTACACAGGAAGTTGTCGATACGTATAGTTTTATTAGTTGTAATGTAATTTTTTTTTAGAAAATCAATATAGCATTTTTAATTTTGATCTATTTTCTCATTTTATAAAACTTTATAATTATTTAATGTCATTCCATTGCGACGTTTTTCCAAATGTTGTTAACTCTCTTGGCCTTTATCTTGAAATTTAATTATATTGCTAGGTTCAGATTTTTTTAAACTCTCGTTTCGGCTCATTTCAATTTTCAATTTTTTTCACTGCGTAAATTGAAAAATTTAAATCGAAAATATGTATGTATGTATATAAATCATCACCTATATTCTCATCTTCAAACTAACCAATACCAAGAACTCAACACACATATATACACATACGTACCTATAATGTTGTCATTCTGTCCTCAATGTAACAACATGTTGCTAGTCGCGCCTACAGATACAGGTGTCTATTCACTGACATGCAAATCATGTCCATACGAATTTCCTATAGATGATATTGAAATATATGATAGAAAGAAATTACCAAGAAAGGAAGTTGACGATGTGCTTGGTGGTGGTTGGGATAATGTGGATCAAACGAAAGTTCAATGTCCTAATTATGATACCTGTCATGGTGAAAGTGCATATTTCTTCCAGTTACAAATTAGATCTGCTGATGAACCTATGACTACTTTCTATAAATGTGTGAATTGTGGTAATAGATGGAAAGAAAATTAATGAGTTCATTAAGTATAGAGAAAATATCAAGGGCAGATGGGATCCTCGAGAAATCTGGAGAAGACAGTTATTTGATTAATATCAGGCATAATATAATCTGTTTTTATGTCTTATTTCTTCATAATATTGTATAATAAATACTCATTTAGTTTTAAGCATAGCATATTTAAAAGCATTTAATTAGATTCTTATTTGATAAGATAATTTAGTGTCAACTTTATTACAGTATTGCTATCAAATCTATACAAATTTATATGTTTATATATATATATATATACGAGAATAATATTTACTTTTAATGGAAGAGCAGGAAATATCAATAGAATGTTAAAGTGTTTCTGTTTTCGTACAGGATAAATAAATAAGTCAAAAAAAAACAACAGATATTGAAGAAGGATAAAAATAACCCAAAATAAAAAAATTGATTTGAATATGTTAACTACTATCAAAGTGTAAGGTATATCCAATTTCCCATCTAGGGGTCGAAGATAAGAGGATTTTTTTAATTTCAAATATTTGTTACGTCATTAGTTGAAAGTCATTAAAGGATAAAGAAATAAAGAAAATAATAGTCTTCGAACTATACTAATAGAGTAGTATTTACAATAGTAGATACTTCTATATTTTTTTTTCCTTATTTGGCCCATTCTCTTGGGTTAGCGGTAGCTTCCAATAATTTAGCTTCTCTTGAACCTGGAGCTGGTTGATGGTTGTAAACCCATGAAGCATGTTCTGGTAGAGACATCAAGATGGATTCAACTCTGGAACCAGGGGTTCTTAGACCGAATTGAGTACCTCTGTCGTAGATCAAATTGTATTCAACGTATCTACCACGTCTAATCAACTGCCACTTTTTTTCTTCTTCGGTGTATGGCATATCCTTTCTCTTCTTGATTATTGGTAAGTAAGATGGTAAGAAAGCATCAAAGGAATCTTCGACAATCTTTAGAATTTCCTTTGGATCTTTTTCGTTATAATCATCAAAGAAAGTACCACCAATACCTCTGGTTTCACCACGGTGCTTGATCAAATAATATTCATCAGCCCATTTCTTCCATTTTGGATACAAAGAAGTATCATGCTTATCCAAAGCTTGCTTATGTAAAGTATGGAAGTGTTCAGCATCTTCTTCATATAGGTAAGATGGAGTCAAATCAGCACCACCACCAAACCACCAGGTTTGTGGAGTACCATCTGGGTTCCAAGTTTCGAAGTATCTGTAGTTCAAATGGGTAGTTGGACAATGTGGGTTAAATGGATGAATAACCATACTTAGACCACAAGCAAAGAACTTGACACCTTCAGCAACTGGTAAGCCAGTGTTTGGATCAGTTGGTAGTTCCAAATCAGCGTGGTCATTCTTCATAGCGACAACACCACCTGGGGTCAAATTACCATAAACAACAGAAATATTGACACCACCTTTTTCAAAAGTGGAACCGTTAGAGATAACCATAGATCTACCACCACCACCATCGTTACCACGTTGCCATTCATCTGGATGAAACTTAACGGTATCAACAGATTCCAGACCTTCGGTGATTTCTTTTTGCTTACGACGAATTAGGGCTTCCATTTGTTCCCTAATTGGAAGATGGGTAGAATCAGTTGGAGCTGGCATTTTTAATGTTCTTATCTATTGATTTTTATTCGGTTTATTTTTGTTTTATAATCTTTTTAATGACAAAAAAATAAAACTAGTTAAAATAAAAACAAAGTGTTAGCTATTGATAATTATTTTTCAATTGACTGGACAAACTTGAAAAGATCGAAAATGAAAGAATAAGCTGTTTCTTTTATACTAAAAGTTAGTTCGACAAATAATAGAGAGAAAAGTTGTTCAAAGAAAAAAAAGGGACGAAACGGGAACGAGAAAAAAAAATGTGAAAAGTGTAAGAGCGACGAAAAATGATTAAATCAGCAAATAGGAAAGAAACCTTTATGTAATTGGAAATTCATTTCACTTCCTTATATACTTATTTCTGTAACAATTAATTGATTTAAAAAGAATAGGCCCGTATAGATTATCCTTTGGGGGCGTTCCTGTAGATTGATTGTCAAGAAATAGGGATAGTAGAATACAATAAACTGTTGTTGTTTGGAGGAATTATGAAAAGTAAACTATATAGACAGGCAATACATGATCCATGATTGTAGCAATTGCAATAATTCTTTTTTTTTTTCATAAGTTATCTTGGAGAAAATTACCTGAGTGTTATTCTTGCGGTAAATTGTAGACAGTATATGATATTGGTACGAAACCTTAAAAGACTATTGCTCCTTGCCTTCACATTATTTCTACTTCTGTTTTACATATTTATAGAAGAAATTGTCCTACAAAGAAAACTGGAATTATATGTATAAAATACCAATATAAAAAAGGTTACAGGAAGTCGCTTCTTGTTTATTACATATGCATAAAGATATATGAAAAATTAACAATAATTGCGTGGTTTCCTACAATTAACTTAAGATCAAGTATCTACTTTTCTTTCTATGAATCTTGTCTGTATTTGTGAATTCCTTCTTTGTTTTTTGGCGTTGTAATTTGTGGCTTATTTTCTCCGCGGTTCGTTAAGAATATAGGCACTATGTTTTATATATGCGTATGTGTTTGTGTTAAATATATCAAACCAAGAGGTGGTCTTATGGTATTGTTTTTGAAAACTAATTCTGATAGCCATTATTATTTTGGGTTTTGTTGGTAACGTTTTATCAATTAAGTTACTGTTGCTAGTACGTGCGTTTGTTTTTGGTTGTTTTTTTTTAACAATATGGTGTGCTTGCAGTTGAAAATATATATTACTATTGTAATTTATTTTACATAGACATAGAATCATTTTATTTTACTTTTCTCTTTTTCTTTTTCAGTATTAGTGTTTTACCCCTGCTTTTCGATACTTTTTGGTACAGAGTGGTTAATTGCTGAATTGGATGATGTATAAGAAACTGACTGTTCTTCTTTTTCTTCAGTAGTAAAAGATATGCTTGTAAGACAATATAGAAAGTCCTTTATAATCCTATCTCTTCTTCTTTTAGTAAAAATAAATGTTATTACCACTATCCAAACTGGATTAACAATATTGGCAGGTAACTATTCTGTATAGGCAAGCTGCCAAAATAAAATAAAAGAAAATTTAATTTGTCGAGAGAACTCTATGAGGCAATTCATTTTCTAAGTGAATAATTTTTGGCTACCCCTATATTTTTATTGTGTGTGTTTCTCTCAGATTTTGACTATGTATTTTCTCTGCCTCTTTTCCTTGACAAGCGCTCAATACCCAACTTTGTCAGTACGCACGTATGAAGGATAAAGTTCCCGCGACATCTCGGAAGGAGATATGATGTGCGGTTAATTAAATGAATAGCCGATTGAATTTTTATAAACCTAACATTACCATTCTGCTTATTTTCGTATAATTATTACGTTTTTTCTGTTGAACGATGAGAAATGTAAGATAAGTTTTTTATATAATATACGAGCTATTCAACGACGCCAAAAAAGAAGACGCATTCATTATTATCGTTAAGATCAAGAATAGTGGCATGTGTTTTACATACATATAATTTTTCTTTTTGGATTCACAGGGCATCATTTTTCACTTTACTTAACGATTATACGAGAGATATTCACATCTCATCGATGATTCCTGATTAAGAAATGTAGGCAAGGCCGATAAAAAAGAGAAAAATTAAGTTCTTTTATGAATAATTTCAACGTGTCTCTTCATTTGCACGTATGACGGCATTTTTACACTGTGTCCATTCTTTTTTTTCTTGATTGTTCAATAGACTTTTGCACGAAATAAATGTAGAAAAATATCTCATGAGAAAGAACTATTATGCGAATTTCCAGTTTTTATTCGTCTTTGTGTTTTTGATCCATGGATATTATTATTTTTTTTCCTTTCAAGAACTGCAATAGTTAAAACGGAAAAAGAATAGATCAGTTAATATAATTTCAACTGTGTTAATCTAAGCGTATTAGACTTTTTGTTATAGAATATTTAGTTACTTGTCATATCTGTACGGTCCTTAATTTTTAGATTTTTATGCTATTTATTTGAATACTTAAACTAAAACTGGAATTTTTGAGATGTTAATAAAAATTGAGTTTTAGAGGGTAATCGTAAAAAAACACATGTATTCTAGTGAATAAGTTTAATTGTAAATAATCATATATGATAATTATTTACTCTTCTTTTCTAATACATGTATGCATATGTACATGTGATCCAAGTTATATATATCTGTTTTGTAATTGAACGATGTGTTTACAAATAGCAGGAATCGGAAAACAACTGTGCTTTGTAACTAGTTATCAGATGCACTTTCTTGTCTTTTGATTGTCTGGTGTCATATGTGTACATATAGTTATGGATTTCTATCCAAACATAATATTCGAAAAATATATGAAGAAACAAAGAAACCGGTGATAATATTTAGTACCAGTTTCGACGTTAACACAGTTTATTATGTTTAATTAAATGAATTAAAATTAGAATTAGAATAATTGGTAGTATTCCTTTAATATCTTGGCTATAATTATGAATTGATTAATGTTTCTTTCTTTGTCTGTATAATAATGAAATCTAGTGTTGTTAATTCTTTGACCAATCCTATTGTCATATCAGTTGGTCAACATGTAATTATACATTGTCCTACATAAAAACTTTATTTGATATATTTTTTTCTAAGGTATCCTCTTCGAAGTTTAGAAAACCGCAAATAAATATAAATTCAAATTTCCTAAAGTATTTATCTTTTGGGGGTATGAAGATAGACACGAATAATCATGTTTATTAGACAGAACATTTTGGGCAGATTAAGGTTACGTTGAATCCCATTATGATTTCATTATTAAACGAAATTGAGCTTCATCTGTTTTTTAATTTCTTTCATTATGTGAAGTAACTCATCGAATTATGAAATGTTTATGGGATAATTTAATCAATAAAAACGATATGTTGTTGTTGTTGGATTTTTTTTATTTACTTTGAACTGGTTATAAGAAATTACATATAATATAGTATTTGTACTTAAATTGGGGAAACTTTGACAATTTAATGATATGGTAGTTATTTTACATCAATTCTATATAGACCTGATTTCCATTTTTAGAGAAATTCTCAAGTTGGATTTTCTTTCGCATCAATTATGACAATGTTTCTTGAAAATTAATGAAATCAAAACTATTAAGTTTAGGGTCAATATGTTCAAATTCCGAATAACAAATAAAATAACACGCTGGTTGAAAAAGTATTTCCGATTTCTTTATTGTTTGGGTGCGCCTTGAAAGAACATGAAAATACGTACATTTCACTTAATTTGTGCTTTTTCTTAATATGTCAAAAACAGGTGATTCAATGACCATATAAACTATTCATGCGACTCCGAATAACCTCTGCTTTTTATTTTTATAATAAAAATAACAATGGCTTATGTCATTTATTTTAAAGTCTCGAAAACAAAAAACAAATCAATTGGTAGTAAATAAATTGTGTTAAATGCACATTTCTACGGTATTCTAATCAAAAAAACCCTTTGGGTCATCGCTATTTCTTTTGTTACATTCTAAAAAAAAATGAAAACTGTTGTTAATAATAGAAATAACCGGGTTTAGTGTTTGTCTCTCAAATTATTAACAAAAAAAACGCATTTTTATTTTTACAAGAAGAGGAATGATATATTTCATGATTTACATACAATGAAGTAAAATACTTTAACTTTTATTCTTAGTGTTTAACGTTGAACCAGTAGGGTGTAAAGATTACCATATTTGGAAATAAGAAAACTACAACAAAAATGTCTCGGTAGTTAAAAAGTGTCCTCAACGATTACAAGACGATTGATATCATTTAGAGAAAATTTTAGTCACTTTATTATCTAGTAAAGTTATTATTAAAGTATTGAAACCAAATAATAAAACCATTTAGAGAAAATGTCAATTCATTTTAATTTCAAAAACACGTGCATAATAGATATTAGTTGTTTTTAATAAATTATACAAATTTATTTTTAAAAATTAAATCAAATTTCCTTTTTCTTTTTTTCTTTATCTTATGAATAGGTTAACTATACCTGAAAAAATACGATATCTTTCATCATTTGGTTATATTGCGTAATTTCAAGTTTTTTTTTTACCTAAAAGAAGAAAAATCAACTGTAAAGCCGTGTATAATATGTCACTGTAGTTCTGTCTTTTTTCCATTTATTGAGTAGAGCAGAAATCAGTAATAAAAATAAAGGAAAGGCCACACCTTTTCCTGGGATGGCTAGACCTATCAAAACAATCTTTTATTTTTAAAGATTTATACTATTATTATTCTAATAACGAATCGTACTAAAAAGGAATTATTGTAACGATATTGCGTCACGGAAGAATGTGTTTAATAGAATTAGAACACATATGGAAAAAAGAAAATATTGAGACATAATAATCATATAGAGAATAATTCATGTGCTAAAATAAGTTACTGTTACGTTTGTCCTTCCAAATAAATATTTTAAAATTAAGAAATGAAAAAATACGTACGCAATTCATCCCGAAAAAAAAAGGGAGCCGGGGAAATTGAGAGAGTGGGGCCACGCACAAAATCGTGGGAAACGTGGACCCCACCTTAACGAACGAAAAAGTTTTTGATAGCTTTGTTAAAAAACAATGCAGAATGTATTACCCGCCTAAAAATGCCCAGACAAAAGAGGAAGAGCTATTTCTTGTTGCCTTTTCTTCAATCTCAACAAAAAGACAATAGCACTGTTTCAGTCAGAAGAAGTAAGCGCAGTGAAATACCGTACATTCTCGATAGGTTCACAAAGAGAACTACGTAGAACCCAAAAAACTATAAAAAATAATGTATAATGCTCAAGTTTTCGTAAGCGTAGGTAGTTATTTTTCTAATAATTTTTTTTTTATTTGTTGCAACAACAAAATCTGTGCTAAATCTTGCCATTACAACTCAAAGTTCTTAGAACAACGGAAAATGTCGGAACTTAAAAACTTAATCTATTTGAAGCGGCTTAAATGTTAGCTTTCGGAACGTTGGCTGTCACGGAAGGAAATTTTCTGGAGAACCTGGCATGCTCTGTAAGGTTATATCGCAGGTAAATGACCTTATTTTTTCTCTATATTTTTTTTCATTTTGAAGTTCACTACTGGTAACGGACATTATTTCTTTTCCGTTCATATATTTATTATTTATTGTTGTTGTTGTTGTATTTGGGTTAATGTGTTACATCATAATCTTTATCCCTCTCGATATTTCCCGTCAAACGTATTTTGTACAGTAAGTAAATGAATTCTATCCCTATTTATTTCAGTTTTGTGTTGTATTTTATCTTTAACAATTCTGCATTTGAAGCTTTCTTTCATCTACTCAAGAAAATTAAGAATGAATGAAATAGGAAGGAATCATGGTTACTTTTTCTTTACTTTTCATGTGTACCTCTGTTAAGATCTCATTCAGTATAAACAATTGATGTTGTTACGACCTTCTTCTTTTTGCAACATCCATCAATTTTCAGGTTTATTTAGTTCTGTTTATCATGCAGCATATTTTATGTATGGTTTTCTTAAGTGTCTATCAATACGGCATTATCTTAGAACGACATTTTATTACAACAAGCGTCCCCGTAAAAAAATATTACTAGATGTTGCATATGTGAGTATATCTTAGAATAATTCTGTTAAGGGGCGGGAAAACTAAAAAGCTAATTGCTATTAGATTTTAAATATTACATTTATATTTTTTTAACAATTCTTGGTAATAGTTTAAGACTAACTGTTACGAAGCTAACGACCCAATTTATAAATAAAATTAATGCCGTCAATTAAAAGTAAATGTTTATCGATATATCTTGAACAGCAATAATGACAAGGACATTACCCCAAATATTTTTAGGAATCCCTTATTCTGTGTGTGTGTGTTTTCACTTTTACAAGATAAATTGAGAAATATTAATTCATTTAGTTCAGTATGTCACATTAAGATTGTCCATATTAGGGCCCAAAGGGGAAGAGGAATTTTATTACACCGCTAACTAAACGATTCACATAAATGATTGTAAAAATTTAAGACTCTACGGCTGCGACTAGACAATTAAATAATACATGGGTTTTATTTGAAATTACGTTGTTGGTTTAGATATCTGTTTGTACTTTCAGCACATATCTTATTTATTTATTTTCCCCACATCTATGTAACTAAAAAGAAAGAAGCAAAAAAGGGGATATAGTCTCGTCAGGAAAGGAATAAATATACTACATTATTGGTAGAGGTGACTTTTTTTTTTGCTTAGGAATTGTTACATACAACAGTAAAAGAATTATTTCTTTCTTTCTTTTTTCAATTGATCGTATAATATTTCAATACTCTCATAGTAACAGTATAATATAATTGTTAATTAAATTCATTCTAAGTTCAAGTAAAATAAATATATCATAGTTTTTTAGTACTGAATATCTTTTTACATTGGCACTTTTTATTCTCTTTCTATTGGTGGGGAAAATGTAGGAGATAATTTTTCTTTTCAATTTATTAAGACATCGGTAGGTCTCTCTTTGTCTCTTTGGTCTTCTTCAAAAATTTCCCCTCCACCCAGCCACTATTTTGATAGCTACCTGAATACCTAGGCGTTGATTAATATACGTGTGTCAGCCTGAACGCATCTGTGCCTCTTAGATAACGTAAAGTACATTAACTTGCTTGCAGAGAGGGCGAAAGACAACGACAAAGACAGATATACCACCGCCATCTTATGGCGCGCGTACTCTCTCCGTATTTTTTTTCTCTTCCTTTTCTCTCAGTAATATCTTCTTTCAACAAAATTTCACCAAAAAAAAAAGAAAGTTTTGCTGTCGCATCTCATCTTATGGCTCGAGCCGAAAAAAAAGACAGGGCCCTGCGAGTCCCTCTGTCTGAACCCCGCTTCACACGACGATCTTTTCAATCCATCTCTTTCCCTTCCGGGGTCCTGCAATATTTCTGTATAGAAGTAGGCGACTTTAATACGGCATTCTGCCTTTTTTTTTGGTCTATTTTCTATTAATTTATTTTCCCTCTCTACTGCATTTTTTCCCGTTTGCACCCCCTCCGTACAAATTGCGCTACCCTTTTTCTTTAGGTTTGTCTTGATATATCCATTTCAAGTAACTTGTACAATATGCGCGTGAACGCCCTTATTTTTTGGTTAAAATAATTGCAAGCTCGTTATCTTTTTCACGTATTATTTAAAATTTTCTGCATATTATGAACTCATAATTAAACATCTTCGCGATTCTTTTGCGGAAGAGGAAACCCCATAATATATTTTTTATAATGGTTAAATAGCATAATATTATGTGGTCTCTCTTGTATTATTATTGTTCTTATTTCACCTCTGCGGAGAAGTCTTAACAAAATGGGGGGTTCCCTTTTTTTTTTACTTTTTGATTTGATTTCAATTTTTTTTCCCACTCTTTCTTAAAAATTTCATCTTCTGACTTTTCAATTAGTTAAAGAAATTGTAATTTTCGCTACAGAAAATACATAATAATGTTATAGTAGTTAAGTTACTAAACAGTCTCACCAACTCATAAACCGACACATTCGCATTCACACAGATAAACTTGTAAAGGTTGAATACTTTAATACTTTTTTTCTCTCTTAGATGTATGTTGATTCTTGTAGGAAAAACCTTCCTTGTTCTTCTTTTTTAAATATTTTTCTTACTTTTTTCGTCTGTTTCTCTAATTAAGAAGTTATTGAAAATTAATGAATTTACATATATATATATATATATAAGTAAAGAGACTCGACCCTTTTTAAGTATTTTCCTGTCCGTCCATTGATAATTTTAAGTGGGGTCGTCAGTTTATTTAATTTTTCTTTTTATCGAACATTTTATTCATTCATTCATTGTCTTTCTTTGTTTTAATTATTTTATTCATTTTTTACTTTAGAGTTTTTATACAACTTCTATTCCTTTTGGTTTTTGATTAAAATCTAATCTGTCAAGAATATCGAATAACAACAATTCACATACATATAACGAAATATTAGGTGTAACTTAGTACCTATAATTTTTTTTTTATTTTTTTTATTTTAAGGAAATTTTAGCTGGTTCTTCTAAAGTTTTTTTTTGTTTTCATTTTTGATAAATTACTATTAACAAGATTTTAATTTTATAATTTGTTTTATTCCCTGTTTGATATAAGAAAAAAAAATTATTTCCATTTATTACTTGCATATATACCAGATATATATATATTCACATTGCAAGATCATGACGACAAATTTTTTACAAAATAATTCACAAATTAATCCTTCATATTTAAATACAATGTCACAGAATCAATCTTCTTCTTCTTCTTCTTCTTCTTCTTCATATAATGATAAAATAAATGGTAGAAGAATATATCCTATTGATTCAACAAATTCCAATTTATCAATTGCAACAACTAATGTCGAAAATTCAATGGTATCAACAATTAAAAATGCAAGTCATGTAATTGATGTTTATGCATCAAATGATTTAGAACGATTAAAAGGTCAAACATTATTACCATCTCCAGATTTATCAAAAATATTTGACACAGATTCATTAAAATTATTAGATAGAAATGCTTTCAAATATAGAGAAAATCTAAATAGTTTGATTTATATTAGAAATAATAATGGTTCAGGTTCATATATGGAAGAAAATCCAAGAAAGAGTCAATCAATATCACTTGGTTCTTTAGGGAATCCATCAATTAAAAATATTTCAATGTTTCCTCCAGGAAATCAATCTATTGTTAGCAGTAATACATCGAGCAGGTCCTCAACTCCTTTCAATTTTACAACTTCGGCAACTCCAATTAGTCAAGCATCTTCAATTTCATTGAATGAAAGGTTTACTAAAAATATGCATTTTGGATCATCAATGCAAGACATGTCGATTCCTAGAACTCCTATAGAGTTATCAACTGCAAAGGGAGTTAATAATAGCAATAATAATAATACAACAACTCCATCTCCTGTATCTTCAATATCATCATCTAAGGTTGGTAAAAAACCATATACTAAAAAGGGTCATAAGAAATCCAAGAGTACAACCAATCAAGTTATTGGTTCATCAAAGGATTCATTAGAAGAAAGAAGAAAATATCGTTGTTCGGTATGTCCTAAGGGATTTACTACGTCTGGTCATTTAGCTAGACATAATAGAATTCATACAGGAGAAAAGAATCATGCTTGTCCTTTTAATAATTGTAAACAAAGATTTAGTAGACAAGATAATTGTTTACAACATTATAGAACACATTTTAAAAATAATAATGGTGTACCAAGGACACATGAAATCATATCATATACTGAAACATCACAAGTTAATAATAGACCATCTGGTATGAACTATTATGAACAACAATATAAATAAAAAATAATACTATTGAACAGTATTAATACACATTATGATGATACGACCAAATTTAATGAAAAATAACCACTTTAAGAACAAAAAAAGAATATATATATATATTCTCTCCTTTTTTAAAAAAAGAAAATGACACTCCCTCTTTGATGTTCCTTCTTTTGAGAAGAAATAATAAGATGAATAATCAAAAAAAAAATTATATTACATGAAAAGTTTTGAAAAAAAAAGCCTAAAAAAATATTTGTACTTGTATGTAGCAAATAAGTTAATTTTTATATCACACTATATATTCTTAATGATGAACGTTTTAAAATCCTTTAAATATTAATATAATAGGTTGAACTATGAAATCACTATGCTTTGGCAAAATAGCTATATTTTGCTTATATTTTAATAACCCTATAGGTTTTTTGCGACACTGTCTGGGTCTCTGGGTGTATTCACGATTTTGAAAAATAAAACTTTTGAAAAAAAATTTTTCCTCTAATAATTTCCGACCTAGAAAAAAGTATATAAAGTGCGATACATTCGTTATTGAGATAGTTTTACGTACTTGAATAATTAAGTTTGGATCTTTAGAGTTTAAGATTTAAAAGTGTCAATGGATCAGTTTCCCATTTCTGGACTATGAATAATGATAGTATATGGTTAGTTGACCATTACTTTGCATTAATGAAATAGTTCTGTACTAATATAATATCGATACAAAGTGCGGAAAGTGAATAAGGATTAAATATTAATAATTTTTTTTATGATGATAAAAACTTACAACAACAACATGAATTTCTTCAACCGAAAATACATAGGTGGAAAAAATAACTTTGACATAGCTTTTTAACCCTGATTTTATTATTAATATTATAATTATTCACTTTCTAAATCTGCGCAGTTATATAAATCTTGTGACGTGAACCTGACGTTTGACTTGTATTATATATATGTAGTTAAATTTTAGTACAAAAAATAACTTTAGAAAGTATAAATAGTTAACTACTTTAAGTAAATGACAGTTGGTTTGTTTTTAACTGAGGTTGTTGTTACTGTTTATTTTTATTCTTAATAAACTAATTTAATAACGATATACTAAGCATCTCAACTAGAAGATGATTAAATTACAATATAATCAAAGTATAACATATATGGTCCTTACAGCTTCTCGGTTTTTTCAAGCTGTGACATTTAAAATAACAGTAAATATTCTAATACTAATACGATCAATGAGACAGCAGGCTAAGAGAAGTATCGTAATTCAAAGAAGTAAAAGGAAAAGAAAATTGGTTGAGATTCTTCGAGATTATATAACAAATTGTGCCCTCTTATATATGCAAGATAGTGATAATTATGTTATGAGAGTTAACTTAGGGAGTTCCATTTATTCCTATCAAATGATAACAAAAATTCCATGCAAGAATATGCCGGGTTATAGAAAAGAAACATTAAAGGATTTTACTCCATTTAATTATTCAATTCCAGTTAAAAGAGATGTTAAAATAAAACCAATCAGTATTCTACCTAATAGATTTAAATTTGTTGGATTACCATCTACTAAAACTTCAAATAATTTGGATAATATTTATTTATGATAAAAGAAAGTACTTTTTAAAATTGTATAGATGACACAACAATTAATAAAAAAAAAAAAAATAATAATAATAATAATATTCTACTTATATTCAAACTAGACAAAAAGCACAAAAAAAAACAATAATCATATTTAGAATTTATTTATGTATGTATGTATTCGAAAAGAAGAAGCAGAAAGGATTTGAAAAGGTGATTATATCTCTGTATATATTTACAAGGGTTGAGTGAACCGTTTCTTAATTAATTACTATTATTTTCTTTTGAAGAAAAAAAAGAATGAACTCGAATTATGAATATATCTACTTCTTAAATTCTGGACTATTTAATAATTCGAGAACTTTTGCATTAACCAGATCGTTATCAATGCTAGTTGAGTCTAAGGTTAATGTGCTTGGTAATCCTTCATTTTTATCGAAATCAATAGTAATTGGTTCTCTTTTATAGACGTTGCACTTCATACCAATACCTGTCATTGCATGTTTCTTAATATAGGATACGAATAATTCTAATATTTCATCATTTGTATCCCATACTCTTAATAATCTTTTATGAGTATGTCTTTCAAAATTTTCTTTAGATTTAGCATGGACGAAAGGTGATCTAATTACAGTCCATCTTTCTCTTCTTGTTGGTAATGGTTTTGGACCAGTTAAAGGAATTCCTAAATAAAATCCAACTCTTTGAATAAAATTAATGAAAAAATCTAAATTTTGATGTTCATATGATCTTAATTGTATATCTGCGATTAAATGTCCATGTTCTATCGGAATTCTCATAGGAGCTTGATATATAGCTTCTAAACTTTTTACTATTGGTTTCTTTTCTATTTCATCAATAGGACTATTTGTATATACGTTATTCTTTGGAATATCTTGTTTAATGTCATTAGTAATATCATGCGCAATAGTAGATTGTAATCTTATTGTTTTTAAAAGGGAAGAATTCAAAACAGAGGGTAGCACCCTTATACTTCCATGAGAAATATTTGACAACATATGATTTATTTTCTCCTTATATAAATATATCTATATCAATAGATGTATCAACTAATTTCTTCTGTCTTAATATAAATTTTCTAGTAATTTATTGGAACACAATGTATACAATCAAATACTTATATGCAAGTTCAATTTCAATTATATTGAAAAATAAGTTGTCCGAAATTTCGCCCTTTTTAACTGTTCTCCCAATAATAATTTTTTAAAAGAGTTAGTTTTCCTCATAATTCGGTATTTTCTTCTACATTCAAATGAGAAACAAAATGTATATCACTGTGCGTCGTGAAACATGATAACTATACCATACTGGGAAATCAAATTTAGATAAATTAATAAAAGACAGTAATGAACATATGTAATAACTAGATAATTACTAAGATGGGTATATAACCAGTTTTCTCCTTTTTACGGTTTTTTCTCGAATGTGGCTGTTTGAAGTTCCAATCATACTACAAGAAAAATGCATATGTATAGCATAAAAATAAAAGGTTATACTCTCTTTCTCTATGCTGTTCGTTTTAGTTACACCCACAATAAATGCATCTTATCTTATCACCCCTCGATATTAGTTTTATCTTATCTTCCTCCTCGAGAACAATGTTTATATATTTCAAACTTACTACTGATTACGGAAGGGAGGGAGGGACAATAAAACGTGTGTGTATATACAGGTTGCTTCCAACTCCATACTGAAATAAACTAATATATTGATTTTATTCCAAGCTGAATGATCTGGAGGGGTACGAAGCAGGGCTAAATAATAGAGGCTGCGTAATGTTAAAATTTTTATAGCCAAGCATTGCTAACGCTAGTCGTTAATTCATTAGTCATTGATATCCAGTCCTCCACGTGGTTAAACGGCTACTACCATTCTTTGCTTCCAAAATAAGAGGAACCATCTACTGCAACACCCTAAATTTCCCTTTTTTGTTTTGTTTTTCTTGCTTCCTTCCCTTAAATATTGATAAGAGAATTATAACTATTAATAAATTTTGAGGGGTACCAGTGGTGTGGCTATACAGTGGATTTATTATTAAATCAGTTTTGAACATTGAAAAACCTTGGCAAAAATGAGAATAATAATTGTGACTATTCTTCTTTGAATGTCTTCTCCTATGGCAGTCTTAGTGGGTATTCGGAAATTACGGGCCGATCCCTCATAAAATGCGGTCTCCGCGGAATGCCGTGAGCCGTAGATGTCTAAACATGATATGAATGATACCTACACAAAGGTAATCTTCATGACCTTTTATGATAGCGGTAATAACAGTCATTACCCGATCCGCGTGGTTTCAGACCCCTAATTTTTCAAAAATTAAACAACTACAGTTTCACCAGGGAGGGAAGATGAATAAACCCATATCTCTAATGAAACGTGACTAACAGAGTGTTCAAGAGAACATTAAGCAATGCAAGACATACTTAGGTAACAATAAATCACATCGCTATCATTAATATACTACTGTTGTCGTTGTTGTTGTAGTTACTTCGCCACCTATTATTGCTTCTTATCAAGATCTATTGTAGGAAATTTCTATACTGCGGCTAATTTTTTTACGTGTGTTCATTATTGAAGAATGGAGAGGGGTAGACACGAGATTTGTGCACCTTTTCATTCGGTGCGGGACCACGCAGAATATACTGTAGAGCAGGCCCACACACACACACACACACAAATGAGAGAAAAACCCGATGAGTTTCCCATTTTGTTATTTTATATGGATTTTTTGACTCTTCTGCGCATTTTTGTGTGGGATTACTTTGTTAAATACAACAAATCTTTTCTCGGTAAATAACATTTCCTTTTCTTCTTTCTTTGCCTTAGTTACGGGGTTTTTCTCTTTTGCTGCAGCGTTCATTCATTGTGTAAATACAGATAATTTAACTATAATTACGTACATATCAATAATATACATATTTTTTTTTTATTATGAGATAGCATCGAAAATCTTTTTTAAATTTAAATATATATAAGGAAAGGGTCCAACTTCCTATCTTTAATTACCAAAAGTAGAATAAAATTTCTTATAACCCTTTTTTTCTCTTTTTTATACTGTATATATATATATATAAATAAACATATATATATAGTCTCTATCTTTATTTGTTATATTGTATTCAATCATATTACAAGAAAAAATTACTATTATATAATTTCTTAGAGCCAAAAAGAAAAAGTTATTACTATTAGTAATATTATTATTATTATTATTATTTTTACAAGTATAACAAATTTATTTTATTAATCTTATTACAAAGAAGAAAAAGGATCAGTTTTGTTATTGATCATGAGTACATTTGATCATGAATTTACTGATTTCCATACTTTAACTAAAGATGAAACTTTAGAATTTTTTCACACAGATGAGCAAAACGGTTTAAATTATGATGTCGCTAATAAAATCCTTAAAGAAATTGGTGAAAATAGCCTTGGGGATGATTCAAAGATTGATTATAAAGCAATGATTATTCACCAAATTTGTAATGCAATGATTTTAGTTCTTTTCATTTCAATGATTATTTCATTTGCTATCCATGATTGGATTACAGGTGGTGTTATTACATTTGTTGTTGGTGTTAATGTTATTATTGGTCTAATTCAAGAATATAAAGCTTCGAAGACAATGAATTCTTTAAAACAATTAAGCTCTCCAAATGCTCATGTTATTAGATTTGGTAATAGTGAAATTATTTCTTCAAAAGATGTTGTACCAGGTGATATTGTATCTGTTAAAGTCGGTGATACAATTCCAGCAGATTTACGTCTAATTTCAATGCAAAATTTTGAAACTGATGAAGCACTTTTAACAGGTGAAGCTTTGCCTGTGTCCAAGGATTGTGATTTAATTTTCCCAAAGGATGAACATACACCAGTTGGTGATCGTATTAATTTAGCTTATTCTTCATCTAGTGTTGTTAAAGGTAGAGCTATTGGTGTTGTTATTAAGACAGGTTTAAACACAGAAATTGGTAAAATTGCAAAATCTTTAACAACTGATGAAGGTTTAATATCAAAAAATCCAAATTTTTCATTTTGGAAAAATTCTTGGATTACAATTAAACAATCTTGTGGTGCATTTTTAGGGACAACTGTTGGAACACCATTACATAGAAAATTATCAAAATTGGCCGTTTTATTATTTTTTGTTGCTGTTATTTTTGCTATTGTTGTTATGGCTTCACAAAAATTTGATGTTGATAAAGGTGTTGCGATTTATGCTATTTGTGTTGCTTTATCAATGATTCCTTCTTCATTAGTTGTAGTTTTAACCATTACTATGTCTGTTGGTGCATCTGTTATGGCTTCAAGAAATGTTATTATTAGAAGATTAGATTCTTTAGAAGCTTTAGGTGCAGTTAATGATATTTGTTCAGATAAAACTGGTACATTAACTCAAGGTAAAATGATTGCAAGACAAGTTTGGGTACCAAATTTTGGTACTATTATGGTTAATGATTCAAACGAACCGTTTAATCCAACTGTAGGTAATATTAATTTAATACCAAAACAATCTCCATATGAATTTAAAAATGAAGAAGAAGAAGATGTTGGTATTTTACAAGGTTTTAAAAATCGTTATTTAAATAAAACTTTGCCAGAATCTTTAGATTTAAGATTATTTACTAAATGGTTAGAAACTGCGACATTAGCTAATATTGCTAAAGTTTTCTTAAATGGAGAAAATAAATGGACTGTTCATGGTGATCCAACAGAAATTGCCATTCAAGTTTTTGCATCAAGAATGGATTTACCAAGATCTCGTTTAACAGGTGAAAGTATTCCAAATGGTGATATTACTGATGATTCAGACTCAAAAGGTGCTGAAGAAGAAAAAGTTGATGAAAATGCTGATTTCCAACATTTAGCTGAATTCCCATTCGATTCTACAATTAAAAGAATGTCTGCTATCTATAATGACCACAGAAATAATACTACAGAAGTTTTTACTAAAGGTGCCTCTGAAAGTGTCTTAAAAAATTGTACTTATTGGTATGGTGAAAACCAGGATACCCTTTTACATTTAACAGAGACTGATAAGGCTTTTATTCAAAAGAATGTTAATACTTTGTCTGCCGAAGGTTTAAGAGTCCTTGCATTTGCATCAAAATCTTTTAAAAATGATGAATTATCTCAAGAGACTAAAGAAAAATTGACTTCCAATAGAGAGTTTGTTGAAGATAAATTGATATTCTTAGGTTTAATTGGTATTTATGATCCTCCAAGACAAGAAACTGCTGGTGCAGTAAAGAAATTCCATCAAGCTGGTATTAATGTTCGTATGTTAACAGGTGATTTCCCAGGTACTGCTAAAGCCATTGCGCAAGAAGTTGGTATCTTACCAATCAATCTATACCATTACCCAAAGGATGTTATTGATATTATGGTTATGACTGGTACACAATTCGATGATTTATCTGAAGAAGAAATTGATAACTTACCTGTGTTACCGTTAGTTATTGCACGTTGTTCTCCACAGACTAAAGTTAGAATGATTGAAGCGTTACACCGTAGAGGTAAATTCTGTGCTATGACTGGTGATGGTGTCAACGATTCACCTTCTTTGAAGATGGCTAACGTTGGTATTGCCATGGGTATTAATGGTTCTGATGTTGCTAAGGAAGCTTCTGATATTGTCCTGAGAGATGATAATTTCGCTTCTATTCTAAATGCCGTTGAAGAAGGTAGAAGAATGAGTGATAATATTCAAAAATTCGTCTTACAATTATTAGCTGAAAATGTTGCCCAAGCTCTATACCTTATTGTTGGTCTAGTTTTCATTGATTCTGAACATAAATCTGTGTTCCCGTTGTCACCTGTTGAAGTCTTATGGGTTATTGTCGTTACTTCATGTTTCCCTGCTATGGGTCTTGGTCTAGAGTTAGCCGCCCCAGATTTAATGGAAAGACCTCCTAACGACTCCAAAGCCGGTATCTTCACATGGGAAGTCATTGCTGATATGTTTGTCTATGGTTTAATGATGGCTGGTTCTTGTATGGCTACTTTTACCACTATTATTTATGGTAAGGATTCAGGTGAATTAGGTCAAAACTGTAACAATAAATACAGTTCCATTTGTGATCCTGTCTACAAGGCACGTTCTGGTGCATTTGCCACTATGACATGGTGTGCTTTGATTTTGGCATGGGAAGTTGTTGATATGCGTAGATCTTTCTTTAGAATGAAACCAGAAACTGATGAACCTGTTAAACAATTCTTCAGAGACATTTGGAGTAACAAATTCTTATTCTGGTCTATCATGTTTGGTTTTGCCTCAGCTTTCCCTGTTGTCTATATTCCAGTGATTAATGACAAAGTTTTCTTACATAGACCGATTGGTTACGAATGGGGTCTAGCAATTGCATACACTGTTGCATTCTGGGTTGGTTGTGAATTACACAAATATGTTAAGAGAGTCTATTTCAGAAAGAAGTCTAAGGCTCATAACCCAGAAAACGATTTAGAAAATGGTAATATGAAGAATCCATTCGAGGCATACAGTACCTCCACTACCATTAGAACTGATATTATTATCAACCCAAAAAAGTGAAAATCATTGACTGATTCGACACTACTATTTTTTGCATAACTGTTCTATCGCAGTATAATTTAATATACCCTTGCATCTAACATTCAAGAAAAAAATGTTCGTTCTCTAAAAAATGTCTACATTACAATTTAAGTCATAATTGTTCACTGCATTAAGTTCGTTTTAATTTTAATCTTAATTATAATTTTAAAAAACTACAAAAAAAAACTACAATATTTCTATAAACTGTTATAAACCTTTAATTATAAATAATATTTCTAAATAATATTCAAAAAAATACTATAAGTTTCTTCATTTCATATTACTTTTTTTTTTCTTACTGAACAACTGTTATATAATATTAACTAGGTGCAATATAGTACAATAAGGACAACGTGTATATTTGTATATAACTAAATATGAATTATGTTTAAGTGTGGTTAACATGATAATTAAGCCTTTTCTTCCTTCTTTGTCTCGTCTCTTAGAACATCTGGTTTCAAAGTTGGGAATAATAGAACTTCTCTAATAGTGTTAGAGTCAGTTAAGAACATAGCCAATCTATCAATACCACAACCGAAACCACCAGTTGGTGGTAGACCATATTCTAGAGCGTTACAGAATACTTCATCGACTAATTGAGCTTCATCATCACCTTGATCCTTTTGTCTAGCTTGTTCTTCGAAACGAGCTCTTTGGTCAAATGGATCATTCAATTCAGTGTAAGCATTACAGATTTCCTTAGTAGCAACAAAGACTTCAAAACGTTCACATAGACCTGGTTGATCTCTGGAGTACTTAGCCAATGGAGACATCATTTGTGGGTGACCAAAGATGAAAGTTGGATTTATACATGTGTCTTCTAGTTCACCAACTAACTTATCTAGCATTCTTGCGTTGGTCAAAGGTGGAGGACAATCAAGTTTGTGCTTAATCAATAATTTCTTTAAGAAATCACCGGTTTCAGCGGTATGTAGTTCGTCACCAGCTGGGAAAGTGACATCGAATCTCTTTTCTAATTCTTCGATCATGTTGATTCTCTTCCATGGTCTAGTGAAGTTCAATTCATAAGTCTTTTCGGTGTCATTTGGATCTGGGTGGTATTGAACAATGTAAGAACCAGTAATTTCCTTAACCATTTCGGAGAATAGTAATTCGGTCATATCCATTAGATCATAGACATCAGCATAAGCTTGATAGAATTCACAAGTGGTGAATTCAGGGTTGTGAGTCATATCAATACCTTCATTTCTGAATTGTCTACCAATTTCATAAACACGGTCCATACCACCGACAACTAATTCCTTTAAGAATAATTCTGGAGCAATTCTCATGAACATGTCCATGTTCAAATCATTATGATGAGTAACGAAAGGCTTAGCAGTGGCACCACCAGCAATAACATTCATCATTGGAGTTTCAACTTCAATAAAGTCTCTGTCGTCCAAGAACTTTCTGATAAACTTGATGATCTTAGAACGAGTAATGAAACGGCCACGAGAGTCCTTGTTCATAATCAAATCTAAGTAACGTTTTCTGTAACGGGTTTCTTGATCCTTGAAACCGAAGTGATCAGCTGGTAGCATGTGTAAACATGGGGTCAATAATTCAATACGGCTAACGAAGACGGAGATTTCACCTTCACCACCTTTCTTTGGTTGAGTTCTACCAACGTAACCTTCGAAACCAACAATATCACCTCTCTTAATTAGATCATGGTCTTTTTCGTAATTTGCTTCGATACCATAATCTTGTAATTGAGACATCACTTGAACTTCGACACCATCACCATGAATGACATAAAACTTCAATTTAGAACCAGATTCTCTCTTAGCATGGACTCTACCAGCAATAGAGACTTTTTCTTCTGGTAAAGTTTCACCTCTCTTCAAATAAGCGTATTTCTTTAAAAATTCAGGGTTACTAATAGAAACTTGGAATTTATGTGGGTAAGGGTTTGGATCATTACTCTTTCTTAGTTCTAGAATTTGACGAGATCTAGCTTCAAAGTATTGGGATGGATCTAAATCAGCTAAAGCATCATCCTTCTTCTTCTTTGGAGCGGCAACTGGCTTAGCGTTAGCCTTCTTTGCAGCTTTCTTAGCTTCGACTTGTCTCATCTTAATACGTTTCTTCAATTCAGACTTAGAGACCATTTCACCGGTAACTTCATCCAAATGTAGGTTGGCAACACCTTCGGTTACCTTCTTAGTAGCATCGGCTTCAGACATCTTGGTTAATTGTTAGAGAAATAAGATACTTTACTTGGCAGACTTTGTATAAAATAGATAGAAGAAGGTTTAAAATATTGCAAAAAAAAAAGTGGTAAACCTAATAACTATAAGCATATAAATATATATATATATATATATATAATTGGAAAAAGTATTGAACCTGTGATAGAAACAAAAAGAAACTTGACTTGAGTTAGTTTGTCTCTCCTTCTCTACGATGAATGAAATGAACTGTAGCCGAACTAAGATTGTTGGTGTGAGTTGCATCGCTCGAGATGACCATAAAATTTTTCACTTTATCACAAAACGAGAGTTGGCAGTAGGCGCTGGTTTCTTTTTGCGGTGGAAAAAGAAATGAAACAAATCCGAAAGGAAAAAAAGCAAAAAAATGGAAAAGTTGAGGGGGGTTGCCCGGATTTGATGTGTGTTCGTGTACAGTGATGATGTGTGGTAAATTATCTGAAACTTATTAATTAAAAGTGCGTCACAAATATATAATAAACTAATAGCTTGATGAATTTAAAGGATAATACCAACGAGGTATGAACATTGGTACAAGTGGAACGTTTTAATAATTTGGGGTGTAATAAAAGAACAAAGTCATTTTGAAACAAAATGTATTTTGCTTTATAAGGTTTGTTTGTCTTCAAATTTTATTAATAATACATAGTACAGTTGGCCAAGGGTTTGGGGGAATATATTATGTTTCAATGATTAGTGTGTGCCGGCGCAATTTATTGTGAGTTGTTGTTAAATATTTAGTTTTATATTCAAAGGATCTTCCCGTTGAATAACAAATGGTGTCAGACAAAGTAAAGATTCCCTTCGGCGGCAAAAAATAAATAAATAAATAAAGCTATTTATACAACTGCCAACAGCAACACATTAAAAAAGAACAATAACATTCATAATTCATAGATAATGGATAGATCTGGCTTTGGGGAAGTATTTAACTCTCTTTGGGAAAAAGATTAGATATTATACCTTCAACAAATCTAGAAACACAGGTAGATAGTAAAAATAGAGAGAGAGAGAAAAAGAGAGAATTGTGTTTGTACAATTTAGAGTTAAATTATCACTTTAAGAGATGTAGTTAAAAAGTAAGTATCTATTTATCTTTTAACTCAGCCCAATTAAGCATGATTACACAGATCTTTCATTACTTGTCAAGAGTTAATAAAAAGAAAGTTTTTTTAATCTGAAACATTTCTAGTGTATACTTCTAAAACGAACACCTAAATTTCACTCTTCTTTTTCAATTTATACTTTAGTGTCAAAGAAAGACCATTCTAACTACTAAAAAATATTATTTCAAATAAACTGTTATCTAAATTGCTTAGAAAACTATTGCATTGGCTATAATTTTTGTAACTGTTTTTGTTATTTTTTACGTTGAGAGTTAGATTCAAAAAAGTGTGGATTTCAGTTAACCTGAAGGAAGCGAAAGGAAAGAAAAAAAAAATAGGGATGGTTCGTATGGTATTACCTTACTCGTGGTTTTCGGCCGTGTTAGAAACTAAAGCGGGAAATAAACTAATTCTTTGCTATTATGGTACTATAATCCATTACCCTGGAAATTATTCCATGCCTCTCTCAAGGAGAGTAATATCGGTAACGGTTACCTTTAAGAGTGTTTAAGTGAGAAAAATCAAGATAGTTGAAGAATAAAAAAACCTGAATCTATTCAAATATTGAATTGCTAATTCTTCTTCATTTACTATTAAAACAATAAATCAAAAAAATAAAAATAAAATATATTATTTTTTTCCTGAAGAGTCAAGAGGTTGGAAAAGGAATAATTATATCATAAAGTACCAATTGCGTCCATTTTTCTTTTCAATTAGTTATCTATTTGCTACATTCGTTTTTATCTCACAGTATTACCAACTTGGTTTCATTCTACTATTAGTATAGTTTGATCTGAAATAAGAAGTGAATCGAGCTAAATTAAATTCCCATTTCTCTTAGTTTTACATTATAGATTAGGGAAGATTCAGTGAAAGAGGAAACTAGGCTTAGCAGTTGTTTATTGGTAAATATTCACAAGGTGCATAACATAAGTAGGATAATAAAACATTTGCGAATACATTTAAAATAAAAGCCATGTCTCAAATGCCTACGCAAAATGAGCAGACAACACAAGGGAACCCAGGTGTCACTACCAAATATCAACCTGGAAAATTGATCTCTGTTGGTACACATCAAATTGAAATTATAAACTATATCGCTGAAGGTGGATTTGCCCAAATATACTCAGTTAAATTTGTTGAATACTTAAATGAATTTGCTAATGATAATGAGGATCCAACAGCATTAAAACCAGGTGATATCGCATGTTTGAAGAGAGTCATTGTTCATGACGAAAATGGATTAAATGAATTACGAAATGAAGTAGATGTTATGAAGAAATTAAAAGGAGCACCAAATATTATTCAGTACTATGACTCAAATGCCTCAAGATTACATAATAATTCAACTGGATTTGAAATATTGTTACTAATGGAATTATGTCCGAATGGCTCTTTATTAGATTATATGAATCAAAGATTAGCAACAAAATTGTCAGAAAAGGAAGTAGTAAAAATAATGTATGATATAACTTTAGCATTGAGTAATATGCATTATTTGATAGAACCCTTATTGCATAGGGATATTAAAATTGAAAATGTTTTAGTGGATTCCGATAATAATTTTAAACTATGTGATTTTGGTTCAACATCCAAGACATTTCAAATAGTAACAACACACCAGGATATTGCAATGTTAACACAAGATATTTATGTTCATACCACCCCACAATATAGGTCACCAGAAATGATAGATCTATATAGGTATTTACCAGTAAATGAGAAATCTGATATATGGGCACTTGGTGTACTGTTATATAAACTTCTGTTTTTTACTACCCCTTTCGAAATGACAGGTCAATTTGCAATATTACATTCCAAATATGAGATACCTCAAAATAAATTTTGTTCAAAATTAAATAATCTTATTATTATTATGCTTGCAGAAAACCCAAATTTAAGACCAAATATTTACCAGGTTTTATATCAAATTTGTTCGATTATGGGTGTTTCGGTTCCTATTAAGGATAAATACGAAGCCGGGCCATACAATTTTGAAAATTATACGCATTTCCAAAGTAAAATACAAAATATTCAATTTCAAATGTTTGAACTTGAAAAGAAAAGGACTCAAAATTCTGGAAAGTTAGGAAATCCTGAGAACAAGCTTCTGAATGAAATGTTTATTAGTTTATTTGATATGGCTTCGAAGATCGCTTTGCCAGATCAGAATGTACCATCACCTACAATCACCCAACTTAACAATTCCATTCCGACAGAAAATAAAAATAGTTCGTCTGATCAATTAACCTCACCCACTCCAGATTCCGTTGGTAAAAACTCTTCACATTCTCAAGACATTAATTCTCCTGATGATTCAAACACTAAGGGGGCAAATATTTCTAATGACTCCCATGGAACTAATGGATTGCAAAGTAGATTAAAAGAAATGGATTTGAAAGACGGTATTTCCTATTATCCAAGTGTAGGTGAATTGAATCAGTATATTGATAAGGAAATGAATCAAGCCAATAATGGCAAATCTGAAGATATAGCAAATATTAGGTTCCCAGATATTAACCAGAATCCAATTGTTGTTAGTCCAGAAATATTAGATGCAAAGACGTCGGCAAGTTCTAACAAATTGTTTAAACCAGTCCCTCAGGATTCGTTAGTCAAGGAGGCTATGATTCAATCTGAGAATACAACTAATACTTTTAATCAACATAAGTCAACAAATCCGTTTCCAGCAATTTCTGATAATTTTCAATCTCAACAAATGAATACTACTCAATATCCAAATATCTCTAATTCAACCCCAATCAATAATCAACAACAACCTCAAAGTTATCCACGTATTCAAACACCAGTAGAAAATGGTAATTATACCAATAGTCCCGAAAATATAGAGAATTACGTAATTCAACGAGGCCAACTGCCACACCGAAAACCTAGTACAAACGTTCCATTTAATACTAATGAACAATCTATGATGAACACCTCGTTTATACCTTCTGAATCACCAAACACAGGAAACCTGGAATATGCTCGTTCTAATAATCCAGCATTGTATCAAAGGACTTATAATCAAATAAGTAGTCCAGTAGGTGAAATCATCACGCAGATTTCTCCATCAGCAACCCATAACCAGAAAAGGGACCAAAAGCCCACAACAACTTCACAAACAAATAATCCAAAAAACCAAATAACTCAAAATCCCCAAGGTTTATCTAAAGAAGATTTTCAGAAGTATCAAACAACACCTGCTCAACCTTCAAGGGATAGTGTATATGACGAATTAACACCTCCGAAGATTCCTCCTCACCCAAGAAAGAAAAAAGAAGAGGATATGCCATCCTCGAACGTTGGGAATCTTAGAGATCCAAAGACAGGAAAATTTAAAATTGAACAAGTAGGTGTAGACGTGGGAACAAGGCACCCCCACCACCATTCACAACATGGGCGATCACGTCGAAGTTCTGGACATGACAACTCTGGGGTTAGACGTACAGCAAGTATGAACAACAAACCCAACGTACTACTAGAGAGGCCAACGACAGAGAGTATTGACATTGATCTAGACAAGATAAAGAGAAAATCTTTGGACATAAAAATGCATAAAATGGGATTCAGCTCTGATTTAAAGGACCAAAGTATTCACGAGAATGAAGTTGTTGGTAATCACAGCAGTGGAAGATCAGAACTTGATACGCAGAGACTTAGCAAACGGAACGTCAGTAACGGTAACATACCCGTGGCAGCAAGTAACACAGAAGAGATCAAGAAATCCATAACCAGAGCTAGACAGTCGTTAGATCTTGACCGAGCTCGTAGAGAGGTTATGATGAATAACGATAACAATAAGAGACGGTCTTTGTTCTCAATGTTTCGTCAAGACAAGAAATTATAGAAAAAATTGCATACATATGAGTACACACTTAGTTTTACATATTATAAAATTATAAATAGATAAATTTAAGTATTCATTCTGTCGATATTATATTATTGCATTACGAAATATGATTCTTTTATCACTCTTAGAATGATCAATGTTAAGATAAATATTGACCTTAGTCCTATACTGCGAGGTAGTCCCTCGCACGGTTCGAAGGGAAGACAAAACCAATTTTCTGAAAGAAAAAAGAAAATAAGGAAGTTAGATTATAATTTTAGTAGAAAAGGGAACGGTCGGGTTTGACAGTTGGAGATATTAGATTACTTGATGTTTTATTGGGGGTGCACATTTTATGTTCTTCCAGATACTTTACAAAATTACCCCAATTGATAAATACTCTACTTATTATCTGTTTGTATATGCTTACACGTTTTAATATAAATTAATCCAATAATTTATTTTTTGCATTTACTTCATACCCTAATTTTGAATCTGTTAAAAATGTTGAGAGGTTCAATAAAGACAACCTCATTGTTAAAATATAATTCAGTCAATTTTCTAAGGAATACTGGAACAAGAATGTCACTGTCTACTAAAACCACAAACGGCACAGCTGCTACTACTGATTATGGTTCTTCTTCTGATGAACAACCTCAAGTACTGTTCACTGTTAGAGATACTGCGAGAGTAGTCACCTTGAATAGACCTCAAAAATTAAATGCTTTGAACACAAACATGTGTTCGATGATGTTTAATACACTAAATGAATATTCTAAATCAGATATGATTAATTTAGTTATATTGAAATCTTCCAATGGGAAACGATCTTTCTGTGCAGGTGGAGATGTTGCAACTGTAGCTTCATGGAATTTGGCTAAAGAATATAAGAAATCCGTCGAGTTTTTTCAACATGAGTATTCTTTGAATTTCCAACTTGCAACGTTTAACAAACCAATCATTTCAATAATGGATGGTATTACAATGGGTGGCGGTGTAGGATTATCAATTCATACACCATTCCGTATTGCAACGGAGTATACCAAATGGGCTATGCCAGAAATGGATATTGGATTCTTCCCCGATGTTGGTGTTACATTTGCATTACCCAGAGTTATCACCATTTGTAATAACAAATCTCAAATGGCAATGTATTTGTGTTTAACGGGTGATGTTTTAAATGGTGAAGACGCATACACATTAGGTTTAGCATCGCATTATGTTACACATGAGAACTTAGCAAATCTTGAAAGAAGGCTGGGTGAAATTACAGAAGTGGATGTTTTCCGTAGAAGTGATAAATATATTAATAAACAGGATAAAGGTGACAAATTGATGAATATTATTAATAATTCTATCAAGGAATATAGCTATCAATTACCAAATAATTATAAGTTTAGATATTCTGATGCACAACTTGAAGTTATTGAGAAATGTTTCGATGTCACAAAAGTACAGAACATCAATGATGTAATTCGTAATTTAGCATCATATGAAGGTTCTATTGGCGCTAAGAATTTTGCCCTTGAAATAAAGGATAAACTGACCAAAAAATCATTTACTTCCATGAACCTAGTTATTAGATTATTACAGGATAATTCTAAAGACCATATCGAGTCATCGATAAGGAGAGACTTATATACAGCAGCTAACATGTGTCATAATAACGTAGATGGACTGTCAGAATTCTCAGAAGCAACTAATCATAAATTGAATTTGAAAAATAGAGAGGCTTATCCTTGGAAGAACAACTCAAAAACAATTTTATCTACCCAAGTTACTTCATTGACATCTCCAAAACCATCGATTCCGTTATCTCTATTGAAGAATAGTGTGGATGTCACTTGGAACAATTATCCATTCCACGGTAAATACCAATTGCCGACCGAAAGCTTTATTAGAAATTTGATTTCTAAAAACGACTTCACTAAGGAATCATTAATTCAATATTTCATGAACAATAATTCATTCACTAAAGATAAAGTTGGAGTGAGACATATTTGTAATAACATCATCAGAAGGAAATGTAAGCCAACTGGAGAAAGTTCACTACTGAAATGGATTGATTAATCTTTGCTACCTCGCACACACTCCAAAGAAAAAGATCCTATTAAATATCTTTATATATATATATACCGTGTAAATACATTCTTCTAATATTTTTCTAATAATTTGATAGTCTTCTTTGCTTAAGATTGAAAAGGGAAATTTACCATTTTAAGTAACTTGGCGGGGGACATTGTTTACTTAAAAACATATATGTATGTAGTACTAGATACCTAAATAGAATATTACATTGGAAAAAGTGAAATATAGATTAACTAAGAACGAAATTTTTCAGTATATTTCTGATGAATCTCCTATAAATACTTTTGAACTTATTTTATTTATTTTTGATGGGTCTTTCTTCTGTTTCTGACACCTTCAGCTAACAGTTCTAGAACTTGTTCGGTACTATCCCAACCGATACAAGCATCGGTGATAGAACAACCGTATTTTAGACCTTCTCTGCCACCTTCTGGTGGAACATCTTGTCTACCTTCTACCAAATTGGATTCGATCATTACACCACATAGAGCGTCTTCACCAGCAGTTAATTGTTCGTAAATAGATTGTGCAACCTTTGGCTGGTTTCTGTAATCCTTATTACTGTTACCGTGAGAACAGTCAATCATTATTCTTCTCTTTTTGCCATCGTCAGTTGGATCAATCAAGTTAGCCTTCGCTAGTTGTTCCTTAGCAAGTTTAACATTCTCTGGGTCGAAGTTAGTGCCGTTCTTACCACCTCTCAGGATAACGAAAGTATCTTCATTACCTTCGGTACCAACAATAGCTGTAATACCAGGTTTCGTGACGGATAGGAAGTAATGGTCATGGGCAGCGGCTCTCATGGCGTCAACAGCAACTTGTAGACCACCATCGGTACCGTTCTTGAAACCTATTGGGAAAGATAGACCTGAAGCCAATTCTCTGTGTAATTGAGATTCGGTGGTTCTTGCACCAATAGCACCTAGAGAGAAACAATCACTTAAGAATTGTGGAGAGATGGTATCCAACATTTCACCAGCAATTGGAAGCTTTTCAACCAATTTGGTGAACATCTCTCTAGAGACCCGGAGACCCTTGTTGATTTGGAAAGAGTTATCGATATCTGGATCATTGATTAAACCCTTCCAGCCGACAGTAGTTCTTGGTTTTTCTAAGTATGCTCTCATAATGATCAAAAGATCCTTATCCAGTTTCTTGGAAATATTAGCTAATTTGTCACAGTATTCATAAGCAGCCTTTGGATCGTGAATGGAACATGGACCAATAACGATGACCATACGGTCATCAGCACCATTCAAAACTTTGCAAACATCTTCTCTGGCGTCAACAATTATTTTTTTACCCTTTTCAGAAATTGGGAATTCATGTTGTAATAAATCTGGAGGGGTCAATGGATCGTAACCCTTGATTCTCCAGTCTTCTAGACGAGATCTGTCACCAGCGTGGTCGTTTTTAATGAACATTATATTTATATGTGTATGATATGTTTATGGATTTGACTATAAAGGAGTCTACTAATATGTGTATACGGTATATTTCAGTATTTGTAACAATTTACAATTAATCTAAAGTTCTAAAAAGTAAATCAAATTAAATACGCTTTTTTGTTTAAATCAGCTTCTTATATATATAATTTTGAAGATTAAAAATAAATCGATTCAGTAAATAAACGCCAACCCCATGAAAGTACAGCAGCTTAATAAAAAATGAAAAAGGTTCATCCCACAAGATTTAATAATCGTTTTAGTTAACTATTAATTCAAAGAAATTAACGGGTGCCAGTTGTTCGTTTTGCTTACTCACAAGTTTGTCAAAGTATGAGTCAAATGGACTCTATCGGAACACCAAAGTTTCTACCTAAGGCTCTCTATAATCTTTGGCTTACTGAAGCTGTCCAACCAGAATTTTTTCCTGTTAATCGTCGTACACGCAAAGGGTTAGCGACGCTTTGCTAAGCTGAAAATCAGAAAAAATGAAAATTTTTCACTTTTTCTTTCATCTTTACAATGAGAATGCCAGTAACACTTCGCGGAAGGTCAGTAATTTAAATTACTTCGTGAGAGAAACGTGTCATCCTGCATTAACCTTAGGGGGAAGTAGTCGATATTTGAAGTTGGCAATAACCAAAGCGACGTTGAACCCATAAGATCTTGGTGTGATTTTTTATAATATATACCCTATTAAGACCAGACTGTCGCTTCGATTTCTTTCATAAGAAAAAGATGGAGAGCTGGCGTAATTTAAAACATCAATGACAGGTTAACTATTGAAGCTAAAATTCTGGATTCTCACTACGCATGTCTGTGTTTTCAAATTTGTGGGGCCTTAAGCAAGAGGATTCATTACTATTTTTTTATTTTTGAAATTAATTAATGATGTGTCATACTAATTATTCATCGATTAGTTAACTTAAATTTTACATTTATTTTAACTTTCATTTAGGGTTGCATTTTATATTGGTTAAATAATTAATTCTTGTGTTCTGTTAAAATATTTTCAGAATGACGTAAAAAGAATACAATTAATGTACATCATATTTTAGTTAACTACCTTAATCTTCAAGAAATTACCAAGTTTCACCGTTTAAAATAAGAACTGTTCAAATAATGGGCAGAAGATATCTTCTATTTTTAAATATGTAAATTTCGCTGGGGGAAAAAACGGGAGAAAGCAAGGTTCAGTAGGGGAATAATTTTTATAAACTTCAACTCTTTAATATGATTATAATGTACTGATCAGGTTGTAGGTTAGAATGTATAATATTATCTACGAATAACTTACTTTGGAAAATATTAAACTTTTCGAATTTTTGAATCACGTGGAGCTCGAAAAAATTTGAAAAAATAATGAAGGATGCGAGGTTCGAACTCGCGCGGACACCGTCCAACAGATCTTAAGTCTGCCGCCTTAGACCACTCGGCCAACCCTCCAATGATTTGTGAAAGGGAGAGAAAAACTTTTATATTTATTAGAAACGTCAAGTCCGGGTAATGAAAGAAAATGTATTATGATAATGAATATTTGATCTCCTATGTTATTTTATTGTAAATATTATGGTTAAACATTGTGTTATTTATTATTTTTAATATGGTGCAATCTTAAAATCTTCAGTCCCTAACATCTCATTACCAAAAGAAGAACAAAATATTCAAGAAATATAACTACTAATTTCATCAAGTTAAAAATGATTAATGGGCCCAACGTTATTGATTAGTTTCCTTCTTGAACACTTATCCAAATGCAATGCTTTTGTTTTAGTAATAATATTTTAAGTAATATATCAGTTTGTTTTTCCCTGGATTTTTGATAATTAATTAGCAACCAAAAAACAAGGCGAAGTTTTAAAGTTATGAATATTTGGCGGTCTTTCCTTTATTTGAAATATGTTTCTAAACTATATTTGCGGACATTTTTGTTTTTAAAAAGAGAAATTTTGCTCTCTCCCAAATTGTTAATGATCGAATTTATCCTGACGAGTAAAGGTTGCATTCATCCTCTTTATTCTCTTGACTCATAAATATTGATATCAGTGTAGATATCTGTTTAGGAAAATAGATACTTAATCCACATGTAATTCTAGGAACTGGGGATAGGTGAATGTAATTCTAGATTACCCTAACGATTGTTACAAGAATTTTGCTTATCAATCAAAAAGTAATTAATGTGTTTTTAGATTTCCAAAAACAAGTTGTTAATTTACTCGTTACCAAACAATGTGCATATTGTTTCTCATAGTGGAATAGTTAAGATAGAAAGTTATTATTGAAGAAATGCGCTAGCTATAGAATAAAAAGAAAATGAAAGTGCAGACTAATCATATTTTCGTTGAGTTTAATTTTACAGTTATTATAATAACTAAATGTTAATAAGATATTCAGCTTCGTTTTACGTATCTTTATAATTATTGAATTTACAATAGTAAAAAATACAGAAATTTGTTTACTTTAATTTATTTATTTGTGTGTGTAAATTAAGCTAAACGTTAATTATGCACTATATAGCGTAAACAAAAAATCGAAAGTGATATTGAAAACAATAGGATTTTTGATCCCATGCTTTTACATTCAGGAATTCATTTTTTAAGTTTCTTGGATCTGATTAAGTTGAAACTACGATTACCTCTTGTAGCAAGGCTTTACATGTTCTGGAACTTCAACAGTAAGTTGAGACAAGTCGTAAATGCGTCAAAGAAAAGCTCGAATCACCAAGAATAGTCCTCTAAAGTTTTACTCTGAAGTTTTTTCATCAATTCCTATTAATAAAGATCAACATTAATTATTGGGAGGGTCACATTTTGTGTTTTTTATTGATATTCCCTTCATATATATCTTCTAGATATACGGCGCTAACTACAGTAACAAGATTTTTATTAAAAAAAAATTTGAGATGAGATTTTTTAAATCGGTATAATAACAAGGATGGCTGGTACTTTGGAATCTTACAAAGGTAGAGACAGTGAACCAAGTATAGACACAACCATAAAGGTACGATGGATAGGCCTTCCTTCCTTGATCAATCACCACCAATAGGATACGTGCCCGGACTTGGCAGAGGTGCGAATGGGTTTTCGGTTCGTGGTGATAAATTCCAACGTAAAGTTCCAGTCAGATTGCAAGATGGGAAAAGTAAAGAATTGAAGAAGAATAATGTGGTTAATGATGTAGCTCAATCTGAAGAAGATGAAGCTTTGAAGATCTTTTCTATTATTGATTTAAAACGTAATGGAAATAAATCCACGAAGATTGAAAATACATTCCAAGATTCCCTTAATGAAGGATATAAATTCAAAGATTTAAAAAGAAACCTAGGTTCAATTTCAGCGGAACAATGGCTAAACATACCTGAGGCTAGTGATTTTACAAGAAGAAACAAAAGGAATAGACTAGAAGAACAACTTAATAGGAAAACTTACGCTGCACCAGACAGTCTCATATCACAGAATGTTAATTTAACAAAACTTACTGAGGAGCGTGAAAAATTACTAGAAAAGACATTAGATACAAATATTAAAGGAAAATTTGGAAATACTGATATCAATACTTTGAGTGAGTCGCAATCCTATTTAAACCAGTTAGAAATCATTAGTAATACGACTAATGAGACACAACTTGAAGATTTGAAAAAGATGCGTTTAGTTTTTCAATCATATAGAAAAGCAGACCCCAAGAAATCAGAAGGTTGGATTGCCTCAGCAAGATTAGAAGAAAAATGTAGGAAAATGGAGCAAGCCAGAAGATTGATCGAAGAAGGTTGTGAGAATTGCCCACATGATGAAGAAATATGGTTAGAGAGTATACGTTTGCATTCTTCAGATAATCAGAAATGTAAAATAATTGTTACGACTGCCATCAAATTTAATTATAATTCAATAAAATTATGGTTGAAAGCAATAGACTTAGAAAATGAGAAAATTAATAAATATAGAATAGTCAGGAAAGCTTTAGAGGAAGTTCCAACTAGTACGGAATTGTGGAATCTAGCCGTTGGGTTTGAACAGGATAAGAACGAAAAGATCAATATTTTAAGAAAGGCCTTGGAATTTGTACCGGAGAGCATCCATCTATGGACAACATTAATTAAAATTGAGGAGTATACAGAGGCTAAAATATCGTTGAATAAAGCTAGGAAGGCAATTCCAAACAATATAAAAGTATGGCTCCTGGCTATTGAACTAGAGGAGACACATGGCGACAAAAATATATCTGTATCCAAGTTGATTAAAATACTAAATAAGGGATTTGAACAACTATTACACAGTAATATCTCCGTAACCTTCGAAGATGCTTTACGTATCTCAAAAGAATTTGAAACTAGTAATAAAGGAAAATGTGAAAAATCACTCGATGCACTTGCACAAGTAATATTATTACGAACAACGGAGGGGCAAGGTCACAACATTGATAATAAGAAGCTAAAGATGCTTTTGAAATTTGATGATTCTCTTACGAAATTATGCCTTATTAAACAAATGGTGATAGTTAACCACGATAGACTCAGCCTTTGGAATTCACTAAAAGAAATTTGTGAAAAACTTGGACGTATAAACGATCTCTATAGTACGTTTGAACATGTCTTATTCAATAAAGATGAAACTGATCAGAACAAAGTGTTAGAATCAAATTCTAAGTTGGTACTGGTGTATGCTAAAGAGATATGGAAGGGAAGTAACGATATTAAGAAGGCTTTAGATATAATGGATAAAAGTTTGGTCGTAATACCTGATAATCTTGATATTGTAGCTGCAAAAGCAAAATTATTATGCCAGAGCAAACAATTTGATGCTGCCGGCTTATTGTTTAAAGAAAAGATTAATCAAATGATCGAAGAAGAAAATATTTTAAACAAATCTGGGTTGGATAGACTAGCCCATAAGTATGTGAGTTTCCTAAGATATAAAAGTGAAAATGAATTAGCAATTACATTACTTTTAGATAAATTCATTCCATTGTTTCCAAATTTTTACAAGCTATACCTACAATTGGCGCAAATATATTGTGATCTCAAAAACTACAATGATGCAAGGTCAATATTAATTAAGGGTATTGAGAAAATCTCATGTAATAATAAATCAAATAGTCATAATGCATTACTATGGATAGAGATTTCCAAAATAGAAGAAATTGCGATGGAAAAACCCACAAAAGCTCGTGCAACATTAGATGTGGCTCTAATTAAGAATTCTGGGAATTCCATGAGTGAAATAATGATTCATGTAGCAAAGATACAGTTAGAGAAAAGAACCCAAAATAAAGACCAAGCGCGACTCCTTGTTTCCCAGGGCCTTAAAACTTTTCCAAACAGTGAGTTACTGTGGACAGAGAATATTACATTATTAGATGCCAAACGTACGTCACAAAAGAAGACAATGTTTCAAGATGCATTAAGAAATACAAAGAATAATTATCTTGTAATGTTAGAAATTGGTAAGACTTTTTATAAGGAATCTCAATATGCAACAGCCATCAAATGGATAGAGAGGGCTACCAAAGCTAACCCAAACTATGGTGACTCTTGGATATGGAATTACCGTTGTGAAAAGAAATTGAATAGAGATACAAACGGAATTATTCAAAAAGTGACATCCATTGAACCAGCTTACGGACCAGAATGGATTTCTGTTTCAAAGAATCCTTCCTCTCAATACTTTAGAAGCCTGGAAATCCTTAAGACGCTCACTTACGTGACGGAAATGCAGTAGTTTACATATACACTCATTATATCAACTATATACTTTTATATATCATTCTCAGGTGAAAAAAACAAACTATAACTTGTAACTTCTACGGTTTTGGTATCAAAAGCTAAAAACATTTCAAGATTTAATAAGTTTCCATAGTAAAAGAGAAGAAGTCCGAAAAAGTTTCACGTGACCGGAAGACTCTTTCGAATCAAAATTCCGTCGTGATGAGTCAAATCTTGCTTTATCGCTGCGGTGTGTGGGTGACCAAACGTATATATTCTAAAGATTTTCAATAAAAAAATTCCAACGGGAAAATATTCTTCTCAGTTTTAAGAATAAATCTCAGAAAAAAACATTGTGGGTGAGCGACTCGCCGTGAAGCAACACAACATCTCTCTCTCTCTCACCCAGTGGGAAAGCTGAATAATATAGAATATTTTGCATGACATAGAGTTTCAGAAGAGGAATACATAGTACCTATACTGTTCTTATTGATTAGGTTAAAGCTACAATAAGGTCGTAGACAAGATATTCTTCTCAAATCAAAATTTATATCTCAACTAAACTTTTAAAATATCCATAGTATCGTGACGCTAGAAAGTTAACTACATACTGGTTTCATTTTGCCAATAATATCTTTATTCCTTTTGTTTGTCGATTGTTTCATAGTGAGAAGGATACCCACAGAGAGAGAGAACAAAGAGTTTGGCAGGTAAAGTCGTGCTTTTGTCCAATTAGTTAGAGAGTTTTGTATTGATTCCAAATCATTTTCAAAGCTACTGAAAAATTAAGAAAAATAAAAAAAAGTTGCATATTTATAAATTTTCTATCTAGCTCATCATGTTGAGTAATATTGATCTACCAGACACAGGTAATCGTAATACTGAAGGAAAAAATTTGACATCAATTTTTTCTCCCACCGGAAATTATCTATCTCCAGCTTCATTAGACGGCAGAACTCCATCTATTACCGGTGGAAATTCTATCTCATCTATTGGGAATAATAATAATAGCAACACCAACAACAACAACAATAACGGCAGTAATAGTACTTTCACTAATAATACTGACAAGAATAGAAATTTTCGAAACCAAAATCCTATCAATTTACCATCCCCACTATCATTTTTAAACGGTAGTTTGAATCAACTAGGTTTACATAAAAATATGACAACTACTTCACCATCGGGAATTCTTTTAAATTCTTCCACTACATCTACTCCAACTAGCAATGCCGAAAGTACTACATCTCAAGAATTAAATAAAATTAAGGAAGATTCTTCATTAAAACCTAATACTTCAGTTTCTTCGACTGTAAAAGATCAAAAGGGTCATGTCGTGAAACGGAAGTATTCTAGAAATGGTTGCACAGAATGTAAAAGAAGAAGAATGAAATGTGATGAAACTAAACCAACATGTTGGCAATGTGCAAGATTAAACAGAACCTGTGTATATGTCTTGAATCCAAGAAATAAGAAACGGAAAAATCAAAATTCAACTGGAACTGAATCACACCCTGAGAGTTCTGGACAGTCACCAGAAGATATATTAATGTCTCAACAAGATCAATCCCAAGTTTTGAATTCTTCAGGTAGCGTATCATCTTTAACGCAGAATATACCAGTGGATCCTCAACCCAATTCTTTAAATGTTAGCCAGGGTAATTCTATCCCTGATGTAACCAGCGAAGTTGCCAACTCAATACCAATAGCTGGAGTGGATGGTATTGATACCAACTTATTAATGCAAAATTTAAACGATATTGTTAACATGAAGTTGAATGATGCAGCTATGATAAATGAGAATATTAAAGACTTAGATTTCCCAGAATTAGATATTCCTGAATTATTAATGCCTTCTTCAAATCATCATAGTTCTGTACCAATATCGTTCTTGATGAACAATGTTATTCAGTTTAATATTAAAATTACCTCCTTCAAATTAGGCGGTATGCATGATGAATATCTAAGAATATTCTATAACGATTGTTTGGATTCGATTGCTCCATTTTTCCAGAACCAAGGTAACCCATTGAGAGATATACTATTATCCTTTGCCAGAAATGAATCATATTTACTTTCAGCAATTCTAGCTGTTGGTGCATCTATTTCACACCGTGCATCTAATAAGTATGAGGATGAAAGAAACTACTGTGCATACTTATCACATTGCTTAAGTTTATTAGGTGATCAATTCCACAATGAAGCAAACGTTCTAAATAAAATTGAACCCATAATTCTAACTGTAATGTTATTAGCATGGGATTGTATAAATACTATGAACTCTCAGTGGAGATCTCATTTGAAAGGTGTTACCGACCTTTTTGCCAAAATTAATGCTGGTAATTCCTCTAAAGTACTAAATGTAGCTAAATGTTGGTTCAAGGTTATAGAAACATTTGCTAGTATAAGTACAGGTCTAGGTGGTTCTCTATATGACGAAGATTTAGATGTGATATTCAATCCATACGATTATCAGTATGTGGATTCATTAAAATTTTTGAACGTTATGACACCGCTGAATGAATTCAATTTACTTAGAGGTCACAAAGAAGATTTTGATCTAGTTATAAGAGAAGTATTAAGGGGACTAAACTATGTAAGAAGATGTAGACAGAGTTCTAATGCCACAAGGAAGGAGAAGGAGGCTGCTTCAAAGTCCATTGATTTGTTGAATTTTGGACTAAGTTACTTGAAATATTCCGAATCTTCAAAGGCTAACAATGATGAATCAAACCAACTAAATTTTTTCAAGACCCAAAAAATTCTTGTTGAAATAGACAGACAATTAGAATATGAATTCATTAATAAGACAGGTATTATACCGAGAGAAAGTCAATCTCATCCAGAAAATAGTCACATCGATGATAATGCGATTGATATTGTTAAGTTGAGAAATGGTGAAACAATTGCTATTAGTTGGTATGATATATCACATCAAACCCAGGTATTATGTTTCCTATTGATTGTATTATTAAATTTCTTAGGACTTCCAAAGGAATCTGTGTTGATCCAACAAGTTATTAAAAGACTAATGTCCTTCTTTAAATTTTTAGATAGTGATAACCCACCTCGTAATGCAAGAACCTGTTATTCTAATTTTGCTGTGTTATATGCAGGTTTACATGCCGTGGATGAAGAAACTAGAGACATGGTTAGAAGATATTACGAAATCAATGGTGATACCTCGAAGAGATTAACAGATTATAATTTGCATAGGTTGGAGAAAGTTTGGTATGGTAAAGCAAGTAGCGATAATTTGGAAAACCAAGATGTTCTAACATGGTAAATATTAATATCCTTTCATATCTCTACCCATATTATATAATTGACATTTTATAGACTAGATAGTTAATGTATTATAGTAAACCCAACTTTACTTAACGTAAAAAAAGGAATCAAATGAACTAGAAATAGAAGTACTGACTCTATTGCCAATTCCAACATAAAACCTTATTAACTTAATTTGTATAAATGTTTGCATATATTAAAAATAAAACTTTATATATACTATATACTATATTCAGCTATATATTATGCTATAAGAGTGTTTTTCGAGATCTTGCACCTTTTATTCCTCTGAAAAATAACTTTTTCGCCAAACAATACACGGTATCTATATGAATTCCCAACAACTAACAACGAATGGAATCATCATCTCACAAGAAAACTGGAGAGTCGACAGAAATCTGTACATCTATCTTAATACCCAAATTATAAACAAAAAAAATGAAAGATGAAAATTATGATTAAAAAAATTACGAACAAAAAAAGTAGTATACGATACGATGATTATGGAATAATTAGAAATTAGGGCGTTTCGGAAAAACTTAAAATTGATGACGTTTTTTCTATTCTCATTAGATTTTGTTCGATGATGATTAGATCCAAGTTTGACATTAGAAAAATAAATAAAAATGTCGTGAAAGAAGTTGGAAGTTTGTAAATGGAAGGACTGAAGAAAAAAGAGATGGGAACTCTTGATCAATGAAATATATCACAGCAAATATATGTGTTCGCGTGTCTTATTGTAATAGATCATGGGGAATCAGAAAAAATAATTTTGTAATGAAGTTTAATAAAAAGGTTTTTTAAGGGGAGGGGGGAGAAGAATTGAAATAAAAATATTGATAATTTATATCAATTAATAAACAAAATAAGTGTAATAAATAAAAAAAGATTAACTCAACTAGAGAAATATCAATTTATTAACGAGTTTGTTTATTTCTTAGACTTCTTGGACTTCTTTAATTTTGGAGAAGCAGCACCAGACTTTGGAGTCTTTGGAGACTTTGGAGACTTTGGAGACTTTGGAGACTTTGGAGACTTTGGAGAAGCTGGAGATCTGGCACCGGCAGATTCGTTATCTTCATGGTGGAAGTTGTAACCAATCTTTTCAATACCAACATAGTTGGCCAATGGTAGGAAGACCAATGGACAGAAACATAAGAAACATAAATCTAGAATACCGTAGAAAATCATTTCAGAGTCAACAACCAAAACGTTACCACCTTCACAAATACCGAAAGCAATTGGGTAGATCAACCAGAAGAAGAAGATCAAACTAACGTAAATCTTAAAGATAGTGTAAATATCGTTACCAGCTCTAACACATAGGTTCTTAGTAGTGGTTAGAATGGAAGTCATAACAACCCAACTACAGAAGACAGCGAAAGAGAAGTAACCCCATTTGTAAGTAGTGTGAACTAAAGCACCTAACAACATACAGACAACGAAGAATTCGGTCATAACGATGTTGAAGAACATTTGCCATAGAGGAGTCTTACCAAGAATAGAAGCTTGGATAACTGGGAATGGCATAGCTAGGAACCAACCAACGTATCTAGAGTAGAAGACTTGTCTAATACCAAGGTGAGTAGTTTGAGTAGATACTCTGTGATGGTTGTACTTAGCCTTGACACCGGTCCAACCCAAGTTGGAAGCCATGGTGAAGTAAGCAATGGTCATAAATAGACATGGGGCAATAACAGTGTAGTAAAGGAATCTATCATCAACTGGCTTTCTGAACATTAGGAAGATCAAGATAATGGCAGCAAATAAGTTGACACAGAAGACGGTCCATAACCAATCGGAACCACGAGCGGTTAAATGGAAATCAGTACCAGTTGGCTTGTTGATATTGATGGCTTCGTTACCACCTCTTTTGAAAAATTGAACAGTTTCTGACATTTTAATTGAGTGTAAAAATAGTTTTTAAATTAGAAATATTCCAAAAATTGTATTAAGAAAATTATTATCTTTGATTTGAGGAGTAATTAATTAATTATTAGAAATTATTATTATTCTTTTTTATTGGTTTTTTAAGTGATCTTTTTTAAAGAAATATTATTGTAAATATCAAAAAAGGTATTAAAAAAAGGTATTATTAAAATAAAAGAATAGATATAGTATAGGTTTAATTATCACTAATTCAGATACAGTTGTATGGAGATTATCGATGTTATAGGGAAAAAAAGAGTAAAAAGAAATAAAAATGAAAAGTAAGACTAAAATAAGAAGTTATTCTTAAATAAAAAGAATTGAACTAATATAACAAGAGCAGAGGGGAGAAACTAAAGGAAAATCTAGTTTAATTGCAATTGATTGAGAACATTAAAGTATTTATATATTTGATACAATTTTGAGTGAAAAAAAAATTTATTTTTTCTTTCTTTTTTAATTAGGATTATTAAGTTGTCGTTAGAATAATAGGTTTAAAACACACTTAACAAAGGGAAATAAGAGAGTAGAACTGGGGGGGGGGATTGATTATAAATTAGTGAGAGATATCGAAAGAGGGATAATTAAGAGTAAAGTAATAACATTACATGCAAACAAATAGTTCATTCGGGTATACCTCATTTTGTCAGAAATATAAAGGACTACAGTAAGTTGTTAGTAGAAAGGGATTGATTACATATTACTTTTTTTATTATTTATATTTTAGTATTGAAAGAGAATAAAAATGAGTACAATTTAATCTAATTATAAGGAAAAACAACAACAATAAAACAACAACAAACCGTTCAGCTAATATTTTTACCACTATTAGTAAATTCTAAATAGTGAAAAATGACAGAGACGGCAGTTAAATCATCCAAATATCCTTAATTTTTTTTTTGTTCCTCATCATCATCATCGGTATCAATATCATCACTATTGTTGTTATTATTACTAAAAAAGAATACATCAATATACTACGTATTATAATGAAGCAGAACGTAGAAATACCGCTATAAAATGATTGAAGGATGAGATTTTTTTTGAATCCAATTTGATATTGACTTGAATAATAATTCTTAATTGAGAACTTTTCTTAGTAAAAAACAGAAGTACAGATGAGATCTTCCCACGAACGAATCATCATACGTACAAAAATTAATATTAAAAAAATATGATTACTTAATTGAAATAATCTAATGTAGCATGACAACGGCAAAATACAGTGTACCTACATTGAATTTGGCAACGTAATTTAGGTAGCCCTTCTTTGTATGAGCTAAAAAAAAAATTATTATTATTATTACTATTTTACCATAGAAATGTTCTATGTTTTGAGAGAGTATTATTTATTTTTTACTGAGAACAGTTCCGTATTAACTAATAAATGTCGATCCCTTTTAGGAAAGATAATCTGTTTATTTGTTGTGGTTTGCCCTATTTGGCTTACCGGCAAACGGATAATAATACGAAGGAAAACGTTTACTATTTGATGTTTTCTTTTTTTATTTTGTAATTGGAAAAATATAAACAGCTCTCTGTACGGACCTTTTTCAGTTCAGGGTTGTTCCAGCTGCACGCTTTTCTCTGGGGCAACTTCATTTAATTTGAGGGATTTGCTGCGTATAGCGAGATGTTTATTCTCAAAAGGCAAAAAACATAAGAAAAATTAAAAAAAATTTCGCTTTTTATCTTCTTGTAACGGCATTTCTGCGTAACAAAGGGAAGAGCAGACTAAATTAATACTACTACGTATAGGATTGAACGACCACGAGAGAAAGAACCTACAGTAGCAACAGATGATAGATAGAAGAACAAGAGGATCCAATTGAGTTCCAGGACCCAAAATGGTAGAATTTAATATTGGACCCCTACGGTCCGGTCCGTCTAAGTCAATTCTTTGCATATATACGTAGTTGATGAAATTCAATTAAGAAGAGAACGACAAAAGAGGTAAGTAACAAAATTTGATAATCAAAGTATGTCATTCGCCAGAATAATTAATATCCGTTTAATGTAAATACTACCAAAAACAAAATAAGACACAATTTATTGTCTTTTTTATTTTGCCCATTTTGTGATAAAGCGGTAAATAGAAAGTTCATTAATAAAAGCTACGTACAAGAGAATATATACATGCATATATATATATATATTTTATTAAAACCCTAAAAAATTGCATTTCAAATAGTTAATTGAGTAAATTATACTCAGGTTATTTATTTGAAAACCTATGGTTATTATAATGCTATATTGTCGACATATAGGGTTTAGTTTACCAGGGTGTGCCAACGATTTGTCCTTTTTATTTACAAAAATAAGTAGAAATATCCGCTCCAAATATGGTACCCACTAAAAGACCTTAGAAATATTTTTCAACTCCTTCACCGCCGTGCACTTTCGACATAAAACGGAACAAGAAAAAGGACAAATCGTTGGCACACCTGGGTAGTATAAAGGATAAATTTAATGAAATATAATTCGAGAGAACTTCATAAACTTCATGGATTTTGAGGTTTCCTGCGTATTATTTTGTAAACATTAGAAATATTATATGTTTTTTTGGCCCATTTTGTAAATATATGCTAGGGTTAAAAATGGGCGTCCCTTTTTTTTTCCCCTTTTCTTTCACAAAACTAGACGGTACCCTTTATTTTCACGATGATCATCTTGTATCTTTATCAAATGTAGACTAAACATCTGTTTTATTTCTCACCCTTCTACCTCCCTTTTGTAACTTGTTGATTAATTAATAAAGTGCGTCATTCATTTTATTTAAACATCAATTTCATATTATTTATTCCTTCCAAGGTAGTCAAATTGAAGTTTTATTTTTTGTATCAAACTACTTCAATCTTGACCAATTACAGCTCCGTGTTTTTCCCTTTCACAATTTATAATACATACATAGTTTTCAAATATATTTCGTGTGTCTCGAGAAAAGTAATTTAAATACAATATCTAACACTTATAATATTAAAACCAGCAAGGCTAGGAGGATTGTAGAATAAATAAAGAGCCAAGAGAGAATGTTTCGGTTACAAAACAATATATTATTACACGTCAGGCACGTTGTGTTATTTTATTTTTACCAAAAAGGTTTAGATTGAACTTCAAACAGTAAAATATATATATATGTTTTCGTTGTTTAAAATAGAGGTACCCCATTAATGAATTCACTCCTCTTTGATCTTGGTGGTATAGTGATTACGTTCCAGACACTCTGGCACAGACTTGCTAATATATAAGTAATAGCGAGACCACTAATGAGTGAATCCCCCAAAATGTTGATAGTCAGTTTTACAAAGTAGTTTGAATTTAACAATAATAATATGTTAACCCTTTTCAGTATTTGTTGATAAATTGAATAAACATGTCAATTCTACAACTTTTTGAAAGAGTTATTGTTCCACTATTTTTTGTTTACCCAATTAGGAAATGTCCGGCTTAATTAACGGAAAAACTGGAAAAAGGGTAAGACATTCCCAAAATAGGAACACACAACTCCATAAACGGTCAAAGCAGAGAGAAAAAAAACTAGAAATAAAATCCCGCTAAACGATAAAAAATAATAAAAATGTTAGAACAGACAGCGAAAACGAAAACAAAACGTACAATTAAGGAAATATAATACTTATAACCGCCATACATTTTAATATATGGCTTTCTTGAGGATAAGAAGAGAAAAGAGGTTGAGCAAATACTTGAAACTCATAATATTATGAAAAGAGATACAGAAATATAATAATAGTAATATGAATAAAAAAAATGGATTTTGGTCTGTCGTAATTAACCTTACTTCCTTGTCTGTATATAGTGTATGATAGTTATTCGATATATGAACATCTCATTACATATGAGAATGCACAGACACACACATTAATTAGATTCGATTAAATAATTATGATCGAAATAGATTATCTAAGTGATACTTAACTTCTCGAGAAATATATATCACCCCCAAACGTGGCCTACTGGGGTACGCCACGATTAGGAGAAAGCAACTGTTTTATAAATTGTATACATACTTCAAAATTAAAAAAATTGTTTAAAGTAAATCATTCCAGTGTTCAATTCATGTGTTATACTTAAATGTCTTGCCACCCACCCAACAATAACTAGTCAGTACTGACTAAAACATCATATATAACGAGGAATGTTTGAGGCAACAGCAAACAAGAAAATTGAATGAATAATAGCTATGTATTAGAAAACTTTTTATGATATTAACCCTAAAGAACTTGGTTTGCTAAGCTCACTAAACAAAGAATAACTACCAACTGAGTGGGTAAGAAAACAATATGTAATTTATGAATGTAGCTTAATGTTATCCTAATACAAGTTGTAACATTACTTTTCTCTCTTCCAATTACTTTTACATCTTTACAGGCTAAACAACTTGATAAATTTCACTTACTCTAACAAATAAATGAATTTATAACAGGAGCTCTAAATATTTAACTTCCTTACAATGATTTATATTATTTTTTAGCATTTTTGTCAAATGAGTCTTGATATATTATATATGGAACTCGATTTATTCGCGGCGTTCCCTTTTTTTTCAGTATGAAAAATTGTTTATTGTCACTTTTTTAGTAAACAAAAATCCTAAACAAAAAAAAAATACTGTACGTAAATAAAAAACAAAAACATTTATTTGACCACAAGCTAAATCAAATAAATAATTTCAAAAATTTTAACTATATTTTTATAAACAACTGATAAAATTTCCTTTTGATTTTAAATGCATATATCCATGGATGAATGCATTCACCTTAGAACTTTCCTGTGGGTTAAGGAATATTAACGATGTTCAATCAACCATTCAGAGAATTCAATGGGAGAAATTGTTAGAAAATGCTACACAATTCGGTGGTCCACAGCATGTATATCCCTTAAGAAATTCATTCCAAAGAACAAGCTGTATCGAAATTAATTCGTTTAGTAATGGTAGATATTATTTGGTTGGAACAGATAATGGATCTGTAGCATTATGGCAATTTGATGCTGCTATTGTTAATGAAACAGAAAATAGTAATGGATCCACACAAAGACGATTAATCAATAGAAGGGTAAAAGTATGTAAAGGTAAGACACCAACGAATGCGAATCGTAGTAACATCACGACGATTACCAGAAATCAACCATCGAACTATACCAACAATATCAATAACGATAATTCAAGATTGGTTCACAGTTTTGAGACTAAATATAATAAATTTAGATTATATCGTGGAAATGGAGGTGTTTCTTCAATGGGATCGGCCAGTTCTAAACAAGTTGGTAATAATATAAACCAATCATCACCATCACAAAGCCTACAACATCATCAATATGGTATTACCTGTATGAAATGGTATGGGAATGATGATGGAATGTTTTTCACTGCTAGTCATGATAAAACGATTAAGATATGGGATACAAATACATTTTCCGCGGTTCAAGATATTGAATTTAATTATGAAGTACATTATTTGGATAGTATTCCGAGTGAAAGGAATTGTATATTTGTGGCATCAGATGATTATTATCCTAGAATGATAGATTTAAGAAGTATGAATCTTGGTGTAACAATATTTGGTAAGAGTAGTAAAAATAGTAAAATAACAACAATGAAATCAGAAATATTAGCATGTAAGTGTAATCCAATTAAGGATCATATTGTGGCATCAAGTGATAATGATGGAAGAATAAAACTTTGGGATCTACGTATGAGGAATCAACTATTGATGGAACTGCAACATCACGATAGTAGATTTAATAATAAGGCACACGTTAAACCATGTAATGATCTAACTTGGACTGAAGATGGTAAATATTTAATATCTATTGGATTAGATGGTAAGATTTTAAAATGGGAACCATTTAATACATCATTACTTGAAATGGTAACGCAGATTGGCGATACAGACGTCTCTAGAAATAAATATACGAAACGGACATCTCAAAGATTATTATCACGTTACAAGTATTTGATTGTCAATACGGATTATTCAGAGTTACAAATTTTTGATACGGAACAAAATAAATTTTGGAATAAGATAGATTATCCAACGGATTTATTAAATGAAGGTGATGGAAATGAAGGTATGTTTTGTGGTATGTCAGCTCAAACTGATCTATCAAATTCAACGGGACTTAGATTATTAGTTGGTGCAAATAGTATACATAGTACGAAGAGTGATTTACGAAACAATATTTTAGAGTTTACATGTTAAGTTTCTTAACTTGAAAATTATATCTAGCAATCTCTCGAATATTCCACTATGAAGAAACAATATATACAAGTAAATAATTGCATCTTTAACAAATCTAATCTCAGCAGAATTTAGTCTATTTAATCCAAGATAATCTTGAACAAACTTATAAATTGAGGAAGATGGGCTCATTTTAAACACCTATCAAGGTAAGCAATACCCATAAGCTAATCTCCACTCTCTCTCTCTCTCTCTTTGATAAAGTGAATGCAACAAACTCCATAGATCTGTTAGCCTAAAATATGACAAAGAGGACTTCCTTTCCTGTGTCACTCTGCCATGTGCCCTGCCTGTCATTGTCTCCCCCCTTCCCTCCCCCGCTACAGAAAATACCAGCCAAAGCGCAAAAATTAATTTAGTAAACAGAGCTGAGACTTCTTTGGTATCTCTCCACTATAATTTAATGAGAACAGAGTTAAAAAAAATTAAATCCAAACGGAAAAAACAGTTATTGAGAGCGGACAAGTAAATTATACAGTGTAAATACATATTATATTATTCACACACAGAGCGTTAATATACAAAACCAAATGGACCAAAATACAGGAAGGAAAAAAAACATAAAAAATTAGAAAAAGTAAAAAAATAAAATAGAATTTAGAAATTTTGATAAATATTAACAGGAGGGATAACTTGAGAAAGATCAGTTTCGAAATAGTCCGCAAAAGGAAGGATTAGTTAGACACATTAGATACATATAATCAATATTACTATCAACTAGACATTACAATACTTTCGTATTTACCGTTTAAGTGTTTGTGTGTTAGTTTTTTTTTTTGTTTTTCTATTTTAAAAAAAAGGGTTAAAAACTAAGGACCAACCAATATTTTACCATAGGCATCTACATATACAGACTCATATATATATATATATATATGAGAATAGTGGAACAAATAAAATAATAGCCTCTCCTTTCAAATAGGAATAAATAAAATTAATAGTCGGAGTGACAGTGAACCTATCTTTTACCCATTACTACATTTCTTTTTTTTTTTTGACTTCCTTCTTTTACTACTTTTTTGCATACTAGAGTTTCGTTTTTTCTTTTTAATTTTTAATAAAAAAACAATATAGAATAATAAGTGATCATATATTCGAAACTATTTGATAGAATTAGTGGTACATATTTAAAATTTGCATATATCATTCCTTTTTATTATTATTTAGTACGTTGGTTCTAACTGTGTTTTTAAGATCCTTAAAATAAAACGACAGTAATAACGACTAGATATATCTTCAAGAACTTACATTTGTTTTACAAACAAGTACAATAACGACAATAGCAAAAATAATAAGCATATATACAATACCCTACAATAATAAAAAAATTAAGCCAATTATGTCCAAATATAATGATATTTCTGATACAGAAAATGATAATAAAGCGCAGTTGAAAAAACTGTATAGTCAAACGGAAGATGATGATATGGGTCCATCTATATCAATGGCTAAAGAAGCAGAAAATAATGAGGATTTTGAAAAATCAACTTTTAATTTGAAAAGAACTAGATCAATGGGCCTATTAGATGAATATATAGATCCTACAAAGAAATTATTAGAACAAAGTAAAACTAAACAAGATAATATAAATTCCGGAACAAAAAATTCTCAGAACTCCCGATATAAAGAGAATAGAAATATTGCATATAGCTCAGATTCAGACTCGAATTCAAATTCGGGTTCAACATATTCAAGCTCAAGCTCATATTCAGACTCCGCATCTGATTCATCATCTGGTTCTGACTCTTATTACTCTGACGAATCATTGTCTGATGATAATGAAGGAGATCAACACATGAACTCAACATCAGTTTCACCACCATCTGTAAACAATGACGATATATTAATTCCTCAGGATGATAATGATGTTGTAATAGAACCTGAAAGACATGTAGATTATTTATCTCATAATTGGGATGAATCTGAAATTTCTAATTCATGGAAGTATATTATCTTAAAGAAAAAGAAAAGGGATATTGACCTTGTCAATGCAGCTAGATTAGAAAATGCATCATGGAGAACTTGGGCAAAAACAAGAAACCATTTGAAAACAGTATCACCAGAAGCGGTGAATTGGTCCAAGGATTCAGATGTTACTTGGCTATATGGACCTATTGTGCGTGATAGTCCAATGGATGCACAAGAAGCAGAAGATACAAACGATACTTACAATGCAAGAGGATATGGTTCTGATGATGAAGCCTCTAAGATGTTACCTGTGATTAACCCTTCAAAATCTACTAAGCCTTCAAAGACATCGAAATCTAAAGCCAAAAGTAATGACAAAAAGACGTTATTGAAACCTATATTAAAGAAAAGAACCGTTCCAGAGATCATTGAAGAAAATTCTCAATGGAGACTTAATGAAGCTAGGAAACATTATAATGAAATAAAAAATACAGCGTCTAATATGGACCCTAACACAAATTTCCATGATTATGACTACCTTGCCGCAAAAGTTAATGCACAATATTTTCAGAAACAAAAAGACAATAAATCAGAAAATAATGGACGGACAATGCCACACGATACTGTAAACGATAGAAATAATCCGCTCACATTGGTGCCGTCTAATGAAGTTAATGAGTACAATGACAATGATATTTCAAAAAAGAGTCTATTTAAGACTGGTGATGATCAAACGACATCATCTATTTTAACGAATAAAGCTAAACAGAATGCCAATAGTGCATCAAAGCCAAAAAGACACATCCATTTTAACGATCGTGTCGAACAATGTATGGTAGTTAAAATTCCTTCTTCAGATGAGAGTTTATCTGACTATGAGTCAAGCGATAATGAGGATAATGAAAACGCATCGAGTGTTAATGCTCGCGACAGTAGCAAGAATATACAGTTGCAAAGAAATACCTCCAGAACATCATTTTTACTGGAGTCGGATGATTCTGATACAAGCTCGGCATTAAATTCCGATTCGGAGTCCAACGATGAAGGTAACGGCGACGGTTTATTTATAAGTGCAAGATACGCTAGAAGATCAGGATCAATTACCCACTCTCCTGTTTCCTCCGAAACGTCATCTATCAGTTCTAAAAGTGAAGGAAGAAAACACAAAATCCGTCCAATTATTAAATTAATGCCAGCAACCACTTTAAATTACGGATCTGATGAGGAATCTGATAACTCAGATTATAGTAGCTACGGTAACGCTGTATCACACAATGTCAATACACAAAGAGGTTATGATTACATATATGACTACAATTCTGTTTATACTGGTGATACATCAAATTTTTTACCGATTGATAATTGTGATATAGTGGATGTTCCAGATGGAATCAATTTGCAGACATCAATTGCTGACAGTAATAAGAACAATTACAATTTTGATCAGTCTGCTACACCATTAAATTTAGGTACAACTCAAAAGAATGACCCAACAGTTCTTCAGGATAGCAACAAGAATACGAACACATCAAGTAATGACTCTTTCAGTAGTGATGACCAATATAGCCTCTCGTCTAATACAGACGATGATGAATTTATTGAAGATTCAAATTACCAGAGTTCAGATGAAGACGATGGATACTCTAGTTCGAGCGGAAATAACATAGAGCCTACAACCGATTCTACAACTCCAGGACTTAAAAGAACTGTTTCTCTGGGAAAAAGTACAGATTCATTGAAAAATTTATCCCATGTTGAAATGGGCAGAAGTACAGCTATTTCATCACAAAATTTCATTACAGGAGAGAATATAGCTAGTAACTTGAAAGATACGAACCCTATAAGAAGCAATTCTAGACCCGATATATCTCTAAGGAGCTCCAGTAGAAGTTTTATATTTGACTCTGATAGCGAAGACAGTGACGATAGTGATATAGGGAAACCTTTAGTGAAGTCACCTGTATTAACATCCCCTATAGTTGATTCGAATAGTAGGACGACAACTCATAAATTGACGCCTCCTAGTAGGACACCTAGTTCGTCATTTTTAAGTCATAATAGTGATCTGAATAACTAATCCTTGAAGAAATTTAATATTCGATGAAACAGTTTAATATTCCATTATAACCCACCATAAAAATGAAGATATCATTGTTACTGTTTAAACTCTCAAAATGTAAACAAAAACTATAGCACAATGTATCGGCAATTCTGCATAATTTTTATCACTTTGTTTAGTGACTACTTATCGTATTACCTTCGCATAAACAGTTAATTGCATCAAATACATTTTCTTTTTTTCAATAATCATTATAAATATGAAATAAACGTGTAATTAATATGTAAGTATTAAAATTTGAGACTTGATTACATTCAATAAGTATGGACGTGTGTGTCGCCTTGATTAAGTGATGGGCAATAACCTTATTTTTTAGATATCCGTACATAATGATAAAATGTAGACTCTCTATGTCTTACTCAGTATATAATAAACATTAACAAAGTTCACTCGCACCTCCTTTAAAAGAACACTAAGAGCAAATACCGCAAATACCCAATTAATTATAGCGCTACCAAGTAGCATATGTATAATATAAATTAGTAATAATGGCAAATAAGAAAGAAGAGGACCAGTTTATACGACCATTGATCAAAATTGATATTGATGAGCCTATCAGCCAAGGTGCCGATACGAGTGATGCATCTATAAACCAACGAGCAACCACACCAGTTACAAGTGTTCCCCGTAGGAGTGTCGACTCAATTGCATCTCTAGGATCTGTTGCAACTACAACGACTGCAGCTGGTAATCATCGGTTTACATTTTCAATGGATTCGAAGTCTGGGTCTCAAAATTATTCACCCTTGGGGAACAACTCAATATACGAGGTAGTAATGAATACGAGATATAAGCATTGGTTACAGGCCCCTACAAATATTGATATTACACCTGTTATTTTAAGTAAAAACGAGTTATCAGAAAATTGGAACGACTGTGTTACGAACTATGTTAGCACAATAAAGGACGATGCTGAAACATTTGTTAATCGGTCAGATATTAAGAGCATAAATCGTATAGAGGAAATGAAATTATACCAAGTTACAAATGATCCTAACGAAGAAATACCTCACCATGAATATCCTGATGAAGAGTTGAGTATAATAAACGAAGAAAACGATGCTATCAGTCAAGTTCCGAACTTTTATTTCGATAAATCGTTCTCATTAGATAATGAACGTATTTTCAGGAAGGTAACAGAGGGCATAGATCTGAGACTCAATAAATTGAATGAAATAAAGAATACCGATAAACAAGACCCCGATGCTAACCGAATCCAGCAAGAAGCGCCGTATACAGATTTAAAAGATAAACTAAGTGATTACTTGGATATTGTGGAGACATCTCTGGTAAGTGAATTATCGAAAGCGTCACCTCAGTTTTTTTATGCATTAAGTGAGGTTGATCACATACAACAAAAAGTGTCGGATACAGTTTCGGATTTAGATAAACTAAACACTACTCTAAAGGAAGATAAGATTGAGGATATAAGCAAACAGATAAAAAATCTAAAAACCATCTTCAAAAGGAAAAATATTGAAAGGTTAGAGCAAGGTCTCCTTCAGGTAAAACTTGTAGTGGACAAAGTTGAAATATGCAAGGCATATTATGATAAGGATGACTACGATAATAGTTTAGGGATGATCAAATCAATAGATTCTTTGATCAGAGGAAACAATGACAACAATAAGAACGTTACTGAATGGACTAAGCAGTGGCCATATAAGTTAGTTGATTTAAAATCTGTACCAGCGTTGGTTGAAACTAGAGAGTTTTTAACCAATATGAAAATTGAAGTTGGTGGAAAATTAGCTATCCAGCTATCTGATATCTTGTTAGATGATGTAAGGTCTCATTATGAAAATATCGACATCGGAGAAACACTAAAAAGATTACAAAATGGATTCGATACGAAGACAAACCATGCAGAATTAAATACGAAATTACAAGACTCCATCAAAGAAATAATCTCAAAACTATACAGGTGTGAAGAATTGGCAAGTGCCTTTAATCTGTATCAAAACAAGGCTTTAACAGAATGTAAAAATATAATTAAGAAATACCTCCCTTCCGGTCGCAACCAGGCTGATTCAACATCTGTCTCTACAGCACCATCATCTGTTTCACTGGCTGCTGAACAAAAGGATAGTTCCCCAATCGGAGATACATCACTCAATGATATAAAACAATCAACGAAAGGAGGAAATGTACCAAAGCTTTCAACTTTGATCAGAGAACAAATGCCGATGGAGTTTCAAGATATGTTAGTTGAAATATTTGCGCGATGTAGTGAAGCAATTAGGGTTTTATTTCAACATCAAAAAATTTTATTAGATGTTGCGCTAAACGTAATTGATGCTGATGGAGGTGAAAATAGGGCATCCGAGAATCAACACAATATGATTACGCAACTAGACATTCGTGCAGGAGTCAATGAGATAATTAGTGTCGTTCAGTTAAGGATGGGTAAAATTTTGGCCGTTAGGAAAGAAATCACATCCACCTTACGTTATGATCACTTTTTACAATTATACGCCATAACTGTTTTATTCATTCAGGAATGCGAAGCTCAAAGCGGTGAGTTTCTAACTAAATACTTGAGTGATTCTCTAGCCTCTCAAATAAAACATTGCATTTCTAATAGAGATACGAAAAATACCAGAACAATTCAAAAGAAAATTGAATTAGAGAATTGGCAACCTTTCATAGTGAATCCATCATTTCAAAAGGAAGTTAACGAAGTTGTTTCTTGTGTTGATATTGACCCCCTCGTTTGGACCGATCTTATTCATCTAAGTTCTAATGATAAGGAAGGTGTGAAATCAGAATCTTCGAAGGAAGGTCAAGAAGACTCAAAGATAGACACAGTACCATCTGGTAACAGAAAATCAGTTGTAGTCGGAGATAATACATTTGTCGCAAGCGACTCACTGTTAACTGCAATTACTTTAATAAGGGAGTTACTGATCTTATCAATAAACCTACCATCGATATACTTACCATATTTCGAGAAGTTATGTTTTAATTTATTAAAATGCTTCAATACGTACACAATCGGTACAGTTACAATGCCTGGAAGACCAATGAAGAGTTTCGGTAAAAATCTTTCAATAATGGCCGAAACACTAGATTGCCTAGCTGAATTTGTCGGGATAGTACAGAGATTTTATCAACGTATATCTAATACTACAAGGGACTTTGAACCGTATGATCCTAGCAACTATGCGTCACTGCTTAAACAGTATCGGTCTTCTACGGAAAGAATATATGCCGCCAATGCACCACCACCGCCTACATAATTTGTTAATAGACTAATAAAATTACGTATGTTTCAAAATAGGACAGATTATCTGCCACAATTCCACAATATTACCTGCTTTGAGACAGAGTTGAAATGGCTTAGGTTATTATATAAGTTTATCCAAATCTTGCACTTTCAAGTATTACCCGACCGTATACCTTATTTGGTCACGTGCACACCACGTGAGAAATGTTTTTTTTCCTTCTCCGGGAATTTACAAAAATTTTATGGGAACAAAAAACAAGAAAGAGGAAGTAAAAAAGTTTTCGTTAGTTTTTTGGCGAAGAAAAAAAAAATACATAAATAAACAAAAACAACGAGAAGGTAACACCTTTGAAAGCTGATTAAAATACATTACCCTGATTCGTGATCTAACGAAATTATAAACAAGCAGTTTAAACAATACTTAAATTTGATATCAACTCTGTGAATAATCTAAGATCAAAATTTAGGTTTATTGGAGACTGATCTGGTTAGATTTTTTCTATTGAGATATCTTGCTGTGAGTCTTTGTTTATTCTTAGGGATAATAATATAAAATAAAAACACCAAATAAGTCTCCGACATATTTAAATCAGTAAGCTATGCCATCGCATAACTTAAAAAGAGAAAAACATCTCAATGAAATGGAGGTCAGATCTGATGCACATGAAAATGGTGTAAATGCTCATGATTCTGTGGAAGAAGCTGTGTTAAAATATGTTCGTGATGGATTTCAACAGAATGATTTACAAAAGATGTCACCAGATAACGGCAACGGCGGCAACGATCAAGGAGATAATGAAAATAATCAAGGTAAGAATAATAGTAATGCAGGTACTTCTGCGACAACCAATGACGATATGAGTTGGTATTTAAAGCACGACGAAGATATAAACCAATATGATAGACAAGGTGCAAATGTTACAAATGATGATGATTCTCAAGCTGCCACATCAGAATCTGTAGCAATGGCGGCTGTTGCTGCAGCTTATGCATCATCATCAACAGCTGGTAAATCTGAGAAACGCAAACACAAGAAATCGCATAACGATGATAATGGAAAGAAACCCAAAAAACATAAGAAACAAAAGAAATCTGATAAAACCGATAAAACCAAAGAAGAAGAAGAGGAAGAAGAAGAAGAAGAAGAAGAAGAAGAAGAAACTTCGATCGCAGTTGATCCAGCGCTAGCTACTCTAGATGATGATGAAGGCAATGACGCAAATAATAATTCCCAGGATCACTTGGTCCGTAAGGCTATTATAGATACGGTCAGCATAACTCAAAATCCTGATTTCCAACAATATTTAAATACTGATATATCGACAAAGGATGAGGCTCCTACAAAAAAAGTGATTACCGAAAACGTTAAGACATTAAAGACGAAAAAGAGTTCGAACGACAGTGATAGTAACACATTGGTTGATTCAGTTTCAGTGGTGGAACCTATAGCACCTACCAAAAGTTATAATGATCTAGGTAAGGATTATGATGGTGCTTTACCTAAGGGCGTTTCAATCACCGATGTAAGATTAAAAAATGACAAGGATACTCACTTACTTTTAAGTGCGGCTACCGATGCGTCAAAGATGATTCGTGAGGGTACTCAAAGCACTGGTAAAGTATTCGATGCTATTGAAGAAAGTGCTTTAGACCAGTTCATAACGGAATACAGTAGGATCAAAGGCTTTACCAGGAGAGAAACATGTGAAAGAATTTGGACAAATGGTCGTCGTAAGGATGACTTCTGGATTAATATTTGTAAGGTACTACCTTACAGAACAAGATCGTCCATATATAAGCATGTCCGTAGGAGATATCACATATTTGAACAACGTGGTAAATGGACACCAGAGGAAGATGCCGAATTGGCTAAGCTTTGCTTGGAAAAAGAAGGGCAATGGTCCGAGGTTGGTAAATACTTGGGTAGAATGCCAGAAGATTGCAGGGATCGTTGGAGAAACTATATAAAATGTGGATCAAAGAGGGCCTCCAACAAATGGACCCCAGAGGAGGAAGAAAAATTGAAAGACGTCATTGCAAGATTAATATTCGATGCTACTGGGCAAACAGGTGAATTCCCAGAGAAAAAAACAGGTGAGGTTGATGAAGATGGCCTCGAGATTGAGAGAAGTCTTCCAACTATGCCTAAAATGAAAGAAAATCAAAAGAAGTTCCAGGACATAATCAATTGGACATTAGTAAGTGAAAATATGGATGGCACAAGATCTCGTATCCAATGTAGATACAAATGGAATAAACTTGTTAAAAAACAAGCAACTCAAAGAATTCAGAATATTTCAGAATCTACAAAGAAATGGACATTGGAAAAGTTAAGAGATCTTGGATTTACTGAAGATTCCCAAGTGGACTGGGATGAACTTGCAACTCTTTGCCCTGATACTGAATGGTCTGGTCTAGAACTAAAACTATCCTACGAAAAATTGCGGACTTTGGTAAAAGATCACAAATCTAAAAATATAAATGAAATATCGAAAGAATTACTTGGTATCATAGATGGTCCATCGCAAGGCGACAAAGATACTTAGGCCACTAATTAAAAATGATATGAAGGTAAGAATGGTAGTGGATATTTAGGTCTAACACATCCATAATGTTGTATTATATTTTTTTTAAAAGTGCATATCAGATTTATAGTTAGTATATACTAGTTGGGTAAAATATATGTCCAACACTCAATAATAAAAGCAAGGCACTACTATTTTTTTTAAAATTAAGTGAACGAAGTCTCAGTTGTCTTGTGAACATTTCTATACTACTACATACAGGGAATAATTCGATATAGATAAGGAAATGATTATTGAATTTATATTTCAAAAATACGTTATACAAAATTAAATTACATATAAGGTAAACATATCGTATTTCAATTTTTTATTTGGGTTTATTACTGACAAAAGGTAAAAGAAAGCAAAAGGCATCTAATGATAACAGTCCAGTTAACTTAGAACTTAGAGAATTGCTTGTTAGACTTACCTGGAGCAGCAGCAACCTTGATGACGTTGAATCTGACAGTCTTGGAGATTGGTCTACATTGACCAGCAGTAACGATGTCACCGACTTGGACACGGAAAGCTGGGGAAACGTGGACAGAGACGTTCTTGTGTCTCTTTTCGAATCTGTTGTACTTTGGAACGTAATGTAGGTATTCTCTTCTGATGACGATAGTTCTGTGCATCTTGGTGGAGACAACAGTACCAGTCAAAATCTTACCACGGATGGAAACTAGACCAGTGAATGGACACTTCTTGTCAATGTAGGAACCTTCAATAGCGGTCTTTGGGGTCTTGTAACCTAGACCGACATTCTTATACCATCTCTTGGTTCTTCTAGATGTCTTGAATTTTGGGTTGGTAAAGATGTGAGGTTGCTAATTAGATGATATATTAGGATCTTCATTAGAAGATAAATATATTGTTGTTAGTAATTTGAAAATGGGTAAAAGTATAAGGATGCAACGATATTTCTATATTTGATGTTCATATGTATTATATTGCAGTATATCTTCTTCATTGGTAATATCTATAGATCGTCACTTCCCCTTGATATTCTAAACATATCTAACATCTTATTTGTGCATCAATAAGGACGGGATTCAATTTAATAGTCTCCCAAACATTGGGATTTCACAGTCTGATAATATCGAATTTTATATTACTTTCTATACTCAGCGTATCTACTCGCTATCATATCTAGAGGTAATAATTGGTTACATAATGTGATTGCTTCAAAAATAAATCATTCATTCATTCATTATTCATTTCAATATATCATTATCGTTGCAGTTTGTGGAAATATAATGCATACCTTTTGGAAAGCTTTTTCAGCTTGAACAGTCAATTCAGTGGACATGGTGCTAGTTTCTTGGTTTCCTTTTAATGTTAAATGTCAAACTATAATGCTGAATACGTTTATATGTATCTTATATGTGCCGCCAGCTTCTTTAGCTATTAATATCTTGGATATTGAAGGCATCATTAGTATGCAAAGAGGTTCATTGAATTCATTCCAAAGCTTGGTGATATTACTCACAGAGAAATTACGTGCAAGAGTACGTTTAGTCCCTACAATAGCTAACATTACGGGTCAGCATGTTTGAAGATTTTACCAGAACAGCATTATGTGAAAAATTCCAATCAGTGTGGTCAATATTGTTTTTCTTTTTCACTATTCGCGTGTTTTTTGTTTTCTTATTCATAAAAGTTTAATTTATTAAGTAAAACATCTAGTATTTTCAAATTATGCACTATGCGGTGCACCGATGTTTAAAGAAAGTCACATGAATGTACGGGTGTATATAATGCAGTCAAAACTATGGGTTTTAGAGTCGGCTTAAGAGAAACAATAGAGTTGAAAACATGATTAAGGACTATCTTAAATTATAAATACGGTCGGTGATGCACTTAGACTTCGAACAGAAGATAAATAAATATGGTTCAACACATGATTTTAAGGAAAGTCATCATCCATTCCGAAAAATCGGTCTCCATATTACTCTAATTTCATCCTTTTTCTTGTCATAACTTCATTGAAGTAAATATTATTTTACCATCATTTTATTATTATTATTATATCATATATTATTACGTAGAAAAACCAGATGATTTATATACAATCTATTTCTTTTTGTTGGAAGTAGAGTTCTTTGGTAGAGCCTTAACGAATGGTAAGAATTCTGGTTCACCTGGAACGAACTTTCTTAGAACTTCTGGAACGATCAAACCATCTTCAGTTTGGTAGTTTTCTAGAATACAACATAGAGCTCTTTCAGTGGCGGACAAAGTAGAGTTCAAACAATGGACATACTTCTTTTCTCTTTCACTCATCTTCTTAATACCACATCTAATTTCTAGATTTCTGGATTGGTAGTCAGTACAGTTGGAACAAGAAACCAGTTCTTTGTATTCCTTTTGGTATGGGAACCAAGCTTCTAAATCGTATTTCTTGGCAGCAGCATTGTTTAATTCACCAGAAACGATACCAACAACACGGTATGGTAGTTTCAAACTTTGGTAAAATTCTTCAGAGTAGTTGATCATTTTATCGAATTCTTCCCAAGACTTTTCAGGTTCTGTTAAAACAAATTGTTCAATTTTTTCAAAAGCATGAACCCTAAAGATACCCCAAGCATCCTTACCATGAGAACCAGCTTCTCTACGGAAACAAGAAGAGTAACCAGCGTATCTAATTGGAAGTTGTTCTTGTGGCTTTTCGAACCATTCACCACTGTGGTAGGCGGAGATTGGTTGTTCAGAAGTAGCAATCAAGTATTTTTCATCATCACCATCGATAACCTTGTATAATTCTTCATCGAATTGAGATAATTGAGCAGTCTTAGCCATAACTTCTTTGTTCATCATAACTGGAGCTTGCATTGGGGTGTAGCCCTTAGAGGCTAAGAAGTGAAGACCGTAATTAATCAAAGCTTGGTTTAAGAAAACACCACAGTTTCTTAGGAAGAAACCTCTGTGACCAGAGATCTTGACACCACGTTCTGGGTCGTAACCATCCAATCTCAATAGAATTTCATGATGAGATAGAGCAGCTGGCTTACCAGTGACAGAAGCAATTGGACCAACTTCTTCTAGACCTTCTGGTTTCCAGGTACGTACCAATTCGTTGTTCTCTTCATCGTTAGAGATAACAACAGATGGGTGGACAATGTTACCAACAGTACCAATCTTTTGCTTTAGGTCAGCATCTTCCTTTTGTTCCTTTTCAGTCAATTCCTTCTTCTTGTTGGTTAATTCATCTTTTTCCTTCAATAATTCGGAGGCATCTTCCTTATTCTTGAATTTCAAACCAATGGCCTTTTGGACTTTGTTTAAGTTCTTGTTCAATTCATCAAGATCAAATCTGGTCTTGACCCAGTCCTTGTATTCGGCAATAATATCATCGATTAGCTCAACACTGTCACCTCTGGCCTTTTGAGATTGTCTAATAAGTTCTGGGTTACCACCTTTCTCTTCAATAAATAGATTAATGTCCAACATTATGATACTTTTGTTTTTCGTCACTGGGTTAAAGGTATTAAGAAAGCATATATAAAAACTGCCAAAAAAAACTGTCAAATCAAATATCAGGAAAACCTTTAGATCACCATGCTACTAATAGAAATACTACAAACAAAATGATATCTCGATTATTGATGCCTGTGTAGTCAAGAAACCCAGTTTCGCGATACGTAAGCGTATTTGCCCCCAATAACGAAAATTTTTCATTTTTTCTCTTTTTAATTATGACAATAGCTTGTTAAGTATATATGGCGAGAAGTAGAACCCGCAATGCGAATCGTAAGTCGCGATGTCCAGTGATGTCACAGTGATATGCGGAGGACAAAGATTTCAGTCTTGATAGACTAATAACAACCAGAATAGTACAACAAAGTGGTAATGAAGGCCAATTTTTGACTAGATTAGACCCTGGATATAGACGGAAAGTTGAACAGTGTTTGTTATGTTAATTTGGCTTGAGACAGTCTACAAGTCGGAGGAGGAGAATTCCAAAAGTTCTGATGTTAATTCACAAAAGTTGAAAACCCTATAATTACCACATTATGCCATGGTCTCAGGTGAAGTTCGGGTTAGATAATACCTTTAATAAGTATTTTGAAGATCGAAAGTAGAAAGTATAACATTTCAAAGAAAAATTCAAACTGGCCTGACTTCGCAGTAGAGTAAAATCTCACAGTGAACTGTGTGTACACATTCTCCTCTTGTAAATATGCAACAATTCGAATAATTAGCGGTAATCAGCGTAGTGAGGATGCCACCCTGATTGGAAATATTAGCAAACTTAGTACTATATGTTCTAAAGATAAAAATTCTTGAAAACTAGCAAAATTTACAAAATTTGCAATTTCAGAAATAGTACGAGAATAGCCATTGATATTGGCAATAACGTAGTTTACAGCATTGGACGCGGTGGAGTCGGCTGCTTAGTGCTTCAAGTTGTTCTTGCGGAAGCTGATTAATACCCATATCATGATAATAATTTGGAAGGAGGAATTATCAGGAAAAGGTGTGATTCAATGATAACATCAATTAGCATATTCTCTTTCAATGAATATACCGTGCCCACTAGAAATTCCTTTCCCGGGAAGAATATTGGACAGAACCCGGTGAAAAATTAAATTTTACGTACCTTCATTGAAACTTGGCTTAACACTGAGATCTACCTATCTTAGAAAGAGTATTGACTAGCTGAATTTAAGGTGAAAATAAAATTGCAATTTTATGAAGAAGGGATTAAATAAAACCAAATAATATTAGATGAAGAAACAAAGACTTGCATATAGAAGGAAGATATGCTAAAAAATCTTTCTTCATATTAATATTAATAAAAATACTAGAATAAATATGTTTTTCTAATTATTCGTACGTAATGATACATTATTAGGAACGCTTAAATAAAAATGCAATTCGATCAGTTATCAATAGGAACAGGTCCAATGGTCCAGTGGTTTAAGACGTCGCCTTTACACGGCGAAGGTCCCGAGTTCAATCCTCGGTTGGATCATATCCTTTTTGAACCTTTAGGGGTAACTTTTTAAAGTTCTAAGTGTAATTTTTAGCTGTAACTTATATTTTAATATTTTTTTTTTGGTTCTTTTTATGTTTTTGAAACTACCTAGTGTCGTATGAACTGCTATACCCTATTATTAATAACTTTTTGATTGATTAACTATCTCTTTTCTCTAAGCGACTAAGCACAATTTAGGAAAAAAAGTTATATTAATCAAATATTAACCAAAAAAATAGAGAACCAGAAAACCACATACTCGCAAGGATACTATTAATCAATATAATATGGAGCCAGTCGTGCTATCTGTGTTTGATAAAAATATATTTTATGAACTTTCAAATAAGAAGAGTACTGGAGCAGAACAATCAAACAGCCGACATGTAGTATTCCCAACACATTTTAAATACATATTTGACGACCCTGAAGAAACAATAATATCCTCAACCGAGCCAGTGTCGGACATCAATGATGATGAAGGTATCGAAAATGTTATTGTGCTAAATTTAGATGAATCTTATAATTTATTAAAAGTTGAACTTTTAAGTGAAAACGTCGAATTATTATCGTTCAAACAGAATAAAAATCAAAGCTCATTGACTAAATTGGACGAGCCACAAGATGATAGTTCTATGAAAGTTTATGATATTGAACTTGATGTCGTATCAAACTTTAAAGATGTCGACTCTTTAACAGACAACCTATCCTTAGATGAGTTAATCAAATTATTTAATGTTCAAAATGATCAAATTCAGAAAATAACAAATTCTATATAACTGACAGACAAAAAAAAAAAAAGAAATATTTATTATTTATGATTATGATAAATCGGAAAGATTAGCTGGCATTGCTTTTATCTTAATCTTATAAAATTTTTCAATTTGCTTCAATAATTTTACGTCATCTCTTGTGATGAAATTAATAGCTATACCTTTTCTTCCGAATCTGCCTGATCTACCAATACGATGTATATAATTTTCCATATTTTCTGGGATATCATAATTGACAACAAGTGATACCTGCTGAACATCAATACCTCTGGCCCACACGTCAGTTGATATTAAAACTCTAGAATGCCCAGACCTAAAATCGTTCATCACTTTATCTCTATCTTCTTGTTTCATATCTCCATGCATTGATACCACAGAAAAATTAGATTGTATTAATTTACTTGAGAGCCAATCAACTTTCTTTTTTGTATTGCAAAATATTACACATTGGTTGATACTCAATGAATCATACAAGTCACATAATGTATCAAATTTCCATTCTTCTTTATCAACATTAACGTAAAATTGTTTAATACCTTCCAATGAAATTTCATCTTGTTTAACTAAAATTTTTACTGGATCTGTCATAAATTTTTTTGTTACCTCTATAATATCTTTATTTAAAGTTGCACTCACTACAACAACTTGACAACTAGTAGGTAGATGTTTAAATATATCATAAATTTGTTGTTTGAAACCGAGCGATTCACCTAAAAGTTCATCAGCCTCATCAAGGACCACAATCTTGACCTTTTTTGTATTTATGACTTGCTTTTTAATTAAATCCAATACTCTACCCGGTGTACCACTAACCACATGACATTTATTTTTACGTAGTAAATTTAAATTGTTTTTAGATTTACTATCCATCGATGTAGTACCACCTACAATTGCTGCACTCTTCACATTTAAATAATCACCTAGATTCCCTACAACTTGGTTAATTTGAGAGGCTAATTCTCTAGTTGGAGATAATATTAAACATTGTAATTCAGATTTATGAAAGTTACAAACTTGAAGAAGACCAATGGTAAATGTAGCTGTTTTACCTGTCCCTGATTGTGCTTGTGCAATAGTATCCTTCCCTGATATAATTTGTGATATGGCTCTAGATTGAATTGCAGATGGTGCTTCAAATCCGTAGTTATATATACCTTGAAGTAACTCTGAGTTTAAGTTCATAGATTCAAACGATGAACATATTTTCAATTTCTTAGAGGTCTTGAATTTTAAAGATTTATCTGATTCTTTGTTGAAGGACATTATGAATAACGATTTGAGAGATTGATTCTTAATATACTAAATTACAGGGTACTCAACCTTTATGTATACTATCTAGATTATGTTCTATATATATATAGTTTTTGAAAAGTACTAAAAAAAAAATTTCTTATGTATCTACGTAAGAAAAAATAAAATAAAATTTTGGGATGAGATGACTTGAAAAATATGTAGAAATGTAAATATCGAACCTAAGAGCGAGGGTGAAAATAGAATACATAATGAACATATACATACAAAAAATTGAAAAGAATAATTCCAGTAAATTACAAAATTGTTTGATAATATACTGTTTCTAGTGAGTACGAAATTAAAGCATATACGATGTTAGATTGGGACAAATGGTTACTGATATCAATTGGTGGTGGACATGCTACTGGGGTAGATAAAGTAGCTAAGAAACTAGAAGAATCTATTACTACAATGTTTACTAATGCTTATGTTACAATTATTGATCTTGATAAAATAATGGAACAAAAAGGTTCTAAGAGGACCTATAGTGATAAAGATATCAATTTCGAAGATATTTTTTCAGGCTTAAATGATATTTCACATAAGGGGATTGATATTATAATTTTGTGTGGTTGTTATGCGCTTCATAATAAAATGATTAATAAAAGGTCAAAACTAAGAATATTTTTAGATAGTGATAATGACAAGCGATTAGTTAATCTTATTAAAAAGGCTAATACACAAACACCTGATGAGCTATCTGCTATAATCACAGAATATATGGATTGTTTACGACCTGAGATGATGAAGTATATAGAACCAACTCGAGTTTATGCAGATATGATAATACCGTATGAGAATGAATCTGTTGGTTCTGAAATACTTTTGGATGGTGTTGTGAAAGCAATTCAAGAAATTGATGGTGGTAGCAGTAGAATAAAGACAGTTCCTGTCTGGAACTATGAGACGGAACAAATGGATGTTCAAAAGGAGAGATACTACGATTTGTCGTAAAGAAGAAGAAAAATGGTAATAGTATTTCTGTGGAATGAAACAAACATGAACATTGTAAGTTGGTTATCACCAGTTACTTGTACAACTCTCATTTTCATACAAGAAGAAAAAATGACTCCGTTTGAGTGTGACTCCGTTTCCCTTATCGCGGCGCTACTCCTTCGTCCAATTGATAAGTAAGGATTATTTTTTTTTTTGTTTTTGTTTTCTAAACTTGAAAGTTGGTACTGATGATCTGTACTTCTTTGATAGAGATGTGAACAGATTGATCAGGAAGCCATGAAGTTTGTTTTTTATCACCTCATGCTGGAACGAAGATGTATATAAAAGGGGGGCTATTTGAACTTCTCATTTTAGTGCCCCACACGAACATATATATATATTTATATATTTAACGAATCATTTATCCTATATTCTTTTCCAAAACATTAGTTGACTGTTCTGATTTCCCATAGCACAAATACAATTAATTTTTATTACAATGTTAAGAACAATTAAGAGATTTAATTCTACTGTTACGTCGCAAAATATTAAGAAAACCGCATTATTTAATCTTCATGAAGAACTTGGTGCTAAAATGGTACCATTTGCAGGTTATAGTATGCCATTATTATATCCTACATTACAAAATCATGTCGAATCACATCACTGGGTAAGACAGAAAGCTGGTCTATTTGATGTATCCCATATGTTACAAAGTAAAATATCAGGAGATGAAACATTATCATTATTAAATAAAGTGACACCAACAGATTTTTCTTTAATGCCAATGTATAATGGATCACTTAGTGTTTTATTAAATTCAAATGGTGGTATTATAGATGATTTAATTATTATTAGAGAACCTGGTGAAGGTGATTGTTTCCATGTCGTTAGTAATGCTGCAAGAAGCAAAGAAGTAACAACTTTTTTAAATGAAGAAATTAAGACACTAAATGAAAGTAAAATTAATTTTAAAATAATTAATGATGAAGCATTGTTAGCACTACAGGGTCCAATGGCAGCAGAATCTCTTAATAAATTGGTTGATAGTAGTGGATCAAAAAATGATTTAAAAGAACTATTTTTTGGTCAAAGAAAAGAATTTATATTGAAAAATGGAATTATTGTTAATGTTATGAGAGGTGGATATACAGGTGAGGATGGATTTGAAATAGCTGTTAAAAATAATGATGCATTAGCTTTTGCAAAATTATTATTATCTGATTCAAATGTTAAACCAATTGGTTTAGCTGCAAGAGATTCGTTAAGATTAGAAGCTGGTATGTGTTTATATGGTAATGAATTAGATATGACAACCACACCAGTTGAAGCCAATTTAAATTGGTTAATTTCAAAGACAAGAAGAGTTGCCACTGATAATAATTCAAGTATACAATTCAATGGATTTAGTACAATTATGGATCAATTAAATAATAAATCTTGGACTAGACGTAGAATTGGGTTTCAATATATTGATTCGAAGCCCTCACCAGCGGCAAGACATAATGATAAAATTTTCAATCAAGATAAGACAACAGAAATTGGTATTGTTACATCAGGCAGTATATCACCAACATTAAATACAAATATTGGACAAGGTTATTTAAAGAAAGGTTATACAAAGACAGGTAACCAATATTTTGTTCAAGTTAGAAAGAAGTTTTACCCAATTGAAATCAAAAAAATGCCATTTGTACCAAGCCATTATTACAAAGGTTAGTACCATATATATATATACACGCATAATTATATATAACTATTTTCTACAAAACTACCATGGATTATAGCGATTACAACATGTGGCTACAGGAACACACACACACACACACACATACCCTTATCAATCGCAATCTGATCCATCTCTGTTAGCTCTTATCTTGTAAACGTTCCCACCCCCATGCCTACCCTCTACCACTTATTAATCATCCATCCAGCATGAGACGATCTCGCCTGCAACACCAACAGCAGCAATACGTAAGCGAAGCGACACATTAAAAAGAGAAAAACTTTCAAATTTTTTTGTCCGCGCGTGTTTTGCCGCCCCACATGGATTAAAAAATGGGTAAGGAATTGGTAAGAAACCGCCGTAGCAAGCAATAACATGTATGATTTCAACAAGGTGAATAAGAAGAAGAAGAAGAGAGCGACGAGAAGAGAAGAGAAAACAAAAAATTTGTTAAAGGCGTAAGAAACAAAAATCGATATTTTTGATTGTTACTTTCTTATAAGACACATGTATACAAGAGATAGTAATTGATTGAGTTCTTTATATTGCTATTGTTTATTAAAGGGAACACTAATACGAGGGCATTACAGAACAATAACACATATATCATATAGTACCGTAATAATAAGACGGTATTTTGTGACTATTATCTTTTTTTCTTTTCTTTTGGGTTGTTCTGTTTTCAGTCTTTAGAAGAAGAAGAGTGAATATTTTATATTTATATTCAAGTAGACAGGGATCTATTTAATCTCGATATTTATAGAGAAAGAGTATAGAGAAAATCGTTACTGGTTATTGTTGTTTTTTCGATTTGTGTCAAAGAAGAGAAAGTAGCATTATATTATATAATCTATATATAAGAACAGAAGATTAGACATATTTATCGTTAAGCTTTCTGTCTCTTTTTTAGTATTATATTTTTTTTTTCTTTATTTCATTCTTTGATTGAACTTAATTAATTAATGGTTTAACGATATTGTTGTTGTTTTTTTTATAACAGGTACAATTAAGAAACGAATACTTTCCATCTGTGGTCAATCGATAAGATAACCTTTGTTTTTTTTTTATTACAATTATTCGATTTCTAATCCTTTTTTTTAGCATAATATTCCAATCCCCCCCCCCCATTTGATAACATCCACTAGCATATTATATTCTACATTTGCATATATCCTTCTTTTTTTTAGTAATGAGTGATACAACTACAACTAAAAATCATACTAAAATGATGATAGAATCTTCGACAAATGATTTAAATAAATCACAAAATCATTCAAATAGTTTAAAATCTTTAAAAGATTTAAATGTTGCAGATACAAAAAAACTAAGTTCTGTTCTTTATGGTAGAAAAGCATCGACTTTTTTAGGTATATTTAGAGATACTGATACTTTAACAACAAAGGATAATGAAATTAAACAAAATAAAGATAATGAAATTAAAAATGAAAATTTTATTAAAATGTCAAAAAATGATAACAATAAGGACAATAATAATAAATCATTTTCATTATCAACTTCAAGAAAACGTAATATGAATAGAATTGACGATTCCCTTAGAATATCTCCAATTTTGACACATTCAACTTTAGCTACAACTACAGTACCTACATCAATATCCAATGTTCTATCATCATCATCATCATCATCGGAACATAAAAGTAGGCATAATTCGCGACATCGTTCTCTTTCTAATCATTCTGATTTAACTTTAAAGCCTGTATCATCAGCTACTTATTATCCACATAAATCAAAGACTAATCCAAATTCTAAAGATGATTCCTTTCAAGATAATATTGATATCCAGGATAACGATAATCATATTGATACAATAATGAAAAATGATAATGATGATACTACTACAACGGTCTTATCATCTAATTTAACTGCAAATATCCAATTGAATAACATACATCAAGATCAAAATAATAGCATTAGTGATGATAATGATAATATTGATCCATTAGACAGACATTCAATAACAGATAATTTAGTTGTAAATGAACAAAATGATATATATATGGATAAAAATGATAACAATCTAGAGGAGGCCATTGATGAGGATGATGATTATGATGAGGATGAGGAAGATGATAAAGAATATCCACTTGCTGTAGAATTAAAACCGTTTACTAATAAAGTTGGTGGTCATACAGCAATCTTTAGATTCTCAAAAAGAGCTGTATGTAAAGCATTAGTTAAGAGAGAAAATCGTTGGTATGAGACCATGGAACAAACAAATAATAAACTACTAAAATTTATGCCAAGATATATAGGTGTATTAAACGTTAGACAACATTTTAGTTCAAAAGAAGATTTCTTAAGTCAAATCCCAACAACAACAAATAAAAACTCTAATACCAAAGAAACACTAATGGAAGCACAGTCGACTGGAGATAATTTAATGGGTGCACCATTGCATCATGTTCATTCAATTGTTACATCATCACCTCATGCAGTCCTTGAACATCCAAACAGAGGTATTCCAAGTCTTTCGAGAACTCTTTCATCAGCATCAGGCTACGATCGTTCATTCCCAGAAGTTGTGATTGATGATAATAAACACATTATGCCCGATTCACTATGGGATAGATATACTCAATCTTCAGACTCAAATTCACGTAGAGAAAGTTTTTCTGAAAAACAAGGAACTGGAGCACTTAATGCAGATTCAGGTTATACGACAATTAATACAAAATTAAAAGATTTAATCTTACAAGAAGTATTCGCACCAATACATAACGTTAAAGGCCATGATAACAATTTTAATAAAAGATCAGCTTGTGAAACACCTACAAGAACTGTATCTGGTAAATATATGAAGAAGAAAAGCAGATCTTCCTCATCATCTTCGTCGTCATCTTCTCATGGTGCACGTGTGTTAAGAAGTTCTCTTAGACGTGATTCAATTTTTTCTTTGAAGGACGATCAAGTATCTACATCACCTCTAATGAATAAATCTGCAAAAGAAACGATCTCTAATGCTATTGATTCTTCTCACTCTGTGATGGATTTGGAACAATTCCATAAAAAAGCATCGGCAAGAGAAAATGCCGATAACGTTACCGAAAACGATCAGTACACCCGTAGACACCAGCATTCTCGTTCTCATTCTGGTTGTAAAGGTGGCGCTAGACGTAGCTCAAGAAATCGTCGTAGTATTGATGAGACATGTTCTATCCAGGATAACTCTAATGGTAAAAACCACCAACTGGATGATAATAATGAGGGTGGACCTCTTTCCGAATCCATTACGTTTGAAGAAAATACGGATACTATTGTCTCTAAATTTATCCTATTGGAGGATCTGACCAGACACATGACTAAACCTTGTGTTCTTGACTTAAAGATGGGGACAAGACAATATGGTGTAGACGCCGCTCCTTCAAAACAAAGATCTCAAAGGAACAAATGTTTAAAGACCACTTCAAGGAAGCTCGGTGTTAGAATATGTGGTCTAAAAGTTTGGGACAGTGATTATTACATTAAGAGAGATAAGTATTTTGGACGTCGTGTTAGAATAGGATGGCAATTTGCAAGAACACTTGCTAGGTTCTTGTATGATGGACAATCGATAAAGAGTATTGTCAGATTAATCCCAAGACTAGTGAAAGAGATTGAGCAGTTGGCAGTCGAAATATCCAATTTAAAGGGTTTCAGACTATATGGTGCATCATTACTATTGATGTACGAAGGTGATAAGCAAGAACATATTGATCAACAACTTGATGGTACTAAAAAAATGGTTAAAATAAAAGTAAATTTAATTGATTTTGCGAAATGTGTGACGAGAGAGGACTTAGAAGAAGGCATTAAGAGTAATACATTTGCCATTCCTCCAAGCTACCCAAGTTCTATAGACCAAGGGTTCTTCAGAGGCTTGAAAAGTCTCAAGTTTTATTTAATGATTCTATGGGCATATTTAACAATTGATGAGCCAATGGTAACAAATGAGAAAGAATTAAGAACATTATTAGAAGAGAAATCAGAACTATTTGAAAAATCCTGGGATTGGCTAGATGAATTTGATAAAGAAGATGAGCAAGAGTTCAATGATCCAGAAAGTGAACTTAGGACAAAATGGCGTAAATACGAATTAATATTTGATGTTGAACCAAGATACAACAATAACGAGGAAGTCAGCGACTAGGGAACCAAAATATTTACAATACTAAGTAAATAGATGTATACCATTACATCTACCAACATAAATAATATAAGCATTCATTTTTTATTCAGATTGATTTATATATTGAAACAGTGATAAAAACACGTTTTGCGGCACTCTGTTATTATTTTAGTAGTTTGTTTGTTTTCTATCTCTGTTTACCGTGTGTGCGCATTATTATCGTCTCTTTTTGTTTTGTTTTTTTCTTTGTTATTTTTAATAAAGTAAGAGGAGATAGATGGGTTGAACCAATCGTAACAGGGAAATAGAAAAAGGATACATCCCACAAGTTGGATATTTAAATAGGGAAATTTTGATTCTTAGAGTTTTATATTTAAGAGATCATCAACAATATTTGAATAAAGAGCAACAAGCATAGACTTTTATTATCAAATACATATATATACAAAAACAAAAAATGAACGATAGCGAAAATAACGTTTCAAAGAATTCCGGCGTCACAGGAAACACAAATACATTCCAATATGATTCAAGTCTCAGCAGTGCAGACAGACATTTCATAGAACAGCGAAACATTATACTTCAGGATGTAAATGGTACTATGGATTCTATATTGAACGGGTTGAATGAACTGAATATATCATTGGAGAATAATATAGCCGTTGGAAAAGAATTTGAGGTTGTAACTAAACTCTGGAAAAACTTTTATAATGGAACCGATTCTGTGACAGACGGCAGTGATAGTGAGAAAGAAGATAAAGATGTGAATATGGATTAGGTACCGATCGTTTTTAAATGTCCTCTCATTTTTTTTGTTGTGTTTTTCTAAAGTATAAATGGGATTGCATGAAGCCGTATAACTGATGGATGTTTCTATTCCATATGGCTGGCGTATATTGAAAATATCTCATATTGTAGTTAGATATTATTCTTTAAAAGAAAAAAATTCAAAAAAGAAAGTTGTTAGACTGCTGGTGGTTAATAAAAAAAAAGGAGATGGCATTATTGTTGAAATTTTTTAAGAATTTACTCTTTGTTCTCCTCAGTATTCTTTTGTCTATAATAGTACACTTTATCTGGTTCTGTTAGGATGCAAACTTGGTAAGCCAATCGCTGATTTAGACAAACCGGCCCTGTGTTGTACCCTACTGGAGTCAACGTTATATAAACTCCTATTTGTTTGATAAATAAGTTGTTTTAATGGTTTATGAATCAATTTATAATGGTTAGTGGGAACACTCTGACAGTCAGGGTTATCCTCGGAGTTATATTGCTCTGTTGATTTATGATTTATCTCTTGTTCATGTGACTTATTGATTTGGTGGTCTTTTGGATCATTCGAATTACACACGAGAACCATATCACATTCTGACCTAATATTGGGAGAAGTTTCTTCTTTAGTGGATAATGGATCCAAGTGATTATTTGGTGATACTACGATCTCTATGTCATCCTTTTCTAGTAAATTTTGTATGTATGTCTCATTAGTATTAATAATGCAATTATCAACGTTAAAAGTTTGGTTCCCAATTACATCGGAATCGTCGCTAGAATAAGTTTCTTCAACTTTTGATTGAGAGGTTTCATCATTCAAATATAATTTTCCAGAATCATCTAGAATTAATGTTTCAGAATCCTCAAGTTCATTTGAAGGATTTGGCTTTTCATTGTCAAGAGTTAAGCTAAATATCTCCATCTTGAGATCATTTATGCTAATGGCATCTGGCACAATAGTTGTGGCACGCTTATTCAAGTCTCTTTTCTGTATTGGCCTCTCATATAGAACCGTAACACTTCTTCTACTCATGATAGTAATACCTATTTTTTGTCAGTAATGGGTTTAAAATGGGATGTGGATATGTTTCTTATTAGATGACTATATCGTTCTAGGAAATAAATGTTTATAAATGGCGTATTTTTTTTGCCGCCGAGTAATCTCAGTTCAAATAAATTAAAGAAAGTCAGTTATATGTTTAATACATAATTATATATGAGAAAGGGAAGAAGAAGAAGAATAGATTCCTCATTAGTTCATTGAACTATTATTGAAGGGTCGATGTTAATTACATGGTGTAAGAGAAGGTGTGCTATTAGACAGAGAATTCGGTACATTTGCATCCGCCATCTGAAGATAAAGATATTATTTGTACCTCTTTCAAGATACATGTATATATGATAACTGGTATATTAGTTAGATGTATATGTCATTGGGGATATGAGAATTCCGAGGAGCAGTTTCTTAACGCCTTTAATATAAATTGAGCAGTTCCATACTTTTGTTGGTACCTTTTATGACTTCGTTGTGAAGGCCCAAAAAAATGAAGTCATGAAATTGCTGATGCCCGAAACAGGTGCGAGCCACTTTATGAGTAATAAATGTCAGAGTCATATCGTCATTGCCACAGCCTTTATGGAATCACTTTCCAAGATCTGAGATATAAAAGGAAAGAAGATTTTTCGATGATTACCTTTCTTGAACAATATTTTCTACATCCTGAAAATTTTCAATATACAAGGGTTCGTCATTAGTATTAGATCAATATATATCTTTTTCGGTATTTCAAGATGGCACAACCAGATAAGACAGAAACACCAATCATATTTGCTCCAAAGACATTTCAATTTGATAAGGATGAGTTGGATGAGTCCAATTTGAAAGAAAATCCAATTCAGCTTTTTACACAATGGTTTGATGAGGCAAAAGAGTGTCCTACTGAAAAATTACCTGAAGCAATTACTTTCTCTTCCGCAGAATTGCCCTCAGGTAAAGTAAGCTCTAGGGTATTACTATTTAAAGAACTTGATCAAAGAGGTTTTACGATTTACTCCAATTGGGGAACTTCTGGAAAAGCTCACGATATTAAGACTAACCCATATGGAGCTATTAATTTCTTCTGGAGAGATCTACAGAGACAGGTCCGTATTGAAGGTACTGCCGAATATGTGAATAGAGAAACATCGGAACGTTATTTTAATACTAGACCAAGGGGTTCTAAGATTGGGGCATGGTCGTCTCCTCAATCTCAAGTGATTAAGAGTAGAGATCAGCTTGATAAGTTGAATAAAGAAAATACAGAGCGTTTTAAAGACAGCAAAGACGACGAAATCCCATGTCCGGAATACTGGGGTGGTCTAAGAATTGTTCCATTGATGATTGAATTTTGGCAAGGTAGACCAAGTCGTTTACACGATAGATTCCTATATACAAGAGAATCTGAAAATGATCCTTGGAAGGTAGAGAGAATCGCACCATAATTAAATAACTGTTCCTGCGGATTTATTTATTCATTATATAATGTAAACGAATGGTATCTACGAATAATGCATATATTTATTTTTGTGTTATATTTTTTTTACTTCCATAATAGCATGCATAATTTTTTCATCTACAAACTTGTTAATGTTACTTGCATCCAATTTGAATAGGTCAAGTGCATTGGTTAGTTGCATTTTTTCAGTATCTGACAATAATGACTCACCTGCAGAGACATTTTTATTTGTTTTAATAATTGTCAGAAATGCAAAGTTCAAGTATAGCAGGTTTTGAATAATTGGCGTGTGTACTTCATGAATATCGTTTTGAAGAATCAAATTCTTTAATCGGTACCATGTAGTATCGGGGATATTGATATCAGTGCGGCAGTCATTGAGGGTATTCAGACAAACACCTAATTGTAGAATTATATTATCATCATTTCCTTCAGATCTCCCTTTCAAGTGTCGTATTATACTATGAAGAATCACCTCCATAATATCGTCTACCGTTTTATGATCAATAATCGCTGTTGAGCTTCGATCATTTGTAGCAATAACTAGGCATTTTAAGTATTCATCATTGTTAATAAGGTCATTGTTATTTGTTAACATTTTGCAGATTTCACGTTTCTCTGTGTCAATATCGTCGCCCTCGAGGTCGTTATCCTTCAACGCATCGAGCACTGTTTGCAAAAGACTGAAATATGACGAGCAACACATATATTTTGTTTTCTCTTGATTATCTGAGATTTTCATTAATAGTCGTAATACTTTAGCTATATATTCAGTTGGAAATTTAGTAATATGGGTATTCCATATATTGAGTGCATAATTCAGGCCTGAGCTTTCACCATTTATCTTAAGAAAGTCTAAGTACATCAATTTTTGCATTTTGCTGTTGGTCTTTAATCCTACTGATACTGTTACGCATTTCCCCAGATTAAGTAATACCTGCTTCACATTTTCCATTTTATTAAAAAAATCTGAGCTCTTGTGAAACAAGTTCAAAATATATCCTTGTAATAATAATAGCTCCTGATTATTTGACGGGTCCTGTTGGAGACACCATTTGCAAATGTCATCACTATGGTGTTTCGCAATATAGAGTAAAAATTCATCGTCACCACTTATAGCTAATATGAACTCAGATAATATGGATATGGTGCTACTTAATGAAGTGCTTTTTTGTAAAGTATTCGTTAAATAATCATAATCTTCTTGGTACTTGAGGGAATTTCCAATGTTTTTTAATTCATTAAATGTGTATGTTTTATCATTTCGTTTTGGGATTACTGACCTTGTAATATGGACAGAACTATCATTACTTTCTGTACCTTTATTTCGATTTTCTTCGATCTCATCTAGGTACTCATCTACTATACTTTGTTCCCCATCTTCGATAGTACTATTTTTCACTAAAAGGGTTCTTCTATTATTATATACCTTTTGTCCTTTATTGACTTTACCGTCGTATGCATCTCTTTTATTGCAGTCCTTTCTCTCCTCATCAAACATATCTTCTAGTGAATGGTCTTTTTTTGGCTCAAGAGTTAATAGGAAGTTTCCAACATTTTCCAGTACCTTATTCATTGAAGGGTTTATTCTTTCTGGACCATCGAAGACACCTTCTTCTTCTTCTTCTTCTTCTTCCTCTGATTGTGCCTCCACGTCATATGCGACATGCTTGTAGTAATTAGTCTTACGACGTTTCGTATCATTGTTGGGCATATCTAGGAAATCAAAGACTTGTAGGTCTTTCATATTTTTTTCATCATTTTGGACTGCCTTTTTCGGTGATATTTCAAATTTATGAGCACTAATATTAATATCTGATGAAGGACAAGGTTCAATTGTTTCAAATGATGAATGACAATCAACTTCATGTAATATTAAATCACTAGATGGTATCATTTTTCTGGCATCTCTTCCAGATCTGTTCGTCGTGTCTGTGCTTTTTTCAACCTTTCCATTAAGAGTTTTCTTCGGTTTTATTCCAGGTGATGAATATGATGTATTCATCTCACTATGAGTTTGCTCAATTTCAGATTCATTACTTATCTCATCTTCACTCTGACTAAAACTGACATCTGAAGCCATTGATTGTGAGATGGATATGGTAGGTGCAGTCCTTCCTCTTCTGCCATAAGCTCTCATCTCAATAGAGGGTATAGGGTAATGCTTTGGGGGCGAGTTGTTTAGTGAAATTATTTTTTTGAACTATATCACATCAATACCTCTATTTCACTTGAGTTTATGATAAAATTATACAAAAGTTGTGTCTCTAACTGCAATGTCGTCGTTCTTTTAGCTATTTAGCTGTTTCGTGTCTCCCCCACCATTTTCTTGTGATTAGAGTGTTCACGCGTTTGTTGAGCAAACAGATAAAAAAGAATGGAAGCTTTCATAGATGAGCCTGATTTGATATTAACTTTAACACAAGTAACACAGTAATAAAGAGACTTTTACATTGTTTACAACGTTACATTCATATTCAATTTTTGTACCAAGGAATTGCAAGACTATTTTATTAATTAATATTCAAACAACAGAATTACAACATGTACTGCGAGTTGGCAAATAAGTTAGTGGTGGAAGCTAAAAGAACCGAACAATTAAACAGTAGAAACAATGCAAGAACGACGTTACCAGTGCACAACGATGAATTAGTACGAAATGTTTTAAAGGAGGTAACCCAACTGAAAAAAAATTTAGAGTTTTTCAAAGAACAACAGGATATTATGTCTACAGAGGGAATATCCGTAGATAGTAATGTTATGAAATGTCAATATTTTGTGAATTTACTATGTTTAGAGCGTAATAAGAGATGTTTGTTAGGTTATCAGAAGCTAAGAAGTGATATGTTGGATTCCATGGCATGGGAAAATAATGGTATGGATGTTATGGGGTCTAATTTAGGCGAAGAAAATAGTAACCTTACGCACCAAGAACAAGAGTATTTAAAAAAATATTCTGAACTGATTACTGAAATGAAGAGTGGTGAATTGACAGATATAGATCTTTCTGGGTCTTTGATTCCTCCCAAGGAAGTTTTTATTGATGTAAGAGTATTAAAGGATGCGGGTGAAATTCAAACCGAATATGGTGTTTTTAATCTAATTAAGGATTCCCAGTTTTTTGTTAGACAGTCAGATGTTGAGAGGCTTATTCAACAAGGTTTCCTTCAAAAGATATAGGTGGGTGCCAAATTCAAGTATGTCCTGCCAGAACTATTAATAATTTTAACTTTTTTGCATACAGATCAATTTTATTAATGTTTAATTACTAGAAGAGGGAGACAGGATAGTAGAAACATTGGTTCAATTTTTAGTTCGGAACCTACTACTGTACCAAACAGTCTGCAACTTTTTTGGTATAGAAACAAGTGTAATTCGGTGCTTTGATTGTAATCTAATCATTTCAATGTTATACCATTTTGATCGATGATTAAAAGTGAGGTAATCTTTCACTCACATATATGATGCATATTACTATAAATAGTGTCCGATGGGGTCGGTCAAGGTATAGGACTTTTTAAAATTACAGAGAGTTTCATTGCATGGCCTTTATATTTTACTTTAGCATAAATTATTTTAAGCTAAGGCCCGGCTTTCGATTGAATAATTATTTCCATTGAATCATATTTAATACATACATGATTATCTAGTGCTTAGATGTACATCTCCCCTAATACTTGTTTTACTCTTAATGGTAGAATAGGAAATATAGTTTGGATTTATCAAATAAAATCAATTTAATGAACCTCCTTTCAAAAGTACTTCGAGAATATGTAGGGGGGTGGGTTACATAATTAAAAATTTAAATATCTTTGAAAAAAAATTAGTTGACAATTAGAGTATAGAAAAAAATATTTATAATAAATATGAGTTTATAAAATTAATAAATCAAACAATTTAATCGTGCTTCAAAGTTTCAGTGAAGACAGCAGCTGGCTTAGAAGCAGACTTTTCAGCCTTCTTGGAACCTAGCTTTTCAGCAGCGAAAACCTTGGCGTATGGGTTCATTCTTAGTAGAACTTGCTTGTTCTTCAATGGGTTCTTCTTTTGAACGTGAGCACGCTTTTGAGTTGGTTGACCGGCTGGTCTAACAACAGATTGGATTTCAGCAGAGTTAATGATTCTGGTAACATCGGAGGTGGAGATGATGTTAGATGGTAGAGAGTAACCGACCTTGGAAGAGGCAACGGTTTCAGAACCCCAGACTTGGTCTAGCTTAGCGAAAGCACCTTCGGTCCAGATAACGAATCTACCTAGATGAGCACCTGGAGCCAATTGTAGTAGGTTCAAAGCAGTGACGTTAGCAGTTTCAACACCTGGGACGTTTCTCAAAGCCTTGACAATACCGTTGTCTTCAGCGTAGACAACTAATGGACCCTTTCTTTGAGTCCATCTTCTGGATCTGTACTTACCCTTACCAGCTCTTAGCTTCTTAGACTTTAGAACCTTTAGTAGATCAGAAGAAGCACCGACAGCCTTTAGAGCAGCAATGGCATCCTTGGTCTTTTGAATAGATTCTAGATCCTTGGAGACAACCAATGGAATTTCTGGAATCTTTTCGACTCTGTGACCTCTAGCTAGGACAAGAGAAGCAACGGCAGAGGCAGCGATAGCGGAAGCGGTAGCGTAACGCTTTTCGTTTTGGTTAACCTTGATGTTCCATCTTCTCCAGGTCTTAGTTGGAGCAAACATACGACCACCACGACACATGTTACCGAAAGCACCTTGACCGGATCTGGAGGTACCACCACCACCAACTCTTGGAATACGGGCAACAGCACGACCAGTACCCCAGGATTCAGCAGAGGTTTGGTGACCAGCCATTTCGGAGACGGCGTAAGCTTGTCTCTTGTTCTTGTTGACAGACTTGAAAACAGAGTGAACAATATCTGGACGGATTGGAGCAGAGAAGACAGCTGGTAGAGGTAGAGCAGCAGAAGTTGCTTCACCGGTTAGAGCGTGAACAGTAACTTGTGGACGAGACATTTTACTTGTATGATGATGGGGATCTTTTAAATTTGATATAAAATTTGAAATGTAAAAAATAAAATTAAAATATTAAGAAATCTTTATAATAAAAATTTTAATATAAATGAAAGTTTTACGATATTGAAAAGAATTGCGCATCAGAAGAAAAGAGGCATAAAGTATCAAGAGATGCTGTCATTAAGTCTCTTTTCGTTATGCTTAAATAAAATGGAATGTTCAAAAAAAATTTTCAGTAAAATTCAGTTTTGGTGGTCTCTATGAGTGAAATTTTGCTCTTCGTGTTTTCTTTCCTTTTTCCATGCTCGTCGTCTCTAAATTTCATTCATCTTATTAATTCAAAGAAAAAACTGTTAGGGTTTCATGCTTTTTTTGAAGAATTTTCAAATTTCGCGTAAAGAGAGGTATTTCATTTTCTTTTTAAATTTTCTAGTCTTAGAAGATGTATGGGTGTATATTTGAGATAGTCACAAAAAACTCCGAGATATTTCGCTTTTTACTTTAATTTTTCGATGAGATGTCCATTCTATAATCGCAAACAGCTTAGGGTAAACAGAAAAGAAATCAACAATATCAAGCATTAAAAAAACAATTTGATGATCCATTCACACACATATAAATATATACATATATGCTAGAATATGGAACGGACCATAAATTCATAATGAATACATATCGAGTTATATGTATATAACATGAAAGGGTTCTGTGCTCGCATATATGTAATATGAGCTTGGCTTCGAGAAGTCCATGGGCACTCTTCGTCTAAAACCAAAGTACATTTCTTAAGACCTGTTTAGTTTTATTCTTTTAAAGTCGATGTAAATTTTCCCAAGATATTAAGCTCTGCTTCAATAAGGGCTTTCACACAATCTTTTTGTTCTTGGATTATGCTTGTGGCTTCAATCTTTGATGGATCTTGTAAGCTTTCACGGTACTCTTGTGCAAGTTTCTTAAATAGGTTGTTTGTTTTGGTATTATCTAATGCAAGCAATACTTCCATTTGCTGAGGTTCGGTATTAATCTTTGTGGAAAATTGTTCAAACTTTTCAGGTTCCATACTAAATAAATTACATGTAGCCAATAGAGCCGGTGTTGGCTCACCATGATAATCAATTTCTAATTCTGATAACCATGGTTTGTCCTCTTCTTCTTCTTCTTCTTCTTCTTCTTCTTCTTCTTCTTCTTCTTCTTCTTCTTCTTCTTGACCTTCTTCATCGATATCATCCTCTTCAATTTCTTCATCCTCTTCTTCTATCTCATCTTCACCTCCTTCCTCGTGTTCGTCATGATCATGATCACAATTTTCATCATGCTCATGTTCAAGTTCTTCAGGGAATTGTTCTTTGAACCAATCTATATATTTTCCATATCCAGTCTCTGACCACCATAAAGCTCGTTCTTTTAAATTTTTATCATTCCTTACTAGATCGAGAATTCTAGACCCTAAATGTACTACGTCGTATGGATTCTTCGGGATAGTGAAACCGTACCTTGTCAATAGGAAGATGTTAGATAATTCACCATATGAATTAAAAATTTCATCACCAACAGTTAAATCTCTTGTAGTTGTCATATCAATACATTCATCTGGATCTAGTTCTTTCTCTTTGGAATTTTCCTTTTCTTTTTCAAGAATTTGTTCTTGCATTTCCTTTTGAAGGTCTTTTTCTAATTTAGCAATTATCGATTCATCAATCTTTGTTAAACCTCCCTTTGATTTTTTTGAAGTTTTATTAATTTCATTCTGATGGGTTTTTTCTTTCTCTAATTCTTTAGCTTCTTCCAATTCTTCTGCTAACATATGTTTACACATTCCAGGTTCACCACACAAATCACATACATCGAATAAACTTATAAATTTCAAATCAGGTGTAACAACATGATGGTTGAATAAATCTGCAATAGGTACTAATGCACTCTCATGGAATGCATCAATTTCAAACACTCTTGCAGAGATAGCATATGCTACTGCAACAAATTTATTAAATTTTGTCCTTATATCTCCTTCATCTTGAATATTAACATCGAGGTAACCCTTTGGAATCTCGAGACCAAATTCTTCATTCCATTTTTCGGCTAAATCAATAGCAATCTCAAAGCCTCTTTGAACTTCGTCCTGTGGTGTTAATGCATCAAATAGAGTATCTAATGTAGTGCCATGTAATAATTTTTTATCCTGTTCATCCCAGTAAGCAGGTGGTAGTTTCACTATCCCAGTGTTTTCATCCTGAATTTTAATACTCTTCAAATAGGGATACCAATCACTCTTATCCATGAATACCGTAGTTTCATATATGAATGCAATATTCAAAGCAAGAATCCCATCAATTTCTTCATCATTTAACAAATTTGCAATAGTACTATTAGATGCAGAAAATATACTATTCTTGTGCAATTGTAACAATGTGGTCCCCTTTGGAATATCTTGTTTTGCAAATACACCTTGGCCACCTAATGGTGATTCCTTAACTTCACATAAATCATGTGTAAACTTCCCTTCAGCATTCTTAACAAATTGGAAAATATCGTCCAAGTCGGAACTCACTGTACTAGACATTACAATTTTTATCAACACACTCGACTATTTTGTCCTGTATATTTAAATCGCAATCGTCGAAGCAAAGACTCTTTAACAGCTCATCTCATCGCATATATATATGTGTGTGTGCAGGTCTGCATAATCAAGCATCGCTTATAAAATTTTCCAGGCATTTCCGTCCACGTGACTGTTCCTGCAATGACCCTACTTTTCCTTTACCACACCCTAAAAACTTCACATTCACGAAAAGAATCTTCTGAATCTTTTTCTTTTTCACCCACAAAAATTTTTCGCCTCTCTGTCATTCATTTTGTTTGGAAAAAGAAAAATTTTTCAGTTTTTGGCTGATGTTGCTGCAGTGCTGCATAGTAAACAATTTTAAATAGAGAAAATATAAATGTTTACGTAAATATGATAGACGGGAACCAACTGAAGGTAGAGCATGGAGATGGCACTTTTTACACGTTCGCCCTCTCTTTCTTATTGCAAGAAAGATCAACAATAGGTTGTCAATCGATTATGACAGGTTGTATTCAGTTTGTGGGGTGTTAGTGCACCGAAAGGTGTAAGACTGAATGATTTTGAAGGGAATAAAACTGTTTTGCATCTTGCATGTAAATTAAGTATATTGTAATTAATATCTTGGTAATTGCTAGTTTTGTTTTTAACGTGTTTTTAAAATAATAAATTCGTATTTTTAAGGTAGTGTGTTAAGTCTTCGTCAACTTCGTTAATTGAAGCGGTTTAGAACAAAGAGAAACCAACAATTGAATCTTCTTTTCTGTGTGAATAAAATAGAAACACCATTAAAATTCATACGTGTTTCATATATATTTGTTATTGTACTCTATAGTTTTAGATATACAATTTTTTTTTCAAATAGAGACACTGTTGTTCATCACTTAAAGTTACAATCATCTAAAATTTAGTTATTGTAAAATATTGTTGTTAGGATCACACGAATATAGAAAAAGGTAAGATGGCTAAATCATCTACGTCAAAAAAGGGAAAGACCTCTAAGAAATCCTCACCAAAACCAACTCATAATGTTGTAGGTGCTAAGGGAGAAACACCAAAGACTGAGAGTAGAAAATATAACTTTTTAATTAGAACCATATGGACCTTTGTTATGATTAGTGGGTTTTTCGTTACTTTAGCATCAGGTCACATTTGGTGTGTTGCTTTAGTATTATTATGTCAAATTGCTGCATTTAAAGAATGCATTGCTTTGACAAGTATATCTAGTCGTGAAAAGAATTTACCTTTAACAAAAACTTTAAATTGGTATTTTTTGTTTACTACACTTTATTATTTATCAGGTAAACATTTATTTACTTTTTTCCAAACTGCTGTCTTTGAAAATAAAATATTGACATGGATGGTTTTGAATCATAAATTTGTTTGTTACTGTCTATATGTCCTAGGTTTTGTTCTATTTGTTTGTAGTCTAAGAAAGGGTTTCCTAAAGTTTCAATTCGCCTCCCTATGTGCTACACATATGGCATTATTATTCATTGTCTTCCAAGGTAACTTAATCATTAAGAATATTTTGAATGGTTTATTCTGGTTCTTAGTACCATGTGGTCTAGTCATTGTTAATGATATTTTTGCTTACCTATGTGGTATTACCTTTGGTAAGACTAAATTGATTGAAATTTCACCAAAGAAAACTTTAGAAGGTTTCATGGGTGCTTGGTTTTTCACTGCTATTTCAAGTATTATCTTCACTAGATTATTATCACCTTTCATGTATATGACTTGTCCTGTACAAGATGTTCATGCAAACTTTTTATCTAATGTTACTTGTGAATTAAACCCAATCTTTTTACCACAAATTTACAGAGCACCACCTATCATTTTTGAAAAATTCGGTGTTTCATCAATTACCATTAAACCAGTTTACTTCCACGCTTTGAATTTGGCTACATTTGCATCATTATTTGCTCCATTCGGTGGATTCTTTGCCTCAGGTATCAAGAGAACTTTTAAAGTTAAGGATTTCGGTCATTCTATCCCAGGGCACGGTGGTATCACTGATAGAATTGATTGTCAATTCTTAATGGGTTCATTTGCAAACTTATATTATGAAACTTTCATTTCAGAACACAGAATCACTGTTGAAACTGTCTTATCTACTATATTGATGAATTTAGACGATAAGGATATTCTAGAATTAATCACTACTTTGATTGATGTTTTGCTAAAGAAAGGTGTATTGAGTAAGAAACAACATAAGAAAGTGGTTCAAGTCTTTGCTGAAGTTGTTAAAGCCTTAAATTAAAATTGGTATATTTTCAGATATTTATTTTAGAAGATTTTATTGCCTTTAACTACCGTTTTGCGATACATCCTTCATATTTTACGAATCATACATACACACACACCCTTATCATGTAATTTTATATAATAGTTCCGTTTTTCTCGTTATATACAATATGTTTATATATACTAAAGAAAATAAAGGATAAACTCTATACTTGAGCAATAAATCAAACTGTATTCCATTCCTTTCCATAGACTATCTGAATATATCTTTAAGTAGCTCTCTTAAATCCAGTATTCTTTACGCCATGTTCCAGAATTTTTCAACCGAGAGAATTGAAACAATAGCAGCCGAGCAGTTGAACCACATGGGAGAAAATATTTAGGCATTACGTAAACAAACTTCATACATATATAGGTATATATTCACATGAAACGTTTAGATTTATTTCTATTCTTGAAGTGTGATTATTAATCTATTTATTAAGATATTCATTTCCATCTTAAAGAACTTCGAAACTCGAATAGCCAATGTACTTTGAGTGCGTATGCTAAATAATCCTTTGCAAAAAACACAGTATTCATGATGGTTTTCTCACTGGATGAAGAACTTAGCAACATGACAATTCATAATGATGATGTTTGCTGTAATAATGGGATCCCAATAATGAAACCTGATAACAACGATGAAAATTTACCAGCATTCGAATTAAATGATAATTTAATGACTATGAGTGAACATTTGAATGCACAAATTCCACCTGATGAGAAAAGAACTAGAAGACGTTCGTCTGTCTTGGCTAAATTTCCTGTTTTGTCACCAGTCCATACTAGACGTGTCTCTATTTCTAATAATTCATCTAATGTCGTAAGTCATCTAACAGGTTCCTTTAGAAATGCAACTTCGGATATTACTGTTCAAAATGAAAACTCCAAAAGAGATAGTATTGTCGATGATGCTACTGATATGAGACCAACATCTATTAGAACAATTCAAGATTTCAAACCCATTAGAGTCTTAGGGAAAGGTGCATATGGGAAAGTTATCTTGGTAAAAGATAAATATTCCACCAAGTTATATGCAATGAAACAGTTAAAAAAAGCAGAAATTTTGATTAATGATAATGATAAAAGGGACAGCGACAAGGAAAATATCGATATCGACGATAATGTTGAAGAAACTAGGAAGAGAGATCTAGACAAAAGAATTGAGAGAACATTCGCTGAAAGAACCATCTTATCTCAATTAGAACACCCAAATATTGTGAAATTATTTTATTCATTCCATGACCAATCAAAGTTATATTTAATCCTTCAGTACATTCCAGGTGGTGAACTATTTTACCATTTAAAAGAGCATGGGACGTTAGAAGAGGATACAGTTGCATTTTATGCCGCCGAAGTGAGTTGCGCACTAAAATTCTTGCATGATAATGGTATTGTCTATAGGGATTTAAAACCTGAAAACTGTCTACTAAACCAGAGAGGGCACTTAGTTCTAACTGACTTTGGTTTAAGTAAGAAAGGTACTACAGATCCTACTCATGATTCTACATCTTCTGATTCCGATCTAGATAAAGATGATATATACACTTTGCATTCCATTATTGGAACGCCAGAATATGCAGCACCAGAGATTCTTCAAGGTTTAGCATATAATAAAAACTGTGATTGGTATTCACTAGGCTGTCTACTTTATGATATGTTGGTTGGTAAACCTCCATACACAGGTAACAACCATAAAATAATTCTAAATAAAATCCAAAAGGATAAACAAGGTCCACGAATTCCATATTATCTGAGTGACGGTATGAAGGACATATTGAATTGGTTGTTAAAAAAGGATAAAACAAAGAGATGGGATGTGGACAAGTATTGGAAGGAAGAACCAGTAGGTAATCAGAAGAATAATAATAATAACAAAAAAAAGAAAGCCAGTAAGCAACGTGTAACTAAATTCCAGTCGCATTTTATATTTCGGAAGATTAATTGGAAGCAAATGGAAAGTGGTGACCTTCAAAAGACTACTTTAGGACCTATTGTACCAATTATTACTGATTGGGAATTGGCTGAGAATTTTGATACTGAGTTTACTTCTATGTCATTTGAAGAAAATTATATGGACGACGGTATACCAATTACCGGGAATAAGACCGACTCTTTGGCCACACCTGATATGTTTAAAGGATTTAGTTTTAAAGCTAGTGGAAGTTATCTAGAGAGACATTTCTAATATTACCTCATTAGAAAAGTAAAGCGTTTTTTATAGAACCTTGATTGATGGTCGGATATGAATTATCAAATTCATTCCTGTTGTATTATTATTGGTTTACGTTTTTCATGATTGTATTAATCAGTGTTTCTATTTGTATATAAAAGTTGATAGAAGATATATATTTTTTGAATTCGTAATTCAAAAAAAAAATAATAACAAGAAAATATATTGTAATTTCTAATCAGATGAAAGGGCTTCTTTGTGTGTTGCTTCCATATGATTGGCCCTATCCTCAATATATTTACACATACCTGCATATTCGTCTTCATTATCGTCTAAAGCATGATTCAAATATGGGAAATACATTCTATTGGAACAAACGAATTCTTTTAAGGTACCCCAAACACATAATTCAAGATCAAAATTGTTTATTCTTTTTAAATTGTTATATGATCTGAAATGATCCCCATTATACATGAAATCCTTTGATTGATAAAGTGCTACCGGATCGAATTTTGGATAATTCGCATGAATAAACATTATATCAACTTCTTTTGTTGAATCACCTTCAAAATAATGCGAATAAAATGTGTCTAGAGTGAACGAGCTGACTTGTTCTTCTGTAAATGGACCGAATTTCTTATCTTTGTAATCTGCCACTGCTGCTTCATATCTAGCATTATCTTGAATGAAATTATGTTGTAAAATACCAACACCACGGTAATCATTATTATTTTCCTTCTTGGAATAACCGTCAACACCTGGACCCGTCCTTACTTGATAGAAAGGTAAGTCCAAATAATGTGCTGCTGCAATAAATGTTTCTTTATCACCCTCCCCTGCGGCTCTTTGAGAAAAGATAGAATAATACCAATTTGGACCATTGAAGTTATAATAAAGGGATAAAATGATAGTCTTTAAATGTTTATGTTTATTGATTAACAGTTGACCTGATTCGGTAGACATGTCTGGTAAAGTACCTTCAAAATCATGGAATGGAATATTTTCAAGGTCATTTTGCTTGTTATCGTACATATCGACGGGACTTACATCATCAACGGAATTTCTAACACGAATAGATGGATTATAATTTACCCCTGCGATATCATAATATTTTGGAGCAGTAGTACGTCTCCAAAAATCAGGCCATAACACTAAACCATTCTCTTTGAATACTTTAGAATCAAAAATATCATCCAAGTTGGTAATTGCAAAATTATCGGCATCTAATAATAAAACGTTGGCAAATGAAGAAGCAACGATTGCTAAAGATTTATATTGATAACCAAAAAATTGATTTTGCTCAATAGTCTCCTGAGATAAAATATCTGAAAGGTAGATACATTTGGCATTATATTGTGGTAAAAGATCATTACAAAATTTACTATCATATGATTCACCATTTGGAATGAATACTTCAACGGGTAAAGTCGTATTAAATTCTCTTAGAGTCTTAATAGATAAAAATGCCAATAGAGTATATTTATCACCTCCTACAATAACAATACCATCACTTTTATAATAAGAATTAATTGAATTATCTTCGCTTAATTCTTTTGCTGTAGTTAATTCTTGAATATCCATACCATATAAAGCTAAAATGAATTCTGCATGTTTATCTCTTAAATGTTCAAATTCTTCATCAGATATCTCTAAACAACCATTTAAGTTATTCTGTGTTAATTTAAACCAATCTTTATAATTATCTGGTCTTGTACCGATATCACGATCTAACAAGCAACTATCTTTATAACTTTTTGAATTTTTCAAAGTTGGTGAATATGTTGCAATAGTCTTAAACATATGATGGAAAAAATCTGCTACAGTTTTACTTTGATCATTTTCAGTAGGATTTTCTTGATCTGCAAACATATCATGTTCAAATTCATCGTCATTACCCTTTTCGATATTTTCAAAATCTAACTCTATATCCTCTAGGGCTTCATCATCAGTTTCAATTTTTTCTTTTTCAGGTAAAATATAAGTGTCCACATATTCTTGTATACTATTAGTATAATATGCAACAGTATCGTTTGCAGTTTCACTATAGCCTGTACTTACTATAATAATAGATATTATTAATAGTAAAACCAGGGCCAATTTTATAAATTTAATGACTCTTCTAGAAATACTCAACATGGCTGGCAGACTGAGTAAGACAAAGAGTATAAGATAACAGTTACTTGTAGATGTGATAACAAATTAATATAAAGTTTAACAGTAGCATTATAATGTAGTCGATATATATATATAGATGTATATGAATGTCTATTTTCAGAAGCAAGTAATCATTGTATTACGTCAAATGATAAAGAAAAAACGAAGATATTGAAGTCAGCATGCACACACTGCAAGTTCGCACCAAAAAAACATTTCCAACCTTTACAACCCACTATAATTGCTAATTCTTCTTCACTCACCGAAAACTGAAAAATTATTCGTATTTTGTACGCTGCCGGGAGTGATTTCCCGCAGTGCAATGCAGTGCAATACAATGGTAGTGTGGTGGATGCTAACTTTGGACTGAGGAGGCACGTTACACCACGACAAGTCGCGTCTCTACTTATAGATATATACGTATATATATATATATATATATATATATATATATATATTGTAGGTAGACTGTGTAGTAGCTACCATGACTATGATATCAATCACAGGTGAGGCGCACTTTTAGTAGTTCTATTACATCTTTATGTTCATGCATGTAAATTATTAAATTATTGACGATCAGGGATTGTCATGGTATTAACACACTGGACTCAGGTGATGACACCAGCGGCAATCGTAGTGCTATAGTAATCACCATCAGTCTCACCAAGCCAGTATCATCTGGCTCAAACTCACAGATCAAAAGGCTCATCGCCGCAATTTGTTCGCTGTGGTTGCCTCTGCCCTGCTCTGCCATGCAAAACAAAACAAAACAAAACAAAATATTGTCAACGCGGAATGCAGGCGTGTCTTTCACGCACCCTCATGGATAAAGTTATATAAGCAACAACAATAACAAGTAGGGGCTTCGTTTTGTTTGCTTTTTTTGCTTATTTAACGATGAGCAAAAGATGGAAATTAAAGGTAAAAAAGAACATTGATTAATATTTATTTACAATCAATTGGTATTTAACTTTATTCAGATATTTAGTGTGAAATTCATTTGTTTTTCTTCTCTATCTTTCTCTTCACTACAATAACACCATAACCATGTCTGATTACTACAATAACGATAATAAGGCTCAAGTATGTATTTAATTATAAGATTTTGTGTGTGTGTGTTTTAAATGCTAGATTTAGATTTCTTCAAGGGGTATAAGAGACTAATATTATTCTTGAGAGATGACTAGTATTTAAAAGGACCAGTTGCTTTTGCTTGTGCAGTTTGTGCAGTTTTTACTAACAGTTTATTTATTTGGGTGGGAATATCAAGAATGAATGTGGGAAGAAGATATGATTGATCATCAATCGTATGTGTTCCTTAATTATACTTTCATTCTTAGTTTACCTTGCTTTCCCTGTCCTTTAAAAAATTTATTTGATATAGTATAGCCGTCCTGCTGCTCCGCCACCAGGTCATCCTGCTGCTAGAGATTATAATAATGATCAAAAACAAGATTATTATGATAATAACAACAATAATAATAACAATAATAATTATGACAACAACAACTATGATAACAAAAACAATTACAACAATTACAACAACAATCAACAGCAACAACCGCAACAACAACAACAACAACAACAACAACAACAACAACCAAATCAACAACAGTATTATCAGCAACAACAACAGCCTCAATACTATCAGCAACAACCGCAACAACAACAACAACAACAACAGCAACCAAATCAACAACCAGTCTATGTTCAACAAAAGCCTCCAAGCAATAATAACCAAGATTGTTTAGCTGGTTGTCTGGCCGGTCTATGTGTTTGTTGCGCATTGGACATGTTGGTTTGATTTCTAGCCTCCCCTCAATATATATTTAGATGTATATATATTCTATAATTTTGTACTCTTTATTACCTTAACTTTTTTTTTAATGTCAAATATTGACTTTACCTATTTTATTCTCATTTTATATATGTATATGTATATTTACAAATACATCTCTCTCATCTTACCTCTAGCCCTCAGGAACCCTTTACAATCCTTTGCTGGACAAGTTCTTGGGCCATAATTATCTGGATGAGATGAGCCTTTCAAATCAGCAAGTTTCTTCTTTGACATTTTACTTTTGCTCTTAGCATTTTCAATCCTTACATAACAACGACCACAGAAAGTATGACCACATCCAGCCACATAAGTTCTTCTAGATAAGTCACGATCCAATTGCGTAGGTTTTAATAAACTTTGATAAGGACACGAATAACCATATTCTTCAACTAAATATTCAAATGACACACCTTGATCTTCAAGAGGTAACCCTTGAAATGAATCCGGGATACCAACTCCAAGTTCGATCCCACATAATGTACAGGATGGAACATCCATTTCAGTATCTAATGTCATATCATCATCCACAACAACACTCTCTATATTACCTTTCTTAACAATTGTCATTTTCATTTTGGGTGTACTATCAAAATTGGAACTATAACCTTCAGGTAATTTACTTGCACTATCTTTGAATTTATTTTCAGTTTGTTTAGTCTTTTGCATAAAGGTTTTCACACGTGAATCTCTTTCCCTTTCTTCTCGAGCTTGAATCATATTAATAATATTTTGTGTCCGTTCTTGTTCACGTCTCTCAGCATCAGGTCCCATATTATAAGGTGAGTCTCTTTCCTCATCATCTTCATCAGAGTAAAGACCATGCGCTCTCAACATTTCATCTTGTTCCCTTCTCCAAGTGTCATATCTATCATAATCATCATCATAACTACCATATGAGGGCCTACCACGCATAAGATCCAGTAATGAACGTCCAGTGTATAAACCTGTTCTTGTATTCCGTGTTCTTCTCCCTCTTCTTGAAGTAGTATTTGTTCGTCTTTCACGGTTCCTTTGATTTTCTTCTGCAGCTGCTAATACTCTATTCGTAGCCCAATTTTCCATAACATGACTTCTATATTGTGTGTAAAGGTTTGTTAAAGTATTACCACATTCTTCTAACGTTACAGGAGCTACCCTTTGTAAAATAGATCTAAACTCATGTAATGACTCAGCATGATCAAATGCACTCCTTACATCAGGCGGATATGTTTGAATATCATGTCTAATTCGATCCATTACCGGATTACCACTTGAAGCGCCTTCGGTACTATTTGTGCTATTTTGTAATCTTTCCCTTCTTCTACGTTCGATTTCTCTCATTGTAGCAATTTGTCTTCTTCTAGTGGCAACGACACTTGAAGGTAATCTTGAACGGACCTCACTTTCATCAGCATCCTCAGGTTCAAAAAGGTTTCTCATTATACTTTCTACTCTTCTTCCACTTCTTCTTAATAATCTACGACGAGATTCTGGTAAATGTACTCCCCATTCGAAGGAACTTCTCATTGGTGCATCTCTATTTGTAGCATCTATCCTTAACTGTTCACCACCCGGAAGGTTCAATAATACAGTAGGTTGTGTTGTCCTTTCTTCCATAATAGCAATACCATCATCATCATTATTACTATTATTATCATCGTTCGTAGTTGTTTGAGTAGTATTTGTATTACCCGCGTGATCGACAACCATGATAGGTCTATGAGTTGATCTATTCGGGGTTTCTATTGTTTCTTCTTCATTATCTAAATCAACATATTCAGTTTCCGCATATATTGGACCGTCATCATAATGAGGTCTATCAACTGCAGATATTATTTCTAAGTCATCATCATCATCATTATTATTATTATTATTATTATTATTATTATTATTTGTGCTATGGTTAATATCTTCATTATCATTACTATTGTTGTCATCATTATCAATATCCATTCCTGAATATCTTCTATCTTCAATAGCACGATTAGTACCATTTGTATTAACAAATCTATTCATCATATCACGCGGCCTACCAACTCTTCTATCTGGTACAAGCCTTACAATACTATTTTCTTTTCTAATACGTGTATCTTCGTCATCATCACTATCGATCGTTATAATACCTCCATCTTGATCTTGTTGAGATCGTGGTATCGTTGGTGTTCGTACCGATTCTGGGCCTCTATAGTTTAATAATACTGGTGCTCTCCTAGCGTCCTCGGTCCTTGATCTCCTCATCGCATCCATGCCATTATCTGAATCCTGATCCGAACCCTCTTCTTCCGAACTCCACATTCTTATTCTGATTCGTGTTTTTTAATTGTTATTTTTCCCTTTATCTCTTTCAAGTGTTAAAACCACTCTTTTTAAAATATATTCATATATATTGATAAGCTAGTGCCATGCAAATTGGGCAATGCTTCCTATAAGTATGTAGGCAATAATCAAAATTATTCAGTGGTAGTATTTCCTAATAAAAATAAAATCTTAAAAGAATAACTTTACCACACTCTGATCCGATCTTTATGTGTGTATGTATACTTTTTTTACCTTTCCCACTCCAGCTTTTTTCACAAATTCAATAGGTTTTTATATCCAATTTAGGTACTATGTGTGTGTATTTTATTTGTTTTTTTATTATGAATTACTAAAATGTAGTTTGTTTGGGTTTTTCACTTTCAATTCACTTTCTGTTTCTCTTACGGGGTTTTGTCTACAGTTAACGCGGATTACATTAAATTACGGCGAGAAAAGATTTTGAAACATTTTAAAGAATTTTGTATAAAATATGATTGAAATAAAAGTTTTTTATATTTGTTACTATTAATAATACTTCATTTTCTATTATTATTTGATTTGATATATTCTTTAAAGTGTGTTTTCTGGAGTTTGTCTTTGTGTGTTTTAGCAGGTTTCGAATTTGTATTGTAGAAAGTGAACTGGAAATCGTTTTGTCATATAACTCCAAGTTAAAATTCGAAATAATGGGTATTACGTTAAACAAGAGAAATATCAGAGTGCTGAGTATCACTGCTCTGATGCTGTTGCTGGTCTTCTTCGTTGTGCAGAACGCTGATAGTATGAGTCTCACCAGTGATAATGTACAACGGACTCAAGTGGCTACTGGTAGTCAACAACAAACTTCAAACAATAATTTAGTACAACAAGCTGTTGTTGAAGGTGGTAAACCAGGATCTAATACCGAGGCTACTAAAGAAATTGATAGAATTAAAGAAAAAGTAGGTATTCATGATGAAGAAAATGGTGGTGCTATTACTACTGGTGGTACTGCTCTTGCTGATGATTCTTTAACTGCTGCACAAAATAGTAAATCTGGGAAGGATTCTGAAACAAAACCATTTGATGCTAAAGCTGAATATTCTGAAATGTTAAGACTCTCTCCAGTAATCGTTTTCAGTAAGACATATTGTCCCTACTCCAAGAAATTAAAGAGTTTACTAGAACAAGAATATGAATTTACTCCCGGATATAATGTGATCGAATTAGATATGCATAGTCATGGTGCAGAATTACAAGAATATATCAAGGATAAGACGGGTCGTGGTACTGTTCCAAACATGATAGTTAATGGTATCTCTAGAGGTGGTTCCGATGATATTATGGCTTTACACAAGAACGGCGAATTACTTTCCTCTTTGAAGGATTGGTCTGCGGGAAGTTTCGAAGTTAAACTGGCAGATAAACCATCTAATAATTAATTATTTATTTATTAAAAAAACGGCATTTTTTATTTTCTTCTCTCTTTAGTTATTCAGAAAATCATTACATAAAACAACTCATTTCATTTATATCCATTCTTACATACATCTATATACAAATATGTTGTTCTTTCTGTTTGTTTGTTTGTTTGTTTGTTTATTTGTTTTGCCAATTTCAGCTTTAATGAGTAACTAACAAGTCTACTGTTTTGTTTTGGGTTTTTTTTTTTATTTTTCTATTGGTTACCTAATATAAAAAAAGAATGGTGGATCATAAAATACTCTGCCACAAAGCATTAAAAACAGTAAATAATATTCCTCTTTTAAGTCAAAATACCTTTGTTGTTCATTTACTGCTGTATTATGAAAATCACAGTGAAAGAAGTATATCCAGTTTTTGCATGGTCGTGGGACACTGACACTGGATCGAAGGAGTTCTATAAGAATGATCCACAACATAATGATCGTCCAGATTTCAATAGCGAAACATACACATTTTTACGAAATTATAGAAATGATGAGGATGATGTGTGTGGTATTTGTCGTGTAAGTTATAATGGAGTTTGTCCAAATTGTAAAATACCTGGTAGATCATGTCCTTTAGTGGTCGGTCAATGTAATCATAACTTCCATGTTCATTGTATATATAGATGGTTAGATACAGTAAATTCAAAGGGGTTATGTCCAATGTGTAGACAAGAATTTACTCTGAAGGAGGATGTAGTAATAAATACTAAACATTGGGAACGATTTATGACCCTTTTAAGTAAGAATCGAGAAAGAAGATTACTAATGGAACGTGAGGAACAAGATTTAAATAATGAAATAATGGGGGAAGAAGATGCTGCAGAACAAGATGGTACGGAAGGGCGACTAGAAATGGAAGAAGAGGACGACATGCAATATGATGATTCTGATGATGATGATGATGATGATGATGATGATGATGATGAGCCACAAACATGAACATATCATATGTTGACGGTACATCAGTTAATAAATTACTCGAAAGTACAGGTTAATACATACTGGTAACTGCAATAGGATAGCCATGTATTTTACATTGAGATAGATCATTATAGATATTGTTTTTAACATGCGATTACTCACATGGAGATGTTTAATTTGACAGTAGAACTTAATGGTTCATAGGCAACTTGTCATTTAACAGAAATTGATTTAATAGATACTTGTTACGTTTCTTTCGTCCAGATTTGAAGCAAGACAAACTTAAATTACATGCATTTTTTATTTATGTATTGGTGGAAAACAAAGGTAACTTATTTATAGCAATATTATAATTATATTATCTAATAAAATATTATTTATCAGTTATAATAGATCAGATTTTCGTGCCACTAATTTTTTTTATATTTCCGGTACTCAATGAGAACGGCCATTGAAAGTTAGTTGATGTAAACAAAACGACAAAAGTGATAATAATCTTTGAAAAAATATTTTAAAAGAATGAAAATTACTACCAATGAAATTGATTTACAATGACTAATAGTTTGTAATTTTGTTATAAGTGCAGTTTTCTTATATTTTAAGAACAAATTATTTAGAGATATAACTATTCTCTTATAATATTGATAAACTCTGGCAACATAAGCATTTTTAGGGTAACTATTTAAAAACTCATAAATGTGTGCATTTTACAATTAAAAAGTAGGTATAGAGTTATTGAGGTAACAATAGGTCTAGACAAACTCGACATGGAGTCTTAATATAGGTTTTGTAAGGGAATGAAAAAAGAGGCAAAAAATGCTTTCACTCGGAGTTGAACCGAGGATCTCCACATTACTAGTGTGGCGCCTTACCAACTTGGCCATAAAAGCATACTAAGTTGCTTTTTTAATCAAATGTTTATATAAATGAAGAAGATGAAAAAAGGATATAAAAGTTTTTAATTTAAAAAAATAACTGATTTTGTATATGGATTATGAATGTTCTAGATAGTAACCTTAATTAAAATAATTGGCATAGGTAGAAACGTGAATATAGTAATTGTGGGATTGTTGGACTAGGAATGGGTACATTACAGTAGAAGTTTGTCTCTTATAATCTAGTATAGTTAAATATACCTGACGGAAATAATATGATATAAGTATATCTAGAATGTTTTACCAATAACATGGAAAGATCACGAGAAAATTACGTAATAGAATATTACATAACAAGATGTTACGTAATCACATTACTAATACAAAAATATATGCGTATTAATAATGAACCATTACGTAAGGAAGATTACCTAATAGATGAGGAGGTAATCAAAAGAAGTTAAAACTATATAAACACGAGTTATTCTGAACTTACAATCTGAGTTAGGATTCATTCGTTATGTATATTAAATAAAAAATAAAAAATCACTTACAAATTTAGAAGAAAAGTAACACATACGTTTGCTTTACAACCTACTGTCACCGTAATAATCTTCATTACCCATCACCACTTATTTAATATGCAAAACCAATCCGAATCTAACATCGATATGTCTGCTTCAGCTCAATACCATTTGTTTATAAAGTAGAGCTAGCTTCAGGATTTAGAAAGGAAATAGGTTAGGTTACGATTTAGAAAGATATTTATATCCCTATGGAACACTTTTGTCTATGTATTCCTAGCACGCTGTAAAGATATGCCGTCATTTACAATTGGTCAATTATTTTCATATGTTTAGGTTCTCATATCAAATAATTTTTAAATGATGAAAGAGACTGGGGATTGTATGTAGGAATGTCTTTGAGAGGAGGATTGAAGCTATAAGTCAAACTAAGCTTATGGAACCAGAAACATGATATAGAGAAAGAATAGCCCAATAAAATATACAAGAAATTTACCTGAGAGGTGATAAGTGATATACAAAGTCAATAGTACAAATTTAAATGTTTTCACTGCATATATTTTGAAACAGGTAAATAGTTATCACGGGTTTGATTAGTTTAAATCTAATTCAAAACTACAATTTACCCCTTGTTCTCAAAGCGTGGCCTAGATCTTTTTCTTCAAGGGAGAAATATTAAAACAAGTTAAGGAATATTGTTCAACTTACAATTACAAATTTTGTTATTAACATTCTAAGATAATAATAGTTTTCTATTTTTAAAATTAATTCATACACGAGTAAAATATTTGCAGAACAATAGACCCAAACTCATTAATAAATTCGTGACCATTCTACGCAAAGGAAATGCTATTCAGAATTACAAAGAATATTAAGCTACAAGAAAAAAAGAAAACCTCAAGCTTTCATAATCTTATGAATGGAATTCAAACACAACCCTCTATTTCTTGGAATATTATTTAACTACTCTTTTTGAAGACAAATCTTCTTTACTTGACCTTTTTAATTACCAAATTATAAAAATACTTAATCCATGTACTCACGTTTCCTCCAAATTGAGAGATTTATACACATATATCTACTCAAGAGAACCTAACTATCAAAGACTAATTTCCCTTTTTCAAAAGAAATAGTAACAAAATACTATACTCTGCATAACAACAAAAAATTCAATTTATGATCCATTCAGCTTTGTTAATTAAAGAATATCACATTAAAAATAGTATTTTATATCAAACGATTATTGTCAAATACATAACCATGCCAAACCCACTCAGAGTCTAGTCTTCTGTCTTGGCATACCATTCAGCCGAGCTCGAATATCATTTTACAAAATATTTTGCGGTTACCAGACCCTTGCTAATTAGTTCATAAAAATAAGAATCCTTCGAATGTAATATATAACGAACAACTTCATGAGCACGTGAAATGATGCCAGGGCACACAACGTAGACAGTGATAAAGGTGTTTATTCTAAAATACATATAGTTCTTAAGAGAAAAAAGAACAAAAAATTAAGAGAGAACAGAAGTATAAAGTGATTTTCGTCTATTTACTACTTCACGATTGATAATTATACCATGAGTCCTTCCTCAAACTTAACAAGAGATCAAAGCAAATTCTTTCCTTTCACCTTGACCTTCACAAATATTACAACCGCAAGCCACACACAGTCTCTCCCTCTCTCTCACTCTCAGTTTTTTTGTCACAGTCACCGCAATTAACCACGCGGCGGGGAGTGGATGGCGGGCAAGGAGAGAAAGAGACAGACCGGTGAAACTTCTGTTGGACGAAAAATTTAGACAAACCAACAAACACGAACTGTGACGACGAAATGTTGGGATCTAACCTAACTCAACCTATCATCAATACTAACCCACTCTTTGTATAAATACTTAATTGAAACACCTATACTCTTTGAAGAACAATGATTCAATTCCCCCCTACGCATGTTCTTAATTTTTCCCTAACGTATATGTATATAATACTTGTTAGTCCTTAATATTTCTTGAATAGTTGAAAAGGTATATATATCAAAACAACATCAATATCGATACTATAATGGTTTACACTACCAGACAAATTGGTGCTAAGAACACCCTAGATTACAAAGTTTTCATTGAAGAAGATGGTAAGCCAATTTCTGCTTTCCATGATATTCCATTGTATGCTGACAAAGAAAACAATATTTTCAATATGATTGTTGAAATTCCACGTTGGACTAATGCTAAGCTTGAAATTAACAAAGAACAAACTTTGAATCCAATTGTTCAAGATACTAAGAAAGGTAAATTAAGATTTGTTAGAAATTGTTTCCCTCATCATGGTTACATTCATAACTATGGTGCTTTGCCACAAACTTGGGAAGATCCAAATGAAGCTCACCCAGAGACTAAAGCTGTTGGTGATGATGATCCAATTGATGTTCTTGAAATTGGTGAAGCTATTGCTTACACTGGTGAAGTTAAACAAGTTAAGGCTCTTGGTGTCATGGCTCTATTAGATGAAGGTGAAACTGATTGGAAAGTTATTGCCATCGATGTTAGAGATCCATTAGCTCCAAAGATGAATGATATCGAAGATGTTGAAAAATATTTCCCAGGTTTATTAAAGGCTACCAATGAATGGTTTAGAATTTACAAAATTCCAGATGGTAAACCAGAAAATCAATTTGCTTTCTCTGGTGAAGCTAAGAACAAGAAATATACTTTAGATATCATTAAGGAAACTCATGAATCTTGGAAGAAATTGATTGAAGGTAAATCAGTTGATGACAAGGGTATCTCTTTAGCTTCTACTACTTTGAAGGATGTTCCAACTTTCTCTGCTTCTGTTGCTGAAAGTATCCCAGCTGCTGCTGCTCAAGATGATGCTCCAATTGACAAATCTATTGACAAATGGTTCTTTATCTCTGGTTCTGCTTAAGCATAACTAAAGTGTTGGCAATAATAGTAATAATAAGAAAACAGCCATACACAGATATATATATATATATATGTTTGATTAATCATTATAACTATTTATATACCATATATAAACAAAATAATCTCATCTATATATATTAAATCTCCCCAAGTCGCAATGCTAATGCCACCACATCCATGAAGAATTTACGGTACCTAAACACCTATGTTAAATACTACCATTCTTCCACCTTTCCCCAGACTTTACATTAAAACCCCGTCACTTGGCACGAAGTGAACAAATTTTTAATTCCTTAAATATCTTTCCGCTGCCTCCCCCTTCCGCCCTCTCTCTCTCTCTCTCTCTCTGCCCCCTTTCTTACAAACGCAAAACAAAATTTCATCAATGCGAGCAACATGAGTAATAAGCGATACAAACTACTATTATTATTTGAAAAATGTTGTTTGATGATCTTCCCGCTTGGCTGGCGGACAACCCGTTCCATTTTATGTTTTTTCATAAAAATTTTGTTAGTGAGAGAGTGGGACCCGAGAATTAAAGTGTGAGAGAGTCAGAAGAAGGAGAAACTGTTTTCCTAAAGGAAGAATTTTATTTTAATCCAATTCTGCTTCTTTATTTTTTTTTTTTAAAGCAAAGGATAGAATATTAGCTATAATTTATAGGGTGGCAACACTACTAATAGGTTTATTTCTATATTTTAAAAGTATCGTTAGCTACAAAAAACAAGGAATAATAGCTTTTGCAACATATATATACATATACGTTAATATAACGTTGCTTAAACTATTACTACTACTACTACTCCTAAGAGAACAGGAGGTTCTTTTACATCTATATATACATACACATTTTTTTTTGGAAAAAAACCATAACGCAAACCCCATATAAAGATTACTACCTTTTAAATATGGAACATCCCAGAACTCATTCTGCTACAGCCACTGCAAATACTCCATCAAGTACAAGAAATTCTTCAACTTCTTCAAATCAACAATCGGGGCAAGTACCGTCGGGACCTGGATCTAATAGTAATGAAGTAACTACTGATCCTGTTGTTGCGGCTGCAGCTGCCGCTGCAGCTATGGGTGTTTCAAATGATGATGATGAAGAAAATTTATTGTCTAATAAGATAAGCGATCCTCCTCAACAATTACATCATACACATACACATACAAATGAAGTAGTTGATCCAATGGAAGCACCATTATCTGGGTTAGGAACTCCTGGTTCTTGTTCAGAGGGATTAACATTAACAGATACAACGACTACCACAACAACTATTAATACTACTTTACAACATGAAGATACTCCAACTTCTGATAATAGTAATATTAATATCAAGAGAAATGATATAACGATGACATCAACTAGACAAGAAATGGGTCCCTTAGATAACAATAATAATTTATTTAAACAGTTTGATTCAAAGACTGGTCAATTTATGCGTACTTCAGATTTAGAAAATGATAGTAATAATAATATACAATCACTTCAAAAGGAGAAAAATAAAGAAGATTTACCACCAACAGAAAATTCATTAAATATACAATCTAACAAACAACAAGTTAAATCAAAACAAAATCAACCTTCATTTCATTTACTATCATCATTTAAATCAAGATCAAATTCTGTGCCGACAATATTACATTCTTCTTTGAAAAGATTGTCGAATCATGGCAATTACTATGGAAATAATCCAAACCATCACAATAATGGTAATAATATGAATAGTCAGAATGTTACAAGTGGTGGTAATATGTTGATTGGTAATAATGGGGGAACAAATCAAACAATAATTACTCATCCAATGAATCCTTATGGAATAATGAAAAAGAAATCTCTTAGATCACATCATCCACATATTTTACAATCACAAGGTCTTGGGAACTCATCATCAGGAATATCGTCGTCATCAACAAATGCATTAAGTAATACTACATTGAGGCAGGCAATCTTATTAACACAAGAAGCATTAAATAGTTCAACAAACAGTTCAAAAGCACAGATTAGAGCCCTTACACAAGATAAATACCCAAATATGAATATTCAAAACGATAATAACAATAATAACAATAATTTAGATTCTGTGGTCACTTTTGAAGATAGAGTCAACTATGTTAAAGCTACAAGATTACCTATTCCATTACCACCTATTAATTTACAATGTCTCAAAGAGATTGATCTACAAGAGATAGTGAAAAACCCGCAATTGAGACATGATATAATCTTTGATCCGCTATTACAATTTAGACCAAACCTTGATGGTGAACGTGGTATTAAGAAGAAACATTTATCAGATATTTATTGGAAGGATGTTGAGAATGAGTTGATAGTTTACTCTAAGAGACCAGATGTCTTCAGGTACGACCATACCAGACTTGTTCCATTATTTGATACTTTAAGAGAAGTATTATTAACTATTGTACCTCAAAAGGAGACTCATCAAATTAATAATATTTTGGATACAGAGTTGAATGTTCAAGAATTGATCAAAGGATCATTAGTAATGTCTAATTTATCCGAATGGTTAGCTACCCTCTTCAAACATCATTGTGCACCAATGAGAGATGCATACGTTGACAAAATGAGTAATAAATTTAAAGAAGCAGATATGGAAGCATCATTACCGAAGTTTATGGAAGGTTTGAAATTAGTATTCCAAATTTTAGAAGCTATGAAATTAGATATTGCAAATCATCAAATACGTCTATTAAGACCTGCATTATTAAGTAATGCAATTGATTTTGAAAAACAATATTTCAGCTCTTTAGTAGCTGCAAGAAGTGTACTATTAAAATCGTCATTAACTTGGTTTAAAAACAAAATGATCGAATACGTTAGCTCAGGAGAACTTATAGTCCAGGATAAGAACAATTTAACAATCCAAGAAGTTTACAAAGGTTGTATTAAGAGCATAATCAGTTTACTTTCATGTCGTAAGATGGTTAGAGAATTCCCAACTTCCCTTTCCTTTGATCATGCCAGATTAATCCTATTGAGAGCAGATATCCGTCAATTAGTATGTTTATTAGTGTGTCGTCTATTATTTCAACAATTAGTAGCCAATGACACTAAAATTGATAAAGCTACAAAAGTGTATATCAATGCCACATATACCAATAAGAGAATGAAGGAAGAGGTCATTAGTATAATTACTGATGATCATGGTAATTGTAGATGGACTAAAAACACATTATCCATTGCAGTACATTTATGTAAAGTGATCGAAGAAAAGAAACAAGAATATTTGACAAAACAAAAGACAGCCACACAAACTGAAAATACCGATGAGGACGTGACAATGGCTGATACAGAAGAAGACACTCCAAATACTTCCACTACTAGCGGATTACATCCTTCATTAGATAATGAAAAGATTAGATTTGCAAAAGCTTGGTTATCTAAACAGACTCAACCATTAAGTGAAGTATATGGTGTCCTGGAGAATAGAGTGTTCAAATCCTTAGAAGATGGTATCTACAGCAGATCCAATTGTACTGTTGAAGGGAGAGTGAAGCAAGATTTCGTATACCTTTATAATAGCACAACAAATGGCTCCAATAACTCGACAGGCACGAGTAACGAGGACAATACTGCTACATCTACAACTATTTCATTTAAAAGCCAAGACAATTCTTCCGGCAATGCTAACCAAAAGACAGCAGGCCGGGAAATTAGTGGACTGTTTGCATTCACAGATTCTGAAGAATTCGAGAACATATACCGCCACCTATACACAGTTATCAATTTGCATTGGTCTGTCTTTGGGCAACATTACTGTGACACCCTAAGTGACAGAATGACCACCACTGCATAAGTAACACTCTCAACCCCTATATAATCACATTCATTTATACCCACCCCACATAACAATCACATTAAACCAAAAATAAATAATTAATCATTCCCGTTAAACCTTTTCGTCTCTTGCCCTAAACTCCGGATGCCCTTTGCATTTGCATTTGCATTTGCGCTTGCATTTCCTTTGTTTTTAATCCTTTCCCTTTCCTATGGCCTCTTCCTCCCCCCCCACGAAAAAGACCAAAAAAACAAACGAACAAAAACCACTGTAAGAAGCGTGGGGTGTGCAGGTGGTGAGGCGCATATCATCGTGAACGGAGCTCACACAGGGGTGTCTCGAAAGGCAAAGCGGGGATCCAAAACGTGGTTTACGGGAAAGAAAATGTAGGTGACCAGAGTTGGCACACCTGTAAAGGTTGAGAATTTTTCATTTTGATAATAATGAAATCTTTGTCAGGTTGGTTGGTTGTAAGAGGGTGTTCGGTTCGAATCTGGTGGGAACGTGGTACTTACTGTATTTGGAAACGTCTTTTTTATCTTGTTGTAATATATTTATATTTATATATATATATATGTATATATATTGCGGGAGAGAGATAGATAGAGGAGAGAATTGAAAACTTAATGAGATTTATTTACAATTAAAAAACAAAAACAAGCAAAACATATACTAATAACATTATACAATTATGAAGTTCATCGATGAACTAGATATAGAACGAGTCAATCAGACTCTGAATTTTGAAACGTCAGATTGCAAAATTACTGGTGGTTGTGATATTTTTACCACGAAACCTGTCGCTTCAGATAAGAAACTTTACAAGACCATTGACCAGCATTTGGAAACAATACTGCAAGAAAATGAAAGTTTTAAAGCTGCTGTACAACATCAACAACAGTTACAATTACAATCATCTCCTGTGGAAGCTAACGCTATACCTGTGACGCCAAATGAAAACAACATTCGTAGAGATAGTTCCTCATTTTGGGAACAAAAGAGACGTATGTCTATAACAGATCCATTATACGCTATAAATAATAATATTGTCAATTATGCAAATAATTTTAATCAAAATAGTAACAATAATAGCAAAAATAATTCAACGAATAACGTCTCCTTAACAAATCCACCTGTGATGAATGGATCTAATAGTGGTAACAATCCTTCTTTAGTAGGTAGTCCCTTCATGAAGAGTGTCAAATTGAATGACCAGAATTTGAAAGATTTAGTAATGAATTCTGAATCTGAATATGCAAGTTCATCATCCATGGAATCAACTAATAGAACCGGATCTAATACTGGTATAACAAAACCAAGTTCAAAGAGGAGGACCAGTAGTAATTCAAGTTTGCAAAGTTTTAAGCTAACTACATTGAGAAGACCATCATTAAATGATGCAGATTTAAATGTCAATATTGGTCCCTTTGGCCCTATTCGTGAACCTGCAAGTAGGAGGACGTTTGCATATTTAATCGCCATCTTAAATGCATCATATCCTGATCACGATTTTACATCATTAGAACCAACAGATTTCATAAGGAGTTCATTAAAGACATTCATTTCGAAGTTTGAAAATTCATTATATTCACTAGGGAAAAAACCTGAGAGCTGGATTTGGGAAAGTATAAGTTCACATATGACATTATCAGATTGTGTCGTATATCAATTTAACCCAACAAAATCCTTTTTGGAAGATGAACCTGGTTACCTATGGAGTCTTATCGGATTTTTATTTAATAAGAAACGTAAGAGAGTAGCATTTATATACTTGATCTGTTCAAGAGTGAAAGCCATATCTGGAGATTATACTGAAGATAATATGAAACCAATGAGACAATATACCATCGATTATGATGATGGTTTTGAGGGCGAATATGACCTGGTAAATGATGATGAAAATGCTATTGCAGATGATTCTGAAGATGAATTTTAAAAGAAATGAAATAATATGAAAATAACATTATCATTTTTAGAAGGCGCAGTAATGGTATACTGCTTTGATACGATGATTTTATATATCCAATCATAAGTGAACTTCATTTGTTTTTATTTTATTTTTATTTCTATTTCTCTTGTAATATAATAGAGTATCTTGAAGTCGTTGACTCTTGTAGTAATCGAATCAACCTCAGATCCTTGTTTACATCCAAATGAATACCAATTTCTAAAATTATAAATGACCTTTATAATATGTACCCCTACATAATAAATATGTATGTATACATACCAACAAGAATGTAATAATTAATTAATATGTAATTGTCCTGAATGTTAAAATGCCAACAGATTCTTTAAATCAAGTAGACTCTATACCCTTTTTGGTAATAGCAAAGGATATTTCTCCTGGTTTACTGAAAGTAGAATATACAATCTGTAAAGTCCTTTTCACTTGCCAAAATGAGGCAGGATCAACACCTTGATAAAATTTCACTTCACCACGTTTGATCATTGGTGACGCTTTATAAGACTTTTTTAACAATATCCTTGTAGTAACATGATTAGCCCAAGATAGCCCAAGATTCGGAATTCTAATATCAAGTCGCCTTTTCTTCTTTCGAGGGGCGAAATGATTATTATTAATTGATCGGGATCTCTTAGCTGTGGTACTTTGATTAGCTTGAGTAGTATTATTGTCCAAGTTGCTGTCACCTTGAGAATATAATTCCGGATTCATAACTTTGTTAACTTCCCTTTCAATAAGACTATAATCCTCATCATCGGATAATAAATCATCTACAGTAGAATTTGGATCCAAAGTTGTTGTTTGTGTCAGTCGTTGACTTTGTTGATGATTCCTTATGCTTTTATTCTTTGAATTATCATCTGTATAATATTGTCTGTACATTATTGTAGAATCTCTCCAACCAACTAACCAACCTAATTGATAATCATAATCCATAAAATGATGAACAAAATTTTCTGGTCTTTCCGTTAAAGGTTTATCACCAACTTGGTTTGCAACTACTATTGCTGTTGAATATTGTTTAGATAATTGCAATAAATTTTCAGCCATCTTATCTACATAGTATCTATTATCTTGAGATTCACTGAATGATTTAGTCTCCAATTCTACCCGCATATGATGAGAAATTGAGTCAATTATAATTAATTTGATCTGGCCTTTATTTCTTTCCAATAATATGGGCAATTGAACGTTTAAAATATGCTCTTGACTTACTAAATCAAAACAACTCACTGTAAAGATATTAGCCTGGGATACTCCAAAGTCCTTCCAATCAGGTCTAGAGTCTAATATTCCATTTAAACGTGAAGTTGGTAAATCACCTTCTGTGGTAATATAAACACATTTACCTCCCAATCCACCCTTCTCTACAGGCAGTTGAACGTTCAAACATAGTTGCATTAATAATTGGGATTTCCCCGTTGAACTTTCTCCAAATATTTCAGTAATACTTTTAGTATGAATTCCACCTCCAAGTAATGAATCAATTTCCATATCTCCAGAGGTAAATACTTGGGGTGGTTCAATTTTTCTTACAGGTTGAACTTTATCCTTTTCCTCAAATTGTTGATCAAATTCGTTTAGAAGTAATCTTTTAACCTTAACTACTTCATTAATAGACCTTTGAGAAATCTTAGCAAGTTCTCTTACATTTAAAGTAAGGAAATCTATCGTTGTGATTCTATATCGTAGACATGCCTCGAATAACGCTGTGAATTCTGGATCGCAAAGTAATGCACTTGTTGGTAATTCATCATAGAGGTCCATGAGACAACACTTTCTGGAGCTTTCACTTGTGAATTGTTTTTTTGACTACTGAGAATTCTCAATTCTTTTTTTTACTAATTTTTATGTAAATGTATTATTTATTATTTTGATATTTTGTTACCTCATCGTGTATATTTCAATTTTATTTTCTTAAATTCGCGTTTACCCAAAGGGAGCCAGTGTAAGAGGTATAATATTTCGTAGGGTGATTCATTAAGGCTATGTCAAACGTTGATTGATAATTAAGTACATACGTATTTCATACAGCAAACTCTGGCCGTTTGCAGTATATGATACTTTTTCAATGTTCATATATGCTTTAGTTTTAAACAGAAGTAGCAAGAATATCTTGTGTATTTTGTATGCGTTATAAAAAAAACACAATATGTCTTTGGTTTATGTAACGTAAACGAATATATATATATACATATATGTAAAGAAAAAGAGCTATAATATAGTCCCTGTGAGAATGGAAATTGTCCAATAGAAGAATAAAATAGAAAAAAAACATAAATGCAGAGGTGTGTAAGAAGACTGGTGAGAGAGAATGTGTGTGTTTGGGGGTTGGGGGGGGAGAGAGAGAGAGGGTATCATAGCGGTATAAATATGGATATATCTATCTATCTAAAACTCTTTAACTTCTTCTACCGATACAAACTTCTTTTCTTTAGATGATCCAGCTTGAGTATCATCTGCAGAAGATGAGGAACCAACGGTACCTGCCCTATTTCCATTAAGTTCATCACCGTTATTATTAGTGTCATTGTTGAAATAACCAGGGAAAGTATGTAAATTGCTATCAGTTCTAAAATTTGGCCTACTAAAATCTAATCCCATATCAGGACTAGATGTAGCACTTGTATTTCTTAATACAGCAGGTGAAGGTCTCTCTAATAATGGTGTTCCGCTTAGTGAATTTGTTCCATTATTATTACTTGTCTCTAAATCAGGTGGTGGAATATAAGCAGTCTTATCATTTGAATGAAATTCTCCTCTTTCATCATAATAACCTAAATCATTTTCATTTGCTTCTTCAGTATATTCCGGAACGTAGTCCACCACCGCTCGTTGAGTATTTCCAACATATGTATTCTCAGATTGTCTATATGATGGTGGTGTAATCCATGATGTTCCTCTTATAGGAGCTTCGCCTCTAACAAACCGTCTTCTATTAGCTCTTGCTGTGCATAAAACAAGGAGCAATATAAATACCACGAATATTACAAACAAAATCCAACGACCCCATCGCCAAGTCGATGAACCCCATGGATCATCTATTATAGTGGTTCCTGTACTGTTAGAATCTCTTATAAAAAGGAGCACGTTATTATCGATAATCATTTTATCTTTATTGAGTAGCAAAGTAAATAAGCAAAACCCAGCAACAGAAGATATATATATCCTTCTTTGGTGTATTAGTTATATCTATGTATATATACGTATATGTATACCTGTTTAATCTTCTGATCTATTGAAAAAGCTGTCAACGACAAAAATGGAATACAGCAATACACTTTCAAAAATCAATAAACGTAACCTCTCTTTATATCCCTAATGTGTCGTATCTGTTTAAATAACAAGACTTTAATCATCACCTGGCTGTCTCCTCTATCTCTTCTTCCTTGCAAAAATAGCATATATATTATTACCCACCTTCTGAAAAAATAATACAAAATAAAATCAACCCCCTCTCAGCAACAGCAGCGGCAGCAGAAGAAATCAGACAGCGAAAATTTCTCCCGTTGCTGTGCCTTACATAAGATGAGCCCACTTTTTGCGGGTGGCGTTTGGGGGGGGATGCGCCGACGGTTTTATCTTTCTTTCGCCGTCGGACATTTTGCCACTCTCTGCTTTTTGACAGCAAAGGGACAGAAGACCTGAGGGCTGGTCGATTATCTGAACAGCTGATGTGGTAGGATCTACTTGCTACTACGACTTTTATTTTGTTGCAATATTTACAGGGACGTTAAGAATTATATATATATATATATATGCGGGGAGGGGGAGACAGATAGTTTTATGTAGGTATATATGATTGTGGGTGATTTATGGCAGATATAGTGTTTTCCTTTTTTTTTTTTTGTTGGTTTACTTCCTCCTGGTAAGAATGCTGTTTGTAAGGAATTCTAATGCAGAACGAGAATCTGACTCTGGAAGGACATCGCGTAGACATTTTAAAGCCATATCTCTGTAGTTTTCTGCTAGTTTCTTAGTCTTATCAACACCGTTATGTAATTCTACGGATTTTAATACTTGTTGTATATCGCCCTGTTGATTAAAATGACGTTGAATTAATGGTCCTAAACTTGGATCTTCCATCCAAGCATACAGGACAGGTGCAGTTGAAATCCCTAATTTTAAATCAGCTCCTGCAGGTTTTCCTAATTCTTTGGCCGATATAGTAAAATCTAACATATCATCTACAAGTTGAAAACATAGTCCAAGATTCTTACCAAAATTGTAACATGATTCAATAACATTAGGTTGTGCACCTGATAGAATAGCAGTAGCACGACACGATTTAGAGATCAATGATGCTGTCTTAAGGTATGATTTATGTAAATAGTAACGGAATGCATTATTGATAATTTCTTGTTGTTGTTCGCGAGTAAGTGTCTCCGAGGCTAATGTTGATTGTGGTGGTAATACAGGAACTTTATAATCATGAGTCCTCAGGTTTAGTTTTCCTACAGGTGTAACTTCCGTCAATAAATCATTATTCCCCGAATCCATAGCCACATTATGTAATTGCATAAATTCACCCTCAACTAAATTTGCTATACTACTACTCATTAATTCAACAACCTCTGGATTTTTTAATCTTGATATGGATACGGTGGCACGACCTAAAAGAAAATCACCAGCAAGAACTGCCATCTTATTTGTAAACACAACATTTCCACTTGGTCTACCTCGTCTTGTATCTGCATGATCAATAACATCATCATGAAGTAGCGATGCTGTATGTATCATCTCTACAATCTCTGCTAAACGACGTTGTTTTGGGAGAATCCCTCGTTCATCATCAAATTGTTTCTCAGGGATCGGTGAAGCTTCTTTTGTCAAGGGATTCATCGATTGTATACCATGAATAATTTGTAAAGGTGAAAAATTCTCCACCGGTTTCGATGATAAGAATTTCTGTAATGGATCTTTACCAACTGGGGCTGTTTCAAAATCTGTAAAATCAATCTTGATATTGTTTCGTTTCTCAACAGGAATAGCCGACAAGGCTCTCGATAATAACAGTACAAGCATAGGACGTACTTTCTTCCCTTCAGCCTCAAAATAGTAGCTTGTTACACGGTTCAATGTCGGGTGACCTGATCCAATTAGACCCATAATATTTTTGGCTAATGTATTCATCTCAGTTGAGACTAAGGACACAGGGTTATTTAACATCCATTTCGGAGTCACTAATCTACTCGCCGTCGCCAGTGCTATCCCAAACGAAGATTTGCTTTGGTATCGTCTTTGTAACAATCTCCTTACTACAGTTCTACTACTTTGCACTCTTATCATCGTTAATGGTCCTGGTATTACTTTAATTGTTGACTTTCTTCTCCACCTCTATACCTGCGTGGTTCACCCTTTATAGTTAAATCCTTATTATTGACTATTTCCTTGTCTCTCTCTCTCTCTCTCGGTAGTAATGCCGGCCTTGTGCGCAAAAGAAAAAAATTGTATGGAAAGAAAGCTACACTTTTTTAGCAGTGAAAAATTTTGTAAAAACCATCCATCGATGACGTGGAATAAGAGGATACATCAAAATGGATGGATGATATAAATAGAAAGAAGACTAAATATTATAGTGATTATCATTCGTGGGTAAGTATAGGTGTATTTTAAGTACTGCCCATTACTTAGAATTGCGAACTTATTGAAAAGAAAAAAGAAGAAATAAATAATGAGTGAAGAGAGCAAGATCCCAGGTCACTATTTTGTGTTGTCCCTTCTGAAGAATATCTTCTCAAGAACATTACGGGCTTCCAACAACGTACCACGTCATGTCGGTTTTATTATGGATGGTAATAGAAGATGGGCTCGTAAGAATGATATCGAGGTGAAGGATGGTCATGAGGCAGGGTTCCATAGTATGAGTCGTATCTTGGAACTATGTTATGAAGCCGGTGTTGATACCGCTACTGTATTTGCTTTCTCTATTGAAAATTTTAAGAGATCTAAGTATGAAGTTGACTCTTTGATGGATTTAGCACAGAGGAGGATTAAACAAATTACTGAAAATGGTGAGTTGACAGATAAGTACGGGATACGAGTTCGTGTGATTGGAGACATATCCTTGCTGGACAAAGACGTACTATTAGATATTCAACATGCTACTGAAAGGACGAAAAACAATACTAGAGCTACGTTAAATATTTGTTTCCCATATACAGGTCGTGAAGAAGTCGTCCATTCAATGAAGGATGTCATTACAGAAAATTATTCACCTAGTGAGATCAATGAAGACTTGATTGATTCACATTTATATACTGGCGGATTGCCACCACTAGATCTATTGATAAGGACCAGTGGTGTGTCTCGTCTAAGTGATTTTATGATATGGCAGGGATCTAAAAAAGGTGTGAGGATTGAGTTATTAGATTGCTTATGGCCAGAGTTTGGACCATTAAGAATGGGTTGGATTCTACTTAAATTTGCATTTCGTAAATCATACTCTAATAGTAAAGAAGTTATAGATGAGGATTATGAGGAGGAGGAGGAAGAAGAAGAGAGTGTTGATAAAAAGAAATATATATAGATACCATTAATGAGTAGTCAAATGAAAACAACCAAACAGGTAAATAAGAAAATAGATAAACTTTGATATATGTACGTAATTCACATTATAGAAAATGAAATTAATAATAGATGTTTCCAAAGTACACGCTACACTAAGACCTACATACAAACACATATATCTATACTTAGTGAGTTAACATCATTGCACATATATTAGATGTATTTAGTTCGTTCGGTGATTTTGTTAATTAGTTTGGATCTGTTGCTGATTACGCAGGAACAAGACCTCATAGCGAAAGAAGATATAATGTGAGAAAGTTTTATCTACAATAGCCACCACCCTTTTCTTCTCAACGTGAGAATAATTTAACGGAGACTAACCTAGTGGTATCAAAAGACGTCGTAGCTCACTGATACTAAATATGTAATATATGTTACTTGCTACAGGAAGATACAGTGTTTTCTTTATAGCGGAAACGCGAAATGTTTAACGCGAAACGCAGTGCAAGATTACATAACATAAGAATTTTTCAAATATCAACAAAAAATTATCTGGATTAAATTCTCAATATCTATATATATATACATACTTTTTGCTGTATAACACTTCTAGTTTAATTGTTATTTGTTTTTTGTTTCATAGACAGTAATACCAAAAGCGTAATTATTCCACCAAATTGCCATCTAATTTTGCTAATTAATTTTCTCAGAGTTGCTACCACATTTTAAGATGTTGAAACTAACAAATGACAGCGGCCCTCTCGCTCAAATATGGTTGGCTTCAAATATGACAAATATTCCAAGAGGATCTGTTCTCCAGACAAGTATTTCAGAGTCTGCAAAGGAGATTGCAGAAGTGGCTGGATGCGATAGCCCTGAAGATACAGTCGATATCAACGGAGGTAAATATGTCACATTACGTACGTCCGGTGAACTACTGCAAGGTATTGTTCAAGTATACGCCAAACAGGCTGGCTTCCTGCTTGGTGATATAAAGGATATTTTGACAAAGATCAGCTCTTTATTTAAAATGAGTTCTAGAGTAGGAATCACCATCAATAAATCAAATACCATCACCAGAATAGAGTCTATCATTTTGGAAGACACTGTTACAGAGAAAGAAGTCTTGTTTACACCTTCTTTAGATTTCTTATTTCAATCAAATTCACCTATAACAGAAAGTAATGGTGATAACAGGAGACATATACGAGGCGTCACTACTGGATCGGCTGCAGTATGGGATACATCGCTAGAAATCGGTAGACAATATGATTTGAATAATAATGAATACAGTGGTAACAACTCAATTTTAGATTTGAATTTTGAAATAGAGGAAGGACCTTTAGCTATTGGAGATGAGGGAACTAGGACTACAGGTGCTGGCGAGATTTCCTCTATAGGTGCAGGTCACGTACTTTCTCACAATGATGATGACTTCCCAATAGATGATGAATTCACTAATAACTGGAATCTAGGTATTGAAGGAGAAGAAATGAAGGATTCCTCTATCGAAGTTGGTAGAAGAGCAGAAAGTTCTGTCCTTGAAGAAGAGCATACAGAATTTGGATTTGATCTTGGTCTAGATAAAGAACACATGCAAGTAGAAGACGATGAAGACGAAGATCTTGAAATACAACCTATTACATCTACCCAGTCACGCGTAAGGAATTCACATAATAAGAACCCTGCTCTAACCAACACAACGAGAATTATTGTAGATGATGAGCGTGTGCTATCCAAAAAGGAACTACATACCATTGTTACGAATTCAGAACCCACTCAGAACCATAACATTAGAATGTCAAGGAACCACCTGACTAAAAAGAGAACTTGGGATGAAATTGATAGAGATATGTCATACTTGGCATCAACTATTGTAAACGGTTTACTGCGCTACAGAAATATCAAGAAGCCAAGAATAGAGAATGAAGAAAATATAATGGGAGAAATACAACCACTTGATCTACAAGAGGAAACTTTTAATAACTTCGAAATGATTAACGATAATTTTCAAAATATGGATGATAATAACTTACCTGCAGAATATGATAATGAGATACATGAAAATGCACCATACAATGATCAGGATATTCCAGACGGTGATATCAATACACGTATCCTTGACGATCTTTCGCTATCGACCGAGAGCAGTAAGCTCGCACATCTAACTGATCAAGTAAAATTAACCTCAGGTGAATTAGCCACCAAAAATATAGTTGATTTGGCAAATACACTACGTGAAGAATTTGCAGAATCAGAGGTCACATTTTCGGCTCTTCTAAGTAGGCAGCACAAAGGAATAAACGAAGACAATACAGCGGATACCTCTGACGCAACGATTCCAAGTAGAAAGGATGCAAGTAAATGCTTCTTTGACATTCTGACACTTGCAACAGCAGACTGTATTACCCTTGAACAATCAGAGCCGTTCGAGGATATTTCATTGACCTTGAAGTCCTCACTATATAATAAATTCATCCCTGCATAAACTCATATATCGATATATCCGATTACCAACAACGTTACATTCTTTTCTCATATACACAATTCATTTGTCAATGAATTCAAGATTAACTATTTACATCTCTCTGCCCTTTTATATCATATATAGTCTAATAGGTGTACGAGCGTAAGCATTAATTCCGCTCTGCGAGATGTTTTCTGTATCCTGTTTGCGAGAGCGAAAATTTTTTTAGATTGTGAAGAGCTCATCTCTGAATTTTTTTTTCCTTGCAATTTTTCAAGTTGTGATGAGATGAGTTATAACAGTAGAGTATCATCAATAATACTCTACATGTATACTTTATACACATATATTTAACTCGAAATATATTTCAAATAGTACACTATATACTATCTAGATTGTTTGGACCAAAGAAAGAGACCATTATAAAGTAACAGCACAAAAACATGGCCAAACAAAAAGTCACTACTAAGACCACCAAGAGGTTTAGGTACTCTTCATTTAGAGCTAGAATCGATGATTTGAGGATCGAACCGGCTAGAAATCTAACGAAGAGGGTCCACGACTATGTCGAGACCTCCCATTTTCTTGCTTCCTTCGATCATTGGAAGGATATTAACATGAGTGCTGATTTTACGTCCTTCTCCTTTGAAGTTCAAAATATTGTTCAAACCCTACCTCAGATCCTTTACCATGCCGATACCATATTTAATGCATTACTAGAACACATTGATAAACAGGATAATAAATCATTACAACCATTGTTAGATCTGCTGGCTCAATTTTGTCATGATTTAGGTCCCGATTTCACCAAATATTATGAGAGAGCAGTAACATCATTAATCAAACTTCTTGATGAAGCAATTAAATTTGAATCTCCAGATGTCTTTGAATGGGGGTTTAACTGTTTGGCTTACATCTTCAAGTATCTTTCAAGAGTCTTGACCGATGATTTGATTCCAACTTTCGATATGCTATTACCTCTGTTATCCAATCCAAAGGAGTATTTATCAAGATTCTCTGCAGAAGCATTGTCATTTTTGATAAGAAAATCGAATGCCAAAAAACTTTTAATATTAACATCTCATTTCTTTGATAAACTGAATGCAGATGATGAAAACTCTAATTTATATGACGGGTTGTTAACTCTATTCACCGAGGCTATTATTTCAACTCCAGGATCTTTACATTCAAAATCAAGCGCTATTATAAATGTTCTTTTTGAACAAGCCTTCACCAGGCCAAATGTGGAATCATGCACCACCTTGATTTGTGACGTTTGGATGAACATATCTAAACATGCTGAAATGGAAGCGTTGACCCCCGTGACTTCAACCGTCGTAGAATGTCTAACAAAATTTTCAAATCAACAAAATGGAAGTCATATAATAAAAATAGTTTCTACCATGGTTTATGCTGAGAGTGGTAGGAAAATCGATGATTGGTCCATGATAACAAAACTGATAGATAATGTGACCCAAAACACCGAAAAAGGTTCATTGCATGCTGATAATATTTCATTTTTATTTGCTGTTTTATTACGTAACGCAGATGTCAGATGCCTAACTCAATATCACAAAACCATCTTTGAAACTATCCACAAGGATTATCCTTCGCATTTTTTGCAGTTCTTTTCATTTTGTCAAGACCTTACCTTGGATAGACTAACTTCATTTAATGGCCCAAAATATCTCAATAAATACATTGAAGAAAACTGGAAAAATGATCAAGAAGGAATTTCGCTATATCTATTACAGCTACATAAAAATGACAGACTATCATCTAAGATCATCATCAAAATTCCAATTGAATTCGCCAATAATATATCAGAATCTCTAAAGAAATATTGTAGTGGTGTACTGACCACAGATGATTTATATGAAATATATTGGAGATGCATTGTACTGAAGTACAGTGAAACGGTACCAAACAGTGTACTCTTAGAATTAATTAAGATCTTACTAAATTCAACGACCTTTTCAAGTAATAAATTTAACAAAGACATTATTGGTTGTCTTATTGAAATTCTTTCAGATACAGAATGTGAAGAATTGACAATCTTATTTCCTACGTTAATTTCAGAAATATCCCAAAATATGGACAGCATTTTTTACATTAGAGGATTAAATCATCTGCTTAAGATCATGAAAAATGATGATAAATTATTGACCATACTATTTGAAAACCAAGATACGTTTGTTCGTCTAGGTGATAATTTATCCGTTCCTAACCCTCAACTAAGATCTGAAACCATTACCCTTTTAATGACTGCCTTTGAATTTCAGAATATAGAAATTCCACGTTACCTACAAGAAATAAAACTTTTGGAGGATATCCCACTAACTTTGCAAAACGCTAGAGATATCACTACGAGAATAAGAAATGCGGGAAAGGAGTTTTCGAAGTCTCAAGCTGGCGATATAATGGGTAACTTTTTCATCAAATATATGTTTGGTTTACTCACTATCAGATTCTCCCCTATTTGGGATGGTGTGTATGAAATAATCCCCGATATTTATAACAAAGATGCGGATCTCATTTGGAAATTTATCTATACATTCTTGAATATTACACAAAAACCAGATGAATCAACAGACATCGAAGAAACTCTACAAGATGACGAAATGAGCCTATTATGGACTTCTCATGTAACAAGATTAGAGTCTGCTCTTCACTTGTTTAGTACTGCATGGAAAAAATATACTTTTAACAGGGATACAATAATTTCTGTTACCAAAGAAAATAGAGGCCCAAATGAATATCCACCTCAAATTAGAATGCAAGTGTTAACTCTATTATCCAAGATCCCGATGTTGGCAGAAAGAAATTCTAAGGATTTTGTCCCATTTTTGTTCAATGATATGGAATCAAGAGATTTATTCGAAGAAAACGAGGCGATACTTACCTCAACATCAACATGGTACGAGACTGATAAAAACTTATTACTAAAAATTTTAAGTGATTTCAAGAATATTAAAAATATTTTCAAGTCTGCCGAGGTCTTTGACAAATTAATGAGATTATTAGGTAGTAGAACTGTAGATGTTCAAAAGCTTGCGCTAAACGCATTATTTTGTTTTAAGAGTCCTACCATTGTCAAGTATAGAGACAATCTAAATAGTCTTTTGGATGATACTCTTTTTAAAGATGAGGTTACGAAGTTTCTTTCTGATAACGATACAAAAGTTATTAGTTTCAGTGAAGAAGATGAAATTATGCCATATATATTGAGGATACTTTATGGTCGTGCGCAAACTCCACCAACAAGTGGTATCAAGAAGAGTAGAAAAGTTGCTGTACTTTCAGTCCTACCAAATTTAAGAGAAGAGTTTATTATTAATTTTTTCCAACTTGGAAGTCATGGTTTTGCATATGATTATTTCTTTGACAACAACTACCAAATTGAACAATCCGAAGTAACTACTTCGAATTTAAGAAGGATGACTGGTTTTATAAATATCATCAATATGTCTTTAGTATATCTCGGTTCAAATTTCCCACAGGCTATAGGCACCATTATCAAACCATTACTTTACACCATTGCTATGTCATACACATCTGCAATTGAAAGTGATAATACAGAATTCGAAACGAAGTTAACCACTAATTTGAGACAGCAATCGCTAAAATGTTTAAACACTATTTTCCAAACATTAGAAGAGAAGTACGATTGGTCTGTCACCATTCCAGAGATTTACGAAATAGTTCTGAAACCAAGATTGGCCTTGTTTGCAACAGAAAATTTGCAACAGCCATCTTCTTTACTAAAGGTAATAATTTTCTGGACAAAAAGCCCATCTTACTATAAATTTTTGTATTATGATAACTTTGCAGTTGCCAGAGTATTAATGGAAACGTTAACTAATGAACACGCCAAAGAATCCGTGGTTAATATTATTCTTGATGGTTCTAATGAAATCATTTCAAAACAATCGAGGGATGATGAATACATAGATCTTGTGTCAATAGTCGCAAGTTCCTGTTTGCAGATCCTACCTCAATTATATGATCGTATGATTAATGTTGAAACGATGTCAAAGGCTGTCGAGTTACTATTAAATATGACAGAAGCAGGTTATGTCCAAAGCAACGAGACAAGAAAGTATCTCCTAGATGCGTTGCAGTTGATCATCGAGAAGAATTTCAAAAAGCTAAAGAGCAAAGATACGATTAAGTTGCTAAAGGTTATCTCTGTTCTAGTTTCGGAATATGAATGTCCGTGGGAGGATGTAGAGCGTCTTTATAAGGATCTCTCTGGGTTGTTTACAGTGTTCACCGAAAAGGACCAGAGGATCGAGTTGAGTAACATATTTTCAAAAATTGGTGGGCGCTTTGGTGAATTTGAGCCTGTTGCTACTTTAGTATCCGATTTCAATTCTTATTCTTCAAGAAGAATGAACGAATATGATTTTCCAAGAATCCTATCAGCTTTCAAGCGCTTCACCGAAACTCAATATAAACTCTTCTCTGATCTTCAATGGCTACCAATCCTTTACAACTGTCTATATTTTATCAATGACAAAGATGAACTAGCACTAAGGACAAATGCGTCCCATTGTCTGAAGTTATATGCTGATCATTTGAATGAGGAATACAAAATAAATGAAAAGGTAGAGAATATATCAACCTTCAAAGACACTATTCTTCCTGCACTTTGTGATGGTCTAAGAAGATATACAGAAGATGTCCATAATGAATATATTTCCATCGTATCATACTACGTAGAAACGGTTACGTTCTACAAAGGACTTGATGACATGAAGGTATTGTTATTCAAGGGTGATGAAGAAGCAAATTTCTTTACAAATATTACACATATTCAATTACACCGTCGCCAAAGGGCAGTTAAAAGACTAAGGGAATATTCTTCAAGTTTGTCGGACAACAGTGTTTCACATTACTTAATTCCAATAATCGAACATTATGTGTTTAGCGAAGAGGATAAGTACAGAAATATTGGTAACGAGGCCCTTCTAACTATCGGGATACTTTCTGGGAAGATGAGCTGGAAACAATACAGAGCACTTTTGCGTAGATATATCTCATTTGTTAAAGCCAATTCAGATAAACTAAAACAAAGTGTATTATTAATCAATGAAATCTCTAAAGCCATGAAGAATACACTTCTATCTCTGAAAGAACCAGATAACACATCATTTGGTGCATTTTCTAAAATTCCAAAGAGCAGTGAAGAGTTAATTTCTTTCGTTAAGGACGATTTATATCCAACACTTACAAAGATTCTGGCTATTAGAGATGAGGAAACAATAATTGCAAGAATTCCTTTATCCGAGGCATTGGTGAATTTCATATTAGGTTTAGAGCATGATGATATTGTTAACTTATTGCCTGGTATCTTAACAAAGATTTGCCAGATTTTAAGAAGTAAGGCTAGTGAGCTACGTGATGCTGTGAGATCCAACTTGGCCAAGATTACAAATAACGTAGGAGCAAAGTACCTATTCTTTATTATCAAGGAATTGAAATCCGCATTACAGAGAGGTTCTCAAGTTCATGTGCTAGGGTATACTGTACATCATATTATCAGATCTTTATACGATCACCTGGATCCTGGAGATCTTGATGATTCAGCTTCACTAACTGTTGCAGTTATTATGGAAGATATATTTGGTTCTACTGGTAAAGAGAAAGAATCTGACAACTACCACACTAAAATGATCGAAGTTAAGGTTAATCACAGTTACGACACTGGTGAAGTGTTAGCTTCTAATATAAGTCTAAGCGCTTTTGATGAGATACTTACCCCTGTTAAGGCATTATTGACTGAGCACATTAATTTAAAAACTCAAAAGAAACTTGAAGAATTATTGAGAAGGTATGCTTTAGGTATTAACCATAATAAAGCATGCCAAACTCAGAAAATATTGTCACTATGCTATGAAATATTTGAACAATCAAAGGATGATAAGCCTAACAATCGCAAAAATAAAAATAATAAAGTTGTTAGCGAGAAAGAAGAATTCTTCCTGGTGAATCTAAATGCAAAAAACACAATGGTTCACAAAGAAGATTCTCTGTATACTGATGTGATGCAAAAGTTTTCGTTGGACTTGTTACGTACGGTACTATCAAGAAATAAAGTGCTCCTAAATGTCCAGTATCTAGCTGGCTTTGTCCCACTATTGAGCGAAGCACTAAAATCTGAAAATGAAGATGTTTTAACAAGCGCTTTACGTGTATTGGTGATCCTAATAAAGTTGGACTTTACCGAAGAATCTGAAGCTCTTTTCAAAAATTGCGCACGTAAAGTATTGAATCTGATCAAGGATTCACCATCTACATCGAATGATCTATGTCAGATGGGTCTTAAATTCTTATCCTCATTTATTCGTCACAAAGATATTAAGTTAAAAGATACAGCTTTAAGTTACGTTTTAATGAGAGTCTTACCCGATCTAAATGAGCCAAGCAAACAAGGTCTAGCCTTCAATTTTTTGAAGGCATTAGTTTCCAAACATATAATGCTTCCTGAGCTTTATGACATTATTGGTTCAGTTCGTGAGATTATGATTACAAATCATTCTAGAGATATCAGGAATGTCGCAAGAACAGTTTACTACCAATTTTTGATGGAATACGATCAAAGTAAAGGTAGATTAGAAAAACAATTTAAATTTATGGTGGATAATCTGCAGTACCCATCGCCAGATGGTAGACAGTCAGTTATGGAATTGATCAACCTTATTATTACAAAGTCATCACCAGAATTACTTTCAAAGTTATCATCTTCCTTTTTCATTTCATTAGCTAATGTATCATTTAACGACGATAATGGTAAATGTCGTGAAATGTCCGCAGTCCTTTTATCCCGTATGTTTTTAGTCTTAGATGATAAGAACATGGTAGATGTCGACAAATATATTGGAACATGGCTAAAGCAGTCCGATAATGCGACGTTCCTAAACTTGGGTATGAGAATCTACAAGATATATGTATCCAGCTTAGGTATAGGTAAGAATGCTGACTTAGAACAATTGGCCAGAAGTAGAATACAAACTGTTCTCAACAATACACATGTTGGTTCGGACACCAACTGGGACCTTATTTATTCTGCTCTTAACTTGTACGCTACATTCATAGAAAAAGTCCCTGAAGAAGAATTTTCGAAAGCAACAAAAAACCTATGGAATGATATTGTATCATGCCTATTATATCCCCATACATGGGTACGTCAAGCCTCAGGGCGTCTCGTTTATGAGTTAATGAATCATCTAGATATTATGAACGAAAAGTTTAGCGCAGAAGATATTCAGAATATTGCTTCAAGAGTGTTACATCAACTTGCGGCTCCATCTATTTCTGAAGGACTATCGTCGATTGCTGTTAAGACCTTGATTAAAATAACGATGATATGGAATGAGAACAACACTCCTTACTACAAAAAGGAGGATGTTGATGAAGAACAGAATAATCAAAGTACTTACTTGAATGCGATTGATTATATGATTGTGAGAGTTTCAAAGATCATCAGAAGTGAACATAATCCAGCAGATTCATTTATGTCTAAAAAGGCAGCTATTCAATTTTTTGCATTGGTAGTCCAAATATTATCAGCGGAGCAAGTTACTCAAGAGGCTGAAAAGATTATTCTAGCTCTTTATACACATTTGGAATCAGATAGAGGAAGATTATCTGAAGAACAAGAAGAATTATCTAACCTTTCTCAAGAATGTTTACAAATGGTTGAGTCTAAAATATCCGTTTCTGCATTCACAGAAGCCTATACCAATGTGAAACAAGTAGTTATTAGAAGAAGAGAAGAAAGAAGAGCAAAGAGATCCATCATGACCATCAATGAACCTGAGCTAGCGGCACAAAAGAAATTAAGAAAGCATGCCAGATCTAGAGAAAAGAGAAAGCATGAAAAGGATGATAATGGGTTCTATCAAAGAAAGAATAAAAGAAAGAGAACCTGATTTTCTGTATTTTGTCAAATTTAAACTAAATAGGCAGCATATAATAAGTACATGTGTATTAGATTGATAAAAAATAATTATTATTTATATTTCGTTTTTTTGTACTTCATTATCTCCCTTTATAGTTGTTATAGATAGGCATGATAGTTACAGTCATGGAAGATGTTAATATATATAAGTGTATATGTGATTCTTTTAAGGGAGTTTTAATGATACTAGTAATACATATTTGTTGGTTTGTTTAAACTCCAATCTTAAAGATAATTAAATCAATTTTGTAGTTTATTCTCAACGATAGTTCGCTGAGTTACGTCTCTGTTGTAGATTTTTCTGATTTGACAATATCTGTGTCATTTTCATCAGTTGATTGATTATCAGTTTTGTTAATACTTTTGGTTTCACTGGATGGTGTTGCTGACAAAACTAAATTCAGTCCCATTTTAGTAGGTGTACGATCAATATTATCATTGTCCTTAACAACGCTATTTTGATCATTGATGTCATTGGAATCCTTATCGTCATGTGAATCCATTGTTTCATCCCCACCATCCTCATTAGTCTCTTCTTCCTCTTCTTCTTTTTCTTCTTCTTCTTCTTCTTCTTCTTCTTCTTCTTCTTCTTCTTCTTCTTCTTCGACCTCTTCTGGAGCATCATTACCATTTCCCTCACCGTCCTCTTCATTATCATTATCATCATCATTTTCTTCCTCTTCTTCCTCTTCTCCTTCATCATCGTCATCATCTTCATCCTCTTCTTCATCTTCTTCATCTTCTTCATCTTCCGCTTCATCTTCTTCTTCGCCCTCACTATTAGTCTTGGGTTTACCGTTTTCGGTTCTACTGTTATTATAAATATCCATCTCTTGTCTATAACGATTTCTATCTTCGTTATATAATTTGTAATAAGGTGCCCTTCCTTCTTCATCCAACGCTTTCCAACCTTCTGTAAGGTCCTTTGTGACATCTGATGAGCCTAAACTTTTGACCTTTTCTTTGTTCATTTCACAATATATTAAATAAGCATTCGTTGGTCTTTTAGGCATATTCGGATCTCTTTCTTTGGCCTTTTGTCTCTTTGTTTTCGCCCTCTTCATTGGTTTTTCTAGCAATTCTTTCTTGAATGAAGCTAATGTAGGTAATGGATTTTCAAAACGTAATAAAGGGTCCAATTCGATTCTACTCTCTAATCTCTCTAATAATACACCATATTCTAACTTAAGTCTCTTAACAGCATGTCTAGATCTTTGAATAGCCAACCCCAGAATTTCATTCTTATCCCGTAGGTCATCAACTTTACGTTTCAGATCATTGTCACTAGTTCCGTTCATGTTCAATATATATATTTGTTCTGGTATATTTGATTCTCTTGTTAAACTATTTATCTATTAAATTCTCTGATAAAAAGCCCTTTTCTTCCTTTGGTTAATGAGTTAATACTACTAAAACAATATTGAAAGGCTCCTCTACTAGAAACTGAATTCTATTTATTAATATAGAAAACTATTCGAGTATAAAAGATGTTAGACTGACTAATAATTTTGACAATCTAGCTCCAGTTAACTGACCTCCTTTTCTTTCATCCTACTTTCGTTATAAAAAGTATCTGCTGTTTGTTTGGAAAAATTCTTTTAGTTTGCTGAATGTTTCTCACTCGCTTTACTTCCTGCTTTGCGAACTTTTCCATTTCCTAAAAAAATGGGTTTTGTTAATTGAGAAAGTGGTTCGGTTTGCTGTAACTTTGAGACTAAATCTTTTTTTTTAATATTAGAATCATGTTGATGGGTAGAAGAGAACCAGAGAGAGAGAGAGAGAGTTGAAATTGACTCAGTTGCCTATAGAGACAATAACTGAGTATAGTATCGTAATTTTGAATAATACTTATGATATAGAATTGAATTTTTTTGTGTTTTTTGTTGTATTGGATAGTTTTAAATAAGGGAAACTGTATAACAATAGAGAGATCATATGTCATCATCGCAAAGGGACCTACAGGGGTCAAAACCCGAACAGAAACCACTTTTACCGAATAGTGAAAGTCGAGAAAGTTCACAGAATAAAACTAACACTAATGCTTCTAAATATATTCCTAATACTAGCGTGCCGCCAATGGGAGCCAGTAATGGCAACAGGAGTACTACTAATAATGACCATGATGACGACGATGATGATGACGACGATGACGACGATGATGATGATATGATAAATAGAGAACGTGTGACTTCTTCAAGATACCAGAAGGGACATGTAAAGGGGAAAGTTGGACCACAGCGTACTTCTCGTACAGCTCAAAAGTTGAAACTTTTACCAGAGGAACCATTCCAAAGGAAGAGTCTAAAGAAAAAGGGTGATAACAAAACTCAAGATAAAACGAGTCCCACAGAAGGGAATGCTTACCAGATATATACGGAACGGAATACTCAGGAGAGGGAAGATGAAGACGGCGATGACGATGATCACAATGATAGAGATGTATATTCACAAGTCGATCGTATTAAGGATAAATCTGCCAGAAGAGATGCCGAAATGTTGGGAAAGAAACACAGAAAACTATTACCTAGATGTACTGCATATAGTTCCGCAAGTAGTTATAACATGCGCGAATTGATGTATTGGCTAAAGGATACAAAGAAAATACATCACACCCATCCAAAACTATTTGATGAATGTCTATATACGCCGTTTATGTATACCGACTGGCGTGGAGATAAACGATTTCAGCATGAAGATCTCATTAGAATAGATGATGAAGGTGGTGAAATCAATGTTAGTGATAAGCAACCAGATTTATTTATATTTGAATATGGTGTCGTTGTAATGTGGGGTTTTACTGAAACTGAAGAGAAATCATTCTTAATGGATATTGAAAGATTTGAAAAAGAAAAACTTGCTGAGGAAGATGTACAAATTGAAGAATTTAATTATTATGTTACACAAAGTTATCAACCAAGAATATATAATGATTTTATCACCTTAAGGGATGGTTCAAATTATATGGTTAAACTGTCTATATCGCATGCGATTGCGCAAAGTGTCAAAATATCATTATTTGAAGAATTGGTTGAAAACACCATTGATGATACTCAAGATATTCCACAAGAGATTGCTTCTAGTGGTAAAGTTTCGATGTCAAAGGAGGATATAATGAAAAGTATTGGTGAATTGTTCATTTTAAGAATTAACATTAACTTACATGGATCTGTTCTTGATTCACCCGAGATTATGTGGTCAGAACCACAATTGGAGCCTATCTATCAAGCTACACGTGGTTACTTAGAGATCAATCAAAGAGTGGCTCTTTTGAATCAAAGATTAGAAGTCATATCGGATTTATTACAAATGTTGAAAGAGCAACTGGGTCATTCTCATGAAGAGTACTTAGAGTTTATTGTTATTGTATTGGTTGGTGTAGAAGTACTAATATCTGGTATAAATATTGCGGTTGATATGATAGCTGGTAGATAATTATATAATTGAAAAAAAATAAACTCATACCTTTATAAATTAACCTTAGAAAGTTTTACAGAGTTCATTGTATTATTCTCTCTCTCTTCTCTCTTACACTGTTTGTGTAATTCTAGAGTCTATTTGTTTTAAATTGACGTTTGTTATTGTTTTAATAATACAAATGGGAAATATTCATTCAAGTTACTTCCTAATAGATACAAATTGTGATATATATGAATATATATTGATATTTTTGTTAATGATTTTCAAGTTATCAAAGTACCAACTTATAACTCTTGAGAAGCCTTTGGCTTGGAAGACTTCTTTGGCAACAAGTTTTGGTGAATGTTTGGCAAAACACCACCTTGAGCGATAGTAACGTTACCTAGCAACTTGTTTAATTCGTCATCATTTCTGATGGCTAATTGTAAATGTCTTGGAATAATTCTGGACTTCTTGTTGTCTCTAGCGGCGTTACCAGCTAATTCTAAAATTTCAGCAGCTAAATATTCTAAGACAGCAGTTAAGTAGACTGGAGCACCAGAACCAATTCTTTGAGCGTAGTTACCTCTTCTTAGAAGTCTGTGAACTCTACCAACTGGGAAAGTTAGACCAGCCTTAGCAGATCTTGATTGAGAAGCCTTAGCAGCAGAACCTGCTTTACCACCTTTACCACCGGACATTATGTATATATGAGATTATTTGTAGTTGTGTACTTATACAAGGTGAATACAAAAAACCCAGAATTGAAAGAGATAAGGCAGCTAAAATATAAATAATCATCAAGAAAAATTATGTTTGAACAAAAGTTTACCTTATATATATATATATTCTAGTCGTAGGTGCATGATTGTTTTCATTGATATGCAATCTGTGTTGATTGTTGAACCTTCCCAGTTTGGTCACTGACACGATCACGACCACGACTGAGAGTAAATTATATTGCTCTTGAATGTTATTTACACATAATTTCATAAGTTTTGTGTTTATGCAATTCATTTTGAAATTTATTCAGTTGTTTAATTGATTCTGTCTTACGTATTGGACTGAGTCGCGACGCGACGCGAAATTATTATTGTTAACCATGAGCTATCGTGCTGATATTTTCGCACAGATTATCTCGCAGTGAATGAGGTTAACTATGACAAAGCGTGCCCATAGTTTCGCACTTTTTAACAACACCACAAACGTAATTTTATGAACATTTTACAATCAACAATGTCAAACAAACAACCAACAGGCTCATCATTAGGTTGTTGATTTGGATTGTCGTGTTTTGGCGTTTGTTTACTTTGTCAAATGTGAAAGGAAGTTTGGTAGTCTTCAATGTGTTTTGTTATATGATATATATATATAAGTAAAGGAAGAGAATAAGTCAATATTTTCTTTTGATAGAATTAAATTGTTTGCTCCTTTAAAGTTTATATTTATATATATTTATACATAAAATTTTTTTTTGTTATATCTTATATTTACTACTAAGTGAAAAGGAAATACGTATATCCACATACACAAGTCTATATATAATGTCTACTCAAGCCTCTAAGAAACCAGCCTCCAAGGCTCCAGCTGAAAAGAAGCCAGCCGCCAAGAAGACCTCTTCTGGTGTTGAAGGTAAGAAGAGAACCAAGGCTAGAAAGGAAACTTACTCCTCTTACATTTACAAGGTTCTAAAACAAACTCACCCAGACACCGGTATTTCTCAAAAGTCCATGTCTATTCTAAACTCTTTCGTTAACGATATCTTTGAAAGAATTGCTACTGAAGCTTCCAAGCTAGCTGCTTACAACAAGAAGTCTACTATCTCTGCTAGAGAAATTCAAACCGCTGTTAGATTGATTCTACCAGGTGAATTGGCTAAGCACGCTGTCTCTGAAGGTACTAGAGCCGTCACCAAGTACTCTTCCTCTACTCAAGCTTAGATGTAACATCGACATTTTGAATTATACCAAAAACCGATATATATTCCATCTTATTTTGTTTTACTTTGTTTGTTTTTAAATGAAATCTTCATCTTTTTAGGTTAAAAAACATAGGAAGATAGAATAAATAAATAAAAAACGTCAATCTATGTATGTATTTGATTGTTAAAGAGAAAAAAATATCTATATAAATATTTTAGCATTCTTTATATACTTGTAATATTAATATTAATATCTATTTAAAAAAAGTTAAAGAAAAAAATAATATTTAGTTTGTTTTTTATATCTAATCATTCATTATTTTTGTTCTTCCATCTTCTTCAAAACTTTATCAACTTTGTCTTGAGCAGTTTGATGTTTATCAGTCCTTGTTCCGACTCTGATATCGGTCTGAATTCTTACAATACCTTTAGAGTGTGCATACTCATGTACCTCACCGATTAAACTCATCACTTCATCCCAGGGACCTTCAATAGTGGTACCAGCACTGTGTAATGTACTCTTTAGGGGACTTGAACGAATTTTGGCCTCGATCAAAGCTACAAAATCGGAAACACTGGCACTATTAGTTCCAATAGGAACCATACATACATCAGCCAAACAGAATATCTTTGCCATTTCTAAATATTATTATTATATTGCTTGTTCTGTTATTTTTTATTCAACCTCTTTGGCTGATGGGTATATCTTTTTTCTCTCTTTCTCTATCTATCTTCTTAAATAAATTATGTAAATTTGAAGAGTTCACGGCGCTGAAATAAAGGAAAACTTGAAATTTAAATTATTGCAGAGGTAATTTTTTTTGCTTTTCTTTTCAACAATTTGAGAAATTTGTTTGAAATATAAGCAAATAGCAAAAGGAAGGATAATAAAGAGAGGGTATCCCAATATTAGTTAGTCGTTTTGATAAGGTCATCATTAAGGCAAATATACATATATATATATAGTCATTATATTATACACAGCACTAATGGTTGCCAAGAATTCTGTAACGATCGAGAACGTAAATTCGCCTACAACTCAACTTCATAAAAACAAACTTACTCAGTGTTTTGATGATATGATGAGAATGAGTTCAGAGATGTTGGTTCAGGAACAACTGAAGACGATACAATTGGATAACGGTATAACAAATGGATTTTCTGCAACACATCAAAAGAATCTAAAGGAGAAATTTCATGTATTCCATGGTATATTGGACGATCTAGATATCACACTAGACAAATGTGCAACTTATGTAGAGACTTTAAACAAGATTGGGATAGAGAAAGAAGAGTTAAGGAAGAAAGAGGAAGAACTTGAGGCTGAAAGGCAAAAGAAATTAGAAGAAGAGAAAGAACAACAACGTATAGCTAAAGAAGAATTAATGAAGAAAGAAAAAGAAGAACAAGAACAAAAGGAAAAGGAAAAACAAGAGAAGGAGAAGAGAGAGAAAGAGAAGAGAGAAGCTCAGCAAAAGGAAAATAATGTGACTGGTAATGCACTGGATTTAATGGATGATATGAGACTCAGTTTCAATGATGATGTCGGTGTAAATGTTGATGGCACTCAAAACGATCTACTTGGCTCTTTTAATTCCGGTGATAAAGGTTCCAATAATACGCCGGGTATACTCGCTGCTTCTGCTGGAGTAAATGATATTTCAGATCCATTACAATCATTAACATCTGCTGGTGAGACAGATGATAAAAATAACAGTAGCAATAAGAGTAACAATAATAAAGGTAGCAATAATAATGCTAATAATGCTAATGATACAGGAGCAAACAGTGTATTTAACGATCTCGATGCAATGGACATGTCTCTATTTACAGACCTTGACAATACAAACTTTGATCCTCTTTCTGAAACTTTGAATGGTACTAATGATCTCACAGGTAAGGATACTGCCATGAATGACAACAATAATAATAGCAATAATAATGACACTAATAATAACAACAGTAATAATAATAATGGTAGTACTAATAATAACCAAATAAGTACGGATAATGGAGCAACAGCAACCACAGGGGCAATAAATGTCGATAATGAAAATAATGGTAATGTCATGGTCAACAATAATAATGATAGTCTCAATATGATGGAGCCATTACAAGATATGGGTGATGACTATTTAACACTGAACGATTTCAATGATCTTAACATTGATTGGAATGCTGGGGGTGATTCAGGAGACTTGGACCTTAACGATTTTAACATATAAAAACGTTGTAAAATTTAAACTGTACCGGACCGGAAAATAGCAATTTTGGTATTTGTTTCGTTATTATTTCTATTTAGTGGAAATGAGAAGTAAATAATAATTACAAATGATATTTAACTATATGTATTAAGTTTATATGATAGTAGTTTATGATAATAAAACCACCATCACAGTTATATTGTCTGTAGTCCCATTGTTTAGCGCATATTTAACCAAAATACTTGCAGCTTCGTCAGGGTCGTCTATATCCTGTATTAACTCACAAGCCTCCTGATCATCTATCACGTCCCAAAGACCATCACATGCAATAATAAGGAATTTATCTTCCGTGGTAATTTCAACACTTGTTGTAAATGGATTGCCTATCACTAAAGTATCAAAGAATTTATCACCTAAAGACCGTGTCACAGCTAACATACCATTTACCCTACTCTTCATAATTAACCCACCAGCTGTTTCTACTCTTTGCATCTCTAAAATATCTGAAGCTTTATGATCGTATGTCAACCTTATACTATTCCCATTTCTGAAGAGCACTATTCGTGAATCACCAACGTTGGCTGTGTATAACTTCCGCTTGTGTTGGTCTAATGACATCACTTTATTCTCTAATTCATTTTCATCAGGCAATTCCCAACGTAATACACATACTGCTGCCGTACAGCCACTATTCCCTTCTAATTTCGCATTAATTTGTTTATCTATTTGTACAAATGAATCATTTAAAATTTCTCTAATGTCCTTAGTTTCATCCTCTAATATTTCCTTTTCAATCATTGTATGTAGGTGAGACCCACACCATTCAGAAGCTTGGATACCAGCATGGCCATCAAAAATAGCAAAATATCCCCAATCCAATCGCGATGCAAAGTTTTTAACGTATGTATGTACATCTTCCATCGATCGACGGAATTTTAAATTGGTATTTTCAGCTACACCTACCCTATATGTTACATCAGATCCTGAATCTGCAGAAGTGGCTGAGGAGTGAGATGCTGTCGATTTCAATGGGTGTTGTGCACTTCCAGTATCTTCGATAGTAGAATTGCTTGTTGCAATAGCTTCCACTTGAGGGTATTCGGTACGATCTTGTTTTGTACTTATCATGGTCTTTGCAATATTTTATTATAGTAGGATTAAATAATCAAAAATAACAAATAATTCCCTAAAGATAATTAAGATATAATTCTAAACTCTCAGTATATGGATAAATGTGATCTCACTGTTGTATCTCTATCTATTTTAACTAGTTATATAACGGTTTCAGAAATTTCAGGTACTCTATTTATAACTTTTTGCGCCAACACTCACACACGAGAAACAAACAAATAAAATCTATAGAAGAAAAGGGCTTTTTTATATAACAAAAGGCAATATGTCCAGAAAGTAACTTCAATGATAACCCTCTTTGAGTCAATATTAAAATTAGCTCTTTCTTGTAAATTCTTCATATTTATTTTAAAATTATCAGTACTAAATAGATGCACTTTTCCAAGTCTAACTGTTTATTGATTGTCTTTTTGCGCCGCCCAGTGAACAGAGATTTATTTTTAACTGCCTTTGTTCTCTGACTGTGCAGGTCGGGAGTTCTAGTAGAGAGAAAGGCATATGAGTGCACTTTAAACAAGAAAGTGCCATGAGAAATTATTGAAATACTTTCAAAGATTACTGCTTTATCTATCTGTCAGTAGTTTTATAGCCAAATTCATTGTATAATACTTCTATTCATGGGCTCCAGAATAGTAGATTGGGGGCATTACAATAAGCAGTTCTAGATCAATAGATTTCAGTTTATGAATACAAATTGTATGTCAAGTTTAAGAAATTCATATTTATTTTTTATGTATATATATATATATATATATATATATATATCATCATGAGAAGATTATAAGTACAAACCTTCCAGATTTTCCTCCACTTTGTTTTTCAAGACACGTTCTTTAGCTTGTTTGAAATCCTCTGCAGTGACTTGCATTCTTCTCTCTCTTAATGCCAGTAGACCAGCCTCCGTACACATGGCTTGTATATCTGCACCGGACAAGTCATCTTTACTCGTAACAAGCTTTTCTAATTCTATATCTTGACTTAGGTTCATCTTAGATGTGTGAATACCTAGAATCTTTCTCTTGGTTGATAAATCAGGATTCTCGAACAAAATCTTACGATCAATTCTACCGGGTCTAATCAGAGCAGGATCTAAACTTTCTATTTTATTTGTTGCCATGATAACTTTAACATCACCTCTATCATCAAAACCATCCAATTGGTTCAGTAATTCCAACATTGTTCTTTGAATTTCTCTTTCACCACCACTATTTGAATCATATCTCTTTGTACCAATAGCATCGATTTCATCAATAAAGACGATACTAGGGGCGTTTTCCGCAGCAACCTTAAATATTTGCCTACATAGTCTTGGACCATCACCCAAGTATTTTTGAATTAATTCAGAACCTACAATTCTTAAAAACGTAGCAGAAGTTTGGTTAGCAACAGCCTTTGCCAAAAGAGTCTTACCTGTACCTGGTGCACCATATAGGATAACACCCTTAGGAGGCTTGATACCCATTTCTTCGTATAATTCTGGATGTGTTAGAGGTAATTCGACAGACTCCTTGATTTCTTGAATTTGAGATTCTAGACCACCTATATCACTATACGATTCGGTAGGAGATTTGTCAATCTTCATAACAGAAACCATTGGATCAGCATCGTCTTGCAATACACCAACAATAGACATAGTCTTGTGATGTAAAAGAACGGAACAACCAGGTTCTAACAGTTCCTTATCAACAAAGGAAAGAATTGAAACATAATAATCTGGCATGGTTGGACTTGTCACAATTGCATGATCATCGTCAATAATTTCTTCTAATGTACCAATACTCAATGGGTTACCTCTAATTTCTAATAGTTGTTTTTTCTCTTCTTCTTGTTTCTTTTCAAAAGGCTTCAAAATCTCAGAGTTAGTAACGAACTCTTCTTCTAATAACAAATGATCCTTGATTCTCTCCATTCTTAATAATTTCAATTTACAACGAGTACTCGGATGAACATTTGGTAATTTTTCAGCTGTTGCTGGACCTCCTCTTCTCTTCTTACGTCCAAACTTAGACTGCACTGGTGGTTCATACTTTGGTTTTTGATTGGCACCTTTCTTATTTTTCTTTTTATCTTGTCCTTGAGAAACACCTTGACCCATGATTAATGTAATATATTATAATATTTCTCCTAGTTGCGAAATGTGAGTATAATGAATATCTTGACTAAATAGATTGAAAAAATGTACAAGGAATTGTAAAAATAACCTCAGGAACAATATTTTTTGAATCTCGATTATGTTAATCAGATGTTCTTGTTTGGTTTTGTATCTATTCTCCCTTTTATGTGATAAAACACACCTTTTCTACTCTAAGTTAGTCTTAATTCTTATTTCTGCCTAACCAGTCTATGTTTTTTGTTTTTTGCCACCGCCCCAAATTTTTCAATCGCTAACAATTTTTTTTTGTTCGTCAGGCAATAAACAGTTCCAAGATTATTTATTATAATGGATTGTTGAATGTAGATAACGAAGAGATAGAACAGAACCACTATTTTAACACGAGAAGAACTTTCCAAAGTTTACAAGATTAGTATCAATACATTCTATTTCTGCTGAGGCCTGCCAGGTCATTGCTGTTAATATTAATATTAATGTTTCGATTATATTAGATTAGTATATATACGTTTCTTATTTATAAAGTATGAAGAAAGAAAAATGAATTTCTTTAGAGTAAAAAATAAATGGTGGAAAATGAAAAAAGATTAATTAAGTAGTGTAATTTGTTTTTTATTGTTTCATTATATCATAATTTTAAGAGTAACTGCTTACAAGTTTTCAGTGTAATGGTGATCACCATCCAACTTTCTTAATCTATCAGCGGCTTGTTCAGCAGTCAAATCTCTTTGTGGTTCACCCAACATTTCAAAACCGACTAAGAACTTTCTAACAGTAGCAGATCTTAGCAATGGTGGGTAGAAATGCATGTGGAACCAAGCATTGTTCAATTCATCACCAGTAGCATTCAATGGAGCTTGATGTAGACCCATAGAGTAAGGGAAAGATGTTTCAAACAAGTTATCGTACTTGACAGTCAATTGCTTCATCATGGAAGCTAGGTCATCCTTTTGTTTGTCAGTGAAATGAGCAATACTTGGAACCTTAGTCTTAGCGACAATCATGGTTTCAAATGGCCAGACAGCCCAGTATGGGACTAGAACTAAGAAACTGTCATTTTCTAGAACAATTCTACTTCTTTCTTCCATCTCCAATTTGACGTAGTCGCCTAACAAATCAGCATTGTGAGCGTGCTTATACTTATCAAAGGACTTGAATTCTTGAGAGACTTCACTTGGAACGGCTTCTAGACACCAAGCTTGACCATGAGGATGTAAGTTAGAACAACCCATGGCAGTACCCTTATTTTCAAAGATTTGTAAATATTTGAATGGTTTCTTTTCTTCAACAGCTTGTTTAGATAAGTCGTTGTAAAGTTGTTGCCATGTACTTATGACCTTGTAAAGATCCTTAACTTGCATTTGAGGAATGGTCAAGTTATGTTTTGGACTGAAACATATAACGAAACAATTACCTCTAACACCTTGAACCTTGATCAATCTGTCTTTTAGGGTATCCTTACCTGAATCTTGAACTTCTAAAGCTGGTTGATCGATTTTAACAGCAGCAAAATCGTTTTGGAAAACGTAAGTGGATTCATACTTTGGGTTAGCACCACCAGTGACTCTCTTGTTACCTGGACATAAGAAACACTTTTCTTCATATTCAGGAATGGTAGACTTGGCTGGTGTTTCTTGTTGACCTAACCAAGGTCTCTTAGCTCTGTGAGGTGAAACAAGGATCCAGGAGTCGGTCAATGGGTTGTAACGTCTGTGTGAGTTATCAGTGAAATCAAATTCTTGGGACATTATAAGAAAATAATAGGAAAAGTTGGTAAATTAGTTTAACTAAGTTATTGAAATTGCTTAATAAACTTATTATGATGTAGTATTTTCTAATTCACAAATGAAAAAAAATATAATAAGATATATTAAAAGGGTTCAATTTGTTTACTTATGAAGAAGAAAAATTTTATTGTTGTTTGGATGTCATCCTTATATATTAATTGGTTAATGTATATTTTTTACATTATTCAAAGGATTATATTAATCCTTGAATTCTCATTCCGATAATAATCCACGTTCTACTAGTTCTGAATAGTCACAAGGCAACTAACTAAGTTGAGTATTGAATAAAGATGAGGTCTCTATTCACTTACTGTGATAGTGAGGGGCCTTGTTGCTGTTTTGTTCTTTTACGTGATATTTCGCAGCTAATATTAATAGCAAGATGAGCAGCTTAAAAACTAGCTATGGCAACCGGCTCGGAGCGAAGCGGTCCGGTTGTAATTTTTTCTTTCTTGGTTGAACCGTCGGTAGCTAATCGGTAACTAGTCTCCCGTTGGCCACGGGGCGACAATGAGACGCTAATTTACAGTAAAAATGTAAGTCAATTTTTTTGGATAATCGACAATAATTGACCAGATGAACGTCGATTAAGGGCATTTTCAGATGACCAATTTCTGGTTGGGTTTACTTTAATTTGTTTACTTTTGTTTTACATGTTTTGCTTTTTAGTTATTGTGATTTTGGCTGGTGAAAATTTATAGTAATTTAATACGGTTTCATGATAATTAATATAGTGACGCGATTTGGTGAATGTGGTCCGAAAGCACCTTTCGATTATAGAGTTGAGTGAATTCATATTTATGCTCCAAATTGTAGGAACACAGTTGTGAACTCCGATTAACTTGTTCTACCTCTTGACCTCTTGATAGGTTCCCGTGTCTACTTTTTTCTTTGGAGGAGTGGGGTAATAATATATTAAAAACGTCAAAGAAATAACTCAAAATTCGTTTACAAAGTTGGTTCTAGATATTTTTCAACCTTGAAGGATCACAACAATATATTGATTGAGATTAGGCTTATTAGCTTGAAATCTTTTCTACTCCTGAAGAATAGGTGGTAACTGTTCGAAATTTTTTCAGATGTCACAAATTTTTATAAATTTTTCATCCTAATGTAAATACAAATATTTTTCTACTACTTTTTGTTTGTTTGTTCTTGCAATACTAAATGAATAAGATATCATATGTGTATAAGAAAAATACATTGCGAAACACTTTGAGTAGGTTTATTTATCATAAACGACGAAAAAATCCCTGTCTTGTTAATTAATGAAAATGGTGATAATTGTAGTTTGTAGTGTATAAAAGTTAAATTTATGGAATATTACATACTTTGATTGTTAATTAGTTTTGGAACTCTTGGGGTTTTTTTTAGGAAAAACAAGAATTTTCTTCAGATTTCGGATTTCAATCAATTTTCGTCTTCATATTGACATATGTTGTAAGCATTGAAATATTCATGAAATTCGTAAAAATAATGAATACAGAGGTACAAGGACAAGAAAATATCTATCGATTTTCTTTGAAAGTCAAACGCTTAAGCAGTTAATGAAGTTGTCACTTTGATATGTGACACCGATACAGTAAACTATTTAAGATTTTTTATTCCTCGAGGATATCAATTTTCAAAGTATGACCGTGGGGATACTTAGAATATCATATTAAGTTCTATCTGGCAGATTCAACAAAGCTCCCACTGTAGTTTGCCTGATGAGTTTTTTAAAAAAAACCTGGAGATACGTTACCCAGAAATAATTAAAAGAAAAAAAACGTTTGTAGAATTAGTGACGCTCATGTAACCCAGTATAACATTGTCTGGAGCAATGTCGTTAAAGAAAAGGAAACAAAAATAGATAGCGTTTTGAAAGGAGTTCCTCACCCGAAGTCCGGTGTGCCCTTAATTGTGCAAGATTTATTAACTTGCTGTGGTGATCCACAACGGATATCTTAGCCCCACAAAATAGTTGCTTCGAAGTGCATTACTATTTCGTGTCACTTATTCTGTCTCTCTGTGTCTTTCTCTCTTAGTATAGTAAGAACAACTAAATTAACAGACTTCTCCCGCCCCCTCCAATCCGGGACACCGGTGGCCGAAGTTCGAGCGGCGCAACTCTGCCCGTTTCGCGGAAGTTAGCAAAATTGAAATTTTTCAGCTTTCGTAATAAATGAAGATTATCAGGTAAGAAGTGGGGGTTGCACCCGGAATACAGCTGCCCGAAACTACGTTGCCAGCTTAAACAGTTATAACACCATGTTATGAAAATTGATTTGCCCCTCGTCAGGCTGGAGAAGTGTTGATGATGGCTGTATTTTAACGCATGTAGGCTTGTTTATACCCCAGATGAATTTATTTTCGTCTCTTTTTTTTCATTTTGTACTCGGTGCCATTGGTTGTTGTTGATCAAACTTTCGTTAAGAGTCTACTTATAATCCTGTGAGGAATGCAAAAGACCGGAGGTTGTTAAGTCTTATTCATATGTAAGGTACTCCTCTACCCCCCCACCTTTTTTAAGATGCTACCTCCCCTTATTCAACTGAACTTTACGTTAGAAACTTAATTCACTGTTCGAGAGAAATTTTAAGAAAAGAAAGCATATATAAGTGACAAGAATTTGTTCTCAATTGATGAATTCAAGTTTCCTTTTTTTTTCTTTTCTTAACTAATCTACTTATAATAAATAAATAAAACCAATTAAGTAAGAAGAATCACCAACTTTCCTCTTATCTAACACTATTTATAAAAACTCCACAACAATAATAATGTCTGTTCCAGAACTAAAAGCCGGTGACAAAAACATCCCAACCTCTCTACAAACTAGATGCCCAGAAGTCATTAAGGGTTTCGAAGCCACTTACGGTGCTAAGCCAGATTTCGTCGCTAGATCTCCAGGTAGAGTTAACTTAATCGGTGAACATATCGATTACGCCGATTTCTCCGTCTTACCATTAGCTATCGATGTTGATATGTTATGTGCTGTTAAGGTTCTAGATGAAAAGAACCCATCCATCACTTTATCTAACGATGACAAGAGATTTGCTCAAAGAAAGTTCGATCTACCATTAGATGGTTCTTTCGTTACTATTGACCCATCTGTCTCTGACTGGTCTAACTACTTCAAGTGTGGTCTACACGTCGCTCATGAATTTCTAAAGGAAATCGCTCCAGCTAAGTTTTCTAACGCTCCACTAGCTGGTCTACAAGTCTACTGTAAGGGTAACGTTCCAACTGGTTCCGGTCTATCTTCATCTGCCGCTTTCATTTGTGCTGTTGCTCTAGCTGTCATTAAGGCTAACATGGGTGAATCTTACCACGTCTCCAAGAAGGACCTAACCAGAATTACTGTTGTTGCTGAACATTACGTCGGTGTTAACAACGGTGGTATGGATCAAGCTGCTTCCGTCTGTGGTGAAGAAGATCACGCTCTATACGTCGAATTCAAGCCAGAACTAAAAGCTACTGCTTTCAAGTTCCCAGAATTGAAAAACGATGATGTTTCTTTCGTCATTGCTAATACCCTAGTTGTCTCTAACAAATTCGAAACTGCCCCAACTAACTACAACTTAAGAGTCGTTGAAGTTACTGCTGCTGCCAACGTTCTAGCTAACAAATTCGGTGTTGTCCTAAAGCATGTTGGTGCTTCTAACTTAAACAAGGGTAACCTAAGAGATTTCATGAACGCTTACTACGCTAGATACCATAACACCCCAGAACCATGGGATGGTGATGTTACTACTGGTATCGAACGTCTAACAAAGATGGTTGAATTAGTTGAAGAAGCTCTAGGTAACAAGAAGGAAGGTTTCACTGTTGAAGAAACTGCTGCTGCCTTAAACTGTTCCAAGGAAGAATTCACTAAGGACTACTTAACCACTTATCCAGTTAGATTCCAAGTTCTAAAGCTATACCAAAGAGCTAGACACGTCTACACTGAAGCTCTGAGAGTTCTAGAAGCTTTGAAGGTTATGACTGGCACTAAGTTCGACTCTGACGAAGATTTCTTCAAGGCTTTCGGTGGTCTAATGAACCAATCCCAAGCTTCTTGTGACAAATTATACGAATGTTCTTGTCCAGAAACTGACAAGATCTGTGAAATTGCTCTAGGTAGCGGTTCTTACGGTTCTAGATTGACTGGTGCTGGTTGGGGTGGTTGTACCGTCCACTTAGTCCCAAGTAGCTCTGTCGAAAGTGTCAAGAAGGCTTTGATTAACGATTTCTACAAGGTCAAGTACCCAAACATCACCGACGCCGAATTGAACGATGCTATCATTGTCTCTAAGCCAGCTCTAGGTTCTTGTCTATGTGAATTGTAAAAAAAAGTGCATTGAATAATACGTCAACTTTTTTTTAATTCTTTTCACAAATGTCTAACGAAGTATTATGATCTAATAATTTACGACTGTCAGGATTTAATATAATAAAATATAACTATATAAATTTTTTATAAAACGATACTAATAATAATAACAATATAAAAAAAAACTTTTTTTAATTAAAAAGAAAGAAAAATTATGTAGCAATGGATTTTCATCTATCCAAAATTCTGTGTGTGTTCTTGGTTAAGAAAATAGGACAACTGTGCTATCTATTATATTAAGTATTATCAATCCTGTAAACCCTCCTTATAATACTAGGTATGTATATGAGTGATTGGAATTACAAAATAGTTATGTCATCGAAAGGGACAATGTCTTTCAATTATTCGCAAGAACATTCCACGGTGAACTGTGTTTTTGTTCTTTTTGTTTGATTTGGTAATATGGAAAAATTGTGTCACAAGAATAATGTCCTTACAACGGACATTCTACGCTCCTATTTTTTTCTTTTCTTTTTTTTGTTACTTTTCCCGATGCCTACTCTTATCGGCAATTCAGCAGAGAAATGGCAAAGGAAAGTCAAGATTTACGGTTAAGCTAATAACGAGGTAAAATTCAACTAAATATCCTCAAGTTAGAAATGTGCTGTTAGTGAAAGGTGTTTATTCTGAATACCGGAATATAATGACAAATATATAATGGTTATCATCAATTTAAAACGTTTGTTCTTATTACAGTTGGTTATACGATAATTTGTTTTGCCCTATATCCCTATGGCCCTTTCCTGCCCGGAACGAAATTTCCCTTTGTTCTGTGGAAACACCAAAATCCAATAGCAAAGATTTTGTTGCGTATTGTTACCCGATAGCCAGAAAGAGCGAGGCTGGGCTGAGTAGTTTGTGCGGGGGGAGAAGAAAAGCTAGACCGAGAGACAAAGGAAGAAGGAAATGAAAAGTATTTAACAGATCTTTTGTACTGAATTGGGACATTTTTGGAAACTTTCAAATGAAATTTTTGGATATGAAAAACTTTTCACCGACGCAGATAAATTTTTCATGAGATAAGAATTTATATATGATATATATAAAACTGGGGCATCGAATACAAAAAATTAGAAGGTCATCACAAAATACTATTTCTGTATCAATTTTTTAATTCAAACTTAAAAAACTTTTATCTTTTCTTATTCTTGTTTGTATTCATTTATGTTTTTTATAATTACAAAGTGATTTGTTAAAACTTTCTTTTTTAAGGGATTAGATACTAGAATTTATATATATATATTTTTTCATATTAATAAATTTTCTAATATCCTATTGTGAATTAAAAGGGAAGAAAACAAAAGGCTATACGAGCATATTTTGATTTAATTATATAAAGTCGAACTATGCCTGACGATATTACTGAATATTTTGCCCACACTGGGATTACTCACACACAATCACAAACAGATTATCAATATCTTAATAGTAGTCGGAACTCCCTACGGAATGAGGATGAAGATGAGATTGAAAATAAAAATGAAAAGGCATTTCATGCCTCAGGCAGTAAAATGTCAACTAGAATGGTAGAAGAATCTACTTTTGAAGAAGCTATCCAGGTTCATGGTGATAGTAGTAGTGATGAGGAAAGTGGTAGTGATAAAGGTAATAAATTTAGCCGTTATGACGATGATGAAGATCTGAAGAAATATTCTAAATGGAGAAGATTTTATTTAAAATATGTTGTCCTGGACAGAAATTTCGCAGATATATCAATTCTAGATTCATTCATGTATAATTCAGATCTGAAACCAGTAGAAGAAGAGAGAAGAGTATGGTCATGGTATAATTTTGCATATTTTTGGTTAGCTGAATGTTTCAATATTAACACTTGGCAAATTGCTGCCACTGGTTTACAATTAGGTTTAAATTGGTGGCAATGTTGGATCACTATCTGGATTGGTTATACTTTTGTCGGTATATTCGTTGTGCTTTCTTCAAGAGTAGGTGCTGCCTACCATCTTTCCTTCCCAATTTCTTCTAGAGCTTCATTTGGTATCTTTTTCTCTTTGTGGCCTATTATTAATAGAATTGTTATGGCCATTGTGTGGTATTCTGTTCAATCATGGTTAGGTTCCGAACCTGTTTCATTAATGTTAAGATCTATATTTGGTAAAGATTTACCAGATAGAATCCCAGATAATTTTGGTTCTGAAAATGCAACCACTTATACATTCATGTGTTTTTTCATCTTTTGGGTTGTAGAATTTCCATTCCTATTAATTCAACCTCATAAAGTTAGACATTTATTTACTGTAAAAGCTATTTTGGTTCCATTTGCATCTTTCGGTTTCTTAATTTGGTCTGTTAGAAAGGCTCATGGTAAGATTTCTCTAGGTAGTTTAACAGACTTTCATCCAACTGGTAGTGCTTTTTCATGGGCTTTTTTAAGAAGTGTTATGGGTTGTATGGCTAACTTTTCTACTATGGTTATTAACTCACCTGATTTTGCAAGATTCTCGAAAACAAAACATTCTGCATTATGGTCTCAATTATTTTGTATCCCATTCATGTTTTCAATTACCTGTCTGATTGGTATCTTAGTTACAGCTGCTGGTTATGAAATGTATGGTGTCAATTACTGGTCTCCCGTTCAAGTCTTAGAACAATTTTTGATTAGGTCCTACACTAAGGGTACTAGAGCAGGTGTGTTCTTAATTTCGTTCGTTTTCGCTATTGCACAATTAGGTACTAACATTTCTGCTAATTCATTATCATGTGGTACTGATATGACAGCTATTTTACCAAAATATATTAACATTAGACGTGGTTCAATCTTCTGTGCATGTTTGGCATTGTGTATATGCCCATGGAATTTGATGGCCACTTCAAGTAAGTTTACAATGGCTCTTTCTGCGTATGCTATTTTCTTATCCAGTATTGCTGGTGTTGTCTGTGGTGATTACTTTGTTGTTAGAAGAGGTTATATCAAGTTGACCCATATCTATTCCAATAGAAAGGGATCTTTCTACATGTACGGTAATAAATATGGTATTAATTGGAGAGCATTAGTTGGTTATCTATGTGGTGTCGCACCAAATTTACCTGGTTTCATTGGTGATGTTGGTGCTCCAAAGATCACAGTTTCTATTGGTGCTATGAGAATTTACTACTTGAGTTACTGGGTCGGTTATTTCATAAGTTTCAGTGTCTACATTGGTTTATGTTATTTCTTTCCGGTGCCAGGCCAACCAGTCAAGAACATCTTTAGGGATAAGGGTTGGTTCCAAAGATGGACTAATGTTGAAAACTTTGAACAGGAATGGAGGGAATCTCTAGAGAAGAAAGATTTACTCGACGATGAAGTAGACGTTTACGAGTACTCTAGAGGCAAACCCATATTTTGAATCTTGTTCTACAAGGAATGCTGTAGGTTTTCCACAACTGATAACAAAAATTGTTACATCACCATTAATAAAATTAATTCATTCTTTATTTTTGTATAATAAACTTTAAACTGCATAATTACTCAGGTCATTAAATTGGACCCGCTGTATAAACAAATAAATTCATTAATTGCATATTTTAATCATATATATATATAGTTATTTATTTTCAATTTTATCTTTTTTTTCACTATCCTTAATAATTAATAGTCTCGAAGTTTCTACTCATCGCATTCATACTTTCTCGCCCGTATATTATTTCCTTTTCGGGATATATCACGAAAAAACGTAGCCTCTTTGGTGAAAAAATAAAAAAAAAAAAAAAAATAAATAAATGCCTGATTTAAAAATAAATCTTGGACAATAGATAGTGAGAGATTTGAAGATTATTACTATAAATATATTGAATACTTATCGGTTTGTTTCAAACGTTCTATAAATTGCAAGGTGTGCCACTGTAAATATTGAAAATTTTGTAAGCTGCTCCAAATTTAGCAACTTTGTAAATAATTCACCCCTCGAAGAGTTTTTACTATGGACGAAGATAACTATTATCTCCACCTAGATGATGAGCACTTAATTAGGCCAAGGGCAAGCAGTGCTTCTTCACACCCTCGGAGACAAGGTTCTTTAGTAAGGCCAGAAAGAAATAGGTTAGATAACCCTTCAAATCCCAGCTATTATTATGCTCAAAAGACAGCAGAACAAAAAAATAGGTTAAGTGTGTTGCCTTCAAGCACAGGTGTGAATCCAACAACTGCTAGAAATAGTACAATTAGGTCTCGTCGGACTTTGAGCACCAAGAGGGGTTCGAGTATTATTGAGGAAGAATATCCCCTTAGAGATATAAGTAACGATGATGCTTCAAGAGATGATACAAGATTTAACGAAGAACAAGACGGCTTAAATGAACAAGAGAACGAATTTGATGATTATGACGAAAGCAGATTTGATCCATATATCCCTGATCTTAGAAAAGATTTTAAAAAAATATCAGAATCGCACAAGGACTCGAATTCTTCAATATCGCTATGGACAATGTATTGCAAAATATTAACATTCTGGATTCCAGGACCAGTTCTTGCCCTTTTTGGTATGCCAGATAAGGAAAGACAGATGGCATGGAGAGATAAAATTGCGCTATTATCTATTATATGTTATATTGGTGCAATTGTCGCATATATTACATTTGGTTTTACGAGAACAGTTTGTCCAAATTCTGGTATAAGATTGGAGAATAACGACATAGATACAGGGTTTGTGACCATAAATGGTAAAGCTTATATATATAATGGAACTTCAACAGATGGCAGTGACTTACAAGTTGAAGGGAAATACATTGTCGGACCCTGGCAAGACGCTGGGAAAGATGCTACGTTTTTATTTCAAAATGTCAACGGGAACTGTAAAAATGTAATCGTCCCAAAAGACAATTGTTCTATTCCATACAATAGTGACAAAGAACTGGCATGGTATTTTCCTTGTAAAATGAAAAATATAGATGGTTCTTCTAAACCAAATTTTACGAGGTCTGAGCACTATGATGGTTGGGGTTGCCACACATCTAATGATGAAAGGAAGGCCTACTATAATCTGAAGAGCTATGCGTCAGCATATTTTACATGGGATGATATTAAAAACTCATCCAGAAATTTAGTGGTATATAATGGAGATGTTCTCGATTTGAATTTATTAAATTGGTTAGAATCTGACGATCTAGATTACCCTACAGAATTCGACGATCTAAAAAATTCTGACCTTCAGGGTTATGATTTATCCTTGGTTCTCTCTACAGGTCATGATAGAAAGATCGCGAGATGTCTGAATGAAATTATTAAGGTAGGTGAAATCGATTCGAAGACGGTAGGGTGTCTTGCTTCAGATGTTGTTTTGTATGTCTCATTAATCTTCATTTTTGCCATTATTGTCGCAAAATTTTTAGTTGCAAGTTATTTCCGTTGGTTCGTATCTAAGAAACAGGGGGCGTTCGAAGTTGATAATAAGACTATGGATAGGTATATTAACACTATTGAGGACTGGTCTGATAATATATATGCTCAAGGTCCTATCAAACAGGTAGATCCGTCCATGAGACCAGTGAAAAAAGAATCAGGTCTGTCAACTTTGAAAAAGAAAACTTCAAGGATGTTACAACTTAATGATTCAGTTATAGACTTAGAAAGTTCTGCAAGTAACAACAATATTCCTGCATCTGGAACCCTTAATGGATATACGACTATGACTTCACAGAATGCGTGGAAATTCAATGGTGAAAATGATCCAAACGAACAAAGACAAAATACTGGTCATAGATCTGACACCTTGACTTTATCATCACTCCTGTGGAACTCGGCAACGATTTCTCCCGCACCTGGAAAGTTGACTTCAATCTCCTCTTTAGACCCTACTATCATTCATCCTGATATAGTACAACAACCACCTATAGACTACATGCCGTATGATTACCCCTTAATCCACACTATATGTTTTGTTACCTGTTATTCTGAGGATGAAAGTGGTCTAAGAACTACATTAGATTCTATATCTACTACGGACTATCCAAATTCTCACAAGCTAATCATGATTGTTTGTGACGGTTTGATCAAAGGGTCAGGTAATGATAAAACGACACCAGAAATCGCCCTAGATATGATGGACGATTTTGTTGTCCCACCTGAAGAGGTTCAAGCAAATTCTTATGTTGCAGTAGCATCTGGTACCAAAAGACATAATATGGCCAAAATTTATGCCGGGTTCTACAAATATGACGATGAAACTGTCCCCCTAGAAAAACAGCAAAGAGTTCCAGTTATTACTATTGTGAAATGTGGTACTCCAGAGGAACAAGGTTCTGCAAAACCAGGGAACAGAGGTAAACGTGATTCGCAAGTCATTTTGATGTCCTTCTTGCAAAGGATTACCTTTGATGAGAGAATGTCTGAATTGGAATTTCAACTTTTGAAAAATATTTGGCAATTGACAGGGTTAATGGCAGACTTTTACGAGACTGTTTTGATGGTTGATGCAGATACGAAAGTATTTCCGGACTCTTTGTCTCACATGGTCGCAGAGATGGTAAAGGATCCTACAATTATGGGTTTATGTGGTGAAACCAAAATCGCAAATAAGGCGGACACTTGGGTCACGGCAATTCAAGTTTTCGAATATTATATCTCACATCATCAGTCTAAAGCTTTCGAGTCTGTGTTTGGTTCTGTTACATGTCTACCTGGTTGTTTCTCTCTTTATAGAATTAAGTCACCCAAAGGTGCGGATGGTTATTGGGTGCCAATTTTGGCAAATCCAGACATTGTTGAAAGATATTCTGACAATGTTACAAACACTTTACATAGAAAGAATTTGTTGTTATTAGGTGAAGATAGATATCTTTCCTCCTTAATGTTGAGAACCTTCCCTAAAAGAAAGCAAATCTTCGTTTCTAAGGCCGCGTGTAAGACCGTTGTTCCAGATGAATTTAAGGTTCTATTATCACAGCGTCGTAGATGGATTAATTCTACAGTTCATAACTTATTTGAACTTGTATTAATTAGAGATCTTTGTGGTACATTTTGTTTTTCTATGCAATTTGTCATTTTTATTGAATTGATAGGGACCCTTGTTCTACCATTGGCAATTTGTTTTTCTGTGTATGTTATCATGTTCGCCATACTGTCACACCCTACGCCTGTTCTTACATTGATCCTGTTGGGTTTAGTCCTTGGTTTACCTGGTGTGCTTGTTGTCGTAACAGCTACCAGATGGTCTTACTTAATGTGGCTTGCTGTTTATATATGTGCATTACCTATTTGGAATTTGGTTTTACCATCATACGCTTATTGGAAATTCGATGATTTCTCATGGGGTGATACAAGAACGATCGCTGGTGGTAATAAGGTCAAGGAGAGTGAAGAAGGTGAGTTTGACCATTCTCATATAAAAATGCGGACATGGAGAGAATTCGATCGTGAAGAACGAATGATGACAAAAACTGGTGGTATCGATGCTGATCCATCCAAATATATTTAAAATATCCCGGTATTTTAGAACATGCATAATATTTAGATGATATAAAACTAAAATGTAAATAAATCAATACAGCATTAAATAATTTATTACTTATAATATTAAGCAGTATTCAATATGTTGTTTAAATAAGACAGATTATAGCTGGTAAACAGTAAAATTCATCTTTCCATCAAAACTTAGAAGTTCTTGTTCAGTTAGTTCCCATGGAACTCCAAAAATACCACTGTTTATCATTGGCATTTCTAGTTTATACTTGGTTAGTTTTTCGATGGCTCCATATTTGGTAGCTATGTCTGGGACATTTATTTGGTTGTACATATCTTCCAGTGCCTCTTTTGTATATTTTAAGATGCTTTCCTTAGAACCGTGCCCCGAACCTCCTAAACTTGATGTGAAAAGGCAAGCAATTATTAAATTATCTTCAGAATAACTTGGAATTAATGCACATTTACCTAATAGATTCGATCCATTTTCTTCACAAATTTGTATATAATCTCTTTCACTATGTGGATAGCGCATTGACATTTGATACGCTATTCCACCACCCCACGACCCATTACAGTTACAAGAATGGATTAAAATATGAGGATAACCTTTTAGTGTTAGAATATTGCCTTTTATATATTGCAAATTGGACATCGTAATGGTTGTCTCTATAGTTCTCTTTCTGAATTGTATGTAGTTCTATCAAAATGGTTTTAAATTTAACTAATTCTACATAATTTTTTACGGTTGCTTGTTGTTCTAACTTCTACAAAACTTTAAATCCAGTCCGAAAATGTAAACAAAAAAACGATAGTGATAATTACTGGTAGTGGGCTAAATTCATTACATTAGGCACTATTTAAAAATTTTAAAGCTATAGTTAAAAGCCACTATAAACTCGACAATAATAATATCTTAATTATTTAGTTGTTCAACTTCATGAAATAACATCCTACTTTCGCGAGTCTCTTTCAAATGGTATTAGTCAGAATCTTTTTTATAAGGTATCGTATATTGAAGTATATAAGTATGATAATGTACATAAAAAAATATTAATGATGCACCGTTATTAAATGAGGGGCGTCGTTAGGTAGTATAAATCACTTTTCTTTGTGGAATGGATTCAGATTCTGAATACCCCAGGATCCTGTTTCTTCAGATTTATGAGTATAACTAACAATCATACGTAGGTATTTCATAAATAAGAAACCCATTGATCCAACAACTCTGAAAATGGAAAGTGCAGCAACCGACCACAAAATGAAGATTAAGTATCCATTGTTAGTTTCTTGTGGGTCGAAGATCTCAATTATAGACATAATCAAAATCAAATTGGAAAGCATCCAGAACATAACAATTCTTGTTCTGATATCTCTGTAATAATCGTTACGTTTTTCACCTTCATCAACTGTAACAATTTCAACCTCAGGTTCCTTTAAACGACTTTTAATTTCCAGGTATTTTTTGTCAACTTCCTGTGGCCAATCTGTTTCCACAATTTGCTTACCATCAGGACCTTGCAATACAATAGCCTTAGATAGTTGCTTGGAACCTCCAGTTGAACCTTTTGTACCCCAGGAAACATCATGAGTGTTACAAAAAGCATAAATTTGGAGAGTACAGGTAAAAGCTGGTAGAGTAATAAAATATTGGAGAGAAGATGTAAATATGTGCCATGGGTCTAAGTACATGAAGGAAGAAAATATGTAGCAACCATATGTGGAAAGCATGGAGACGACAATATTAACAAATGCAGAGTGAGATTCCTCCTTTAAGACCATTGACCTGATGGCAAATGTAAAACCACAAATTAATGAGTATAGCGCACATATAGTCAAAATAACCATGGATGTAATGTATAGATGTTTACCACCTTGTGGTCTATTACCCATAGAAATAATGAATAGACAAGCTAGATCACAGAATATCAGATATTTTAAGAATATAAATAGGGCCTCACCGTGCTTTAGTACTTCATTTAGGGAACCAGCTAGATAATAGAAAGTTAAAACGAAGTTAGCTATCGAGAACCAGGAAAACAACATTTGAATAAGTTGGTAAACAAATTCAATTTGTAAAAAGAATAGCCTTGTGATAGAATGTTTCGTTTTCCAAATTTGGAAAAAATGTAGTTGTGCGTATAGAGCGGCGAACATAGCACCATTTAACCAACGTCTTCTTTGGGAAATAAATTCAGGAATCTCTTCAGGAACATCTGTCGCACCAGTAGCCTCTTTAACGTATTTCAATACCCATTTGGCATCTCTTTTAGCAACTAACTCCCAACATAAAATTCTATCTTCTGCAAGGTACATGTTTGCTGTAAACACATCGTGATCCCTACCTTCTTGGGTTTCACCTAAGAAATAAGAGTGTAGAGGACCTGTTCCGTCTGCATGATTTTGAAGAGCTCTATATCTATATGCTGATAGAGCACCCGGTAAGACCGATATATAACCGAACAAACTTTCCAGAGGTTTATCTAAAATATTGGATATCTTATATTCGAAATTTTGAGATGCTACAAGGGGATTAAATAGTTTTAAACCATATTTACCCTTAATGGTTTTAATCTGCCCAGCTGCACCTGCAACATTTGAATCATTATCAAAGGCTTTCCATAAGTGATAAACTGCAGTGTGGTTAAGTTGAGTACCAACATCGACCAGAGTTACAACTGTCGGTTGTAATACAGGACAGAAGGCGTTTAATAACCAACGGTGGGAGTTAATTTTTTTCTTATTTTCTTCTTTTAAACAAAAGACTAATTGAACGGGAACAATATCTTTGGAAACATAGTCTAAGTCATCGTTAATTGAAATCTGTGTTGTTAGTTCAAAAATATGTGCTTTTACTTGGTCACCATTAACTGATGCCTTAGCCATATCTTCTTGGTAGACACCTAGAGCAGCTAAGTAATCCAAAGCACCTTGATTAACCTTACTTCTACCATCACTAATTAAGATAACCGAAACTTTCTTCCAACCGTCAGGACCCCACACTTGGGATCTCTTACGGCGACACAAATGTGACACATTTTTCATAATCGAATGTAATGTTCTTGCCAAAGCGTATTTGTCTTCGTTGTACATTGTTACACAAACAACAATTTGACATTCACGATTCATTTCAGCAAATCTTAAAGAGTAACCTTCATTTTGGAATTCATCAGGGTCAACTGTACATGCTGTATATCTCATTTCGGTAAATTCTAATTTATCTCTTCTTGGTAACGTATTAAGTAACCCTCTAGGTATTGGGTTATCTAATTTTAAAATTGCCTTCTTTAAGACTTCATTGGTTGTTGGCCTTCTTTTACTCTCTGAATTAGCACGTCTAACATAGTCACGACGAACTGGATGGTTCAATTCAAATTTAGTCTCTGTGAATGTGTCTGTGGAGAATACAGTAGAGTTATCGTCAAATGATTTACGGAATTTCTCTTCCGAATCGAATGATGATCTGACTTCGGTACTTGAAGTCGAAACTGTATTTTTGGACGACCTTGAGTAATTTCTGTTAGTTTGATTCTGATAACTCATTGAATCCATCGAAGAGTGGTAGTCATTACCTGCGTCAGCGTCATAATTGCGAGCCATGTTGTTTATTGACAAATCATCCTCATCGTCAGGGTAGCTATGATTAATGTTTAGAAATTGTCCTTCAATCTTTCTTGGCGATTTTTTGAGATTATCTGTGTAATGTTCTTGTGCTGGAGATTGTTTAATAGGACTGTCACTAAACTGTAAAACCACGTCATTACCTCTTCTAGGTGATTCATGTAGGTTGGTTGCATATCTACTATTACTAACTGGGGTAGCGTGGTTACTATCACGATAAAATTGTGTCCTATGACGACGGTCCGGAGAATATCTCATTGCTGCTCTTGAGGGTGATTGTGGTATGGCTGGTGGTAACCCTTGGAATTGTTTAGAATGTGAGTAGTCATCATCATCGTCGTATTCATCATACAGATTATTGTAGGTATCTCTATTGGGGCTGGCCATACTTCCATCATATGAACTGCTATTATTTGTGCGGAATCTTGTTAGACCAGGTCTCTGTGGGGATCTAGTTGGGGATCCATTGGAAGATTCAACCATAAATGGATTTCTAGTCATGACAAATTATTTTTACAATATTGTGTCTCTTTGGATAGTACTATCTCAAAAAGGATTACTTTCAAATACCCAGGACGTTCAAATAATGTAACCTCTTTTTTAATTATTTGTACAATTTTTATTTATTGTAAGCAATATTTCTTTTTAAGAACCTTTATGTAGAATTCTTATGAAAGGGATATCGGTTTTGTTCAAAAATTACAAATATCTCTTAAAACCTACATATATACAAAAAAAATAAATAAGAGAAATCTTAAGTACACATTTATAAATAAAACATTTCCTAACCTGTTAAAGCAAAGAACGATAAATAGTCTGAAATTGCCAACCCCCTCCAGTAAAACTTTCATGCCGAGCCTAAAACAAGCTTCAAAGAATAACCTCTTTGGGACTTGAAATTGCTTTCAAACAATATTTCAGTATTATTACCCAATCCGGAAACATGTAAACAATCTCGATGAGCTTCAAAAAAATAAAAAATTAACATTATATTAGTATTACCCGCATTTAAGGAGTTTTGTGCACGTGACTATTTGATCAAAATAGTGAAAATTATACCAATAAAAGAATATTTCACTTGATATAAAGTCAAAATGTATGGATTATTAATAGAGATTCAAAGATTTAATTACTGCTTCATTTTTGAAGGAAAGAAAATCGTGTTTTTTTTGCAAATCCAAGGCAATAATTGAAAGTAAAATACTCTCTTCATGGCCCTTGACAACATAAAATGTTCAAATCAGAGTATCTCCACATGTTATAACATTCTTAATCATAATTCTTTTATCGAGAACAATACAGTATCTTCCTAAGCTCTAATATTATACTTCGAAGCTTTGTACTATTGCAATTGATTGAAGACGAAGGAGTTTAGGGTTGGCGCGCGGTAGGAAAATAAAACCCTAAATAGCTATAGCGTAACTGCCAAAACTTACATAATTCATGTCACCCCTTATCACGTACAAAACTAATTTATTTGAATGATGAAAATAGTAATAAAGTTAGGAAGTCTTCTAAAAAGTATCCATTAATAGTTTTACACTAATAGACTGAACGGTCTGACTACAAACAATATCTAATACTTTACTACAACTGTATAAATGTCCTCATTATTAAAATCCTTTGTGACGAGATCTCTACCTAAGACAACACGTAGATTTCAACAAAAAGCTCTCTTTTCGTATTCAAGGAATATACTGAATAGTAAGGAACCTATTACTATTGAAGATGATATTCTTAAAGATATTGGTAATATTTCTCTAAGTAGTATAAAAATTAACAGGGATATCTCTAAAGGGACTGAAGCCAAAGTTAGTGAGCAAATTAAACATAATGAGACTACTGATAATTTATTTCATTTTAGTACATGGAAAGGTGCTACTGTGATAGGTATGATTGCAGCTACAAGTTATTATTTTATTAGAAAGGAGAAAGAAAGATTAGAAATTGAAAAAGAAGCTGAAGCAAATAGACCAGTAGTTGGTGGACCATTTGAATTGATGGATATGAATGGAAATAAATTTACTGAAAATGACCTTTTAGGTCATTTCACTATTTTATATTTTGGATTTACTCACTGTCCTGATGTTTGTCCTGCAGAATTAGATAAATTAAATGTATGGTTAAAAAAATTAGAAAAGACTCAGAAGGAGAAAGTACAACCATTATTCATCACATGTGATCCAATTAGAGATACTCCAAATGTCCTAAAGGATTATTTAAAGGACTTTCATCAAAGTATTGTAGGGTTAACTGGTACATATGATCAAATTAAAGAGATGTGTAAGACTTACAAGGTGTTCTTCTCTACACCGCAGGATGCCAATCCAAAGAGTGATTATATTGTTGACCATTCAACGTTCTTTTATTTATTAGATCCCGAAGGAAAATTCATTGATGCCTTAGGTGATCTTTACGATGAGGAGGAGGGTTTTGACAAGATTCAAGCCCAAATTAATGCATATTTACCACAAGCAGAGCGCGAAAAGAGAATGAATAGGTGGTATTCATTCCTATTGAAATGAAAGGGAAAAGAAAGGGCATAAAATACATATAGACAAGACAAATATAACTTTTGATATAAATGAATCTGTAAATAAATAAATAAATATTTGGTGTACCTTTTTTTTGGTTCTTGTTAAAATATTTCTTTAAAATTAAAAATATATGGAAAATACAAAATAACGCTATACAAATTAGGTAACTACATGAAAAAAGAAAATTGTCAAATCTTTTTCAAAATCTAGTTCTTACCAGCACCGGCTCTGAAGTAGATGACATCACCGTCTTCAACAACGTAGTCCTTACCCTTTTGCAGGACTTTACCAGCGGCCTTAATAGCAGCATCATCCTTGTATTGAACAACATCGTCGTATTTCATAACTTGAGCTAAAATGAAAGTGTTCATTAAATCGTTGTGAATAACACCAGCAGCTTGTGGAGCCTTGGTACCTCTTCTGATAGTCCATTCACGAACTTCATCTGGACCACAAGTGAAAAATGAAATCAAATCTAATTTTTGTCTCATAGTGGTAATAATCTTTGGTAAAGCAGAAACGGTACCAAGTTCTTTCAATTCAGCGGCGGCTTCTTCTTCAGGCATATGAGATAATCTTTCTTCCAAACAGACAGAGAATGGAATAATCATATCACCTGGAGAGTGAGTGTCAACCCATTCCTTAATTCTTAACAAATGCTTGTTCTTCTTTCTCATGTAATCTCTTTCAGATAAGTTAATCAAATAAATACATGGTTTAGCGGTTAACAATTGCATAGAGTTAATAGTTTCAACTTCTTTAGAAGTCCAAGTTTGGTTAGCAACTCTTTGACCGTCCTTCAATAAAGCAATGATTCTTTCAATTAAAGCACATTCTTCTTTCTTTTGCTTAACTTCAAGAGATTGACCACCTCTCTTAGCAATCTTATCAGCGGCTTCAAAAGCTTTTTCACAGAATTCAATATCTTTTAGACCTAATTCATTACTAATAATTTCTAAGTCACGTACTGGATCGACATCACCTTCAATATGAATAATTTCAGCATCATCGAAACAACGAACAACTTGATAAATGGAATCAACAGCTCTAATATGGGACAAGAAAGCATTACCTAGACCTTCACCAGCAGAAGCACCTTTAGTTAGACCGGCAATATCATAAACGGTCAAATGAGCTGGAACTTCAGAGGCAGATTTGTAATCTCTACATAATTCATTAAATCTTTCAGATGGAACAATAACACGAGCTTCTTCTGGATCAATGGTAGCGAAAGGATAGTTAGCTGGGTTACCTAGAGGGGATCTAGTAATAGCTTGGAAAAAAGTAGATTTACCAACGTTAGCTAGACCAACAATACCAGCCTTTAGGTTATTACCTGGACGACCTAATAAGACCTTCTTTTCTTCTACGACTTTCTTTGGTGGCATTTTTTCTAAATTTGATTAATACTTCTATGTGTATAGATTGTTAAGTGTATATATCTAAGCAATATTTATCAATCCAAAAGAAATCAATAAAAAGTATATAAAAACGTATATAAAAACGTATATATATAAAGAAGCTTTACAAGAACTAACCAAGATATACAGTTAACAAAAACAATTTCCTACATATAACAATTATTCAATATTATCAAAACACTGTCTTTTAGTTTAATTTAAAAGTTGCAACCCTACAACCATTACGCAACAACAACTAAAAGCCCAAAGGTCAAAACAAAATCTAAGGCCCATTGCCCAAGTCATCGTCTACACAAAAAATTTTTCACTGAACCTGAACACTTTCAATATCTCCTAGCTGTCTTCTTAGCTTTTGACCGAAAGACTCAGAACTTTTTTCAAAAAAATTTTCAATGAAAAAAAAATTTTCTTTTTCTGTTCTACTATGGGCTAAACTATGCCGTGTAATGTGATGCGTATATTGGGATCCACGTGACTTCTGGCGGTAGCAGGTGTATTGCTCTTGGTATTAATAACTACTTAAGGCGAACATACTCTCTCGTTTGTCACTTGAGTATAACAAATATGTAACCTAATCTGCTAGATAGGGAACTCTGCAGTTCTCTTCCTTTTTCTTTCGGAAGAAAATGGAGTATCACAGCAATGTCTTCCAAGAAATACATTTACTAAGTAATACTTCCTCTAGGAGTTACTACCACTTCAAAGGAACACGTTTTAGCCTTTCGTATGGCACCATTGTCATAGCTTGTAATACTTATTCGTTCCTTGAGCCCTAGCCCCTTCATTTATGAACTGTTGCTTAAATTCAATCCACCAACAGAGAGAGAAACTTCATCAGTTAGTTTCTTTGCGGTTAACCGCCAAAACAGAACAGAACAGCAAAAAAAGATGGATAATGTGAGAAAATGACGACATTTTCTCACATTATCCATTTTGGAAATATTTCCCTGTTCACTCACAAAGAGAAAGAGAAACTGAAAGTTTTCTTTGGGTTTCTCAGTCTCTCCGGGAGAACCAGGGCGACGCGGTGCCTCCTCGAGATCTGTCTATGTAGTAATCATTAAATTCTTAATTACGAATACCATATTTAACAAATAACAAAACAAATAGATTATTCTGACAATAAAGAATTCAACTATTGGCTTTATGAATACTGAAACCATCAGCAAATAACAACATTAGTAATAGCAACAATTAGTCAATTATTACACACCCACGTGGAGAATACCTAGGAATATGTCGGTTAGATATTCATGGTTCGGAGCTGTGCTCGGATACGTGGTACAGACCAAATGTCTTTCAATTATACAATCTAAGTTATTAGTACGAAGTTTAGCTAAGATGGGTTATCAAAATTCAAAAAATCCTCCGTCTCGTGAAGAAACAAGTTATATACTTACAATATATTTGACATTCATTTATTGTGTCTCATTATTATTTGTATTACCATTATCTCAATTTATTTGTGATAGAATATCTGCTATACGAATGGCTACAGATATTTCTACTTCTACTTCTAATTATGAGATTGAAATTGAAACCGTTTTAGATAATAATGTTAACAGTCATAACAATAATAGTAATATTAATTGTAATAATCGTAATAGTAATAATGGTATTAGCACGGATATAGAAGAAGGTAGAGAAGAAGATTCTTCTATTGAGATGGATCTTTTAAATGACAATTCTGTACCTCCTCCAAGGAATGTAGTCATTGCACACAATATGACACCAAGAAATGATCATAATACAGTATCGTATTTAGGAAAACTTACAGTATTAGCATTTTGTCTCATAGTACCTATTTTCACTTACAATTATGCATTATCGTTATCTCCAGCATTTGATGTATCTTTGATTCAAAATACAGCTGTATTTGAAATTATCTCTTTATTAATGGGAGTTTGTAATATTTCTCGTAAAAAGAGTCTCTTTAAGAATTTTTTAGTCATGATGAGTGCATTAATTGGTATATTAATTGTTTCTTATACTAAAGCCACATGTGATTTATTATCAGGGAAACTTACCATCAATAAACATACAGGTGAAGTTGCTGATCCTTTCCTATTTGATAGATTAAAAGCAGGTTTAATATGTGGTCTTGGATCTCTATTATTCGGTCCATTTGCTGTATTATGGCATCGTTGGTTTGGCATGTCATACATGCATAGTCTAACAAATATTCCTCATGTAGAAAAATATTTATTTAGACAAAGTACTCATGTATCATTGATTGGTACTCTTTGTATTTTTATGCTTTTACCATTCATTCCAAATTTAGCCAATTCATTCCAAATTATTTCATATTTATATATGGATAAATTCTTTTGGGTAACAATAATGGGTTCTATCTTATTTGGTACATTACCAAATTTATTCTCAATTATTATCTTAACAAATGAATATCCACCTGAATATATTACTACATGTAATTTGGGTGCAATCGTATTTATGGGTTTAGCTGATTGGATTACAGAATCTGGACAAACTACCATTATACAATGGGAAGTTATTGGATACATGATACTTGCATCAAGTTGTATATATTTATCCATCTCACTTAAGTGATATCCTGTTATTTATTTTTAATACACATATAAAAATACATACATCTTATAATAAAATTATTAGCATTTTCTATTCAGTGAATTTTTTTTTAGGAGATATATAAATATATATATATATATTTATATATACTAATCCCATTTTAAGACCACAACTTTCTTTTTACCATTTGTAGAATTGATACCTCCTTGGACCAACTTTAATACATCATCATCACTAAATTTCTCGATATCCCACGACAATGTCTCGATATCTTCCTTAGGAGATACGAACTCACCAGCTTCATACAGATTAAGTAAATCATGTACTGTATCCACCTTTCTCTGAGGGTTTTTCTTATTCAATTCTGTAACCCAATACCCTGCAGAAGTAATATTCTTAAATATCAATAATGATGTAGGGAGAGTCACAGGTTGTTTTGACATACCACCATAAGTTAACATCAAACCATCCTTTTCTAGTTTTCTAGCAATTGAAGAACTAGACTTACCACCTACAGAATTTAAGGCAAGTCTAATACGTGCATGCTTACCTAAAATTTGTGGTAATTCTTGTTTATTAAAATCCTTATCATTATTTTGAGATTCCGAAATAACTTTTGTAGCACCAAATGTATTCTCTAACATTGCAGCTAATTTATTAAATTCTTCAGGGGTCTTACGATCTCTAACAATATTTAATGTCTTCACATTATTAACTTTAGCAATCTGAGATACCATCTTCGAAACAGTAGAATTCCCAGCATTCTGTACTATCCAATTATTTTCATTTCTTTTCCAATCTACAAAATCATTTACTAATTGATATGCGGTAACACCGTTTACACCAATTGTGGCTGCAGTAAATAAATCCAATCCATTAACTTTAATCAATTGTGATTCATCATTAAAAACTTGAAAATTAGTCCATGTACCTGTATTTGCCATAGTAGGGATAACCCAATCACCTTTCTTCAAATTTTGAAATCGATTTGGTACATGAATAACCTCATATACACCTTCATTACCTGCAATGGCTGCAGGCTCTAAAGTTTGATAATTTAATGATTTATTTGGCAACGATGGATAAACACCTTGTAATTGATTTACATCCGATGGGTTTATTGGGAATGCTAACATTCTTAATACAATAGAATTTTCAATCTCTTGAATAGGTTTATAGTTTTGTAAGCTTAGTACCGATGCACAATCATCGATATTATGGGTCGAATATACTAAAGATTTAAATAAACCAGGTAAACTTGCCATATTTCTCTTGAGGATTATATTAGATAGAGTAGCAGTAGTGGTAGATACACCTTTAATCCTTGTAAGATTAGATAAACTGTTTTTAACTCCAAACATATTTAATTAAATTTTAAATTCAGCTAAAAAAGAAAAGAGTTTGTAGTAAAGGGAACCCAAAGCTAAACTGATATAACGATCGAGAAGCCGAATGAATATGATATAAGTATCTTCACGACTTTTATATTCCGATAAAAATAGTAAACACCCAAAAAATAAATTGGAGAAAACCTATTCTAATGAACAATTAGCGTGATCTTCTTCCTCAATAACCTCTTGTACAATCTAGAGTGGGGGGGGGTCAGGAGTTCTTTCTTATATACCTTAATTAATAACCATGTATGATGTGAAATAGTCATTTAGATTCGGCGATGCAAAAAATGGCTAAGTGAGGATTTCCCTGTAACATAATTGGAGAAACGATCAGAGTTAGAGTTGGAGACAAAGAAAACGGCGTAGAAAGAGGAAAGATAAAAAATGAAAGAAAGAAAACAGCACGTGATACGACTTAGGGTTTCTATTGTACAGAAGTAGGGCTACATAAGACACATATACGTTATAGAGTAGTAATATTATATATGAGAGATGAACATTAGACAACCTATAGGACTACCGTTGTAATAAAGGAAAAGATTTCCTTTTCTTCTTCTTCTTTTTGATAGTTCTTAGTAATGTTAGCCAATGCACTCCATTGGGAATAGTGATTGATGCAACCTTCTCTCTTTTTAAAGTAAATGTATTTCGTCAAAAAGAAAGAGAAAAATAATAAAAAAGAGAAGAGGATGTTTAGTAATAAAATAAGTAACAGAGAAGGATAACGATTCTTCTTTTTTCTTGTATTGAAGAAAAAAAAAGAAAACTAAATTAAATGAAATGAAATGAAATTAAAATGAAATTGAAATCTTGTGTGAATCTTTTTTCGCAATTGTTTCATATCTTGTCCCTCTATTTATTCAAACCACTTCTCATGTATCTACCAACAACAATACAATGGTCTCTTTCATAAGGTTCCAAAGTCAATTGTTCTAGAGGCTTGATTCTTTCTTCACGCAATTTTTGGACTTCTCTAGCGAAAACGGTTTCAGCATCAACAGTAGAGTCGATACAGTTAGCCTTGATGGAGATGACGACACCACCTTGGTCCTTTAGGAACATGTGGGAGTTTAATGCAATGATACGGGCTTGATCCGGTTGAGCAACATCCGCAAAGACACAGTCGACCATACCGACCAACATTCTGTATTTTTGTGGGTGTCTAGCATCCTCAATAATTGGAATGACATTTGGTCTCTTCTTAGCCATGGAGATCAATTCTCTACCTGGTCTGTGAGAGAACTCAACAGCGTAGACAACACCTTCTGGACCAACAACATCAGAGACGTGGGAAACAGAAGTACCGGAAGCAGCACCTAGATATAGAACCTTCTTACCTGGAGCAATGAACAATTCATCTAGACCACCCATGATACCGGCAGCCAACTTAGATCTGAAAGGATTCCAAACACGGTATTCGATCTTAGTTGGTGGAACACCATCTTCTTTGGATGGTTCTTCAACGGAGATTCTCTTTTCACCGTAAACAGATTCACCTGGAGCCATGTTCTTGGTAACCAACAAATCTTCTTTACCTCTAGCAATGTAGACACCAGCATGTTTATGTGGTTCAATGACAACCTTGGCACCACCTCTGGCACCACCTCTGGCACCACCTCTGGCACCACCACGGCCACCTCTAGCACCACCACGGCCACCTCTGTCACCACCGAAACCACCTCTGGAACCACCACGGCCACCAAAGCCACCTCTAGAGCCACCACGGCCACCGAAGCCACCTCTGGAACCACCACGGCCACCAAAGCCACCTCTGGAACCACCACGGCCACCGAAGCCACCTCTGGAACCACCTCTACTACCTGGTCTGAAAGACATTATTATTATTTATTAGATCTGTGTTATGGACTTCTTCCTAATATATGTATGAGATATTCTAGTGAATACGAAAAACTATTACTTTATGAAAGGTAGTAATAATATCAGCAAAATCAGAATACTTGGAGTTTTTATCTATTATGAATATTAAAAGATGTGAAAAACCTAATACAACAATTACTCTTTTATATATATATGAAATAAGTTAATAAAATAGTTTAAGTAGGAAGAAGTTAATTAAATAAGAAATGAACAAGCTCGATGACCACTGAAAATTTTTTTCTTCTCCCTCTATTTCTTTTGCTCCTTGCGCTGCTCATCTCTTCTTTTCTGATTGAAAGTGAAGAACAAAAAAATTAAAAAAAAAATTTCAAAAAAAAATTTTTCACTGAAAAATTTCCTCGATGAGATCATGTTATACGGAAAACGCACGTGACATAATACAATTATCACTGTTCACGGTGGAAGATGAGGGAAATATGTTGATTATGAGACAAAATTTAGGTGATTCAATAAACCTAACAGAACGGGAACAATACCCTGAGACAAACCTTCAAACAGTACACTGAGAGAGAGAACTAGAGAGCCAAAGATCTAAAGAAATCAAGACATCTAGAAGTAAATAAAACTTATTAATTTTCTTTCTTGTTCGAAAATATTATCTAATTGCACTTGTTTTGTGTTTTGAATTAATTCGTGAAAGGATATTTTAATAAATACAGAAATAACTGGTTTGTCTTAAACAATGGTCGCTGTAAAATCACGTTCTAAATCTTTAAAAGATACTGAAGTCACAATCGACAACAACTCTACATTAGAGACTGTTTTGGGGGCAATCTCTAAGAACAACAAAGGTATCAGTAAATACAGATTAAGAGTTTCATATTTGAAAGAATCTAAACAAGTTCCTATTACTGAAGAATCATTTTTCAAAGATGGTAACAACAATGATATTGAATTGTTCGTGAAAGATCTAGGTCCTCAAATTTCATGGCGTCTAGTCTTTGTTATCGAGTATTTTGGTCCATTACTAGTTCATGCAATTGTATATTACCTATCATTAAACCCTAAATTTATGAGTAAATATGGTACTAGTAAAGTAAGTAATGTTGACCCTGCTTTGAATAAAATTGCATTCTTTATGGTTATGGGTCATTATTTGAAACGTGAAATTGAAACGCTATTTGTTCATAAGTTTACTTTGGCTACTATGCCCTTATTCAACGTCTTTAAAAATTCTTTCCATTACTGGATTTTAAATGGGATAATCTCACTAGGTTATCTAGGTTATGGTTTCGTAGTTCCAAATTGTTGTTATGAAAAAGCTTTGAATTATGTTGGTTTAAACAATTTGAACACCTTAGTAAGTCTATTTATCCTCAGTGAAGCATGGAATGCTTACATCCATATCAGATTAAGAATATTTGGTGATCAACAAAGAAAGATTGGTAACAATACTAAACGTGTTCCAATTTCGTCTGGTATTTTTAAGATTTTTGTTGCTCCAAATTATACTTTTGAAGTCTGGAGTTGGATCTGGTTCGCTTTAGCCTTTAAATTAAATTTATTTGCTGTTTTCTTTGTGACTGTATCAGCTACTCAAATGTACCTTTGGGCCATGAAGAAGAACAGAAGATACGGTACTAAGAGATCCTTCATTATCCCATTCATCTTTTAAAAGAAAACTGTTAATCTATTCATGACTGATTTGCTTTTGTTTTTTTATTTTATTTTTTGAATGCTTTGATATTTATTATATATATCACACCTGTTTATTTGTAATAAATCATGTTTATTTGTTCCGTTTTGTATGCAAGAAATAAAGAAAAATACTAGTATATATATATATATATATATATCTATTATCGTTTTGAATGTGTAGTCTATTCATCAGGAATGAGTATCACGTCATTATCAATAAGTTCTTCTTCACTAGAACTGATCACATCATCGTCATCAGTACTTTCAATTTCAGTATTGACATCTGACTCTGACATCTCATTAAAAAATGCACTTTGTAACAATTCTGCAGCTGAGGACCGTTTACGTGGATCCATCTCGAAACATTGTTCCAAAACTTGGAAACACCAAAAATGATCAGTCCATAATTCATCATGATATCTTTTGACATCATATATATCTAATGTTGTACCCTCTTTTAAACTACGAGCTTTACCATCTGACATTTGTGGTTCAATGGAATCTCTTTCATGTATCTCTTGACGTAGATAGCTATGTGTCTCAAATGCTACACTATACTCTGGGAATGTACCTACTTCACATTCCTTATTTAATAACTCATATACATACCCTTTTAAACCATGAGGGTAGGCATCTTCTCTAAGATAATGTAATCCACTAATTTCAAAACCCAGACCATGTAATACCGCACAACTACGAATGTTTTTCCAACCGAACACTGCACATAATTCCAACAAGGAGTCTGTATCGTCTAAACTTTGAAACATTGGGAATCTTCTAGCTAATAAACTCAATAAGATCACACCAACTGACCATATATCAATCTTAGTTGTTTGAGAACTACATTTCATCAGTACTTCTGGAGCACGGAACCCACGAGTCCCAGCTCTATTAGCTCTTTTCACTCTACGTGTTTCATTTTTTGGGTAACCTTTCGTTAGATCAACACCATTCACATTACTTGAACGAACAACTTTCCCATCTTGAATTGATAACGTACCACCGTTGTTTTGAACCACATAAGATGCTGTAAAATTATCCAGTAAACAAGGACAAAAGTCTTCTTGAGTTCTTAAATTTTTCATTGATTGTGATGAGTCTACTACACCTGTTAGGTTTTCTTTCATCAATGATGTCTGATCTAAAGTGTGAGTGGCAAGATAATCCACTTGAGTTTCAGCTAAACCAAAATCTACAAGGACACCTCTACCTAGTTCTGGATTAAATAAGAAGTTTGTAGGTTTAATATCTCTATGGATGATACCATGAGAATGAACAAACTTCAAAGCTTGTAACAATTCCCACATATACATCTTAATACCTTTAATAGGAAGATCTCTATAAAAATTTCTAAATTCTTCATGGGGATAGTAAGGTAATACAGCTATGACTTGATCTCGTATTCTAGACGCATCACACAATGGGGCCACACGATTAGAACTGTTTAACATATATAGTAAGTTCAGTTCATTGTAAATACGTTGAGGTGATGAGGTCACGTAAATCTTCTTCAATGCAACATATTTTTTACCATTAGCTTGAGGCCAAAAATGGGTATTATATTTCGAAGTAACTTTACCTCTGATGTCTTTAGCTTTATAAACTGTTGAGAATGTACCTTCACCAATTTTATCAAAAATTTCATAACTAGACTTCAATGTTGGAACATCATGATATAACTGTGCAATTTCTTCTTGGATTTCTGCTGGAATCGATGGGTTTACAAGTGCACTCATTGTTCGATGTAGATATGTGTGATTCTGATTTATTGCACTCTACGTTCTATAAAATGAAACTATTTTAGTCTTATATATAATATCTTATCACTTATATGTAAGTTATGTTTATTGTTTTTGTTTTATCAGTTTCAAACACCTTTTTCTGATTATTAAAATACCATACATTATGGAGTAAACGAATAATACTACCAAAAACGAAAACAAAACAAAAACACGATTTGAAGTGGCTACTAAAAAAAAAATATAGTAAAAAGAAACACAAGAATTATGGAATAAAGATTGAGCATATAATCCATTTCGAACTAATTACGAAAAGCCATAAATATATCAATATGTGTATATACTTGGCTTATTTAAAATTGACGTTTTAAATCAAACATTGAACTGAAGAATACGCGTTTGCGATGAGCTTCGAATAACAGGCCATTACAAATCGTCAAGATCATAGCTATAACACTCGCTTTCCTGGAAATACACCAGATACAGCATACTACATTTCCAGTAACTAATATATCTATCCTTCAAATCATTGACACAACGAAGTGTTATCTTTCTATATACATAAATAAATAGTCAGTACTATCTATACGTTCCTTTCAAATCTTTTACTTTACGTGTAACATTTTCCAAATTTTTTTTTCAACGAACGCCTGGACAAGAGGCAGAGGGACGCGGGGGCAATAGACACTATTACACGAGATGTTAGGTTTGCCAATTGGCAAAGGGTTACACGAGAAACAATAACAAATATCTAGTATTGAAAAGATCAGCAAGTTAAATATTTCAAACATTAGCATTATTGTATCGAACTACCTTGTTTTATATATTTTGTAATCCTATATTAACCTATATCAACAAGATTAGTAGATAGAAACTTGTGAAAAAAAATGAGATTGAGCAGTATTCTTTTCACGACATTATCTGCACTTTCCTTAGGTCAAACTGTGGCTAGTGCTCCATTAACCTTTGAATTGAAGAAAGGTCAAGAAGAATGTTTCTATACGCTGACCTCTGATATCGACTGTGACATTACGTACTATTTCTCTGTTCAAGATGCTCCAAAGAATGATTATGAAATCAGTTACAAGATCTTTGGTCCAGCTAATCATCAACAACCAATTATTGAAAGATCTAATGAACGTCAAGGTGAATGGGCTTTCTTAGGTGATGATAAAGGTGAATATAAATTCTGTTTCGAAGGTGGCAAACACGGTGACAAAGTTGTTGATTTTGAAATTAAATATGATTGCAAACAGAATAATGATGCGAGATCAAAGAATCGTGAAGAAAGAAAGAAATTGAGAAACTTGAGAGAAGTAAACACTGAAGCCGAAGATCTTCAAACTACTTTGGATGATTCCATTGACAAAATTGAGAGACAATTACATATGTTAGAAAGTAACATGAATTACTACCTTGCAAGAAATAGTAGAAACCATTTAACTGTTAAATCCACTGAAAGTAGAATCGGCTGGTTTTCTATGTATGGTATTCTCTTAGTGGTAGGTATGAGTGCAGCACAAATTTTAGTCTTACAATGGTTCTTTAAACAATCCAGAAAGAATAGTGTTTAAATCACGATTCTCAATTTACTACTATGCATTCTGCACAAATATAAATAAATATATATACATATACATATATAATATCTTTCATTTAATTTAATAGATAAAATTATTAAAAACAAACTAGAGAATCATTATGTTGTTTAAATTGAATAGTAACTATATGATTATATGAATATATATATATATATGTAATGCAAAATATCCAGAGGAAGAGCAAAAAAAAATTAAGCTATCCAGGTATTCAATTTACCTATTAGGTCGTCAACCTGCGCAAAAACAGGCGTGTATAAATGTGCAATATAAGGGTGCAAAGAATTGTCAGTAGCACCCGAACCTTCAATCGACAGAGATGGCAAAGGCCCACTATCTGTTATGTAGTTTCCTATCCTTGTAGATGAGGATATAATATGTTTATCCGATAATAATAAACTTGATGAAGATTTTGGGAATGTAGATAAATTTAAAGGTTTTGTGATACTATCTGCATCCGGTAGCTCATCATTGAGACCCTCCAATATATTCTTTGACTGTACGATATTTGAAGTATTATTACCATCATTATCTTCTGCGTATATTACAACTTCACTAAAACTTACCGATTTATTCCCCTTTTTATAATTTTTCAATTGTTGGTGATTTGGTCCATAACGAATTTGATTGAGTAAAGCTTGTTCATTTTTCCATGAATTCAATCTTGCTAATCTTTCACAAAATGTTTCTAACAATTCTGCAGGTGCAAACCCTATTGCATCATCTCTACATCGTTTAACTAACCACCAATAAGCATCTTCATCGTTTAATAATATACAATCTTCATCTTGTTTCAATTGACAATATGATGGATCAGTTCCTGTAAATGCATAAAGAGCATAAAGTTTATCAGGATCTAATTCCTTCGGTGGTGGTAATGGCTGGTAATATTCTTCTAATTCATTTTTATCACTAACATCACTAGTTATTACCTGGGGTGTTAACGTTTCGGGCCGTGATTGTGTATATTCTAATGAATCTAAATCTAAATTTGAATCCGATTCAGAGACTGCTTCTTCCAAATCATCAGTATTATAATTATTTATATCAAATGAACTATCATGTGATTTATTACTAAGAAACTCTTCTGAATGTGAATGGTTTGAATTCATCTTAGATATTTTCACACCATCATTTTCATTAGTCGTTAATTGATCGACACTTGCACAATGTGACATCTCAGTATGTCGAACTAACATATCATAAAAAACACACCAGCTTGCAGATCCTCAATCATCAACTAATTCAGTAGTTTCTTTTTTTCAATACGTTCAAGAAAATATATAGTTCTTTTCAGAATGGTGTTCTTTATACGATGGTTAAATCATCAAAAATATTGGAAAAGATGTCAACAAAAATTCCGGAGCTTTCTCGAGCTTTTTGAAAAAGAGGTCTCTAACACGCCTTGCTGAGGTGTGTGGGTTACAAATAGACAGTGTTACAATACACAAAATTATCTATATATATATATATATATATAATTACTTTTGCAGTTTTTGATTTAAATCATACAATGATTCATAATTGTAGGCATTCCTTCTTATGAATAATGAATAGAAACTGTCAATAATGATTAAAAAAAAAGGCATTATGTAATGCAATAGATCATCGAGACTTCTTCAGGTACTTTTACTTGAACAAGAGGAGTCAACAAATAAATAAGAAATGGCGAAGCGCGCCGGCAGAAAGTCAAAAAAAAATTGTATCGAGAGATATACATATACACAAATTTAGGTAAAAGTTAATTATTGACTCCTGCAAATGGTGGAACAAGGGACATCTTGCAACCTCTTGCCAATATATATATATATATATATATACTGAAAAGGAATGAGAAAACTGAGAAATAATTAAATAGCTGTGTCATCTAATATACTGAGATAAAATATATACACCACCCACTCACCCACACAGACATACACTCCTACAATGGCTATTACACAAACAGAACTAGATGGTATTTTACCATTAATTGCAAGAGGTAAAGTTAGAGATATTTATGAAGTTAATTCTGAAGTATTATTATTTGTAGCCACAGATAGAATATCAGCATATGATGTAATAATGACAAATCCAATTCCAGATAAAGGTATTCTATTAACAAAATTAAGCGAATTTTGGTTTAATTTTTTACAAAATGATATTAAGAATCATTTATTGCCAATTGATAATAATAAGACAATGTGGGATTACTTACCAAAAGAATTAAGTGAAAACGAAAAATATAAGACACAATTAGAAGGTAGATCATTATTAGTACGTAAATTTAAACTAATACCTTTAGAAGTTATTGTTCGTGGTTATATTACGGGATCTGCATGGAAAGAATATCAAACCAATGGTACAGTTCATAGTATTAAACAAGATGATAATAACATGAAGGAATCTCAAGAATTTAAAATACCGATTTTTACACCATCAACAAAAGCTGAACAAGGTGAACATGATGAAAATATTTCAATTGAACAAGCTTCAAAACTTATTGGTGAAAAATTATGCCAACGTGTTGGTAAACAAGCTATTGAATTATATACTAAATGTAGAGATTATGCACGTACTCATGGTATAATCATTGCCGATACAAAATTTGAATTTGGTATCGACGAAACAACAGATGAAATTGTATTAGTTGATGAAGTATTAACTCCAGATAGTTCAAGATTTTGGAATGGTTCACTTTATGCAATTGGGAAACCGCAGGATTCTTACGATAAGCAATTCCTAAGAGATTGGTTAACAGCTAATAAATTAAATGGTGTTGATGGTGTCACTATGCCAGAAGATATTGTTGTACGTACAAGAGCCAAATATATTGAAGCTTATGAAGCATTAACTGGTGATCACTGGTCTCAATAGGTTTTCTTCAACCAAATCTGTATCTGTATTAATATCTATATATATAGCATATACACACAAACCCTAACTCACAAACCCTAACCCTTTATACCTTGAAATATTCTTTTTCTCTCAATGAATATTTCCTCGGCCGGTCGATCGGAGAGAGAACAGAAAAACAAGAACAATAATTCCACCGCGAGGAATTATTCAAATTGAAAGAAAAATCTCGCACAGAAGGATAGTCACACAAAAGACTCAAAAATTGAGAGACTCCTACGTACGCAATTCTGTGTGTGTGACTGTGGTTGAGATAAATATTTGAATGGGGGAGTGAAGAACAGATGGTGGTACGTATATCTATTATACCAGCGAATGAATGACCTGTCACGGCGTGTGACACTCTCTATACAATTAATACTATATACCATTGGAGAAGCAAGGGCAGATAATAGAAACAGAACAATTCACGTTAAAGTAATACAGTTTTCAACTATTGGAGAATATATAGCTTGAATCAAATGATTACATGAGTAAATCTTGCAATAAGTGGGAATTGAATAGTTTGATAACTTTTAGATCCTTATATATAAGAAGTAGTGAAATTTTTTATTTAAGGGACCCTGTGTGTTTCGGTGTTGAAATCCATTCGTTCACTTTTTTTGCCCTCTCTGTCTTACATAATAGTCAAAAATTCACAAATTAGAAATTATAAGAACAAAAATATATAAATATAATTATGACGACTTCTACAGTAATTGAAAAGATTGATAGACCTCCAAGATTACCAATTCCTCCTTTGAAAGATACTTTAGAAAGATTTATTAAAAGAATAGAACCATTGCAAGATGATAAACAAAATGCAAGAACTAAAAAAACTGTTTATTCACCAGAAAATTTAGAATTATTAGAATCTTTACATGAAAGATTAATTAATTATGATAAAGAATTAGCCATCGAACAACCTGAATCATCTTATATCGAAAGATTTTGGTATGATTCATATTTAGAATATGATGCTTCTGTTGTTTTAAATGTTAATCCATTCTTTCAATTACAAGATGATCCAACAATTGTTGATACATCTGCAACAGATTCTGGTCCTTATGGTTATAGTACAGTTCAAGTTAAACGTGCAGCAAAATTAACAACATCAATTTTAAAATTTATTAGAGAATTACGTCATGGTACAATGAAACCTGACACAATTAAAGGTAAACATTTATCAATGGATCAATATAAAAAATTATTTGGTTCTTCAAGAATTCCACCAGGACCAGGTGAACAATCATGCCATTTACAAACGGATACAACATCTCATCATGTTATTGTTATGTATAAATCACAATTTTATTGGTTTGATGTTTTAGATACTAATAATAATCCAATATTTTCAACAGCTGAAGAAATGGAATGGAATTTATATTCGATTATAATGGATGGTAAAGAAAATACAAAAAAAAATTCATCATCTAATTTACCATTTGGTGTTTTCACTACAGAAAGTAGACGTGTTTGGTCTAATATTAGAGATTATATTTATAGAAGTGAAGATTCAAATAATTGGAAAATTTTAAAAATTATTGAAAGTGCTTTATTTGTAATTTGTTTAGATGATGTTTCATTTGGTGATTCTCCAAAGGATAAAAGAGAATTAGCTAAATCATTATTATGTGGTACTTCAAAGATTGAATTGGATTTTAAAAAGACTAATGTTCCATTAAATGTTCAACATGGTACTTGCTTAAATAGATGGTTTGATAAGTTACAATTAATTATTACAAGAAATGGTAAAGCTGGTATTAATTTTGAACATACTGGATTTGATGGTCATACAGTACTTAGATTAGCCATTGATATTTATACAGATTCAATTTTAAGTTTTGCTCGTGGTGTCTCAAAGAATGTTCCAGATATTTTCCATAATAAGAAAGCTCAAATAATCAAAAATAATGATGAAGATATTCTTTCTTCTTCACCATCATCAACAAATTTAGCAAATTTAATCACAATTCCAAGAAAATTGGAATGGAAAGCTGACAATTTCCTATTATCATCTTTACATTTTGCAGAAACTAGAATTTCCGATTTAATTTCTCAATATGAATTTGTTACATTAGATTTTGATAAATTTGGTGCAGATCATATTAAATCATTATTTAAATGTTCTCCTGATGCATTCGTTCAACAAGTTTTTCAAATTGCTTATTATGCATTATATGGGAAATTTGAAACTACCTATGAACCTGCAATGACTAAGGGTTTTCAAAATGGTAGAACCGAAGCTATTAGAACAGTTACTTTAGAATGTAAAAAATTTGTTAAATCTTTATTTGATAGAAATGCAACTGATGATGATCGTAAAACATTTTTACAACAAGCTTGTAAACAACATTCTACAATTACGAGAGAATGTTCAATGGGTCAAGGTCAAGATCGTCACTTGTATGCATTATATTCTGTTTGGAATCTGTGGTATAAGGATTCTATGCCATTACCACCAATTTTCAATGATAAATCATGGTCTATCTTAAGTACAAATGTTATTAGTACATCAAATTGTGGTAACTCTTGTTTAAAGAATTTTGGTTTTGGCCCTGTCACGGCAAATGGATTTGGTATCGGATATATTATTAGAGATAACTCTATTTCAATTGTTGTATCATCTAGACATAGACAAACTCATAGATTTGTTTCATTAATTGAAAGATCGTTCTTAGAAGTCGATCATATCTTCAATAGAGATTTAGATGAAATTATGGATGAAGCTGCCCGTGTTACTCCAAATCAAAGTAGTGATTATTTAGTAGGTATGCATAGAGATACTAGAAATGGTATAGCGCCAGTAGCGAAGTCTAAAGATTTAAGATTCTTACTTGGTGGGTACGATTACTTTGATGTCAGTGTCTCTGGTTAAAACAAGTGCAAAAAAAATAAATATAACTATGATAAAATAAGTATATATATTTAACGCAGTATGAACTAACAATTCTAAAGTTTAATAAATTAATCAATAAAAAAAGAAAATCTGTCAGATCTTGGTTCTTAAAAGGTTGGCCTCATTATCAAATTTGTATGTTCCCTTCTTTTTTTGTTTTTGTTTTTATGGTTCATTTACTTCTCGTATATTGAAAAAAAAAACAATTATACGACGCTATCAGTAAACGACAAATAGGCAACAGGTACCAAAAGGAGAGCAAAACTACAAGAAACAGATACTACTTTTGTAAATACACTTTTCCCTGAATTTAAAGATGTGCCTTACAATCATCTTGCAAATCTCTTATTAATTATTTATTCAGAAAACCTTACAAAATTTCCTTACATATATGAAAAGAAAAAGGTCTTTCCCATTTCCTATAAATTTTTGCACTTTTACGTTAAACTAGAATGCCCCGAAGAATAAGATAGATTTAATAACAAGATTAAGTACATTACTTTATAACCTCGTATATACGAAACATCATCCATTGAATATCAAATTGCGAAAACCAGTTCCTGACAATGATGCAGAGTGTGTAGCATGCACATCTATCTCTTTAGCTAGGATGGTAAAGCTGTGGATAAAAACATACGGTATAATGTCCCACTCTTGTCTCTTCCCATTCTCTTACAAAAAATATTCTGTTGTGCTGACTCTCTCCCACGCTCTTTCTCCTTTCCCCTTAACAAAATATGAACTTTGTTGGCGCCCACAAGAGACAAAGAGAGAAACAATAACATGAAAATTTCAGTTTTGTCTTTGAAGAGAATAGACGGAAGGGAAAAATTCAACCCGTAGATTACGATTTCTCTCCCTTTCTCTCTATAATATGTATTTGTTAAACTAAATAGTTGACGCTAAACTAGAAATTGATTACTTTTATTTATATAACCTTCTTGAAAGTATGAATTACTAACATCATTCTTGTACTATTTCTTACTTTCAATATTATATATATAAGGAATTGTGTTACTATTTTTAAGTACGGTGAAATTTTTTTTGCTATTCTTCCGGACACAACTGTTTTTTTTAAAGGACTATTTTCCTACCCGTCAAGTTCGAATTAACTGCATTTCTCCTTTTCAAAAATCATCAACACAATTACATCGACAAACGAACCTATATTTCGATATTACATTATAATATCATATATTTTCAAGTAGCATTTTTTTTATCATATATTTATTTCTTTTGTTCTGATCTTTTTAATTAACAAGGAACAAAAAAAAAAAATACCACTAAATTGGGGAGTTTAAAGCACTACAAGAACTCGTTCCTCCCCCCTTATATTGGAAAATACAACAATATTGTGGGAAAAAGTAATAGTAGTTAACAAAATAATTGTTCATTATGCCAAATAAGACTGCTTCCGTGGATAACCAACATCCTGCTCAAGATACTCATGTTAAATTAAGAGGTGATACCATCGCAATTAACAGTGATTCAAAGACACCCGTTTTAAAATTAAAACTTTTGGAAGTATTAACGAATGGAGAGTTTCATTCTTTAGAGACTTTTGTTCAAGAACAACAAGGCAATGATACCTTTAAAGAATTATTACCATTGTTATTGAATGCAGCTGTACAGGTTTCTCAATTACCTTTGATTCAAGATATAGTCAGTAAATGGGTTAATAATCCAACTGCTCCATTTCCATTGAACATTAATGAAAAGGATGAAGATGGTAATACTCCATTGCATTTGGCTGCAGCCCAATCTAGATCTGATGTGATCGAACTATTACTAGACCAACCAACTATAAATGAATGTGCTGTGAATAACGCTCAATTATTACCATTTGAAATGTGTAAAAATGTTAATATTGCTCAAATGATGCAGATCAAAAGAGCAAACTACATTTCAACTATACAGAAACAAGCATTTGAAGCAGCAAAAGCCAATGATTTTAAAACTCTAGATACTCTATATAAGAATCATAGAAACTCAGAGTTTCTTCGTACGAAATTCATGACTAAGACACATATTGAAGGTGCCAATGATGATGGTGATAATCTTTTACATTATTACATTGAAAAGAAGAATGTTAAGATGTGTAATTGGTTATTAGATCATGGTGCTGATCCAACTACTAAGAATAATAAAGGTCAAACCCCAATTGACTTACTGTCTGAAATAATTAAAAAAATTCCACAACAAGGTCAACCGAATGCTGTTAATTCGGGTTTAGTGGCTTTGAATGAAAAATTAACAAACGAAAAATTGATTCTTGCTGCAGCAAATAAATTAAATGAACCTCCTACTTATAAAGGGTTCTTAAAGAAATTTACCAATTTTGCTCAAGGTTACAAATTACGTTGGTTCGTTTTGTCAGCTGATGGTAAACTATCTTATTATAAAGACCAAGCATCGTCATCTAAATCCCATGCTCGTGGTTCATTGAACTTGAAAAGCTGTTACTTACATTTAGATTCTACAGAAAAATTAAAATTTGAACTTATTGGTGGACATGGTAATACCACTAAATGGCAACTAAAGGGTAACCATCCTGTTGAGACAAATAATTGGGTCTGGGCCATTCAAGGTGCCATCAGGTATGCTAGAGATAAAGAAATGTTGAATAAAAATAATAAATCAAGTAATGTATCTCCAGCATTTGTTATGAATAGAAACGCGACTCAAACTACCTTTACAAGTAATGCAACAACAAATTCGAAATCAACTCCAATGCCATTGACTCATGGATACACAGATAGTCAATTAAAAGAGAGTACCAAAGTACTATCCCATACAAGCGCAAATCATAAGTTTAGTACTGCGAACTCTATTCATTCTGCCGATATTGAATTAAGCGACAATTTGACAAAATCTGGGAAGGACTATGTTAATAAAATGATCGAGACTCGTCTTGAATCAACATCACCCACAGAACAACTTTCTCCTAAACCACAATCATTAGATCCAATGAAAAACAAAGTGACAATGATGGATGGTATTCCAACCAATATGGATACTGTTGTAAATGATACTGTGTCAGCAAGTTCAAAAAAATCAGGTCATGGTAGTGTAAAACATACATCTACTAATAATACCACATATTCTAGTTCTAAGAAATACTATACAGATGGTGAAGATGATTCAGAGGACAACCAAGATGAAGATGGTATTGCAGTAAAATTTGAAAAGGATGAAGAATATTTAAAAATTGAATACGGTCCATATATTGAAAAGTTGAATGTTTTCCAAAAGACTGTTGGCTTTGAATTGGATTCTATTGATGAAATTCTAAGCAGTAAAGACTTCTTAGAACAGAAGAATCCAGAAACTGTTGTCGTCGTAAGAAGATCTTTAAAGAAAGTCTATCAATTAATTAATCAAATGAATAGACTAACATCTCAAAGAGATGAAAGATTGATCTCCATGCTAACAAAACAAAGTGATGAAAATAACGTTTGGATTCAATCTGTTAGAGATCTAGAGGTTGAATTGGGCCAAAAGAGTGAAAGATTAGCATCTTTGGACAAAGAACGTAAGTCTTTAAAAAAGACTTTGCATAAGAAATTAATTGAGAGTTCCGAACTAGATTCACAAACACCTGAATCAGAATCTTCTTCATTCTTAGCAGCCAATTCTGCGGCTAATAGGAGATCCAGTATAATAAAGGCTGCTGGTATTACTAATGCTGGCGATGACTCTACAGATACTTTGGCTCAAATTGCCAAATTTATTAGTGCTACTAGACAGGAAGATGAAAACACTGATGATGATGAATTTTATGATGCGGAAGAGTTAATGAATGAAATCGATCAGTCTGCCGCTGAAGAGACTACTAAGACGTCTGAAAGTATTTCTGCAAGCAAAAATCAAGAAGAAACCTTAAACGATGAAACTGTTTCAACAACAATTAACGAACCTATGGATATCCCAAAACTTGCTACCCCCTCATCAATACCTGATATCCCAAATATTGCTATTAATGGTGCTGAGGTTACGGAGGCTAATACTAATGACAAAATGAAAGATCTAAAGGAGGTTAAAAAGACTGAATCTTCTGCTGCAAAGCTTGCTAGAACTGTTTCTCTTGCTGTTTCAGATATTGCCAAGACTACATCTCAGCAAGAAAGGGCCAATAATATTTCTTCTGAGAAGACATACAAGGGCTACGAGGATGGAATAAGAAAGAGATTAAAGTTGGATGAAGACGATAGACCAAAGATTAGTTTGTGGGCTGTTTTGAAATCCATGGTTGGTAAAGATATGACTAGAATGACGTTACCCGTAAGTTTCAATGAACCAACATCATTATTACAAAGAGTCGCTGAAGATTTAGAATATTCAGAACTATTAGATCAAGCAGCATCTTTTGAGGATTCAACTTTAAGATGTTTATACACTGCTATTTTCACCGCATCATGTTATGCATCTACAACTAAGAGAGTTGCTAAACCATTTAATCCATTATTAGGTGAAACTTATGAATATGCTAGACCAGACAAACATTTTAGATTCTTTACAGAACAAGTTTCCCATCATCCTCCAATTTCTGCCACATGGACAGAATCTCCAAAATGGGACTTCTGGGGAGAATCTCATGTGGAGACTAAATTCAATGGTAGATCCTTTGGTGTTCAACATTTAGGTCTATGGCATATAAAGATACGTCCAGATTGTGATGGTCCAGAAGATTTTTATACCTATAAAAAGCCTGATAATACTGTTATTGGTATCTTGGTTGGTAATCCACAAGTTGATAACCATGGGGAAGTACGTATTACTAATCACGTTACAGGTGATACATGTGTCTTAAACTTTAAAGCTCGTGGATGGAGATCATCAGGTGCCTTTGAAGTTACTGGTGAAGTTTTCAATAAGAAGAAAGAGAAAGTTTGGGTTTTGGGTGGTCATTGGAATGATTCGATTTATGCTAAGAAAGTTACCAAGGGTAAGAACGGTGCTAATTTAACATTGGAGAAGACGAAGACTAATAGTTCCCGTGTTACAAATGGACCAAATTATGAAGGCAATAAGTTTTTAGTTTGGAAAGTAGCTCCAAGACCAGATGCACCATTCCATTTAACTCCATTTGCAATTACACTTAATGCACCACAACCTAAATTAGTTCCATGGTTAGCACCAACAGATACACGTTTAAGACCTGATCAAAGAGCTATGGAAGATGGTGAGTATGATAGAGCTGCAGAAGAAAAGCATAGGTTAGAAGAAAAACAAAGAGCGGTTAGAAAAGAAAGAGAGACTAAGAATGAAACTTACTCACCAAAATGGTTCACCAAGGATACACATCCAATTACAAAACGGATGTATTGGAAGTCTACTGGAAAATACTGGGATACTAGAAAGGACAAGAACTTAAAGGATGTTAGTTACGATATTTTCTGATTTAGATAAAGAAAGAAAGGTACTTACTCTTTTCAAATCGGCCAAGAATTATGTTTTGGCTATTGTATAATTAAAATATAAATAACTTCATAAATTTTATTATTAGAGAGTTACATTGAGTCAAATAAATATAATGACTCGATTTTCCTTGTATTGTTTATAACAGGGTGCTCTCTCCTCCGAAAAGGCGGAGCAAACTATGACTGAATAATTCTAACGTACTTAATCTTAAGTTATGAACAGGTCACTAGTTCGTGAAGTTGATCCTCTTTATGCAATTACCTGATTAGGGTTTAATTGATTTAGTTGCTCTTTGATCCCTTCGGTAAAAAAAAACGCAAAAAGGAGGCTGATAACACCGACTCGGAGATAACACTATCAAAAATTGATAAGTTCTTCGGCCGAGTTAATTATATTTTGGTTTTTAGAGGTAGGGTTACCATTTTGGTGTTTTGCACCTTCCGCGGATTACTAATTTCCACGTGACAAGATTTTATTTCTCTACGGCTCTGTCTGTTAATTTTTCTAGAATGTTCTATTGGAATCGGCCGCAACCCCAAAAAGAACCCAACGAGCATTCTCAACAAGGAGACCGAGTGAATTTAAAGGACAATAGATGAACCAATTATTAATAATTGATGGATAAATTAGCTGATAGATAAACAACTAATTTTCACAATTAGCGTGTATATATATACTATATATGTCCAACTAAGCAAAACGATTGCCTATCCTGTAAGCTCAATTTGAAGTTTTTTTTGGTCTTTATTTGTGTTTTCAACTGATATTCCCTCGTGCGTATCGCTTAGTAATATTTTGTAATTAAAAATTACAAACTTCATTTTTTTTAAAAAAAGTGATCCATTTAAGAAAGAAAGGAAAGAAAAAATTATTTTGTTTTATCTTTTTTTAACAGATTGATAATACATACATACATATATATATATAGACTAGAGATAGTACTGGTTCTAAAAAAAAAATTCTATTTATCTTCTAGTATTCCCAACGTTTAACAAACCAAGAACTATTATTTCTAATAGCTCCAATAAAGACAAAAAAAAATAGGGAGGTTTTAACAAAAAAAAACCTATAAAAAGAAGAAACTTTTAAAAGCAAAAATTTAAAAAAGAGATAATCTTCTATCATTTCAAAAAGAAGATATAAAAACAACAATAAAGAAGTTTTGATTGAAGATAAACAAAAATCAATAAACTGGACATATTTTTTAAAAATGGCATCCACTGAATTAGGTTTGAAAAGAACTTTAACAGATATCCTTGAGGATGAATTATATCATTTAAATAACAAGAATAGTGGTGTATATTCTTCTCATTATCAATATCCTGTTTCAAATAAAGCTTATATGGCAAATTTAAACCAAACTACGTCAAATAACAATAACCAAGCTAATAATTATTTAGATGAAACACTTGTTACAATCGAACCAGAAAAATTAAGTTATATACCAGAGAGTGGAAATTATGTTACTGCTAGTAATTTAACTTTATCTCCAAATAATAAAAAAGAAACTGATGTTAATATATTTCCATATCAAAATCATCAACAACAATATGATAATAAGATGTTTAACAAATATGCCGATCCTTCTTTAACTACTACTAGTATCGCTTCAAGAGCTAATAGCAACAGACTGCCTACTCAAATGAATACCCCTGTAGTGGCTACAATCAACATGAAAAAACTTTTGAAAACACAATCTCCAAATTCTAGCAATACAACTTTCATTCCTACTCAAACAAATACCAAGAATAATACATCATCAACAGCTTCCAGAGACATTTTGGGAGTTAAGATTTTACACGATTCTGTTGAAACTCAAGAGATCAACGATTCATATTTGTATTTTGATGATGAATCATTTGTTCCAAAGGTACATTACTCTTTAGAAGATAACAATATAGCGTTGAATAATGAAGATGCAAAACTTCTTTTTGATGATGAATTTTCTGACGACGATGATTTTGATGATGACTCTAAGGAATATGATATCGATGATGATGAAGTAATTAGTTCGATAGATATCGAAAAGGCAAAGAATGTTATGGTAAAGACTAATAATTTATACAGTTTTGTTGATACACACGAAGAATCGACACCAAAATTAACAACCGATGATAATGAGATACATTTACATAATAATAGTGATATTCTAGACGGAGAGAATCTAGATGATGATAATGCTTTACTAGATGAAGACGAAATGTATCAACTAAATTCCATGGGTAAGATTGTCGTTTCTGCAGATGAAATTAAAGAATTGAACAGATCAAAATCCTTGTCATTGAGTAGTAGACCAAAGATACGGAGTAGCTCCACAATGGGACAGTCTAATAAATCACGTAAACCATTAACGCATATAAATGGTAATACCTTCAATGGTTCTATATCTTCATCATCTGCAACTTCGATATCCAAAGCAAACGTATTATCGACGTCATCTTCATCCATATCTTCATCCTCGTCATTAGTCGCAAATACACCAGCTCATAAAGAACATTCAAAGAAACATAAAACATACCTTGGTAGTGATCTTTCTGGTACAAATACTAATGAAATATTTACTTGTCGGTTAGTTAATTTAATTACTAAGGAGCCTTGTTCTGCCCAATTTTCAAGATCATATGATTTAACTAGACATCAAAATACCATTCATGCTAAAAAGAAGATTGTTTTCCGTTGTTCTGAATGTATGAAAATGTTAGGTAATGAAGGTTATGAAAAGACATTCTCTAGACTAGATGCTTTGACTAGACATATAAAGTCTAAGCATGAAAATTTAACCGCTGAAGAACGTCAACGTGTAACTAAATATGCAAAGGAAAATATTGGTTACGCTACTGCATAAATGATGATTATGGATCTTACTACAAGAAAAATGAAAAATAAGAAAAAAATTATTGCACTTATCCTGCTTATAAAGATTTATATAGATGTTAATAATTATAATTATATATATACCCATTTTGTATTGTCTAATTCATATTCAAACATGTTTTTTTTTAAAGATATCTATCAATTGATCAGAAGATCAATACATATATGTATATGAAACCTATAATAAAGATAAAAATTTCCAGTGCAATTATTCCAACTAAACTAAACTAAATTTGAGATGTGGCTAATTGTTAAAAATGTTTGTCTCTATGAAATCACAAAAAAACTTAGAATGGTTTTACTGTTGCGATTATATTGTAGCATCTGTTTGCGTGACTAATTAATTTGCACCAATAGGTAGTGTTCCTAAAGAATCATTGCAGATATTAAGCAAGCAAGCAAGCAGGCGGACAAAAAAAACATTTTTTTGTCTCAGTGACCGCCAAAATGTTTTGCTTTATTCTTCAAATTAATCGGAAAAACAATTTTTTGGCATTACAAGAAGCTCGCTCAATCAGTAAGTAACTAGTAGAACTGCAAGTATGATTAAAAGATACATTGGAGGATCTCCTGTTTCCTCTTCCAATTTTTTTTAAAAAAAGTTCATTGTAATTTAATTTATTTATTGATTTGATTCTATAATATTATTTAGTTGTATGTACAAACAAAATTAATAACTAGTAAGTTAAACTTATTATGTAAAGTTAACTTATATCTTAATGATGTCTGTTGTTAAGTTATTTTAATTTTTTTTCTTATTTATGAAATTGTGGGATATTGCTTTGTTGTAAGATTAGCTAAGGATGTAAAAAAAAAAACTAAAAACAAAAAAGATAATTATTTACTGTTGTTGTTTTCTTTTTCCTTTCCTCACTTTTCTTTTCTTTTTTTTAATTGGTTCCTTCCCTTAAGTTATCATTATTAATTTGTTTATGCTAATAAAGCAGCCATCTAAAAAAATATAGATAGTCTCCTTTATTTTTAATTTTTATTGTTATAATTGTGGTTTGTAGTGGTTGTTCGTTAAAAAATTTCAGATTCGTTGCAGTGTTAGTACTAACTGACAAAAAGGTTTAATTACCTGATGATAGTATGGGAGAGAGAGAGAAAGAAAAATGTAGTAAGTTTACGAGAAAGAAAATAAGTATCTAACGGAAGACTTCTAATTCATCGATCATGTCCGGTATATTTTCCATTGGTAAGTTATTGTAAATAATTTGATAAACAGCTTCAAATAATGGAAATTCAGAAATAGAATTACAGGTTTCTAACCATTCATGAACTTCTTTACAAGTAATGATACCTTGAGCAGATTGACCGTTTAATAATTTCTTTTCGGCATCTAAAGCGCTCATACCACTTTCAGCCATTAACTTGGCAACCTTGACATTTCTACCACCTGCACAAGTTGTAATTAAATCAGCAACACCTGCAGATTCTTGATAGTAAGTTTCAACACGGGATTCTGGGAAGAACATTTGGCCAAATTTAATGATTTCACCAAGGCCGACTCTTTGAATAGCAGCAGAAGCATTGTTACCCCAACCTAGACCTTCAACGAAACCACAACCCAAAGCTACAACATTCTTTAAAGCACCAGCGACAGAAATACCAGCGACATCTTCAATGACACTAACATGGAAGTAAGGTCTATGGAATAAAGCTTTTAGAACTTTATGATCGACATCGTAACCTTCACCTCTGAAATCTTCAGGAATATGGTAAGCAACAGTGGTTTCTGACCAATTTTCTTTGGCGACTTCAGTAGCAATGTTGGCACCTGATAAAGCACCACATTCAATTCCTAATTCATCAGTAACATATGTAGATAATAATTGTACACCTTTTGCACCAACTTCAAAACCCTTTAAACAAGAAATTGCACGAACATGTGAATCAACGTGACCTTTTAATTGTTGAACAATTCTACCTAAAAATTGATGAGGAATGTTAAAAATAATAATATCAGCATCCTTAACAGTATCTAATAAAGATGGATGAGCAACTAAATTAACAGGTAATTTAATATTTGGTAAATATTTAACATTTTCATGATCTGTATTTATAATTTCAGTTAAATTTTTACCATCAATTTGTTCTTCAAAGACCCACATTCTTACTTCAGAAGCAAAAAGTTGAGGATTTAAAGCAGCATTTTCAGAGACAACTTTAGCAATAGTAGTACCCCAATTACCTGAACCAATGACACAAACTTTAAAAGGATGATCAAGAGCAGTTAAATGCGCTATACTTGATGTTCTCTTCATTGATTTATGTAAAATATTGGAAGTTTGATTTAATCTATCGGTAGCAACCATTCGATGACAGTAATAATAATTCTTTTTTTTTTGTCAAAAAAAAAAGAAGATGGATGGATTGGTTTATTAATGTATGCAAAATTAAACTAGTGTATATTAGTAATAATGCAAAAAATAATCTTTGGTGATATATTTGTTGTTTATAAATAAATACAAAGTAAGAAATAAGAAAGAAAGAAAAAAATTAAGGTAGAAATTAAACTAAAAGGGAAATATAAATTACAATTTTCCAATCAAAGATAGATGATCCCTTATATATATATAAATTGAATAGATTTTCAATTTCGGGGGCAAGGGAGAAGTAATTCACCTTCTTCTTATTCGATAAGGACAAAAAAAATTTAGTTATTACTATTATTTTATTTTAAAAAAAATATATTAAATTATATTATGGTGTTGTTAGTAAGTACTTATTACCTTCTCTTGCAGTTTATGTGTGTGTGTGTAGTTTTTTCTTCTTCTTCGTACTTTTACATAGACGAGTCCCTTTAAAATTAACACTCATCATAAAATACTTATTATATCTATAATAGTAGTCTCTCTAAATATCCATATATTATTGGGATATAAGCAGTAGGTACTCAGCTATTTTGTTAGCGCTTAAGGAAAAGAGGAGGTTCCCCTAAGGTCAGTAAGAGAAATATTTTGTCCAGCTCTATATTAATTTACTAGTAACGGCAATTCCTTAAGAAGTTGCCGGAGAGATGGAAAGATTAGTATCGGAGGGTCAGAATTCCTCATCGTCGCAAATTTGTGCGTGCAAAATTGCGAGGTAAAACAGTAATAATATTAAAATATCGTGTATAGTGAAATTGTGACCACCATCACCCATTAGATTTACTCCAACTAAAAAAAACACATATTGAAAATTTTGTCCATTCGTGCGAGCGGATGCCCCAAAATGAAAAAAAAATGATGCAACAAACATCAGTCATTTTCTTGACCTTCATTTTACTACGTCTATTGCTGTGCCATGAAGCAAAGTAGATAGTACGAGTTAAGTGGGACAAGGCTATAGGACGCCGAGGATCTGCGCAGTGTGTGTGTACGCAAAAAAACAACACAAAATGCCAATTTTGCGTTGGGACAAAAGAACAACTTTTTTTGAGGAGTCCCACCAATTTGCGTTCTTTTTTTTATTTTTTGGTTAACGCAAACTCGTGCACATTTTCTGACCCAGCAATATAAAAACTTATTTAGGGAGTGGGACAGCAACAAACAATATGGGCTCAGATAATTTTTGTTGCATTCTAATTTATTTTTTTGTCCCAACTCACTTCATTTTGCTACGTCCTTGTCTGCTTCAGTGAGTTGTAATATTTTGGCGTTCTTCTGTAATCGGAGAAACAATTGAAAAATAAAAAATTAAAAGCAGCCATTGTCCAATTATTATTTTTTTTCTTCTTCTTCTTCGTATGCTTCTTTTTTTTGCCTGATCAATTTTCTTATCCCTCTTTACAATCACATAACGAAAAAAATAAAATTAAATACGTAGAGATGAAAAGGGATCACCACTTTTGTTTAAATCAAAAGGTTTTCTACGCCTCTTCAACAACGGCATAGTCGGACATTTAAACACTATTGCCATTAAGATAAAGTGTCTTAAATTTACTCCAATTTGCTTATTTATTTATTTCTTTTTTTACTTTTTTTCAGAGGAGTCCATTGATTTGGAGTGTGTTGATGTCGTAGATGACTCAAACTACTATTATTTACTATCAAGATAAGATAACAAAGGTAGATAAGTGTATATACAGCATGAGACATTTAAACCGTGAATAATTTCAACCAAAAAGAGAGCCGACAAAAATTTAAAGGATACCTATGTAGAAAAAAATAAAAGGGTGATCCGTAAAGCCCCATGGAAAACAATACTTTTCTTTCTCGGATTTAAAGTATAATACCATTTATTCTATACTTTTCCGTATCTCGGAAATTCTATTTAAATATACTCCGTGATCTCCGACGTAGTGAATAATATACTCTTATTGGAGAAAAAAAAAATATCTTTCCTTTCATGGAATTGGAATAAATGGGTCAATAAATGCTATAGATTGATACTATTGGATATGTAAATTTTGCGCAATACTTGCTTCGATTGGCGTCAATCAGTACGTTAAGTTTTTAAAAAGCATAGAATAAAATTCTTCAAATTGTTCAGTGAATGAGAAGAGCTTCACCCACCCCAGGAAAAAAGAAACTTACAAGAAGTAATTTCTAACGAAGTAAAAAAAAAAGAAAAAAGGGTCTAGTCAAACTATGTGAAATTTTGCCCCACCACTCTTATACATCATCGATTCATATATAATAGACTATGTTATAACAAGCACGCATAAGAAACGCCATGATCATTTATCTTGATGATTTAATTTAGTAAAATAAAACTTGATTTCTTTTTCTTTTTTATAGTTATCTCTTTTTGAGACTAAGGAGAATTGACAATAATAGAGTTTTTTTGCTCTTCGTAAGACTTTGTATATTTACTCTTGAATCAATATTCAACCATTCTATTCCGTGATTCGTGTTTCTTGATTGTTCCTTATCTTAGATTAAAAGGAATCAAAACAAAATTGAACAAAAATTACGTAATATTTTTCATTAAAAGAGACCAAAAAGAAATATTAATTTTTCTCAGCTTCTTTTACCTTGCCTCTTTTGATTTACTTACTACGCGAAAAAGCAAAATTACGTCAGTCCGAGAGTGTACGGGACACAGAAAGCCGTCGGTTGAGTTCATGAAAAAGTATGGGTCAAAAAAATATACATTGTTTACATCTTCTACGTAATTTTAATTATACTTGACAAATTGAATGTTTTTTCATTATTTTATCAATGAGAATTTATTAAAATGTCAACGGCCAAACTCCATGTCTTATCATATATACGTTTTTTTGTCACATTTTAAACTCTTCGAGACGATTCAATACATCATTAGTTAATTCTTCAATTTTATCATCTGATACATACCTTTGTTTGGCACCGAACGTCACCGCATTTTTAATTAAATCTTTGATGAAAAATTCTGTGACAACCACAGGCTTCAAGAAGGAAGATTGTAATATTTCATTTACCGTACAACGTTTATCAGGGTCTCTAATTAAACATTGTTTCATTAATTCTAATAAAGACTTCGGAACAATAGATTCACCGTGATCCGTTTTCTCGCTAAAACTAATTTTGACGTCAGGGTTCATAATTGCCAATAATCGATTTTGTCCTTGGAATCCTGCATAAGGTGGTTTCCCATATACCATTTGATACAACATGCAACCACATGACCAAATATCGGATGGTTTACCAACTTTCCACGTGTTTTTGGGTAATTTTTGATTAGAATCTTCCCTTGATTTATCTTTAATATCATGATAATTCATAGTAATTAATGCTTCAGGGGCCATATAATTTGGTGTACCGATTTGTGTATCCCTATATATATTTACCGTATGATCAGGTACAGCATTAGCAATACCAAAATCAATAATTTTTAGCTTTCCTTTAACCACAACAAAATTAGCAGGTTTTAAATCAGAATGAACAATACCAGAATCATGAACAACTTTAATACACTCAATCATTTCTTTTGTATAATATCTAATAAAAGATACATCAAATGGATCATTCATTCGTGTATTCAAAATTTGTGAAAGATCAAAATCACCACATTCCATAATTAAATATAATAAACCTTGATCCATCATATAATCATATAAATGAACAACTCTATCTTTTCTATCGAGTTTTTGTAATAGCTCAATTTCTCCTTTGAAACCATTTACACTTGATTCATCAAATTCATCAAAGATAACTCTTTTCAAAGCGTACACTTTATTACCTGGACCTTTAACTTTATAAACTTTAGAGGATCCACCACGACCCAACATTTCAATCCTTTCATATTCAACATCATTAACCCTTACAATGTTATTACGTCTGTAGGTGTTGGTCTTTATGGGCTCTTGTATTTCTACTTTCTTCGTTTTCTTATGTTCCGGTTCTCTTTTATTTAAACTAATATTGGATAACGCTTCTCTCTTCTTATTTTTCACATTGAAATCATTCGCAGGCACATTTGATTCAATATCAATATTTTGTTGCTCCTTAAAAATTGAATTTCTATTAGGTGGCTCCTCAGATCTGTCAATAATTATGGGACTACCTTTATCAATATCTATGCTACGTCTGTTATTACTGTTGTTTCTGATACTGGTATGACTATTGTTATTGCTGTTCTCATCTATGTATCTTGTCCTATTTAATAATATATCCTTTGACGAACTATGCTTTCTCAATGCTGTACGTCGTATTTCTTCTTTTCTTTTTTCAAAGTATATCTTTGAGATATGTGGCAATTCACTCGAAGGAAGGTCATGTTTCTTTAGATATTGTAAAGGATTCAAATCGCCAAAGTCAATATTAGAATAATCATTTAGTGGTGCGGAAGGGATTACTGCATCCGTGTTACTCGGAGATAATATAGGTCTTGACGTAGATATTGTACCACTAAGACTTTTGGTTGTAAGATTGCTACCATTATTCTGAAGGTTGATGTTATTACTAGCAAACTGATCATTCAAGTCTATACTTTGTAAACTAGATGTTCTTTTTGCAGGCCCCAATTTGCTCATTCTATCACTGCTTAATAACAGTCGATTAATTCTTCTCTCCGTGTATCTTGAAGTAAGCTCATCCTTCATGTGTTGTTGCATTGACCTTAGTTTGCTACTTGGTGAAAATTTTTCACTGTGTTTACTAATGTCTTCGTCATTATTACCATTATTATCGTGGACTGTCGTCATGCTTAACGGCCTGTTATTCACGTTTACATTATTATTATTATGGTTCGTTGCAAAAAGTGAAGATTGTGGTGAATCTTGAATTTGAGAATATATTGTTTGTGATCTGGAATGTGGTTCAACAGGGTTCGTCAATGTCTCTGCCATTTGTAATCTTGTAAGAAAATTGCTCCTACCCGTGTCGTTGCCTCTTGCTAATAATGCAGACCCAAAATTACTTAGTTTCGGTGGTCCAATATTATCTTCATCTTCTCCATAATCGGAATTGTTATCAATCGACCTTATAGGTAAATTGGTACCATCACCATCTCCTTGTATTCGAGACCTCGAGTGGTGTTTATATTTCGACATGCTACCTCGAAATCAAATACCTTTTGTACTGTGATAAGTTTCGTAGGATACAATGTGTATTTAGTAGATATGTACACTTTTCTTTGGATGATAAGAAGGATTAGACGACTGTAAGCTATGCTTTGTAGTGTTTTATACTTTAAATGTCTACTTTCATAAAGATCAATCTGTAATCTCAAATTTCTTTGTTTACACTTTGTTAGTGGCTCTTCAATTTTTTTGTTTTTTCTTCCTTGATGTTCACGAAGTTACGCAAAGAAAACGCGAAAGTCACGTGTGAAAAAATTCAAATACTAAAATTATCAATTATCGATGACTATCACCATCAGATTTTATATGTGTATATATATATTTAAATATTTACTCATTTTTTTCAATCGTAAACTCCCTGTGCCCATTTGAAGTTGTTTTAACTTTATACTTCCCGTAAAAGCTTCCCGTTTCACCAGGAGTAGATATAATATATTGTTGAGGGAAAAGAAAACTTGAAGATTGTACCGATATAACCATTCTACAAGTTGCCTGTGTTTTAGATAGTTCAAATATTGTTTCGAACTTTTGGTTCCTCTTTAAGGAGTCATCCAAGAAAGTAATTGCAACATCTGCAAAATGGTTATTTTGTGTTCCTTCAACATACATTAATGGATACTTCATGCTCATCACGAAATTACCATCAATCTTGGATCCAAAAGTCTTTAACTTCATTATATCTAACTTTAATACATCATCAAATTGTTTGACATTATCCTTACCAGGGAAATAATGAGATCCGATGTCTTGTTCGTTACTGTTGAATGCTTCGATTACTCTATTTTGGATCATCCCCATCATGGCATCAGCATCAGCTGTATTTACATTGAATTCTTTTAAGAATGTACTTGGAAAAAAACGGTACGCTAATGAGTTCAGGGTCTTATAGCTTACTTTAATTGAACTATCTGGTAATTTTTTCATAATTGCACGGTAGAAGTTGTTAGATCTCCATTTTCTAAATTGGTATACTGAGATTCCAACTACAATAATTGGAAACAATAATTGAAATAGGATAGGTATTATCATAAAGAACAACACTAAAAATACAAAGGAACCTAAAAACACTGCTGGATATGGTATCCTGAACACTCGGATTGGGGATGGTGGTGGACGTCCGTTTTCAAAGAAGGAGGAATGTCTATTTTTGGAAACTTGAAATTTCAATAGTCTTGTGATATGTATGTTTCTTTTTGGTAAGGGTCTGTGAAGATAATTAGATATATTTTCCCTTTTAACAAACCTCGTCAGGCTACTAGAATTATTCCAAGCCTTATATTGGTTTATTATACCGTCACGTTGTTGAAATTTTAATTTCTGTTGTGAGTGGATAGTTGTAGAAAACGTAGCTCTATTTATAAGAGTACCAATAGGCCTATAAATGATAGGATTTGTAAATAACTTAGACCCTATTCCACTTGATACGGGGCTAAATCGTGAAATACACAACATTTTTATTCGTTATCTGTACTGTTCTTATTTTTATATAGTATAACTTGTACAGATATATGGCTATAATATATGAATACCCTTTGATTGTGATTTGATTACATGTATAAATAAGATTTAAACACTTCCCCTTTAAAAGAGATTTGATTATTTCGGAAAATATCGAAAATGAATCCTATGCGTAGCTATGGTGAAAAAAATTAAGATGCGATGAGCCAATGCGATTCCATAGATGAAATTAATGTTTATCAGTATAGCTCATCGAAAATGATCGATCAGTTGTCCATTTGATTACTATGTTGAAAAATGTTTATGAATAATTTTCTAAACTAATTATCTATTTAGACTTCGGTATATCCTTTTTTCCAGTTACGTTTGATAGAGTTCCTTCCTTCTCGTAAAAATTTTTGTAATTCCTATCAAGTCCAATTGTAAATCTTTTTATTTTCCCACATTTGCAAGTTATTATGAATTTTTCATTTTTTGGGTTAATATTTTTGCGTTTGTTTGGCTTATTCTCCATTTCGTATTTACATGTCTTCGATGGAATTAAGATGCGTTTACATCTTTTGCATATCGTCCTCTTAGTATTTGGTAACATGTTACTCTTAGTCTTCTTACTAATTATATCTAGGTTATGTACATATTTTTTCGCTAATAATGTACTAATAGGAGATTCATTATTTAATGTATTGAACATTCCTAATTGATAAAGGTAATTCAATCTTTGGAAATGATCTTTGTTTCCTACTGTCTTTGGTGGGGGTACTATAATGCAACCATGTTCATCAATGTTCTGGCCTTTCTTTGGTTTTTTAATTTTCTTAGTTTTATCTTCTGTCATAGTTTTATTAATTTTGTTATGTTGTGGTATATTAACTCTGCTTATATAAATGTTCTTGTCTTAAAACAATTTGATTGCGTAAGACTATTAATATTAATGGTTCTCTTAATTAAAAACTTTTTGTTTTTTCTCTTGTACTTCTCTTTAGCGCCTCGCCTGCGTTAAGGAAATATTGGATTCTAACAAAAATAGACTAGATTGAGCCATTGCTAAAACTCAATAAAATTTAAATAATCCTTTCATTGTAGTCTCATTTACCTATGGAGGGTTGTATATAATGGATGTGAATATATTAAGTCAAAATAATGCAAAAATAAAATGGATGAAGTAAATATGTATATGAATATGTGAGGTAAAGTTATAGAATAAAAGGTTTTTGTAGTTCATTCAAAAAAAATAAATAAATGCAGATGTTCTAAAATGATAGAACAAAAAAAAAGAACACTTAGGAAGGATAAAATCATTCACTTTATATGTTGACCTTATTGTAGTTATTCTTTGTTATCTATATCGTTCTGTGTTGGTAGATGATGAATATGATCGGAACCTTTATGAACCAATCTTCCTGTTCTATCTACTTCGCAACAATGTATACTTTGTATCCAACTATTGTGTAATATATCTTCTGCTTTAATTCTTATCTTAGGATTTAATTCCATCATTTGACCAATCAATTGCCTAGAATAAGTAGGTAGTAGTCTTAATATACGTAATGGACCCTTAGAAACATCATCTTCATCATCAGGATCTTCAGAAAATAATCTAAAGTTATTAAAACTTCTACGTGGAGCCTTCCAAGGAAATTTTCCCATTATTAAACAATAATACATGATTGCAACAGCCCATACATCTACAGGTCTTGGATCATAAGATTTACTATGACCTGATAGTAATTCTGGAGCCAAATATGGATCTGATCCAACAATTCCAGATGCATATATTAAATTTTCGTGATCAAATATTGTTACTGCACTACCAAAATCTATTATTTTTAAAATGCCATCCTTTGACATCACGCAATTATCTAATTTTATATCTCGATGTGCAATTTGTTTAGAATGTAAATATGACATGCCATTTACTAATTGTTTCATATAGCAAGCAGCTTCTTGTTCTGTAATTTGTCCAGCCATTACAACGTTAAAGAAGTCAAATGGAACATATTCCATTACTTGAATCATGTGGACAATATCTTGTGTAAAATCATCAATTTCAAAAACTAAATCTATTGTTTTCATGATATTTTGATGATCAAATATTGATCCAATACAATATTCTCTAATAATATTTTTTTGAAAAGTTGTTAATACAGGTTTCCTATCAGATTCTGAATTAGAACTAATATTATTCATTGGAGTACGATATAATTTAATTGCATAAACTTTACCATCTTTAGTATTACACTCTGTTACAGTACCAGAAGCACCTTCGCCTATCTTTCTTACAGGTCTACCATAATCACTAAGTAATTTATGTTTTACTGATATGCAAGTTGTAGTATTATTATTCAATTTATTAATTTTTTTCAATTTTCTATTCCTTCTAAATAAATATTCTTTTTGGATATATTCTTGTAAAACATCAGCTGGATGTAATTCTGGGTCAACTTCAAATGAACTCATTGATGATATTGAGGAAATTTCTGAATCCATATAATCTGCAGTAATATCATAATTTTTTTGTAAAATTGGAGTCCCCGTAGTATTATTATTATTATTATTATTACTCCCTGATCTTGTTTCTGCTACAGATATTGATGTGGTCTTAATCTTATTAAAACTTTTAAATGGTAAGATACCGTTTAAAGATGATGAGCTACTATTGTTACTTGATAAATTGGTATTACTATTAGCTCTTTCAATAAATAATCTTGAAATACCTTTAAATTTACTTTTACCAAATACTGATGATAATGATAGATTTGAAGCATCATTGCGGTTATTATTAATAATATTATTACTATTATTATTCTCATTTGTTAATTGATTCATTTTTTGCTCATATTGAACATCGTCATTGGCTATCATTATCAAAACTTTTTAAAACAAAATAAATAAAAGAGACTATATTTCTCCTTTGTTGTTCTTTATTCTATTATGTGTGTATGTACAGTTTCTATTCAGAATATGATCTTTTTATAACAAAGCAATTAAGGACCCGTTACAATATCTATTGTAATCCATATATGCAAGAAATTGTGATTTTTTGCTTATATTGCAACTACCTTAATAATAATTATATATATAAGATTAAGAGTAAATCTACTTTTCACATTTGACATACCAAATCCATATAGATTGTTTTTATTTTGATAGACTAAACAATCTTGCATAAAGACAGAAACAGCTCATTTTTTTACAACTCAATTCGATGCCCGCTGTAATCCAGGAATCGGTGATATTATTATGGTTTCTTAGTTTAAGAGAACAAGCTATTAACATAATTGAAATATTATTGCTCATACACACCATAGTGAGGGATACACACAGAGGGCCGGCAGATTTATTTTGTTTTTGACCCTCTGTGATGGCAGCGTATTGTATAGTATTTACTATGTAGCAAACAATCTCAAATGAGTAATCTCATATGATAAGGCTATATACAAAAATTTGTAGTTTAGCAAACAGGGAAAAAGTGCGCGAAGAAAGATGGATGGGTCTCTGTCTCTCTCTCTCTCTCAATTAAACTGCAAAAAATTGGGTGGATTGAAAAAAAGAAGTAAAGAAGATTAATATTATTAGAACTTTCTTTTTTTGTTGTTGTACGGGGTATTGTGAGTCTCAAGAACTTTTGAGCTTGTAATTCACGTGACTTGAAAAGAGCATTTCGAAAATATTCACACCTTTTTGTAGTCACCTCTACGCGAATTTACTCTCAACATGCTTATTTAGAAAGAGTCAGAAATGTTGCTGTTTCTTTTTCTTTTTTGCTCGGTTTCTGTGTAATTTGATAATGCACAGGATAGAGACCAGCAAAGCCGGCGGTGATATTTCTCCGCTCCATTTTTCTTTTCTGTAATTTTCTCTTTTCCAAGAGAAAATGTGTCATATTTTTTTCGTGTTCAAAATCCTAGGGTTACCAAACAAGGGTTACCAAACAAGGGTTCATGGAGAACACTTGAATACTTTTTTTTTTATATTAGCGGCAAATTTACGTATAAGGGAAATGCTAAAGGTAGAAAACATTGATTAGTAAGAGAGATTGAAAGTATTTATATTACTATTACACTGACAACTTCAATTTTGACTAAAAGTTTCTTATGAAAAATACATATCACTATCAATTTTTTGTTTATTTGAACTGAAGTATTCATTAACTTCCGAATAAGTAACAAAACAAAAAATTTGATAGATTCCTCAAATTTTTGCCTTTTTTTTTCCAAATTAAATGGGACACTGTAAAAGTTTTATTGTCACGGGAATATAAATCACAGTACTACGTTCTTAACTAATTTAGTACAGCATTACCTGTTGACCTCCTCTCTTTTAATATCTGAAAATTTTAACGAAGATCTTTAGAGCATATGTTAACTCCTCAATTATCCATATAGCAAATTGGTCTGTTAACAATAATATAGAATAGGTTTTACATATCTTTATCAGGGATGAAAGAGTTCTTGATTAGATAAAGAAAAATTAAATAATCATCAAATATATATGTAAACAACATGAACTACATTGAGTTTGAAAAGTTTTTTGTACATTGAAAATTGTTTGTATGTTTTAGTGCTTGGTTTGAAATAATATACAAATAATAAACTATATATTACTATACATATATCTTTGAATAAATAGTACACTCTTAAATATAGAATACACTTCACAGGATAATGTTACAAACGTTTAGCAAAAAATAAAAAACGTATTCTTTAAATAATGAATTAGGAATAATACTATTAGAATTTAATTTATGACCGGCTCAGCTTCACGTATTTTGAAAGACTTGATTAATTATATAATTACAAAAATTATGTCATTTTTTGACAGTTGATATCATATCGTACGGAGCGCTACAAATATTACGGATTTAAAGGTTTCGGTAAAGATGAATAGAGTGGAAACCTTTGAATATAGAAAGATCTAAGAAAATGCACAAATGATTTGAAAGAAAAATTAAGTATTTATATGTACATATACATATACATATATATCATTACTGTCCGGAGATCAATCAAATCATAACACAAAGTTTTGCTTTCCATACCTCCCCCCCTCCTGGTTGGTATCTACATATGATTGAAAATGTCATTAGGAAGATTCAATGCAGTTGCATCGAAATATCAAAATTTAGTCAAACAACGGCTTAGTGAACTTAACAATTGGGTTCAACCGTCACCATCGAAATTTGATAATATTGTAATTGCAATGTCATCAGGTGTAGATTCTTCAATGTCAGCTGCATTATTTAGTCAATATCCCAATGCTAAAGGAATATATATGCGTAATTGGACAAATGCTAATGATTCTGATTCAGAATTGAAAAATTGTGATGAACAAGATTGGAAAGATGCTATGAAAGTAGCTAAATATTTAAATATACCTTTGAATTTAGTTAATTTTGAACAAGATTATTGGATTGATGTATTTGAACCAATGCTCAAAAGTTATCAATTAGGTTCAACACCAAATCCTGATATTTTATGTAATAAATTTGTTAAATTTGGGAAATTAAATACTTATTTAGATGAAAAATTTGGTCAAAATAATTATTGGCTTGTAATGGGACATTATTCAAGAGTATTAAAACAAAATGATATTAATAAGTCAGTAGAACAACGATATGGTTTATTTAAAGGTATTGATACTCATAAGGATCAAAGTTATTATTTATCTCAAGTGAATAGTAAAGTTTGGCCAAATACAATATTACCAATGGGTCATTTATTTAAAAAAGAAGTCCGAGAAATGGCATCTGAATTAGAACTCCCGAGTGCTAAGAAACCAGATTCTCAAGGGATATGTTTTGTAAATAATTCACAAGCTGGCAAATTTAAAAATTTCTTAAAAGAATATATTCCAACTGAGTCAGGTAATATTATTACATTGGAAAACGATACACAAAATGGAAAACGTTTAGTATGGGGCCAACATGATGGTCTATGGTCTTATACTATTGGACAAAAAATTGGAATATCAATGCCACAAGCAGATCCTAAATATAAAGGTACATGGTTTGTTAGTGAAAAGATAACAAAAACAAATGAGATTGTAATTGTTAAAGGCAGAGATAATATCAAATTATTTCATAATTGTTTAAAAGTTGGTCAATTTGAAATTCTTGATGATACAACATCTATTACTACATTTGAAGATACAATACGAAATGGTTTAAAGGAAGGGACATTGCATATGCAATATCGATCATTACAGGAACCTATTAAAGTGAAACATTGTAAAATTGTGCCTACAGAATCAAATGATACATTCAATATAAATAAAAAGGAGACCAAAATTTTACAATTAGGATTGGAACTTTATGAATCCCAAAGAGCGATGGCTGCTGGACAATATTGTTGTCTTTACAACGGTAATCAAGTCATTGGCAGTGGACCAATCTTAAATACACATAACAATAACATACGAGGGACATAATAAATAAATAAATAAATCGGATTATTAACATAAACTTTTCATAATAGTGAAAAACAACTGCAACAACAATTTTTTTTATTGTCTTAACCATGCACAGATCCCTTCCAAAGCAAAGAGGTAAAGAGAATCAATTTAAAAATTAAGATCAAGAAGTAAAGCAGGAAACGGTGGAGTAATAATCATATAACTGAAAACAAATTTTTCTTTTATGCTATATTTTGAAAATTTCTACGTACGTTATTACTTTTCTGATTATCCCACGAAAAGGAAAGAAACCCTGCACTTCCTAGCATAATATATATTCAATGGTTCCATAAAACTTGAAAGAATGAAAACTGCACATACAAATTCGGGCAGGAGACAGATCGCATATAAAAATAAAACTGGAATTTAATTTGAACGGCTTTGTTTTCATAACTTCTGGAATTCTGTCAGACAATCTAGGAACCAAAAGAAAAAAATATCAAAACTAAGATGGTTTAGTTATACCCCCACCATATAACTTTAAATATCAGCATATCTCGACAGTTTGTAAAACTGCCCGCACAGAAAGAATCGCTGCACCATTAACTATAGCCTCTCAAAAGAAACATAGCTTGCCCCTTCTCTCTTCTCGTTTCAAGCAAGCAGATCATTGGACTGATTAGACAGAGAGAGAGAGAGAGAGTAAGAAAACTAGTTAGCAAGCTATCCAACGAGCCGACAGCTCTTCCTCTCGAGAAACAACAGGGACAAACAGAATTATGTAATCTTAAAATGAGACACAAAACAGTATGCATTCAATATTTCGGAGACTGTGCCGTAGAGAAAGAAGAAAAAAAAAGAATAGAATGTGGTTCTCAACAAACGCGAACACATTTCATTGACCTTCCATTCTGAACACAGAAACTGCCGTAGCCCAGAGAAAGAAACAGCTCAAAATGTTATTTGATAATTTCACCGGCACGATGTGGAGCGGAGCGGGGCAAGTTTAAAGAAGAAAGAGAGGCTCATTATCGTTATGAACGAGGGCGAACCAAGCCAATATACTATGTAGTATATCATAATTATCAGAAAAAAAGATGAAAAAAATAATTTCCATTTATTGATTTTTCATTTTTCTTAAAAGAGAGAGGAGCGTGAAGAGAGAAAAAGTTTTGAAAATCCGACAAAAAACGAACTTTTTTTTTTCGATTCTCTTTTCATTTTACGTAGGAACAAAATTTCAAACTGCAGATAGTAGTTACTAAGGTAAATTCTTACTTCAGGAACATAGTAATAATAATTATAGTAATAACAATCAAATTTGATATTTTTTTGTTGTTCTTAAATGAAAAACCAGTAAAACGTTAGAAACTAAAAAAATATTTCCTTAATTTTTTTCTTTATATATATTCTATTTCTTTATTAGTAAAACGTGTTTTATATATACATTCATATCGACTAAGTTTTGTTAAGTCTTTTGATTTATTTAATACCCTGAACGGTTTAACCTCGTTAATACAAGGAGAAAAGGGTACAAGTGACCGACAGACATTACAAGAAGTAATATATACCGGGAGTGGTAGTTATACGTCTATTTTATTCATAGAAGCCACACAGACACGACCAAAAGAGAAAAAATACATATATATATATTAGCATATATTTTTTTTGCTAATACACGCTAGATTATATATATTCCTTATTGTTTATTTATTTTCATTCAAGGATAAAAAAGTAAAAAATACAAAATTAAACAACCATTAACTTACATTTTAAAGAAAATATCATTATTTTCGTTAGCATAAAGAATATCATTGTTTAAAACTACCTGTCCATTTTTTTTGTTTTGTTTGTTTTTTGTTTTAATACAATTACATATATACATTATTAATACAAACAGGCAAAACGAATACAAAACAACAACAACTAAAAACTGTTATAGAAAACCTTATGAACTTATATTCATATTCTAATATTATTAATAAAATACAACATTTCATACTATTTAAAACAGTACAAAAGAGGAAAGATATAAATTATTATTAATTGACAAATATCTAAAACAAAGTTTAAAAACAGAAGTAAAAGTTTCATTAAGAAGTTTTTTTATTTTATTTTATTCATTTGCTTTAAAAAGCATATTAGAGTTACCTCATTTGAGGGTGACTATTATCATTTATTATAACATATAATAAACAATAACAACAAAAAACAAATATATCAATAATGATTCTTAATACAACAACGGTTAACGTTGCATTAGGTTTACCTGGTATGACCTCTACTTTTAACGGTTTCCAATTGATAAGAATGAGAGTATTAGCAATAGTTGCAGCTTCTTCATCTATCGTGGCAGGCCTTGTAGGGATGCATTATTTAATGCTGGCAGATAGAAGAAAAAGAATGTTTAGACACGAAATGATTTTATTTTTAATTGTTTGTGATTTTATTAAAGCTTTAGTCTTAGTCATTTATCCAGTTGTCATCCTAATTGATGAATATCATTATTCAAATCCTGTCTTTTTCAATATTCTTGGTTGGTTTACTGCATTTTCAATCGAAGGTGCAGATTTTGCTATTATTTTTGTCGCTGTACATTTTGCATTATTAATATTTAAACCAAATTGGAGATGGAAAAATAAAAGAACAGGAAATTTAGAAGGTGGACTTTATAAATATAAATTTATCATTTGGCCTGTAACATTTATTGTTCCTAGTGTTATGGCTTCATTAGTATTCATTGATTATAATGTTATTAATTATGATATGGTAACAGATAAAGTAAGAATCATTCAAGATAATAATAATTATGATTTTAAATTTGAACCAAGAAGAGGTGGTTATAAACCATGGAGTGCTTGGTGTTATTTACCTCCAAAACCATTATGGTATAAATATGTTTTATCATGGGGTTTAAGATATGTTTTAATTCTTTCTATCTTTGGAATTTATTTTGCAATTTACATCTATGTAATGCAAGAGACTAAAAGAATTAGAAAACAATTAGGTGATTTTAATCCAAATGATAAAAATGGTAGTGGACCAAGAAAAATTAGAAAAAAAAGACCATTTTGGCAGAAAATTTTATATGTTCCATTTATTAAACTATGGGACTTAGTCATGGGATTTTTCTCATTATCCATTGTTGATCAAATGAGTTCAGATTCAGATAGTGACTCTAAGAGTCTTGGTATGGATTTTATTAAAAAACCAATACACAACAAACATATGCATAATGATGAAAATGATGCCGATGGTGATAACAACGGTAACTATCATCAAGTTGGTCAAGGCAGTAATAAACATAATATCGATACAATTACTAATTCATACTCATTGACTGATCAAATAATATTCCCAGACTCCCTAAGAAACGAACGTATAACGAGTAATAATACTACTACTGGTGATATACCGAATTCACAAAGTCATGGTTCTGCTCCATCAACACCATTCAGATCAGATCATGATAGTTATGAAATGACAAACATGACACCACCAAATGATGCAAGAACAAATTCAGATATTAACAAAGAAGTAGATTTAACTGGGGTGAGATTAAGCTTCCAACGTGAAACTTATAATAAAATGAAAAGAAGAAGAATGCAAGTTCAAAAGAATTTGCGTTTTATTTTTATTTATCCATTCTCATATTTGGTTATTTGGTCATTTCCTATTGCATCCGATATTTCACAAACAAGACATGAAGTGGTCCATGGTCCAATTGTTTGGCTAACATATGTTGATACTTTCATTAGACCATTAAGTTGTTTAATTCATACTTTCGTCTTTATTTTAAGAGAAAAACCTTGGAACCTAGCATGGAATATCGTTGAAAGATCTTTCCTATTCGATGAATATAAAGGTAGAGGTAAAATGACGGAAGAAAAAATTATGGCTCTCTGTAACAGTGATCTAGGAAGACGGGGCTGGTATTATAGAGGTAGATGGTCAAAATTGTCTTGTTGGAAACATCAACCACAATTCTGGAAAAGAGCCTTATGGTACATAGGTATTACAATAAAGGGGATTTTCCAATTTAAAATTGTTTACCACGATAATTGTAACGACACCGAATATTGGAACCGTTACTATTTCGCTGAAGAGTCGTCAAACATTAGCACTACTAATTCTCACGGAAATCAAGGAGATATGGAAAGTCCAAACCCAAAGCAATCAACACGCCCAGAAACCATTGTTTCATTTTCGACCAACACATCAAACGGTATGAATAACCAGGAATCTCATCAAGATAAATTTACCATTAATGTGCCATGGTATTGGAGAGTTTTCCATTATTTTCCTATGTTACATGGTATTGATCTTGATGAATTAAACAGATCATTATATCTAAATTACGAAAGCGATACCGAATTAATGGGACCTGGCTTTGAGTTAGCCTTAAATAAACTCGCAAAGAGCAATCATTCAAACACTTCAGAAAACAGTCAATCTCAAGATAACACAAGTGAAAATCCATTTAATAATATTCCAACAAAAAACCTATCCGAATCTTTTAATCATGATTCTAATAATAGTATTCATAGTATTCACTCATCAAACTATGACGCAAATCGTAACAATGCTTCAACAGCTCTACATTTTGATGAACCGACAAACTTCTCGAAAAATAGTACAATAAGAAGAAAACGTAGAGATAGTCGTTACGATCAAGATGTTCTCGATGAGGATCTTGATGGCATGGATATTTTGACATTTTTAAAAGGTCCGGGGGTTTAATAATAATAATTTTTACAGGTCTAGATAGACTTGTACGTTGCATTTTTCAAAATATAAAAAACACATGTATAGATACCCTTTTTTATCATTTCATATATAAGCAAATGTATTATAAAAGTTTTGTTACATATTAACATAGAAATGTTTCTATTACCTATATAATGGAAACGTATTTCCGCCTTAAAAATTCGCTTGATATATTGGGCATCGCCATTTTCTCAAGAACCAGTGAAATTCTGTTAAAAGTAAATAAATCATCGTGAATAAAAACATTGTAGACAAAATTATATAAGGTTGAGCAGCGAATGTTTATACTGACACGTAATTTGAGGTTTAAACAGAATCTAAGAGGTATATTGTCAAGGATAAAGATGCAACCTACAAAGAGAGGCATAACAGAGGTATCGAATTTTGATAAGTTGCTACAGGAAGAAGTTAAACAGGCAAAAAAGATACAAACAGAAAAACTGAAAAGGAGGAAGTTAGAAGATACCAATGAACTTATTAAGAGAAAGGGAGTAAGGACACTTCGTGACGAAAAAGGTTTCAAACTTAGGGTTATTGAGTCTAATAAGAATGGAAAGAAAAAGAAACAAGAAGATCCAGAATATGAAGTTTCAATCGAAGGTGATCTAAGGATCGTTAAACCATATTATTTTACTTATAAAACGTTTTGCAAACAAAGATGGAGAGAACGAAAATTGTTTGATATTTTTGTAACTGAATTTCGAGACAGAAAAGAATCTTATTATAAAAAATGTATTGAGGAAGGATTTGTTTACATTAACGATCAGGTAGCTAATATGGATACCATTGTACATGATGGAAATTTAATTACCCACAAGATCCACAGACACGAACCACCTGTAATGGCAACGCCCATAAAGGTTATTCGTGAAGATGATGATATTTTAGTGATTGATAAACCAAGTGGTGTTCCTGTGCATCCAACTGGGAGAAATAGGTTCAACAGTATTACAAAAATCCTAGAACGACAACTAGGATATACAGTTCATCCTTGTAATCGTTTGGATAAGTTGACAAGCGGTTTAATGTTCTTAGCCAAAACACCAAAAGGTGCTGATGTAATTGGAGATCAATTGAAAGCTAGAGAAGTCAGTAAGGAATACATCGCTAGAGTAGCAGGTGAATTCCCATGTGAGAAAATTATAGTTGAAAATCCATTAAGAACGTATGATCCGAGAGTTGCTCTAAATAAGGTTTGTGATATTAGTGAAGATGGTGCCAAACATTCCAAGACTGTGTTTCAACGCATTAGTTTTGATGGACAAACAAGTATTGTAAAGTGTAAACCACTAACAGGAAGACAACATCAAATACGTGTTCATTTACAATACCTCGGTTTTCCAATCGCTAATGATCCAATTTATTCAAATGTTTCTATTTGGGGCCCAACTTTAGGTAAGGGTGGTAAGGCAAACTTTAATGAAGTTAGTGAAAGACTTCATGAGATTGGAAAAACAAAGAGTGTACAGAGTTGGTTCTATCGTGATATTAAAGGGGAGATGCTACTTGAAGATAAATGCCCAGAATGTGATACCGAATTATGTTCGAAGCCAGATCCTGCCGAATTAATTCTATGGCTCCACGCATTCAAATACGCGACAAAGCCTGGTCTTGATTCGGCGGCTGATACTGACGAAAATAACACTAAAATCTGGAGTTATCAAACTCAATATCCTGAATGGGCTCTGAGAGGACATCGCAAGTTTATTAAACAATTACAAACTTCGGCTGATAATTGCACGTTGTTAGTGCATAATGATGAGATATTATCCAGATCGTTAACCAAATCAGATTCGCTAGAGGCCAACCCAATTGATAACATGATAAAAGATTTGAATAAAGCTGGGAACGAAACTCTACCCGAAGGCTGTACTATATATACTACATCTGTAGATCCGATCATATTGAGTAAAACGTTGCAAAATTACCAGTCAAAAATTGGCGCAATTGTTGTAAAAACTGAGAAATATCAAGAAACACTAATTCCAGACTGTTCTGAAAAGTTACTGGGAATCTCAAACAAAATCATACAAGTCCCAGATCTTGTCCATTAGGTTTAGAAGTTCCTTCATGTTTTTTACAGCCACATCAGATTTTAATACATATACTATATGTACGCATATATTATATTAATCTTTTTATCACCCAACAGATAATGATCAACAATAAACTTAAAAGTGATAAAAAACGACTCCTGATAGATTGACTGAGCTCAGGTTGGGTATTTTACTGATGAAAAGTTTGAATCTCGGAAAAATTACCCTGAAGATGCCTTTATGCCAACCAACCGGTTGCAAAGTTTCCGTTGAAGTTACAAGTTAGGCGGACGTTTCGCAACGCAACGCAACGCAGCGTAGCGTAGCGCAGTGAAGTGAAATGAAAAATTATTGATATTTTTTTCAACGCCGAAGCTACTTCATGCACCGCTCAAAGATAGAGAGATGTGACATTCATGAACACTTATATAAGCAGAAAGGAGATGCATAGAAGAATTAGTTGAACTATCAATCTCCATTCATTTATACTTTTAAGGTTATTATTTAAGGATAATCCCATTTTGAACAAGTATTTAAAGCACCAATTACAAGCAATGTCAAGAAGAAGAGTAGGTGGTAAACCAAAGCCAGCTGCCAAAGCTGCGGCTGGTAAGGATCATCATACCCAATTCCTAGAGGCCTTGAAGTTATATGAAGGTAAACAATACAAAAAGTCTATCAAACTTTTGGAAACTATAATGAAGAAGCAAATTACTTCGGAGTTTCTGGCATTGAAGGGTCTAAACCATTATTTCCTTGGTGAGAAAGAAGAGGCCTCTGATTACATCGGACAAGCCATCAATAAGATCGAAGGCACAAAAGCTACCGCTATCTGCTGCCATCTTTTAGGTATTTACAAAAGATCAGTTAAGGAATACAATGAGTCCATTAAATGGTTTCAGGCATCTCTTGACAATGGCTCCACCAACAAACAAATCTACAGAGATCTGGCTACTTTACAATCACATGTTGGTGATTTCAAGGCTGCACTAGTCTCTAGAAAGAAATACTGGGAATCCTTTGTTGGATATCGTGCCAATTGGACTGCATTAGCCGTTGCTCAAGATATCAACGGTGAAAGACAACAAGCTGTCAACACCTTATCCCAATTCGAAAAGCTTGCCCAAGGTAAGATTAGTGAAGCTGAAATGTATGAACATAATGAATGTTTGATCTATAAAAATGATATTATGTATAAAGCAGCCGGTGATAACCCAGATAAATTGAAGAATGTTTTACATCATTTAGAAGATATCGAACCAAATGTCTTCGATAAATTTGGTCTTTTAGAAAGAAAGGCTTCTATTTATATGAAGTTAGGTCAAACCAAGGAAGCATCTTTAGTCTACAGAACTTTAATTAAAAGGAACCCAGATGACTTTAAGTACTATAAACTGTTGGAAGTATCTCTTGGTATCACTACAAATAACAAATTAAGAAAGGTACTGTATGAAAAACTTGCATCCTTCTATCCAAGATGCGAAGCACCAAAATTTTTACCATTAACTTTCATCCATGACGAAGAAGAATTGACTAAAAAACTAGGCGAATACGTCTTACCTCAATTGAAACGTGGTGTCCCAGCTGCTTTCTCTAACGTTAAACCGTTATACTTGAAGAGAAGAAATTTGGTCCCAAAGCTGTTGGAAAAAATTGTCATTCAGTACTTGTCAGAACAGGACTCTAGGGAACATCCAATTCCATATATCTGGTGCTGTTACTTCCTTTCTCAACATTATTTGAATCTAAGAGACTACCAAAAGGCTCAAGAATACATTGAAAAAGCCATCGAACATACCCCAACCATGGTTGAATTTTATTTAATGAAGGCCCGTATTCTAAAGCACACTGGCGAATTAGAGAAAGCTGCTTCAATTGTCGAAGAAGGAAGAAAACTAGATCTACAAGATAGATTTATCAATTGTAAAGGTGTTAAATATTATTTGAGAGCTAACCAAGTCGACAAAGCTGTCGAGGTTGCCTCATTATTCACTAAGAATGATGACTCAGTGAATGGTGTTAAAGATCTTCACCTTGTCGAAGCCTCTTGGTTTATCTCTGAACAAGCTGAAGCATACTACAGAATGCATATTTCTGCTCAAAAGAAACTTGACGAATTGAGAGCTGAAACTGCTAGTTCTAACGAAGACGAAATTACTACCGAGATCAAAGATCTAGAATGGTCTGTTCAAAAATATAAGGGTTTATCTTTAAAGAGATTTTATGCTATCAGTAAATTCTACAAACAATTCGAAGATGATCAATTAGATTTCCATTCTTATTGTATGAGAAAAGGTACTCCACGTGCTTACTTAGAGATGCTAAATGCCGGCCAACGTCTATACACTCAACCAATGTATGTTCGTGCAATGAACGGAGCTTCAAAAATATATTTCAATTTATATGATAATTCATTGAAGCGCAAACAAGATGTCGATGTTGAAACTACTACATTACCAGGTGGTGACAAGAAGAAAGCTAAGAAAGAAGCTGCCAGCTTGGCCAAACGTAAGGGTGAAGAAAAGAAACAAGTACTTGCATATTCAGAAACAGAGGATCAAGATGTGTTTGGCGAAGAGTTGTTAGCTACTGAAACACCATTGGCATCGTTTAGTGATAATTTTTACGAAAATTACAATAAACAAGCTAAGGATTACGAAAGAAATCATATCTTAGATTTTGAATATCAATATAGAAATGGCAAACTTGCATTATGCTTAGGTGCACTTTCTAAATTTGAAAAGAGACATGGTCAAAAATCTGGCTTGTTTGGTGCTATGGCTATTACATTATTGTTAGCTACCAAAGAAAGTAGTTCTGTAGATATGATTGCTAAGAAGGTAGCCATGAAGGGATTAGAAACCGATTATTCATTTTTACCATTAAAGGAAGTTGAAAATGAATCATTTGATTGGTTAACTTATTTCAAAGAAAATTTCAACAGCCACGATTTGAATGCTTTGGTATTTTTAAAACAAACATACTTGTTTGAAGATGGTAGAGTTAATGAAATGATTTTGAGTGCTATCTCTCATGATGAACCTCTTTTACAGAATTATATCTTACAATACGTCTTATAGACATAAAATAAAATAAAATATAATATACATACATACATACGTATATATATATACATATATATATATTAACATTAACTATAATAACCTTTGAAGAACCAACAATTGTATTTTTGATACAGCGTTGCATTCATATTTTATGTCATTAATGAGTTTATTTCTGTTCCTGTATTAAGAGTCATTCCAATAATCACCCAAAAAAACTCAACGCAAAAAAATAAAAAAAAAATGGCTTATTGAAGAAAAAAAAAAAAAAAGAAAATAAAAAAGGTATATTTTGCAAAACAAACTAGGAGAAGCAGCTGAATTCATCTCAAGCCAAAAATAAAGTATTAAACAACGTTATACTTTGGTCTCTCATTAATAGGTATACAATTTGATATCTCTACCTAGAAATTTCTCATACCGCATTAAGATTCTAATCAAAAACACAGACATATTTGAATATAGCAGATAATACTAAAAAATAATATAATAATGACCGAAAAATTATCAAGTTCGATAAGTTCTAATTCGGGAAATCCTGCTTTCCATAATGATCGTAGACGTCGAGATAATATCAATGAAAGGATTCAAGAACTTCTTGATATGATTCCTGAAGCCTATTTTGATAGTTATTATGCAAAAAATTCAGAAGCTGGCACACCTGTAAACACACCAGGTGGTAGTAGTAGCTCAGTCACTACACCAGCAACGCCTAATATGTTATCTACATCATCGAAAGGTAAAGGCTCAGGAACACGAGATGGGAAACCAAATAAAGGTCAAATACTTACACAAACCGTGGAATTTATAACAAGATTGCAAAATGAAGTTGATGCAAAAAATAGAGAAGAAGTAGATTTAATGGCCAAAGTATCTAGTCTCAGTAAGAAGACAGGTACTATTGTGAACGATATAAACTTAGAACATACTAGTGCAGAAGTCGAACTTGCCAAAATCGGTGTTGGTCCATTAGTTGGAATGACACAAGATAAAACACCAACAGAAAATATTGGGCAACAACAACAGCAACAGCAGCAACAAACACAGTATGATTATGGTGGCTATTCTGAATATGCTACATAAGTTTAAAAAACAAAAACAAAATCACAGCATACCAATTTAAACGTTCAATCAACCCCACATTATTACCCAAAGCAGTAGCCGATTGTTCAGAGTTTGGTGGTGCCTATCTTCTCCCCCCCACAAAAGGTATAAATTTTCTGATGCGAAAAGAGGGTAACACTCCGATGACTTAAACTCGGGTTTCCGTTATTTTATTTTTATTTCTAATTAAATAATCTCCAAGTTTGAAAACCGGTTGATCAACCAAAAAACCGGCCAACAAATTCTCTCTATCTCTTAAATGAGAAAAATTGAGTACAGCGAGGACGTGGAACAAGTCATTGCAAACGACGCGAAACTGGTTAAAAAGAGAACAGTTTGAAAAACTCGCGCGATGGAGACGATATCAATTCAACAGACCCACCACTTCAGTGCTTGATAAAAATATCAAAAAAGTGGACTTTATTACCAACAAATTACCACACAAATTTTGGTGGGACAAGGCGAGAAATTTGTATCGATTTTTTGCACTTTTTTTCAAAAAAAATCTGTTAGGGCAACAAATAGTAATAAAAACTAAAAATTTTCTTCTCTTTTCTCACAGTTTCACGCGATTTCTAAAAAAAATTAATGGATCGAATATCCCATCATCCATTATTGAGAAGTGGATAGATAATATAATCTCTCCAATAAGGCTCGAAAAGTTAGAAATTGAATAAAGGATTCATATATCTTTTTGTAGTTGTTGTTTTTCAGTTTATTCCAGCATTGTGCGTGCTAATTAAGTTACACACATATCTATATACAGATATATTTACAATCAATATACAATAACATCTCTAGCATTACAGTTGAGTTTGAGAAATCGTTTATTTTTTTTTTTTGATCTCTATTCCCCTAATAGTATAAGAAAGAATTTAAGAAATCAATACTTAACAAAATATAATAATAGTGGACAATGGCAACGATAACGCCTAGCGATAATTCTTCTAATAATAATAAAGATGACAGTAAGAAGCGGACTAATGAAGAGATCAATGACGGTAATATTATTTTGAATAAAAAAAAAAATAATAATAATAATAATAATTTGCCAAATGAGAAAAATTCAAATAATTCTGAAGATATAAATAATGATATGAGAAAGAAAATTAAAAGTGTTACTTCAAGTGTTGTTGGACCACGTTCCGCTTACGCATTTTTCATGAAAGAATATAAACATAATGTTATGCAACGATTTCCAAATATATCAAAAAATGAACATCGTAAATTGACTCCAAAAGTTTGGAATCAATTATCGTCTGAAGAAAGACAAAAATATCAAGAGAAAGCTGATTTAGATAAAATTAGATATTCTCAAGAAGTTGAATTAAAATTAATTATGGAACAAAATGCTGCGGCAAATATCGCTAATGCTACTGCACATGCTAATACAAAATCTGATACAAATAAAAACCAAATAGTCACAGATCTAATTGCTCCAAACAAACCAATTGGTATAGCTAAAAATTTAGTAACAAATAAATATATTTTCCCGAAGTTTACTAAAGATGATACATTAAATGCTAGAATGTTTCTAAAATATTATGGATCAAGAAAATTTTTAGATTCTTATTTACCTGAAGAACTAAATTCTTTATATTTATATTTCCTAATTAGATTATTAGGATTTGAATTAAAAGATAGTGAATTAACAAAATCAATCTATAAAGCAGTACAAGAAGAAGATACTAAAGTTGAATCATCATTAACATACGTAAATATCGATGATCCATTAAGCAAAAAACAAACTATTAGATTAATAAAAGATCTACAGAGAGCAATTAATAAAGTCTTAGCCTCCAGGTTAAGAATTGTGACATTTTCTACTATTGATAATTTCGTATCTCGTTTGCAAAATGCTAAAAATATTATTGTCTTAACAGGGGCAGGTGTCTCAACATCCTTAGGTATTCCTGATTTCAGATCATCTGAAGGTTTCTATTCTCGTGTAAAGTATCTAGGATTAAATGATCCACAAGACGTATTCAATTATGAACTATTTAAGAAGGAACCATCAATCTTTTACAGTATTGCAAATATGATTTTACCACCAGAAAACGTTTATTCACCTTTACATTCATTTATTAAAATGTTGTCGGATAAAGGGAAATTATTAAGAAATTATACTCAAAATATTGATAATCTAGAATCATATGCACACATTCCAGCTGATAAACTTGTTCATTGTCATGGGTCGTTTGCATCTGCTACATGTGTCACATGTGATTGGAAAGTACCAGGTACCAAAATTTTCAAAAACATTAGAAATATAGAGTTACCAATCTGTCCGAATTGTTACAAAGAAAGAGTCAAGATGATGGAGTTATACAATCCTTACGTAAGTGAAAGCGTTGATCTCAATACTAATAGTAAGAAGTTTAGCGCGAAAGAGGTAGAAACAATATCTAATATTAAATCATTTGGGGTTCTTAAACCAGACATTACTTTCTTTGGAGAACCTCTTCCTGAGAGATTCTTTCAATGTCTAATGACTGATATGCATAAATGTGACTTATTGATTTGTATTGGTACCAGTTTGAAAGTTGCTCCTGTGTCTGATATTGTAAATATGATACCAGCACAAGTCCCACAAGTATTGATTAATAGAGATCCTGTAAGGCATGCAGATTTCGACTTATCTTTGCTGGGATTTTGTGACGATATTGCTGGGTTAGTAACGAAACGATGCGGCTGGGAGTTCATGCATAAGGATTGGGAAAAACTTTCTGGGGGGAAATATGATATTTTGGAACAAGAGAGGGGCGTCTATTCTGTTAAGCGTGAGAACAGTTCGGTCTAAGTTATTATTGAATTATTCAAATGCATAACTACAGATGTATATTCACATTATATATTAAAATACGTACTTCCTGATAAATAAGAAGAAAGTGACATAAATGTCATTTTTTTAATTTTAATGAACAGAGAGACATTTACTATTGTTTGAAAATGCTATAATTTAAAAAGAGGGAAGTCATCCCGAAGCCTAAAATTAGAACCAAATTTTTTTTTTTCAATAATAAAAAAAAAATGCTTTGAAAGTAATAATAATCACACAGTTAAAAGATCTGAATAAAAGAAGAAAAGGAAGAACTTCACAGTACGAAACACGTTTATATATATAATTTATTATAATGGACTATCAGAATCGTGTCGGGTCCAAGAAAGGTGGTGGTGGTATAGCTTCAGATGCACAAGCCAATTTAGCACGTAGGAAGAAAGTAGATGACCTATTAAGACAAGGAGTAGAAGTACCATACACTTTCGATGAAGATAAGACAGTAGGAGAAGGGGGTGAACAAAACGAACCGATCGATAACAAGACTAATAGCAATCCTTACATATACAAGAACCATTCCGGTAAGCTTGTATGTAAACTATGTAATACTATGCATATGTCATGGAGCAGTGTGGAACGTCATCTACAAGGTAAGAAACATGGCTTGAATGTCCTAAGAAGAAGTAAACTAGATAGTAAAAATGGAAAACCCGGATCTCAGGGGAAGATGGGTACCGAGAAGACACAGTTCGATTTGGATGTACAAAGTGAACGTGAGATTATACAAGATAATGGTGTCATACCGCCTTGCCAAATAATACATATCAGAGATGAGGAATCGGATCTTGAAGGTATATGTATCAGGGTAGATTATAATGAAAAGAACAGTAAAAGTGAAGTATTAGAGGGAGAAAATTCAATACTGTACCCTCCATTTGCTAGAATTGTATCAGGGTTGGAACTTACATCAAAAGAAGAAAATGATAAGAAATATATAGTAGTAGCGAACCCCCCATTTAGCAATGCAGCCATAGAGATACCGAACAAAGAAATAGTATACCGAACAGATGATTATTTGGCTAATTCTGTGGATGAATTTAATAATAAGTCGACGTACTGGGACAAAGATCTGGGACTTTTCTTCATACAGATATTCTTTAAGAAGGAGGAAGAGAAGAAAGATGTTAAAACGCCTGAGAACCCCAAAGCGTAATTTTAATGTAAGAGTTACTCTATGACATGATATGTACATATCTATAGATCTGTATCTTAGTATTACCAATTTCGCCTGGAAGCAATATTAATTTATGAACCACCAAATTATCTAAAATACAAAACAAAAGAAGAATTTAGTAAGTATTATTGCTAGCAAATAAATGTTTGCAGTAGAAACTGTCTAACACAGTTATCGGTTACTGACACCATTGCCAGTTATACCAGTGTCATTTTAATGTACTGTTGACATATTTCCTTATTGGGCTTAAATGACCAACGAACAAAATTTGGCCACGCGGCAGAAAATTCCGCAGATGAAGCGAAAAGTTCGTTGATTGTGTATGCTGGGCTTTTCTTCTCAATGCAGAATAATAACTATGGTGAAAGCAGAAACTTCAATGGCGAACCTAATGTTGAAGATGGATGCAGGAAGGGGAAACTGGTCATCAATTTTCTTTTTTTTATATACCAGGTATGCTGGTGTTGTCAGTTTATTAACTAACAATGGTTAGGTAAGATTAATTCAAGGATTGTATACTAGTTCGAGACACGTTTACCAGAAGCTTCGTGTAAAACAATTTTATTGATAACAATATATATCTCGATACATATTTGAAATTGTTAGATAAGATAAAAAAAATTAACATTGACAAGAACTAAAAGAACGTGTTAACCTTTTAAGATCAAGAATCGAAAAAAGAACATCAAGAAAAAACTTTACAGACAAACAGAATTAAAATTTAGTTGAAATTAAACAGTAGAAAAAATGCCTACCGAAGGATATAATGGATCTCCGTCAAAGACGTCCATCAACACTACAAGGCTTTCAGCTATGATGGATTCTCTGGATGGATTCAACACAAATGGAACGATAGATAACAATAAGCCAAATGAATCACCTACCACTCAAGAAAAAGAAGAACAAGAACAAGATCAGGATCAGCAGGGTGACATGTCGGCAGCACCAGCTCTGGTACCTCCACCATCTCTGGCAGATTTACCAGATGGGTCACATACTCCAAAGAGTTTCCTATATACCAAGTCTCCTGGGAATAAATCCCCTGGTGTATATTCTCAATTTAGTCCCGCCGGTACAAGACTAAGTATGTATTCGAACTATTCAGGTGTCATTCAAGAAGGTACAGGTGTATCGTACGTTGTGAAAAATAATATAAATAGGGACAATCAAAATAATGACCTAGAACAAACCAATAATGGACTTGAAAATGCTCTTGAACAACCTCCTCATATAGAAGTATCCATAGGAAACCCGGAGGATGATGATCTCGAATATGATTCACCATCTAAAAATGCCAACAAACCTCAGAGATCAAAGAGTAACCTAATTATCGAGACTATACCAAATGCTAAACCAGTAAGCCGTTATAACTCATTAAATTCTAAGCCAGAAGTTATTACGACAACTGAAAAAGCCCCTGAATTACCTAGTTTACCTAATCAACAGAAACCAACAAACTCTACAAGCGATTCTATTCATCTATCTGAAGGAGTATCAAAGGGTATAAGTAAGAATCTTTCAATAGGTTCGGGAAACCTTGCGAGCGAGAGTGGTTCATCAGCATATTATCCATTCAATCATCCATTGGAGGAAGTCTTAGAAAAAGGAAGCGAAGAAACAACAAGAAATCATACACCTGGTAAATCAATAGATAACTTATCAAGTACGTCAAGTGAATTACCACCTTTACAGACCTACCAAACATCTAGTGTGAAATCATTAACTCCTGATAGATCTGAGATGGCAGATTATAACCCTACTGTTCCATTAAGAAACAGACACAGACCAGTCACCAGAAGTTTCCTAAACAACGAACTTGATAAAATAGAATCTGAATTAAAACAAGAATTAAATGATAATAACCAATCGCATGTGACCGTTCACACAAAAGGTGGAGACTCTTACTTTTCTGCTGAGAGTGAGGAACCCAGTGAAGCTGCTGACCAATTATACAGAGATAGAAGAGTTCCAAGTAACCCTGCTCCACGTAATAACAACAACAATAAAACGAAAGTCCGTGGTACGTTACCTCATATTGCAAATATTGCAAACTCTAATAAGGATGACGGTTTTGAAGATATTGAGGAAGGACACATATTTAGTAACCATCCATCCCGATCATCTAGAGATACATATAACCACAGACAAAAACGCGAGAAATCATCCAGACATAAAAAGAATGCATCAAACTCATTTGATACTAACACCCTATCCCAGTTATTGATGATAACGAAAGGTACGCTCGTTGGTTCAGAATTTTCCAATCTAGGTATGAAACTAGAAGAAAAAAGGGCTCTGGAAAGATTGGTTGACTCTCTCTCTAGGTTGACTGCTGATATGATATTAGATCCAGATCGTTACAATGAAGGTATAAAGAGGTTAAATAATGCCGTGAAGGCTCTGGATGGGTTTTAGTGAAAGTTAAAAAATATTCATCAATAACACATCCTTATATTACTTATCATAATTTTGAAAACGTCTTTATGACTAGACTCACATTCCTAATAACATTAAATATGCATACACCAAACAAATAGTCTTTCTCACAATAGACTAAGATTTAGTCACATTAAATACATATGTAACACTATATAAATGAACATTCCAAATAGTTATATTCAATTACTTACAAAACAAGAACAATACAAACAGCTGGAAATTCACTGTGACACATGATTAATGCACGCAACGTAATATGGTATACAAATACGAGTTGCATTCAATACAAAAGTAAGTATACAGTTCAAAATAAATGTTCTCTTTTCTTCACTTAGTTTTGCAATAGTTTGCATTGTGTTGGCTCCGCTTGCTTGTTAGGAGATCGAAAAAACAAACGGAGGAGAAAAGACAGTTTAGGTTCATCCATTTTGAAAACGTCAAGAATACGTTTTCTTAAGCTGATATACTTAGACAAACAGTAGATATACAAAGTAGTGCGCATTTGTTACATCTATCCAGTATTGCTACACTAGGTTGATACATAACAGCTGGTATTTAGAAATGTTACGTTACAATAGTCGTAACATACTACAACTCAGTACGCGAAGTGCCGTACGTTATATCCATGGAAATGTACTGAGATTACAACAAGTTAAACCTGACACTGAAACACCACTGGCAGGTTCAACAACGGACAATATAAAGGATAATGATGATGCCGAGGCTAGTGTAAAAGAACGCATGATATTTGGGAGTATATTTGAAAGAATGCAGCGAAAGGAAGAACTTCGACAACAGAAGATGTCTGAATTATTAGATATCGAAGGAAATAAAAAAATCAGGGATATTGGTGAAGTCAAAGTGAATTTTGGTCAAACTGAACAGTATGAAGATATAGATCCCGAAGATATCAACTTGGTAGAATATTTTAAACAAGAAAGTGAAAAGAATGCCCAAAATGATGATCTATTCTCTAATGTGGATAGAAACAAGAAAGGTGGAACAGGTAAATCATCTATTATTTATGACCTTTTTGAAAATATAGAGAAATCGATTCTGCAAAACAAAAAAAGGACATTAGAACAAGCTGATGCTATGAAAATAGATAATTTCTCTCCATCATCTTTCCCTACGCCTAATGTCATACAGTCTCAAAGTTTAAGAATTGATGTCAAAAAATTGGAGGACGAAGAAAGGTACAAAGCAGCCATGGATAGTGCAATGAAACCATACATAGACCAATTGAAATTGAGCATAACATCTGATTATGATGTCCTAGAGAAAATGAAAGAGATGATCAAATTGTTTACCACAAGAGACAAATCGTTAGACCGTTTAAATAACAATAAACCAGTTGATATTATCAACACAATAAAGAGCTATAGCGAAAAGAATGACGAAGCAATTCCCGAACCATATGTAATAACGATACCATATTGTATGCTTAGACTTTTAACAGGTCCTGAGTTTGAGATGTCAGGCGAGAGGAAATATAACATAGCAGTATACATCTATCACGAATGCAAGACCTGTCAAGATATATCCTTGTATTTAAACATGTGCAATGTAATTTTCTACAACCAATTATTGAGACTGTCGTGGGAAAATTTTAAAGACATTAAACGTCTATTAGACTTGACATCAGAGATGAGTATCAATGGTATCCTTGGTGACATTGAAACTGTAGAATTACTCGATACATTAATCCAGGATATTGATGCTACTTACGATGACTATCTTCCAGTAGAAAATAATATTCAGGAAAATAGTGGATCAGCGAAAGGTATCTTATGGACTCATCAAACAAGAATATACTTAAACGAATTGAAAAAATACGTGAAACAACTTAAACTCGCATTAACTGTAGAGCAACCATAGCACCGAGTTTCTGCTGCATCCATTTTCTTTCTTCCAAGTAGCATTTACATATATATATCTATAAATATTTGACGTTGGATAGTCACCAACGACATGTAAATACAACCAGCACATAGTTTCCCAATCATTTCAACCCAGGGGTGTGACACCTTTTCACCAAAGGGTCCCATATTGTCCCAGTCTCACGACAGCGAACCAATAGTAGATGCACGAGACATTTACATCGGTTTAAAGTAGAGGTGTGCCCTCTCTGACTGTCCGCCTTCGGAAAATCACTGCGCCGCCCGCTAAAAAGCAATGCTAACCGTATTTCAATTATTAAGCAATTCTTAATCTGCAGAAGAACGAAGTTATGATTACCAACATATACAAAGAAAGAGAAAGGGAGATTGTAGATGACAGCTTTTTATATATAAACAAAAAGCATATAACAATTAAGTTATTTTCTGTTTGTTAAGATCTGTTGAATTGATTCTTTTTGTCTTTATTTGTTACTATTCCGATACGCATACCCATATTGTAAATATAATTCACTAATCTGTTTCGGTAGAAATATAACAAAGAACTAATAGAATATTAATTGCATATTTGTAAACGTCGAAATAATCTAAATTCGTATTGAAAAAAACACATCAAAATGTCGTTAGGTGAAATTGCAGAAAGATGTTATAACATGACTACTTCATACCTTGAAGTCTCTACAAATAGTATAATCATCAGGGAGACTCAAGATGCCGTTAGATTAACAAGGCGACATCTTCTTGAAGATGTTTTCACACGTTGGAGTCCCTTAAATGGTGAGATTTCTTTCTCATATAATGGAGGCAAGGATTGTCAAGTACTATTACTACTATATTTGAGTTGTCTGTGGGAATTCTTTATAATACAAGCAGAACGATCTCAATATGATTTCAAATATCAAAAGTTTCCTATGGAAAATCTATTCTCTGTATACATCGACCTTGCTGAAACTTTTCCAACATTGGAAAGTTTTGTAAATATGACATCGGAACGATATCAATTGAGCCTTTATTCATCGATGAGAGAACATGGAACGAAGGCATCGAATATGTCGTGTGCATTTGGAGATTTTTTGAAACGATATCCTGAGACACAAGCAATTTTGATAGGTGTTCGTGCTACTGATCCATTTGGTGATACATTAACACCAATACAGAAGACAGATTCAAATTGGCCTGATTTTTATAGGGTACAACCTATTTTGCATTGGAAGTTGGCAAATATATGGAGTTTCTTATTATATTCAAATGAGCCAATCTGTGGATTGTATGGTAATGGTTTTACATCGATAGGCGGCATCGACACAACGATACCAAACCCTTATTTGACTGAGTCCAAAGATAATCGTTCAAAACTACCGCTAAAGTTTCAATGGGAGATAGACAATGCATTTAAAAAGGAATCTGATGAGATTAACGTGTTAGCGATCGATCGCGAGGATCAGCTATGGTTGAAGAAATTAGGACCCGAGGAATACTTACCAGGATGGTATTTAATCGATGATGAAATAGAAAGAGCAGGTAGAATTAAGAAATAATTCCAAATTTTTTTTATTCAGAGCAAATGTGCAATTGTAATATGCATATATTTTCTTAATTTAATAAAGATATATATATATATAAATAGATATCTAAATAGATACATAGATGAATGGTTGTATATATACAGGAATAGACCTAAAACTCGGATATGATGAATAAATGAACATAGAATATACATGCGATGAAATAAATGAGAATAAGATAATATTAAGATTGGATAATTTATAGACTGAATATGCATTTCAATCGTGTGGTTTCCCACTAATCTTGTCATATAATCTTGCAGCGTGGTAGTTGATATTACTCTTCTGTTCTTTATTCGTTTTACCTAGAGCTGTCTCCGAAGTACACGTCTTTAACTGCGCTGCTAGATCTGCACATGCTGGGTTCATATGTCCATTAGAAGACCAACATTGCAAAAGGTTCGACATTAGCACGAGACATCTATTTGTTTCTTGTTTGATAACTGGTTTTTTCACTCTAAGACGAGGCAAAGGAGGTAAACGATACACAGGCACTTTTCCTGACATTATTTGTTGATAGACGATTGGAGTGCCCTTAAGCTACGGTTATTATTATAGAGTATACAATAATCCTTGTTATGCGTCTCTTGTGTTTTAAGGTTCTACTCCCTTTACTGTATTAAACTTGAAATTGTTTCACGATTTCTTGTTTGTAATAACTTTTTTTTAATTTCGCAGTTAGCTATAATGGCCCCACAAAAAAAAAGGTCCAGTAGGGTAATGTTCTTTGATCAAATAATGGTGCTTAGACTAATAAGAAAGGATAGGCTTCATAAAATTTCTGTTATTAATAGTCATATTGCATTCTTTATAGTTTAATTAATTGATTAAACGTTTTATTAATGAAATGGGTAGCTAGTATAGTATAATATAGTATATATATATATATATATTTCTGTAAAAAAAAAGAGAACAAATTAGGTACTGTTTTCTTTTTATCTGGAGTGATGCAATCGAATTATATCATTCAATTAAAATGAGAAGATAACCTCACCTGTAATACATGCTAATAGATCATCATCCGCGGTATATGCTCTTGCTAAGATAGTGTACTTACCAGGTGGCACTTCATCTGGGATATCAACTTTTTTCTCCAAGTCATAAATACCAGGTTTCACTGGGCATGTCAAACCGTTTACATCATTTTCCTTAAGTACTTCACATAGATCAAAAGTCTGTGTCAGTAACTTGATATAACCAAGCCTTACTTCAACATCGACATAAGCACCATCTTTTATAGTAGTTTTGATTTCACCTTTAGCAGTAATCACTAACTCATTACCACGTTCTGGTGGGTTTGGAGATAATACTACAGAAGATATATCTAATAATTGCTTTTCTTCTAAATCACAAAGTAATAATGGAGATCCACCTGCAATAGGTTTAGTGTCTCCAGGAATTTGTTCTGTTTGGAATACCACTGAGGCACTCACAAGTGCTATATAAAATGTAATAAATGTAACGAAACGTTTAACACTAAGCATATCTAATGAATTCTAAATGTCGATATAAATATATCTATATATGATTGTTTCGTTGTAATCTATACCCCTATCTTACCACTATTATCAACTCTTATTCTTCAAAGTGGCCCTCGTTTATATACATTTTTACAAAAAAATTGCTTAACGGAGTTTCTCAGCCGATTTCTTCCAATTTTGTGTTTAAAGCGAATTGAGGAAGAGATGGTTGAGCAGGAATGTACACACCAACAAGTCAAACCAGCCCTCATCGACATCAATGTGAAGTGATCACCTGCAAGCCGTACATGCCCAATATATATGTTTGAAATTATTAGGTTGGGTTACATTATGCCCTATTTGAGGGACTATAAAATATATATGAGTGTATGTACGTACAGATTATTAAAAATAGAAAATAGATAAAAAATAATAAAACATGGGGAGGAGATCAATGAAAGTTGGTTGTTCGTATGTTATGGTACAAATTATGGACAAGAAACTCAGATAAGTTTCTTTAGTTCATTATGAAGAAGAGCTAACGATATATGTGTATAATTTATCATTACTTTCTGTCTTCGTGTTAAAGTGAGACAAGTTCCCACACTATAAGAAGTAACCTGCCCTTTGGTTATTGTGATTAACCGCAGCTTCCTGTATATAATCATCAGGTACTGCACTAAATATCTTGAATGTAGGTTCTAAATCTTCATCAACTTTCATCACACTTGCAACATTACCACATCTATAACAGTAATTTGGTGCAGACCATACTGTGACAACATCCTTTTCAGGGAAATGATACTTGAACCCTTCCATGACCAATTGATGAGCTCTTGCAATTAAATTTAATCCATTAACATGATTGAACTCACGTGCGACTTTGCTACCAAATAACCACCCAGCACCTCTAGGTGATACCTGCCATGCTTCAACATTATCTGGATCTGACCATAATAAATCTGAAAATCCACCTTCATGTGGTACTTCTTGGGCACGAGAAAGCACTCTAATTTGATCTAACATTCTAATTTCTGGTGATAATCCACCATGTACACATAGAATCTTCCCATCGATAATGGCTGCTAATGTTAAGAAATCAAAGACTTGGCAACAGTATTTCCATACAGTAGTTGAACCGTATTTATTTAAACATTCTTCATAAAACCCATAAACTTGAGTAATTTGACGAGATTCATGATTACCACGTACCAACGTAATCCTGGATGGGTATTTTACCTTTAAACACATCAATAATGTAAATGTCTCTAAACTGTAATAACCTCTATCAACATAATCACCAAGAAACACATAATTAATATTATCTGGGAATCCACCTGCTGTACGGAATAACTCTAAAAGATCATGGAATTGACCATGGATGTCACCACAAACTGTTACAGGTGTCTGTACCGGTTGGATATTACTCTCTTCCATCAGTAGTTCTTTTACCATTTCACACAATTGTTTCATCTCATTTTCAGTTAGTGACTGACATTTCTTTACTGTCTCTAACCATTCGTCAACACCTCTACTGCTAACACTCATTTTTAATTTTGTTCTATTCCAAAAACTTTGTTCCTCTTTCAAAACTTTGTCAAATACAGTATACAGTATAATATAATGTCTGTATATAGTATCTAATCTCTATCGTCTTTTCCTTAAGAACTTATCCACTGAATTAGATATTAATCTATTGGGTCATCTATCTATCTTATTCACTCACCTATTCATTCCACATCGTCTTCTCCTTATAAATTGAAATATTTTTTTTTTGCTTGTTTGGCCGAAAACTTTTTCTCTTTGAATTTTGGTTGAAAATTAATAGGAAATGTATTAAAACACTAGATTTGATAAAGGAATAAAAAGGCTTTTATATTAGTCAATACGTTATAAGTATATAGAACTTGGAGAGTTATAGATTTCAAACACTTGAAATCATAACAAGAACATTCGACTAAATGAAGTTAGTAAATTTTTTGAAGAAGTTACGTAATGAACAAGTAACGATAGAGTTAAAGAACGGCACTACTGTATGGGGTACATTACAATCCGTCTCACCACAAATGAATGCCACTCTGACTGATGTTAGATTATCAGTACCATCTAGTGCTAATAAATCACAAGCTGCTATGTCTAGTGTGTATCTATCCGGAGCTACAACAGAGAGGTCGAAGGATGGAGTATCTGCATCATTACAATATATTAATGTCCGTGGTAATACTATCCGACAAATTATCTTACCAGACTCTTTAAATTTGGATTCATTATTAGTAGATGATGCACAATTGAGTCGTCTAAGGAAGAGTGGACAAGTGGCAGACTCGAGTGCTCGTAAGAGAACTAGAAACTCTGACTCACACACAGCCAAAAGAGCAAGAAGGGGTGTATGATAAAACAAAAGTAAAGGGCTCTATGAAATAATGTCAAAAAAGAAAAGACAATATTGTTACGTTAATAATTATTAGTATTAATTATAGTTATGGTTGTTTATTTTATTATTATTATTATTATTATTTTTTAATTAATTATAGTATTTGGAATAATGACAAAAAATTATGAGATATATGTATATACATATGTTTATTTATTTATTTATTTACAAGGGGAAAGGAAGTATATGTAATTTTAAAACCATGAGACTGTATTTTTTTGTTTTTTCTCTAAACGTCTAGTAAACTTCTTACCTCTAACCTTTGCAATGGTATTATCTGCCTCTAATAAAGCATCTGAAATAGCTTTTTGTCTAGAGGCTTTATTTAATTCATGCTTATGTCCCTTTGGTAATAACACACCCTTCATAAATGTCTTCTTTTCATATTTCTCTTCAAAGAATAATTTATCTGTAATTGGTGGTAAAAATTCTGTTACACCATAACGATGTGCTAATTTAAATATTTCGCTCATACGTCTCTTCGAATAAACAGGATCATGGTATGTCTGTGTCACTGGATGTCTATTAGCAATAAATGGGTTAGCCTCTAGAGCATGGGTTGATACGGAATTTGATGCATATTTCACATGAGGTGGGTACTTGTAAAAAAATTGTTTCAACTGTCTGGGCAACGCCTCAAACTGTTTTAATGCAGACATCCTAAATAATATAAGTATTCGTGTATATAACTCTGGATTTTGGTCAGTTGCGATATCGAAAGTGTATTTAGTGCCTCTTCTGGTTTGTATTTAATCAATGAATAGAAGTTTTCATTAATTTTGTATGATTAAATTTGTATATTTAAGATATCTTTGAATGGCCCTTTCTCTTCCTTAATTTTTTCCATTTAAAAAATTCGAACTTCGCGCGCTCACAATAAAATAGTAAGAAGTTAAGAGTGAAAGATGATTGAAAAGTTATTTCATTATGTATATGTATATATATTTCTATCTATCTATATGGCAAGGTTCTTAGTACCTTCTTCTGCTTCACGTAGAGCCTTCCTACGCTCTACATCCCAGTTGTAGAGTCTTGCACAATTGACTTCCATTGTAGTGATATTTTCTCTTAAAAATTCCACATCTTCAAGAGCAGTTTCGAGACTCTTTTGTGCGGCGTTATGACGTTCCTGTAATAAGACGATTGCTTCTTCAACAGGATATTCTAACATCACATCTGCACCTAACCACAGACCAACTTTGGTGTCCTTTGTATCAATGCTAGCCTTTGTATATAGAGTATCATTCAATTGATAATTTACTTCCATTTCATTATTATCTTCGTCAGATGATTCATGATGATGTTGCAATGTCTTGCACACTTGCAGAGTATGCTCAATATCTGGAATACGGACACGCAATTGTTTCACCGTGGACCCTTTAGATTCTTGCATATATTTGTACATTGACAATCTTTCTTGAAACTTGCTAAATACTAGATCAAAATCATTCGGATCTTTAATGAACTCTTCAACTTCTCCGACAAATGGAGCAGCTGGAATTCCTCTAGCATTCTTCTCCGTACTATTAAATATCGTATCCATTTCTATCTGCGTACCAACCCCTGATGTCTGCTTATCGCTCAATCTTTAACCATCTCTCTCTTTAATAGTGTTAGGCTCTCTTCTCTTCTCTTTTAAAATCGAAAACTTTTTTGGATTTTTCAAGCCAAAAAATGCTGTCAGTGAAATTAGTTGAGGCCGTTACCCTGAACATTGTTGGGATATATACATACATATGTAGTTATATACCAATATAAGAGGAAGAGAGAAAGACGGCCACAGCGCCCTGTTTTATTATTACGGCGACCTAATAGCTTTATCTTTCAGTGACTAGGGTCTATGCTCAGTTGTGTTTATTACATATGTCTGTATAGTATTACTTTGTATCTCTGTCTCTTCTTTGTATCATCAACAGCATACCGTGGTGATGCTCACATATACACTCATCGCATCAATTGTGTTTCCCGGACCCCTCCTCCTCCACCCACCCCCACACACACACCATGCCAAATAATCACGCAATACCAAGTTTTAAATCAATTATCACCAACTGGTATGACAATTTAACAAGCTTCTTAAAATATAGCAAAATGGTCTTATCTCCTGGCAAAACACCGTTAGTACTTTTCGACATGTTCTCTGTGATTTGTCTGCGGACAGCCAAAGTTGGATACTACAGGGTTACTTTCTGTTCTCTCTGCTAACTCCGCCCCCGCGCTGTCAATTGCGGGAAACAAATTTCCAGTTCAATTCACATTTTCCTGCAGACTGAAAAAGTTTCTTAAATAATGAAAGAACAATAACATATAATAATGATATATAAAAAGGGGACAGTTTGCATTTTAAATTTTAATTGATCTGTAAACAGAATTGTAATTAAATTTGATCTTGGATTTCTTAGTTAATTGTACTGAAGAGATTTCAGAGATTCAAAAAACAAACAAAAAAAATACTTTTGCATCATGATTAATAATACTAGAGATATTTCCGTTTTACAACAACCAATGGATGACTTATTATCCAAAGATTTATCCTTAGATGAATTAGAGACTCTAGAGTCTCAAACAAGTTTATCTAAGTTTAATGATGAAATCGCTTTTGAATTAGGTTGTTTTATTAGAACAGAAGCTCGTAAAATATTCCCTGAGAAATGCATTACCATTGATATCACTTTACCTTCTCGTCATTGTTTATTTCGTTGTACTTCAATTAATGGATCTTCTTTAGATAATACTAAATGGGTTGAACGTAAACAAAATACCGTGTTCCGTTTTAATCATTCAACTTTCTATATTCGTCAAAAGAAAGGTGATATCCCAATGGAACAAAGATTTTTCATCCCTGCTGAGGAATATGCTTTCCATGGTGGTGCTGTTCCGTTGTTTGTTGATAACGTTTCTTCACCAATAGCATGTCTGACAATTAGTGGCTTAAAACAAGAACAAGATCATTTCTTAGCTACTACTGCATTAATGGAATTTAAAAAATCTTTATAATTTAGTATTGTCGTTTACTCCCCTAATATATTAGATATATAGATATATAGATATATGATAAATATTATCTATCCTTTTTAATGAAAATTTATTTGTTTATTTAGTTTTTTTTTTATTGCTCTATCTTACGCATGAAAAATGGTACCAGTCCATTCGTTTGCCATTGTAAATGTATTTTATCTCTTGCTTCAAGAAACCATGCAAGACTTGGTTTAATATTTTCAGTTTGTGACGGCTGATTAATTATATTTGATTGTGATACTTGTAACTTTAATAAATTAATAAGTTCAGGTGAAAAACCTTGTCTTTCATATCCACTGCCATTATTACTTACAGATGTTGTTGTTAGAACTACATTATCTAATGAAGTCTCTAGATCACTCATAAAACTTGAACTATTATGACTCTCTCCAGATGTTTCAAATTCACAATTCTCAAATAATTTTGATGCACGTTCATATGCATATGTACAATTTTCACAAACAATTTCTTTAAATGGTTCTTGATAAGTAATTGCATTAATCAATTCATATAATGGTCTTTCACAAATTACACATTTTTTCAATTGTGGGGTTCCAATACCTAAATCTGATATATATTTATCACCATATTCTGAATCATTATGATGATCTTCTGGATTTAATAATTCATTGACCATATTACACATTTGTTTTCTGTTATTAATGTTATTATTCTCTTCAATGACACTTGGTAACTCGCTGCTCATCTTTTTAAATTTCAATGGAATATGTGAATCGTTACGTTTATTCATTTTACTTCGAAGATCAGACATTGATACACGTTTCTTTGCACCACGTTTAGAAGCTTCATTGTACGGTATATAATCTTCTATCATTACAATAGGTTGGCCTTCTTCTTCTTCATCATCCTCATTTTCTTCATCAACTTCATGTGCACTCATTAATGGCTTTGGAGTTCCATAACTAATGTAACGATTCCCATTTTTATTATGTACTCTAATCTCTTCGACAAGGTTTAATTTTGATTTTTGGGGCCTTACATTCGTCCTTATACCTTCATTCTGTTGATAATGATACAATCCAGTAGATCCTAGATTATTACCGCTATTATATGAAGAAGGTAATGATGATGATGAAGACGATGAACATTCTGATCGACTTTGTGGTGGTGGTGCTAATGGTAATGTCGTAATTTTATCAACTTCTAAAAGATCTAATTTTGATGTCGATTGTGCTAACTTTGATTGCAATCTTCTCTTAGCGCCAATTAATTGTGATTTACGTTTCTTAACTTGTAACAATTCAGGTCTATTTGAACTTGATCCACTAAAATTATGTCTTTTCTTTGAAGGTGTGCTATTACTATTGAACAAAAAATCTTTTTTCTCTAATTTCCATTGCAACATACCATTACCATTCTCATCATTTTGAGGTAATGAGGGAGTTGTCGGAGTCTTATTTCCTCCATGAATAATAAAACTATTTGTATTTGATTTTAATCCACTTAAATTTGTGGATGAAGCCGACGATATAATAGAAAGTGAGTTTGTATCTAAGGGTTCAAATACTCTCAACCTTGTTTGTTCATCCATTATTGTGTTTCTTTGCAGAATAAAATATTTCAAAGTAGAAGCTATTCTTTATTTTTTTTTTTTTTCAACGATTGGTATATACCTATTAAATGCTAAATTTTCGTAATTTGAATATTTGCACTTAATTTTTCATTCCCTGTTTAACTACAATATTTAATATATTATAACAATATATGTATATAGTACTTGTAACTTAGAGAACAAAAATTGCTCTAAAAATAAAATCAAATAAAAAAAAAAATTATTAATAAAAAAGACCCTTCTTTAATTTTATTTTTTATTGAAGAGATGCTCGAATAACGTTTATTGATAGAAAGTTATATTATTATATAAACGAAACTCCTTCCTAAAGGCTTTGTTGTTGTCGTTTTTCCCGATTCGGGATTTTTCTCTATTTTTTGTCTTAACAAGGCCGCAACGGATGAATGTTTTTAAATGACAACGCCGCATGCCTTTTTAATCAAGCAAGTAGTTAAAACAATAAGAATTGATCTATTAGTGGTAGGTTTATAGGTTTCTGACAGCTTTTTGAACCTCAACAATACTTGCAGTTAAATTTTCAGGACCCAGTGGAGCGTAACCCAATGATGTAAGGATATCGTGTCTTTCACCTGTCTGTAAAGTATTACATGCAGAGATGATTTGTTCTTTGTATTTTGTAAATAAATCATCACATTGATTTCTCAATTCAGTAAGTTTCTGTTTTATTTGTAGTTTTTGTTCTCTGTCTTTAATTCTTTTCATGTTATCTAAGGTCTTTAAAGTGGATATGTGTGTTAAATATGTCTGTATGGCTCTCCATGTCGTAGGTTCGCGTGTTTCAACGGAAATATCATTCAATAAATTAGAGAGATTGGATGCATCATTAGAATATATATCATTGATAATCATAAATGATATATTCTCCGCAGATGTCATATGTTGAGAAGGTAAAGAATCTTCTGTTAACTTATTAAGTAAACTATTCACTATGTCTGATTGTTTCCCAGTTGGGATGGCATCGATCATGAATATCTTTGCTAAGTTATAAATGGTCCATTCTTGATCAATATTTAAGTAAGATAAACTTTCTGGTAAATTTTTCTTATCAAGTTGTTCTGAAAATCCAAATATTGACCAATCTCTATTATCACTAAATTGAAAATCACCAGTTGATTCAATCTGTCTTAAATTTTCACGTAGGGATTCAATTAATGCAGTACGTTTATCATTACAAATATATGTCATATTAATAGAATCACATAATTTGCTAAATCTTCCAACAGATTTCAATAGACGATCCTGGAATTCAAACATCCCCAGAATTTTGCTGTATGATTTTCTATCAAATGAGATGCTAATAAATTGAGATATTCTGTTCAAAGAATTATCATACAATGCGTCATGTTCGTGTAAAGTTTTGTTTAGATAATCATGTTGTTTGTGTGGGAATAGCGAACTGAAACGTGAATAAATCAAATAATCCATTGAATCAACTTGAACATTTTTAACACTTAAGTCTTGATAATATGAATATGCCATTGGTGTTAAACCTAAATACATATACAGTGCAATTAACCATACCTTAGTATCATAGTTATTAGGATCCTCTTTTTGGTAGTTTTCTAGCAAGGATAATACAAAGATAGAATCCTCTAAAGTCATTGATGCATTAATAATATGTTTTTCAATTAAAGCCAAAATAAATGTTGAGCATAGGGAATAGTCAGTCTTTGATTTAGTTTTCAAACTGGCTTTATGCTTATTGTAATAGTGAACATTTTTATTGGTTTCTAATCTCAATTTCACAGCATTTGAATCATGGATTGGATCGGCTGTGTCTTCAAAGGAGTCAAGCATTTTCGAGATTAGATCAGGATTATCAAAGTTCTCTCTATAGTGATTAATATCAGCTACACAACATGGTCTATTATGAAATATTTCCAAATAATATTTCAACGATGTTTCACAGATAGTTTTGTCAAATACTAAGTCTATTTCAAATCTAATTAATCTTCCATTTCTGGATTTTGTACCAACTAATCCATCGATTAATTCATATAAATCTTGTTGGGATTTTCCAAGCGCTTTACCAGAGATCACAATTCGTTTCATCAACTCATAATCATCTAAACTCTTTAAAATCTTGGTACAAGTATCAAAAATTAACTGATGGTCATCCCTTTCAACATGTTTCAAGAAAAAATTCTTTTGGTATAGATCAACAGAATCATCAAAGGATGGTAATGTTTCCTTACAGATTTCTTTAGACTTTTCAGCATCGTTAGGAAACAATATCTCACAAGCTGTACAAAAAACAATTGTTTCTTCATTATTCTTAAATGGTTTAGCGTTACAAAGGTTCTTGTATGTTAATAATGGTAGAATCTTCTCCTCCTGAGATGATAATCTATGCTTTTGGAATTTAAATAATGCTACAGTAGCAATAGCATTCCAAAAGTAGTATTCACGAGGTTGTTGAACACTATCCTTAGGAAATTTAGATAATTGTAACGATGCTTTCCCCAACTGTTTGAAGTTACAATCCTGTAAAGCACGGTCGAACCATAAATAACTGATTTCAAAGCTTGGTTGTTTAGCATTAGCTTTCTCAAACACATGTAAAGCATCTTCATACTTTTCTAATTCAAAGAAAAATTTATGCAATAAACCTAGTGCATCCTGATCAATGGTATATGATTGTCCTTCTAGTCCATATGCAGCAAGTAATGATGCTTCGAAATTGAATTTACTTGGAGATTGTTTGTATTTCACATAGGCTTCTAAAATTTGTAAATAAATAGATTTTGGATATCTGGCCTTGTATTGATCAATAACTTGATAACATTGTTTAAAGTTAGACTTCGCAATAAGCTCATTTGTCTGGTTTTCTAATTTCTCCCAAACACTCATCTCAAACATTCACTGGGGTAAAAAATGACGAATAAACTAAAAATGATAATACTTTATATACGGCTGATATTGTACTCTCTACCGACAATATTTAATAAATAGATAAATATCAAACTCAATTCTTACTTATTACCAGATTAGATGTTAATATTGCTGTAATTTATACAATTGCATAGCAAGAACACTCGAGCGATCACGAACTGATATTTTTCACCTCGCTCGCTGTTGAAAATCTAATGAGACATATCGTTTTGTTTTCAATTCTGACGTCTTTGGTCAAAAGGGAAGATTTTGGGAAGAAAAAAATTATATAATATCATTACAGATGTTCAATTGTATTTATAGGTACATCGATCTATTCTACATTTTTCTCTACATATTCCCAAAGACTCTTCAAAAGACTTTCGGGTAAACTAAATAAGTCCATGGTAAATTCACCTTCCTCTACGTCATTGGTAATGTTCATTTCTGGTGTCTTGTTATCCGTTATCATTTGTACAACACCCACTAAATCGTCTTCTTTTAATTTGGTTAAACCAAAAGCTAGCTTTTCGATATCAATATCACCTTTAATCATTGGTGCAGCTGTAGGTTTTGCCCTCTTAGTCTTTGGTTCTACGACACTCGGTGTAACTGTAGCTTTTCTCTTTGCATTAGATATGGCAGCAATTTCTTCTTCGATCGGACCACTTTTTGCCAGTTCTTCTATTAATGCAGGTTTTGTATGAGGAACTTGAATCTCATGATCCACCTCGTATGTATCCTGTAAGAAATTCAAATCGTGGGTAATTTTTCTTTCACCACCTTTATCTATTAAGAACAAGCTGATATTTAAAGGGAATCCACCCCAACCTTGTTCTGTAATCTTAAATGGGAGTTCGGTAAATGTTCTATTTGGATTATTGAAAGTTGGGTGTAAATGATATGTTACTTTTTCAAAAAGTGATGCAGGTATTTCATTACCATCTTTATCCAATTGTACTATTTCAATATTCCATTCACGCATAGGAAAATTCTCTACAGGTGGTAGATCTGGTAAAATGTGTTGAGATGTCTTAACTCTAACAGTTCTTTTAATTGCTTGTTTAGGCTATTTACAATACAACGTTTCAAAACGTTTGAATATTCTCGTCACTTCATAGGAATGTGAAGGTAAAGGGATATCGTTAGGTTAGTAATCAGTTAGGATTATAATCTTTGGTTAGTATTTCTAATATCTCAATATACATACTGGCACCATATTCAATATTCGTATATTACTGGTGGAGAGAAATAAAATAGTTTTAAGTATGTGAAAAAGTTAAGGTTTAGTCTAGTTAAATAAATAAAAAACACTCTCTGTAATAACGGGAAAATCAATTATAGGATGTTGTAACGTTTATAAAATACGAAATTTTAAGTGTTACAGGTATATTCACAATTAGAATGGCACACAGTCTGCAAAAATAAATTGTTTGTTTTACGTGATTATTTATCTGATAATTGTTTTCTGTTATTTGAAAACCGAAAAATTCAATATTTTTCGGTTTGTTTGTTATTTTTTTTTCAAAAAAATTAGTTGGAATAATAATAAGAACAATTCAGCTTCACCATTTTTATATTATTATATAATAGTAGAGTAGTGAGGGAGTAAACCGTTTGAATTGTTTTACTTTAGATATTGAAAGGAAACTTATGTTTCATTTTATTATTTTATAAACTTGTATGTAAAGTGATTACTATAAAAATCACTGATCAAAAATTAATAACATTAAAAGAAAAAGAAAAGCAACTAAATGGTACGGCTTTAAAAAGAAGCTAAACCGTTTATTTGCTTCATTATTATTTTCCATTTCTGGGATGGTGTTGTTATTATTAAATATTTTGGGGTTATTTTTACTTGTCATGGCAAACAGTCGAGAAGGGAAATGAGTAGTGATTGCATGAGAAGTTACTGAGAAAGTTTCTTTCGTCTCTACACTGCTGAGATTGAGTAATCTTGAGTTATTATTTTCAAAGAACGACGTACATGAAACTATAGTACTTCGAGCAGTTTGTGTTTGTAATAGTATTGATGTAGGTACATTCCGAGTAAAAAAATTATTATCTTTTCTCATTATTTTATTTCTCTTCATGAAATAATAATCGTCATCTTCATAATTGTCATCATCATCTTCTTCTTCTTCATCATCGAAGTAAAAATCATTAGTACCGTCATCTTCTTCATCTTCTTCATCTTCATCTTCATCTTCATCATAATAAATTTCGTCTTCATCGAAATCTTCTATAATTTCTTTTATTATATGTCTAACATTAGCAAATCTACCATCCCTCATTATAATCTCCATGATATCACTGGGATCATCCATTTTAGCTAAAGAGTCCGGGAGCATCGCCTTAACGATATCAAAGCCTATCTTGGTCTCCTTTGCTTTGAAAAAGGTTGGGGAATCTGGAGCATCTGTAAATTGCAATGAGTTGGCTTCAAATATTTCTTGTAATAATTCTGTTGAGTTTGTCCCATTTCCTACTTGAATTGAAATATGATTATTCGCTTCCTTAGGTGTAGTACTTTGAGAATTCTGGTAGGCACGTTTGTACGTTGTGTCTTCCGATGTAATTGTTATAGAATATTTACTGGCCAATACTACGGCGCAGTATATGGTGAATAATGTAAAAAGGGTAGTTTTCAGAAGCATGACGATATTTTTGTTTTATTTATATATTTATTGTTTTAATTTTTTCTATTGGATTTTGAATTTAAGTTATTTGATAAGTTTTTACAAGAAAAATGTTAAGGATAAAGGACATTTAAATTTTGTTTCCTAGAATATGAACAAGTATATATATATATATGTATGTATATATGTATATATATGAAAATAAAAATATTCATAATTATTGCTTTAGTTGCAACACAAAATTGCGTCACTCTCCCAAACACCAACGAGGCTTTAGGGAAACATTTCTTCAAATAAAAAGAAATTTGTGACGCAATGACAGTACAAACAAAGAAACTTTTTTCATTGCAATTAAGTAACATCCCTTTATAACAATAATTATTCTTATAAAATATTAAATTAATGCTCAATTATTTACACGTACAATATTATTAACTTTTATTTACAACAATGATATTATTATTATTATTGCTAAGCTCATTGAGATATGGACTTAAAATTAGTAACAATACTACTTCTTATAGATTTTGGTGAGGCTTTCCATTGTTCAGAAGTAGTCTTCCAATTAACTTTACCAAATACTTGCTTTAATTGTAAATTTGGCTCTTCTTTTTTAATAAATCTTAACAACTCAATAACCTTTTCATCGATTTCTTCCTGGGTAGCAACAGGCAACAGGTTTTGATATTTTTTTATAATTTCGACCTCTTGTTTCTCTTTGTTAGCCATATCTTCTCTATTGTTGGCGAGATAATTCTCAATCGAATCATGTCTTTGATGTATTAATTTTGAATATGTATCAAACAACAGAAACTCATCGTTATGGTTACCCTTGTTATCAATTTCCATATTCTTTATTTCAGATAGTAAACCTTTAATAGTGTTCTTTTCAAGATCATTTTTGTTAATCATTGATGTCTTTAGATCCTTCTTAAGGTTGGTAATAGCTGCTGTATAAGCCTCTGTACTGTTGAACCTTAAAGATTGTCTAATTCTTGGAACGAAGGTAAGGGTACGTCTAAACATTATGAAGTATTCTTTATGAACTTAGAAATAGTGGGAAAGAATATTTTAATATGCAACAGATGTATTCGGGTTATACTAGAATGGTGTTTTCTTTTCTTTCTTTCTGTTCTACATTACTGAAACGTATACGTAAATACAGTTTCTTTTCTTCCTTTATTTATCCTTTAAATATTTTTGTATATAACATTGAGTAATCAATATTTACTATGATAACATAGTAGCGCTTTATTAAGCTAAAAAAAAAAAATGGAGCAATCAATCCAAATTCCAATAATATACAAAAAATGATTTTTCGTTGCCATAATCCTAACTACTACTATATTTTCAATTCTCATTACATACTAGTTGTGTCTATCTTGAATAATGCATATATGTATAACTTCCAACACAAAAAGGGGATTCGGTTAAATTTCCTTTTCACTCTCTCTTTCAAGAAATTCTGTCCACAATGCAACAAAACTCTGTGTCTTAGAAGTAGATTGTCCTGAATTGTTACCATTATCAGAGCTGTATAGTAAACCCGCCTGTCTCTTCTTGTCATCATCCCAATTCAGGAAGCTTGACAAAAGCTCAAGAACTTCGAATTTTTTAGGGTCAGCTCTTGGTATTGATACGAAGGAAATTAATAGATTAGATATTAATTCTTTGTCCACAGTTTCGGAGTCACTAGATTGTTTCAACATTGCTAATGCTTTCTTTAAATGTTCGTTAAGTATGATAGCTTCGTGTTTCAATTTACCGATTTGCAATACTTGATCCTTGGTCTTCTTTTCGAGTTGCTCATTTCCAGCAACATTTTCTTGTAATGATTTAATATCCGAGTTTAATGCTTGAATTTGTCCTTCTAGTTCCTTATTGGTTTCTTCACGACCATCAAGTTGAACACGCAGTGCCTTGATTTCCTGGTTCTTTTCATTAATTTCTGATTTTGAAGAATTGTCGATAGATTCAAGTTCCTGTTCTAACTTATTAATAGTGGAAATTTGAGTTTTTTGTTCCTCCTGGATCTTATTTAAGGTTTCCTTTAGGTCATCTCTTTCATTTGTTAAGTCAGAAATACTTTGCTTCTGTGTATCCAAAATTAAAGTTAGGTCTTCTATTTGAATGTTCAATTTATCATTACGGTCTATCATCTTTTTCAATTCGACAGAACTTGTTTGGGAAGCATCTTCAATTTCTGATTCAATTTTGTTCTTATAATTCTCAAGTTTTTTAATATTTGAATTTAGGGATTCATTTTCTTCTTCCAAATTCGAGAACTCTTTGTTCAATGTCACCACAGTTGCTTTCAATTCTTCATTTTCTGTATTTATCGTTGTGATTTTGTTTTTAAGCTTTAGATTCTGAGATTCATATTCATTCAATTGATCCTTCGTCGTCTCTAATTCCAATTGAGCTTCTTTCATATTGTTGAAGATGGTCTTCATTGCTGATAATCGGTTTAACAAAGTATTATATTGTTCTTCGAAGTGATCACGTTCTTTTTGTAACTTAGAAATATCTGAAGAATCCTCAGTTAACTCCTTTGTTTCCTTTTCCTTTTCTGTTTTTAATTTTTCTTCCTCCAATTCTTTCTTTAATGCATCTATTTCATCATGCAACGTTTTAATTACCTCAACATTGGAATCTGTTGTACCATGTGTAGAAGGTACAACGGCGGCTTCCGTCATTTCATCAGTTACCTCCTCAACATTATTTTCTTCTAGTTTGACGGATTCGTTCAATGGTATTGTTGGTTCAGAGTCCGGTCTGACTGTTTCATTATTGTGACTATTATCTGGTTGTTTAGGCTTTTTATTGCCCTTTTTCTTATTTTTACCCATAATATCTCTATATTTATTAGTGAAGTACTAAACCAGAACTATTTTTTCTATTTCAGTATAGTGATGGAATAATTGTTACTATTGAAATTTTACTATAATGTTCTTTACCGTTTCGATGAGGCAGTACAATCGGCAGGGGGGATAAACCGCAATGCAATTAGGTGAATTAGGCTTTAAACAGTCCTTAGTGATATTTCTAATAAACAAAGTACTCAGTTAATCATTGTACGACTCTTTATCCATAGGTAGCGACAATTTATTGTTGTTCGTTATGTTGAATAGGTTGAGTTGACATCTCGATTGGCAGCGCAATATAAAAAATTAGAAAAAATTGGTGGAAGTCGCGTATTTCTGAAATTTTCAGTTATGTGGTGGTGCACACGGCCACATTAAAATAAAAAATGAATGAGATATAAATTGATGTGCTAGTAATTTCGTGTTTAATTAAAGAACACAACCAATATAACTTAGAACCATTGAGACAATCGGTGAAATTAATTTGAACAATAGCTCTAATAAAAGTCAAAAATGGATATTAGAGATTTTTTCGGTAAATCAAAAGTTGGGAAGACCCAACAAGCTAAGAAAATAACCAAACCAAAAAAGGAACCGGAAATTATTGATCTGGATGACTTGGATGACTTGGATGACTCCTCGTTGATTGAATTGGCGTCTGCTCCAAAAAAGATCAATACGAGGAGTGCTAAATGTACTACCTCTCCTACAAAAGCAGAAACCAAAAAGGAATTATTTACGAAGGATGAGGATGAGGAAGATGAATCAGTGCATAAATCCCAAATAAAGAAAAGGTCTCTTGATTCTAGTCCAGTAAAAGAGAAACCTAAAAAGATGGTTAAAGTTACTCCGGCTCCAAAAAGAGAGTCTATTTCATCCCTAAAAAAGGAAGTTACAACAGCAACCACTGGTGGAAAAACAGCCACAGCTCAGGAAATTCTCGCAACTATTCCTTCGGTTGATTTGCATAATGTCACGGTGAAAGAGAATATTACTTTTGGTGGTGCAAGAGGAGGGGATTCCTCTAGTGAACCACAAGAACCAACTGATTTCCCTGAGGGTGCTCCAGATTGTCTATTAGGTTTAACTATTGTCTTCACAGGTGTGTTACCTAATTTGGATAGAACTACTTCAGAAAGTATTGCTACTAGATATGGTGCTCGTGTTACAAAATCTATTTCAGGAAAGACATCTTTGGTTGTTCTAGGTGATGAAGCTGGGCCAAAGAAACTTGATAAGATAAAGCAATTAAAGGTTAAAGTGATAGATGAGGATGGGTTTCGTCAATTAATTAGTGCAATGCCTACTGATGGTGGTGATGGTATTGCTGCAGAGAAAGCTCGTCAAAAGAAAGAGGAACAACAAGCTCTTGCGGAAGAACAGGCTCAGGAAATGGTTAAACAAGAAAAATTGAAGGAATCAAAGATTAAAGCAATGAGAAAGGCCGGTGAAACTGTTTCGAAGGACGAACAAGTTAGAGAACAAGATAAACTATGGACTACTAAATATGCCCCTACAAGTTTACAACAGATATGTGGTAATAAATCTGCAGTAACAAAGTTGACGAATTGGTTGACGAATTGGGAAACAAATAAAACATTAAATTTTAAAAAACCTGGTAGGGACGGTAGTGGAGTTTTCAGAACAGCTATGTTATATGGTCCACCAGGTATTGGTAAGACCACGACTGCACATTTAGTTGCCAAAGAATTGGGTTATGATATCCTGGAACAAAATGCATCAGATGTTAGATCTAAATCTTTGTTAAATGCTGGTGTAAAAAATGCTTTAGACAACATGTCTATCATTGGTTATTTCAAGACCAAAGATGATAGTTCGGATAAAAACGGGAAGAAATTTGTTATTATTATGGATGAAGTTGATGGTATGTCAGGCGGAGATAGAGGTGGTGTAGGTCAACTGGCAGCTTTTTGTAGAAAGACTCAAACACCGATGATATTAATTTGTAATGAACGGAATTTACCAAAAATGAGACCATTCGATAGAACATGTTTAGACATCCAATTTAGAAGACCTGATGCTAATAGTATAAAAGCAAGGTTGATGACCATCGCCATCAGAGAAGGTTTTAAGTTGGACCCTACCGTAATAGATAAATTGGTTCAAGCCACAAGAGGGGATGTCAGACAAATTATAAATTTATTGTCAACCATCTCCAAAACTACAAAGAATATTAACCATGAGAATATAACGCAAATTTCAAAAGCTTGGGAGAAAAATATTGCATTAAAGCCGTTTGATATTGCACATAAAATGTTAGATGGTTTTATTTATACTGATGCTGGATCAAGTACATTTACTTTAAATGACAAGATTGCTTTATACTTTGATGATTTTGATTTTGCACCATTAATGATCCAAGAGAATTATATCAACTGTAAACCTTCTAATTTACCTCCAGGTAAAACACCACTCCAAGCTGTAGCAGAAGCTGCTGAAATTATTTCATTGGGTGACCAAGTTGAAAGGAAAATTCGTAGCTCAGAACAATTATGGAGTTTACTGCCATTGCATGCAGTTTTATCTTCTGTTTACCCTGCATCTAAGGTTGCAGGTCATATGAGTGGTAGAATCAATTTCAGTAGTTGGTTAGGTCAAAATTCTAAGACAAATAAATATTATAGATTATTACAAGAATTACAATATCATACTAGATTGAGTACTTCTACAGATAAAATTGGTCTTAGGTTACAATATTTACCGACTTTAAAGAATGAATTATTGACACCACTTTTGAAAGAGGGTTCAGAAGGTATACCAAAAGTTATTAGTACAATGGATGATTATTATTTGACGAAGGAGGATTGGGACACAATAATGGATTTCATGATTGGTCCAGACAAGACAGATTTATTATTGAAAAAAATCCCAACTGCAGTAAAAAGTGCATTCACAAGAAAATATAATGGTACTACTCATCCTGTTGCTATATACAAGACTGGTAGTACCGTAGCGGTTGGTGGAAGTAAATCTTCATCTACCCCAGATTTCGAAGATATTGTTGATGCCGATAATGCAGCTGCTCCAGCCGATGATTCCGGTGCTGCAAACGAAGATAATGACTTGAAGAAAGATAAATTAATCAAACAGAAAGCTAGACCTACTAAGAGAAAAGCTGCCAGTTCTACAACTAAGAATTCTGCAACAAAGAAACGGAAAACAAAGGCATAAGCATAAAAGAAAAGAACTTTTTTTAATGAACATTTTATTATTATTGTTAGCAAAGTATCCTTATACAATACTTTACATGGATATATTAAGTATAGTACGTATCGTTAAATGAAATATTATTGTGTTTTTTTTTATTCGAAATTAATTAAAAAAAGACACAAGTAAGCAATATAAATGTTTATTTATCCTTTGAGAGGGATGGCAACGTTATTATTTATGGTAACATATCATAATTCTTTAGCACTTCTATAGTGAAAACACTCGAAATAAATAACAAAAATAGGAATGCTACGCCAACATAAATATTACTCCTATTTAACCAAAAACGTCTTTCTTCTAGTTTAATTTTCCTCAAACTAATGTTTTTGCATGGATATTCCTCATTTTTTCTGTAGTCCTCATTAAATTGTTTCTCTAGGTCAATTAAAGTTGGCTGACAATTCCTTTTTGTTAAATGAACTCCATATCGTACTAATGGAAGAATTGACCTTTGATAATTTGAATGTGTATCTAAACTGTTTACGATAAAATTATCTGTTGTAGTTTGGATTGTTTTAGCTACAGTTGTCATTGATTAAAGAGGGGAAAGAAGAATAAAAATAAAATAAAAGAGTGCTCAGAGTGTTACAATAATTTAAAGTGGTTTATATCAATTTAAATCACCTCAATATGAGGAGGTATTTTGAGGCTAAACAATAATGCTTCTTCATTTAAAGTATTAAGATGCTATAATTATTAAAATGACAAATAATTTGTGTCGCTCTTCGCCTTGTGCGTGTGCCGCGCATTACATATTTCTCTACAGAGGCTGAGCCTATTATTAGTAATTAACAATAATAATAAGAAGAATAATGATAGTGCAGAATTGAAACGACTCTCGTGCAATACAGAACGATCTCAGGCAATTAATTAAACTTTTGGTTTCTTCTTTTCGGTAGTGACTTTGTTCGTTACAGAAGTTGTGCCAGCCTCACCGATGGCTTAGTGACCTTTTCCAGTGATCTACTACATGGAAAGAGTTAATAAAATTCTACTTACGCCCCTTAAGATTAATTCTCCGTAGTTGCAACTTCTTTGTGTATCTGATAATATTTTAAGAGGGATACTTGCGCCATGATAACACTACATGTGTGTATGTGTATAAATATATATATAATTGACTAAATGATTTGATCCTTTACTTTCGATCTCTTATCTTTAATATTTGGATTTGTATATTTTAGTGATTTTACAGTCATAATCCTATCAGCATATTTAATTTGTTAATAGTTTGATATTACATTAACAAATTAAAAAAGAAAAAAGGCAGTCATATACAGTTACATATCTAGGTTATATAAACTTAACCTATAAGAAAGTTAAATAGAGGAATTTTACAGTGACTGTTACAACTACAAGCCTCTTTTGTTTAAATTTTGTAAGGGTGATAATTTGAACAGGATTATTTTCAATTTCCTTCTAAGCGAGAAACGAAATTACAAACAAATAATTAAATATAAAAGAAAACAGGGATAGCTTTGTTAAAGAAAAAAAGAATTTGATTATATAAAGTTTAAGAATTTACTTTAACAGTGTGCTTTTTATTTTGATATATTCCAATGTTAAGTATTTCAGCAAGAATGAGCCAACCGAAGACACAGATTTTAATAACGGGTATCCCAAAGACAAGATTCACTAAGAAATGGCCAGAATCCTTACAATCACAATTATTTGAAAAGGATTTTCCTGATTATAAAGCTAAATTATCATATTTTACACCATTACCATTTTTGAGTAGAATAGTGATTATTTTAGATGATGAAACTTCTGCAAAAAACGTTTATGACTACTTGTTACCTATAATAACAAAGGAAGGGGACGATATGAAAATATTTTTAACCGAATCTCTATTATTACCTCGTTCACGTTCATTTGATGATACAGAGAATGTATCCCATATTAGAAGGAAGAGTTCAGTGACAGAATCGTTGTTAGATTCTGGAAAACCAATTCTTTCATTAGATACAGATCCAACAATCACAGGTGTTAATGCAACTTCCTTATCTATTGGTAGCCCTTCATTATCTCCAGACACTGCAAATGTTGGTTCTCCAACATTATTAAAATTTTCTAACGATTCTAAACCATATTATTATAAAGAACCTTTACCGCAGTTTTCATCTCAAACTAACATAACATCTATTAGTGATAATTCTTTAAGTCCGAGTAGCAGCATGGCACAAACTACATCGGATAGCACTGAAGATAAAAAATCATCATTTTTAAAGATTGATACATCCAGTACTTCTGTAACAAGTCAGAGAAATGACGGTTTATCAACACCTAAGAGTCCTTCGATTACAATAAATCAATTTGTTCAATAATCATAATATTTTAATTAAGTATATATATGGTAAAGGATTGGTGTGAGAGAGAAAACGATGCTATTTTATATTTAGTCGAAGATAACTTAGAGAGGCTAATCAACTAAGCAAACTCTCTCTATGTACGTGTATTTGTTATTAATGCATTTATTTAATAAATAGATTCTTTTTAAAAAAAAAGGCAGTTAAAAAGTACTTTATTGGAATATGTGAAATGAAAGAATGTAGGGGTTATTTCTACAAATATTGTTCTTATTAAGAGAGGATATTTTATATTAATCCTAAAATCTACATATATATTTTAAAATCATATTTTTAATGATCATATTTGATTATCAGCGCTTTCCTTGGCCAGTGTATCCTTAATTCCTTTTAACCTTTGAAGTTCCGTCTCTTGGAATTTATTTACAGTTTCTAAAGAAGAAAATTCAGAACAATCTAAAGTACAATTCCTCTTAATCAAATTATGAATTACATTACTGGGTCCCATATTAACTGCCCCATCCTTAATCTCTAAAACTTCGTTAATTGTATCATAACATTCTGTGAATTTCACTGTACTACTACTACATCTGACAAATCTTTCAATTGCATGATGAACAAAAGTGGATATTCTACCATCTAAGTTCCCAATAATTGGATAATCTAATTTCGTAGCGGTATGATTTTGATTTAATTTTAATATATCCCAAATATAATCATATAAGGGTTCTTGAATGGGTCTCAATACAGTACTATTATGAAATGCAACATTATTTGGATTAGTTAATTCTGTCACACGCAGTCGTGGAAATTTAGTTTGTGATTCTATTCTCAATTTTTCAAGATCCTCCACTAAACCTGTTACAACACATTGTTTTATGGAATTAACATTAGCAATATAGATTGTTGGTGCTGTACTCCTTATGTTATTTATTAAGGATAAAACTTGTTGTGGTAAATCATCTGCTCTTGGAGATGATAACGCCCACATTTCGAATTTTGTAGAATGATTCATCTTATGTGCAACAAGATATTTTTCTGTATATTTAACCATTAATTCATTACGATAATTTGCAATATTGAAAAGATCTCTAATGGAAAATAGTTGATTGATACTTAAACATGTTAGTTCGCCCAATGAATGACCTAATAATATTAAATCTTGATTAGATTTTTTCATTTCATTAGTATATTGTAAATCTTTGTAAGCTTCATTTAATTGTATATCATATAATTGATAAAATAAATTTGAACAAACTGCTATACTACCGGGACTTGAAGGATGTCTATATATAAATTGGAGAAGATCATTTGTCTTTGGACCATTTCGACTTAATATTTTCCCAAATTCTTTTGATTTAGCTCCGATTATTGATTTTAGGATAGGAACCGATATTGGGGTCCCCTGACCTGGAAAGGTTATCAATCTCATTATTGTAATTCTAATTCACGGGTGAAAAAAACAGAGATGATTATATCTAATAAGTAGGTTTTTAATGTAGGTTGTAATACTCTTCTTGTATGTTCCTTTACTACGATATGTCTTCGTATTGATATATATCGAAAGTCTCCTTATATCTTCTTCTAGGTTTTTTTTATTTTTTTATTTTTTGGTATTAAATATATTCAAAATTATCGATGAGAAGGATCCCTTTATCTATCGATGGTCCCCAGATAAAAAATAAATTACAGGTATATATAGAGAGAGACACACACAAGAAAACTTTAGGATCAATGTTTTTAAAGATAAAAAGAATGGTGACGAATGTAATAAGAAGAACTCTTCTATCAAGATAAAGATGAAATCAAAAAAAAAAANAAAAAAAAAAAAAAAAAAAAAAAAAAAAAAAAAAAAAAAAAAAAAAAAAAATAAGCACATCATTCATGTCAATGAGACTAGAATGGACACATTCTCACTTCAGTTTACGTTGATCCTGGATATAAAAAAACAAAACCCACACAACGACAGGAAAACCTGGATAGAGAGATGGTCCAATCGACTTGTAGGTGCCCACTACATGTATGGAACAGAGAGTAGAATGAGAACCAATGTTTTTTTCACTCCCCTTCCCACATCTAGCAACAGGGACAAGCAGAGAAAACAGTATTTATTATTGATAGTAAACCCCAGACAGACAATGAAGTTGAAGTTGTAAAAAAAATAAAAATGAAAACACTCATCTGGCAATACAATTCACCGTTAAAGTTTGTGTGTATGCAGAATGGTGTTTCTTCTTGATAGTTTATGCTGCGATTTAATAGTGAAATTTTGTATTCTTTTGTGTTTCTCCTCGATGTAAGAAAAAAAATGGAAGAATGAGCGATAGTTAATTCCCGATGAACAATATACATGCAAAATAGGTCTCTTCCAGAGAGAAGAAACGTTGACGGGAACTAATTTCATTCCCAAGATTAGCTGTATATTACTATGATGGGATGGAACTTTCAATTGCTAAATAAATCGGACATACGGTAATCAATAGTCTTAGATTTTACTATCGATGTCATTATATAATACAAAATTGAAGCTCTTCCACTTTCTCTTACAAGATATTTATAATTTTTCCATATATATATATACATATATCCAAAAATATGAATAAAAGACTAGATGTGTGTCCTACCAGCCCTCCCACTAACTGTAGCAAATAAATAATGAGAATTCAGAACTCTCAAAATCTATCACAAACAAGCAATAGTACGAAAAGGGCATTAAGATGAACATAGATTGATCTCTCCGATGGACTTGACGCTTGGGATCCGGATTGAGCCAGAACAAGCAACACGGTTTTAGAGTCCTGGATTATTAATCCGCACGATTAATGATACTTTTTTTATATCAAGAACTAAAATAAAAGAAATTAAGAAGTAAAAAAAACTTATAAAGATAAATAGAATTGTTCAACTTGTAATCGGTTAAGAAATCTGTCTTCCTTTTATACTGCACAACGAAAAAAAAAAATAAAAAAAAATTCGTTTTTTTTCCGGTTGGCTAATTTTGATGAAACTGTAAAAGTTACCCGCAAATCTATTTAATATTCTTTTTTTTTGCCTGAGTGAGGTAAGGGCATCCCAATATAGGGTACCTTTTAATAAATAATATTTACTAGGTCAATTCAAGAGTAGTATTTGTACAGTAGTTTGGGACTTTTCTCAAGGTTAGATAGTGGTTCGATTGTGCTTAATAAGATCAAAAGAAAAGAAAAGTTACTGATTATATTTGCTAACACCATTTTTTTGCTGGAAATTCATATAGTTACAATATCTGTCTTAACAAATATTAAAAAAAAAGGGAATTTCGATATAATAACACAAATATGTCAACAGAACAACTTCTTACAAAGAAGAATTCTAACGATAACCGAAAATATATTAAGATATTATTCACTGATGAGACGATACAACCTCTTTTATTAGATATAACTAATATACCACTTTCACATATCTCTTTGAAATCCCTTCGACAAACAATACGAAATATTAAGACAAATGAAACAACAGATCGTACTTTAAGATTCTTACGGTCTGGTTCTATCATAACGGAATCATTTTATAAGGCACAAATTAATAACTATTTAAAATCACAAAATTATGAACCTTTCTTTGTACATTGTGTCATTGGTGTAGATCAAATTAGAGATTCAACGGAAATTCAATCATATGAACAACAGGATGATGATGGTATTAGTCATTTAGGTGGTACTCAAAACCAAAATGGTAATGGGATGGGTGCTATTGGGTTCGATAGATTGAGATCTGTTGGGTTTAGTGATGAAGAGATTGATCTATTGAGATCACAGTTTCGTTCCACATATGGTGATTTGGAAAATCGAGGAAATGATAATGATACAAATGATGATTTAAATGGTGATGGTACAGATAATGACAATAACGAAAATAATAATAATAATAATACAGGTACAACAGATATTAGGGAATTAGAAGAACAATGGATGGAGAATGGTGTTGGTGATAATGATGATAGATTTAATTCAGTACCAAATGCTAATTTTAAACATAATATTGATTTATTAATTGGAATATCTGTTGGTTTTACCTTTGGAATCTTTAGTTTAGTTATTATGAAATTTGAAGGATTATTTAATAAAAGGCAAAAGATGTCAATATTTGCTGGCTTAATTGTCAATGTAATATTTTCATTATTAAGAAGTACAGATGAGTAAATACAAAATACCGAAAAAGGTTCCCCATTCTCTTTGATAAATGATATATAAAAGACATTTTTTCAATTATATGTATATACATTATTATGTATGAAGATTACTTATTTCCTTTTTTCGTATGATACAGCATTTACGTTTCTTTTCGGATTATTATTAATGACAATGAATGTTTATCCTAAAATACTTTAAAATAATACATTCTTATATTTAGTTGTTGTTGTTGTTGTTATTACTTCTTAACGACGGATCAATAAATAAGCATTTTCTTGTTTCAAATTACTTAAATTTCTGAAATTACCTTCTAATCTCATTAATAAACCACCAAATGAATAATATACAGCAATTAAATCTTTGCTAACTTCTTCAAATCTATAAGCTGTACCATGCATAACGTATTCATAATCATCTGCTAAAGATCTTTCACCAGGTTGTTGTGGTCTCCAACTCTTTGTTGCTGAGTCACTAGTTGATTTACCATCAACATCTAAAGAAGATGCTACAGTGACAGTTAAATATTCTTGAGCATTCACTGGGAATAATTCTGTGTTTATATCTAATGTCAATTTACATTGTTCTTGAGTAGTTGATGTAGCTTCGATACGGCCAATTCTATTGTAACGACCAGGATCAATTTCTCCTACTTGGAAGATATCATCAAAGAGTATATTGGACATTGGTGGAAAAAGGTGTATATGTGTGGCGTGGTGTGTGTGTGGTAAAGATTAGTCTTTCCTACTCTATATTTGTAGATGAGTTTAATATTTTTTTCAAAGTAATATGTATATGTATATATATATTTAAAATATCTCTCTGTTTTTTTAAAAAAAAATTACAAGAACAAATTTTTCAATGAGGTTTCTACGCGGTGTAAAGAAAATATCATAGAATACGAGGAGGGATGTAATTTTTCTTAAAAATGTCGTAACTTAAATAAAGTTTCAATGTCATCGTCATCGATACTCAAAGACAAGTAAAAAAATGAATGGCTATAGATAAATATTTAATGGTTTTAATATCTTGTTTTCATGATATTTATTTATTTAATATTCGAAAAAAAAAAGGATGGAGAAAGAATGTATGAATTTATGTAAATAAAAATTAAAAAATGATTATAATTGTTATATATATAAAAAAGGGTAATAGTTAAGTTGATCTTTTTCTTTTTAAAATAGAAAAACAAAACAAAAAACTGATGCTAGAATGATGGTAAAGTTGTAGAAGTAGTAATAATAATAATAATATTAATAATAAATATAATTTTTTTTTTATTTTTGTTTAAATTATTTCAATAATATGAAATAAGATATTATTAATGCAAAACTGTTGAATTTCTCTTTGTCTTATAATCTTTAATTGCTGCTTTAATAGCATCTTCAGCTAACATTGAACAATGTAATTTAACAGGAGGTAAAGATAATTCTTTTGCAATTTCTGTATTTTTAATCTTTGCAGCATCATCAATAGACATACCATGAACTAATTCTGTCATATAGGATGAGGAAGCAATAGCTGAACCACAGCCAAATGTCTTAAATTTAACATTTTCAATTATACCTGTCTTATCATCAACTTGAATTTGTAATTTAATAACATCACCACAGGCAGGAGCCCCAACAATACCTGTACCGACATCTTTAGATTTTTTATCTAAAGAACCAACATTTCTTGGATTAGTATAATGTTCAATAACTTTTGGATGATATGATCTCTTTGATATTAATAAGGACGACGTCGTTATCGTTGTTGATCTCATCATATTAAAGGAAGCTGCACGAGCAGTAGTAGAATTAAATAGTCTGGGTATTAGTGAACTCATAAAGTGTTGGTGTTTGTGTGAGTGTGTGTGTATTGGTGTGTCTTAGTAGTATACTATGAACGTCTAATCAGTAGATATTATATCAAAAATATACTATAGTAAGATATATAGAATTTTGACTGTATATGTCTTCTTTTATATATATATAGAAATATCCATGAATTAATGAATGACTAAGCACTAAATTCTAGACTTTTTGTCTGCCAAAACTAAATTAGTATATATATCTATTTTCTTGCGTTGCTGAATATTTTTATCACCGTGTATAATTCCTATCTCCTCTCTCATTTCAGGGTACAAAATGAAACCAAACCAATCAGAGATAATTGCAGGTGCATTCACTCACAACATGTGAGAACACGGACAGGAAATAAAATCAAAAAACGGGTGTCCCATTCTATTGACTATGAGAGAAACACCCGAAAAAGCCTGGAGGAGCGAAAAATCTCTGTAGGAAAAACCGCTCAATTTACGAAAAAAAAAAATAAAAATTAGCTGCCAATTTCTTTACAGTGGAGCGCGCATCACGGTGCACGACTTCCGCGATACCGGGAAAGCTTTTATTTCTCGCGCTGTCCGTGATTCTCCGTTGCCGGCATTAAGAGTCTGTTCGTTAATCCCGTGGGAATAACAAGGCAAGCCAAATGGGAGGGAAGGAGGAGGTAGTAGCTATATTACCCCGCCATGTCACGTGCACTTATGGGTGGGTGTTTGGGTGGGTTGGTGGATGACTATTACATTGAAACACACTGCTCATAATTTGGGTAAACAATTGCTACATGTCTACAATTCTACTATCCTATACAATAATTTTACGATGCGTGTTTATATACATATATATATATATATATATAGGTATATATAGATAGATATGTATATATAGTTGTGTTTGTTACTATATTTATATATTTAAAACCCAAATTACTCTTTCAAAGACTCTCCCCTATATATACAACAGTTTTCCATTCACCACCCCCCGCGCGAGAAAGAAAACGAGAGAAAGGGAGAAGAAGCCTACGTAAATTTTAGCGACACAATTCAGTTCACAGGTAATTTAACCGTAGTAATTGATACATAGGAATATTTCTGCAGAGGCAGGGAGAGAGAGTGGAATGAAGGGAACTGCAATTGTTTTTGATGAACTCTATTCTAATCAATAGTTACCAACTATAGTTCTATTCTAATTGACTAATGGAATGTTTAATCTAATAACTTCAATATTGAAATAATGAGGGAAAGGATTACCTTTTTAATTGATTGTGATATACTAAGTATTCTTGCCTATGGAAGTTTTTTTTAATCTTATATTGGGAAACACGTTCTTGAGTCGTAGAAATTTTCAAATACTCCCCTAAACAAAATATAATAAAATTTAACTTTATTTTAAAAGTTATCAAGATATTAAAAGAAAAAAAAGTCCTTTTAATTCAATTTAATTCAATACGCTTCTTTGCTATATATCCATATCCATATCCAAAACTAGTATCCAATATTGTAAGTTATGAATTATCCAGTAAGGACAAAAGATACAGCAGATCATGCTGGATTTGATGTACAATTAGATTGGTTATATAAAGGTAAAAGAAGAAATAAACCAAAAGGTTTAAATTCTCTACCGATTAAGAAAAAGGCTCCAACAATATCAGCAACACCTGTACCAAAGACTAGAAATAGATCAAAATCTATTTCAAATGGTATGTTATCAGAAAGTAAGACTACTTCAAATGAATGGAATGAAGTAAAACAAGATGTATTAAAGAAAAATAATCATTTATTTCCTGAAAAAAGTAGTAATACTCCTACTTCTACTAGATCAAGATCATCAACTATGACAGATGATGATCATAATTCAATGAAACGTATATCTAATGTTAATAGTACAACTTCAAATGATAATAATGGTAATAGTGGATTACATAGAAGTAATTCAATGAATGAAAAACCAAAAAGATCAATTTTTAGTAGTTTATTTGGTAAAAAACTTCAAGATACACCTACTTTAACTATACAAACAAGTAATCCAACAACTATTGTTACACCAACTAAAATTAATAATAAACAACAAGAAATTATTGATGAGAATGTTTCTGAATTATCTAAATTAGCAAAAAATCGTTTAAGAAGGGTTAGATTTGCCGTTGATAAAATTGAAGATGATCCACCACAGCAATTACCTTCCAGAAAGCCAAAGATGGGAAATATTTTAATCCCTGAAGAAATGATTAGTAGTACACCTTTAATATCTGTTGGGATTAGTAATTCTAAAAATAATAGTAGTAGTAATGATACTCAAATTTCATCTCCACCATCTTCATTACAAGGCAGAAAATTTACAAGGGATTCCAAGGAATACAAAATTGTATTGGAACATTATAAAAAAAGTTTAAAGGAATCGGAAAGAAGACAACTAGAATCTCATGAAGCGGCAGAATGTGTTGCTAAAGAGGTTCGCAATTATAAAATAGGAACTCCTTTAAAAAAGATTAAAAGTAATGAGTCACGTACTAGTGGTAAAAGTGACGAAGATTTCGAACGTGAAACAACAATTGATTCAACTTTAATGTCAAATATTGAAATTGATAAACCATTACATATAAATGCACATCCATTTCAAAATTCACATTCAAATGAAATTTCAGAACCAGGATCTCCTAATTCTAATAAAGAGATGACTTTAGACGTAATATATACGAGATGTTGCCATTTAAGAGAAATTTTACCAATTCCATCAACATTGAGACAAGTTAAAGGTAAGACTGCACCTTTACATGTAATAAAATTTTTAAATCCAAGACCTACTTTGATTGATATACTTTCATTTTGTGATTTTATATCCATTGTTCCAATTCACATTGTTATCTTTGATAATGTTCTTTTAAGTTCTGAAATGTTTAGAATTTTATTGACATCTTTAGTCAATTCAAAAGTATTGGAGAAACTTGGTCTAAGAAACGTTGTAATTAATCAATCAGATTGGAGATTTTTTTGTAGTTTTATGTTACAAAATAGATCTCTTATAAAGTTAGATATCTCTCAAACAAAAACTAGAAGTGAACAAGATCTATCTACTTATAGAGAAAATATGAATTGGTCTCTCCTTGCAGAGGTTTTAAATGCAAGGAAAGGTCGCCCATTGGAAGAATTATTATTAAATGGTATTAAAGTATCATATATCCCATTAGATGAATTGATGACACTTTTAAATATTTTTGGTAAAAAGAATAGAGGTAAAAGTAGACAAAGATTAGGAATGGCAATGACAGATATTGACGAAGATCATATTAGAAATATATTTAATTGGATGTCACAATTTAGTATTCAGGGGGTAGACTTCGCATTTAATAATTTAACACCATTGGTAAAACCAATTATTGATAAATTATCCTTATTAAATTATGAACATTTGGAATATTTTACCTTGAATAGTACATTTCTAACTGATGTTGATGAGGTCACCCAGTTGTTAAATTGTTTGGCTAACCTACCTAACTTACAATTCTTGGATTTAAGTAATTTACCTGCTTTATTCCCAGCCATCTTCCCATCATTAAATGAAACATTACCTAAATTTAAACAATTGAAAAGGATTCATTTGGATAATAATAACATGGATGATAAACAATTGACTTTGTTGTGTAATATTTTGGTTAAATGTAAGACTTTATCACATATATCCTTAATGACTGTAATACCAACGCCAAGTCCAGTAGAAAAGATACCAACTGGTCCAGACGAAGTTATGGAGTCTAAATTTGGAATGACACCAATGACACCAATTAATGTAGAAGAACCAAAGCAAGAAAATGAAAAAAGTAGTGAATTTGTTAAATCATCATTGTGGGGTCAATATTATAGTCTGGCTCATGATATGCCAAACTTATTGAGTTTAGATATCAATTATGACGAGATCCCCGATGAATTACAATCCCGTATCGCTTTGTGTCTAATGAGAAACATGAAGAAAACAATGGATTCCACATTCCAAATCGATGAATTGACTTCTCAAGACGAACTGCTATTCGACGGTTCATTATTGACAGACACAGCCGATCAAGTGTTGAAGAGATTAGAAGAGACTTCTGTCGATGGTACAGTAGATACTGGTGATTTGGATGCCAGTAGGAAGTATATGTTAAAAAAATATATTGAGAAGTTGGATAATGTCTTAAAGAAGGTCCAAATTACAATAGATTTAATGTTAGAAAAGAGTAAAAATGACCAATTACCAGAGAAAGAAAAAGAAAACTTATTAAGTTTATTATTATTAAAGAGAAACCTTTCAAATATCTTAGAGATTCTATTAGATGTTCCAAGACAAACCGCCGGAGTCATGTCTCCGGTCTCACAGGCAGTATCATCCTTCGACGCTAGAGATATTACTACGCCTACTACTCCGGTGAGACCCGATTTAAGACATATGGACTCTGCACGACTATTGTCGCAGGCAGTAGGGACTGTAATGGGGCGAGCCACTGAGCATAGTAAAGAACGTGAAGAAACAGAATTTGAAGCATCTCGCCCTCATGTGATGGCTACTGACTCTGGTAGAGTCATTGATGTTCAAACGGGACAACAAGTTTTACATAAATCCTCTTCCAATACATCTTTGGCTAGTAAATTACAAGAACAAGAAGAAGGTGAATTCCATAAATGGGGTTACTTCAGACAGCATAGTTCAATGTTGAACGATGACTTATCGTCACCTATAATAACGACACCAAATAATGAAGAGGAAAATTCTTCAATGGGAACCATGACACCTAGACCGGGACAAGAAACTAACCCATTTACAGACCCTAAATTGAGGGATACGAAACCAAAGATATTACCAAAGATTCCTACTGGTTCAGAGTTGCGTAAAGCAATCATGAAGGCCAAGGGTATTGAGTCTATCGATGATCTGATTAAAAAGGTGAGCGACAATAAATCGGAATTAGAAACTATTTACAACGCTGCTTTGAATCTAAGTCAAACCTCGAGTATTAACGATTCAGTAAGAGACAGTGCTGTTTCATCATCTCCTTAAATGAGTGGATAGGTCGATGCCACCTCTTTTAGGAACATTTCAATTGCATCAGAGACACATAGATACATACACATATTTAATTATTTATTTCTAAAAGAAAAAAAAAGAAAACAGTTGTACATATTAATTCTTCCCCATTGTTCACGAGGGAAAAAAAGAAAAAGGTATTCGCACAGCTAGTATTTTACGTAACCAATTAATTGTCTTCAATTCTATTGGCTATAATTCACCCTAAGTAAAATACTTAAAAGAATAGGTAACAAAGTTTTGAATTTCAATCGAAGCGGGTGGCACACCCAATGTCTTAGTGTTAAACACACAGAATTGGAATGTACTTGCGCCCAACATTAAGTAATGCTTATTAATTCCAAAGATAAACCTTCAATTTTCATGCAAATATCATAGACAGGACGGCCGTGGATATATGAGTAACAATGGTAGACTTATGTCTTTCATTTCAGCTATTTTTCAATGACCGGAAATTAATTAGGCTATTTTCTAAGATCGTACTGACTATTTTGTTCCGTAAAATCACCGTACAGTTCCGATCTGAAATTTTTCCCACGAGGAGGAGAGTTCACTACACTAAATTCTGTGTAAGTTAAGAGAGAAAGAGGAGTTCATCCTCGAAATTTCAAAAAAGTGAAATTCCTCATTTGTAAAATTTAGTAAAGGCAATAATTTATTATTTACCATTGCATGTAAAAACAAAAGAATGCATGCTCTTTAGAAAGTGATGATGATATGATGGATGGAGTTTTGAGATTATAGTTTCACTTTTTTTGCATTAAATTTTTTTTTTATTCAGTTAATTCTATTAAAAACTCAAGTCACATTAGACAGAGGTGCATTATTAATGAAATTAGTAATCTATTTATTAATACTACATTAAATATTAAAGTTAAGTATTTTATACGATCATCAGGAAGAAGAGTATATAAAGAGGAATTATTATTAAAACAGTCCCGAATGCAAAGAAGAAATACGCCATTTAGAAGGGGAACCCCATCGTTATACCATCATTTATCAATGTTGAAACCTTCTTTTGCTACACGTGTGGACAACGTACTACATTATGACAAGACTATTACATTTAGAAGTGAAATTATCCCTGATAAAGCAAAGGGAACTTTGAGTACTAGTCTCTTATATTCTCAAGGTAGTGATATCTATGAGATCGATTGTTCATTACCATTAGATTCGTTTTACACATCTTCTTCTTCTTCATCAAGTAGGAAACCTGTAAAGGATGAGAAAAAAAATGATAGTCAGGAAACTACAAAGGATAACAAAGATAAAGACTCTGAAAAAGAAAAGAGCAAGATTCCAAGTTTTGATGATGCTTTTGCTGGCGTTGAGGGTAAACGTCTATCTCCTAAATGGGCATACCTAGGGGAAACAGTATCTAAGATGAGTTATTTAGATAGTTCGGATGATAGTACGATGATTGCAATGTCTAAAAATGGTTCTTTAGCATGGTTCCGTGATGGAATTAAAGTCCCAGTTCATATTGTTCAAGAAATGATGGGACCAGCTACATCATATGCAGCTATGCATTCTCATGTAAGACCTAACAATTTGGCAGTATCTGATTTTGGTTTATCGGCCAATTTAGATACTTTAGTAAAATCTCACAGTAACGGTTCTGAAGAAGATAGTATCTTAAAGATCATCGATAATGCAGGGAAACCAGGTGAAATTTTAAGGACATTACATGTCCCTGGAACTACAGTTACACATACAGTACGATTTTTTGATAATTACCTTTATGGTACATGTTCTGATGACAACACATTAAGATTTTGGGATACTCGTACTGCAGAAAGACCTTTATTCGTTTTAACTGAACATCAAAATGGTAGATTAAATTCTTTTGATACTTCACAAGTTACAGGTGAACTATTTGTTACAGGTTCATCTACTGGTGTCATTAAGTTATGGGATATTCGTGCTGTTGAGAATGCTACTACTGATTTGACACATAGACAAAATGGTGAAGACCCAATTCAAAATGAATTGGTATCATTATATCATTCTGGTGGTGATTCTGTAGCAGATGTTGCATTCTCAGATACGTCGTCATCTGAATTTATCACTGTAGGTGGTACAGGTAATGTTTATCATTGGGATATGGAATATCTATTTGGTCGTAACGATGATGATAATGAGGATGATTCAACGACGACAGCCGCTCCAGAAGAATTACAAGGTCAGTGTTTGAAGTTCTTTCATACTGCAGGTGGTAGACGTACTTCTGCTCAACAAGGTAAAAGAAATATTGTGGCTATGCATCCAGTGATTGAAGATCTTGTATGTACTGTCACACCAGATAGTCAAATCTCCTTATATAGACCATTGAAATTAAGGACGGTGTGAATGATTAAAATAAGAAATACGTAAACACAAATACATTTTTACAGGGTCCTGGTTATGAACAATTTCTATGTGATGGAGGGTATTGTAATCCATAGATATATATTTAGATTTAGAAAGCAAAAAAAAACAAAATTGTACCATATATAATTGAAGAAGAAAAGAATCCGTATTTTTTTTTTGAAATATAATTAGAATAATATAAGAATTCATGAAAATACCTAATTTTTAGAAATCCGATAATAATGACTTAAAATAAACGGTTTTGTTTTTTCAACTGTGGTATAATGAACTTCTGGGTAATATCGTCATCAAAATCATATCGGACTATTAATTATTTATTTTTCAATAAAGTTTTACATGAAATTTTTAAGTATCTTATAACTCTTCCACTCCACATCTATTAGTATACAGAAGTAGAAGGAAGGAAACGTGAAGGAATGTATACGATGTGTAGCTAGCTATAAGAATTATATCGAGTTTCTCTAATGTTTGCATCCCCTATTTTTCCAACGTCGCTTAAGGAAGTGAAGGTAAGGGATCTCTCTTTTTCTCTATATCTATTGTCGACTGTATAAAGTATCGGTGAGATAACTTATTAGAATGAAAAATTATTCTTGTTTTGTCATCGCCGATGCCTCCCTTAGACAGTAAGTTTGTCCAAAATTTATTTTATTAGAAGGTACAAAAATAACTTAAATTGAAGAAGAATGAGAAAAAAGGAAAAAGGTCACGGAGGTACGAGACAAACTTAGAGGAAGTTAACTTACAGGTATGTATTTTATCCTTCCATGCATGTTGTCCTCTCTTTTCTTTTTCCGATTAATAATTAAATAATAATAATTAAATAATATTTCAGCAAAGAAAATATTTACGAAAGACGAACACATTTCGGCGATCTGCAGATAGACCGATTGAACACATAAAACTCAAAACTGGTAACAAAACCAAAGACCACCCAAGTTATTGTTAGTTAAACCTGCAGTACTTTTAGGATATTATTATTTCAAATGTCTTCCTAAATTATTGATGATGATGAAGAAGTTCCCCTAAAAGAAGAACACTTTCGACCTCTTTTCTTTTTTTGCTACTATCTTCTTCTTCTCTTTTTTCTACAAGTCGGGTCTCCCACCCTTTCTGTAAATTTTGTTTTTTTCCTGCTTTTATGGGGTGGACGAACACATGTTTATACCCTGGCGTAATGTATTGTCGGGAACCACTCAATATTTGGGGGGCAACGGTGGGCTTCTTTGGGCAAGCTGTTCTGAAAAATAGTCGGGAAGCCCACCGGAAATTGCTATCTTTGAGATATTGTGAATTAACATGAAAGATTGAGACATAAATATGACAGAAAACTCCAAAGAAAATATTAACTTAACCTGTCTGAATTATTTCTTTGAAGTGCACTTAAGTGGTGAAAGAGATGTAAATGATGTCGTTAGAGAGATAGACAGAGAGTAATGAGTCTGTTAATAGGTGCGTGTGCTAATGTTGAATTTTGCCGCTCAACCCCTCTGTAATTAAAACAAACTCAAGTAGTTGTAGTTTATCATTAAGAAGACACAAAACATGAAGCAAGAACTATTGATGCATTTCTAAAGTGATCATAAAACGTATCATTTAGTTATTCATTTATACATATATACCACAAAATTAAGAATTCTTGACCCTGTAACAAATAATATATTTTATGTCCTGAACTGTATTTCCTGAAAACCCCTAAAATGTAAGTTACGTGGCTTCCACTCCTGAGCGAGACACCATTATTTGATTGAATATTATCTAAACTAGCTACACTTCGGAGAAATCATATTTCGACATATCTAAACCTACCGTTTATTGTAGAAACGCAATTCATTAGTGTAAATCAAATTATTAATATTCCCACTTATAAAATTTTCTCAAAACTGAACATAAACCTATCAATTACATCAATACTTAAAACAGTATTTTTCTGTTATCATATCGATCTGAGCCACTTCTCAAATTATTTATTGAGTAAGACACTATGATCATTATTTAGTCTCCATATTATATTCAGCAGTTCAAAGAGTTACTACTATAGTAATTATTAGAAAAAATTTAGTTGGCCCCGCATATGTATATTATATATTTAATTGCAAATGTATATATTATATCCTGAAACTTGAATTTACTAATGGATATCATTATAGACCAAATTGTTAACCATTTTGCGTATTTTCTTGTTATCACTTTTAAAGTTTTGTTTACATTATCACTGTTTCAATTTCATTCCAACTCCGGCTACAAACTGAAAAATTTATAATATACTAAGGAAAACTTTAGAAACACCACTATTTCATCATCCAATTTCCTAAAATTAAATTTAAATACTAACATATAATACCAATGTTGCAACAACTCTAGAAATTTTACTGCATACTTAATTATTGCATCTTAAACGAGTGTTACCATTCTTAAGGTAGCCAACTTTGCTAGATGCTGAGGTCTTGGGCTACCCAGGGGCTATGGAAGATAGGGTTCACGCACGCGCGCTCAATTTTATCTTTTGAGAGCTCTGCTCGACTTCCTTCCCCCCCAAAATTGTATTAAATAAGATTACAGAAGACAGTTCGGTGAGCGCCCCGCAGAAAAAGACCGCTCCACCCTAAATTTTTTCAAAAACTACAAATTATACGCACAAAACTGAATAAAATTATATCATTATTAATTAATAACAAAATGAAAATTTCACTTAGGGCAATTTCTGTTAAATTTCTTTCCTTTACAGAGAATTAAAGAGAAAGACAGTAAAAAAAAGATCACCCATAAGGGGGCCCAGTAGGAAACACCCAATCTATCGGTATCCAATGTCTCCCTTTTTTGGGGGTTGATGATCGATGGGATTCACTGAAATTTTAATTTTAATTCAAAATTTATATAAAACGATCATTTATCTTGTTTAAGACCTCCTTTCTTGATGTTACAGTTCACAATTCTTTTAGCTTATTACTTTTACAAATTTTTATTTTCTTATAAGAATTCGAAAGAAAAAAAATTATATAAAGATTCTTTTTCTCACTCTTCAGCATAATTGCTACTCCATCCATAAAAAATAAAAATGGCCAAGACTTACAAACCAAAATCCTACGAATATATCTCTTCCCTAAAACCTAGATTCACTCAACGTGTGGACAATGTTTTCCACCACGACAAAGCCTTCACTTTCTCTAACAAGATTGTTCCACAAGAAGGTACTCTAGGTACTTCTGTCATTTACTCTCAAGGTTCTGACATTTATGAAATGGATTGTGCTTTACCTCTTGGTACTGAATCCGATGCTAAACGTCAACCACAAACCGAATATGGTGATGCCTTCAAGTCTGTTGAAGGTAAGCCATTGAGCCCCAAGTGGGTTTACCAAGGTGAAACCGTCTCTAAGATGGAATACCTAGGTAATGGTAATGAAACTACTTTGTTGGCCATGTCTAAGAACGGTTCTTTGGCTTGGTTCCAAGAAGGTGTCAAGGTCCCAGTTCATATTGTTCAAGAAATGATGGGTCCAGCTACTTCATACGCTGCTATGCACTCTCACGTTAGACCAAACAATTTGGCTGTCTCTGACTTCACTTTGTCCTATGATAACGAAACTGTTGTTAAGTCTCAAAGTAATGGTTCTGAAGAAGACAGTATCTTAAAGATCATCGATAACGCTGGTAAGCCAAGTGAAATTCTACGTACCATTCACGTCCCAGGTACCACTGTTACTCACACTGTCAAGTTCTTTGACAACCATCTATATGCTTCTTGTTCTGATGATAATGTCATTAGATTCTGGGATACTCGTACTGGTGACAAGCCATTGTTTATCTTAGAAGATCCAAAGAACGGTAGTTTGAACGCTTTCGATTCTTCTTCTGTCTCCAATAACTTATTTGTTACTGGTACCTCTACCGGTTTTGTTAAGTTATGGGATATTAGAGCTGTTGAAACTGCAACTACCGATTTGTCCAAGAGACAAAATGGTGAAGATCCAATTCAAAACGAAATCGCTAACTTCTACCACAAGGGTGGTGAAGCTGTCGTTGATGTTCAATTCTCTTACACCTCACCATACGAAGTTGCCACTGTTGGTGGTACTGGTAACATTTACCACTGGGATATGGAATACGCTTTGTCTAACTACGACGATGAAGACACTGAAAGAGTTCCTCAAGATGCTAGTGAAGAACTACAAACTCAATCTTTGAGATTCCTACATACTGGTGGCTCCAGAAGAAACCCACAACAAAAGGGTAAGAGAAACACTGTCGCATGGCATCCAATTGTCGACGATGTTATTGGTACCGTCGACGACGACAGTTTGGTCACTATCTACAAGCCTTTCTCTTTAGAAGAATCCGCTTAACTGTCTAGAATATTATTGATATATATAATAGTACCATTCCTGCTATGTATAACAATATATATACATACACATATCCTTATTTAATGAATATCTTAAAAAAGTCTATTTTGAATTAGTTAATTTTTATGTAATAATTGATCTCCATGATTTATACACCTTCTGCGGGATTTTTTACTGCCCAATCGCGTGGAGGCGCAAATTATGGACACACTAAAAGTTGATAATAAATTTCAATATTTATTATTGTTAAAGTTAGATGGCCTCATCAATAAACAAATGTTAAATTTGCAACATATATTTGAATTTTCCAATCTTATTTAAGGCGTGAAGCAGCAAGTCTAATCGAAAACAAGATCTATCGAAGTATTTGGGAACATTTTTGTTGGTATACTTTCCAGTTTATCTCTATATATACTAGCTACTTTATTTTTGTCTAATAGTATTGCATCAGATCATCTATTAGATATAACACAAAATTCAATATATAGAAAAGATAACACGTTCCAAGACCCATCATTTAAACTATTAAAAGTAAGAAAACTTTAACAGTATTCTTTTTCTAGTACAACTTAAATCTATTAACCTACACATTCCTCTCGCAATCACTTAAAATAATGGCATCACTCTTTAAGCCACCTGAAACAACAAGACAGAACCCCAAGACACCAAAGTTGAAATTACCATCAGTACAACAACAAGGGACAAGCCCGGGATACCGACCTCCATCAAATAAGAATTCAAATATATATAATGTAAACAGAATAAATGGCCAAACAAGTGGGAACATGGCAACACCGCTCTCGTTGAACATTCGCAACACAAACACAACCTTACCACCACTCCCCAAGATGAATATGAATGTAACATCTATGGGAGAACCAATATCAGATAGATCCCGTTCTGATTCCGTAACGTCATCATCATCAAAGACGCCCACATCATCCGGATCCAGTAGAAGACGACCTGTACCTCCTCCAATCCAAGGAATTACTATGACAGATATTAGCCCTGCTTCAAGAACAAGACCACCTCCTTCCATGAGCCCAGTGGATATACAGAATTCTTTAAAAACATTAAGCATTAATACAGAGAAACCGAACCCCGTTGATAGACAATCTACTGAACCCGACCACGATACACCTTGTTCGCAAGATTCTTATATTTCAAATCTTCTCTCCAATTATGAGGAGTCTGCAAGTTCTACAACTTCACCTTCAGTAAATATGAACAACGGTCCATACCCAGATTCCATGACAAGCACCTCATCCTCATCAGGGCGTACGATATCAGAGCAAGCTATACCTCCTAAACTCGATGTTACTGATCTTGGAGAGAACCTATGGCATTTCAAACATTTGAAGGAGGAGATAGTTACGCTTGGTGTCCTTGGTGAAGGTGCTGGTGGCTCCGTAGCAAAATGTAAACTGAAGCGTGGATCAACAATATTTGCATTAAAGACCATCAATGTCTTGAACACGGATCCGGAGTTCCAGAAACAAATATTCAGGGAATTACAATTCAACAAAAGTTTTAAATCTGACTACATTGTTAGGTATTATGGTATGTTTACAGATGAAGAGAATTCATCTATATACATTGCCATGGAGTATATGGGTGGCCGATCACTAGAGGCCGTATACAAGAATTTAATGAAGAGAGGTGGAAGAATAAGTGAAAAAGTGCTAGGAAAAGTGGCAGAATCTGTATTACGTGGATTATCATATCTACATGAAAAGAAGATCATTCATAGAGATATCAAACCCCAGAATATATTATTAAGTGACAGCGGCGAAGTCAAATTATGTGATTTTGGTGTCAGTGGTGAAGCTGTCAACTCCCTTGCAACCACCTTCACCGGTACTTCTTTCTACATGGCACCTGAGAGGATCCAGGGTCAACCATATAGTGTTACATGTGATGTATGGTCATTGGGGCTAACTATCCTGGAGGTAGCCCAAGGTCATTTCCCCTTTGGTTCTGATAAAATCACTGCTAATATTGCACCAATTGAATTGTTGATGCTAATCATTACATTCGAACCACAGTTGAAAGATGAAGAAGAAAATAATATCAAGTGGAGTGGATCTTTCAAGTCATTTATCGCCTACTGTCTGAAAAAGGACCCTGCTGAGAGACCATCTCCTAGACAGATGCTACAACATCCATGGATTCAAGGCCAAATGAAGAAACGAGTCAATATGGAAAAATTCATACATAGATGTTGGGAGGAATAAATAACATATTATAAAACTCTTAATACACATTTATTAAATAGGTTATTCAATAATATCCCACTATATACATGACTGTCACAATTGGTTCTGATATATCCCCCTCTGCTCGTGTGAGGTGATACTTCTCTTGGAGCCGGCTTGCTGAAATTTCCTGCTCCGTTGCCGGTGGACGATCAAAATTGGGAACAGTCAGTCACACATGTTCCATAATTGGGAAACTTTGAAATATGTTAACATATATATTAAGAGCGTTGACTGTTCTTTTCAACATAGATCTTTCATAAAATATATATATTATTACTTTAGTCCCACAAAACAAGCTTACTGTAATAACATCAAAAACAATAATAAGAATGAGATCCGTCTACAGATCAGTTGGAAAAACCCTTCCACGTTCCAATTTTATGTTGAGAACTGCACCAAACCACTACACTCCTATATCAAGCACTAAATTCAACACATTTTCCTTTAGAACATTTGCAGATGCTGCTAAAGGTAAGACAGAGGATAACGCTAATACTTCAGCCGGTGCTGAAGACGCCAGTAACTTGACTGTCGAACAAAAAACCATCAAGGATCTTGAGGTCAAATTAGAAAGTAAGACCAAGGATGCGTTGGAATTAAGAGACAGACTATTGAGATCTGTTGCCGATTTCAGAAATCTACAGGAAGTTACAAAGAAGGATGTTAAAAAGGCCAAAGATTTTGCTTTACAAAAGTTTGCCAAGGATCTCTTAGAATCTGTTGACAACTTCGGTCACGCTTTAAGTGCGTTCAAAGATGAAGATGTCAAGAAGTCAAAGGAAATCAATGACCTATACACTGGTGTTAGAATGACTAGAGATGTGTTTTTGAACACCTTAAAAAAGCACGGTATTGAAAAGTTGGACCCTCTAGGTGAAGTCTTTGACCCAAATAAGCACGAGGCTACTTTCGAACTACCTCAGCCTGATAAAGAACCAGGTACCGTGTTCCACGTCCAACAACTTGGATACACTTTAAATGAAAGAGTCATTAGACCAGCTAAGGTTGGTATTGTCAAAGGTTCTGATAACTGAGCTTTGATATGATCATTTTTTCTCTCTCATGTCGATACCTTTTCCATTTTCTCTACTACCACTACTATTATCATGATTTTGTTCATCTTCTCAATTAACTACAAATTACTATTAATATATCAACATATTAACTAGAATAAATGGCACAATATCAATAGAATGATAACTATGATGATGTACAGACTTACCATCGTAGAAGAAAGATTGATAATAGTACAAGGCTAATTATATCTTTCCTTATAAAATTTGTAAAAATGATTTTATTGTCAAGATATAATTTGATCCTAACTCACAATCGCATATGTAAGCACTTAAAACTAATATTTCGCCCTGTATATATGTATTTTATAATCATAGTTTACTATTAGCATTTAATACCCAACGAATGAACGAACAACTTAGAAATGTAGAAAAACATTAAAAGATAAGACACTATTGTAAATCATGAAACATACATCTTACAATTTTCAATCTTGTTCCATTAGAAGAAAACTGTATTTTATTTCAGCAGAACCAAAGAAGCAAAAAAAATAATAATGAAAAATTTTAAGTTCTACGTTGTTTCAAGCTAACACAACAATGATTCTTGTACACATACGTTACAAAATGATTTGATATTTCATGCCAATATATATCGACTTACGCTGACTTCATTACTAAAGTTGTTTACAAACAACTCCCAAAACAGTAATACATATTCTATTTTTATATTCTTTTTTTTTTGTTATTGTGAAGAGCAAGAAAGACGAGCACCAGTAAGAAGTGGCCCTACACCTATTTAAAAAACACATACAATAACAAAAGACTTATTGTTGCAACAACAATCAAATAATTACCAATTTACCATTCATAGTCTCACATGATAAACATGAAAAATCAACATACAGTTGTTGTTCATTGTCTACTTAGTGCCATTGCAACTAATAGTTCCACGTTTGTGATTGACGTAATAATGTAAAATGGCACTTCCAATGACTAGCCGACACGAGGCGATACATTCTATATAATTATATTCTATTAAATTACGAAGTAAACAATCCTCTCTTTTATATACATCTTTAAACATTATAACATAGCATTTGGTAAAACAATATCAAAATTTGAGACTAGTAGTGTCCCTATTGGTTAGCGTTTAAATTTAACTAATAAAAGTACCAACTATTTTTGGTGTTCTGTAACTTTCGCTAAGCAATCCAAATAGTTTATTTTTTTTTGATTTATAAACAACAGAGCAGATAAAACTAGTATTCTAAGTATAACAAACATTAACTTTTGGAAACAGTCATATTTTACATTGGTACTGAATATATCGATAGATATATCATCATTTTTTTATTTTTTAGCTGATCTTTTATGAAAAAGTTTTGACAAACGCTTTCAAATTTGTTAGTTCTATTTTTATCTTTGGAGAACAGCTATTTGGAAAGAAACAAACAGGAGATAATATACTGATAGAAAAGTACAACATATTCACTATTATCAACAAAGGCGAAGAAACGTTACAATATATACTGTTACAGATGATTCTGACGTCACCACATAAGTCACCTCGAACATCTGTGAATACCTCATCGATAAAGCCATCCACGAGACAGAAGAAGAAACATGTCACATTCGGTCCATATCTTATTGGAGCAACATTAGGTGAAGGTGAGTTTGGTAAAGTGAAGATGGCTTGGACAAGGCCCGCTAAAGAATCCAACGAAGTATCAAAACAAGTGGCAATAAAGCTTATTCGTAGGTCATCTATAATACAAAATTCTGAAAGAGAGATAAAAGTATACAGAGAAATTAATGCTCTCAAACACCTTACTCATCCTAACATTATTGGACTAGAAGAAGTGTTGCAAAATTCGAAATATGTAGGAATCGTACTGGAGTATGCTTCAGGTGGAGAATTTTACAAATATATACAAAAGAAAAGGCGGCTAGATGAACAACGAGCCTGTAAAATATTTGCTGAATTGATAAGTGGTGTAATATATATGCATTCGAAAGGTTTAGTTCATAGAGATTTGAAACTTGAGAACCTTTTACTCGATAGTAATGAAAATCTACTAATAACAGATTTTGGGTTTGTTAATGAGTTCCGTAGAGATCATGAGCTAATGCGTACATCTTGCGGATCTCCATGTTATGCTGCACCTGAATTAGTCGTTACAACGAAACCATATATGGGACGTAAAGCTGATATATGGTCATGTGGTATTATTTTATTCGCAATGTTAGCGGGATATTTACCATGGGATGATGATCCATCCAACCCAAAGGGTGATGACATACCGAAACTATACCATTATATTACTAGAACAAAATTAAAATTCCCAAGTTACATATCCGCTGTTCCAAGAGACCTCCTGAGAAAAATATTGGTTCCTGACCCAAGAATAAGGACCGATATGACAAATTTGATTAAACATCCATGGTTGGAGCCATATTTTCACCTTTTATGTGTAAGTGCTAAGGAGTGGGATCGAATTATGCTTCAGAAGAAAAATAATGGTAAATTAAAGCGAAATTCAACAATGGTTGCTTCTGGTGCAACAAATAATTCAACTGTCAGTAAATCAGGCAATGTCCATGAAACTCAAAAGAAACGTGCAACATCATTGATAATGGATACCACATTCAAATTATCTGCAGCTACACAACACACATACCAAGGGGAGGTCTTAGGTGACCATACAGTGCGTGAACAAAAGAAATTAGAACTTGTAGTCGAAGAAGAAAGGCCGAAAAGAAGTAGCTCTGCAGCATCAGCAGCTCTGAGGGCTGTAGTTGAAAATGAAGATGATATTAATTCGGATATTACATCAAAAGAAAATAATACAAGTGGAGTAAATGATGTAATAGTAGAACAAAATAGTGAAGGTACTTCTAAAAAATCTGACAATATTCCTGAAAGTTATGATTCTCTCCCACTCAGTAAGCAACTTGATCCTACATTTGATATTACAAATAATGGAGGAGAACACTCTCTCACAGAAATTGACCCAAATTTGTTAAACAAAAATAAAAACAATAAACTTCACACAAACCAAAATAAAGAGAGCTATCGTAAACCAAGGCCTGCTACATATCATTTGACATTGCATTCCACAACACCTGAAAATATATCTCCCTCAGATGAAAAGTTGGAGAATCAAGACGACTTTAAGCATCCATCGATTTCTGAAAGTACTCCACGAATTCATTCTAGTTCATTAGTAGCAGATGATATAACGGCATTAACATCCTATTCAAAAATAAATTTATCACAAGTATCAGAAAATGTTACTACGAATGACCTAACCCCATACGACGATAAACCTTCTTCCTCTTCAGTTAGAAATATAAGAATTAGACCCACTGAAATACCAAGTTATACACCTAATAACGAACACGAACCTTTATCACCGCCAAGGAAGGATGTCACAGAAATAGATGAAAGTTTTCAAACAACAAATGAGAATATTATTCTGAGAAATAATTTGAATAATTCAGTGGATGATAAGACCAAGAAGAGATTTAGCTTTCTTTCATTCTACTCATCATTCAATAGTTCTAAGACTACCATGGAAACCGAAGAAACATCTTCGACTTCTGTATTATCTTTATCCAATCACCAAAGGAATAATTCACATATGAGAGATCGATCTGGGGCCACAACATCTAGCTATCGTACAGCTACATCTAAGAGTTCTCAACATCCAAAATCCAATGTAGCAAGTAAACACTCAGCACTCAGTAAGGATAGTAGTATTGGAAACTCTTCTGGATCAACCTCAAAACAAAACGTACGAGCATCCGTAATGGTTTCCAGTCTACCAAAAAGGGAAACATCCAAAATTCAAGAACGAGGCAATGATCCAAATATGCCCCATAGGGAAGTTTCTAAAGCAAGAAGAGTCTTGGATTTCTTTAAAAGGAGGAGTATGAGAATTTAATATATCTGACAATTACTTCTATGGACATTCATTTTTGGCTAATATCACGATAATTGTACTTCATTTATTGAAGTTACCGATCAAAACTATATTAAATACCCATAGGAAATATTTGCTGCCAATGCAGTAAATAATTTTCTAATTTGCATTTTTTTCCTTCTTCTTACATAATTACGTTAAATCTATATGTATTGTATTATCTTTATATTAAACACAACTAACAAAGCTTTAAATTGTGATTAAATTCAAAGACTAAAGTCTGTCATTTAATAGAAAATATGTAACCCACTATTTATTTAGCATGTATATAGATAGACTCAATCATAACAAATGTTATATCAAATCTGATAGTGATAATTTAGGAAAATAGACTAAAATGATACTTGTATTAAGTTATAAAATGTTAAAGAATTTACATAAAATATATTATAACATCTTGCGCTTAAATGTTAGATGGGTACAAGAAGATTCTGACGGAAGCACCGAAAGTCTTAGCTGGTAGGTTGTTTCTGAACTTAGCTCTGACCATACCGGAGTTACCGTGAGTTCTTGTGATCTTACCCCACATAACTCTAATCTTGGAACCTCTAACTTCCTTGGAGGCTCTGTAGACGTAAGCGACACGCTTACCTAGGTAGAATTGAGCATCTTGTGGGTTAGCAACGTTTTCAATTTGGATCAAAGAGACGTTTGGGTTGTTAACGCTCTTAGATCTTTGGTAGGATAGGTGCTTACCTTTGACGTACACTGCAATAAAAAGTTAACAAAAACTTGATAATAAATTTTTTCTCGTTTATTTGAAATCACAAGGATTTCATTCCAAAAAAAAAAAAATAGAGTTCAAGATAATATTAAAAGAAAAATGTTAGTATTCATGAATTTTTTAATAGGGGAAAACTATCTAGATTTAAGATATTAAAACATTAGTTTAGTTATGCTTCGAGAAGAGGATATTATCAGGTTCCAAATGCCATATATGGTTTCTTATTCTATGATAATTTTTCATATCGATATATCGAGCGGAACAAAATTGTGAATACATTTTCTCCCGAATAGTAGTAGTAGTAGTAGTAGTTCTAGCAGTAGTTTAACAAATAAATTTTATCTGTCGTTCATCTTAATCAACACTTTTTTTATATTGGAAATCAACTCATGTTTATTAACATATGTTATATATACATGGCTTAGGTCTTCACTTAACTTATTAATAATTATGAGTCTCATATCATTTATATGTTTTTCCTTCTGATAAAATATTTTATTTTCTGTTCATTCTCATCATAAGTTTTCTTTCCCTTATATTTCAGTTTATCAATCAGTTCTTATTGATTCCACTTTAAGAACAATATCTACTTTTCAGTTAAATGGTATTCTATCAATTCATTTTGTTCGACATTCTTATAACTTAATAAAATCCTTCTCTTTATCCGATAATCATTATATCTCAATCATTAAAACGTGGTGATTCAACATACATCTGTGGGATTCAGCCATTTTGTGTTTGGTTTGATATGTCTTGTTTATTAACTAAGATTAATTAAGATATTAAGTAACGTTAACTAAATATATAGATATCTACTAGTAGTACATACTTTTTTTTCAATGGTAATAACGAACAATATTAGTTAGAGGTTGAGAGAGACAGAGAGAGAGAGCACTCACTGTGCTACAAGTGATAGTAGTTGCACCAAAGTAATCCACCCTCTGGTTGCTCTCTCTCAGACGGGCAGAACGAGAGTGCTTTCCCGAAACAGCGCTAGATACCAAGATGTTGCGTAACAAAATTCATTGAACTATTGGAAAATTGGTAGACAGGGAGAGAGAGAGAGAGAGTAGCTTGAAAGGATAATGCCGGCTCAGAGTGCGCTCTGCCTAGTAGGAAACCAAAATGAGAATGTAGCCTGAGTGAACTATTTACTTTGGGTGGCCACTACACAAATCGGTTTGCCCTTCATTGTTTAACCTCGCTCAACTAACATCATTTCCTCAGTGGGAACCTTCTTTGTTTAACGAAAAAAACCAAAAAAACGGACAAGGAAAATGCCTACCGCCTGTAGATATCGTCCACTTCATTTTTCAAAACATTCCAATAAGAAAAAAACCACAACTTACGGGGATGTCGGGATGTCGGGATGCAGCGGGCGAGAATGCACGGATGTTAGTCCAACTGAAAAAAGTTTTTATCTTCGCTCGCTCGCTCGCCGCACCTTTTAAAATTTTTACCAGAAAGAAAAAGAGACAGGGAGAGAGAGGGAATAAACCCTATGAGAAAAAAAATTGAATAAATACAGCTAATTTGTGTAACCCATGCACCACGCAAGACCTAACAAAAAGTATTCCAATATGAAAGCTTGTCTTTTTTTCGGTTAGGTCATCGGGGGGGATTGAAATGAGAAAATTTTCTTGCGAATTGAAAAGTATAAAAGGAGAGGTATACACTCTTATTTTAAACATATAGAATTATCTTCTCTCTTAATATTCTCTTTTTAGTTCCTTTCTAAAAGGGTTGTCGACGTACTTCAGTATGTTTTATACCCCTAACTTTGAGTTTTTGTTTTATTTATAGGAATATTAAGAGGACAAGAATAATTATAACTGTATTCTGTCAGAAGAGAGAAACTATTTTATAAAACAAAATTTTTATTTTTTATTTTTTTACAAAGCATGGAAGTTTAACTAACACATTCTACAGTAGGATCATTTCTATAGGAATCGTCACTCTTTGACTCTTCAAAAGAGCCACTGAATCCAACTTGGTTGATGAGCCTCATAACCTTCATTCCCTAGAGTGAGAAGAATTTATCTCGATTTAGCTTGGTCCGCAATCCTTAGCGGTTCGGCCATCTACTTTATTTTAAATTTGTTTTTGCCGGTTTCAGTTATAACTTTCTTTCGAGATTACTTTAACATTACAATTGGCGCGATGATCTTGACCCTTGCTATGAACTTCTTTATTGAAGGTATAGTACATTGGGCGGGAATGAATGGCAGTCTGACAAGTTTCAACTAAATTTTTTTTTTTCCTAATTTATTCAAGCAAAGGTTTGGTTGATAATTTAGAAAATAAGAAAGAACAGACTTTGAAATGTTATTTAATTTTATGTAGAATTAATGGGATTGCTTTTTTCGGAGGGATATTATATAAATTTAAGGGAAACGGCACAGTAAAGATTGAAAGTGTTAAATTAATTATATAATGTGTTTATAAAATTTATACAGTTTCTTAAGACAAACATTTGATCCATTGAAATTGACGTTACATCCGAAGGTTTAGTGGTCGACCATGAAACATAACATGGTACTTCATATTTTTTAGCTGTAGCATCAGCAAGTTTTCGTGAAATATCTCTAACCCAATCATTATTTGTATCTAGTAGTGGAATACCAATTACAAATTCATTATTTTTTCTATTTCTCAATTTATTTGGTATAGAATAATGATAATATTGTAAAGTTGATGATTGTGTCTTTGATATTACTTTACCTTGTTCATCTATCTCAGGTTTATCCTTTTGATAACATATTGTTAAACTAATGGGTATTTTCTTACTAGATAAATCTTTACCAATCGTAGCGATGATCTCTAATGAAGTTCCACCTAATGGTGAATCTTCTGGTGTAATATAATGTGTAATAGTTCTTGTAGCCATCTTCTCTTTGTATACTTCTCTCAATTGTATTGTATTGTTACGACAGTTTTGAAAAATGAACAAAATTAGATAAAGACTATTTGAATTCAACAATCTTATGTAATTTTAAATGTAATCTACTATGTAATTAGATGGATTTGTTCCTTTTTTTTTCTTTTTTCACCTTTGTTTTTTTTTCACACACAATAAATGGTACTACCTCATATCTCTTTTTTTTGATTTTTTGGTCTTTAACTATTATCGCGATGCGAAAAGCATATATACACGTCGATAAATGATAAAAACAAAACAACTAACAACTAAATAAGTATACTAGAACAGTTTTTAAATACGGAGTATTACATTTTTTTCCAGATAAAATTGAATACACTCCTCTCATTGTGACAGTCACGAATACCCAGTACTTCTCTATAACTATGCCTGTACCCAAAAAAATTGATATTGTTAGCGTTGTTGCCGTTTTATTACCTGAATTTGGTATTGGTTGCCAAGGTGGTCTTCCATGGAGATTATCTAAAGAAATGAAATATTTTAGACAAGTTACATCAAATACATTTGATTCAAACAAACAAAATGCCGTGATTATGGGTAGAAAGACATGGGAATCAATTCCATTAAAATTTAGACCTTTACCTAACAGAATCAATGTGGTAATTTCAAGATCATTCGATTCTCAATTGACTCAAGATAGATTATCAGATGATAAACAATATTATAAAATCAATTCATTGACATCAGGTATATCTCAATTAAAAGAACAATTAGGTGAAAATTTAGAAAGAATATATATTATTGGAGGTGGTCAAATCTATAATGATGGTCTTAAAATTTCAGATAATTTATTAATTACCAAATTAGAGATTGAAACTACTGAGCTAGAAATACCAAAAATGGATACATTCCTCAATATAGAACAAATTCAAGAAGAATTTATTGAATCTAAAAGTGAATTAAAAGATTTTTTACCATCAAAGGTTGAATTACCGGAACCATCTACACAAGGAGAATACATTGAAAGAGAGAAAGGTTACAAATTTCAATATACTCTTTATACTAAGTCTCATTAAAAAAGGAAATCAAACAAACATAAGACATTGTATTATTGTAAATAAATCTCTTTTTAATTTTATAGAAATTGATCCGCGGAGTTGTTAATAACGTTTAAATTCTTCCTATTTCTCTGATGTCACATATTAGATAAAGTGGCTTGTGTAGAAATATTTCATGTTACCATGGTATTTTTACTTGAATACCATTTACCGTATAACTCCTTTCTTTATTATTCCAATTTCCTTTATTTATTGTATAAAACCCATGATTCATTAAATAAGGGTAGAATATCTCCACCCCGTTGTTACAGGTTAGATCTCAAATTTAGCATAGTTTATCAATTTATTCAGAGTTATGGATGACTCTGTTTACTGTTCTCATACATTATTATCTCTATAAATTACGACTGGCTGCAGAAATAGGCGTCATTATCGTTCATTAACTGGTGTGACACTAACCGGGCCCATTTCGTAGTTTTCATAACTACCAGAATCGCTTACGTTATTTTAAACTCATACCTGTTGAAAGAGTGGAATATATTTGGGGCTCGCCCCACTATCACAGAAGAACCCGCAGCAACCACCTTACACAAAAACATTTATTTCTTCATTCTAGGAATCGGGATGCGTCTGCGGTCAGTTCTGTGTGAAGAAAGAGAGAGAGAGAAAATATATACTAAAAATTGATATACATAGTTTCCTTCGTAGTCGTATAGGCACACATCATCTTAAATTTAATGGAAACACATGAACGAGTTGATATGAAAAACTATGAAGAGAGAGAGAGGGAGAGAGTTACGTCAAAACCTACTGTCGTGTATTGCATCGTATAAGCATTCTATGCTATATCTATTTCCGTGGGGACAAAACCACAGAAAGAAAGCTATGGAAGGCTTTTTCCAGTACTATGTAGCATGTTGCAGTGGAGAAGTATTTCACTCATTGTTCGGTATAATTTCTCTTGAACCTGGTACGAAACCAAGTGAAAAACTCAACTAAGATATGCCGTTATACGTTTCGACTCTCTAACGAGTCCTGTCCTCAACAGATTTGGTTAGTTATCAATTTAGGTTTATCCTTCACTAACAAACGTGTAAGAAGACGATAGTTGCTCGTTTGATGAGCGATAGCCATTATTCGAATATCATTCATTTCTTGAACTTATTTACGTAGTAGTCAATTTGCCTTTAAGTATTGTATTTTTATTTCATATAGTTACTAAGAATACGCTCTTCTTCATATTCTACGGAAATGTTGCAGTACCCAGATTTTATTCACTTTCGTGGATGGCTTTGTGCATCGTTAAATAATTTCTGCTTATTTAATTTATTTAGGTAAAATTTCAATTTTTTGGTTTTGCAAAAAAACAAACAGACAATACAGATGCATATTTCTAGACGAAATATCTATTCTTATATTACGCGTATATATATATATATATACATATATATATATACATAAAATTAGTTCTTAAAGGATCAATAATATTACAGTCCCTTTTTAATTGATTTTGATACTATCAAGTTTTTATTGATATATTTTGAATTTTATTTCAAAAACTTGTGTTTTTCGTTCCTAATCAAAAAAAAATAACCAGCTAATAAAAATCAAAAAGAAAAGTATTCAATAATGACTGACTACGCATCTTCATCATCATGGACTTCATTTTTGAAGTCTGTAGCATCTTTCTCAGGTGATATTTCTTCTTTAACTGCACCACCATTTATTTTATCAACCACTTCACTTTCTGAATTTCCACAATATTGGGCAGAACATCCAGATTTATTCCTTGAATCAAGTTTCATTACAGAAGAAAATTATAAATCAAAATTTCCAGATGTAACTGATTTACCTTCTGCTGAAATTGCACGTATGCTTTCTGTAACTAGATGGTTTATTGCTACTTTAAAATCTCAATACTGTTCTCGTAATGAATCAATGGGTACTGAAAAGAAGCCACTAAATCCATTTTTAGGGGAAATTTTCGTTGGTAAATGGGATAATAAAGAAAAGGAAGAATATGGCGAAACTGTTTTATTAAGTGAACAGGTCTCTCATCATCCTCCAAAGACTGCATACACTATATTTAATGATAAAAATGACGTGAAATTAGAAGGTTATAATCAAGTTAAAGCTTCTTTTAGTAAGACTTTAATGTTAGGTGTCAAACAATTAGGTCATGCTATGTTACATGTTAAAGATGAATCATTTTTGATAACATTACCAGCTCTTCATATTGAAGGTATATTAATGGCTGCACCATTTGTTGAATTAAATAGTAAGTCAATTATTCAATCTTCATCTGGTTTAGTAACAGTCATTGAATATTCAGGTAGAGGTTATTTTTCTGGGAAAAAGAATACTTTTAAAGCTAAATTATACAAGAGTGTAGAAGATTTAAACGCTAACGGTTATCCATTATATACCATGAGTGGCCAATGGTCAGGTGTCTCTAAGATAGCAAATGGTGAAACTGGTGAAGAAAGAGGTACATTTTATGATGCTGTAAACCATCCAACTGAACACATATATGTTAAACCAATTGAAGAACAAAATCCATTAGAGAGTAGAAGAGCATGGGAAAAAGTTGCTGAAGGTATTACCTTTGGTGATATGACTATGATTTCTCAAGAGAAAGGTAAGATTGAAAATCATCAAAGAGAATTAAGAAAACAAGAAGAGGAAGAAGGTACTGAATGGAAGAGAAGATGGTTCAAGGAAGTTGATTACTCAACCATTTCTGCTAATGAAAGGTTGGATAAAACTGATGACAAATTTATTCAACTATGTGCTGAATTGAACCTTTCTACAAAGAATACCCCAAGTGGATCAATTGTTGGTGATAAAGAAGATCTGAAGGCTGAAACCTCTTCTCATTGGAGATTCAACAGACAAGCATGGGATGAAGAAAAGGAAATAAAAGTATGATAAAAAAAAACAACTTTGACAATATATTATATAGAAATTCAATAGCCTAAATTTCTGATATGTAATTTTTAATGCATAATGTATAAACAAAAATAATTAAATAATGTTTTTTTTGTTTTTTTTTAATTGATTATTTATTTCATTTCAAGTAAGAAAGAGCACGGTACTTTTAAAACAATTGCTCTTTTAAGTAATCTAAATTAGCAGTATCATAAGAAAGAATGAACCAAGTATAAAATAAAAGACAATACGAATATGCCGACCAATAACACAAAGACAAAGCTAATTATTGTACCTTGTCATTCGGTTTGGAATTTTGCTGAACCAAGTAAGTCAAATTCAAAATATCATCTAGGAGAATCTCAAGATCAATGGTCATTAGCTCCTTTCCAGTATGAAGGAAATGACCACATCTCCTTTATCAAACATTCCTTACGTGCGATTGTTGAATTAATTAATGATATTGATGATAATATAGTTATATTTAGTGGTTCACAAACGAAATTAGAATTAGGTCCTATGTCAGAAGCTCAAAGTTATTATTTTTTAACATACAAAATAATTCAGTATTGGAGAAACGCAGATGAACTTCCTAAGAACTTCGATTATGAGATACTTGATTATTTAAAAAGCATTTCTTTATATGTCGACTCTATCGGTGGTGATTTGGCTAAACTTTTCAATCCACGCAATATTTCCACAGAGGAATTCTCTTTAGATTCATTCGATAATCTACTATTTTCTATAGCAAGATTTAACGAAATTTTCCTTAATTATCCAAAGGATATAAAAATTGTTGGATTTGGTTTTAAAGAAGAAAGATTTATAAATTATCATGCTAAAGCAATTGATTTCCCACAAAACAAAATAAACTATGTATCTATTGGTCCAGAACCTTCAGATTATACAGAGGAACAACTAACAGAATATTTTTTCAATATTAGTAAGGCAGAAAATAAAAATGCTCTTAATTATTTTGCCAAGGATTGGTATGGCACTTGCCAACCATTAAGAAAAAAGAAAGATGATCGTAATCCCTACAATAGAACTCCCCAATATGAAATTTTGAATATGCTGTTATTGAAGAGCGAAATAACTAATTGTGAATCACATTTTAATTTATATATTAAAGGTAAAATGCCATGGTCTATGCGTAATTGATTACGAAATGAAATAGTGACTTAATATAAATGCTATATAGACTCCAATTCATTCTTCAAGATTTTTCTTTCATTTTCCCATTCTTCAACTTTTTGAAGTTTTTCTTCAAGATCTTCCATTTCTATGTCGATGGTGACTATAGCTTCATCAGTACCCAAATCTTGTAATTGCCAAGTACCATCTTCTCCAGTTATTTCTAGTAACATATCATGATATTTGATTAGAGAAGGACGTTGAGATATTGTTAAGAAATTAAAATTATATGTTCTTAACAAATGGAAAAGATAATCTTCCATATCAACACTAATTGCATTTGTAGCCTCATCTAATACAACAAATCTTGGTCTATGAAACAAGATACGTGCAAAATTTACTCTTTGCTTTTCACCACCACTTAGTACATCCTTCCAGTCTGCTCTTTCATCGAAATAAGACCAACCTTTTGATCTCTTTAATAAATACTCAAGTTTTACCTCTTTTAATATATGAACCAATAAATTATCTTTATAACCGCGATCAAAGAAATCATCAGTTGACATTGGATAAATAAGTTGATCTCTCAAAGTACCAGTCTTCGTAAAATATGGTCTCTGAGGTACACAGAATAAATCTTTATCTTGTGGTTTTGATAACAATCCATTTTTATTATAAATTGGCCAAATTTCTGCAATAATTCTTTGAATTGAACTTTTTCCACAACTATTTGAACCTAAAATTAAAATACTAGATCCTGGGCCATTAATGAATGGTGTAGTAATATTAGCCATATTTGTCATATCTTGAATAGAATTAGTCTTTGATGATGTTGGTTCAATTAATCTAGGGATTTGGAAAGTTAATTTTTTCAATAATTTATGACCTTGTTTGCCTTTATTAGATGGAACAATGACATCAATATTTTCAAAACGTAATCCATTAAAATTATGTTGAACTGTGCCTTGAATTATATCTTCTCCAATAATTTGACCAGACCTATTATTTTTGGATTTCTCCGAATTAATATCCAATTGATATTTATCCTTCAAATATTTTTTACTTGCACCATAATTAAAATTAATCGAATGAACTCTATGTAAAGCACAAATTAATGTAAATATTCTATTTGTGTAACCTGTCAATTGTGAAATATCTTTAATTGAATGCATTAATCTTGAACCTGCATCAGCTAAAGAAAGCATCAATCTTTTATTAACAATAAAATCCTTCATATTTGATTGTTCTGAAGTTTTTCCATTTTTATTATTATTTGACATTACAATTGGAATTGATGCAAAAACATAACCTAAACCAGACCAAGTATATTTTAAAATATAATCTTCAAGCATAGTATAATTAAATTTTTTTTTACTAATATTTAACATTTTATCCATTAAAGTTTCATATAAAATTTTAACTTTCGTCTTTTCAACATCTGTACCATGATAAAATGCAATTTCTTCATTATTATTAATTAAACTTAAATGATAATTATAATAATTACCATCAGCTGCTGAACTTTCACTACTTAATTTTCCTAAGGGTGGTGTATAACCTCTTAAAATATAACCAGAAATAAAATAATTAACAAAAATTCCTGCAACACCTAAAGAACCCAAATTATCTCTTAAATAAAAAGAAAAAAAGACTAAATCAATAACAGGTTTTGCGATATTTGCAAAAACTGAACAAGTTGCATCACAAAACCTTGTTACATCATTTGTTATTGAATTATCAATATTTTTAATAATTGAACTTGAAGATTTTGAATCAAATATTAATTTATAAAAAGTTTGTCTTTTATCCAAATAAATATCATGAATATATCTTGTTAAATTAACTCTAAAATTCAAACTTAATTTTCTTTGCAATAATTTAATTGCACTATTTGTATAAGATGCAGGTAAAGCAATTAAAAACCAAATTGATAAATCAATTAAAAATTTTTTTGGTTGTCTTGAAATTATATCTCTAACAATTTGTCCATCTAATCTTGCAACAAATAAAGATAACCAAGTTCTTAAAATTAAGAAACAGACTTGTAAAGTTAATAAAACAGAATTTTTATCGAAAATTGTTGGTATTAAAATTCTTGAGAGACAATTCATTTGATTTAAAAATTTTGAATAAAAAATATGTGAATTATTACTATCACTCATGCCAACAACTTTAAAAATAAAACTATCATGTTCATAAAGATCATCATTTCTTGGTTTAATGAAAATCTTCTTTTTATTATTTTCATTTAAATTTTGTAATTGTTTCATTAAATTTTCTTCATTATTTAATTTATTTGTTAATTTTGTATCAGGAATATACATTACTCTTGCACCTGATGCTAATTGCATTTGCGATCTTGTTCTTCTTAAAGTTTTTTTACCATATTTTCTAATATTCCAATTTAATTGATAAAAATTAATTAATTTTTGAATTAATTTATAACTACCATAACTTGCGCCTGATAAAATTGTTAAAGATGATAAAATTATTGATAATAAAATGTATTGTGCTCTTTTCCTTTGTAAAACCTTTGAATTTGGTGATTTAATTAAAGTTAATAAATGTTTAAATACTATTGGTATATAAAATTTTAATGGAACTGTCTTAATTGGTAAACCAATACAAAGTTCAGAATTCATAATTTGTATTGATAATATTTTATATTTTATATTTTATGTGATATTTGTAATTGATCTATAAATTGTCCTAACACTGTTGTTAAAACAAAATATCAAAAACTCCTTTTCATCTATCCATATTTAAAAACCATTCTTTTACACTTCTATTATATATATATATACTTTAGTTTCTCCACTTTCGCTTTAAATTCAGAACTCTTTTAGCCGCCCAGAACCCTCTCTCTTCTCCAATAAAATATGAAGCAAAAAAAAGAGGGGAGGAGGAACATATCTCTCCCTCCACTCCCTTAACTACCATACAGCTAACTAACTAACTAAGCGGTATTTCGTCTTTATTCTAAAAAGTGATTTATTTTATTTTATTTTGTATGTATCAAGCCACACATTACATATGTATCCCGGTGGTCGTTAAGTGTGATGTTCAGTGATGCCCTTAACCTCTCCCGCTTGGCAGACAGACAGCGGGAGAAGGCGGTGTTCGGAGAAAGAGAGACAAACACCGGTATGGTCGATTCGTTCAGAGTGAGCGCTCTCTGTTACATATACATAGAATCGATAACTTCCGATGTCCTGATAAATAAATATGTAAATATATATTTATACTTATAAACAGCATAACTAGGAAATTCTGAATATAATATCTTATTTGAGATGATTTACTAATTATTATTCTCTCGGTTTTTGGCTAGATACATCATAAACTGAACTAGAATACCCACACGACGAATGGACAATTATCATTATCTTAGATCTGAAACAGTACATACACATACATAGCGAGATATAAGTCATACCTGGTTCTGTAGAAAATTCGAGAAAGACGAAGAACACTAAATAAATATATGCTAAATCTCTTGTCGCCTCTCCCCGGTTTGTTTGAAGGAACGAGTGAAAACAATTCTTGTCTTTTTGACTATCCCCATAATAGACCCCGTACAAAATATATCCAAGAAACTAAAACAACAAAAAAATGAAAAAATTTCTTTATTCCTTTCTTTTTCTGAAAAATGTTGATTATGATAATCTTTAGATACCAAATCTAATGACAATGATGACACACAATCTATCTCTATCTCTCTTTTCCAAATACATGAAACTGCACATATATATATAAATGGTTTGTTTTTTTCATTAAACTTTATACTAGGATATCCATATGATAGAAGCTTTCTTATTTTAGCTGTACTTTTCAATTCTTGACATTATTACTATATAAAGACAAACAAACATTCTATTTAAGTTATCACCCAAGAACATGACTCAAGAGGAATCTAATTATTCAACTTCTCAATTACATGATGGTCCATCTTATTTTAAACCATTGGTTGATAAGATTGAACCATTTCAATGTAAATTGAAGAATTCTAATACTGTGGCTACTGCATTCCCAGTATTTAATCATTCTCAAATTCCTGATTCACTTATTGAATTCTTACAAAATGAATTCAATAAAGAAATTGAAAGAGGTGATACTTACCCACAAGATAAACCTCTATCAAAGGAAGAATTCATAGAATATTGGTTTCACTCTTTTACAGTCATCTTCTTGGAAACCGATAAATTAATGATTCCTAATAATATCAATCAACCAGATGATTGGTCAAAATTGGTTCTAGGTACTTTTTATATTAAACCAAATTATATGCCACGTTGTTCTCATAATTGTAACGCAGGTTTCTTGGTTAATTACGCTCATAGAGGTAAAAAAGTTGGTCATAGATTAGGTCAAATTTATTTGAAATGGGCACCTTTATTAGGTTACAAGTATTCTGTCTACAATTTGGTCTTTGTTACTAATGTGGCAAGTGCTAGAATCTGGGATAATTTGAAGTTTGATAGAATTGGATTAGTACCAAAAGCTGCAGTTTTAAAAGGCCACGATGAACGCATAGATGCTATCATCTTTGGTAAAGATCTAACAAACATTGAACCAGAGTTATTCGATGATTTGATTCAAGCTTGAGATAACAGCAACTTTTATTTATCATAACCATCATTGTATTATTGCATTGGCATATGATCATTTTACATGACACCCTTCAGCCACAATTTAAACTTTTATTTTTTTACTTTTCATTCATTTTACTTTATTCATTTACCATCATACTTTAGTGATTCGATTCATAGTATGGTACATCACCGGTTATACAGGGTTTCTACTATTTAGTAAAAGTTTTACAATAGCATATTTTTTTATTATTATTTAAGTGTTTTTCTTTTTCTTTTGTATATAGATCTGAGTTATGTACATTCTTGGCGAATCCTCATATTGGCCCCATGATTCAAACAATGTAAATGAAACAGATATGTGCCCTTGAAGATATGTGTGTGTCTGACACTTTTGTTTGGATCGTTTGTTTATGTTTCAATTATGAAACTTTTCAGCATTATTAAATTTAGACTCTCAGTAAAATACACGCACAGAAAATTTTTCATGTTATTGAAGGAGGAAGGGGGAAGGAAAGAGAAGGACAACAACGTTGACCGTATAGCGAAATTCCTTGAAAACTTCGAACCCATAAACAACAAGAAATGTTGTAAATATTAGGATATAACAATATTATATATCTAGTTTATATAAAACTTGGAATATAGCGACCTGTTGCAATATTATTTTCTTAAAGGTAATAACCGAACAAAATTAAGATATACCGAATATTGATTATACAATGGGTGTAGCTGACTTGATTAAGAAGTTCGAGAAAATCGCCAAGGATGACGATTTTGAGACTCCTCAAAGGGAAGCTCCTTCAAAAGTTCATATCCCAGAAGAAATCGCCAAGGATGATAAATTAACTACTGGAGAAGATGAAAGTAAGGTAGAAGAACCTACTGCTGTTGAAGAAGAAGAACCAATTAACGAAAATGTCGTTGATGAGACACCTATCGAAGAAACCCCCGTTGAAGAAACTCCAGTTGAAGAAACTCCAGTTGAAGAAACTCCAGTTGAAGAAACTCCAGTTGAAGAAACCCTGGTCGAGGAGGCTGCTGTTGAAGAGACTCCAATCGAGGAAAACCCAAAAGAACAAGGGCTCGAAGAAGAAGAGCCAACAAAAGAAAAATCCATTTCAGAAGAAAAATCTCAAGACAAAGAAGAAGAAGAAGTTCCAGTAGAAGAAACTACTGAAGAAACCAAATTATCAGTCCCTGTTGAAGCTGATGAAAAGGAAACAGAAGAAAGTGTAGTAGTTGACATCAATACTACCGAAGTTACTCAGGAACTTGATGCTGAAAACAATGGTAGCAAAAATAAGAAAAAGAAAAAGAAGAACAAGAAGAAGAACAAGAAGAAGAATAATGCCAACAATAATGACAACGAAGGTAATACCGAACAACCTTCTGAATTGACCACTGCTGTTGATGATGTCAATAACTTAGAAGCCGTCAATGACAGTGCACTTAGGCCTTGATCAAAAACACAACTCCGAAGAGTTAAAAGTAATGGCAGACGAAGTGAAGGAGGAAACCATGAGTAGCATTGCTCATGAGGTATGCCACAACGATGATGAGAATGGCACTGAAACCACTGAGAATGATGAAGAAGATGTTGTCGTTTCTGAAGCTTCCACAAAAAATAATAGTCGTGTTGGACGTGACAATCCATTTGAATTTGGAAAACGTAACTTAACAGAATCATCTGATGTGTGGGATCATAATGCATGGGATAACATTGAGTGGGGTGAAGAACAAATAGATCAAGCCAATGAAAAAATATCCGAACAAAAGAAATTCCCTGTATCTGACTTTGATAAAAATCTATACAATGGGAATCCAGCAAGATATTGGGATATCTTCTATAAGAATAATAAAGAAAAATTTTTCAAGGATAGACAGTGGCTTCAAATAGAATTCCCAATTTTATATAGCTCCACCCGAAAGGATTCAGGCCCGGTTACAATTTTTGAAATCGGTTGTGGTGCAGGGAATACTTTCTTCCCTATTCTGACACAGAATGAAAATGAAGACTTGAAGATCGTAGCTGCCGATTTTGCACCAAAGGCTGTCGAACTTGTCAAGGAATCTGAACATTTTAACCCTAAATATGGTTCTGCATGTGTCTGGGATTTAGCTAATCCAGAGGGGGCTTTACCAGAAGGTATTGAACCACATTCTGTTGATATTGCCGTAATGATTTTCGTTTTCAGCGCATTGGCTCCAAATCAATGGGACCAAGCAATGGAAAACTTGCGCAAGATTATGAAACCTGGTGGTAAAGTCCTATTCCGTGAATACTCATTTGGTGATATGGCTCAATTGAGATTCAAGAAAAACAGACTTCTAGATGATAATTTCTATGTCAGAGGTGATGGTACGAGAGTTTATTTTTTCGGTGAAGATGAACTAAGAGAAATTTTTACCAAGAATAACTATTTCGTTGAAAACAAAATTGCTATCGACAGAAGATTATTAGTTAACAGAAAGAGAAAACTGAAAATGTACCGTTGCTGGATTCAAGCAATGTTCGAAGCATCTGAGTAAAATACCCATATTCATAGCCCTATTTAATTACTACTATTATGCATTAATGGTGATAAATCTATGTAATTCATATATACATATATATATAATATAAGCATACCAAATAAAAAATAGATAGATGTATATATACAGAATATGCGATTCGAGGTGATATAGGGATAAATAAGTTTCAAGATATATTGATATATGAATGTTTAATGAAGCTGCTGCATCTTGGTTCCCACAGTTTTGCAATTACACGTGTTAAACTGACTCTGTCCACTTTGTTGTCCATCCTATGTTATATGAAAAATAATAAAAAAATTAAACAGACAAAAGTCGCTTTCTCCTTCTTTTCAGCAGATGTGACAAAATAAGTCATCGCGAACCATGTATCTGAGAAAAGTGTGAAAGGATGCTTATATGATACGACATGTACGGTAAGATATTTTTGACACAAGTCTCGAGATACTTACATATATATACCTGTTCAATCAGCATATATTGACCATTATAATCTTGAAAAAGATTGCTCCTCTTTTAACCTACGTTTTCCTTAAATAACGTTTAGATGAAGATAAGTATTCCCCTCAGGATGGCTGAAAAAACATATAATGATGCTATCAACGCTTTGAATTCTCTGCAATCCAACTATGCCAATATTATGGCTATCAGAGAATCAGGAATTCGTAAAAATGAGATGGCTATTTCGGAAATGGTTGAATGGACTAGAAGAATTGGATATACTACCGCAGATTTTAACAAATTAAACATAGTTCATATCACAGGTACTAAAGGGAAAGGGTCGACTGCTGCTTTTACAAACTCGATATTGAGCCAATATAAAGAACAGCTACCTAAGATTGGTTTATATACATCACCACATTTGAAAACAGTAAGGGAGAGAATTAGAATCAATGGTAAGCCTTTATCAGAGAAGAAATTTACCAAATATTTTTATGAAATTTGGAATAGACTAGATAAAACTTCATCACCACTAGATAAATTTCCTCACATGACACCTGGATCCATGCCTGGTTATTTTAAATTTTTGACTCTGTTATCGTTTCATACATTTTTACAAGAAGGTTGCAAAAGTTGTGTGTATGAAGTAGGTATCGGTGGTGAATACGATAGTACAAACATAATCGAAAGACCAGTAGCATGTGGTGTTTCTTTGCTGGGGATTGATCATACGTTTATGTTAGGTGATACTATTGAAGAAATTGCCTGGAATAAAGGTGGAATCTTTAAGAAACATGTTCCTGCTTTCACGGTGGAAAACCAACCTACGGCTGGGTTAAATGTATTAGAAGAACGTGCAACAGAGCGTAATACCACTGTCACGGAAGTGCCAATTTTTGATGAATTAGAAAAAATCAAACTTGGAATTGCAGGCAGTTTTCAAAAAACAAATGCATCTTTAGCCGTTGCTCTAGCGTCACAAGCCTTAACATCGATGGAAATATTGGACGAACCTGTAAATATGATAAAAGACGTACATTTACCTCAAAAGTTCTTGGATGGACTGAAAGATACATTATGGGAAGGACGTTGTCAAACTGTAAATCGTGGTAATAATACGTGGTATTTAGATGGTGCCCATACAAAAGATAGTATAGAGGCAGCATCAACATGGTTCCGGGATGTAATGAAAACTTCCAGAAAACCTAAAGTTTTATTATTCAATCAACAAAGTAGAGATGCCAACGCTTTAATACATTTCATGAATGGTAAAATAGCCCCAGATGTTCATTTTGATCACGTTATATTTACGACCAATGTTACATGGGATTCTGGTAGTTATAGCGCTGATTTAGTATCTATGAATACATGTAAGGAGGATGTAGATGAATTAAAGGTTCAGAAATCCTTAGCAGAGGAATGGGCAAAAATTGATAACGAATCAAAAATATTTGTTTCCCCAAATATCGAACACGCAATTAACCTAATTGAAGGATTAAGTGATAATTCCTTAGATATATTTGTATGTGGTTCTCTTCATTTAGTGGGAGGTCTTCTAGTCGTTTTTGACGGGAAATAATCCTTTCTCATTCAAGTACTGATCATTTATGTAATATGAGAAGTAACCCGCAACAATAGATAAAAGATATACTCTTTAGAGCACTTTAGATACTATATATATATTTAAAAAGGAAAATATTTTAAGTGAGACATGGTTGCTCCGTTTGATCAGGACCGTACCATATTGCCCATGTTTTATAATATTTTTTATGTAAGAAAGAATTGGTGTCCAGTAAGCTTTGCATTGCTTGCATTGCACTGAAAACATCCATAAAAAGTACAGACACACATAATCTTCGTGATATTATAGGTGTCAACCCTTGCAATTCACCAAATACAGAAAAATCATTCCTCATATCTTGTGGATCAAATGGTAACAAAGAATTACTGGAGATACCACTATATTTCTTCACCACTCGTCTCTTTCCATTCTTTTTCAATATTAAACATCTCGTTATTTGTGTATCCTTGTTCTTGGTTGTCAATGGAAGTAAATGTGCTAGGTGTTTTTCTTTGTTTTCATTGTCATCATACCAACAGGCTTGTAAGCGTATTCCATTTACTTTAAACAAGCTCGTATTAGCATATTTCAAAAATTCTGTGGCATCTTGAGGGTATATAAAATCAAAAATTACCTCTTTACATTCTTGTGATGTGGTTGTACAACTTATCTGTCTCAATGGACCACCTTTTATCTGAGAAACTACACTGTCGATACCAACTTCTTGTGGTATGTGTTTAATCAATACTCTTGTGGGTTTATTTTCTTGTAAATTATTATCTAGAAAATTATCAAAGGAATGAAATATGAATCCATTTGATAACTTTGAAAAATCCAAAGAGGTTTGTAGACTTGAGGTGTGGTCATTACTAATATCTGTTGTGGTATTTTTTGGATTTTCCAGATGGATTTCGTTCTTCACTGAAGTCGTAAATTCAGCTTTTCTTAAATGAGGTTTGTATTCCTTGCTGATTACCCCTTCTGAACCAATAATACCATAGTATGCTTCATTTTTATTGTTTCCTATGGCCTTGGTATGCCCATGAAAATAAGCTTTTGTTAGTTGTCTAAACCCAATATGCTTAGTTTTGTTATTACTTAGTTCTGGCCAAGTTGTCCTCTCTTTTTTATAATTATGATGGTGGGTTAAATCCCCTTGTTTTATTAGTACTTTATCCGTACAAATTCTTTTATATTTGATATTTGATTGCGTCATGTTATATTATTTATTCGATGTAGATTATTTTAGTTACCTTATGTATTACTCTTAAACGTGTAAACCTTGGAATAAAAGAACATATTGCTAGTTATAACCATTTGCATACATGATGTTTATTAAAATTTATATATTTTTTCCTTTAGTGACAGTTATTGTATTGTGACCATCTGTCCGCCCAAAAGAGAAACCACCGCGTATTGGTTCGGGATTCAGTTATTGCTAATAAATACACAACTCAGAACTATATAAGCTATCTAAAGATACAGCTTCGGCTCAATCATATTAAACATAAACAAAATACAATCTCTGCCAGTACCTGGAGATTTATTTATAGATATTCTTATTAATATAAATATTCTTATTAATATACAAACTTTTTTTGATATAAGCAATATTATTTGCCACAGTATCTCAAACCTTGACATCACACATATCACCACGACGAGATGTTTCTAACTTCATTAATTCACGTAAAGCCATAGTTGCGTAAGCGGATGTACCTAATTGCATTTTTACTAAAACGGCAGTTTTTTCCCCTCCATTATCTGGCATGAATCTCTCTAGTTTAGTTTTCATATATTTTTGGCCGTTTTCTTTACCAATTTTATTATTTAACATTTCAAGATCAGTGTTCAATAATTGCTGAGTAGATTCATTATAGTGAACAATTTTGTATTCTAGTTCGTTTGGTTTTTGGATGACATTTCTATAGGAACCTGCAACGGAGAAATCACGGACTTTTCTTCTCATTTTAAATGGATCCATGTTGTCCTTCTTCATTATATCGATATAAACTTGCTTTAAAGTAGAATCTGAAGGATAAATGATATCAAAGCCAGGCATTGGTAAAACGATATCAGACATGGAATAATTTCCGGCATCAATATCCTCTTGTGATAGAGGTTTGGCCCTGACAAATTCTTGAGTATTTAGATCTTCATCAAAATCATCCAACTCTTCAACGTCTTCATGAGAAGTAGAGTTATCGATAACTAGATCACCTGGTACTACCTTCAACCCGTATAATTTAATTCTTTCACTAGTAACGGCATTCCAGACATAACTTTGATAAGCATGAACGTACATTGTTCTTAGGTTTCTTGGAACTTTCATAAGAGCTGATAAATACGAGTTAGTTGAATATGATCCGTCATCCTCCTTTCTTAGATTGGACAAGCAATATAAGATTGAATTTTCAGCTACACATTGTCTTGGCATTAGCTTCAAAGCAGCAGCAGCATCATGTGTACTTTCCCACAATTGTCTAGCCTCTTTAGATTTTGGAAGAACATTGTCTTGATCAGAAAGAATTAGTTCAACAGCCTTCTCCCAATTTTCTAACAAAATTTCTTTACCAACTTCGTGGGTAGAAATACTATATGTACCAAATCTTTGCATACCAAAGTAGTTGATGAAACCGTTATTTGATAGGGATTCGCAACCTTTTTGTAAGATGTCTTCCAATTTGGAATTGGGATCAATAACGTTGACATCCCTTATGGCAATAACAAACTCATTACCGTTCAAATCACCTAAACTTAGAGAGGAATCTTCGAATTTAAATCCACCGATTGTCATACCCTTTAAAGTTCTATTTAAAGCATTTAATCTATCTACACCGATCTTTGATAATGATAATCTTTGACAGGTAACAGCTCTTCTATCCTTGGTACCAGCAAATCTCATAGCCTTGGTTGGGAATCTCATTAGTTTACAAATGGTATTGACCGCATCCATGGTATCTTTGTTCTCTTTTTGTAAGGTGAAATGTAGAAACTCTTTGGCTGGTCCGTAACCCCAGTTTTCAACGCCGTTTGCATCTTTTGTTTGATCATTTCTCACTTTTTTGTTTACTCTTGAGTTTTTATTATTTCTTGCAATCTTAAAGCAATTTGTATCGCTTGTAACAGACTCTAGTTCGTCATTAAATGCAGAGCGTAATAATTGATGAATTTTAGTTCTTATTGTTTTATCTTCAAACGATTTTTCACTTTTCATAGTAGTGGCCATCTTGTAAACTTCTTCAATCTTTTGAACATCACTCTCTCCAAATATTTCAACTAATTGAGTTCTTAACTCAGAATCAACTTCAAAATTTTGTCTGTTGGCAATATCTTCTGCATTTTTAGCATCTTTTTCTGCTTTAGACAATTGAGGTTTCTTTGGCATCTTGAACCCTTTGTCAGTCAGATGAACAACATTCCCAGACTTGTCAATTTCGTTAACTAGAAAATCTGTATATCTTTGCTTGATTTGACCCGAAAATCCAGGTAAGTCTGGAGTTAAATATAATGTAATACCAACCGATTGTTCAGTTATAGAGTTATTGGAAGGTTGGTCCTCCTCTATTTTAGATCTCTTGACAATAGACACATCACCTTCGCTAGTGACAGTATCAACAGTTCTCTTTAGGGACGATTCTTGTTCTGACATTAGTAATTTTGAAAGTTTGATTGTTTCGTTGTTTTGATCCTACTATTTACTTATCAGTCGTTAATTTAATATCCTATAGAAAATCGATGAGTTCTTTAAATCTTAAAAAATTTTCAAATTAGTTAGTAGAGGAAAAGTTCATCATCGCGTTGAAAATTTAAGCGGGTCCAAAGCAAACACACGCTTTCATCAATCATGTAAACAAAAGACGTTGTGTCTTTCATTGATGTTTAAATAATCGCTATTGAACAAATAGCATTCCTCAGCAACTACAGGATAAAGAACGGGGAGAAGTGTGCTGTTTTTAATATCTTAGCATATAAAGAAATACAAACTTAAAAAATGTCCGCACAGGTGGGGATGGAAATCAATACTATCCCAAGAAAAATTGATGACGTTAATGACCTTATTATAAAAGCTCAGTGTTGGGTTAAGAAAGGTGAAGAAGAAAGATTAGCAGAGATATTGTCTATCAAATCCAGACGATTGCCTCCTAAATTCTATGTTCATTATGTAAACTATAACAAACGTTTAGATGAATGGGTTTCTCCAGATAGAATTAATTTAGAGAAGGATGTTTTATTCCCTGTACCGAAACCTTTAGAAGAACCAAAATCGAAACAAAAAAACAAGAAATTAACCCAAGCTGGTAAGGCTGTTCAGTCGACAGCAACTTCGACCAAGGAAAATACACCTGAAGTTTCCGATATGATGGATCTTGACAACCTTAATGTTCAGGGGATTAACACTGACGATGTTTCACGAGAAGATGAGATCAAAAAGTTACGGACTTCGGGATCTATGACACAAAATCCACACGTTGTATCTCAAGTTAGAAACTTGACGAAGGTAGTAATGGGTAAATATGAGATTGAACCATGGTATTTTTCTCCCTACCCAATTGAACTTACGGACGAAGATCAAATATACATTGATGACTTTACATTACAATACTTTGGATCTAAAAAACAATACGAAAGATATAGAAAGAAATGTACTTTACAACATCCACCAGGGAATGAAATATATCGTGATGATTACGTTTCCTTTTTTGAAATAGACGGCAGAATGCAGAGGACATGGTGTAGGAATTTATGTCTTTTATCCAAATTATTTTTGGATCATAAAACATTGTATTATGACGTTGATCCATTTTTATTTTATTGCATGACTAGAAGAGATGAACTTGGACATCATTTAGTAGGTTATTTTTCTAAAGAAAAGGAGTCGGCCGATAATTATAATGTTGCGTGTATTTTAACACTTCCACAATATCAAAGAATGGGGTATGGTCGACTATTGATTGAGTTTTCATATGAATTGTCAAAGAAGGAAGGAAAGACTGGTTCGCCAGAAAAACCATTATCAGATTTGGGGTTATTGTCTTATAGAGCATATTGGACCGATACATTGGTGAAATTGTTAGTAGAGCATGGGAAAGAAATTACTATTGATGAGATAAGTTCTATAAGTTCGATGACCACTACAGATATCTTATTCACGGCGAAATCATTAAATATACTAAGGTATTATAAGGCACAACATATTATATACCTTAGCGATGAAGTAATTGATAGATACGAAGCTCTGAAATCTAAAAAGAGAAGAAGTATAGATCCAACAAAATTGATTTGGACACCTCCAGTATTCTCGGCATCCCAACTGAGATTTGCATGGTAGAATTCACGTACATTCCAGAATGGTCATACAAATATATACATAGGTACTTTGGTGTATAGTGCATTAGTTTTTTTATAAATTCATATTTATTACAGGATATTTACGGAATACATTTTATTAAGTTGCAAAGGGAGTTAGATAGTCTAACAAGAAATGGAATGTGAAATTATGCGAATATTGATGACAAGGAAAGTTCAGGAGATTGAAAAAAAAAATTGTTTAACCTACGATATTAAAATCAACGTCTGACATATTGTATTGATCTTTATTTTCACAGTAGATTCTTTTCAATTCCTCGATATAGAGTTCATGATAATGATTTACAATGTCCTCCGGTGGATTATTAATTTTTTCTTTAATATAAATTGGTCTGCCTGTAATCACAGTCAATGGTGCTCTAAAAGGTAACAAACCAAAATCATAATTGAATAGACCTCTAGCATAAAAAATTGGAATTGTGAACCCAAAATTTGCCTTGATCCATAATTGGAAGTTTCTTAACCACGAATTTTCTCTTGATCTGAAAATTTGATATGTATTATTCTCACCAAAGACAAATGTTGGAACTAATCCAACATTTCCTGTCTCTAAGGCCAACTTAATAAACCCTTTTCTTTTATTCAAGATCAATTCCACTTTATTTGGTTCAGTAAGTAAAGATTCTCTTGCTCCACCTACAACAATACATATTGATTGATTGTTTTGTAATACTTTCAAGGCATTTTTCCTTGATACAGATGTTATCCCTAAAGCTAAGAGGTAATCCCTATATAATGGGATATGAAATTGAGTAACTAAAGTCATTAAAGAAATTGGGATCCCAGGAAACTTCTTCGTCCAATGACAACCTTCGGTACCGAATGCGCCAAATGCACCGAGGGCACCTATTCCATGAGGATGATAACCGAATATATAACGTGGACCAGTTGCTTTAAGTTCCAATTTAGGAGTCTGAGAATCGTTGTTTTGTAATCTTCTTTTAATGTTAATGTGATAATTCGAAGGCCAAATTCTAATTTTCAATCCGTTATTCTTGATATTCTCAATTTGGGACGTAGTTTCGCTTTCATTAGTGACCTCTTGAGGTTCCCAAGTAAACGTTGGTTTTAAATCTGCAGATTTAATTAATGATATAGGGAAATATTCACAATATAAATCCCATATATACAACGATCTGAACCAGAGAGAATATCTATTAACAACGTTCCCATTAGCTGGAGACCTGTCATTAAAGAAATATATCAAATAAGGGATTATTAACAACCAACAGAAGGGTGAGGATAATAGGAATAAATTAAATAAAGTGAATATAACAAAGGACGAGCAATGCCATGCTACTGCCACAGTTTGCATCCTTCTATGCATGGGGGTTGCAATAGAACAACAAGAATCCAGTGTCGGTTCATTCTCCTGCTGTTGTAAATTCTGCTTCGCTATATGTGGTGTTCCTGATGATATATGATCATTATCTCTGTGAATATTTCCGCCGCCTTCACCTTGTTCACCAGTCATCTATGTTTAAGAGAAAATAAGGTTGCTTTGATTTTTTTTGTGCTGCTTACTAATTTTTTGTTTGAATCAAGTTCAGGTATGTGTATAACTATGATAAAAACAAACAAAAATTCGATACACCTGTATTTTAGTTCTTAAGTTAGAATAAAGGAGATTAGAAAAAAGACTTATTCATTCATAGCCTTGTTAACAATGGTAGTTTATTATTATATATGTCTTTCCATTTAAACCAAAAACTCCTTCATCTTTATTGCGCCTGTTGCTGCAGGAATCCGTCTCGGTGAAAGAGGAGAAGGCCCGATCCTTTCTGTGTGTATCTGTGAAAAATACGTCCGTCATAACATTGTTTTGGGCAAGTCAAAGGGGAGAAGGATCACTAAGAAATGCAGAGAAGTGCCTTTAACTGAGACATTGTGAGATCACTGAGACAGGAGATGCTAAATTTTGGTTGTAAGAATGTCCAAGGATTTGAAGTTGCTAATAAGATTCTTGTTTTACAGTTAAGAGGTAAGAAGAAAATATTATTAAAGAAGAAAGAGAAAAATACAGTAGAAAAAAATGTTGTTAACAAAAAGAAATCATATTTGAAAGAACATAATATGGCTCTATATTAATTCGAGCACTAGTAACGTTCTATCGTGGCTAGTATCCATTCCAACTTTAAAAGGAATAAAAATAGCCCACTGTCAATTGAAGTAAGATTTAATTATGGAGGATAAAAGCATCCCTCAAAATTAAAACTTACCACTAACTTCCTCACCATAATATTAATAGACAGTGTAGTAAGGAAGGATCTCTAATGTACATAATTTAAAAATAGACGTTATATAAATATCAAAAAATGATAAAGTCCTGTTAAACCCATTGGATACCGATGCAAAAATTTTGAATGATAATAAAAAGAAACGAAAATTGTAAAGTTTTAAACTTACAATTCTTCGACGACGTTACCCTTGGAGGAAACGTAAATACCATCTAAGAACTTACGGATATCCTTGTTTCTGGCCTTACAGATTTGTTGAATATCAGCAGCGTTTTGAGAAACTTCTTCAACAGAGTTACCAGATAGAACGATTTCATCCTTTTGAGTGGTGGAGAATTCAATTTCAACACCTTCTCTGACTGGAACTAATCTAACCTTCTTGTCACCTAGATAGTTTCTGATTTCGATGAATTTCTTACCTTCGTTTTCAACAACGTTAACGTTGATTGGGAAATGCGCATAAACGTATCTCATCTTGTACTTGTAACCCTTGGTGACACCAGTGATCATGTTGTCAATCAAAGACTTGACGGTTCTTAGAGCAGCAACGTGCTTTCTGTCACCGTTGTGAACAGTAACCTTAATTAAGGTGTTGTCAACCTTGGTGAAAGTAACATCAATGTGCTTTAGGTTCTTGGTTAGGGTACCTCTTGGACCAGTGACCTTAATGACTCTGGACTTGATGGCAACAGTGACCTTTTCTGGGATAGCAATAGATTGTTCGGTTTGAATGTACTTCATTATAGATGGATAGAGTGATGGGGTATTAACTAGTTAAAAATAAGAAAAGTTTAAATCAAAATAAACACAAAAGATGCAAATGACGACAACAAAAGTAAAGTGATCATATATATCAAATAACTCTAGTTTTGCTACTTATATACTTTTTTCTCATTCCTTGCAGTCGACGACGACGACGACGACGAAAATTTTTCAGTTTTCATTTTTTTTTTTGCGTCGGTCACTTCAAAAATTTTAAAATAATTTTTCAATTTTTTTTTTTCGCTGAAGGGAACTTAGGGTTGTGATTTGAAGGTTAGGGTTTGGAGTATGTCACATTTTTATTGTGACGATGATGAATGACAGTAACAGTAGAGTTAAAAAAAACATCTCTATTAACGAGATTAGAGATAACCAATAACTTAACATATCGTGAATGTTGACAACTATATTGCTGTTTATCCTAGTATCTGTCTAAATATTTTTTTGGTCTATATTCCTCCATCCTTGATGTGACATAGTAGCATATGGTCGATGTCATTTTTATAGAAAAACAAATCAAAATGACACATATTATTGTGTACTGTATATATACACATTTATATATAGTATTACTCCATTCGTGTAAAGTAGGGATACTTTCGAAGAAGAAAAAACTTATTTGGACATTTTGATGAGATTAATGGAGGTATTTTGACCCCAATTGTTTAGAATTATAGTATTGTTTTTTGTTGTTGTTGTTTTAACTCTTAATTCTATTCAGATAGGTGGTCGATGAAATTATTATTAGTCTGGAATTTATTCATTTTTGCAACACTTTTAGTAAATGCTTCAAATCATATCATTTCAGATACTAGAGAGGTTGTCAAAACTCCAAGGGACTTGTTTTATGATATTGTAAATATTTTTAGGGAGGTTCGTAAGATTCAGAAACATGCATATATGGATGACTTGTTTGCATTAAGAGAAGAAATTGATTTTGATGAAGAATGTAAAGAAATTTTATCAGATATTATATCTACAAGAGATCGTGTAACTAATTTAAATGGAGATAAGAAGAAAGGGCGTCGTATACGGACTAAAACTTTAGAGAAATGTGTGGAAACTTATATAAATCATCAGATTCATGATGCTAATAATTCAAATAAAGAAAAACTAAGGAAAACCTTATTTGCCTTGAGAGCTCAAGAAGTAACTATGTCTATGGTTACTGAAAAAAGTCTTCGGAGCATTTTAAAACATATAAAATTTAAACTTGATGAGTATGGGTTAGTGAATAATCGAAAGAAAGGAAGCTCAAATGATTTTGAGACAGAACAAGAAGAAGATTTTATCGAAAATACATTGGTGGTTTTCAGTAAAGGCATTTTTGGACTGGGAATCTGTATACTTTTCGGTACCACTATATGTTTAACAGCTCTAGGGTCACTGATGTTTGTTCAGGTCATTCTTTGGATGTTAATTTTGGTGAGATTTTTAACGATATCGAATTAACAACAACCTTAATACAGGGATTCGCGATATTCATTATTAAAATTATATCTTGTGCATATGACTGTTAATTGTAAAATAAATAAATATTTGAATGCCTATCTATAATTATTATCCCTCTAACTTTTTATCATATAATCATCAATCAAAGATGAACTTACTTAATCAAAGTCTTATTGTGTTTTTTTGTATCATCATTTGTAGTTTAAACTTAGATAATTTATTGTTACAATATGTATATAGATAACTATACATGCCTGATATTTATTGTTATTGTTTTAAATTAAAACATACTCTAAACTTTTTTTTTCTATTAATATGATTTGTATTGTTTTTAGACTGTGTACAGTCTTCTCATTCATTGGCTTTAAACCATTTATCAGTGAACTTTTTTAAAGTATCAGCGTCATTGTAGACCCATGAACCCTTTTCATTATAAAATTTGGCATTTGAATACATCGTCTCTATGTCTTCTTTCACTTCACCAAGCGACTGATAGCCATTTTTCTTGGCCTTCTTTGTAATTGTATCAATTGCAGTTGGGTTTGATATCAATACATAATAATCAGGGTAGAGTTTCTTGGAAGGCAATTTTTCAAACACATCCGTGCAAGCATGTCCATCATCCTTATCCACAATAGCATGTAGTTCCTTCATTAAAGAGACTACTAGATCTGGGATGTTGAGTCCCGTTTTAGCATCCTCGGCGGCTATATCGGTCTTTTTGGTACTTTTTCTTCCCCTTTTCTTTGGAGTTGGTTTTGCAGCAGTTCCATCCTCTATAATTACCTCATCTTTTTGATTAATCTCAGGAGTAGGCTTCTTTAACTTCAGAGTAACCTTGAATTTCTGTTTCTTCTTTTGGGGTTCCTCTTGGAGCTCCTCAACGATTGTTTCAGTGTCCTCTGGAACACTAGTTTCATTTTCAATTTGGACAACACTTTCAGGGATATTGCCGACTGTCTTTCTCTTTCTTGTTCTTCTACGACGTCCAGAGATAGTTGCATCTTCTTCATCTTTTTCTACTGTTGTGGGTTCGACATTTTCAGGTTCTTCGGACGGTATCGTTTCCATTTCAGGTGTGTTTTCTAAAGTTGGAATTTCACCGTCCTCATCTGTAATTTTTTCCATCTTGTTGCGCATTCTTTTTTCCCTTTGTTCACGTTTCTTTTGAATGGTTTCTTCTAATGTGCTCTCTTCATTTTCTACGGCATCTAAAAATTGTTCCTCGGTCAGACCATCATCGTAGTACACTCTTTTCGTTTGTCTCATTCTTGATAAGGCTACAGGTTCTACGTGCAAATGCTTTTCGATATCTTCCGTAAATACTTCAGGTAGTTCATCCTTTGTAATTAATCTAGATAGTGGTGTCTTTAATCCAAGTGTCTTAGCGTCTGCCTTCTCTTCGGCAAGTCTGTCTTTATCCATCTTGTTAAACAAAATTTTTTCGTCCTCTGAACGGGCAAGAACTTCGTTAAGTTCTTCATCATCTAGTTCCGCCTTGTCATCATCATCTGCAGTAGATTCGTTTTCTATCAGTCTTCTTAAAAATGCTTCTTGTTCTTCAGCAGTAGATTTGTTATCGAACTTACCTGCTTGAATAACTTTACCATCAATATCTAGTTTTTGCATGGCCCTCTCAAGAATAACTTCTTCTACAGAATCTGTGGTGATTAATCTTAAAATTCTAACTTCATTCTTTTGACCGATTCTGTGAGCTCTATCTTGGGCTTGTAGATCTTGGTGAGGATTCCAATCTGTATCAAAAATAACGACAGTATCAGCAGTTTGTAAGTTTAAACCTAGACCACCAGCTCTAGTCGATAACAAGAAACAGAAATAATCAGAGTCCGGTTGATTAAAGAGCTTCAACATATCGGTTCTTTCATCTGCCTTTGTACTACCATCTAATCTCATGTACTTTAAGTTTCTCATTCTTAAGAAATCTTCCATAATATCCATGACTTGAGTCATTTGGAAGAACATTAACACTCTATGTCCGGTGGCCTTGAATTTTGGTAACACACGATCTAACAGTTCGAACTTACCAGAAACACGGTAAAGTAAATCGGAATTTCCTCTACTTGGGTTAATAACACCTTCAACTTCATCAAATACGAATGGATGGTTACAAATCTTCCTTAGTTGCATAATTTTATTGTTCAGACCTTTGATACCTGTCTTCGTGGCACCTTCTGTACCAGCACCGACAAATAATGCATTATGTTTCAACATTTGTTCATATAGTGTTTGTTGTAAACCAGATAGTTTACATTTTACAACGGTTTCAACCTTATCTGGAAGATCCTTTTCGACTTCTTTCTTTAAACGACGTAACAAGAACGGTCTTAGCACCTTGTGTAATCTTCTAATAATCAGCAGTGTTTCTTCTTCTGTCAACTCTAATTTTTCTTGACCACCTGTATTTGCAAAAGGCGTATTGAACCAATCATCAAATGTACTTGCTGAATTGAAAATCTTAGGTAAAACAAAATTCAACAAGGCCCATAATTCTGGTAAGTTATTTTGTAAAGGTGTACCAGTTAGAATTAATCTGTTTCTGGTCTTGTAGTAATGTTGGATAGTGTAAGAAAGCTTGGATTGTGCGTTTTTCATTCTGTGACCTTCATCAATAATCATATGAGCCCATTCGTGTTTACATAGCATGGCTCTATCCTTGATAATATACTCATAGGTTGTTAATAAGACATCAAAATCTCCATTTCTTATCCTATATTGAAGAGCACGTCTTTGGTTTGGAGTACCCTTGTATACGATTGTATTCAGACTTGGGGCCCATTTTTCAAATTCCAATGTCCAGTTAGTTATTGTTGATAATGGAACGATTACTAAGTATGGACCGGGATTCTTTTTCTCTTCGAATAAATAAGTAATTAGAGAAATGGATTGAATGGTTTTACCTAGACCCATTTCATCTGCTAGAATACCATTCAAATGATTGTTATATAGAGAAACCATCCATTCCAACCCTTTTAATTGATATTCCTTTAACGAACCACCAACCAAGATGGAAGGTTGTTTTTCAACTTTCTCTTTGATTGTGTGTGCCACTTCATAATAATCGATTTTTTCTCTCTCTTCATCAGTTGTGACTGTAATTTCTTCACCTCTTGCAATTTTGGCTTCATTTTGTTGTACTCTAACAGCAGATGCTAAGGAATCCAAGAAACTGTTAGTTTGACCCAAAAGTTGCGTAATTCTTGTATCTTTAGTTTGATCTAACAACTTTAAATATGCTTCTTCATCATTGGATTTTAATGCAGCCAAACGTTGTTTAGCATTTCTTTCAATTCTTCTTTGTTCTTCCTTTTCGATTTGATTGTGTGTAGATAACATTAATTTACCAAATTGAGCACAACGATCACGACGGGTAAAGTTACTATCTTTTGCTTCCTGTATGGCATCTCTAATACCATTGATTCTCTTCATATGAATATTCCTTTCTTTCTTTCTCTTTTCTAATAGTTGTTGTCTTTCTAATTCCTCAGCGATTCTTGCTGTTTGTGGAACAATAACTTTCCCTCTGACCTGAACAGATCTTTGGGCTGCTAAAGTAAATGGAGAATCACGTAAATATGGTATGTTATGATGAGCTTGAGTGGATGTATTAGTAATAATTTTTTGTCTAAGAGATTTTTGTTTTGTTAATAATTTTAAACATTTTAATTCAACTAATGCTTTAATCTTTAATGTATCGATACCAGATGGTAAATCATCTTTTGTGATAAACTCTAAACAATCATCTAAAGAATATGTACCTAAATTTGCTGGTAATCGTTCTAATTCAGCTATTCTTTTAGCAATTTGAGAAGATATTGTACTTTCAATTTCAGGATCTCCTAATTGAGATGGAGATGTATTTCTAAATTGATTCTCTAAATCGAAATTTTTAATAGTCTTATTAAAATCTCCAAATATTTTCAAAACTTCTAAGCTCTTACTATCATTTTTATTGGTTATACTCAGGTCTTCAGTAATTGAAGTTAATTTAGAAGTTAATAAATTTTCTGGGATATCAATATCTTTCTCTAATAATTGTAAAGCTAATAATTGTTTTGATAATAAATTTCCATCATAAGGTTTGTGACGGTTAGCACTTATATTATTTCTAATTTTTTCAAGATCTTCATTAAATATATCTTGATCCTTTGATAATTTACTTAGTAAAGTCTCAATAGAGTTGATCTCTAATTCATTTTCCTTTGGATTATGTGAAATGATTTTATAACGATAAATCAACTGTTCAAGTTGTTCAGAAGAAGTTGGTTTAGGGATTGTAATTATTGGTTGTGGTACTTTTGATTCTTCCTTTGGAAAATCTTCTCCATTTGAATTTGGAAGAACAGTGTTCGGTGTTGCGACTACAGCACCAGTTGACTCTAACATCATTTTTTGATTGTTATTTTTCTTTTTTAAAAACCAATAAAACTTTTATCTTATTTACTTCGTTGTTGTTTTTTCTTTTAAAAAAAAAAAAAAAAAATTGGGTCAAAAACAGGGTTTTAATTATTCTTTCGTTTACCTGTTATTAAGTCAGCTCTTATCTCTTCTCTGTTTATTTTTCAACCTCCACTATTAAGGTTTTTTTTTTTAATTTTTTTTCCCTCTGTCAAACGTCTCTTCTTAGCTAAAGACCTTTACGTTTTCTTAATTTACTTTATTTACTATTAACAAAAAACAAAAAAATTAAGAATAATTGTTAAAACTTCTTTTTCCTTTCTTGTTCGCCACTTTTTTTCTAAAAGCTACAATTTCTGTTTTCCATCTTTTTTTTTTGGTTTTTCCGCTTAAAATTTCGCGTTTAGTTGAAAAAACAAATTGTCAGGGTAAGGCCGGAGTCACGTGATATACACGTGACATGGGCGGGAGAAACAAAGACCTCATCTTAAGTGTATACTGGCACAAAGTTTGTTGCATATGAATATGGGAACGTTAACAGTTTTATTGGTAGGATGCTGGAATGCTGTTTCTGGTTCAAAGGCCACGATATAATTATTAGTATGGTTGAGCCGTGCCTCTTGAACAGATATTGTAAACTGCATTTTATATGGAGAGAGGTGTGGTACCTCATGTAATTATGTAACAATTTCATATTGCTTTTAAGTAGCGTCGTTGAAATATAAATAGACTTTTTCTTAGTTTCTATCATTAGATAGATAATTTGTTTACTTCATCATCTATATTATTACATTTTGAAAATTTTGAGATAGTAACAAAACTTTAAAAATTGGTGTCAAAAAAATAAATAACAAAACCAAAGGTAGGAATAGAAGGTGCATTTCAACAATACATTTCAAGTATTCAAGAGTAATCTCTTGACAAGAATACAACCACCATACAATTGAATTTATTTACTAGTATCGAATGACCCAGACACGATATTAACACATAGATATATTTAATTTGTCTTGAATATGGATATTATCCTAAATCTTCCCCTTGAACAAACCTCTCTAAGAAAATATCATTATTTCTAATAAAACAAGTTAACATAATTGACTGATTTAATTAAAATCTCTGGCAAATGGGTAAATGCCTTCTGATAAATATCTATATACTTACAAAATTTCCAAACGCTTCCTACACATTACACACAGCAATCTCGTTTGACACCATCGCAAAACATCAATATCACTGAGATCATGGTGGACTCTTCCCAGACCACACAGCCTTATACTTAAAAACTCTTTCTCAGATCGACTTGAATATCGAAACAGCTCATCTTCAAATTATTAATATGCAACATACAAAGAAAGAAAACTCACACCCAGTTGTTTTATAGAAAACGCCGTGGAACACTATATACATTTATGTAATGGAACCTCGGGCAAAAATAAGTTTTACAAAACAATACAAATAATATTTGATATTGCATACATTGGAAAAGACAGATGAGAAACATTAGAGAGTTATTGATCTCTTTAAAATAGTTATTTACGTTTTCTTAGTGAATATATCAGTACATACATTACATAGAGTAATATTCGTAAACTTAGGGAGGAATAAACCTAACCTATTACTACTATTATTTAAATAGCATCGAATCATTTCAGAGATCATACGTATAAATATCCAAAGTTTTTGATTGTTAAAAGACACACATAGTACATTCATTATCTCAGATACATTAATTTCAAATAAATATGATGAACTCTGGATTTACTTTTCCTCCACCGTTATCAGAAGAAGAATCAAATGTAGATACCACTAATAATTCCATACCTCCTCCGATCGCTGAAGATCAACATCCAAATGGATTTTCTTTCCCCAATGTGAGGCATGATATAGAAAGAGAAAATAATTCAAATTTCGTAGAGATAAATATTACACCACATTTGGAAGGTGCTCAACAGTTTAATACACCAGGTAATCTTAGTACAACAACAATGACTACGCCAATTATTGATATTCCTTCTCCCATGGAAATACCGATCAGTTCATTCCCACCCAAAAAATCTAAACTTATGGAATCATTTCAAGAATATAGCATTCAAGATGAAAATAATAACGAACAAAAAATAAATGATAATGTTCAAAGGATTACTGAATCAGGACAAGATACAACTCCAACAGAGACCACAAATAAATCATTAACAGAAGAATATGTGATAAATTTGAGACAACAAATGGCTACAGATTGGAAAAGTCCGTCAGAATATGCTCTTCATATTCTTTTTACAAAATTTATACGTCATGCTGAAAATAAACTAAACATATGTTTGGAGTATCCACTAAATACTGAACCCCCAATCATCGAAATATTAGGAGAAGGTCTAGATCCTGTATTTGATAAAATTATTGAATCTTTAGGACATATTGCTAGAAATAACCCCAAACCTGTAATAGATGCAATGATGTATTGGAGAAAGACAAAATCAGAAGCAGCAAATGCTGCTGCCGAAGAAGTTCAAAGATTTATTAAAGAATGTGAAGATGACAACTCAAATCCAAGAACAGTAATATCTAGATCATCTTCAACTTCATCATCAATCCTATATAAACCTAAAAAGAATAGTTCAGACGGATCTAATAGCTTTCTACCGAAAAGAAACGTATCATCGAGGGCCCCTACTAGAACGAAAAATTTGCTTGAGACTCAAAAATTGGCAGAGATACAGAACCAAGTAGAACATTTGAAAATTATTGCACTCACAACTGACAGAAAGTCATTAATAAGTATATATATTCTTTGTCGTGTCTTAATAGAGATTATACGACAAGCACCAGAAAATGGCGATGAAGATCTAAGTGACAAATTGGAAGAAATTGTTTACGCTCAATTGAAGACTACTGATCCAATATCGTTGTCGTCAAGTATAATAAAGTCATCTAATTGGAATTCCTTTGCCGAACTTTTAGGTTGTATGTCAGAAAAGAAATTCCTCTCAGTCAGTGACCGATTCATTGCTGATTTAGAGAAAATTCCAAAAAGAGTAAAAATAGAAGATGAACCATCTGTTCATCTACTGATATTAGGAATGAGATATCTCGTTTTAAAGAATTATCCTCTTGATAAATTTGAAGAGAGTGCAGATTTTGTAAAAAGTTTAGCTAAATTTTTCTTAAAGACACAGAATGAAACAGTAAAATTAGCATATAGTGAGGTTACCAATCAACTTCTACTACCATTAGCAGGTTCACTTAGCGCTGAGGTAAATCATCCAACATGGGTAGAGGCTATGGAGACCCTTTTGAAAGCAGGAAAAAATCTTTTACCAGATACTCGTTACTGGGCCACTGGATTTAAACTAACAGTCTCCATATTATGTGCGGCTCCACCACAAGTGTTTTCAGAACACTGGGTCAGTATTATTGAGTCAAGTACAAGTAAAATTAAAACCAAAAAACTTGATGATCGTATAATTTTTGCTGTCGGTGTGTCACGACTAGTTTGGGTATATCTGTACAGGTGTTCTGATACATTAAACAACACTACAAAGACCTTGACGAAGCTATTATTTTTATATTTGAACAACAAGAAGAAAGAAAATTGGCTAACTACAGATTTGGATTTAATCAATCCTTTATCTGATGCCTTAATATCTATTGGTTACTTATACCCCAATTTTTTGCTTGAAAATACAATCATTCCCCTTGTGAAACAATCTTTTAATGGTGCGAATCTTGAAAATATGGGCTATGATAAATTAGTTCTGGCAATCAAAACATACAAAGGATTTGTGCTTACAAATGAAAAACCTGAGTTTCCGGAGAACGACAATAGAGTTTATCCAACTGATTTAAATAATGTTCCAACCAATCTTAATGAAGCCTTAGCTGCTAATCACGAAGAAATGTGCAACACCATTTATAAACTGTTCTTACTTCTTGACTCTAGTATTGGATCAGAGGTGTGGTCTCCAGAGAATTACCATCAAAAACAAACATCTACCCCATTCGGAACTTTTTCCTTTGGATTTTCGAATGATAGTGACAGTAATGTACAAAAAAATTCATTAAATCTGTTATTATTCTCTACAATTATAGAAGCAATTCCTTGCTGTTTGGCCATATCCAAAAATATTCCTTACAAACCTATAATTGAAGTTTTAACAAGAAATGCTGTTCATGGAGACAGTTTTATTTCTGAGAGTTGTCGAAAGGCACTCAAAGCTTTGGCGACAAAGAACAATGCATATACTTTTATTACATGGTTTGCCAAATATTCTTTCGATTTTGATGAGAAAACTCAATCCAGATATAACATGTCATATTTAACATCAACAGAATATATTGCTCTGCTAATGCTATACGTCGAGTTGCTTGAATGTTGGCTAAACGAATTCCAAACTTCAAAGACTAAAGAATCAAAAAAAGTTATGGGATTAGATGGTATTCAACTACTTCCCAACGAAGATTCAAACAATGAAACGACAGGGACCGAAAAATTAGAATGGAAGAATATTATAACAGTTATCGAAGAAGTTGAAGGAAATGGTTTATTCTTCCTTTGTTCACACGATTTTGCTGTTCGCAAATTGGGTATACAAATCTTAAGAATTATTTCTAAATTTGACGAGGCAATGGCAGAAAAAACCGAAAAACTCTCAGAAAATGGTCATTCGAGATCATCTTCTTTCCATTTTTCTGCAGATCGTGGTAACAGATTAATCGATTTTATACACGAGGCTAGTGTATTCTCATTCATTAACCCCCAAAAAACCACATTGAGTGTTGTCGAGAAACAACGACTAGCAAAATTAAACAGCAGATATAAAAAAGGTCTAATTGTTAGATTAGCAGAATCATCATATGGTGTGGATGCAGCCTTATGGCAAAGGGCGTTCCCAAAGCTTCTGGCTTATATCTTTAAAACATGTCCTATAACAATGGCACTTTGCCGTTCAATTGTATGCATTAGATTAGTACAAGTTCATGAAGTTGTTCTTCGCATTTCAAATGATACAAGTTTCAAACCCCAAAACAGTCTACCTGAAACAATTATCAATCAGTGGAAACTGTATTTAGTGGCTGCATGCACATCGCTAACATCAACCAATGATCAAATTTTACATATCCCTAGTAGTTCAAAGAAACACGGGAGAAAGAAGAGTCAACAAATTTTTACAGTCCAACACCAAAAGATAAAGTCTGCAAAATCTATTTTCAAAATGGTACTTCCTTTGTTAAATTCACAGAGTATCTTGATCAGAGAAGCAATTATATCTGGATTAAGTTCCATGAATATCAATATATACAAAACATACATCGAAAGTGTTGACAGTTTCCTTGTTGGGTGGAAAGAAACCAGTTCTAACCAAATCAGAGTCGAAATGTTTCAGATTTTGGCAATACTATCTCGTTTTTTAAAGGAACCTTCCATTTCAAATGATGGATGGATCCTTCGGAAACTTTCAGAATTCATTAAACATGCAAAGTTATTTCTTCAAATAGATTCCGTCCAAAAGTCCTACGAATACCAACCCTTAAGGTGCTATTTTTCGGAACTACTTCTTAGATTTTATTCAACGACAAAGGATCACGATGATATAAATAAGTTATTCCCATTCCAAGCTCGTGCATCATGTTTTAATTTCCTTAAGGAATGGTGTGGTTACGGAGATAGTGCTTATCTGGCTAATGAAAGGTATTCTTACATGATCAAAAAAACAGAAAATGAAAGGGATAGAACAGCAATAACTGCAGGAATAGAATTTCAAAGAAATAGGCTTGAAATCGTCGTCTTGGAAACAATGGTAATCCTATGCTCAGATTCAATAACAGAAACTCTGTATGACGTAGGTGAAATACCAATAACGATATCATTCGATCTCGAATCGCTGTTATACTGGATTGAAGGAATGTTCAATTCTGAAAACGAAATAGTACGAATCCTTGGTGTCACAGCATTGACCAACCTCCTTGAACGTAATAATAAAAATTTGAAACTTTTCCAAGATGTATCAACACAATGTATTTCACACCATAGCGACCCATCCGTTGCCGTGTTATACTATACCACACTATGTAAGGCTGTCCTGAAACTTGATAATTTGATTTTAGAGGAACATGAGCTGGTCTCACTTGGTTTATACGGTTTGGTATCCGATAAGGAAGAAACAAGAATTTGTGCAGTGGACCTTCTGTCTGTGGTGGAAACTAAATTACATGACTCATCTTATACAAAAGTATTCAAGGAGAAATTAGCTAATTCATCGAAGATGGTGTACAAATCAACCGCCCTAGAAATATCTAGTATATTTGCGGAATTACTGTCTCAAGAATTACGCCTAAAAGTTTTCTCAAGTTTGGTTGGTGTGCTGGATTTATTTCCATTTGAAATTCAACGTGCGCTCTTAGTTTTGATGGTTCCATGGGTAAACAATTTTGTCCTGAAATCGATAGATGAATTAGATACATTCATGGTATTAAATAATCTATTTTACGTTACAATGACATTAAATGATAGTTTACCAAACGAAGTTGAACAACTTTGGATTTCCCTCGGGAAAGGGAATTCCTTTCAAAACATCTTAGTGTCACTTGAGTACCTACTTCAATCCTCAACAGATTACAAAAATTCACTCTTTGTCCAGAAAGCCAGAGATGTTGTACTTTATCTTGCAAATGTACCGGGAAGTATTGGCCTCATTGATACGTTATTAAGAAACCTTGAACCAAAGTCGATGATACCAACAACGAAAAGACAAATTTCAGAACCTATCAACAAAGATAATCGTTACTCATTTATTGCAAATATCTGGGACAGACTGTCGCACAATACAAAGAAGGTTACATTTTCTAAGGCACAATTAACAATAATTTTTTTGGTCAATTTATCTACCGATATAAACGACTCACTAAAATCATCCTTACCAATTCTGTTACACATCTGTACCTGTCTCCTAGACCATTATGTACCACTAGTACAAGAAAGTGCGGCAAGAATAATGTGTAATTTAATATTTGGAATTGCACCTGAACACGAAAAGTCCGAGGAGACAGTAAATCTTTTACGTAATAGAACATCACTGTGGTCATACGATAATTTAGTCAAAGATAAAAGAGGAGCTAGATCACCGAAAGCCATGGATATGCTAGTTAGAAATATCATCGAAATATTTGGTGACGATGTTAATAACATTCAAAATGATTGGCAAAGAACTTCTTTGAAATGGGCTACTACCTGCCCAGTGAGACATATTGCATGCCGTTCATTCCAAGTATTTAGATCTCTACTTTCGTTTTTAGACCAGGAAATGTTGAGAGATATGCTGCACAGACTTTCAAATACAATAGCCGATGATAATCCTGACATCCAAGGATTTGCAATGCAAATTTTGATGACTCTAAACGCAATAATGGCAGAGTTAGATGCAACAGATCTAATTAGTTTCCCTCAATTGTTTTGGTCGATCATTGCATGTATGAGCAGCATCCATGAACAAGAATTTATCGAAGCGTTATCATGTATCTCCAAGTTCATTTCAAAAATTGACTTAGATTCTCCAGATACGGTCCAATGTTTAGTTAGTACCTTCCCCTCAAATTGGGAAGGCCGTTTTGATGGCCTCCAGAAGATTGCACTCATTGGCCTCCGTTCGAGTAACTCTTTGGATGTTACTTATAAGTTTTTAGATAAGATAAATTTACTGAACGATAGCAAAATCGTTGCTGACAATGAAACCAGATTATTATTTGGTTTAATATCAAATTTACCAAGATTTTTAGATGCGATGGACAAGAAAGACTATTCAAATGTTCAAACAGCAGCCGATTCTTTAATATTCCTGTCGAACGAAAAAAACCAACCTTCGCTTTCCAGATTAGTTGATTCTCTAGCAAAGGATAAATTTAGATCAAAGAAAGATTTCATGAGCCAAGTTGTTAGTTTTATATCGCGTAATTATTTTCCAAAATATGCTGCACAGACACTAGTTTTTCTACTAGGGTTACTTCTCAATAATGTCAGCTGGATCAAAGTGCAAACGATGGAGATATTAAAATATGTTTTTCCTTTGGTAGATCTGACGAGTTCAGAGTTTATTGGTGTCGGTGCCGACTTGATTTCTCCCCTTTTGAGATTACTTTTGACAGATTACGAAATCCAAGCGCTAAGCGTTTTGGACTGCGTTCCTAATGTTTCTGGTAGCAAAATGGATAAAGACGTTTTAAGGATAAGTATGGGGAATACAGATATAAAAAACAATGAAAATACAACAACTACATTGTTCGGGTTACCGGATGAATCAGGATGGTCTGTTCCAATGCCAACCATGACTGCAGCTATGACAAGACATAATGTACATACAGTTTTCACCTCATGCGCTAATAGCGCTGCATTTGAACAAGATCAGAATAATATAGATGATGTAGTTGAGTTCCACGCAGATGGCGACTATCAACTAGGAAGAATGGACACAATAGATTCCTTTTCAGTTCAAGAAGAAAAAGATGCCACCTTAAGCCATATGTGGGCTGAACTAGACAATCTGGATAGTTTCTTTACAAAGGATATAACTAGTAGAATATCAAGTGCCCAAAAGGGGAACGACCTAGGAGTTGGACCTCATGAAAGATCGATGTCAACCGACACAACAAACACAGACCAAACTTTTAACCTCGAATCTGCACCACAATTATACGATAAAAAGGTTTCTGTTCTTCTGAATAGAAGTCTTTCGAGAGCACCATCTAATGTGTCATTCAAAAAGTACTTAGCTGATTCATTTGCTACAAATACAAGACGAATTGATAGTAGAATTAAATACGGTAATGAATGAACAAAAATCAATAACAATATATACATGAATATGTAATATTATTCAATGGACATTTTTCTCTTTTGAACGTTTAGGATTGCGATACAAGTATTAGATGAGTATTTAAAACAAACCTCAACAATTATGTATTTTCTGAATCTCTCAGATAACCATTCACTGTGTATTGTGTGCATTTAAATAATTATATAGAGTGATTTATTAGTGATAATATGGCTACTTTACTCTAGTGTAATTGATATACAGTCCAAAACAAAACAAAAAAAGAGACGATAACATCTAGTTCAGTGTATCCATATTTGTATCTGGAACATACTTACCAAATAGTTGTGCATCTAGCTGATCGAAGACGTTCAAAACATTCATATCATCATTAATTTCAGATCTAGGTTTTATACTGGATCCATCTGACGATAAAGTTGATAAAGTTTCTGGATTTGCGGTTGATTGTATGTTTTGGATATTTTTGAAGTCACCATTATTCATCGGCTGTGTCTCCAATAATTCGCTGTTGTTAGAATTATAGTTAAACATAGTGTTTCCTTGTTCGTTATTAAACATCCTGGAATTATCGGTACTGAAAGTTTGCTGGTCGGATTGAGGGAGAGTTTTTATGAAATTTTCTAGATCCATCTCTGCCTTTGAATCATCGTTCACTGGGAATTGAAGTGAATTTTCCATTGCATCATTTTCGTTTTTAACCTCTTTACCAAAAGAGCTACTTTCTGGTGACACGTTGTTAGAATAATTACCACTGTTAGTCGAATAAGGTGTAGTTGTCTTATTATTATCCCAAGGATAAAGTAGTTGAATTGTTCTAGTATTCAATTTTTCGAATAATTTGTTTAAGATATTGTATGTTCTATTGGCTGCCATACTCGTGTCCTTCAATCTTAACAATAGGTTTCTTCCAATCTCCGCATCTTTCAATGTATCATAATATTCACGCGCGGATTCTTTATCACACGGTTCTGCTTCATGAGTGTAAAACAGTAGACCCGCTACTGAATAGAAAATAGTATAATTAGCATACCAGTAAGAACCTGCAATAAGTGATTTATCTAACATATCCTGACCCAGTTTAACCACTGCTCTGGAGACACTTATACAATTTCTGGCACGTTGTAAAGAGAGAGGATCTGGTACTGAGGCTGCATACTTGTGGGAAATATAATGAATAAAAGGCCTATAAAGTATAATTTGAACATGTAAAAATGATAAATGTAATAATTTATTCGCCCTTTCAAATCTTTGTTCTAATCCAGTAGCGTTTGGTTTCATTTCCTTTGGTAACTGATCCACCCAAAGTTTCAATTTCAATTCCAAGTTAGTGACAGTCTCATGTGATATAATATTACTGGTTCTCTTAACAGGGTATAATTCGGCTACAATTTCACTTAATATCATAATTAATTTTGTATGGTGATTAGAAATAGCAACACTTGACAATACCGAATGTTGGTTCTCGGTTAGGTATGCATCTGGAGTAATATTTTCATCTGAAAGTTCTACTGGCAATGTTTGATCGAAATCATCGACAGATATTGATCTAGGTAAACCTAACATTGCATTAACATAGATATCCAATTTGTAAATTGTATAGAATAATCTTTTGCGTACTTCAATTTCAATAGGATTTAAACCAGAGTTAGCAGGTGTTAATCTATGATAACCTTCTCTAAGAACACTTCTCATTGCAACACCAATATAAGCATAACATGTAGATAATCTTGCTGAACATTGTAAAAAGATAAATAACATGACCACAGTTTGAATAGAGTTTAAGTCTCTAGTATTAGTAATATCTATTAATTTTCGTGCTGCAATAAAATACTTATACCCTTCATCTTGCAATAATTTTCTTTCAGTTTCATCTTGATCACGAACATCTTTGTTTGGTGAACTTCCTGCACTAGCACCAGATAAAGATTTGGAAAATAAGGCACCAACGGCCATTATCGAATAACAGAGCGGTAAAAAATTAATTTGTTTCTGTGTATAGTTACTAGGATCAGTTTCATATAATTCATTCAATTGTTGAATAAAAAGAGGACGATGGTAAAATCTCAACAAGACACAGCAATATTTCCAAGTATTTTCCACAAAATGTAATGCAATATTTTTAGGAGGTAACATAATTTTAATTTCTCTACCAATATTGGGTGTATTAGATAAAGCAACATCAACAGATTCCGAATTTGAATCTACCGAGTTTGCCGATGAACCATTAATATTTCTAGAAATAGCATCCGGACTAGTAATTCTTGAAGATAAACGACTAACTGGTGAGACAGAATCTCTCGATATGAGATGATATTCTTTTACAGCATCTTCTAAATAATTCGTTGTATGTCCTTTAAAATTTTGTACTATCTGTAAGAAAGTTGGAATATCCAAAGTTTCTATAGGAGGCAAATTCGGTATCAGAATACTTAATAGCTGTTGGTATTTAATCAATTCATTTTGCAATTTTGCGACTTTTGTACCTGCCTTCTTTGTTGTTGTTGAACCGGATGAATTCATAGTACTTATCATAGATGCTGGATTATTTGGAATCACTGAGAAAACATTGATACCACCATTATTACCATGTCCATTATTATTTGCATTAAGATGCTCAGTTGGAGTAATATTCATATTTGCCATTTCTTGTGGACTAATATTACTATTATTACCACTATTCATATTCTCTAAAGTTTTCATCATTCCTGATTTTTTTGAAGGATCATTTTCCATCTTTAACTGTATCGTAGAATTATTCCCACTTTGTACTGCGGCTGAAGTATTCATCATTTTTTGATTTAAACTAATATTATTGTTACTATTATTACTACTACTACTATTATTAATAGCGGTTGTAGTTGAACCATTATTGCTTCTTTTACTCGGTTGATTATATGTACATTCATAAGCATAAACTGTGCAATGTATACACGGCTGTTGACCATCACATTTAACTTTTTTCTTCCTACATTCGTCACATGCCCTAGTGACTCTTCTTCTCTTGACTTGTTGTTCCGACATTACTGTTTTCTAAATGGTTTACAATATATGACAGTGTCTATAACTAGTTGTAGTCGCTCTAATACTGTGGTAGTTTAATGAAATAAAACTATGTTTATTTTGACTATGTATTTATAATTAGTAAACTATGGAAAATCCATTTTTTTAAAGTTAATCGTTAATCTACAAGCCCAGAGGGGAATGAAAAATAAAAAAAAAAATTTCAGAAAAACAAAGAAATTGACAGCAAATGGCAACAAACAATAACAGCGAAAGGTAAACAAAACAATAGACAAAACAATAAACAAAAGAAGAACATATTGAAGTGTGGGGGAAGTTGTAAAAGCTATTTACTGTTTGGTAACTTAATTTACCAATCGATATATGTTTGTAATTCTTTTGCGTAATATATTAAGTTCTTAAGAAATTCACAAAGTACTATATAAATATAAACGTGTTCTTCAAAATATAAAGAATGCCAAAGCATCTTATAGCGGTAATCAAAGTAGTGATAATAGTAAAATGAGCACTGTGGGGACATCGAGTCTTGACTTAGATTGAAAACGATGAGAAGCAATGACGATTAAATGGTCGAATAAGAAGTTAAAACAAGCACATTGACAGAGTACCAATTAGGGATGATGGATTGGTCCCATAGATTAAGAAGTAAAGATATACATATATGTAAAGCAGTGTGCACTAAAGAATACTGACTGCACTTTCAACAGTTACAAAGACTTATATGTGTGCATAGTCGTAGCTTATAGATGTGAACCTTGGTAAGACGATTGTATTTCAATCCATACATATGTTATTGACCAAAACTGAAAGAGAATACCCAAACTGCGGATCAAGTGGATTAAGTGGATCATTGTTTACATCTCCAACGAGACTCATTTGAACTTTCGATTTTCAATTAAATAGCTTTTTCCTCGTATTTTGTAGACATACGGAGGTACAATTACAGGAATAGTACCACTCTTGATAAATTAAAAAGAACATGGGTATTCGATCACATTCCAAACATTAAAAGCCTCATTCAATGCATCAATTCAGAAGGTCATCTTTTAAATATTAGAATATAAACGCCAAAAGCTGTTCATGTCTTCGCATATCAGTGAAAAATGTGAGACGCGACAAAAAAATCGATTTTTCTTTTATTTACGTATTTTATTTACAAAAATTGATGGAATAAAAATAATATACATCTTCGTGTAAGGGGAACTAAGATACATATATTACTTAGTATACAATCGTTGTGATAGTTAGAATTCTTTAAGAAACTAGTCGAGTGTAAATCGTGCACAAGATTGAAAAAAGACTGAACTATGAGCTCTATACAAAATAAGTTTAGCAGTGAACATTACTTAAATAATCCCAAATATACACTGGAGCAATTCAACAATCTTGCTAGTTGTGTCACATCTATATTAAGCTCTGTCGATGTCGAAATTGCTGCTTCATACCAATATTGCAATAGCAAGAATAAAAGCAAAGAGATCAAAGCATTTGCCAAATTATCTGGGAATAATTGGACTTATTTTATTAAGACTTTAAAAGTTAGTATTGGTAGAAATACTGATAAGATTGATGATGTAAGAGGAATGGCCGCATTTGATACTGATGCACCTAACATTACCACAGATTTGAATGGCTCTACTATTGATTTAGGTCCTGCAAAGACTGTTTCAAGAAAACATGGTATAATCGAATTCAACAGGGAAACTGGTAATTGGGATTTAATCATTACAGGACGTAATGGTGCTAAATTGAATTACAAAAAAATTAAGACACATAATTTAAATAAAAGAATACCTTTGAGTTGCGGTGACGTCATCGATATGGGTGGAATACAAATGATTTTCATCCTACCAGATCAAATGCCAATTATAAATTCAACCTGTTTAACACATTTCATTCCCAAATTGGTAACAATATATGGATTAAATGGTAATAATAATCCATTAATTCAAGATTTAATTAAGGAGTCAAGTTATGTTAAAGAACAAATAAAAACTGGCCACTTACAAAATATACCTGTATTAGATAATATTTTATTAGAAAACCAACGATTTTCACCTATTGAAGTAGCTGAAAAAATAACTGAAATCAAAAATGAAGACGATCAAGAATTAGATTCAAAGGCAGATGAGACAATAGCATTAATTACCACATCTACAGACCCTATAGCGCCACTATCGCCAGAACACAAAGGTAACGTATTGGAATATAACACGCTTAAAAGAAATTTACCTGTAGGAACCGATAGATTGCCTAAGAAATTTCAAATATCTTCCATTTCTAGTGACAAACAATACGGTCCCAAATCTACACAGGTAACTGAACCGCAACCAATTGTTCGTCCTGAAGCATCATCTCTACATACTGTGACAGATTCAAATAAATCCAACTCACAAAGTTTTAGTTTACAGACAGTAATACCACCTTTACAACCTAGATCTGAATCATTAAACAATAAAAAGGAAATACGAAAAGAAGGAACACCTAGCGATGGTGATAACGATCAGACAGCTAAAGCTCAAAGCAAAGCTCCATTACCATACGGTACTCTAATAACGCAAGCCATATTATCTACTGAGGTTGGGGTTATTTCATTATCTGATATTTATGAATTTTTATTAAAAAATTATGAATATTTTAGAATTACAACAGCAGATTGGCAGAATTCTGTTAGACATACATTATCTCTAAATTCAGCATTCCAGAAGATTCCAAAAAAAAAAATATCATCCAAGGGGAAAGGCATGGTATGGTGTATTGATAGAGAGTATAGAGCTGAATTTCTGAAAAAATGGGAAAAGGGATATGCAAATAAGAGTAAAAAAAATGCTGCTGTAGATAAACAGTTACTCATTCATATGTCAACTCATAAGTTTATTCCAGAACCATATGATAACGAAATCAGACCCCATGAAATTAGAACACAAGATATGTCCCAGGCAAAGGGGATCGCAGATGAAGTACAACAACAGTAATTACAAACTTTAACTCTACAAACCTAGTATTCTACGTGAGACCACGAAATTCACTTTGGATAACAGACCCACTATAAGACAATGTAATATATAGAAATATATAAAGACTATCATAGCATAATTAAAATAAAACTTTTTTATACATCATATAGATTAATATAGTATATTAAAATATGATCAAATAGAGGTTATGTTTGTGAGTACACATAATGATATGACGCGAAAATTTATACATCTTACACCACATAAAAGAGGAAACTTAAATAACTTAAGGTACGACGATCAACATTGAAAGTGAACTAAAGGTAAATTACTTCGTAAAATTTTGATATGCAAAAATATGGAGAGCTTCCGAACATCCTCTTATGGAAATCCTTTAATAAGGTAACCTTGGCAAAAGGTCTCTGCGATTACATAATAACGAATAGAAATGTCCATAATACAGAGACGAAATTTATTATGAAGAAGCTTTATTACATCGATTCTGTAAACTCATTTCCATTAGAAGACTTTAAGAGAATGATACCAATAAATATGCCAATTAACAAAAGTATATATGATAATGTCATCATTAATCAAGCTCTAAATTTAAAGGAGCTCAATGAAATAATCATGAAGATTATTCAAAGTGAAAAACAGGCAGCAACTACAGAGGAAAAACGTATTATTGAAAAACCATCTACATCACAGGAAAATCTAAAAGATAATGTACTAATAGTGATAAATGGGTTAGATATCATGTTTCAGAATAGTAGTATGTCCGATTCAAGGCAGGCTCATAACCATCTGAATCTAACATTACTTCAATTAAGAGCCACAGCAAATAGGGGACAAGAATCCTTCAAAAGCATTATATTATCGAGAGATCCATTGAATGGAGATATTGCTACTCAACAATTTAAGAGAACTAAAAATGAGGGAAATTCTGTGTACCAATATGTGTCAAAATACTATGCTGATTATAACCTTTAAGATGATCTGACCAAGACATCTAAAACTATTTGTGACGACGTTTTTATAACATCCGTGCCTCCAACAAATCCGTACATTTTCTTAGAAAACTTTTATTTCTGAAAAAAAAAACCCAATTTTAAAAAAACATTTCCAAGAAAAACAAAAGGGAAACAGAAAGTTGTAAGGACTGTGCGCGCTATGTCTGTTTACGCGTAGGACAAATTCCTGAACTGGGAGATGGACTCACTACATGGAAGATTACATTGGAATACCGAGAAGCTTAGGAAACTTTTCACTTTGACCTAATGGCAATGCGCAATAACAATTATGTGTGCGATCGTTAAACTAGTATATGGTTAGTTAAGAAGATAATAAAGGGCAATCTCATCTATATATACATATATATACGTATTTCATAACTTTCAGGTTAACATTTCTTTTCAAATAAGTGAATCGTACACGAAACCAATAAGAATCGATATGTCTACTTTTGAACCAGTTGTTGTTGTTGACGGTATGTTTAAAATAATAAATTTTGAGGAGTTTATATGATATTACAAGAAGATAATAAATGGGGAGTCAAGAAACGAAATAAGAAAATATTCTACAAATGAAATGAGTCTACAATCTTAGAGGATATCTTATAATGAAATGCAAATTACAAGTATTGTATGAAGCAACGCATGAAGAAAAGAATACATATTGCAAAACGATAATACCCAATATTGAGAAATTCAACATTTTTTTGTCTATTAATGTAATAACATAAAATCCAAATAGTTTCACTTTTATCTTTAAGAAACGAATCATGAATTACTAACAAAATTTTGTTCTTTTTTCTTTTTAAAAAATTATTACTGTCGAAATAATTTGATAGTATAATATTAAGGAAGGAAAAAAACACATTTGGTTTCATATAGGTAAGGGTCACTTACTAGGTCGTCTAGCTTCCATTGTTGCCAAGCAACTATTGAACGGTCAAAAGATCGTTGTTGTCAGAGCTGAATCCCTAAATGTCTCTGGTGAATTTTTCAGAAACAAGTTAAAGTACCACGATTACTTGAGAAAGGCCACTGCATACAATAAGACTCACGGTCCATTCCATTTCAGAGCCCCATCTAGAATCTTCTACAAGGCTGTCAGAGGTATGATCCAACACAAGACTGCCCGTGGTAAGGCTGCTCTAGAAAGATTAAAGGTCTTTGAAGGTATCCCACCACCATATGACAAGAAGAAGAGAGTTGTTGTTCCAAACGCTCTAAGAGTTCTAAGATTGAAGCCAGGTAGAAAGTACACCACTCTATCTAAGCTATCTTCTGCTGTCGGTTGGAAATACGAAGATGTTGTTGCTAAGCTAGAAGCCAAGAGAAAGGTCTCCTCTGCTGAATACTACTCCAAGAAGAGAGCTTTCAACAAGAAGGTTACTGCTGCTTCTGCTTCTGTTGCTGAAACCGATGTTGCCAAGCAATTGGCTGCTCTAGGTTATTAAATGATTTTAGAATAAATTAAAAAGTATTAAAAGAGAATATAATACAATTGCATTGAATTGAAGATGTGAAAAAGGAAATACATATTCCTTTCTCCATATCAATAATATATGTTAATGCTTGTTTATGTCTTTTTTTCTATTTCAAATTTCTTTCTATTTACATTTTTTCTCTCCTACTTCTAGCACATAACATATTTCATCAACATCTCATATCAAAGGATATATCCCCTTTCTAATTTTATTATTTTGTCTTTGTAATTTAAAAGAGGACAAAGTTCGAATAATATGATTGAAAGATATGTATAACAATATAAGAATATAATTCACCCCTCAAAATAAAAAAACGATACACAATGGTATTTTTCTAAACATTAAACATTTTAAATTCACATATATATATATATATATATATATATATATATTCTAAAATGCCCCGCTCAAAACAAATAATTTAAGAATATTTAATATTGGATATTATTTCAATGTACATTATATATAACCTTTCATTGCTTCATATATACAAAAAGTGATACAAGTTGTAGGTACAGCTTTAAATAAATTGGTTGCTAAGCCGTTATATAAACCTTTTATTCCTTCTCTTTCCAATATTAATTTAGTTAATTTCCATGTTGATGAATTTCCATGAATCATATTAATACTTTGAAGATTTGATTTCAGTAATTGTAAAGGATATACTGTTGTCGTAGATATCATTTTACTTATTGATGTAATAATAATAGTATCTTTTGTAATTAAATTATCTTTATTTTTAATTTTTAAGTGGTTATAAGTTTTCAATTTATTTTGTTTCAAAGTATCATAAATCATAAAATAAAGTGCACCTTGTGATACACCTAAAATTGAAGGTGTTAAACCTTTTAATAAAGATTTATAACCTTCTTTTTCCACCAAAGTTTTAAAAGTCTTTTGAATTGAATCATATGACTTATTAAAAGTATTTTGATTTGTTGACATAATTCTTGTCTTAAGTACCCAAATTGGATTGGTCATAATTGAAGTAAAGATTCCAGCAAGACCACCAGAGACAAGATATACTATTGAAGAATCAAAATTTATCTTATTATTAAAAGATTCTTTTTGTTTATTATTATTTTTCAGTAATAAATTCTTAAAGGCTCTATATGATCCAAAATATAATGACCAAGCAATTGAATTACCAAGTACATTAATTGTTAAACCTCTATATAAATTTTTAATTAATTTATTATTTGATTTAATACCATTAAGAACATATATGTATTTATTAAATTTTAAAATTGATAAATTTAATGAAATTTTATCAGTCGATAATAATTGTAATCTTAATTTAATTAAATCTAATGGATGAACAATTGTTGATGTAACACAACCTGCTACTAATCCCGAAATAATTTCTTTTTGTAAAGGTGAATATATTATATGGTTATCATCTTTAGTAGTAGTATCACCCATCATATATATGTATGTATAGTCATATTATATTGATATATCATACTACTATTAATTTGATGATGATTAACTGAAATATATCTATAGATGTATTTTATATTTTAACAGTGTATTTCCTGGTAGAAAAAAAAAACCAATGGAAGAAAAACAAACAAAATAAAAAAATAATACATGCCAATGAGCAAGAAAAATAGACCAACATCACTAAATAAAAAGTATACAAGACACTAAGAAAATACGATGTATATATATATGCAAACAATTCAGAAGATGTTGTTATAGTGGTTTCCTATTGAACTAGTACTTAAACTAGTCCATCAATACGATAACGCAGTATTAATATTCATCATTTTGTAAGCAATGAGTAAATCATCAACAAATATATATATATATATATATTGCAGACATTATATTTCTATTATACACGCACACACATGTAAAAGTGTATAATAGCAGGAATACACCTTATTCCAATTGCCTGGCTCGTTGACATTTGTCTAACTTGATCTATTCGACGTACTCTGCAACATGATCAACAGCTCATCTTTAAATACCTTTGTCTCTCTCTCTTTCTCTCTCTTATATATACGTGAAATAACGTCAAAAGAAAAAAAAAAGCTGAAAAATCCAGCATCACCAGCGACCAATCTCGTACACAGTGACTGCACGTCCAACCCCCCAAACTAATTTCTGTTAGGGCTTCGAAATAACATATATTCAAATAAAACGAGAGGAAATCACGTGACTGCTAACACCCACAATCACTCTACACGGCCCCGCTGCTGTCTCCGTCGACAAAAAGGCGAACAAAAAAAAATGACATGCCGGCCACGCTTTCGCACAGAAGCATTCCTACAAAACACTTGCCTGAATACACCGTTAGTTCCCCGCGGAGTTTCACGCAACTTCACCGTGCACTGCGGGCTGTTCTGTGTCGACCCCTTCCTCTCTCTCTCTGTCCCACCCCCTGTGCACACCCACACCCCACACTCTGTCCCCCCCATAATTAAAAAAACAACCGCTTTCTCACTGTGACGCTTCACAAACAACTCAGCTGAACTACCTACCGCTGTCTGTGGCTAAACTGTACATGAGCGATATTAAAATTATGTATCTACATTCTCTGTTTATTAGGAAGATATATTGGTCCTCCATTCTGCATAGTGGAATGGTTAACCATGCATTAAATTTGTTACATAATTAATGAGATTAGGACTGCCAATTTTGAAATTCTGAAATTGCTAATTAACCCCCATTCTGTTGAAATTTTAACTTTGAATTAAAATCTTGATTATACTTTTTAACTAGTTGATTAGATAAATTGCAATTAAACTTATAACTTAACAACATTCAGCGAATAAGTCAAGTTAAAGGGTTTTTGTTCTTTTTTTATTTATTTTAAAAACTTGATTCTTTGAAACCTTATACAAGGAGATACGTTTTAAAAATACACACATAAAGGTATAGATATATATAGATATATATTGATAATACAATGAGTGTAATATCAAAAACTATTTCAAATTCAAGTAATAATACAACAGATCATGCCTTATGGTCAACAACTCATAATCAATCACATTCAAGATTAAATTCATTTTCACAAGATAGAGACTCAAATACTTCAACTTCGTTAATTTTTGAAAGAAATGTAGAAGATCCTTTATTTCTTTCACAAGGTTCAAGACCGGTATCAAGACCGGTATCAAGACCTGTCTCTAGACCTGTCTCAAGGGCAATGTCAAGATCTGTCTCAAGAAATGCGTCAAGACCCTTATCAAGACAACAAAGTCAAGCTACTATTGCTACATTATCAAACAATAATAATAATAACAATAATACGATAACAAATTATACTAGTAGTACAAATATTATACATAAACCATTACCAACAAAACGAAATTCATCATTTTCATTTTCAAATCCATCAACTGATTTGAGAAGATATAGTACAAATCCAAACAACAACAATAGCAATAATGTGACAAGTTCACAAATTAGACGTGTAAAGACAGGTAATCCACAATTATGTTCTCCAACTCTATCTGGGAATATAAATTTTACTACGAATAGTAATAACAACAACAATAATAATGGTACAGGTACTCCAACACAGTCAAGTGATAACAATTATTTACATAGTTTAGAAAATTTTGTTCCACCTGCTTTAGATGAAAGTTGTTCAATTGTTACCGATGTTAACACTAAATTAGATGATGTTGATATGATTTATTCAAAGAGACCTTCAACTTTAGGTTTAGATATGGCTTTAGGTAGAACAAGATCATCATCATTTGTAACACCAAGAGCTCAATCAACTCATGATTTAAATTTAAATACAAATTCATCGACTAAACAAAATTCGACAGATTTTTCATCTTCTTCACCTTCTCCATCATCAAGATTATTAAGATTTTATTCTTATGCAGATATGCTTTCTGATGAAAATATACAACAACAATATCGACAAGCACAATGGCAAAATGATAATGCTAATAATTCAAATCAACAACATAGACCTGATTTATTAAATCATAATTCATATTGTAATGATGATAAATTTGATGATAGAAAAAATACTAGATTTGGAATCGAAAGATCAACAGTACCAAGAGTTTCACCATCTCCCCCAATGACAGATACACCATCATCTTTGTCAACATCATCATTTTTCATTAACCCATTTATTAGAACTAAAAAAGAACAACAACAACAAAATAATGTTGGTACATCAAAGAATAAAAACAATTCATTAAGAAAACATAAAAGTCCTAGTACTTTACAAACGTTAAGATCGAAATTTCATTTACATTCTGATAGTAGTAGTAGTCAAGATGAGTGCGATGATGACGAATGCGATGATGATGATTGTTATAAAGACCCTATGTCAAGAGGGAAGTCTATAAGAGAAAAATCTCCAAAAAGCGGGAAAATTGAAATTAATTCTTCTGCAACAGAATCCGACCATCTAAAAGAGGATGATTTATATCCAGACGGTGATGTTGCCACAATTTCTGATAAAAATAATAAATTAATAAACGATTTTAATTACGAAGATTCTGGAGATGAACGATTACAGAAAGAACGTGCTACAGACATTTTAAGAAGAAGAGTTACAGAGACATCAATCCCTGTTACACAATCATATGGTCATGGTTATTTAGATAGAGGTACAGACCATTCCACTATTTCATCACCAAATAAAACAAGATAAACCCTAAAAGAAACAAAATAAAAAAAAACGAAAATTAAATAAATATTCATTTTAAATTTATATATTTAAATAAAAAGAAAATAGTAATATCTTCACTTTGATATAAGTAAAAGATATTACTAAAAATTAATAAAATAAAATTCGATTAAAGTAAAAAAAAAAAAATTTTAGAAATTAACATTTCAAAAGAATATATAAAAAAAATAAATATAAAACCATAGGTCAAATATATAAAATGGAGTGGGGGAGAGAAATAAAAAGTTCTGAATATTTTTATTTTTTTCATTTTGTTTGAATACCATTAATTATCTTATTTTCAAAATTTCCAAAATCTTTCATTGCTTGATCGTATTCTTGTTTAGCTAATTCATAATTTTTAACAGCACTTTCATGAATACTCGAATCTGAATTACTGGAATTTGACCACCAAGAATTTTGTGAATCCTTTAAATTTGATTCTGCATCATTTAATTTTTTAATTGCTTCATCTAAATGATTTGAAGTTGATTTTTTAAGCGAACCCATTTGCTCTTTTAAATCTTGTAATTCTTCACGTGAAAATTCTTCAGCTGATTCACCCCAACCACGTAAACTTTTTGCTGCATTTTCTGCCATTTTCTGTTCTTCATTAGCATGTTCACCATTAAATGTAAACCAACCATTTTTAGTCAATTTTTTTAATTCATTTAATCTCTGTTGTGCTTGTGATGGATTATTATAATTATCATTAGCTAAATTTAAATTTTCTTCAACTTCTTCTTGACCTAATTGTTGAGCAGTTTCACCCCAACCATATACACTTTGACCTGCAACAATATCAGGATTAACTTCAATTCTTGTTTCTGAAGGAGTAATTGCGTCAGTCAATCTGTTAAAATTCACATCTTTGAAACTATTAAATTTTTCAGAAACTTGATCTAATTTTAATTTTTTTTCATTTAATTGAGTTTTCAAGGATTCAACTTGTTCATTAAATCCTGTTGATTCCGTACTTTGTTTGATTTTATTAATTAATTCCGTATATTTACGATGAACAGTATCATATTCATTAATTGCAACAGCTTTTTGTCTTTCAATATCACTAAAACCACGATTAAAGATTGTCTTTGGAGTGTTTTCAATATTATTTTCATTTGTATCAGAAATTACTGACATAACATCTGATCCGCGTCTAGCACCTGAAGAATTTGTCGTATAAGAAAATTCTTGATTTCCACGTGATCCCGTAAAAGCTGACCAAATAGCGCTGGTATCATCCTTGATACCACTAGATAAATTATCGTACCAGTTTCCTGTCATAATAGAATGTATTAAAAAAAATGTTTGTGTGTATGTGTATATATATGTATATATATATTCGAAGTTAAAACAAAATTATAAAAAAAGATATTAAGATATATCAAATGATGAATATTTTTACAAAGTATAGATATGAGGTCTATTTATATATAGAGTTGTTGTTAGAACGTTCTCTGTAAAGGATTTTCCCCTTTTACATATTCCCCGATTAAACTGGCTATAAAACAACTCAAACGTCCTTATAATAATAACCAATCCCCCCCAGAGCCAAAAGCCAAAAAAACCGGATTTATGAATTGTTAAGAATACCTGATTACTATAACAATGACTAAAGTCGTAAACAAACCATCTGATCATAATCAATTCCATCCAAAGAGTTTTCCTTCTTTTAGACGGTGAAAGCAACGGATTTCAACATGTTGCATACGTTGTTAGTACTATTCTGTAATCTCCACTCAACAAAAAAAAACACACACACTTAGTGGAGTCCCCACCCCCCACGCAACTGCGCATTAGCAGTTTTTAAGGGCCCTCCTCTGCCATTAACAGCAAATAGTGATTGGCCCTTAATAAAGTCCTTGGGTTTAATACGTAATCAGGCTTAGTTGTACGTAATTTGTTGTATTCGTTCGCTGCATTTTTTTTTTTCCGGATGCCCGGAGAAATAAGAAAGTTGTGAAAAGCGACGGGTGTTTCTCGGAGTTACGGGATAGCGGTACCTGTTATCATACCGTACGGCGGGGTCTCGTGACCGGGAATTGTTGCGGGTTTCGTCTCATTTGGTACGAGCGGTGGACTTGGTTTGGTGGAGTTAACATTTTTCTGTTTAGCGAATTAATTTTTCAGTCTCATCGAAAAATTAGAATACAGCAGCAGTATATTAATTAAAAATACACACACACCACCATATATATTTATATGGTATTAGATCTTTTACAAGGAAACAGAAGAGGTAGTGTGGTATTTTTTGTACAATGAAATTACTAGCCCTAGAGAATCCATTGATACCAAGTCAATATGAATTAAATATTGAAATTGATCCATTAAATACAACTTTTAAAGGTATTATAACAATTGCCTTACATAAAAATAAAAATATTAATATTAAAGAATTTAACAAGTTTAAGTTACATGGTAAAAATTTATCAATTACTTCTGCCACTTTTGCAAATAATAATGATTTAAAAGTAACTTCATTAATTGATCAACAACAATTCTTATTTGAATCAAATGATTTATTATCATTAAACGATAACGAGATTTATAATTTAAAAATTGAATATCAAGGGAATATCAATCAAATTAAAACACCAAATGATAAGACTCAAGGTTTATTTATTTCAAATTTCATGTCAAATGATAAAAATACCGCTAACAATTATATTTTAGCAACCCATTGCCAACCTTCTTTTGCAAGATTAATTTTCCCTTGTATTGATGAACCATCAATTAAGACTAATTTTATACTTTCAATTAAGTCCTTAAAAAGATTTAATACAGTGTCTGTCTCAAAAATTGATAAAATTGATGAATCATCTTCAATTGATTCAATGAAGACAACTCATTTCGAAAAGACAGAATTATTACCAACCTCATTATTTGGATTTGTCATTGGAGATCTTGAAGAGATTCATTTAGATTTACCTAATATGTCTAAGGATTCAAATGCTTTACCAATTACAATATATTCTCCATTAAAAGTTACTCAAGCTACTTATACATTGGATATTATTCAAAAATATTTACCATTATTATCAAATTTTTTCAATTTTAAATTTCCATCAAATAAATTAGATTTTGTCTTATTACCTTTCTTAAATGATATGGTGATGGAAAATTTTTCAATGATTACAGTTCAAATGGATTTTTTACTATTTACTCCACAAAGTTTAGCTAATCCAAACGTTAGAAATCAAACTATTCAATTAGTTGTACATGAATTAGTTCATCAATGGATTGGTAATTATATTTCTTTTAATTCGTGGGAATTTTTAGCGTTTAATGAATCTTTTGCAACTTTTTTAGCATATTATTTAATTTCAAAAAATGATCCAGATAATAATATTTGGTCAACTGAAAATTATTTACAAAATGAATTAGCCACTGCAATGATTCAAGATTCTGATTTACCAACTTCAAAAAGTATTCATGATAGATATAATCAACGTTCTCATAATAACAGTGGTGATGATATTACTACAAATGATCTGTTTGATCCTATCTCTTATCAGAAAGGTATTTCAATGTTAAGAACTTTACAATTATCTATTGGTGAAGATTTATTTCAAAAAGCAATGGCTGAACTGTTTGAAGATACAGTAACATTTCATAATGTTCCTATTAAATCAATGGATATTTTCCATAAGTTAGGTCAAATATTAAAATCTGAAAATGTTACTAATTTCGTCAGCTCTTGGACTAGATTACCTGGTTTGCCTATTGTTTCTGTCACCACGACAATTGATGAAACTTCCAAATCATTAAAATCAACACTAACCCAACATAGATTTTATTCAAGTGAAAATATTGATCCAGATTTTGATCAACAAACTGTTGAAGATATTCCATATCACATTACATTGTTGACTCAATTACCAGGTAAGTTAAGCGATACTAAAAACACTTTGATGACTGATAGATCATTGAAATTAGATTATCCTGTAACTTTATTAAACAGTAACTCTCAAGGTTATTACCGTGTATCTTATGAATCTCAAGAATGTTATGATGAAATTTGTAAAGAATTAACACTTGGTAATATTGATGATATCAGTTTATTCAAAATCTTTCAAGATATATCTTTTTACCTTGGTAATAAATTTTTCCAAAAATCAATTCATATATCTGGTACTATTCAAATATTAAATCATATCGCATCATCACCAAAGGATATAACTTTAAAATCATTAAATTTATGGAAGTCATTATCTGAAGGGTTATCTTTATTACAAACAATCGTACAGGCCGCTGTAGTTCACAACAGAAGAGCGATAATTACAAAGATAACTAAACTAGTCAGCAAATTATCTGAAAAAGTAGATGATTGGTCTATAGAGACCATTTCTCAATTACATGATCATCATGAATTGAGTACGTTTTCTAAGATTATCGCATTGACAAGTACTACTAAACCAACTCAAGATCTTTGTCAAGAATTATTTAAACATATTAGACAAGGTCCTAATGATTCAATTCCAATTGAACTGGTAAGTAGCATTTATATGACTATCAGTTACCAAATGACTAATATTAAAGATTGGAAGAAACTATTTGAGTTGGTTAAGACGTCATCTGGTATTGCCTCTCATATTATTGATTTTAACTCTACATCTGAAAATGAAAAAATTATTACTTTACAAAATTTAGCCATAACAAATTTGGGGTTTGTCACTACAGAGGAATTAATAACTAAGTTATTGAATTTTATTGATACAAATATTGCAGCTACTGGGATTGAAAATGCATTTATTGGTGTTAATTACAACTCTCAAGCAATTATCAACAAGAAGGACAACACGAAGGTTCGGGACGCTGTTTGGAAATGGTTCAAATTACATTATTCAGGATGGAAGAGGAATCTAACTAAAGGAACTGGTAGTGATGGACGTGGAGAAGAGAAATTAGAGAAGATCGCATTTATGGTTTTGCAAATGTTTGTCGAATCATCTAAATTAATCGAAAAATACGAAAATTTCGAAGATATCAAGCCTGTTTGGGAAACTTTACAACACGAAGATCGTTCTAATTGCACAATAATTTCTGGATTTTCAAAATAGAATTTCAAGAAGAATAGAATGAAGGGAATTAAAGAGCATAACACATATTAAATTGTATATAACACCACTGTCAATAAACTATAAATGGACAACTGTTCTTACCATCTAAAAGCACACATTTACATAGTGTTTCAGATACGTAAAGCAATATAAGAAGATTACATGGCTGTTATCGTTTCAGATCTATCTATACCAAAGCTATATGTGCTACATATAAAATAATAATTTCATTAAGTAGTCGTTTTTGTTGGAACATAGAAAAGACCGTTCTTAACGGTAAATGATGGATCCTGTCAAATGTGATAATAGGATGAGCCATAGAATAGGTAAGTAACGGAATTAACAAGAAGTAGAATGTAATACATAGACTAAGGAGGGATGAACTAAGACAAACCACAAATTTATATAATTACATATATACTAAAAAAAATCATCTCATCCAAATTAAAATGTCTTCTACTTGCAATTCTTCGGTTTTGGGTCTATCTCAAAAGTTATGCACGCCATCTGTTTTTTATATCGCAATGTTTTTGCTTACGCTATGTGAAAATTAATTTGAGATGCACATCGTGAAGACAGATCGAGAATATAAAGGGGATTTAATTTTAAGCAATTCAAGATAAGTGTGTTTAACAACAATATGTTACATTACACGTAGATAAACTAAAAAGCAACTGAAGTTATACTAATAACCGATTATTAATGGACAGAATAAAGGAAAAGATTGCTACTTACAAAGCAGAAGCCGAGTCATGGCAAGATAAATACGACGAGTTAAACGAGAAATTGAAACAACTCGAACAAGATAATACTGAAAAGGAAAACTTAATTAAGTCTCTGGATGTTAAAAATGAACAATTGGATTCCCAAGTAGAAAAACTGGAAGGTGAATTAGTTGAATTGAAACAAAATGTGGAAGACTCTAATACGTTACAAGCACATAATGAATCTTTTAATAAGAAGAACGAAGAACTTGAAACGACTCTAGAAGAAACTGACAACAAATTAAAGGAAACTCTTGAGAAATTGAGAGAAACTGATCTCAATGCAGAGAAGTTACAAAGAAAAGTAACAGCTTTAGAACAAGAACATGACATAATGGAACAAAAAAATGAAGAATTAACGTCAAAATATGATGAGGCTAAGAAAGAATTAGATGAAATTGCAGCATCCTTAGAAAATTTATAAGTAAGAACGGCTTCATGAAAAACCGTATGAATATGATGTTTAAAACCGTATTTCCTATAACTTTATCAAGACTAAAACGGTCATTAAAAATACGTAAACAACAAGATAAAAAACTATGGCGAACAAAATGGTCACCCAGTTATTATATGATATTGATTCTAATGTCGTCATTTGTTATTGCAATGTCATATATTTATATAATCTATTCATAAATACCACTTCATAATCATTCAAAAATTATTTGTGAGAAACCTGACAAACCATATATTCTCTTATGTAACGCCCACAACAATGAATTTCAAAGGTCTCTTTATAAAAGAATATTATCTTCTTTGAATCTGATATGTTCATAGACAGTTCAAACAATATAAATCAATATTTCGGGCAAGCTCTACAACGCTATTAAAATAATATGTATTATTTGGAATCAAAGAAATTTAACAAACATTATAAACACAAATACACATATATGATACTTAAAATTAGGGAGAATAAGATGACCAATGAACAAATGGGTGAAGAAGTGGCTTCAAGTTTACTTGAAATGTTTCATTAATCTAATATTGTACTATAGAAATGTATATCCTAGGACAACCTTTGACTTAACTACATTTCAAGGATTTAATCTACCGCAACATCTACCTATAAATAGAAACAGCACACTTCAGAATTATATCGAAGAATTAATATCTGATATAATTGGTAAATTAAACCACATATATAGAGTGGGGATTTGTGTTATCGATACAAAAAATGATTATTGTATTGAAAAATATGTGTTAGATTTTGGAGAATTCAAACATTATTCAGATAAAAGTGAAGAAGATAAAAAATCTTCATTACTTCGTGAAACAGATATATTTGATGAATTTAGGTCAAGTTTGAACAGTCTTCAATCCAAACTAGAAAAAATGGACGCTATTAAAGATGAAGCTGTCACTTTTGAAGTTGTAATAAATACTTTGGAAATGAATTTAGGTCACGGTGTTGTTGATACTATCACGAACAAAGAAGTTGATCAAACATCGCAGTTCGAAAGAGATACGAATTGGACTAAAATGAAGGAAGATGAAAATCTACCTGATGTAAGGCCTAAAGAATTTTCAAGGCTGGAAGATGACGGTATTGTAGTAAGTCAACCCGAGCATATTTCCCAATTTCAGAAACCAAAAATTAGAATGACTTCTTTAATTGGTTGTGATATAAATCCTTTTATCATTCATAGTTATATAGAACAACTAATTTTACCTGAAGGGTCGTCTGAAAATGCTTACTTAGACAAATCTATTGTATCATCACTTTAGAGACACGCCAGTTTTTTTCTTTTTGAAATATATTATATTAAATATTATTAAATTTTGTTTTTTCTATATAAAAAACTGTTAATTATACAAACAAAAGTAAATTGGATAAAGAATGTAGTCTTGTTTTACTTTTTAAAATTAGTCCTTGGGGTTACTTTTATTAACCTTCAATAAAAGTATGCAATATCAGATGTTGGTCATATCATCTCAGGTTCCTGTCCTTCAATATCATTAACTTGACCGACATTTACGTTACCTTCGCTTACGAGATTAACGAACCTCTTCTTGCTTGGCCTTCTATTTGGTTCGTTACTATGAACCCATTTGTAATCATCTCCTTTCTTTACAGGTATAAAATCATCATTAGAAGAATTTGATTCAGTACCAAAAGATTTTGAATTAGGTATACCAGTGACGTTATCTGAATCTCTCTTAACATCAGTGTGTTCAGTTAAAGGAGATAATGTATTTCTATTTGAAGTGACTGGGATAGTTGTTCCAAAAACAGAATCTCTTAGGCCCAGTGAAGATTTTCTTGGATCCTTTTTCATTGGTTCATCCTCTTTGATCTCTGTATTAAATAAATCTGCTGTAGTGACTGTATTCAATGATAGTGCACTTTGTCTATTACCAGCAGCTACTCCAGTAGAATTATGTCTCCATGACTTGGTGTTAACAGGTTCGGCATCCATATAGAATGATGAAGATCTATCGTATGGGTTAAAAAAGGCTGATTTCTTGTGTGCATTAGAATCTGGATTATCTGGTAGCAGATTTTCTCTACTTTGTGACTCGAACACATCCGAAAATACATTCCCATTAGATGATAATTCGTTTGATGAGTGATGACCCAATTTTTCTTCTCTCAAACTTGAAAGATCAGAACCAGATTGTGATTCATCATCACCAATAAATGGATTATGCATAGCAGTGATTGTGCCAGGAGATTTAATATCTTGTTTACCTGATGGACCTGTAGACTTTTCAATATCCTTACCAGAATTTTCATTGTTCTTGTCATTGTTTCTTCTCCTCCTCCAAAGAATCAAGAGTAAAATAATCAAAGCACCAATAACAACCACAGGGATCACAACACCACAAGCAATTGCTACAGTTTTTTTGTTACTTGAATGGGTTTTGTTTTGAGGAACTGCCGAGGAACTTGCTGTAGCTGGCGAGGATGATGTAGAAGATGTACTACTATGCGATATAGATGAAGTTGTTGAAATACTCGAGGATGAAGAACGCGATGATGTAGTGGAGTTGGTAGAGTTATGATGGGTAGTGTTTTGCAAAACTTTAGACATCCCAATTACTTGGAAATCCAGCTCTTGAGTTTGTGATTCATACTCTGCTTTAACACCTACATTCAAAGATTGAAAACTATCTGGAACGCTACCATACAAAGTCAAATTGGATGGTTGGAAATTCAACCAATCATGAGATTGTGAAGTATTAGGGTATGTTATTGAAACATTAGTATTATCATAGGAAGTAAATTGAGAAGGTAAGAAACTGTATTGGAACCATTCACCACGAGTGGCGTTGATATTTGGTAGCGAATTTGTGGCAAATAAATCCTTTGTAGATAGGACTTCGAAATTTAAATAAACCACGTCACCGTAATTATCGTAAATGGCAACTGAAAAGTTACCACCACTTGTTTGATTATCTAGGGTACCAGTCAAAGTATCATTGGTTAGAGTGACCCAAGATGGACTACCATCTTGTAAGACGATACTTTCTAAATTTGTGGAAGTAATGACATTATCATCAAAATATACATAATTTAGAGGTAATGGGTAAGTAAAAGATCCTGCATCAGTCACATTAATAAGTATCGTGTTTTGCACTGAGGTAGTCAATTGATGAGCACCAATAACTAATTGGAATGGAATTTGAACGCCAGTATATCCATCAATATCTGTAGCAATCAATGTGAATTGAAAGAATGACTCTGGTGCAATTGCGGAATTAACAGTTGGAGCAGTACCACTAAATTTTAGAGTATTAGAATCAAAAAATAACCAACTTGGCAAAGGTGCATTATACTCTTTTGTACGGCCATAAAAGGAGGTAATCGATGCTTCGTTGGTGAAAGATGACCTATCGAATGTAACATTGAAAATTTCATTTGGTGTTAATATCAATGCGTCTTTACCGTTTGTATTACCATAATTTTTCAATAGGGCTAATAAATTGAAATTGTCAGCCACTGAGATACTTGAAGTTGAAGTAGCCACAAGAGTATAAGTTTCATTTAAGGAAGAGTTATCTGACGTGTCAGTCCCTTGTAAAATAAAAGTAAAATATTGAATGTTATTAGTGGCATCCTCTACAAACGAAGATGGTGGTGTACCCGAAAGAGTACGAGAACTTGAATCAAATGATAACCAAGTCGGTAAATCATAAGCATTATATGTGATCTGTGTAGTCTTATCCACATTAGATTTATAAGTGTCATTCGATATCACGAATGAGAAAGATTCGTCAACTCTAGCAACAGGAGGTAATTGTTTACTTACCGGATATGCTTCGTATGGTGTACAATGTACTACAGATATAAACCATTGTTGGAATAGTAACCACACAACTATGTACGCCGACGTTGTTGTGAGGCTCATCATCTTCTTGAAAAATAATTGATTAAAATAGATATGGCTGTTTTCTTCTTCTTGTTCTTTCCTATTTTAAAAAGTGTGAGATAGTTGAGTATTGAGTTTTGGGAATATAGGTGTGCGGATAAGTAATTATATTGAACAAATACTTTTGATAAAAGTTGTAATAATCCTTGGTTAATTAAGAAACCTATTTTAGAAGACAATAAATTTACATAAAACAAGACTTTATGTCAAGAACCTCTTTGCTTTTATTTAATTCACAATTTATTCATATCAAAAATTTTCAATGATAACCTAATAATTAAAGTGAATAGAAAACGACAACTTATTTCTAGATTAAAAATAACACACTATGCAAGAGAGTGTTCAGACTTTCGCAGAGAGAGGGAGATGACTTTAGCCATATTCTTATAAGATGCGAAATGTTCATCCTAATCGGGAAGTATAATTTGATGAACAATCTGTCTAGATTAATTATTCTTACATGAAATCGGAGCAATCTCGATCCATCGAGTAAAACGTTATTCTTCAAATGGGGATCAAAAATGATGGAAGACTAACATGTTCACGAAGCACGAACTTACAGTAAAGGACCAGAAGCTGTTGAACTGTTCATCTGAGCTGGAAGCACGCCAAATGTTGGCCAGTCGAGATTATTTTCCGTTCTATGTCATTTTCGTCATTATGAAATCATTTTCTTTTATTTTCGTTTTTTTGTGTTATTGCGACGCCAAATGTCCCCGTACTGTCATCTCTTAGTAGAATCACGAAAAGTTAATAATAAATGGAGCCAGAAACTCGTCAAATATTCAATTTATTTTTATATTTTTTCGTGTTTTTTTTCTGCTTCACTGAACAGTTTCAGATGAAGAACTTGAAGTAAGCTTGACGAAGGATTAGGAATTCTCTAGAGATGATACATATTTTTAGTTTATTTTGGCGTTTGCAACAAACTGCAGTCTCATTGAGGAATGTAGCCAATTGAGCTGGGGGGTGCACTATGGTGGAACAGTTAAAGAAGTTCATTCTTGCATACAGAGACAGCTAAATTAATACTTGAAAAGTCTCTTTAAATGGAAAAGTAAATATTTTAAAATATTGTTCTATTAACTTTATTATTAGAAAAAAACACGCTTATGCATGGGGTTTATCTATAATACATTGTTGTTATTCTTATTGTTAACAAATAGAACCCCACATGCATATTCTAAATTCTATACAATTGTTAAATATATATTTTATTTTATGTTTTATTATTATAATTATTTCTTATATATGTATGCATGAGATAAGGTTAAACTCTCAAGAGAGAAAGAACAGAAGGAACAAATACAAGATAATATAATTTAATACTAGTGTTTCCTTATACCTATCTTTTCTCTATTATAATTATTTTTTATTATTATTATCGAAGATCCTCTCATATACGAGATTGTCATCTTGATGTGCATTTCTCCCTTCCTACTCCCTCTATCATTTTCTCAACCTTACATTTGTTGTCTGTTAGCTGTTCTTGGCTTCGCACGAATAATATTATCGACTCTTAATAATACTTCAGCAGCTTCTGATGCAGAACTAACAACAGCTCTCTTTAATTTATAACTCTCTATTATACCTAATTCACTCATATCACCAATGATACCCTTGTTTAAATCTAAACCGGCCGTAGATATACCATTATAAATACTAGATCTCAATTTAGAGACTAATTCACTACTATCATAACCTGCATTATCAGCTAAGATAGTTGGTAATTGTCTTAATGCACGAGCGAATGATTCAACAGCAAGAGATTTCTTACCGTCAACATTTTGTGCAGCAGTGTCCACAGCTTTAGACATTAACATTTCTGCACATCCACCACCTAGAACAGTTCTTGTTTCTATAGTTGTTTGAGATAAGACTGATAATGCATCATGTAAAGATCTTTCAGCTTCGTCTAATAATTGGTCAGTAGCACCCCTTAGGATGATTGTACAAGCTGCACCAGCCTTACAACCGTTAAACTTTGTATATGTACCTTCACCAATCATGATCTCTTCAATAGATTCACACTCACCCAGTTTGCATTTCTCTGGATTGTCAAAGGTAGAGACAACTTCACCACCAGTTGCCAGGGCTAATCTTTCTACACCTTCAAAATCTGCATGCTCAATGGAGTTAATACCATGATCTGTTAAAAGTTGTTCAGGATAGTCATAAATCAATTGTCTGTTAATAAATACATTAATATCATATTGAGCAATTTTTTCAACTTTAGATTTCATCTTTTCACGTTCAGCTTTTTCAAGTTGTGCTAATTTGGAAGTAGAATCTACCTTAAATTTAGTACCAAAAATTTTAACTTTATCAGTATCAAGAGTAGTATTAGCAATTAAAATTTTAGCATTTTCAATTCTCTTAGGTTGGTTATTACCAAATTTCTTCTCTAAAATAAAACCTTCATCTAAGAAGGAATCAGATAATTGACCACCAAGAATCTTAATAACTTGAATATGGTCTAGGTTTGTGGAACCATTTAATCTAAGAATAGCATTGGTAGCCAATTCGGCAAATTGTTCTTTATCCTGTGACAGAATCTTGGAAGATAATGTAGTCTTGGCAATGTGAATTAAATCATTACGAAACTTAGCTTTATCATCTTTATTGTCAACAGCTACACTCTCTAGTGCTTTTAATGCTGCACGAGATGCAATTCTATAACCTTCAATAATAGTTTGAGGATGGATCTTTGACTGTTCAATTAATTTTTCAGCTTCTCTTAACAATTCTGCACTTAATACAGTGACACTAGTTGTACCATCACCAACTTCGTCATCTTGAACTTTACTAATATTAACTAAAACTTTAGCCGCTGGGTTATCCAAAGGAATAGACTTCAAGATGGTGGCACCATCATTAGTCACTAAAGATCTATCACTAGAGGCACTTTGTAATAATTTATCCATACCCTTTGGACCTAATGTTGTCTTAACCAAATCTCCGACGGCAATGGCACCGACAAAGGCTGACATACGAGCATTTTCGGCTCTTTCTTCTGTAACTTGATCACCAAAAATTTGTACACTCATTACTTGTTTGTATTATGATTTTCTAGTTCAATTTATCTTATCGTATTTCTCCAGTTTATTATTCAAAGCTTTCTTTATATAGAGCTTTCCTCTTTTTACCTTGTCTCAGCAGTATTATTTGATAGAGGATGTGGTGAAATTTTCACTTGTTCGCTTTCTTTGCAATGAACCGAAAATTTTTTGCCACACTAAAAAAACAAACAAACAAAGAACATTGAACGGGATGTGAGGGTAACAATTTATATCATTAAATTAATGCATTGTATTGATATATAATTACGTTTATATATATATGTACATACATTGTACAATAAATAACACCATGTGAATACCTTTTTCATAGTTTATTCTTTTGACATGTGTATCTAATTGGTAATAGTGATGGAACCTATAATTTATTTACAATGTGTCTGTCTTAGAGATGTGTTTAGGGTGCGTGCGGCGTTAATGATTATGATGATGAGAAGGAAAAAGATAATATATGAGACAAAACGAACTGAAGTTGTTTCTTTCTTTTCTATTTCTTTCTGTTCTAATTCTCAACTAAAGCATTTTTACATAATGTGACGGCGTTTTCAAAAGCAGTAGCTTCATTATTTTTCATTAATCTTGCACCTGCAACTTCCTTAAACAATTTGCTGCATTGTTCCAAATACTTAAAAGAAGTATCAAATTGTTCTTCAAGTTTTGTAATCGTGTTGAAGGTGTTGAATACGTTATTGACTAAAGTCATGGCGTCACTCTTAGAGTTCCCATTATGCAAATACTTTTGTAAGAAAAATTGCCACATCATTGCCATTAGAATATTTGGCAATTCTAATTTAAAAGGCAGCTTTGCAACAATCTCTCTTTGCCAATCATAATTATCATATTTCAATTTGTTAAACTCATTTGCAGTTAAAGATGAAACTAGGATAGCTTCAAACATATCGTTCATATTCTCTCTGACAAAATCTAAATGATCTCTAAATGCAAGTGTCTTCTTATCAATCGGACCATGATAACTTGCAGGTTTTTGTTTAACTTGATACAATGTTAATACTCTTGTTAATAATAAAATATCATTGGACTCTTGTGGATAGGTACGCAATGTATGATCAGATAATGCGGAGTTAATTGAAGGTTGGAATTCTTCACCCAAAGTTAAGACATTTGTCTTTAAAAATACTAATAGAATTAATAAATTTTCTTGGAATTCTGGTTCAATTTGTAAACTATTGAATTTTAATAAAATATCACCCCATTGAGTTGGTTTTAAAATCTTCTTATCAAAGTCATATTGGAAAAATTCCAATTGAACTAATGATCTTAGTAAAGCAGTAGCCAATAAATCAAATGAACTATTTAATTTTTTCTCTAATGGAACAGAATTTGGAAACAATACATCGTTAGAGATAAAATCCTTAACCAAATCAGAAGAATTATTCAATAATTTAATAAATGAATTGATAGTGAATTTTTTCTTTTCACCATCTCCAGTCTTAATAATTAAATGATTTAGTTTATCAAATATTGATGGTGTGGTTCTATTTAATAAAGTAGTGCTATCACCACTAGCAAACCATTTCACTTGTTTGATTGGTTTCATTTGAAAATATCTATTAATTGATTGAGTTAATAAATTTAATTCTTTGTCCTTGAAAATAGCGACTGAGTCAGTAACTAATTTTCTATAAGAATTCGAGGCTCCACCATCCAAAGGTGCCTCCTCTGGGTATACACCAGTAGTAATAGCATCCAATAATTTACCTGACACTAAACCAAGGGATTTATAAAAATAATATTCATTTGGTAATCTTTGGGTAATGAAATCATGAACATCATTAGGTATAGGTAAACTTGTTGATGTTTCAAGTTTTTTATTATCTTGTTGTTCATTATCATTTTCAATATTTTGTGAAGATTTACCATTAGAATGATGGTGATTAATATGTTCAAAATCATTAATATAAAGTTCGACTTTCCCGGAATCCTTCAATACTGGCATATATTTCAAATGAGATACAGCTCTTTGAAATTGTTCTAAATAAGAATGTGTAGTTGAATCGACTTCATTACCTAATTGATAAAGATAAAAATTTGTGCCTGAATTTAAAACCATTTCTAAAGCAATTTCAAATAGTTTATTACTTGGATAAATTTGTAAAGGTGGTAAAGTAGTTGGTTGTAAAGTATTACCAACTGTCATAGAAATATCAACAAATTCTTTTAAAGAGATTCCAAATTCTTTTAATACACGATTTTTATCAATATATCTAAAATCTTTATTTGGGAATTCCATTCCAAGGATAAATCTATCTACTTCACTAAGCATTAAACAATCAGTTGGACCAAAAATTGTATCAATAAAACCTTGCTTATAAAGATAAGCTAGTTGAGACCAAGCAGCAAATGGTGCGACTTGATAATGAATATCATGCTTAATAAAATATTGAATTAAGCCTGCTTGATAACGATGCGAATCAACTGTAGTATGATAACGAAATGGTTCATGTGGTACTGGAGGCTGATCAATATATGTAGGTTGATTTGCAGAGATCATATTTTTCCATTGAGTCCAAGCTTTGTTTCTTTGAGCTAATGCAATATCTTTATCACTATTACCACCACTTTCTCTACTACTTCCACTACCAGCAGTTGTAGTAGCAGTAGCAGCATTGGTACTAGTACCAACTGGACCGCTATTATTTTGATCCATAGAATCCAGAGAATTTACATTGCCATTAGCATTAAAATGGCCCGAATTAATTAAATTATTTTGAGAAAGAGAACCTTCAAAGATGAAAATAGGTGTGATATTAAATTCTTCAAATACTTTTAAATCGCTCTCTAAAAATAAATTCAACGTAGTTGGAAATCCACCAACGGCGTCTAAATATTGTTCTTTCTTTGCAGATAATAACCTAGAAACGTAATGACCAACATCAATCCCTACAGTACTATTTTTCAATGCTTCTAGTGGATAAGTACCAACTAATCCGCGTTCAAACAAGTACAGCTCCAATGATTTGATAGCCATAGTCTCTTACGCAACAATAACAACAACAACAGTAGTAACAACAACCAAAAAAAAAAGGGAAAAAAGGAATTTGTCCGTGTACCTGTGTATGGTTCGTCAGGTTTATTATCTCAAGAAATAAATAAAGACTCGAGTATAAACAGAATTAAACCTTTAATTATATATGTCGATATTTTATTCAAAGGGTGTATGTTAAGCCAAGGCCCAATTAAGTATTTCAATTTCACTTTCTCTTTGTTCTTTACTTCTTTCGTCTCGTCTCGGTACATTTCATGCCCGTTTCTCGCTCGCTTTCATTGTAATATTCATTTTAAAAGCGGGATGGGAAAACTGGGAAATGGGTTATCACTGTGTACGGGTAGGACCGGGTGATCCCCCTACACGCTGTGACCTTCGGTCGGCCAGTCTGTCCAGTTCTGTCTGTTCTGTCCGTGTGACAGTAGTCACCACAACAAGATCTGATTATCATATCTAACAACTATATTATCTACAATTACTGCGCTACATATATGTTGCCCAATACATAACCAGCCATATTTGCAAACTACACCCACCTGCTACACGCAAGCTACCGATATTCAAAACACATCCATATATATATATATACATACATACATACATAGCTATAACATCAACCAAATACTCTTCATCGCAGCGAGCCTCTAGCTTTATACCTTATTCACCGTCTCTCTTGTCCCCTTCACATAGAAAACCCAAAAAGAAAAATGTCGCTACATCGCGCTGTTAAACGCGCTTTCACCGCTTGAATCTCTGTCTATATTATTGACGTGTCTCGCTTTGAAAATTGTTACGTTTACGTGTCCTGAAAAATCTCTTAGAGCGTGCACATACCTAAATCTGTTTATATATATACAGAATAAAATAGTAATCACAGCTTAGGTAATATAATACTAATAACTAATATATATATATACATATACATATATTTATTTTCTGTTAGGACAAGTTTATTTATTTGAATCTATATCCTATAGAAAGAAACCATCTACACACCTCAATTTCTATTTCTCAATGCTGTTTGATAGATTTGTCTCAGTGTGCATTTCTGCACTTTTATTGGCTACTACTGCATTGGCTGCTACTCGTGAAGAACTAGCAATTAAAGCTCAAAAATCACCTAACGGTATCATTGAACTAGATGATTACAGTTTCAAAGACACTCTGGATGCTCCTCGTGATTTTTATTTAGTCGCTTTATTGACTTGTACTGAACCAGGTGTTGGTTGCACAGCTTGTTTTGAATTTAATCCAGTCTTTGAAACAATTGCTGAATCATGGGTCCGTGATCATGCAGAAGGTATCTCTTTAGAAGATCCTTCAAAGGCTCTATATTTTGCTAGAGCAGATTTAAGTGATGCCTCAGCAGTACCAGAAATTTTCAAATTTTATAACATTGAACGTGTTCCAAGATTAATGTTTTTCACTCCAGGTGGTTCTATTCATGATTATCATTTACTAAATTTACCACAACAAAAGGCTAATGCCGGTGCAAGCGAATTTATTACTAATTTGAAGATTGCTGTAGGTATTAACGATTATCAAATCCACGAACCTCGTGATTGGTCTACCGTTATGATTACTGCTATTGCAACTTTTGCCATTGTTTATTTATTCAGAAAACATAATAAAGTTATTACAGCTGTAATTTCTTCTAAATTTGTTTGGGGGATCTTATGTTGTGCTTTTATCACTTTAATGTCAGGTGGTTACATGTACAATAAGATGAGAGGTACTCCATTAGCTGGTTCTGATAACAATGGTGGTGTCGTATATTTCTGGCCAAATGAATTCCAAAATCAATATGGTATTGAATCACAAATTGTTTCTGTATTATATGGTGCTTTATCTATATTGTTTTTGGCTTTAGTCTTGGGTATTCCAAACTTATCATCATTCTACAAGGGTTCAGCTAGTGGTGCCATGATTATTACTGTCATTTGTACTGTATTAGTTGTAGTCATCTATGCTTTATTTGCTGGTTTGACTAGTTTGTTCAGTATCAAGTCCCCAAGATACCCATTCGAATTAATAAAGATAAGTTCTTTACTTTCTTAAGTAAATAAATAAACAAATACTCACATATATCTACACATATATATACAACAAATTAAAAAAAAATTATTATATTAAATATCTGTATTTGTTTTTTTTGTATATTTTTATTAATATTATTATAAACATTATAATGTCAATAGTTGTTATCACTATTTCTTATTTATTCCTCACCATTGGTAGGTTTGTTATTCTTACTGCTCTTCTTACGTTTTAATCCAACCGCACCAAAAACACCTTTACCAATCTTACCAATTGTTCCAACACCAGTGGAAACAACAGTAGTTCCTACTTTCAAACCACTACCAAGACCTTTACTGGCAACATCACCAACTTTCTTCTCACGTTTAGACACACTCAACACATATCTTGGTTCAAATTCAAAGGATAGATGTAACATCCCACCATCACCGCCATCATCACGTTTCACAGGTAAATCCATATCCATCTTTTCACCAGGTTCAATTGAGGATAATGGCAAACTTACACGACCAATAATATCATCCGAAGAAGCTGCATCCCAATCCATAACTTTAATGTTAAGCATATTATTGCTACGATCTTTCACTTCAATCTTACCAGTATCGTTCCATACTGGATTCAACGTCTTTTTCTTAATTGGAGTTTCATATAAATGATCCTTAAAATCGTCTATATAAAATTTCAAATATGGGTCTGAAAATCCATTAGAATCTGATGCCATTAGATTATCAGCACTCTTGGAAATTATTGTCAAATCACCAGAATTACTCATTAAATCACACGCTGGTAATTTATCAACATCTAATGGAAACCATGAAACTTGGATCATTAATTTTGCAGCACCTTCCCCACTTAATGTAATGATTGACGGTTTATTGTAACAATTTTTAACTAACTCCATAGTAGGTAATGAAACTTCACTAGCACAATTCTCAACTCTATTACCGTATTGATTTTTAGTAACTCTAAATGTAGTCATAGAGTTCTTCAATTCTTTGATAGCGACATCACCTGTCCAACCGTCTCTAATAATCTTTGAATTAATCTTAGGACTATTGAAACGAGAATGACCATTTCCATCGAAGAATGCCTGAACATAATAACCTACATCTGGTAATTCACCATTCAAAACAGAAATAGCAAGAGTACCAGATTGGAATTCTAATAATTCTTCTAAAGATAATTGCTGTTTGTGAGAATACAAGTTGGTTAATTCATTAATCTCACTCTCCTCCGCATCTATAACATCTTTTTCAATCGGTGTGATATTCTTCATATCAAGTTTAGCTTTCTTATCTTCCAACTTCTTTCTTCTCTTTGAGACCTTTTCTAGATCTTGAACTTCTTCTAATGTTAATATTGGTTTAACAGGATAGAAAGATGCATTATATGTCAGTTGACCACTTGGTCCATTCTTACCAACCAAGCGAACTGTTCTATCTTTGTCATCTTCATTAACTACATATTTACCATCATCATCTTCTTGGACAAGTTCCGAAAGATCAACATCATATATACCAACACGACGATCTTTTTTCACAGTTTCAACATCCATAACCTCAATAGAAACTTTTTGGTTAGGAGAAGTAATTGCCACATAAATTGAGAAATTCCAAACAGGGTTTAAAGTTTGAGATTTATAATCGGTTCTACCCTTAGATATACCATTGACCAATACTTTAGCATATGGATCGATGTAACCGACTGTTTCCAAGTTCTTTAAGTTGACAGCCTTCTTCAAGTAAATTCTTACCAAACCAATAGGAGGAGTATAGGCAATGGAGTTATTACCAAGATCCAATCTAACAGGCTTCCAGTAAGTAGTAACCTTTAATTTAGCTTTACTACCTGGTAAAGGAATAAATGCTTTACCGACTTCAGTTCTATCAATCAAATCATTTAAGTTTTGAACCATAGATGTGACAATTTCATCTGTGTTAGAATCCTTAACAATGAATCTGTAACGAGATTTACGACGATCAGGAATCACAGATTCAAAATCTTGATTAAATTTTTGAATATCTATGCTTGTTACCTTTGATGTAGTCAATACTAATTTAGCATTCAAAAATACTTCAATGTAATATGAACCTTTCTTATTTTCGTCATTCAAACCATGTAATTCTTCAACGACAATCTTAGCAATACCAGTATTTAAATCTGGTAATTCTTCAACTTCACCAGTTGGTAAAACTTTGCGTTCTAAAGTAGGGAAAAATTTCAAATCAAATGATAAATTACCAACTGGTTTTGAATTTCTTAAGAAATGAGAGACTATATCAGTTTGTACTGCTTTATCATGCATAGAGTTCAAATTATATTCAATTCTACCCATGACTTTATCTTTTATTTTCTCTCTCTTATCAAACAATGTAATAGTTAACGGATCTGTAAATGATGATAGTAACAAATATAAAGTTTCGTCCCAAATAGGATTTAATGAATCTCTAACTGTTCTGGTCTTACCTACCGATTTACCTGATAATTCAAATTCTAAGTATGGATCCACAGAGTCATTAATAAATGTATTAGCACGTTTAATATCCTTAGCGTTCTTAACAGTAATCTCTAGGACACCGACAGATAAATTAGATTGAGATAATAATTGAGGAATATTTAATTGTAAAGAAAATGGAGGTAAAAACATAGGTCCCATATATTTCTTTGCCAATGTATTAATAGTAGTATAAAGTCCTGGAATAGCCAAAATTTCCCAATTGAAGACATTGTCACCAAATAAGTGACACACAAAATCAATATCAGGAACCTCTAACAATTGAACATTAATGGTTTCAACATGTGGGAACGGAGTCATTAATTTAAATCTAACTCTAGTTGCAACTTTAAATGAAATGTCTGATACTGCTACAGGAATCGTAATACCAAACATTTTTGCTTTGACAACAACCTTTTGATTAACATAGTTTTTCAATTGTTTAGCTGTCATATCAGATAAATCATGAGGTGTAAAAGAAACAGTCCAATCCATGACAACGATATCTGATTCTGTATTTTGAAAAGTTTTAACTGAATCAATTCTAAAAGGCTTAATACCCAAAGTAAATTTATCAATCCATAAAGATTTAATAAAACCTGGAACTGCTGGATTAGTAGCCAATTGATCGTTTACTTGTGCCACTACCATTTGTGATACATTTGGTTCAATGATTGGCCAATATTTATCTAACATATTATTTAACCAATCCATAGTTTCATAATCATCTTCAATTTTTTGAACTGTAAATTCTTTTTGAATTAATTCTCTGATTGATGCACGATATTTTTTAGCATTGGTACGATATAATAAACCAGTAGAGACTAATACAAAAAAAACTGGAGCTAAAGAGAATTTAAAATAACCAAATGTAAAAGATAAGATTCCAGCAACAAATATAATTGCTACAAAATGATACCAATCACCATATAGAGAATCTGGTAAGACATTATTCAAAATAGTCTCTTGATTTAAATCAACAAGTTCATCGTCTAAAGTTAAAGTATCCTTTTGTACCCATCCCGACATTTGTTTCCAACCTACATAAGAGGCTTCAACATGAGGTCTAGTAACTGTATCTGTACCTACATTTGAAACTTTTGATTCTTCGATATTCTGACTAGTCTGCGTTCTTTTCAACTCTCTTTCAAGTTTGACTTTATTATTAGAAGATTGATCTAATTGATCTTCTGCAGTGAATGGAACTGGTTCTTCCACTATTTGGTTTGAATCTACTACTTCTGTAGGTTCCAAACTGGCCTGCTGTGCAACCATTATTTTTCTTTGTTTGTAATAATGGTACTAACTGAACTTTGTGCAGACGTTTTATATTTTTGTAAGCAGTATGTGTGTATATACTTATTTAAAAAATTCAATTACGATCAAAAGTAATAAAATGAAAAATAACCAATAATTTTTTTCTTTATGAATTCAAATTTAGTCAATTGAATTCTTTTCTTTTCAAAATATAGTTTAGCGAACGAATTACAATATATATATGTATGTATATATGTATATATCTTTCTGTTTTCAAATTGTTCTCTTTATATATAGATTATTTATAAAATGTGCCTCTTTCCCTCTGTCTGAGAAGAAGGTGAAAAAGAAAGGCTCCTTATTTCCTTATTTTCTTGCTTGCCTCTCAAACCATAATATAAAACAGTTTTCCATTCCGTGTAATTAACGGAATGGCAGAGCAATACAGTTTGGAACAACTTTCATCCTTTTAAGGGATGCGCACAGGACATTTTTCCGCGCTGCCTGTTTCTCTCGCACAGAAAAGTAGCGAAATCGTTGCTCCCCTTAATATACCAAGAGAAGAGTTCCCTTTTAAATAATTAACGGTCACATGCGCAGGTCACGTGAAATGGGGTTTTCGATTCTTCAACTGACACATTGAAATCAAACGAGAACTGGAATAAGAACATATAGAAAGTAAATAGATTGTTTCCTATGGGTCGGAATCTCCCATTCTAAGTTATATGTTTTGATTTTAGGAGCATTTAAGCTAAATAACCAAGGTGTTTTCTTTTTTGTTGGCTTTCTGTCAGTAGTGTACCGTGTTTAATCTTTACTTTAACTAATGTCCGATGCCAGTGTTTTACCAATAAGTGGTGGTTGTAACGACGATAGTTCGTTTGAAGTACCTACACCGAGACAAATATTACGCATTGCAATCAATTTAAAATATTTAATTGATAATCTGGTTACTAGTCACTATGATGATGAAAAAGAAGCAATCGTATCTGAAGAGTTTATTAAACTAACTTATGAAGCATGTGGTGGTAATAAAGATGATACCCAAAGTTATAAAAAATATCAAGCAGTTATAATTTTCGCTCTATTAAATGTTTATTCCTGGTACCAATCAATAATAAGCAATGAAATTCGTCAGAGAAAGATTTATACTACTAGATCACTTGTAGTTGAAAAATTATGTCAATTTATAATAGAAAAAGAAGAGAAAAAAAATATTCATTTTTTATTTAGTCATATTTTATTAAGACGTTATTCAATTTATGAAATAACCGGAAGTTCAAAATTGATGAATGCAGTGGAATTAGCTACTGATTTACATTGTACAATTGTAATCGGTTCAAGTGGATTTCAAAGATGTTTAATATGGTTATGGGATGGTTGGATTATTCAATCACCAATGAATCCAAATTGTTTCATTCAAGAAGAAATTGTCACTTCGACGTCATATGTAGACCATTTTACACCTCAACGTATTAAGACTCCAAAATATCAAAATTTTCTAACAATTTTATTCTCTGTCATTTATTTAATTCTTTATACAGCAGTAATGAATGAAAAGAGAATACTTAACATTGAACCAATTAATAAAAAAGAATTATGTTTCATTTTATTTACATTAGGTAATATGATTGATGAAATTATGAAATTTTATTATATTGGTATAGCTTACTTCCAATTTTGGACATGTTTTAATGATTCCCTTTATCTTTTAGTCAGTGTGTCAATTTTATTACGTTTAAATAGTCTGTATGGGACTCATTCGGTAACTGATAAATATGGTGTCATTTCATATAGATTATTAGCTTGTTCGGTTCCTTTGGCTTGGTCAAGGTTACTGCTTTATTTAGAATCTCAAAAATTTATTGGTATAATGTTAGTTGTGGTAAAACATATGATGAGAGAATCCATAATTTTTTTCTTTCTTTTAATTTTATTATTATTAGGTTTTCTTCAAGGGTTTATTGCATTAGATTTATCAGATGGTGAATTGGATGTCACTAGTTCAGTAATTAATAATTTGTTAGGGACAATTATAGGATTCGGTGATTTCTCAGTATTTGAAAATTTTGCTTCCCCTTATGCTACAATTCTATTCTACTGTTATTCTTTCGTTATTTCAGTCATTTTATTAAATATCCTTATTGCTCTTTATTCTAACGCTTACCAAAGTGTTGTTGATAATGCAGATAGTGAATATATGTGCTTAATGTCACAAAAGACTTTGAGATTCATTAGAGCTCCTGATGAAAATGTTTTTGTACCACCTTATAACCTATTTGAATTCATATTGTCTGTCTTATTAATGGGTCAAAATGAATCTGTGAAACAAACTGTAATGTCAATGGTAATGACTTTATTATATTGTCCTCTTTTGACGATTACATCATTATGGGAAGTTGGAACTGCAAGAAGAATAAGTTATAATAGACTTTGGGGTCTACCAGATGATTCTAATCAGCGAGATACTATTTGGGATCTTACTGATGGGTACGTAGAGATGGCAGGTATTTCGTTAAGAAATGATGCAAATGCAGGTATTAAGGCTACATTAAATAAAAATTCAAATATGTTAATGGAACAATCACGGGAGGAAAGGAAAGACCCTCATTTTTCTGTGAAACGAGAATGGTATGATAATTTAGATAAATTGAAAAACAGGTCAAATACTCCTCAATCCACATTAGTGAAATTAATAAATGAACAAAATATGACAGTAATGAAATTAACAAAAAAAATTGAAAAATTAAACAAACAAATAGAGATATTGCAAAATCAGAAAAAAAAGTAACATTAATAGAAGTAGTTGTATTTTTTGTGATCCAGGAATTTTTTTTACTTTTCAACCATTACGAAAGTAAACTGCTTTTATCATCTCCAATTACATATGATGTCCTTTTTGTTTCCGATTTTAAGAAAGTACATATATATATATATATTTGTTTATTTTACGTATATATTGTTTGGATATATCAGTTATCTCAAAGTTTGGAAAAAATTATACATATACACTCTTTAATATCAATTTTAATGCGATTTGTATTAAATTATATCCTGGTACATCAATTCTAATTTACTTGAATTTCGTATATGTTATATTATTCGATTGTGATATATATTCTAACAACTACAAGCAGAAGCATTTTCACTTGCATTAGCAGTATTTGCCAAATTTACTCTTTGATCTTCGGTAACATTTAGACCACCATTTGCATGCTCATTTTCTAAACCCTTCAATGGAATCTTCTCACCAATGCCAAGAAATACTTCACTGATATTTGTACCAGTCTTTGCACTTGTTTCAAAGAACAATAGACCTTCTTCATCTGCTAACTTTTCAGCTTCTTCACGTTCCACCTTCCTTTCTTCTTCATTTTCTTCCAAAATATCTACTTTATTCCCTACAAGTGCAATGATAATATTCTTATTGGCTTGTTCATGTAATTCTTTAACCCAATGACGTGCTTTTATAAATGATTGTGGTTTTGTAACATCGTATACTACCAGTGCTGCTTGTGCATTTCTATAATACATTGGAGCCAAAGATGCAAATCTCTCTTGACCTGCTGTATCCCATATTTCAAATTTAACTGTGTGGTCATTAATGTTAACTCTTTGTGTTAAAAAAGCTGCACCAATAGTTGGTTCTTTGTTCTCAGAAAAATCATTGGATACAAATCTTAAAACTATCGACGACTTCCCTACGGCGGCTTCACCTAATAGAACTAATTTGATCGAAGTGATTGGATTACTCATTTAGATAATATATTGCTTATGATTGTAATTATTTAGGATATATGATTAGAAGAGTCTCTATCCCGGTTCTTTTTATTATAATATTATAATAGCTGGTGTTAATATTTATATTTGTGTACTAACTTTAAGATATCCTTTATCTTGGATTGTTACTTCTTCTTCTTCTTCTGCTTCTTACTAATGCGATGGAGAATGTATATGTTTAGGAGTGAGTGACTATCAAAATATCTAATTATAGGGATTGCCGAATGTGGATTATTTTTTTTAACGAATTCGGGTTTTTTTTTCCCTTCCCATCGTACAATGAAATGACCTAAGTGAACAAAAAATAGGATAATACGAGCAAAGGTAATAAGAAATTGTTATATATTTGATGTATTATGTTTATAAATCAATTATTAGATGCGTTATGAAACATTAGTCGTGCGTACATGATACAGTTTATATACTTATAATTTTGGTTTTGGTGGAGCGGTGGCCTCATGATTAATCTCTAGAGAACCATCTTTCTTTTCAGACTCTCCAAAAAATGCAACTGTAACAGTTAAATCATCTCTATATTTTCTACTCATTGGTGATGGGATACTGGTTAAAGTAGACACGTATTCCTTTTGACCACCTGCACTAAGTGCATTTCTAATTAGATGTGTAGCAACATTTGAATCTTCTAATAAATAGTCTGTTGTGTTTGAATTGTTGTTTTTCTTGTACCTAAATGCAGGTCTTTGTGATGATTTATCCGATGTAAGATCTTTCACTGATGGTAATTTACCGTTTCGTGTTACATTGGTCTTATCGTTTTGATTTTGGTTCATGAATTGCTCTTGCCATTTGACTACTAGACCGACAATCTCTTCGTTTGTTAATAATTCAAATAAACCATCAGAACCCATTATCATAAATTTTACATTATTTCGAATAGTAGTTGTAGTGATTTCGGGTTTTGAGGTTACATAAGGAGGTGTTAGCAAATCTCTTGGTTCACTTCTAAAATATATTTTGACATGATCTGGAAGTTCGCTTAATTTTTTACCATCTACTTCCTTTAATTTGTATCGATAATCACCGAAGGCACGAGAAGGTTGTAAACAACCTAATACCCTCCCTCTACGAACAGCATTTGGTTCTCCAGGATGTTCATTTTGTATCCTTGTAACTTCATCTAAATTATCACCTGTTTGATCGATTGATAAAGCCTTGACAAACCAGTTGTTATTTTCATCTAAACCACCAATCAATGCTCTAGAGTCACCAGTGACAGCTACTTTTAAAGTCGAATTTTTAGAATTGTATAATGATAACAAGGCACAAGATCCAGATATAGCGGGCAATACATTAACCATGTTTTCTTGAGATGGATCCTTAAATAATTGCTTAAATGATTCTTGAACAATATCTTGATCTAATTGGATGAATGCATTACTAATGGCAGAATCTACTTGTTCACTAGAGCCTTCACTCTTCTGTGATGAATAAAATGGTGATAGTTGTTTGGCTACATATCTTACCATATCCTTTGATAGTTTCGCCGACGTGAAGGGACCACTATGACCATCAAAAATACCAAAAAAATATAAATCTTCTTCACTGTCCTTTACTGGAACAGTGATTACTTGTTCTATATGATTATCTTCTATTGGATTATTTGAAGGAAGTTGGGCAACATCGTAACGAGATATCCCTTTATTTCTGTTAACGATATAGCTTTGTTCCAAACCACGTAATTTCTTATTTATTTCAGAGTCTGTCAACAAAGTGATTGTATCACTCTTATTAGAGACCTTTGTAGAATAATGATTTATGCCATCTACAGCATCTAATGAAATTGGTGACGAAGTTAACCATGAATAAGATGCTAACATCAATCCGGATCCTCCTAATAAAGCCCAGCCTAAATCCTTTGAAAATTTGGTACTACGAACAAAAAGATGCTTACTTAAATGTGAAGATGTAGTATAATGATGACGTGAGGTATTTTGTTTTGCATTTGAAATATAAGGTCTGTGTACAAATCTACTTAGCCATTCACCATGACGATTATACCTTGCAATGGCTCTATTGGCTCTCGATACTAACATGATAACGTGCAGGTTTATTTATTAAGTATATTTATATTGATTATTATCTGGTATATTATTTGTTATCTTCTGAATATAAATGTTGAATCTATTCCTTAAATTGTATTGTAATCGATGTGAAATCTATCCATTTATTATGTGGAGATCCTAAAGATTTGTCATTTAGGTACCGCGTTGTAAAAAGGTGAAGCCGTAATAGTAAAAGAAGAGTTTAAGTGGAATTTAGTTCAACTACAAATAAAGGGAGGATAACGATTGGATGGTTAACCTTATAGATATTTATATTTGTAAGATGTAAAACCTGAGTCGATACTTAGTAAGTATTACTCGGTTCTTAAAAAGAACTCTCTTTTACAAAAATAAGAGACAATTAAAAAGGTAAAAGGAAGTAATTGATTCAAATAAAAAATCATTGTCTAATTAATGTTTTTACTTCTCATCCTATATTCTTCAAAAGTCATCATTTACAAACTGGCTTCTTTCTAATAGTACATAAGAATAGTCATCATTTATACAATGGTTTTCTTGCTTACTTTCTACTACCCCAATAACCCTATTGATAAAATAGTCAATTTCAACATTAGCAATTCTTAGAAATATGTAAATAACACTACTTGTTGATCCTTGTGAACCCTTTGTAGTACACTGTGATAGTTGGGTTCACTTCATTTGGATACAAATTTAGTGAACCCAACTATCAATTGATTCTCATGAATCACTATCTACGAGGTGATTGAAAATTTTTTTAGTTGGAATTATAAAATGCGAGTAAATTTGCCGTACAACCATCAATTATTGGCATAGGCATAAGCGAAAATTGGTTGAAGTGATGACCACCAACATAATTAATTATGTTTGCAATACAATTGAAAGTTTCAATATAAATAAATAGTAGTTAATAAAGACAGAGCAATATTTAACTAGCTATATATATAAAAACCTCAAAGTAAGAAACATAGTTAAGCCTAGCAAGATGCCTCCAAAGAAGAATAAGCAACAACAGCAACAGTCCAAGAAGAAGGACAATGTCAAAGATAAGACATTTGGTATGAAAAATAAGAACAGATCTACCAAGGTTCAAAAGTATATTAAACAAGTAGAACAACAAGGTATGGATCCTATTAAGGAAGATATGAGACGTAGGAAAGCAGAGGAGAAGTTTATGAGAGAAGCACAAGAAGCCGAAAGAAGACTGCTTTTTAATAATGTATCTGATCAAAGAGTTCGTGCTGGTGTGGATCCAAAGACTGTGGTATGTGCACTTTTCAAACTTGGTAATTGTAATAAAGGTTCTAAATGTAAGTTTTCACATGATCTTAATGTTGGTAGAAGAGTTGAAAAGAAGGATTTATATCAAGATGCAAGAAATGAAAAAGAGCAAGATACAATGGATAATTGGGATGAAGAAAAATTGAGAAAAGTTATTCTTTCAAAGCACGGTAATCCAAAGACAACTACAGATAAAGTTTGTAAATATTTCATTGAGGCTGTCGAGAACGGGAAATATGGTTGGTTTTGGATTTGTCCAAATAATGGTGATAAATGTATGTATAAACATTCTTTACCTGAAGGTTTTGAATTGAAGACTAAAGAGCAAAGAAGATTAGAGAAAGAAGCCTTAGAAAATCAACCAAAGATTACATTAGAAGAATTTATTGAAACTGAAAGAGGTTATTTAGATAAGACTAAATTGACACCTATCACTATTGAAAATTTTGCAGAATGGAAGAAGAGTCATATTATTGCTAAACTCAACGCTGAAAAGAAATTAAATGAAAAGAGGAAGCCTTGTGGTCGTGAAATTATACAAAAAATGTCTAGTAATGGTAGTATCCTAATGGATGAACCTGTTGATGAATCAGAAAGTGATAACTCTTTAGGAGCTGAATCGGGAGAAGGTTCTGCTTGGGATTTGACTGAATTTACCGATGCATTGAGGGCTGCTGATCACAAAGATGATAGTGGGGTTAAGGATTATGGTGATGGGTCTAACCCAACGTTTGAAATTAAGGCGCGTTAACCTGTTTCTTGATTTCTTAAAAATAGCAATAATTACATGTTTGTAATCATTTTCATTTATTACCTAAGGAAATATTTGTGGAAAAGATACAACTGACGCACGTACTATATGGAATCATTTGATGATACAGTATGTTATTAACCTGAAACAGTTGAAATTTCGGTTGTCTCCAGATTTGATACTAATTTATAATAACTCGGTCTTCGAATGATATTCCATCCATCACATAGCATATTCACTTCTAAAGGATCCAATTATATAATATATATTCCACCTCATCGTATTTGGCATTTATATAATTTCTACACCATCTAAGATAATAATAATAATAACTTAAATGTTTATCAACCTACTCCTGTAAATCATTCGGTGAGTTATACTGATAATGTCGTTCGATTTGTATTTACTTTATTTACAAGTGTTGAATATTTAAAACTTATTTGGATATATATTTCTATGCATTTCTTCATCTTCCCATAATGTCTTGAATTGTGTCCCTTCTAAACCAGGCACATTGCTTTTTGTAACCATACCTTTTTCACAAGATATTAAGACCTGCTTATCAAGAAATTCGATATCAAATTTGGGGCCACTAAAATACTTCCATTTATCACTCTTTAAGGTATCTATTGTGGAGAGTATTTCATCATTGATAGTTTCCTCTTCATTACAGAAAAAGACAGGAATTTCATTTGGGCTTGATCCTTTAAAATCAGTTTTAAACCCATCAATACAAATATCAACAAAACGATCAGTTGATTCCAATGAAATATTCGATATGTTAGACCTCACACTATCAACACTGGGACTATCCCATTTTACTCCAGGTGTATCTTTAGGTTTTAATAATCCATGAAAATTATCAAGGTTGGAATTAACGAGCATTGTACCATGATGATATGCTTTACCTTGAGCAATTTTAAATGCACTTCCGCTACATTTCTTTCCATCAAATAATATGTCACTTCTTTTATTTAGAGTGATGGGTAGAGTTTTATCAAACAAATACAACCATTTCAATATCAACTCATTGAAGAAGCTGGAATGAAATTCATTTCTTGAAGTAATAAAGGAATAATTAACGTTTCCTAAATCATGTATAACAGCACCACCTCCGGATAATCTTCTTAATAGTTCGTAGCCCTGTTTTTGTAATTCTGAAAGGTATACTTCCTGCCAAACAGTTTGATTTTTTCCAATTACAGCACATTTATTATTTATGTAGAATAACAATCTATGATTAGGGAAGACATCCTGAGTAATATTTTTAGAGACAGGTGTATTTCTAAACACATAATCTTCTAATGCCAAATTATAATAAGGATTATTTGACAAACTTTTCAAGATGAACCTACCTGGAGATTTAACATTACGCTCCAATTCTTGCCCAGATAGGTTAGGATTATCAATCTGAAACAGATCTTGGAATTCCTTGTTTAAATCATCGCATTCTGATGAGGAGTCTGTTTCAGTTGGGGTACCATTAGAAATAGAGTTTTTTGGATATGATGAGAACATATCGGAATACATTGTATTAAGTTCTTTATATTGATCATCGGTATCATTAATATCGAAGGGTGCTTTAGTTTGTATATGTCTTTGGGATCTATACACAAATGTGTTCAGTTTCGGTAGTACGTAGCATCTTTTTAACATCAGGATTTAATTTTATTTTGACATCACCAGTATACGTATTGGATGAATATTAATCACAAAGAAAAATTTGTTCTTTTATATATACATTCTGTAATAATTGAACCTCGAAGTTCTCTTTAATGTCCTCTGGTTTCCTAGTTTAGGTCTATCCAAAAAGCGACTAGGCGATGAAATATAATATCTGGCCAACAAAATTTTATATTAAGACTTGATGATGAAGAGATATAAAAGATGATGGGAAATGAAGCATAGATTTACCGATAAACCATAAGAAACAGCTCAACGATTTTAATTTAGGCTATGGACAAAGCTCAAACTTTTATTAAGGAATGTTTATTCACAAAGAATTTCGATAATCCCAATAAACCAATCGATGAGCAAAGACTTCAACAAACGTTATTGTTGATGCCTACTGATGGTGGATTATCTACCCGTTTAAAAAGAAACAAAAGTTCAACAAAGTTAACAACCAATACTCTCGAAGGTACTTCCAATAACCGTAAACATTCTAGTTATAGAACTATTAATAGAAACTCGAAAGGTGCATTACGAAATTATATAAATGATTGTAAAAACGCATCAAAAAGAGCTAAAGGTATAGCAAGAGAATTGAAGATTAAGAATCGTACAGAATTGAATGAAACAATACAGGAAAAATATAAAGATATATATGATAAACTACCTCGATACGAAAGTTTCGTACCGATGCATGAAGATTTCTGGGTAGATTATATAAAGGATATCCTGGGTCTCAGTACGCCTGTTGAATCAGGATCACGTCCAGGTATTAACGGAAATTCATCTTTAATGAAATTATCAATGGCTGATTATAATGGAGCATTATTAAAGGTAGTAAAAAGTAAAAATAAGAATATGATTGGCATTGAAGGTATAGTTATTTGGGATAGCCAGAAATCGTTCATCATGATCACAAAAGGTGAATTGATTGATGATATTAAATGTATACCAAAGAAAGGTGCAATCTTTGCTTTTGAGATACCTATCAACGATGAAGAAGCTTTGCAATATTCTATAGTGGGTGATAGATTTAAATATAGAAGTGTGGATAGGGCAAGTAGAAAATTTAAGTCTCGTAGATGTGACGATATGTTATATTATTTGCATGATGAAACGTAATGATGAAAGATTCAATAAAAGTGAATCATTTACACTCACCATGGTGAGTTTACATAATATATACGTAGGCATTTAAAAGATATAGACATCATTGCGTCTTTTTGCAAAATTAGCAACGGATTCGTAGAGACATTATTGCGATGTAATTTAACATCGAATCATATATACTTAAATATCGTTGTTATTTTGTGTATGTTTTGGTTCTTATCATTGTTAGCATTGTTGACTCCACTTCTATTGTATGTTTCATTTCTTCAAATAGTCATCGATGTTCAACGCTGCGAAGATCAAATTACTTGCTTAAAAATAATAATAAAATAAATCAAATGCTTCAGCGCCACAGCTCTCAATAGACGAGGTACAGCAAATAGTATTAATAGTTGATTATAAATATTCAAAGATGGATAAGAGGCATTACTTTACTGAAAATATATTCTATGGGCCTCCTCCAAAGGTTCCTACTACATTCAGCGTGAAAGAATATGAAGATTCAAAAAGATCACCTACTAAGGCAAATTCTGCGTTCCAATTGATCAAGAAATGTTTTGATCTCACAGAGAAGAAAGTCTCAGAATTAAATAACGAGAATATTTATAAGTTTGAAGATGTTAAGGAGGCAGTGGTGTCAGCTACTGGGTTATCGAATGCTGCTTCTATAAATGGTAAATTATGGAGGGCTTGTCGGGAGATCACACATCAAAAGATTAGACAGTCCAGTATGCAATCAAGTAGCAACAGCAGCACTGTTAGAAATCATAAAAAAAATAATAATAAACCTGTTAATCAAGCTACAATTGTAAGAGAATTTTGGTACTATATTATTTCTAGAGAGATGGAGATTTTTCGTGTTATGCTCCTACAGTATCAAAAAGTTCATCGTGATATTGGATCTGGGAAGTATTGCGACGGTAAAATTTTTAATTCATTTACAATGAAGTCTGGACTATTAGTGGAAGAACTTTTTCTAATTCTTAGTTATGTTCTGGAAAATTTCACCATACTTGTTTATGGTGATCGACAGTATAACGATGCTAACACAATAATGCATTCTATTTTGATCGGTACAATAATAGATACTTACAAGGACAACTTTCCAGCTTTTGTTAACGAATTTCTGGATTCTCAAAGATCCCTGAATGTCGATATTGGCAAATGGTTACATGTTTGGGTACCATTAATCCGTGTTCCGGATACTATTGACATGAAGGCAATTTACTTTGATAACGTCGAAAAATATTACAGTGAAAACATTCGTAAGCCAGCATTTGTTGGATCAACGTTTGCATCTGGTTTACAGGATACAATGGAACGTGAACTTGAATTCGCTTCGCATTTTAGGGAATTTAGTTTAGAGACTTTATACCGAAAAGTTTGGAGTAGCCTACTATTCAAGGCATCCCTTTATCCTAAAATGTTTTATCTTTGTAAAAATGATTTTAGATATAATAAACAGGGGAAAATACTTTTTAGAACGGTTGTTACCAAATTTTGTAAAAAGGTCAGTCAAGATGGACGGATAGACTCACAGGATTACCTCAATGCTCAAAAAATGGTTATTTCTAGCAACCTTAATGGTTGTTTTAACCCATTAGATAAAATTAAATTGGTACGAACTGTTTGTGATTTACGAGGATATTTTCATGACCCTGACCAAGAAGAAATACTTAAGGGCTGTGTAAATGATTTATTATTGAATGACAACGTAACAATGATGGATATTTTTTTGGAAACATTTAAAGAGGAAATTAATTTATCTCTCGATAAGTTACATAAACTATCTGAAAATGTGGAAGAAATGTTCCGGGATAGTAATAATAGACTATCCATTCATGATTTTAGACGTAAACAAAAGTTATTATTTCCTCATTCTTCCTATTTAAATCAATTTGTTAAGATTCCAAAAATATTTGGATTTGGATCAAATTTGCCCAAAATTATATGTGATTATTGTTTCAAAGAACTTATTATTAATTTTGAAGATTTTTCAATGTTATTCAGAATACCTCGTAGTCCATTAATGAAATTAATTGTTGAATTAAAGAAAGGATATAGTTCATCAGATGACATAATCATGTTAGAGAATTTATTAAAGGAAGTGTCAGATATGTCTAGATTGACTACAGCTTACAAACATTTAAATGAAAATGAAATATTAAAGACAAATATGATAGTCTTACAGAGAAGCAAATTTAATGATAAATTTTCAGAAAGAGATTACAAGGATATTAAGATACCTCCTGAAATTCATGAACAATGGAATAAATTAATGAATTTTTACGAACAAAGAATCAATAATGGTGAACTCCAAGATGTAATACCAATATATCAGTTACAACGTTGCGAAGTAAATTGTCCATTTAATATTCCAGGATATGATAAAGGAATTACATTTGATGTAACACTATTGCAGGCATGTGTTTTACAAGAATTTAATGATAGAGATGAAATATCCTTCAATGAATTAAATAAATTGACCAAATTAGATAAAAACATTTTACAAGCTGTATTGAAATCATTCGTTTCATCACGTTTAATGATTAAAGATGGTGCCAATGTCAAATTGAATTTAAATTATGAACCCGATATTGATAAAATCAAATATAATAAGATTATGATACCTATGGGTAAAATAGTAACTAAAAAATCGGTTACTGGATCCACATCGATATCTAATTCATCTCGAACCACTTCAAACACTGTTCAACATCCAGAAGGGTTAAGTTCCCAATGGAAACAAGAATTATTGAGGGCTGCTATTACACGTACCATCAAAAGATCAAGAGTACACTTTGAGGAACAAGAATTGATCACTAATGTCAGAGCTCAAGTCAGTGATTTCAGTATTGGTGAATTCAAAGCGGCAGTTCAATTTCTAGTACAAAACAATTACATCGTTGCTGATGGCGAGAATTATGCATACAATCTAGATTAGCTTTCTCCTCCTCCATCTCCTCTACACCCATTATATAGTTTTCTTTGCAAGGCAAATCATCTATAATAATATCATAGCGCTATAGAAGAGGACCTACGTAACTTTATCGATACATTCAACCTTGCTTTAGCTGTCTAACCTTCCAGCGATGAACGTCACTTGCGTAAAGACTAAAAACAAGCCCTAACAGGTTTGTAAATTAAATTCAGCGGTGGTGACGCTACGTATAGAAAGAAAAAAAAAACTGCGAACGAAAATGCACCAGCGGAGAGAAGAAGCAAAAAAAATTGTTGTTCTTTTCAAGAGTTTTAGTATAAATAGAAAGCGATGCCACGTTCGAAGATAGTTAATTAATTAATTGTAGTTTGTTTGTATAGGTAGTTAATATCCTGTGATTTGTTGTTGCTTAGTTATCTCAAATGTATAGTGTCCATTAGAATGTTACTGTGTTTAGCATATGGTGATATGAGGGAAAATGTGATCACTTATGAGGAAGTTTATGTTTAGGAACAGTTGTTCCTTCAACTCATAAGAGAGCTGTATTTTTTTTCTTTCGTATTTCCTGTTTAAGATCTTAACAGATTTCAAAGAGAGTAAGAGAGAGGATTTAAGTGATGATATATTTACAACAGTGCATAGTTCAACTGATTGTATTCAAAATGAAGATACCAAAAACATCGAATTTAGTCTTTCGCTCCTATCTGATTCCTCTATATCTCTCTCTTTTGAAAACTTATATTATATCGTTGTAGAACATATATACCTCAGGTACTCGAACTTTCAATTGTATACATATACATATATTTGTATAAGAAATTACTTCTCTTCTGAGAACATTCTTGAAGTTAATGATAATAATTAATCACTATGACGGCAACGCAACAACGCAGGAAAATAAACGGGGAGAAGAGGGATACATATACACATGGAGAAACGTTTTGAATATTAAAAAGGCGTTAACTCCTTCAGTTAAAAGGATACCAGTTATAGAGTATATTTCTTCATTTTACCTTTAAGCTTGCCATTATTTGATCAGTTTTGTTTAATTACCTACAATATCTGATTAGTTCAATAGTCAGAAATAGCAGAAATTGGGGTTTTAAAAAGAAAATTATATGGATAATTAAGTATATTTTTGAAAAATCAACTCATAACTTTGGTAAAAAATTATTATAAAACAAGCATATTCCATGGTTTCAAACTTATTTTTAGATTCAGTGGAAGGCGCAGTCACTGAGTCGTTAAAGACTAATAGAATATTAGTAGTATATAACAGCGATAAGTCAGATGATTGGCTTAATCAATGGTTTCAAGTAGATGAAAATAATGTTACTCATTTGAAAGGTGCTGCTGTTTGGTTGAAATTAGTTAAAGGAACACCTCAGTTTCAATATTTTGAACAGGTTTTTCCTAATGTTGTAGTGCCTAGTGTATATCTAGTATTTAACGGTAAGATTAAGACTATCTTACAAGGTGATACAACTCATTCAATGTGGGGACAATTATTGCATTCGTTAGGAGTAGTTCCTGAATCTGTTCCACACAATAAACCAAAACCAGAAGTACCATCGGGAACGTTTAGAGAATCAGTTCAAGAAACAACTCAGCAGGTTTATCATGATGAAGTCGTGAAGGAACGTAGAGCTGATAAAGAAGAACGTGAACGTATTTTGAGACTATTGGAAGCTGATAAAGAGGAAAGAAAAGCTGCAGAGGGCCATTCACAAGATTTAAACACAGAACCTATTGAAGTTCGTGATAATATTAAGGATAGAAGAAGATTACATACGGCTAATTGTACTTTACAAATTAGATTAACTAATAGTGAAACATTGACACGTACTTTTAAATCTGATGATATTCTGAATGAAGTTAGAACTTGGGTTGATGTTAATAGAACTGATGGGGATCATCCTTATGCATTTCATAGAAATATCCCTCGTATGACATTTTCTGAATCTGATGAGATGAAAACTTTAGAACAATTGGAATTAACGCCAAGGAGTGCTTTAATTTTACAACCTTTAAACATTACAGATAGAAACATAAAAATTGCTGAAGCTCAACAAGCTGGTCTATTAAATAAAGTTTATTCAGGATTTTCTTCTTGGTGGGGAACTTCACCATCAGAACAACAACATTTCCAAGCATCTTCTTCACCATATTTACCTTCGGAACATCGTACGGAACTGAATCATCATCAACAATCGTCATCGAAAATCATTGCTGCGAGCGATCCTCAAATCAATAGAGAACAATCAGACACTAATATAAATTCAAGATCTGTAACGCCAAACGTTTATCAGTTGGTGAATTCTGACGATTTGAACGATGATCATGAAAAAAACACATACAATGGTAATAATGTTTCTCTCGAAAAAAATGATGATGATAAATAATGAAAGAAGATGCTTTTAGATTTAAAGTTTTATGTCCCTATTATAGAAATATGCCAACTGTCAAGACATTTTAGGTCATATTTCTCAAAAAATACATACGTATATATATATATATATATACTGCTAAAAAATTCAAAGTATTGTATTTGTTTCATTTCTAATTGCATATATGTTATTGAGTATTAATTTGCCAGTTCAAGATTCTTTTCTCTGGTTACATTAGTATTAGATTCATTTTGTTCTGTTTTTTCAATACTTCTATCCTCGATAGTAACGTTTTTAAGTAGTTCTAGTACTTCAGATTCGCCAACAGAAGAATCTTTACTAACCTCGGTGGTTTGTTCTCCTTGTTTTTCTCTTTCCATTTGTTTTTCTAATTCAGCTAATTCATTGTTAACTTCATCCTCAGACACAGAATTGTCAAGATCATTTGCTCTCGATAATATATCATTTAATTCATTAGTCTTCTCATTTTCAACCTCTATATTTTCTAATAATGTTGAAACTTTATCAATGCTCCCAATATAATTATTTATTGATAAAATTGCTGCATGGGATTGTTTCAATGTATCGAACATTGTTTTGTTGATCAACGACATGTTTAATTGTCTCATGATTTGAGTTAAATTATTTTTATTACCTGATAATTTCTCCAGATATCTCTGTGAAACTATTTTATTCTTTAGTATTCCTTTCTGTGTTGTTCTAGATAATGATTTGTATGTATCGGAGTATAATTTTGTTTCGATTCCTCTAATCTCATTTTCCAACTTTGCTATTTGTTTGTTCAAATTATCAAGTGTAAGTTTTATATCTACTATCCCTATATCAACATCTGTAATTTTTTGGTTGGACACCTCCAGTTCTTTCTTGTTTAAATCCGCAATTACTTTAACAATATTTTGGTCAGTAATGATAAGATGAAGATGATGTTCCAGATAAAAAAGCATTATATTCTGATCTGTCTTGTCCTTCCATATCTCACTAATTTTGGCAGTTTTTAAAAATTCATCTGTGCTCATTACTAAATCTGTTATTTCAGAGGATTTATTAATAATGTTTTTATTTATTTTATCTGCTATCTCCTCTCCTGACTTCTTAACATTCTTATTGACGATTAATATATCAGTCTTTAAATAAGTATCTCCAAGTTTCCTAAGCCTTGATGTATATTTCTTTTCATTCTCCAGTCTCAGTAATCCAAATAATCGAGATAATATACTTGTATTGTTAGAATCGTTGCCTATATCAACTTTACTTACATCAAAATATGTTTCTGATGGTATCAAAATTTTTTTAGAAACAAACTCATCGATCACAACATCTATACTCTTCGGTTCCCCATATATCCCATTATTAAGTTTATGTAAAAGATTCTTACCACAATTAACTGACAGTGTATTAGTATCATTCAATAGATTTGTAAGGAAGTAATCTTCCCACGTATTAATGTTCGCCTGGTATCCGTCGGGGTTAAGATCCTTAAGGTCTCTAAAATCTCTATAAAGGGACCCTAATCTACTAGTTGGTAGATCAGTTCTATCTTTCATTGTTATAACTAGGCTGTACTATCTTTAATTTTGTTAGACATAAAGAAGTTGATTGATCCTTAATTTATATCGATATTTTTCTTGAAATTTTTATGTTTTTACAAATATTATTAATTTTCAATAAAAATTCTTAAATGATAAATGAGGAGGCCACTACTTTCCTTCAAAAATTAAATGAATCTTATTTTTGATCAAATAAGTAATGATAATATTATACAATGCTATATAAATCCCTACATGGGCATATAGATATAAAATGTTACATATGTAAATAAAAAACCGTTAACTACAAATATAAGGAACCTGCAGAAACGATATCTCTATGAATCATCTTAACAATTGTTTCCATTTTTTCCTTCAAAGCAGTGTTACCAATAGTGTTGGCAACATCAACCAATTCTTTAACTAACTCTTCTAACCTCTTGAACATTCTAATTAGAGACCCTTCATAAACATCTGTCATTTTACATATTTGAGTAAATGTAGCTCCTTTACACCATTCATAAACCACTTCCATTAATTCATGTCTGAAACTTTCAACATAATCCTTTTCTACAACCTCTATCTTAGAATCTTTCATTATCTTGGCAATTTTAGAGGCTATTTCTCTCATGTTCTTTAGTGGCTCTGCTAACTCTGGCTTCAACCTTGGTGCCTCTTTACAACGTTCTTGGAATGCGAAACATGATAGTAATGCTGCAGCTTGTTCAGGCTTTAATTCGTTGAAGTTACCATTAAAGATCAGTTCCGTTAATAGCAATTCATCACCACTTGAAATTTCACAAGCAACTCTACCCTTCAATTCAATGATATCATTTGGAGTGCAGAATCCCAACCTTCTTAGGACTCTCTTTCTACGACGTAAATCATCCAACTGAATGACTGATTGCGATTCATTTATCTTATGCTTCAATTTTCTCATGTCCTCTTGGAGAGCATGTTTTTTACTGTACGTGTTGTACAATTCTTCTAATCTGATGGAGTTTGTCAAAGGATTACCGGCTAATTTCTCTTCCAACACTTGTATTTTTCTTAGAAGTTTCTTAAAATCTTCATCATCGATCTTCATATTCTTTATAGGATCAATCAAAGGGATACCATCTGGGAATCTACGCTTCACTTCGTTTAATGATTTACCTACAGTTTCCTTTTGACCACCTGCTCTAATATCCTTTGGCATAAATAAACGTAAGTTACCAATTGCTTCAACAGAGTTCAATGTAATCGGTATCATAGCACATATGGATTTCTCACCTTCTTGAGCTGGACGAATACCTTCTGGGAAGACAGGATTGAATGGCTTAATTAGATTTACGGGCGAGTCAGCATACATAGTATTAACAACTACGTTAACGAAGTAAGATTCATGATCACTATATTCCTCTGTTGGATTACGTCTGTTGATTCTTTTTGCAAAATCAACTACTGCACCCCAACCGTAATCTGCTTTGCCGTCAATATTAACCTTAATCAATCTACCAGGTTGTAGGAAACTCAATGAGTTAGCTGGATGTGTGATAATTTTTCTAACGTCATCATTGTAACCTGATAAAGTTTGCCTAGTCTCGTAATATTCCTTGACATTTGCTTCATCTTCAATAACAAGCTCCTTTTCATCTTTTCCAAGCTCAATTAATTTCTTCTCCATAACTGGAACAGAAACGATATTTTGGAATTGGAAAAATGAGTGTTCTAACATGAATTCAGGGGAAATACCTTCAACTCTCATTAAGTTTAGAATCATATTGTAACCTAAATGGAAAGATGAATCCAATCTGTCAGCTTGACCTTTAACCATGCCTTTGGCAACTTGGGGCTCCATCTTTTCATCAATCATCATGATAACGATACCACGATCATCTAAACCACGACGACCAGCACGACCCGACATTTGAATATATTCACCACCAGAAACCCAACGGAATTGCTGACCATCCCATTTTCTTACAGAAGTAAAGACAACAGTCTTTGCAGGCATATTTAAACCAATCGAAAAAGTTTCGGTAGCAAATAATACCTTCAAGAAACCTTCTTGAAACAAGATTTCAATGACTTCCTTCAAAATAGGTAACAAACCAGAATGATGGATACCAATACCTCTTCTTAAAAGTGGTAGAATATGTTTGATCTGTGGTAATTCTCTATCTGTCTCTGGAAGTAACGCAATAGCATTACTGAAAATTTTAGTTAAAGCATCCTTCTCATCATCAGAGTTAAAGTCTAATTTAGACATTTTTAATGCAAGCTCTTCACAATCACGTTTACTGAAGGAGAAGACAATAACAGGGTTATATTTCTTCTTCCAAATCATTTTCACGATCTTATAGATATCACCCTTGGCGTCACCCTTGGCAGCCCCACCTTTAAAGGTTTGTCCTTTTTTACCTCTTGATACTGTCGAACCCGAGTCGTCACCAGTTTGGTTACTGATGGAAGCCATAGCCTTTTGGAAATTTTCTTCTCTGAATGTACTTTTTTCATCAACAACTAAATAAATACCATCACCATGAGCAGGGAATAAGTAATGTTGTAAAGGTGTTGGACGGAAATTAGTGTACACAATATGGCAGGGTTGCGTGTGAATCTTACAAATCCATTCAGCAAATTCCATTGCGTTAGGAATAGTAGCGGACAAAAACACATAACGGACCTTATCTGGTAATAGAATAATAGTTTCTTCCCAAACAACACCACGCTCTTTATCTCTCATGTAATGAACCTCATCAAAGATAACCCAGGCAACTTCCCTCATAACTTCACTACCTCTGTATAGCATACTTCTCAAAATTTCTGTGGTCATGACTAAACAACCTGCATCAGGATTAATAGTAATATCACCGGTCATTAGACCAACATCGCCAAATTCTGCAAGTAATTCTCTATATTTTTGATTGGATAAAGCTTTGATAGGCGATGTGTAAATGACTCTCTGCTTGTCTCTCAACGATTGAGCGATGGCATATTCAGCCACAACAGTTTTACCAGCTGATGTATGTGCGGAAACTAAAACAGATTCACCTCTATCAATACAAGAAACTGCAGTATCTTGGAAAGGATCTAAGGTAAAAGGATATGTTCTGGCTTGGTTTACTCTCTTGTGTTCTGCGATTGGTTTATAGTCATAATTTGGAGGTAAAGCGACTTGATGACGGACTTGATGCGACAATTTCACCTTACCATCCTCTTCAACTTGTGTAGTAGCTGCATTAGTTAGACCTGTAGATGCATCAACTTCTCTGGATGCTTCTTGTTCGAAAGAATCTGTAACAACAGGGACGGCTGCTTCCTTCTTTTTCTGTTTTTTACCTTCCGATGTTTTATTTGGTCTTAGCTTTTTAGATGCATCTTCTTCATTTTCTTCTAATTCATGTTTCTTATTAATCTGAGTTGGTTCCTTGTTTATAACCTCCTCTGTGTCAGACATATCAATATCGATAGCTGGATCTTCCCCGAAGACATCAAATAATCCGGAATCCATTTCGCTGAAGGGTATATATGACTTCTAGTGTAATTCCTGCTTTAAATATAGAATTTCTGAAGTGAATCTGTTGATAGTTTGGAGTTCAACTTGAATGTTAATATAAACCTCTGAATATTCTAAAGTACGTTTTTAACTTCGAAGCATTATTAACGGTAAGATAGTTTTGAAATAGGCTTATTCAAATTTTTTCAACTGACCGCGATGAGGATGCATGGGTGTTGCACGTATGCTATATTGTGACAATAATATGTTACACTCTCAACAATATACTTATAACGATTACATAAATTCTTGTGACAAACTTAGAGTGTAGGGTATCTGAATATTTACTTATTATTAATATATATTGTGCCTATATATATATATCGGTTGATTTAAAATGCAATAAGGGAAAATATAAGAGAACTAATGAGATCCCCGGATATGGCAGAGATGAATGGACTCCGTGAATATCGTTAGGTGCGGATAATTAAAAAGGTATTTTATCAACCAGCCCTCCTGTAGATTATTCAACTTCGAGATTTTGTAATGTGGTCCATCTTTCTCTATCATATTCACCAACTACGCTATCTGGATAACTTGGTCCTGACTCTTGTGATTCTATTGCGGAATCATCAGAATTTGGTTGCTCCTGAGATAGGGATAGTTCTGTTCGATGCTTTAGCGTAATATTAAATAAGTCTTCGGAATTCATGAGATATGTACTATCTGCATGCTTATTTTGAAATATTTTACTAACAGTTCTTGATGCACTTTCGGGTATGGCACTATTCCTTCTGCTTGAATTAGTTATTGAGTTCGTGGTGGTTATAGATTTGGTTGGTGAATGTTGACTCTGTATGGAACGTAGATAAGTAAAATCTACACTTTTCCCTCTACTATGTTCCCTCGTATACATATTATGCAAGTCAAAGGGATGATCGTTCGATCTGGAATGCGAATGGGTATCATTTAAGTTTGATATTGATAATTTCTTACTAAATCTTTTAAAACTGTGTGATTTGATCGGAGATGACTGTGTTGACGAGAAAACAACATTACTTCCGTTAGTTGGAAATCTAAAGCTAGGTTGTGAATTAGATTTGGCATGTGATGCGGAGCTATATAGCAAATTGTTGACTGCGCTTTGTGATTTCTGTTGTTTATGTTGTTTCATGCTACCGGAGCTAATTATTGAAACGAGTGATTTTGTAGGTGAGTGATTATTGTCTGTTTCTATTAGTTCTCTGTAGGAATTTTCCAAAATAAGAGATGTAGTATTATCATTTCTAAAACTCTCCTCTAGTAAGTGTCCCGGATCCTCTTCAGTAATGCTCAATTCCTTTAAATATCGATCTAACTCACTTACTGCATCAGAACTGGATATATCATCTTGTTGTGACATACGTGGTTCTTGAGGTGCCTGAGATGTTTCCATTATTTGTTTTAAAGGAAATGTAAAATTGTTCTTCTTGGTTGGTAGTGGAGAAATTTGTGAAGGGGAGCCTAATTCTTCTTTGCTTAAGCCAAATTCCGGAATCAGGTTTTTATTTTGGATTATATGTAATTTTCGTAAATCATCAGCTCTGTCTAAGTATTTATTACTATCCTTCTCCCACATGTCCAGTGTAACATTTTGAGGCAACTCTATATGAGAAGGTTTTTCTAATTCATATGAATCTTCAAAGAATGATTCGCCTGGAACCTCTGAGATATCAGCTAGTTCATTTTGTTCTAAAATATCTATGCTTTGTCCGCTGAGATTACCAAGTTCTTCATGAATATCATTGTTAGCATTAAAGGCTTTATCATTCTCATTGTCAGTTTCCTCTTCGTTGATTTGGTTTTGAGTTATTAAAGGTGACAAAGGACGGGTAGCCTCTGTTTTAATGCTGGGCGCAGCATCTTCAGCAACCATAGGGGAAGGGATATTTAAGAAGGAAGGAAGCAATGTATGATCCATTCTTTCTATTGCATCTCTTTCTAGTTGCATTTGGGATCTACATTTTAATAATGTTTCGTTTGATAATGGTTGTTGATTTCTCATATTTGTAGATTCCATGACTGCTGAGACAGGCCTATCGACTCTATTTACTTCAGTTGATGATGCATTTGATAACATATTTAGGAAACTTCTTGGTAAATCTGAAATAGTTGATAATCTTGTAACATATCTTGCATTTAAGTTTGTCTTGTTATTTGGCAATTTCTCCAATTTCTCTTGTATTACATGATTCTTTCTGTTTTTGAATGGCGACTTTATGTTTAATTTTCTTGATCTAAATTTAATTGATGGTTTCTTATAAATCTTATCGGATGTGCTATTGGAAGTAGATGATCTAGATCTATAGGAAAATTTAATTGGTGTCAATTGATGTCTCACAACAGAAGAATTTGATATTTCATCAGAAACTTTGGTCTTTCCAAACTCATTCAGAACCCAATTGACTCTGTTTTCAGTATTAACATACCCATTAGCCATATCAGGTGTTAAAGTTTGTGCCGAATTCTTCAAAGGAATAAATTTATTATTTAAACTAGTATCTGTATTATATGATTGTAGATTCTTTTCTTCGTCTTCCTGTTGATTTTGTTCTGATTCAGTTTGAACTTTCTGTGCTGAATTGTCACATCCGGTAAATATACCATTAAAGAAAAGACTGAATAATAATGCGGATTGGAATGCTATCGTTAAATGCTTATTTAATTTGCTTGGATAAGGAATATGCTTAGTTGTTTGATTAAAATATTCTACAGAACATGTTAGAGTCAATAATTGAAAAAAAATATTGGTTGATCGTATAAAATATTTATTTAAAGGTAGGAATAAAATCAACCTTATTAGAACTGTAAGGGCATATACAATAGAAGAACATGCTATTATAATCAATACAGCTCTGTTTTCATTAAACAATGATGTCAATGCAATGGCTAATGAACCAGTTGTCAGAGACACCAGAAGACTCAGTAGTGCAACCAGTTCCAACATGACTTATTCTATTCTAAGTCTGGTTTTGATTTGGAAAGGTTCTTGCTTGATAATGATATCTTTATTTAATCAACAACGAGTAAAACAACAGGAAAGTAACCAATTACAAAGAAAAAAGCTTAAGTAATATCAAGAAAACATTACTTTGTTTATAAATTAATGTAAAATATGTAAATATCAAATCATCCTGAAAAAAAAAATATTAATACAAGGGAAAGAAAGATCAGTCAAGTAAAACTTTAGAGATAGCACTGTTTGCAGTTACCTTGCATCAACCAAAGGCAGTCTAATATTTATGTATTTCCGCATTAGGAAAAACATCAAATTTTTTTGACTGCCGAAGGGGACCATTGAAATTGTTTTTTTAATGTGGTCGCGGTAGTAACAGATTACTGCAAGCAAACAGACAAACAAACAAATCGAATGAGTGAACAAGGGAGACAGCAGCAGGGGAAGAAGGGAGTGTTTACATAATAGGATATGTAAGGCGATGCTATGAAATTGCATTCTTCCATATCTTAAGTTATTGCTGAAAATATGGTATACTGTGCAAGTGTATATGTGCAGGCTGTAATTGGAATACAGCTGCTTCCATGGAGAAGATTTAAAAATGCTGAACCGATATATGATTACTGTCTATGTATAATGTATTATATAAAAACACTCAGATGTTATCTAGTACGGTACAGAACTACCTCCGATTGTTTGAAGTATCGTCTCCCATCCTCATCAATTATTACAAGACTTAAGTAGTTCTTGACTGTAAAATAATTGCAACTCATGTTAGGAGTCAAATCATACCCTCCTAGGAATAAACGAATAGGTATCGTTTCCCCCTTTACAGGGGACCCATCCATTATTTCAAATCTAATACTTGTTGTATCGATGATTACGCTATTTTGTTTGACTCCCGATGATTCTCTTGTTATCAAACTTAGTTCCATATATTTCACCCGCAATCTCGTTAATAAGAAATATATCCTACCTACTATTACATCCTTCAAGGTATATTGAGATTTCACATATTCAAATTCTATATGTAAACAATTATCTATACCTATATCTAGTTTGACTGGTTTTGGAACCACCCCATTCTCCTGAGACGTTAGAGTATCACTAGACTGTTCGTTTCCATTTTCTTGAGGTTCAGAGGTAGACCCTGTTTCTTTTGGTTTACTCTTATCTCCATTTCCGCCGTCAGTATACTCATTTATAATCTTTCTAGTACCTGTTTTAGTAGTTGTCACGTTATTGGGAGTTTTCGAAATATCATTGTATAAGTATACCCAGAATCTTTTAAGTTTAGATATATCTGTAGATTTTCTAGTAACTGTAACTTTTATGTAATATGAAACGTCCACATTTTTTCCTCTATATGATTCATACATTTTAGCTAAATCTTTGAAGGCAAAAGGAAAACTTTGAGAATGTTGCAATTCACCTGGAGGGCAAAGATCATAACTTAAATACAAAAATTGATCCACTTGTTTCTTCTTAGAGTCAGTTGCACTATAATTTGAAGCATTTGAGGATGCAGAAGAACCCTTTGATGCTGAACTTGGTGTCACTCCACCAACTTTTTGCATATCAATTGAACCCACCACAGATATTTTTACACCCAAATGCTCTACTCTCTTACCTTCTCTTACACGAAGCGTCACAATACCTTTTAATGATTCTCCATCTTCTATTAATGGAAGAGATTCCTTTCTCAATGCATTACCTGAGCCTGTTGAAGCAGGTACCTCAACATGTTTCCTTGATTCTTCCCCATCTAATAGAATCTCGATATCAATTGGAGACTTAAAGAACATATTCATTTTTAAAGCAATATTGAAATATAGTTTGTATTTTCAACACTTGCCACTTATTATGTAGTGTAGCAGTCTTACACAATTATTATAAGATAAATAATAGTTAAAAATACTTCGAGTTAGGTCTCATCCATTCATTCATTTACCGTTGCTAATTAATCCTTTGATATGTTAAATGAGTGTTCAGGTCCCCTGTTCTTCCTTTTTTTTTTTTCCATGAAAGGGCGCAATACAATTTAATACGTAAAATTGCTATTTAACAACCAAAAATCATGTGACCCATCTATCTAACGAACTACTTCTCTCTTGCTGGTCACTATAGAAGGTTAGCTCCTATTTAATTCCTAGTATGTACATGGTATATTACTATATCTACATATATATGCCTATAAATATATATTTACGTACTCTAATTATTATCAGAATCTTCTTCTACTTGAGATGCAATGGGACTCACAACTTCATCGGAGACTGGTTTATTGCATGTGTGTAGTAGTTGTGTAATACGGGGATCAGTCTCTATAGTTCTAGTCCATTCACTTTTTCTCTTTATACCCTGTTTCACCCATGAGTTTGGCCAATCGTACTCTTCGTCTACAGCTAGTTGTAAATCGTTTGGTGTTTCGAATGGTCTTACATGTTCACGCTGCACCAAATCTGCTACTTCTGAACAAATTTCTTCTGTAAGATATCTCTTCCTGTAAAATCTGTATATTCTTTGTGGGATTGCAAGGAATCCGATCAAATTTGGAATAGGAATAACCAGAAGTGGTTGATGTGCCAATATTGGAATATCTGTTATATTATCTCTAATAATATTTCCTTGTGAGTTTAATTCCAATGGTGGGAAGGGAGACGCATCATATTCAGATGGTTTTATAAATGGCTTTAATACTTTTGTATCGATTTCTTTATTTTCAGATTCTTCTTCAGTTTTATTTTCTTTAGATGTATCTTCGACAGAAGTTGATTCGTCGGATGAGGGAATCTTTACATCTTCCAATTGCTCTTCCATAACTTTAATTTTTTCATCTTGAATATCAGTACCTTCATTTTCTGCAAGATTCATTATTGTTGATGGGTCTTTATCATTTTCTGATGGGCTTAAAGAAGGTTCAGGTTCGGGTGCTTCGAGAGGTCCCAAAAGACCCTCATGTAACCCAGTAAGGTACTCCTTGTAGGCCCCTCTACCGATACATATCACACCCCCCACTAATGATGGATCTGAAGATTCCAGATCTTCACTTACAATTGATTCGGGTTTAGCATGTTTATAAAATATTCCAATGGCATCCCTCCAATCAAAATTCTTCTTATATTCTTTGGCAAGTTCAATTTCCTGCGATTTTGTTAACTCCTTTACAGGTTCCTCTGATTTTTCTGTTAGATTGGTAGTGTTTTGTGTCTTTTCAATGGCAAGTTTCCTTAAATTTCTTATTCTATTTGCTACTTCTGTTCTAATCATTCCCTGTCTATCTTCTTCAATAACATCGTAATCTAAACCAGCATAGTATAACACAGGTTTTACATATCTTCTCCATATCTTTAAAGATGTTTCAAGGTAATCACTTGGAGGAGGAGCAATAAATACAGTAATCTTTCTAGGAATGGTTTTAGTATCCATTTTCTGTTCAGCTAATGGTTTTACCATATTCGAATATTTTGTTATAATCTGCTTCTGTTGATATTTATCATAAGCAAAGCCTCCAACTGCAGCAGATACTGCAATCCAAAAGATTGTCCAATTTCGTGATGGTAATTTCATAGCAGGTATACCCATTGCTTGAAATGCAGGATTCGTAAATATTTTCTTTGGTGGTTTGACATTCTTTACTGATTTTGATGGTTCCACAGGCTTCTTTTCATCAACCATGTTATTATTAATATATCTGAAATCTCTCTAGTGTCAAGCTTAAAGCTCTATCTTAAATATACTTCATTTTTCGAGAGTGATCCTCAAAGTAGATGTTCTTATAGACATTGGAACCTCTGTCTTTCAATTTAGCTGACTCGTTGATTGGTTTTCAAAGAGCCATCAAAAAACTAAAAACAAAAAAAGCATCAAAAACAGTGACGAAGTTTCCGCAGAGACTAAAAAGTATGATCTGACGGGAAAGACAAAGATAAAAATGCAATTAATTAAAACAATTTTGTATATATGTATATATGTGTGTGTATGTATAATTACGTGCAAATACATACAGAACCGATCAGATAACTTTCACACATTTATAAATAATACTAATGCGAAAATTTGTATCTTCTTGAAGGATCTGTTTGAAATGAATACGTATCCAAAATGAAGGAAAATTCACAATTTCAAACATTTTTTTTTTGTTTTATTTTTGTATTTACAATGTTGGTTTACCTTCATCATCCCACTTCAGATTAAATCTACCTTCGGGGACTTTATACTCTTGAATCTTTTGTATAACTTCTTCAGCAGTGGTTGCTACTTGTACAATATTACCATTAGAATGACTAATAAATCCAGCTTCAATTGAATGCGAAATAAATTCTAGTAATGAATCATAAAATCCATCAATATTGAAAAGAATTACAGGTTTGTTATGTATCCCTAACTGAGACCAAGTGATACATTCCATAATCTCTTCAAAAGTACCATAACCACCAGGCATAGCAACAAATGCATCGCTTTCATCGGCCATTAATCTCTTTCTTGAATGCATATCACTAACCACTGTAGTTTTCCCAAATTTCCAAGAAATCGGTGTAGAACCTTTATGATTATCCACATCCATCTTTATTTGATCTTCCAGCTCTGTGGATTTAATTGAACTTGTATCATTTTCGTTATCATCATCTTTAGAATTACGTTCTTTAGAGACTAAAGCACTAGGGATAATACCATGAACACGACCATCATAACGAGGTCCCATCGTAGCTTTAGCAATCTCTCCCATCAGACCAGTAGTACCACCACCATACACTAACTGCCAACCTAGTTTATGGAACAATTCACCTAATTCACGAGCATCTCTGGAATAAATAGGGTTTCTACCAGCGGATGAACCACAATAAACACACACCGAACGAGGACTATTTGGCATTATCTTTTCTACGTTTCTTTTAATAACTTACACTAACAGTGGGCAACTCAGTAATATACGATTATTAATGACAACCTCCCTTATATATATATATATATATATATGTATCTGCCCAAGAAATTTCTTCAAAAATGACCCGAAAACTAACCGCTAATCCTTTAAGTGCTCGATTCCTCCTCTTCATAGTATACATATATATATATATATTTAACACTCACCCTAGGGAATATCATCTCACACGTGGGCAATAAGAGACATCAAATTGTGGAGTCACGTGCAAATTTAATTAATTATTTTCTTTAAAGGTTTGTGCGCCACCTTCACAGGGAGGCTGAACAGCGCTCTTCGTGACCTCGACGGTTCCCTCTCTGAATAAGTTACTGATCTTTCTTGTTTTTGGTCTATTCTCTTCATCTTGATGAAATTTGATAAGTTCAAAACTTGCAACAGTGATGATGCTTAGAACAACATCGTTTGGTTTTGAGCATTGGAAATCTGTGAATGTTGATGGACTGTTTTCTTTTTTTTTTAATTTTTTGCTAGGTTTATACAATTATTTTAACAGGGTTTGCCATCATCACATATAAAAACAGAATTGAGACATAGAAGGAAAGATATAATTTATTAGCTACTTTTGTTGCAAACTGAACAACTGTTGACCTCAAAAAGAAAGAAGAATGAAACTTGATGATACTGACTGTAAAGGTCAGTTTCAAGAGGGTATCGTGCATGGTCATATTCATAATTTTAATAATATGACATATATCCATGGTCACATTCACCATAATGCATCACACCTTCCGAATTTAAATGCATCCACCGTACCAACTAATGTTACTACTGATATGTTCAAAGATAGGAATTCAGCAAATAAAAATATACAAATATCAAATGATTTTATTGAGAATTCAAGTTCACCATTTGATAGTAATGCAGAAAAAGCTTTGGAATCTGACTTCATGGATTGTGAACATTTTGAATTTATGGATACAAATGGAACTTTACCCGATCGATTTTCTAATAATTTTAATAATTCATTTTTTATGGATACTGCAGCAGGTGACGCTACTAATTGGGATAAAAAGAATTTGTTGGAATCGCACCCTTATGATCTGAGCAATAATAATAGTAATGGCGGTGGTCCAATGTACTCAAAGTCAAAAAGTAGAGATCATAGGGTCTCACTAAGTGATGATATGTTAAATTTGCCATTATCCAAGAAGAGAAGATTAAGTGGCTCAAGTGAAGGTAATCAAGATAATTGTCCTTGTAATCCTAAGATGGTAGAGATATGTTGTGATGTTGATCATACCAATATGTCTTCTAATAACCCTGCAGTGGAAAATATTTCATTAAACACTCACCCAAATTTTATGGTACCGAATGATTATGATATGCATAATTTATCTTATCATGGAGCTACATCACCACCTTCTCTTCAGTCGAAAAATTTCTATCAGAATAATTTTAATAATGCCAATACTGCAATACCTGTGTCACCGTCTACCAACTTTCAAAGTAATGAATCAAATAAGGTAGGTCAATTAAACAATGATTTTGCCAAACAATTTTTAGATTTGAACTGTGATTTAACGTGTGAACCTAGTTGTTTAGATAAAGAATATCAACCAAACTCAGTTATTAGTAATCATCATAATAACAATACTACTGATACCAAGCAAGGCAATAATCCTGTTAAACAGGAAAATACTAAAATAAATATAAAAAAAGAACCTACAGATACCCAAGCTTTACCAAACAATGTGCCCGTAACGCCATCTATTGATGGGAAGGAAGATATGTTAGAGACATTCTACAAGGCATGCCAAAGAGTAGGTGAGTCCAACGAAAATGCAAACATTACAAAACCATTGAATACTGGAATTGATACAACTGTACCTCATATGAATCACCTCCATGTAAATGATACAAATCAATATCATAAACATACATCGAATAGACAGTTAGATATGCAAATCATTAGTGATATTTGTGCAATTTCATCCTTATATGAAATGCCATTAGCTGATCATATGAATCATCATCACCATAAACATAGTGCTGAACCGCAATCCACCGATCAACCAATCCCTCGATCTGAAAGTTTTAATTTATTAGAATCAGTAGTGAATTGTAAACCAACCAGAGTCCTTCCTAAGGGTAAAAATACTTCAACTAGATTACCACAGGTCGATCAGCAACAACAGCTAGAAAACCATAACCATCATCATCACAAAATTCAATTTCATGACCATAACACGACTCCATTTGAACAATATCAAAGTGACAAAACCGTTAGTTGGGAAAGATTTAAAAAAGATTATAAAGGGTCCTCTAATAAATTAGAACGCGAATATAAACCTACTGGTACTAATTCTGCCAATGATGACACTTTAATATTGTATCACCATAATGAACAACGGTCCATGGATCAAGTGAAATTGGAACCTTTAAATACTATTCATTTCAATTGGAATTTTAAGACAAATGATCAAGCATCCGAAAATATTGAATGTAAATGGGATAATTGTAGGAATGACTATAATTCATTAATAGAACTACAACGTCATTTATTTAATGACCACATTACAGAATATAATTTACCATTGAATCCTAGTAATGATCCTTCTAAGGATCCAGTTGCTAGTTGTAAATGGGAATCATGTGATTTCAAATCTAAGGATGTATGCTCTTTTGTCAACCATGTTAATAGTAAGCATGGTATTAATTTTGATATGGAATTTGTAGACTCTAAAAATATGACAACAAATCAGAAATTCAATGGTATGAAAAATCCGCACCATATGTATCATTGTAAGAATACAGATTGCCAGACTTCTACAAGTCCTGAATCTACAACAGCTCAAGAGAGTATTACTAGTGTCGATTATACATTATCTCCAAATACTGTCGGTTCTAATTCTAACAACACTACTACTGTTACAAATGACAGGACACTTGTAAAAGAAGAAACCCCCTACATTATGGATATCTCTAAGGATCATCAACATACTAAGAAATCTGAAGATAATATCATTCACTGTAAATGGTTAGATTGTACAGCCACTTTTAATAATGAAGCTGAACTGGATCATCATTTAGAAAGTTTCCATATACCTAAGGGACAATCTAGTTATCAATGTCATTGGACTGGCTGTGGCCGTACACTACCAACAAGACAAAAGATGGTTAGACATATAAGAAAGCATTCAGGTGATAAACCATTTAAATGTATGGAATGTTCTAAATGTTTTGCTACAAAAGAAAGTTTGAAACAACATGGTAGAACTCATACCGGTGAAAGACCATTTAAATGTCCATATTGTGATAAAACATTTGCATCTTCTACATTTGTTAATATACATGTACGAATGCATACTGGAGAGAAACCATTAGAATGCCCTTATTGTCAAAAACGATTCAGTGAATCTTCTAATTTGAATAAGCATATTAAGACCCACCTTAAGAAATTTAAGGATCAAAATACTAATAATAATCTTACAACCGGGAAGAGAATCACTGCACATAAACAAAATATGTAAAATAAATTTCACAATGATACATATTGTTATTTAAAGAAGAGTATATATTCAAAACACACAAATATTTATTTATTAAAAAAAAAAATAATAACTTTATTTAAAACAGTAACAGAAGACACAATGAAAACTCTTGATTTTGCAACGTTATGAGGTACGTAAAACAGAGATAGAATTACTACAACATGTATATGTATATGTATTGATTTACTACTTACAAGTATAATAACCTTTTTTCCCGATATATCTATATTGTGTTCCAAAGAGGCATTTGGTAGCAAGAGAGTTAATTCTATATTCTTATTTTCCCTATTGTCTCCGAGTGACACAAGGTAGATACAAGGATTCAAAAAAAAAAAATCACACAGATTGAAGAAAATAACAACAACGTCAAATATTCATCTACAACAGTCATTTACATTATAATCTCATCATGTTCATTGACTTTGGTGTGTCACATTAGATTACGTACTTTGCAGCGATGGTGTAAGCTCTCGGAAATCCCACTCTTTTTAATTTCCGCCGGGAAAATCTACCGAACCAAAAGAGTCAAAGGCAAATTGCTTATTGTATCTCCCCCACAAGAACAAATATTTTTCTAAGTTGAATTCTCAGGTCTGACAGAGGGATATTATGTCAGTTAAGTTTTACCATGATCCCTGTGGACAGTATGAAGATGCTTATAGTGTGGGTTTAAATTCATTTTCGCTAAGCTGGAAAAAAAGAAAGAAAGAAAGAATACCCACTCTTTCTACCTGTCAATCACAACTTTGAGGAGTCGTGAAAAGCAATAACACAAATCGATGAAGTAATCATTATTATATCATCATCAAGTACGCCGAACAAGCAAAAAAGAAAGTATTTTGCATTTTTGGCCATTAGGTAAGAGATATCTGTTGTGCTCTCTCTCTCACACACACTGGTGGTCATGCACCTTCTCTGTTGAAAAACAACGACAACCGAACTGACGTCCTTTTGCAGGAACGTTTCTAAGGTCCCGGGCTGTGGATACGGCAAACAAGTAAGAGATGTGAGGAGAGAGAGCGCGACAACGTAATATATTTATCAACAAATGAATATAATTGTGATCTTGGAACTCTAAGGGGATCGGAAGAATTATGAAATTTTCAAGTAGACTTGTTCTCGATGATGATGGGAGAGGGATAAGATGACGATTAAGTAAATAGCATTACATTCACGTATAATCTTGCAAAATGTACATCTCTGTTTTTTCTTTTTTGCTTATATTTTTTTTTTGCTCAGTCTGAGATGTCAGATTCTTAATCCTTGTTTTCTCTTATTTTTATATAAATCAAAGACCTAATAACCCTTTTTTTTCTTTGATTATTTCTTATCATACTTTAGCTTTACTGATACTAATTTGGTGCCTTTGTTTTAATAGTAAAATTGTTTGTTTAGTTGCTTAAAACTATTTAAACATTTGTCCAATAAATTTACTATCTGCTGCTTGTCCTTTTCTCCCTTAAAGTAGTAGTAATTCATATCAAAACGAGCTCATCAAGACTTATTTCTATATTATAATAATTATGCTAAGATTGTTAACTAAGAGTGCAATTTCTGCTCCTAAGCGCAGTATCAATTGGAATCAAGGTGTTCTAAGATTAAGTTCAACTTTTACAATTCCAAAGACTCAAAAAGGTGTGATCTTTTATGAAAGTAATGGCCCATTACATTATAAAGATATTCCTGTCCCTGTACCAAAACCAAATGAAATTCTAATCAATGTGAAATATTCTGGTGTTTGTCATACTGATTTACATGCTTGGCAAGGTGACTGGCCTTTACCTACAAAACTACCGCTGGTCGGTGGTCATGAAGGTGCAGGTGTAGTTGTTGCAAAGGGTTCAGAAGTGAAAAATTTTGAAATTGGTGATTTAGCTGGTATCAAATGGTTAAATGGTTCATGTATGTCATGTGAATTGTGTGAAACAGGTCATGAATCTAACTGTGAACAAGCTGATTTATCAGGTTATACTCATGATGGTTCATTTCAACAATATGCTACTGCAGATGCTGTTCAAGCCGCTAGAATTCCAAAGGGTACCAACTTGGCTGAAGTAGCCCCTGTCTTATGTGCAGGTATCACTGTCTATAAAGCTTTAAAAGATGCTAATTTGAAAGCTGGTCAATGGGTAGCAATCTCAGGTGCTGCCGGTGGTCTAGGTTCTTTAGCGGTTCAATATGCTAAAGCAATGGGTTATAGAGTATTGGGGATCGATGGTGGTAAAGGTAAAGAAGAATTATTTAATTCTTTAGGTGGTGAAGTATTTATTGATTTCACTAAATATAAGGATTCCAAAGAAATGATTAATGCTATTAAAGAAGCCACTAAAGGTGGTCCTCAAGGTGTTATTAATGTTTCTGTCTCCGAAGCAGCCATCTCCATGTCTACTGAATACGTTAGACCTACTGGTACAGTTGTTCTAGTTGGTTTGCCAGCACATTCATATGTTAAATCTGAAATTTTCTCACATGTTGTCAAATCTATCAATATTAAGGGTTCTTACGTTGGTAATAGAGCAGACACAAGAGAAGCCCTAGATTTCTTCTCCAGAGGTCTAATCAAGTCACCAATTAAGATTGTTGGTTTATCAGAATTACCAAGTGTTTACGACCTAATGAAGAGCGGTAAGATTCTTGGTAGATACGTTGTCGATACTTCAAAATAGATACGTACATATATATATATATATAAATAGCAACAAACCCCAAATTGTAAAAAGTAAAAAAAATAACATAAACGTTCCAGTTTAACTCGTACAATTCATTTGGGCATTGTCATATAGCGGTCCATATTACTGTTGTTCATAACCATTATCTAACTATGACACACAGAATACTGTTACTACCTGTGGAATCTCTTATTTTAGCATTTTGTCGGCCCAGTGAAAAATAATATGTTATATAACCGAAAACCCAGCAAAAGGAAAGGAAAAAAAAATAACGAAAAACGAAAATTAAGGAAGACTTTCTGCATAAGGAGAGAAGGCATTTCTTAAATATCAACTGTTTTTGAAACAAATATTTACACAGTTAATAAAGAGTTTACATTCGTTTTTTTATACGTAAATTTAAACAATTCCTATAGTACAATATACTAAAATATAATATTTGTAAAGATTTTTAACATTCAATCGGTGATAACATATATATACAATCGTTCTGTTTTGTTTACTATTAGATCTTTAAATTAAAGGGACAAGAAATTTTCTCATTACTTTAATATTTATTTTGTGTGTGTGTTTTCCTTTCACAACTTATTGAAAAAAAGGTTACAATATCAGTATATTTAGTGAACTATAAATTGATTTTCCATTTATTGAGATTACTACATTTTTGTTTTGTTTACTATCTAAACCTCCTTCATAATCAACAATGTTTAGAAGAAACGATAATCGTTATCAATATGGTGCGCCTCAAAAACCAATGGATTCAAGTGCATTGGCAGCAGCTAGTGCCTTAGGAAGAGCTTTACAGCCGGATGGTAAGACGGTCGATCATTCAAAATTACCTATATACAATCAACCATCTAGATCTGCATCAGTAAGAAACTTTAATAGACCGAAAAGTATAGTGGCACCTCCAAAGACGAAACATCATTCTATTACTTCTACTGCTACACAAAGACATTCCTCGTTAACCAACACTAGGTATAATGATGGTAGAACGAAGACAATATCACAATCAAGAACAAATTCTGTCCATAGAGAAGATAAACCACAATCAAGGACGAGATCTATTACAGGAACATCACAACGTCAACAATCATCATCACAATTAAAGAAATCAACATCGGTAAATAGTTTGAGAGAATATCATCGATCGTCTAGTTTACCAACTAAGATGAGTTCATCGAACATTACAAAAATGCAACAACATGACGCTAATACAGCTTTTGCAGATTTTGGTGATCCACAATTTGTAGATGCATTAGACACATTACCTTCTCATCCTATTAAAGTTAGGACTGTGAAAAAATATATACCGGGTCCAAATGGTCTAATTTCTATTGAGGTACCTGTAAATGAACCGATAGTGTATGAACATAGGACTGTTATACCTAAAAAATCATCTAGGTCATCTCTAAAGACATCACAAAGTGTCCGTTCCAATTTGGATATAAATAATACTAAAAATTTTAATTCCCTACAAGCCAAACCAAAGGCTAAAATAAAAAGATCATCCAGTATGCGTTATTCGCTGAAGACAGATCAAGATACCCGACTAAATTCCATGACTGAAGTTGACTCTGGGTCAAATCATAATGCTCGTCATCATGGACATAAGTCTAACGATAAATTAGCTACACATTCCATAAGAGCAGCTTCCTTGAATAATAGAACAAAAAATCCACGACATACAAATATTATTAAAACCTCTATGCCTGAGGAAAATGAGACAACACCACCAGTTGAAACACATGTAACTGAGAAACCAAAAGCCAGTAGTAGACATAATTCTCCTGTTGAGACTACTTCTAAAGCTTTTGCAAAAACAAATACAACTAAAGTTCAGCAAGGGAAAGAACTCCCAAAGAATCATAAGGAACCACAAAGAATGAATTCTAGTATGACTAAAATATCAAAAAAAAGAAAATCATACGATTTTTCTAATGGCTTTGCGGACTTCGCAGATGATAGTCTTATAACGAACTACGATACTGTTAGACCAATTGTTTTAGACGAAGAGGATGTTTCCGTCATTAAAAATAGTTTACCAGACATAATGGATTCTGACGATAAGCCAGCCGATGTGGAAAAGAGTTTTATTGAAGATGAACAAGAATCATCTATCAAAGATTCTCTAGAAACCGGTGATGACCACTACGGAAGAAATCATAATGAGCAACCTATGTTGGAACAAACTACATCTAAACAAACTGAAGAAAATATACAAAATTCAGAAACAGTTGAAACGTTAAACCTAAACCTTCCAAATGGAAAAAAAGAGGTAGACGATAAAGAGCAAATAAATAGCGATGGATTAAACCTTTCTGAAAATATGGAAAACACTAATGATGAAACTGTTGTTGATGATGATATCGCCACTAAAGAATCAAACAAGCTATTATCATCAGGCACACTCGCCGAACATGAGTCTGAATCAAATGCTGCTCTAGATGGGCCCTATTCTGAAATACCAAATGATAGTAAAGATCATAAATCAAGTGATGATAGAGGTGATAAACCAAATAATATTGAGAAGCTACCTGAAGCTTCTAATGAAGAATCTGAAAAAAGAACTGACGAAAAAAAAGACAATAAAGGTAATGTAGAGGATAAAAATACAAAAACTAACGATGATGGAAATGCATTAGAGGATAACCATGCAGTCATTGAAGAAGCTGGGAATGACAAAAATGGGGACTCGGCAGAGCAGTCTGATGTTGAGCTGGATAAAAGTAGTTCAGTCATTCCTACAACACCTGCTGCAGTGTCTATAAACGACTTCCACACTCCTACAATGACAGCGCTTCATGGTATGGTCACACCACCTTCTAGCACTTCTGCATATGTAAGTACAGAAGAGGATATGAATTTAAGAAGCTCGGTTGAAGATATTATTGATTCGATGGATGCAATAGATGTAGAGTTAGAAGGCAATTTAGACGTTTCATTAGATTCTACTAAACATATACCACAAGAGGTACAGGAAAATGTTTCGAATAAAGAAATCAATTACAAAGGACCCAAAACTGTGAAGGAAAATCTAAAACCTATTACTAAAACTACAGCTATTATTAAACCGAAAAAGAACATAGTAGACTCGACAGAACATAAAGTCAGCAATGGTAACAAAAGAGGGTCTGATTTCGATAGACAATCGCCAAAAAAAGATGAACATAAAAATCTTGCTCATCATCTACGTACAGCAAATCCATATCTATCCATACCACCAAAGAGTGCTAAGAGGTTAGAGGATAAATTAAAAAACGAAAAAAAGAAAGAAGCTGCTGTCAAAAAACTATCCACGTTATCTAAGGGTGAAGAACGCAACAAAGATATTTCTAATATTGGCGCAATTTCAAGAAATACTTTAGATGTACCAAAACCAAAGCTGACAAAGACCGTCACACCTATAAAGTCTGCGTTAAAGAATACTCCAAACGCCAAAAGTAACAGTTCTTCTATGTATTCGGATTATTCTCCTGCTGAAGGGGCATATTTATCATTGACAACTGCTGAAAACACAAGATTGAATGCAAATATTCCTGAAACCTTCGCTCCTCCAATGAGACAAAATGTCTCTAAAAGATATTCAAGGCCACAATCTATGATGGCCAGAGTCAATCAAAGATCTTCTTCTCCTACTCCGAAAGAAAAAACTAGACTAAATCGTAATTCCACAATTGAAAGGCATTCAAGTCAGATAAGAAATTCACAGGTTAAGCCACATTCAAATGACCATACGATGAAGAGTAGCTTGGGTACAGTTCAGTCCGTTAAAGCTGCATCTTTGGCTATTAATCCGTCTACTAATGATCAACAGTCCATAAAACGTAGTGGTTCATTTTCAAAATCCGTTTCAATAGCTAAAAAGAAGGCAGAGACGAAGGGGTTTGCCTTCAATGGAGAGCCAACCGCAAGAAGAAGGATGGTCAACAATAATAAAACATCTAGAGCTACAACTACAGGAGCCGCTACGACAAACAATGGAATAGACCCAAATTTAGTGGGTATATTATACCCAAGGGAACTTCCACAAAAGAAGTCTAGTTTTGAAAAATTAAGAACAAACGATTCTCATCTTGGTTTCAAAAAAATGTCCTTAAGAGACGAGTCGATTATGAACGATAATCAACAAGAGGAAAATACAAATGAAACTCACCAGAATGGTGAACCAGAAGAAGAGAATGTCGTGTCAAGTCTGTTAAAGAGTGGTGGGTGGACATCTAGATTCCAAGATTCTGATTCTGATGATGATTTCACAGAAAAGTTATCAGGATCTAAGGGGTCATCAAAGATATCCTCTCCAACAAAGGAATCTAAATCAAGGTTAACAAATGGCCTTTCTATGTTTAAAGGGAGACAAACGGCAGATAATTCTGAGCAAAACCACCACTCTAATTATCACGTACATCCTCCTCACTCGAATAATGCTCAACGTTCTGTTTCAACACCAAACCATCAAGCGAATAGTAATAATTACTCAAACAGAAATGGTTACTCACAGTTTGTTGACCCAAATCGGGTTAACTCTGCTGGGAAATTTTCAAATCAGGTACAACAATCCAATGACAATAACGAGAGGAGGGTACTTTCCAACACAATTCAAAATAGTAACACAGGAAGGATGTCTGGAAGAACTCTAACAAAAGTTGAAAATGGTGATGGTTCAAACAAGAAACAAGGTGGTTTTGGTAAGAAATTAAAGAAAATATTCGGTCGTAAAAAAAATGATATGTAATGCATGTAAGTATATTTTGTCTTACACCTACTTTAATTTACATAAATAAACCTAAATAGACAATGCACGTTACTATTAACATACATAGTTGTGCCTTGTAGTACTTCTCTATTAAGCTATACAACTTTGGTGATTTTACTTATTTTGTATGAGGTTACTTGAATTTCAGGATTTCTTACCTCAACCAACTTTGCATGGTAATTTTCAGTCACCGAGCAATAAACTTCAAAACAATTAAGGCACTCCTTAAACTAACCGCCATTATTAGGTAAATTTGAATAAAGGACGTATACAAGAGGGTTCAATTGAATACTTATAATTTTATACTTTATCTTGAGTGTTAAATTGAATAAGAAATTGGTAAATTTTTATTGTTTTATGATTAGAATTTTTATTATATTTGAGCTATAATCATTCAATTATGGATCACCATTGAACAATTCCAGAGAAAATAAATAAATACGACGACAATATGAAACCACTTCGCATAATATTATGTGATATGAATAAAACAGTAACTCAATTATGGACCGATTTTATTCAAAAAGCAGCAACTAAGAATCCCAATTTGGTATATATTCATCATGGCGATTTTGAGTCCCTTATAAAGAAACTGAAAAATAATAATGTTAACAAAAATAAACGACTCTACTCGGTGGTATCACCTGGTAATTCGTTTGGTTACTTAGGCGGAGGGTTTGATCTAGCACTATATAACTATTTTGGTGGTGCCCCATTTGAAAAATGGTTTAGAAAACAATTGGAAAATGAATATAAACCAGTTGGATCGATCACCACAGTGGACCTTCAAAAATGTAAGGACAAAACCTTGAATCCAACTCGAGATGGAATGAATTATATTGTACATTGTCCTACGATGATAACTCCAAACGGTCCAATATTTAATCCATCAGAGCCAATGAAAACTGGTGTAGAACCAGTGTTTGATGCTACTTGGAATTCATTAAGATACGCACCGGAGGATACGGACGCTATGATTATATCGGGATTATGTACGGGTTATGCAGCAGTCCCGGAATCTTTGAGCTGTAAAAGTATGATATTTGCCATTAGATTATATTTATGCGATGGGTTACTTTCCAGTGAATTGAAAAATATATTGATTATGCATTTTCTTGGATATCCATATAAAGCATACTTCCCAGAAGAATGCAGGGATGAATGTAAAAGGGTGGGTATAGATCTGGAGAAATTAAGGACATTTAACGCTTTAACTGATTCGATTGATTCGATTCTCCCACCTCATTTAATCATTGAATGATTTATTAGATACAGTAGATAGATTTGAATATATGTTATAAAAAAATATTTAATTCAACTATTTTCAAAATGCATTTTTTAGTGAGTCGATGTGTATATATTCTAAACAACCCCAGTATTCTTTGAAACTCTATTGTAAATTCTTAATAAAAACCAAAGAATTATTATACCAAATAGAGCTAATGTAATATTTGGATAATATGAAACAAGAAATGAACTTCTATAAACATTTAACAATTCTCTTAATGTATCCTTTGGAAAACCGGAGTTTCTTAGCATTGCAGAATCGCTGATCATCTTATAATATTGAGCCTTTGTGAATTCGTAAGTCGATGAGCCCTCTCTGTTTCCAAACATATAATTCCATAATAATTTTGATAGTGTATTTTCGTAGACTACTAAAGTTAATGATGCCCCTAGAACGTTACCTATAGACCTCCATAAATAAAAAATACCAGTCATTGTACCTTGTTGAGATTTCTCTACAGTGAATACAATACTTACAAGCGTAGCCACTAATAATAATGAATAACCAAATGTAACTAAGACACCTGCAGAAACAAATAATATTTTCCATGTGTATGATTCGGATTGTAATTCAAAGCTTGATGGGTTTAGCATGGATCCAATGATCTCTTTCGTTGCCAAGGATGGTTGTAAATGGCCAATCACGGTGTATTCTATAATTAACCCTGTAAATTGTAGGATCATCCCATTAAATGTGATAATAGATGCACAATGAGCTATATTTAATTTGGTCTTTCTTAAAATATGACCGGCCATGATAGAACCTACAGCGGTAGCCATGGAGGGGAACAATAAATATAAACCAGATTTTGTAACTGATATATTTTGAATCAATTGTATGTAGATTGGGGATCTAAAGATATCACCAAAGACAATAAATGAACTAAATACTGTTGCAATTGATGATAATCCGAATGGACCCTTAAGTAATTCAAATGGTATAATTCTTTCTTTTGCAAATGAGGTCTCCACCCATAAGAAAAATCCGAAACTTACGATTGTTATTATTGTCAACATAGTCTTATTCATATCGGTTGAAGTTAAAAACAAAATTGAACTAATTGTTATCACTAAACTACTAGAACCTAAGATATCAATTCTTGATAGATTCTTCCAAGTAAACCTTTCTTTAAATGGTGGGACGTGTACCAATTTAATATTCACATTAACTGAGGTTAAATATGAACATAACATAATTAAAGGTACCTGTACAGCAAACAAGGGTCTCCAACCAATAGAATCTAAAAAGATACCACCAATGGGTCCACCTAAAATTTGACCTGTACCAAAGACTATATTAGCATAACCTTGATATATACCTCTTTCTCTTGTAGTGCAAATATCACTAGTAGTAATACTACTCATTGCATTAATACCACCACCACCAATACCACAAACTGCTCTAGCAATAGCAAATTGTGTAACGTTTTGCGCAAAACATGTCAATAGACATCCTAAACCGAAAAAGAAATGAGCTGTCAAGACAGCAAATTTACGACCAACAATATCTGATAATTTACCATATAGAGGTTGAAATGCAGTATTTGTCAATAGATAACTTGTAGCAATCCATTGTTTTTTATTAGATTCTTGAAATTCTTCTGCAACACCATTCATTATATTAGCTACAATAGTACTATCAATAGAACTTAAGAAACTACCCATCCATAATGAAAAAATAATGGGTATTTTAGGTAATGACAAGTTATGATCCGAATAACTTCTCTCTAATGCACTCACTGTCCGTTCTAATCTGTTATCTTCCTGGACCAACAAACTGGAAGTCTCGTCTAAAGGTTCCATCTCGAATCTTATATGATGTTCTTAGTGTTTTTTTGCTTTGAATATGTATGTATTTAATTATTATCTCAAGTACAACATGAACAAGTGTAAAGAAATGTACATTACAATATGCAGTTGAATAGAATTTTTCAGATATATATATATATATTCATCGCATCAAAGGATGGTACATCATCCATTGTTCAGATAATACTCTCTTCAATTCATAGATTATGTTGTCTGTTTCTCTCATCATACAAAAGTGAATTATTTTACCGGAACGATTCACTTTTCTTTACTGTGTGCGTATGGTGCATATTGTGACTTTTACCAAATTCCGTGGATATCTGGAGATTTCCTGCGGGTGTTTCTGTGCGGAGATTCCCGGATTAAATAACACTTGAAAAAACTGTGGGAATTCCATTTTCTGTTTTTCATATTATCAGATGACAGAAGAGATAACGAAGCGACTGATAAAGGATTGTAAAGAGGCAAGACCTTGACGTTTATTGTTTATTGTCTTGTGCTGGGACCCAGAATTATCCAATTGGCTGATGGCGATATTGCACTCTATGCTACAATCTACTGCTTGCGGTGGATAAGAGAATAAAACGGAGATTCTTTTTATCGCGCTCTCTCTTTCTTAATGTTTAATGTCCATCTGTTTATCTAAAAAATTCGAGATCAACTGGGATCGCAATTGATAAGAATGACATCAGATGAGGTCCGGCAAAATTCTATATACATGTGTCTTTATTGTATGTGTTGTTATTTATATATATATGTACTAGATATTATGTGGTCGTATGGGGAGAGGAGAGGGTATTCAACTAAAAAGAAAGAAAAATGATTCATGCAGCTGTGCTTGGTTCGTTATCTGGTTTCTTAGGATCTGCAGGTTTAGAATCCTTGTCATTTAAATATTTATCAAATGCATCATTTCTTTCTGGGAATGGACGTTTACCTAAGAGATTAATCATATCTTCTCTGGTTAAAACTTCTTTACGTAATAGTAATTGAGCAATCTTTTCCACATCCTCAGCTTTCTCAGTTAATAATTTGGCACATCTGTCTCGACATTCTTGAATAATTCTAAATACTTCTGAGTCAATTATATCACCAGTCTCTTCAGACCATGGTTTAGTCATATCACTATCATCCTTCTTTTGGAAATTGATCCATCCGATTTTGGGGCTCATACCAAGTTGTGTAACCATTGCAGTAGCCATATTTGTAACTTTCTTAAAATCATCAGATGCACCACTTGTAACGGAAGAAAAATGTATCTCTTCTGAGACTCTACCACCTAATGTCATAGTCATTCTATCTCTCAATTGTTGTTCACTTAATAAGAAAATATCACCAGGTAAATATTGAGCATAACCTAAGGCACCTTGACCTCTAGGAATAATACTTACCTTTAATAATGGATCAGCATATTTTAAATACCAACCACAGACGGCATGGCCTGCTTCATGATATGCAACAACTTTCTTTTCTTCAGCAGATAATAGCTTTGATTTCCTTTCGACACCTCCGATAACTCTCTCGATAGCTTGTTCAAAATCCTTTAGTTGTACAGCAGTTTCATCACCTCTAGCGGCAATTAATGCAGCCTCATTACATACATTTGCAATGTCGGCACCAGAAAACCCTGGAGTCAATGCGGCTAATCTGTTTTTCAAATCATACACACCACTTGCTAATTTCAATTTGGCCAAATGAACAGCGAAGATAGCTTTTCTACCTTCCAATTCAGGTTTGTCAATATTGATATGTCTATCAAATCTACCTGGTCTTAATAAAGCTTTATCTAGAATATCAGGTCTGTTAGTACCAGCTAAAACCACAACATGGTCAGCTGGAGTGAAACCATCCATCTCAACAAGCATTTGATTCAAAGTATTTTCTCTTTCATCATTTGCACCACTGAAATTTCCCTTTTGTCTAGCTTTACCAATAGCATCAATTTCATCAATAAAGACAATAGATGGAGCATTTTCTCTGGCAGTTTTAAATAAATCACGAACTCTGGCAGCACCAACACCGACAAACATTTCTACGAATTCAGAACCAGATACAAAATAAAATGGGACGCCTGCTTCACCTGCAGTAGCTTTGGCTAGAAGGGTCTTACCTGTACCTGGTGGACCAGACAAGATGGCACCTCTTGGGATCTTAGCACCCATATTTTCGTAACGAGATGGTTCCTTTAAGAAACTGACAAATTCCATAATTTCTTCTTTGGCTTCATCACAACCAGCTACATCCTTAAAAGAAATTTTTACATTTGTTTCAGTGTTAAATTTCTGAGCCTTTGATTTACTCATTCCAAAAATCCCATTACGAGAACCACCTGCAGCCTGTGCAGATCTGCTTGTTAACCAAATAATACCGGCTATCATTAATACAGTTGGTAACACTTGGAATAACGTATGTGACCAGTTTCCTTCTTGGACATAAATAATTGGAACCCTAAAGGAATCATCTATTTCTAATTCATCTTGAGCCTTTTGAAGTTTACGTTCAAAATTTTCAATTGAACCGACTGTAAAGTAATAATAATCTGCGCCATTACGGTCAGCATGTGATTTACCACTATCGTTTAGCATTACTCTCACTAAAGATTTGTTCACAATAACTAATTTAGACACATATCCCTTAGCTAAGAAGTTATTATGAAATTCTTGCCAAGTGATCTCATTGGATGCTTCCTTAGCTGCAAACATATCCATCAATAGAGATAATAAAAAGAAAAATACGGCCAATTGGAAGAAATTGATAGTCTTAACAGGGGGTGTACCGTTGGGACCTTCACCAAAGAAATTATTCATATTTACATTATTCTTATTTCCACCACCATTATTTCCATTAGCCGTGGTATCATTTTTATTTGATTTTGAACTTTCATTCTTATTCGGTTGTTCTTGTTCTTCTTGTTCTTGTTCTTTTTGTTCTTTTTGTTCTTCTTGTTTTTGTCGAACTTGTTGTCTCTCAATAGTGGATTCTAATTTTTTAATTCCTTCTTGAATAATTTTTTTTTTCTCAGAGAGATCCATATCTTTATTTATATTAGTACTCTTTATATATTTTTCAATTTCTTCTTTAATTATACGCATATCTTCATCTGTAGCGTCTCTTCCATTTGAAGGTTTTTTATTGTTTCTTAGAATATTTGATATATGAAGATATCTATTAGTTTGGATGGTCTGGAGTTTATAGGGTAATTGTTTTCCACCATTATTTACTATTAGTCTTAACTGATTTGAGAATATCCCGTTTCTTGTTATGAGTTTTGTACTCGATATCGAACGAGATCTTAAAACACCCCACATATCTATTCTTTTTTTATATGTATAATTGAAATTAAATTTTATGAGTCTAGTTTAAAAAAAAATAACTTTATAAATATCTTTCTAAGAATGTATGATATTTGAAAAATTGAATGGGTATGAAATATGGATTATAATGGAATATTGATACGTTTAAAAATAAAGGAGGATTATTACTAAATTAAAACAATGATTTTGTCTCGATATATAGTATTGTTTTTTTCAAATATTAATGTCATACAAATGGTATACACCTCGAACTGATGAAGTATCTTAAATGAAAATAAACCAAATTTTAACAATATTTGATGATATCCCTTTTCTTTACTTTTTTTTATTCTTTTTTTGTTTTTTGAGTTAGTGCAATTTAAGATTTTGAATTCCGTAAACGCCACCGATTGGCAATTCAAAAGACATTAATTATGTCGTGGTTCGTGATGTTGAACAGATATTTAATTTAAATGTGTCACGATCAACTTTAATTCTTCTATTCGTAATATAAAGCAAGTGAGAATAACTTACTAACTTCATAGTTTTTAGAACAGAGTTATAAGGTGATTAGGCGTTTTTTCTTGTTAAATTCTGTTACGTTACTTCTTTTAATAGTTCCAAACAAAATTAATAATTTGTTACAGTTATAGAAATTCAAAAAAAGGGGTTGCGTATAAGTTCAAAATAGAGAACTCCTTACCCTTAATTTCACCAAGTTATTCCAATTCTATTGGATTTATACTTGAACACTGTAATTTTAAGCAACCCCATAATGAACCTTGGATGATTTAAGAAGAATTCGCGGTTCGTTAACAATTATCATTGATTACAAGAAACACATCCCGTATTTCAATAATCGGTTTGGTCAAAGCACATACGCATCAAACAATATATACCATTACATAATACGGAGTTCGTTTATTATATATTAATCTACTAGATCACTTGCAGCTAACTGACTCTTGTCCCGCCATAAGCAGATACTTACTTAACTAATCTCTCTTTCAGGCTACCACCAACAGCAAAGTTGTATAATTTGTCATACGTATACTACCGCTACTTACTAATCAGTTACCAGCGACAAAACAATAAGACCATCCAGCATCCCTAACATCGCAAGTTTTGTTGCACTTCCCATCCCTTTTAACTGTTCTTCTTCAAGAAACTGAAAAAAAAAAAATAAAGAGCGTTTTTACGATCTGCACGCATTTAGCCTCGTCTCTATAGGGATGAGATGACAATATTACACATATACGTAATTAAGGAGTGAAAAATTATAAGATTACATAATGAATGCGAGCCTATATATAACACCGACAAATAAGGATAAATGTTTTTTGTTTCCCATATATATATAAGTAGGCCTACATTTGTAATCTTTTGTTTTTGTTTATAAGTTGCTAATTTCTTGTAACTGTAAATCATCAAGTATAATTTAAATATACAAACATACAAACACATATATATATTAATATTCAAAAAATGTCTTCCTCACCATTGAAAGTTGCAATTGTCGGTGCCTCAGGTAAAGTAGGTTCCTTTTTAGTTCAACTATTGAAAAACGATCCTAGTCATTTTGCCACACCATTAGCTTTAGTGAGAAGTGAAGAACAAGTCAAACATTGGAAAACTGAAGTTGGTATCGATGCCAAGTTAACTAGTGTTGAAAGCGATGATGTTGATTCAATTGCCAATGCTATTAAGGGTGTAGATGCTGTTGTATTTGCAGCAGGTGCTGGCGGCAAGGGTGTCGAGAGAATCTTTACTGTCGACCTTGATGGTTGTTTGAAGGTTGCAGAAGCTTGTGAAAAAGTAGGTACAAAAAGATTTATTCTAGTATCTGCTATTATGGCAGAAAATAGAAAATTCTGGTGGGATCTACAAGGTCTTAGAGAATATTATATTGCAAAGAGATCTGCTGATCGAGAAATTAGATGTACAAAATTAGATTACACAATTGTTCAACCAGGTTGGTTAACTAATGATGATTCTACAGGTAAATTTGTTCCCGCTGATAAAGCTGAATCAGTATTTTCAGATCATAAAGAAATTGCTAGACAAGATGTCTCTTTATTTATTAAAGAAGCTCTGTTACATCCAAAGGAGACTAATAGAAAAACTATTCCATTATTAAACGGTGATGTACCAGTATCAGAATTTTTTAAACAATTAAAATGAAAACAAACTTTCCAATAGGTTCAACAAATGTTTCTATGTATAAAGTATTAGTATGTAAGTTTTGATTCTTTTTCTTTTTTTAAAAAAAATAATAATAATAACAATAATTACAATTACAATTACAATTACAATTCTTCTATATACACTTTCACAAAATTTAATTCTATGAAGATGACTCAAATTGTCTTTGCTGCTCAATTTCGTGGATCAAACTTTCATCCAACAGATCCTCATATATTTCTCTTGGTATTTCGCTTAGACCTGTACGTGCTCTAGTTAAGTCTTGATCACGAATTAGGGTCTCATATTTAATGGATGCATCATCAGGTATAGGTTTGCCATCTTTTACTTTATAATAGCCAAGCACTTTAGAAGGTTGTGTATTACTAGGTATATGCAACACATTAGTATATGGATCTCTGATACCTTGACTCTCAATTAATAATACACGTACCCTATCGTAATACATATCACTGTTGAATCTACTACTTGCAGCCGCATGCTGATATAACCAATTTGTAGCATTAATTTGATTATTATTTGCTACCAATGTACTATCTGCATTATGACGATGACTTTGATTCCTTTCTGCGAAAAATTCAACAGTGTTCTTGGCAGGATTTATTCCATTAGAACTATAATATTCAGAACCTTCATTTGATGGTTTTGTTAAATTCTTTTTTGATGGTTCTCTCGAAAGTGAACCTTCAACAACTTTTCCTTCTTCACGTAATTTTGTCGCATAATAATCATCTGTTATATTTCTACCATTTTGAATAATCTTAGACCCAAATTCTCTGAAGACACTCTTTGCCGTGACAAGTGCAATTTGTCTACTCCTATATGAATAGGGTAACACACCACGATCTATCAAACTATTTTTTTGTTCTTGGGATATAATAAATTTATACAAGTTTGGATGATATTGGAAAAATAAATAAGAATCTCTGAATCCGACTGCTCTAGCCGGTTCTGTCGATAACATATATTTCTTATTACCCCTATCGGATAAAGTAAAAGAGCGAACCAAGAATTTCCTACCACCTAATAAATCTCCATCTTTATTAATCTTTGTTTCACCCTCTGTATCCTCCGGAAGATCATATTCATCACCAACAACTGCTACGGGATTTCCTTCATCATCAACTGGGTATGGGAAATGATATCTTTTGGTAGCTGGATAACCTTCACTAACAGAGTTACTTCTGGATCTCTCTGTCTCGGAAGCATCTGTAGCTTGATTACCATCCTCATCAGTGTTTTTGTATTTTCTCTTTGGAGGTCTACCACGTCTTCCCGTTGTGACTCTTGGTGTATTTGAGTGCTGTATCTCACGATTGCCTTTCTCTTTCGTTCCATATTCTTCATCGTCATCTTCATCTTCATCGTTATCATCCTCAACAGTGTTGTCTTCTTCATATTTAGTTTCTTTTTCTTCGTCTTTGTAATCGTCATCAAGGTTATCATTTTCTGGAATATCTAAACCTGTTTGATCAATGGCATAATTTGGTCTCTCAGAACCATTCCTAGTACGTATATGGGACATTTCGACGGATATCTATGTTATGCGTTGTTTGTGTAGATTTTTTATCACCTTACTTGTATAACAATATAGCCTTCTTTTTCAAATAATCGATATTTGTAGTTAATGTTTTTTTAACTAACAGCTTGACAAATGTTGTGTTTTTTTATCCTTTTGTTTTCTTCTGTAAACCATTTCTCGCATGTAGAAAAGAGAAACCTCCGACCAAAGAAGTTCAAAGTGCAACTACGCGTCGTTTTCAGAGACATTTTTTTCCATTGCTTATATAGAAGATATATATATATTATAAACAAGTTTTAAATCATTTCTATTATTTTATTCACTATTTGAAATTATGTAATTGTGAGACAGGGGGTATATTATTGGTAAATTATTAAACAATTTAAATCACTCAAACGTTACCTTCCATGTGTTTAAACAACCGTCAGAACCAGCAGTTCTAAGAACATCTGCATTTTCCCATGCAACGGCATTGACACCATCCTTGTGTGCATTCATGAACTTGATAACCCTCATTGGTCTAGCAACTGAGTAAATACAGATGTTTGTGTCCAATGAACCAGTTGCTAGATAACTTTGGGTTTCATCTTCAACAGCTGGTCTCCAGCTCATGCTGTTAATTTTACTTGTGTGGAATGCCCATCTAGAAGTCTTGACATCCTTTGTCTCTAGATCGAATAGAAGAATCTTACCGGATGCATCACCTGCTGCTAAATAATTTTCTTTTGGAGAGATTGAGATGGATGTTGCATTTGCACGTAATGCAGTCTTTAATGTATAACTTACAGACAAATCTACAATCTTAAAGACCTCCACTATCTTGGAATTTTCATAACAAATGGAAACTAGAGATTCTGATATACCGACAGCTGAAGCAGATTCTTTCAATTTTAGTTCACCAATACTTGTTGCCTCAGATGTATTTAAAATTTGTAAAATGTCATTATTTGTAATTATAGCTGTAATACCAGAAGAATTTGTTTGAGAAAATTTAGGTTGACTTTCAAATTCATATTTAGTCTCACCATTAATTTTAAGACTATCATCCCAGGATACAGAGGCAATCTTTGGATATGCACTAGAGTCAATTGTTGTAATTAAATTAGTGTGTTCCTGATATAGTTTTGCTGGTTGAACTTCCCAATCCATAATCTTACCATCAAATGAACCTGAAACCAATGGATTAACAGTCATAGCGGTGATACCTTTATTATGACCTTTTATAGATTTTAGCATATCATCTTCGCCTAATTTAAAGAAATTTAAAGAACCATCAAGAGATAAAGAGATTAATGTATCATCTCCAGTAGCCACTAAACCAACTTGAGAATCATTTAAAGTAGAATCATGAATATTCCAAGTTTGTAGACAATTATCATTTTCAACATCGAAGACTTTAACAGTAGCATCAGCACATGCGATGGCGAATTTAGATTCATTTAACCATGATAATGCATGAATCCCACCATTTATTGGTGATTTTTCGTCGATAATATATTTTAAAAATTCACCAGTTTTCCCATCAAAACAAGCAATTTTTCTATCAGAACCAACTGTTATGACATATTTACCGGAATCTGGACTAAATTCAACATCTCTAATAAATTTTCCTTGTTCATGATGAGTTCTATCACTTGAAGCAAATTTGAAAGGTGGACCTTGATAAAATACAACTGCACCATCATCACCAACAGTCATTGCTCTCATAGGTCTAGATTGTTTCATATGACATGCGTTAATACGTTGAGAATGACCAGAGATCTCACCTAAGGAATTACCGGAATCCCATGAAATGAAGGCACCAAATCTATCTTTACCTTCACCGACAACACATAATCTACGACCTTCAAAATCCCATGAAATATCAGTAACTTTTCCTGCAAGGACATGAAATTCAGCCTTTACATTTATTTCAACGCAGTTATTATCGTTATTTAAACTCCATCCCCAAACAATGACTTTACCTTGATCATCACCTGAGGCCACATATTGAGATTGTGGAATTGGTGAAAATCTAACAACAGTTACATTTGCATTACCATGTCCAGTAAATTGAATAACTTTTGGAATTTTTTCTAAAGATTCATCATCAAGACTACGAATAAACGCGGATTTCCCACTAGCATAACCTATACAATTGGTAGTCTTATCATAGGAAAGTCTCGAGGTGAAATTTCTTTCAGTGGAAGGTTGAGGAGGAATCACCGAAGTTTTAGCAATACTGGCCATCTTTCAAATAATATCTTCTGTAATCTTGTTTTTCCTTTCACAAGTGTTAAAAAAAAAAAGGAAGAAGAAGAAGAAAATTAAACAGTTTACACTATGTAATGGTTTTAAACACAGATCAATTTGAATTAATATGAAATAATTTCAGATATATATTTGATTATACCCCTATTGTCACTGTGGTGAAGGTTCCACCTGGGGAGAAGGCCACATTAGAAATGTTTTTGTTTTGTTTTTGTTTTCTTTGACTGCAAAACTTTCGCGCCATAAATTTACGTACAAAGAGGGTAACAATAAGTAGTTAACTCATATTTGTTTCTACGTAGTGACCAAGCAAGACAGCAGTGGTTGTTATAAAGAGACATTACGTAGGCTATCTTTAAAATATATCCACGGAAGGGAGCGATTAGAATATATATATATATATACGGTTATGTCTCTTTGAGGTTTAGTTAACAAGCAATGGTTATGATATGTAAATATTGTATCCTTCCATTTTAGTAAAAAACCACTCTTCCCGTCTAATTTTAAAACAGCATCAAAATGCAACACATAATAATTTGGGGAGGAGTACAAGACATCTCCAGAGTCTTACCTATCTCTCTACCCATTCTTCCTCCCCATACATACATTTACATGATTGCATCATACACAGCAGCAGCGGCAGGCAAAGAAAAAAACTGAAAAATTTCAGTGAAAAAAAGAAAAAAAAAGCACAAAAACCGGAAGGAGCAGTTTTTGAGGTTCACATTGGAAACGGTTAAGATATACTCAAATCGGTTTCTTTCAATCTTGCTACGAGTAACTGAAATTCATTTCCTGCATTGTTCTTGTCGGTTCCGGCTATCCCTTTGACGGTGTCGATGAGATTCAAGTCAACTCTTATTGCAGAGTTTAACCATCTCTTGTGGGGGCAGAGAGGTAGAATTATATTTTTGTATAAAAGGTATTCCATTCATAAGTAATATTTTAATGTCTTAATTGGTACCTTTGGTTTTCTTTTCGATTAAAAAAAATCTATATTTCTTTAATGATCGTGTAGATGGATCTAAACTAATAATTCTTAATAAACTATATTAGTCAAGGTAGAATGGCACAAAATTTACCCTTAGAGCAACAGCAACAACTTGCAGTTAAAATTAAATATTTAAAACTTAAAAGAATTAATGACCTAAATGATAAATTAAGAGCAGAATTGAGTAGAGATAGAATAACAGCATCAAATGCTTGTCTTTCGATGATAAATTATACATCAAATAATACAGATTATACTTTACCAGATGTATGGGGACATATCGAACCAGGTAAAAATCATTTTAGAAATTCCGTAAGGTTAAGAGGCACAAATAGGCCTTCAAATTCTGCAGATTCTGTAGGCTGCTGTACCATTGTTTAACTATCTATACATTCATACCAAATTTTATATGCATACAAATCATCGTCATCCCATATTGTTTTTGCTTTTTTTTTGCATTTTTTTTTTTGTATAATTATATACTTATTTGTATAATTAATTCCATGATAATAATGATAATAATAGTATCGGTATTGCAATTACTTTTTCCTCTAATCATGATTAAAGCAATTGGTTTTCTCCAATTGGACCATCTCCGCATCCACAGTCATAATCTTCAAGAATATTTGTACAGTCATAAATATCCTTCTTTAAATAAGCATTCACTTTATTGTGTATATCACAACCCCACAATGCAGCAGCCTTTCTACTCGATGTCTGTACTGGGAATTTTTTAATCATTTTAACAAAATGGTAAGAACATTCTCCACACGGATAAAGTTCTGCATATAATTGAATAAAATTTTTCAATTTCTCACGTTCAATGACGCTAGGTTCATCAGGAAATCTTGCTAATAAAGTATGGAAATATTTCCAGGATGCATTGCCTAATTCTTTTTTTGCATCTTGATCTGGCATCGACGGCATTATTGCACCAGGTACACGTAATGTTTCATCAATCTTCCCATTTTTTTGAGACTCTGCAGGAGGAGCAACTTTCTCCACTAATGCATCTCTTGTATCATCCACATTAACAGACGCTATTTGAGACACTAAATTGTTATCTAGTTCTTTTTTACGTATTACCCCTTTCGAGACAAACGCAAGTTCAACATCATTAAACAAAATATAAACCACACAAAATGTGAGGAACGTAAGAGCAACACTTATAAGTTTTCTTCTGTTTCGTATTAACATAATAACAATAATTTAATGGTTGTTCCTATTTGCCAAGTTTCTTATATTCTTTTCTCTTTGCTTGGATATTGAAGGGTTACGTTATTTATTCGTATCTTTTTGGGCTGACTTTTATAAATCATACATTTTTACTTTTTTTCTCTCTCTAAAATACATCAACTTAAAGGTGAAATTGTTTACATTTAGAACAGACAGAAATAAAGAATATATATATACTATAGATTATTACAAACTAATTGGGTACATATAATATCTATAACGCGTTAAAGTGTTAGATAGGTCATATTTGATTATATTGTTTAATCATCGTTAATTTTTACGTTCTAATAGGCATAATCAGATATACAGAAATTTTTGATATTTTTGATATTTTTCTTCAAAATGGACAGAACTCAACAGAATTCTGTTGCATATAGCGATGAAGCAGACAGACTAAATTCATTTAAAGTATCACACACGATAAATAATAAAAAATATTCATGGCGATATACTGTGATTCCTGCAGATATGTTAGCCACACTAGGTTATTACTATTTTCCATCTCCGAATAAAGATAATATCATCCAGGCAGACTCCATAAAATGCATATATTGTAATCAGGCAACTTACGGCCTCAAAAAATGTAGATCAAAAAGTAAAGATGTTCTGGAAACAATATCAAATGTATTAGAATTTCATGTAGCGATTTCTCCTAATAATTGCCTATTATGTTACTTGAGGTTGAAATTACTTAAAGATTATCGATTAAATTCAAACGTATCAAATTGGGACAACGAAAGGTTTTTTAATGAGCCTTTCACTTCAAAACTATTGAATAATTTTAAAGAAAGCTTTCGGAATAATTCTAATCGTGATCAAATCAGCGACACATCAATCGAAACTGTTAGCAGGGCAGGTTTAATAAAATATGATCCGTCATACACAGCATTTAAAGAACCACTATCTTCTTCAGAAATTTCAAAAACTGCTGTTGTTGCATTTTGTATCTATAACAAAAGGACAATAATCATCCCACAAAATCTTTTAGAATCGACATCGAATAATTCAATGTCAGTAATTGAACTACATTTTAAAACATGTAATAACGGTAAATGCTATTTCTTTAAACATTTAGAATCAATTAATGGTGTTCCCAAATTGAGTCTTTCCTATTTGAGAACGTTTTATTATGATTATGGATCTGTTAACAGTAATTCAAAGATTGAAGAAAATAAGGACAGTCTTACAAGATCCTCTGATTCTGTGATACACCATACCGAAATTTTTCAAACATCTCCGGAACACACTCCTTCAAATGCAATCCAGATATCTGATAAAAATGGTATTCATAGTGATCAAGCTGTCAATATACATGAGGATAATAAGAATAATAACATAGCACCTAGAAAGAGGAAAGTAGAAAACATATCCCCCCCTAAACATCATACTAGAAAGCTTTTGAGATCTTCTCCAAGAAGGATTTCACCCACCGAATTTTCTTTTGCAGAAAATAGTAAAAACAATTCTGAAGAAGACGAAGTTCCAAAAGAGGTGACTATCGATTTCAAAAGTCATGTGGACAGAAGAGCAAAACAATTGAAAAGATCCAATAAGCTATTGGATAATGATGATGGGGAAAGTGATGTCTTTAGTTTTTCAGCTCATGGGCATAGTACTTTCGACATTCCCGCCCAAACTTCGATAGCTGCAAAATCTATATTGATGTCCCCAAATAAGAATGAGAATAAGAATAATAATAAGGCTCAACCATCACCAAATGATCTAAGCATGATGACAACAACCCCGAATATTTTATTTTCAGAAAAGAAAGTTGAACTATTACCAGAAAGACAAACACCTAAAGGGCTCTCCTCACCTGATTTCGTTACCGCATTATCTGTCGTTAGTAATGCTCAAGGAACGCCGTCTAAACACATTAATGATTCATCTAACAATTCTCCTAAGAATTCTTTAAGATCTAATTTAAAAATCGATGAAAATTTAGTGAATGCTGGAGACAAAATTTTAGCTGCCGCCAGAAACAAAACCGAAATAAAGAGTAGTGGTACACCATCTAAATCTGAAACAACAGACGCTAAATCAAATAATATTGAGAGCACACCACTAACGAAAAGTAACTTGGAGCAGTACATAAATGACATCAGTCGTAAGGCGAAACTTTCTAATGTACCGACATCTGTCTCTCTAAGTAGCTCCTCTGAATCGTCGGGATCTGCAGGTAGTATATCTTCTACACCAATTCCAAGCCCTCAACATAACAATGAAAAGGTGGGCGCAAACATTTCAGCGTCACATCGTCGTCTTAGGCATCTCTAAACATGGGAGGGTTTTGAGCATTACCCGTAACACATCAGCTTTGCATACCTTAGAATCACCTCTTAATGGCATCCCTCCATATTCAAATATTGAAGATTTGCCGTTTACTAGTCCGATGAAGGCATCTTCCGTTTCATCACTGCACCCTACGCACAATACTATAGATAATATTCATTTAGATGAGATACCAAGAACCTCGATTGCAGTTGATATGAAAAAGGAAGATAAAAATAATGTGATTGTGGATAAAAAACTACCCGTTTATAATGAAAATACCCCTTCAAAAATGCAGCATTCAGAGGGAACTTCAAAAGACGTTTCTTCTCGTGCTGAACTCGTTAATTCACTTGAAACGGAGGAGAATTTACAAAAGATATTCAATTTGGTAACAATTGTGGATAGAGATACAAATAATGTTAAGAAGTATTTCCACAATTTATTACGCTACATTAATTATAATAATGCTACTCTAAAAGATGATACTGATGGTGATCTTCATTTCTATCTTAATCGAATGCCTGAATTAGAAAAAAAAATGACCTTTATAAATTGGGTTCATTATAAAACAGATTTACTGAATAAGTCATTTGACAAAAGAGTAAGGACAAAAACAAATATTTTAAAAGACACATTTGAAACATTGATTCAGAAAATAAATTTAATTGATGACAACGACAATAATGAAGATGAATTCTTAATAAGTATATGTAATAGCTTGGAACATTGAATATTTATAAAAAAGGTCTCATAAAATATTTCATGCATCTTTAATTGTCTTTTTGATCTACTTATACACTACATTCTGTAAAATTTAAAATAGGGATAGGTATATATATATATATATATATATATAATGTAATTTCAATATCGACTTTGCCAAATATGGCAGATTTCTTTCAAATGATGATCATTAATGGTTTAAGTATTATTATTATTATTATTTTAGTTTGTAGGATCCTGAAGCTGTGGTGTGCTCTCTTCTGCATCTCCACTCTCCTCGGTCTCCATATCATTTACATCAACAGCATTTTGTAAACCAAATGGAATTTCAGTCACAGGTGCAGTCACGTTTCTGGGAGGCCAAAAATCGCTTATTCTTGGTGTAACAGCGCCTGGGTTTTCTTCGGGTTCCTCGTCTATATCCATATCATCATCTGAGTCAGCACCTGTTCTGCCATTATTATTACTAATAGTAGTTGCCGATCTATCGTTAACCGACACATCATCACGTAAAGTCATTCTATTATTTGCCAAGGCCGCTTCCCTTTGCCTTGTCAATAGTGTAACACTATCCTTAAGATACAATCTCAGTACAATTGTGGCGATTTTATACCTTTGTAGTAACTCCACAAACCGATCGATGTACAACAAACGCCAAACATAAAAACCTTTTTTATCTTTTTCAATCTCAGATGAAAATACCCTCTCTTGAATGTGAAGGGTTTGTCTATTTAACTCAGCCATTAAAACATATATCTGGGCCATCTCATGCAGTAAGAACCCTGTAAACTGGAACTGGACTCTTGATAAGCTCGCAACATTCACCTCGAAATCTTCTAATCTTTCGTCAAGTTCGTGAAACTTTCTAATAATATGGCAAACTTCACCATTCAAAACAGATGTAGCACCTGGCGCAACATCAGGATCTACGTCTTCATAATCGGGGCTAAATGGTTCTTCATAAAATCTGCGATCAGTTAAGGATACTAGACGATTAGTTTCTTCTGCACTTAAAATAAAATTTCCGAGATTGACCTGAGTCCAGGTAAATATATCATCCAAATTTTGAAAAGGTATACTCTGCAGGTTGACGTCAGCATTTAACCCCGGGATTTGACTTAGACCAGATGCTGCCAGAATGGCAGCAGAATCTTGGTTCAATTCGGAAGAAATTCTTTGGATTCCGTTTTCTAAGCTTTCTGATGATTGCAGTAAGTTGTTTGCCACTATGTACTTGGTTAAAACATCATTTATGTCTGTCTGTGGACTATTTGTTGGAGTGGTTAAGCTCATTAAATAATGGCGTAACTTATGAACTCCTTTACCAGAGAAAACACAAAATATTTGGCGTTGGTTGTCACTGAAATCACTTGGAGCTGGTCTACAAAATGCAGTAATATCGGGTCGTAAAAATGATGGCACGGCCGTTAATGAAAGATGTGATAATCTGGGGCATGCCATTAGTAGTTCGTAGATTGGGTATATGGTTAAATTGGAGCAATATGATAGATGTACTCTTTCTAAACAATCATTTCTACCTCTTAATGAAATCATATTCAATAGTCCCTCATCAGTCATTTGTGAACATTTAACTAAGCCAATCCTTTTCAATTTGTTTAGGTCAGATAATTCATATAATGTCCTATTTGTTAGATTTGTGCAACAGGCAAAATCCACATATTGTATTCTTGGACATGATTGTACTAAAACCCTAACTCCTTGATCTGTAATATTAAAACAGTGACCGAAGTGAACGGTTTGTAAATTTTTTCCTAATTGGGCTAGGTTATAAAGAGAGTTGTCCGTGATTCGACTACATTTTCCTAGAAATATGTTTCTCAATTTGGGTGCTAACGTTACAAGTTTTTCGATAGTTTTATCAGTAATATTATCACAACTAGAAAAATCAATCAATCTTAAGGCAGGTAATTGGTCAACCGTTTTTGAAAGTTCTAAAAATAACTTATCTGTTATATTCGAATTGTTTGTAATTCTGAACTCTCGCAATTGGGGTAATTTCAAAAATAGTTGTATTAGGCTTTCGTCATGAACATTTGGACTTCCTGTAATATCAACTTCAACTAGTAATGGGCATTTTTCAGCCATGAGAGAAACCAGTTCATCATTGATAGAAGTATTTCCAGTTATCTTAACCCTTTTAAGAATCGGAGCATGAATGAAAAAATTATTCAAAGCAGGGAACGCTACTGATTTAGCCATAGGTACGTAAAACCCTTGCACTCTAGGGCAACTCTCAGATAAGGTATTGAAAACGTTATCTTGAACATCCTTGATACCTGTGATATCGACACTTTGCAAAAATTTACAATTTTCTAATACCGCCGATACAGGGTTACTTGTAATATGCTTGCAGAATACGAGTGTTAGTCTTTCCAGATTTCGGCAACCAATAAAATAGTATAATTCTTTATCATGAATGTAGTCACCGACAAACGAAAAATTAAGTCTCTTGATCATAAGACGATAGTCAAACATCATTGCGGAGCGAGGCATTCTCATGGTTCTAAGGAACAGATCGAGTTGTGATTTTTTGTTTATGTGTGGTCTATAATAGAGAAACTTTACTATAATTAAAGCCCACAATTTACATACTGTCAATAAGTTAACGACATTTGATCTGGGACTTAATCTATCTAACACCAAGTGAAGAATCTCTGAAGGGAGCTTATGCAAAGGAAATACTAATTTTGGTTGAGAGTTCTGGAAAAAAATGTCAGTATTATCAGAAATATCGTTCGTTATGTCATCAAAAAAGGTATTCGAAGTCTCCCAATCTTCAGCTTCAAACTTATCAATCAACTGTGATGTATAATTGCGTAGTTCTTGAAGGCCTTGAGTTAATTTCTCATGGTGTGATAAGTCTATTTTCTCTAGCCATTTAATATAATACTCTGTGGGATTTTCCAAATCTGCGTTTTTAGCCTTTTCTATACTGAATACAACCATTGCACCTTTATAAGCCTGTACTAGTTCGTTTATTTTCGATCTTATACGTTGTAATTCAACTGTCTCTAATTCAATGGCCCTCATTCTCATTTTTTGCAGTTTATTGATATATAATGCCATTCGCGGCCTGTTTACGATTGTTAGATCTCTTAACTTAAGATTATTTTGTTCGATCTCTTTAATTAATCTTTGACGATTCACTTCGACAATAGTAAGAAACCTTTTCACTTTGACTCGTAATCTATTTTGAAAATATTGAATTATGTCTAGGTCTTCACGGGTCATCTTTCCAGAGCGATCTATTATCCTTATCTCGATACCTCTTAAAAATCTTTCAGCTGTACTTCCTGGTACTGCAAAAGTCCCATTACCAGCTGGAACTGGGACATTTCTTGGATACATTCTACGTTGAGCAATTAATCTGTCTGTGGCTCTAATATTGTTAATTGTTTGATCTGTACTTTGTGATCCAACATTAGAGTCCAGATTTTGAAAATCTAAAATTGGTGTTCTAGAACCTTGACTATTGTTATCATTCACAATACTAATCGCACTACCGTTACTGACATTCCCTTCAAGAGAAATTGTGTCACCTTGGTATGGGACTTGTTCACTCATATTATTAGTGTTGTTTTCGCTATTTAAATCTCCATTCATGGCTTTGGCGTTATAATATTAAATACAGGTAAAAAGGGGAGTGTTAATAAGAAAGAACTTTGGTAGGGTTGTATAAATAACCTCAGATATTATAACTTCTTTAACTGTAAGTAAATATAAACAATTCCAGATCGTCTATATCTCTTTATATGTATGGCAAGTTGATGCTGTGTGCTTTTGTATTCTCCAACTTGGTATATTAAATAATAAATAGCACCTGGAGTTGGAATCACGAAAAATCGAACCTTTCTTCGTTTGAAATAGCCTGTAAAATATCAAGCTGACTTATGTTTTTTAGCTTCCAATAACGGACTAAACTTAGACTATAAGTTTCTATATCTCTGTTTTATTACTTAAGCTATGAAGACTAATTCCTGTGTTATGTTACCATTCCCAATCACATTTTGCACGCCTCTTTCCATTGTGTTAGGGTCAGGTAATCTCGGAAGGTCTTCTACATAATTCACAAAAATAAAATGCAAGAAAAATAAGAAGAGTTGATCCTAGCATAAACAGACATATTACCGTATCGAACGACTAAAAATTAAGTATATAAGGTTCTGTTCACATTATTCAGGATGAAACGAAATGAATGACTAAATTTTCTTAGGTATAATATATAATCATATTACTTGCGAAAATGAAAAGTTCTGGCTATATATGTATCTTTATATATTGATGTATGTCTGTAATTTTTTTTGTAAATGATGGAATGGAAGGGTAAAAGGCTTCATACTTTGTAATCGTTATTGGCAGTGCCATTTTGTTCAAAAGCGGCATTACCTGTGGGGCCATTTGTTGGACGACCTCTAAAACTTAGTTTTGGGAGCGATAGATGTGTACCATTGTTCAAATTTAGTCTTTCGAATTTATTAATGATATCATCGTTATCAATCATGTTGGTACCATTTGAACCTCCAAAGAACCCACCTGGGAACATTCCCGGATAATTGAAGTACGACGCACCATTGGCGTTTGAATTATTTGGTGGGGAGTTGGCAGATTGTCCTGGAACGTTCTGAGATATAACATTGGTTTGTCTTGAACCATTGCTACGTATACTAGAGGTTGAAGGACCTCTCATATGGCCATTAGCTTCAGGACTAAATGCTACATTGCTGCTAGTTTTCCTATGTGTATGCTTGTTTATATTTCCTTGAGGATGAGAACTAGGAGGTGCAAAACCAATTTCTTCCATTAAACGTCTATGTTGTTGAGCCGATGCAGAGTCCTTCACCACTTTTCTCACTTGTTGAACAATGTGTTGTCTTGTATCTTCATCCAATAGAGGCATGCACAAGACTTTGTAGATAAATGTAGGTCCATAACTAGAATTGTTTAGAATTACTTTCAAAGATTGCGGTGGCTCTTCAGACGTTAAATCACCGAAAATTGCCTGAAGCGTAATTTTTCTAGCAACATCATCACCTCTATAATTTAAAATCTTTAGAACCGTCAACGAAGCTAATCTATGACGGCATAACTCATCAATATTTTTGGTAATATATGATGCTAATACAGTGTGCCTCTTTGGTAAAACACAGGTATCTAAAAACCAAGTTAGTAGTAGTGCACTGTTAGCATTGGTTGATAAATATTCCGAGTATAGTATGATAACACTACTCAATACTAGAGTTTGTTCTTTAGTGATAATATCATGGGCTTCAAGACAAGCTCTGACAGCTCTTGCACCGTATCTGTTTTGTACAATTGTCCAAAAGTTTGATATGATACTTTCAAAAATAAAATTATTCCAGGGCATTCCAAATTTAAGAACACATTGAATAACATAATTACCAAATTGGTCATCAAATAATGGAGTACAGTAATCACGAATACCTGAAGTAACCAATTGAACTTGTCTTGGGGTATGAGCCATTGTAATAATTTTTTGACACGCCCAGGTACCATTTTTATGAACACCCATTGAGGTTAGATATTTTGCAGTCTTCCTTAACATGATATCTTTAATGATATCGGAACAATTTTCAAATAATTTTTGAACAATTGTGTTACCTAGATAATCAGAACAGAATTCTGGTAATTCATCTAGCATTGTCATTGCAAGTTGTTCAAGTTCAATTTGAGACATTGAATCACTATCCATAGCCTTACGAAGTTCCCTCAATTTTGATGCTTCGAAACCCTTTACGACGTTAGAATTTGGTAAAGGTCCAAAATTTTCGGTATCTGTAGTACCTTTGAAATTTATTACACCATTCAACAAGTTGGTCACTTGTTGTTCATCGCGTTCTATATCGAATGAATTTATGATCTTCTTTAAGTCACCCATCTTGCTTATAACTGTAGGTGCAGGAAGTGGGAATGGACATTGTTCTCTTTCCATTGATGTGGAATGTATATGACTAGTATGAGTTTGATAATTACCGCCATAATGTTGGTTATGTGATTGTTGGGATTGTTGTTGTTGAGGTTGAGATTGAGAATATGGAATCTGGGGTATTGATTGAACTTGTTGTTGTTGTTGCTGTTGATATTGATTAAAGACCGGAACAGAGACATTACCTTGTTTTTGTAAAGTAACTGACCCATTGTATAATTGCTCATGTAATAACGGTTGAGGAATTTGTTCTGGTTGTTGAATTTGTTGTTTACCATAGTATTGTTGTTGTTGATGCATAGGTAATATCTTAGCAAATGCAATAAAACTTGGAGCTCCAATCATAGATACTTCTTTGCCTTGTAGAGAATTTAATGCTTCAGAAGCTGCCTCTACCGTAGTAAATTCCACAATTGCCATGTTTATTCCTTTAAATGTTCTTGCTGAGGTAACTTCCCCAAATTTACTACATAGTGTTGCTAGTGATGTAGAGGTTAAATTAACTGCATTATTCAAATGAGGTTGTTGTTCTTGTAAGGAAAGAACATTAGAGATGGAAATTGTATTTGTTGGAATCAATGTAGAAATTCTATTAATGGATGGTACGTTGGGATCATTTGATACCCAATTAATTGATCTTGGATCGACATCATCTATCACTAGGGGTCCATCATGGAATTGTTGATTTGATGTATAATTCGATTGAGCATGGGAATATAAGGATTGTTGATCAAATTGGGCAGCATCCATATATATACTTGAACTATTTGATGCGGATCTTTGTCTCGATTGTGTTGGATTTGTCCACATTGCGACTGGAGGTACATTTAACATATTGGTATTTTTACCATGAATGGATGAACTGCTATCCTGTACCGTACCGTTAGTCATAGATGGTATAACTTGTTCATAAATTGAGTTATTGTTATTAGCGGTAGTAGCAGCAGTCTGTATTGGTTGATGTAGCGAATCATTAACGCTTGTGTTTGTGTTACCCCAAATAGCTCCTGCTGATACAGGGCCTGGTGCCATTGAAGATATAGATGTAATTTGAGAAGACATTGTATTATTTCTAGTTCTATTCATTGGTTGTGATAAAGTAGTGCCTAATGTAAATGAATCATTTGATCTTCTTGGAGCATTTATTAAATAATCAGTAGATGGAGGAAAATGTACCAGTCTGTCAGAATCCTGTGTTGAAGTAACATTTTCAACTTCACTTATATTAATCCCTTGAGGTAATAATCTATCAACTTCTGCGCTTCTTCTCAGCATTTCTCCACTGATACGATAATCTAAATCTGTTTGAATAGTAGTATCTATTGGCATTGAATCATTAGTGACAACTTTACCATTTGAATTTTTTTTACCATGATGTAATTTTGCACTAATTGATGGTAATAAATTGCTTAAAGTATTTGAAAATTTTCCTGCACGTACTCTATAGGAACCTAATTTTTGCGGTTGTTGTGAACTTAATTCATTATCTGGTTCTTCTAATACATCATCAAAAATAGGGATAGTGATACCAGGATCAATAATATCTGGTAAAGTTGTTGGATTACCGTTATATTGGTATTTATTTTCCATTTGTATTCTATTGAAATTGATTGGTTCTTTGATAATTAGGAGAAATGGTAGTAATGAAAAGGTCTGTTTATCGTAATTTTTTTTTGCTGTTTTTTGTATTCAAATATAAATTATTTCAATGGCAAATAATATGAAATTCAGATGCTTCCCAGAGAGAGAAAAAGTAAATAACGATGAGTTAATATATGGAAAACTAATAATAACTGTTTTCTTCACAAATGTATCAATATTAAATCAAATTTGTACGTGTGTATGTATCTAGGTAGTTTAATTTTAGCAAAGGAAGCCAGTAACTAAATTTCATCAATGGATACAAGTCGTCTATGTATATTGTGAATATCGCTTTTACTAAGAACTATTGAAATCAAATTATATTAAGAGAGAAAGGAGCAGGCTCTTCTTAAATCTAAAAAGATGAGTTATAATTGTGGCTTACAATAAAAAGAATATAATATATTTCAAATATGTCATGTAAATGCAGCTATTTTGAAATTTCATGGTTAAGTTTCCACTATGTAGTTTATTTTGGCGTACGTACATAATATTTATTATTATATATTTATTGTAATGTATTATAATGGGCGCACGCACTCATCATCTTCGGTTTTTCTCTTTCCTTGCCCCAGATTTCCTTTCTTTGGTGTGGCCCCTATTATTTCACGCTGTCTCTCTCTTTCGCTGTGTGTGTGTTTTCTCAAAATCCGAGCAGTTCACGGTATTTATTTAAATTGCACAGCTCAGGAGAGAATTGTTTACTATGGTGGTGAGGGGGGGGGGGGGAAGGAGGGGAAGGCTGCGCATCTTTGTTTACTAGGTTTAGTGCGTAGAGTGGGATGTGTACCAGGGCACAACAATTAAGGCCAGGCGATGTGACCCAGAACGACACATTTAATTTATTTAATTTGCAGACGTCTCAATACATCTGGGTGTTTAATTGAAGATGGTGATGATATTTGGTATATTAATAATATTGATGCTATTGAATTTTTATCCCTCTCTTTATAGAGATGATATATGTATATAATTAGTAAATATATGTATATATTGATTAGCACTCTTGTGAATCATTGTAACAGTATTTGTCATGAATGAATTATCTCATATTTTCAACCAAATATGTATGAAGTGGTTTTATTGGAGGGGGTGGGGTTATTAAGCATGTTGATTAAGGAAAGTTTAAGAATAAAGAATTAGACAAACAAACGGAAGTTCCTAGATGTTCAACTTGGTTCTTCTCCAGTTTCTTCTCTTGGCGTTGTAACGGACAGTGTTGTTAGTTCTTAATCTAACCCATTGTGGTAATGGTCTGTTTTGCTTCTTAGCCTTAGCTAGTCTTTGCTTAGTTCTGAAAGATTTTTGAGCCTATAATTAAAAACAAAACAAAAAAAATTTGATGAAAGGAATACAAGTAACTTGGAATATGTACATAGAGAGAAATTCCAATGTTTGATTATATTCGATCAGTATTTTTTTTTTTTGAAGTCGTACGTTAGTAAATTGATACATCAATAAAAATAAATTAGTCTAGAGTTCGTGGCTTTTTGTTGGATTTTTCAAAGAATAAAAAATAAAAGGTCAGTTTATTTAAGTAGAAAGTTCATGTTCCTTTAACAAAGTGGATATTCAGTTGTTCCATAGGTTCTATCTTCAAAAGGTAGTCTTTAATCATGTAAATTGTATTTTTGTCTGCATCTATGCAAAGAGGAATGTGCAAGTATAATACGTGTTCTATTTGCGTTTTTTTCCTTTGTTGCTGATCCTATTTGGTACACACTACCTCTCTTTCATCAACATCTCGGTTATCCATGTCATCTTTTTCAATTATCTAAAGCATTCATCAAAAAGTCAAACCATAAGATCATTGGAACTTAGAGCTACATTGCAATAAAAAATTTGGTTGTTGCTATAACATACTGGCATTGCTATTTATATTGTTGTCAATTTTCTTTTTTTGAAAGACTTTATAAACTATATTTAATATTATATAAAATATACATCTATATATGTTTTTAATAATGTTATATTACGTGTACGATACACTAACAGTATAAGGTTATTTAGAATTAAAATTACTACGTACATCCATCTCTAACATTTTGCATATTAGTTCATCTTTACTAATGCGTACAATTAGATTTTCTGAATTTCTGATAATTTTTCCTATATTGAAATGGAATTGTGTAATTGTCGTATAAAACTACATCAATATCGAAGTAATACTCTATTTTTCAAATGTAATTCTTTACTATGCGGAAATGTATTTAAGAAAAGCGTAAACGGCAAAAAAATGGAGCGTTGTAGACGTGTTTTTTTTAACTGTCGCATAAAATTAAAGGGAAGAGAAATATTATTCCTGTGATAGATATTGAGATGTAAGGGTGTAACACTGTAGCATCTGTACACCACATATAAATATCTAAATAAAATTAAAAGTAGTCCAATCATTTTTATTTTAATATTGCTATAATCTATTCATACTTAATACCATAATTTCCCATAACATTAAAAAGGGATGTGATTGGTAGTAATGATACCATAGTGATAATTGATACGATATATGTATTCTATTAAAGACAACTGAATGCCCTATAGCTATATAATATACATACACACATTATATGTAAAAGGTGAGTTTTTTTAATAAGGTTAAAATTATGACTGATATCCTAATATTAATTGAGAATCAATATAATATTTCTTGGAAAATCTTAATATGAAAATAATAAAATTCTTGGATAAATGAAACAAATCATAATCTTCTACCTCTTCTACCACCCTTCTTTCTGGTAGAATCAGATGGAACTGGAGTAACATCTTCAATTCTACCAATTCTTAGACCAGATCTGGCTAGAGCTCTTAGAGCAGCTTGACCACCTGGACCTGGGGTCTTGGTTCTAGTACCACCAGTGGCTCTAATCTTAACATGGACGGCAGTGATACCAACTTCCTTACACTTAGCAGCGACATCTTGAGCAGCCAACATAGCAGCGTATGGAGAAGATTCATCTCTGTCAGCCTTGACCTTCATACCACCAGTAACTCTGGCGATGGTTTCCTTACCAGAAAGATCGGTAACATGGACGAAAGTATCGTTGAAAGAAGCAAAGATTCTAGCAACACCAAAAACTTGGGAGTTGTCACGAGCTTGAACGGTAGTCATTCTTGTTTGTGTTTTGGTGTGTTTTTAGAAATTAAATACTAGTAAATATAATTTAAAAATTAGAATAGTTATATACATATATAGTTAAATATTGAAATAAAATATCTAAAAGTGAAGTTAACTTCAAAACTTGAATGAAGTGAAAAAAAGAGTTCTGCATCGAAAGAAATAAATTGAGTGAGAGAGTGTACAAGCAAAACTGAAAAAAAAAATTCCATAAAATTTTTCATCTCGCTGCACTTCGCAAAAATTACAGAATCTCTGTCTCCCTCACTAAAAAACGGCATTAGGCCCTTTCTTTTTTCTGCTTACTTAGATAACCGGGCGGAACACTCCTACGTATTATTATTTATAGCATAAACCTGAGAATAAGTTTTATAAGGTCATCTTGTTCCATTGCTGAAGTTCGGTGAGGTGTGTCTCACTCAATAATACAGATACACAAACTTGAATTGAACTGTTAATCATAGTCATATAGAAGAAATGAACCGTGATTAGAGAAAATAGAATTATTAGATATGTCATATTGGCTTATTGTGCGTAAATGCCAGATTCTTACAATACCTAGCTAGTCGGAACATCGTTGAAAGTGAATAGACTACTTATTTGAAGGATGAAGCATTTCTTTTAAACATTTGGACATCTCCATAGCGTCTTCTTTCTTGTTGATACATATATACGTTAACTTGAAGGACTACAACCTACGCTAGAAGTATATCACTTTTTTTAAACAGATTTCAAGTTCTATTTTAAATACCATCTCCAACAGAACCATGACATACAGTTGTGGTGTCATTCTAGAGTTTGTATACTGAATAATTCCTGCTTTACGTTGTTCGTATGGAAGTTATTTATATTTTATATCTGTTTACTATAGTAGTAGGTGTATTGATAGCCACTTTTTAGCTTTCTCCCACAGAAAGCACGGAGGGAAAGTTGAAATGTGTATATGTAAATAGTTATCGGGTCTTCATTTTCTTGATTTAACAAGCGAAAAGGAGAAGAAAGAAAAAAGGGTTTCGATCAATAATAAATCATTTAATTAATAATACAAAAAGTTAAATATGATATATGGAAATCATAGATTGTTCATATCAATTCCAAAATTAATTAAATAAATAAATTTCGGTTTTACTTTCACTGTGATTCTAGAAAAAGGATAATTGAACATTGAATCAAACTAAGGTGTCACATATAATCTAAATGACTGATGGAGAATACAGAGAATCAAAGATTGTTGGATATCCTTTCAAGCATTCTATCCCTGACACAGAGCAATGACGACAGTGAAACTTCCATCAGGGAGGATTTTAATATTATTTTTAATAATTCACCATTCTCCAATACGGAACCTATTGATAACATTAACAAACTAGACTCTTATATAGAAGAATATATGGTAACTTTATTTATTACGTATAATACAAATAATAATTTCATATTCTCTAATACTGATAAATGGATTGATTTACTTCATTTACATTTAACAACAACGACTAACGACTACATTATTGCATTACAAATTATCCTTTACCTTACAAATGTCTCTTTTATTAATAGACAAGCATTAGCATACCAACAAAGCATTAAAACAGCATTATTTAAACTCTTAGCTCTAACATCAGAGTTTAGAGAACAAAACATCAAACATTCACGAACAATACAGTTTCAACTAACTGAATTATACGCTAGAATATTATCAATTAATTGTCGGCCAAGAGAAATCGTGGATATATACGACAAAATTCTACCGTTTAATCAGCATCAGTTAATAAGTACACTTGGGAACCATATATCGGATCCTTTATTACAAAATTATCTACAATTTGAAAACTCGAGCTTATCATTGAATGCAATAGATACACAACATGATAACACGATAACTTTACAATTGTATATCGAATTTAACAATGTGACTTCGAATAGATTTCTATCTCTAGGCGATAAAATGTTCTTCGAAATTAATCAAGGTAGATTTACTGTCTCAAACTTTGATGGAGTAATTGAAAGTATATGTGATTACGAGTTTGAAATAGAGAAGGAATACCTTTTAATCATAGAAATTAGTAATGAGAAAGTTATTTTTTACACAGAAGGATATTACATTAACAGTATAGTATTATTAGGCGAAACCCCCCTAAAAAATTGTTTAATGGAATTAACTATTGGTTCAATGATTTCCTCTTTTAAATTATTCAAGTTATATGCTTGGAATGTTGAACTGCCAATAGAAGTGATTAAGATGATATATTTATTAGGACCACTATACCAAAACTCGTTTATGATACCGTATGATTATAATGGTATTAGCTCAAGTGTCGATTCAAGTCTCTTTAGGGAGGTGTACCAAAATTCTGAAGTTGCTACATACTCTTCTTACGACGGTTTCTTAGACATATTGAAAATATGGGATACAAAATCTCTTCTCATAGATCTGGATATAGAAAATTTAATTGGAAAATATCACACTGATGGTTTCATTTGCCAATTTAACGATGATTCGAGTACTGTGTTAGGAAAATGTTATTATTTTCATAATTCAAATATCGCTTCAATATTTCATTCTGTTAATTTTATTGAACTTACCATTCATGCTATCGAATCTAGTGAAAATTGGGATGATATATACAATAGAACTGAGGAGTTGATAATATTACTGAGGGAGCCAACATTATTAAATTGGTTCGTAACTGAACATGGGTTCTCCATTTTAAGCCATACATTGAAGTTATGTGTTAAAAAATTCCAGCAAGGTCTCTCCATTCAATTTATGGATCTTTTTTTGAATAATTTTTGCACAAATTATGAATCACTACAAGACTTATTAATAAAAAATGAATTTGCATATGAGACACTAATATTAAATTTTGAATTATGGTATTTTAAGTCGGATGACGAAACAATAAAAAATACAGAACTTGAGTTGTTAAGATTTGTATTCTTCCATATAAATCTATTAATTACATCGTCAAAATATTCTGTTCATAACATGAATATCCTGTTGAAATATAAAATTGTATCTAGACTGCTCTCTTTCGTGCACAACAATTCAACTTTAGAACTCTCTTTGCTTCATAGTGATATCAATTCAATGATCAGTCCTCTATTATATTATGGAATTTCCCATTCTACCCTGAAAATGGTGCTGAACTTTTCATTTCTGGAATTAGAAAATAGAAACCCCAGTAATAGTATTTTATGTCTAGATTTCATAGATAGTGTCTTGGAATATTCATTAGCAGATTCAAATGCAGGTTATCTAGCATTGGTTCATCAACTTGTTCATCCAAGAACTCTCTTGCTATTGATGAGTGAACTAGTGAAACTTGGCTTGAGTCCATTACGCCCTTTACAGATATTGGCAAGATTATTTTCTTCTAATAGAGCTTTGTTTGTGAGTTTTATAAAATCCAATGGGATCTTCCTCTTATTGCGTATCTTCACAATTTCACCAGAACAAGAATATTTAGGTATTGTTCATTCTTTGTTTTTATCCTCTCTTGGAATGAATAATAATCCTTCTACAGACGAAATACTACATGACTACTTCCTACTACCTAAAAATATCAATATCATTTCCCCAGAATTTCTACTGTTAAGTCTTACTTTCTTAGATTGGGTTGTATTTAACAATACCAAACTAAAGAACTTTACTGAATTAGACAATTTCACTGAAAAATATTGTTCACAACTTATTGATAATAATCTGTGTTCGATTCAACATCCATTTAACAATAATGTTGTACATCCTCAAGTAATCAAAATGTTGACACTTTTGTTGCAACTTCATATTTCGTTTGAATGCTCAAAAAATAAAGATTATTGCTTTAGGTCAGTGTTGGTAACACGAAACATTATAGCACTATCGATATATGACACAATACATGTGGCACCTAACTCGGAATTTGAAGATTTATTAACAAAAGTAATGTTTCCTCTAAAAAGCACTCTTTTGGATGAAGAAGAGTTGGCACATGATAGTTACTTAGATCTTTCTTTTTTCTACAGTATTCTTCCAGCAATCTTTGATAAACTACTGGAAAGTAATATTATTAAAACTGGAAAATTACTGGTACATTCTAACGTTGTCACTTTACTGAGTATTTTTTTGAATTATTTTATGACAATTAAGGTTAAAGTCTCTTTCCTTTTAGATTTCTTCGATATTTTAGTACAGTGTGTTCAGCATAAACCAAAAATAAGTATTTTCCATTTCCACAATACTAAAGACGAGTCAGATATCGATCACCTATTTTCTAAATTTTCTTACTTAATAGTTTATCTCCAGCTTACCAAGCAGTTGAAGTGGAATGAGAAAGAAGTGAATAGATTTTGTGATATTTTAGAAAGAAATTGTTCAATAATATTTTCCAAGAAGCGTAATATCGGGAACCACACTCTAACTGCAATGTATTACATATTTCTACAATGCCAATTAAATGAACATCCTTCTATGCCTGTCGTATGCCACACATTAAGATCTATTTTAAAATTTAAGGAAAGTGATGTTAGCCATATCATTAGTGTTTTAGATCCACTTCATAAAAATGAAATAAGAAATTCCTTTAATGTATTTTTAGAGTCAAGAGGAGATGAGGGGTTGGCGCATATTTTGTCTCTTGATGAATTTTTACTAAACGACTCCAAAATAACCCAATTTTCAAACATATGTAAATCAGAAGCCTCCATATTGTCTAAACGACTCTCCTATGACGGCGATAAGCTGTCAAACAAAGTTTATTGTAATAAAGTGAAAGACCAGAAATCTTTACAGAAAAATGTTACCACACTATACGATGACTTCAACGAAAAGAATAAAGCTCTAACGAAAAGATTTATTTTTTCAGGTAATAAAGCAATGATCGATTTATTGTCAGACACAGACGAAGCATCAAACTATTATACTAACATACTATATAGGATTAAGATCAATTTTTTACATGTACATAAGGTTCGAAATAGCAGTGACCCACAGATTCTGTGGAGATTAGATGGTGTGGAAAATATCAATAGAGCACGTAGGAAATTATTACCAGCTCATGCCTACAATAATAACGAAACTTTATTAATATCTAGTGCAATTACTGGTAGGGATCACATAGGGGACTTTGACGAAGAAAACTTAACAAACGAAACAATTGGAAAAGATATTGTTGATGATACTTATGAAAGTGGACTTGATAACTTAAATCTCAGAAATGAAAATAAAAAAATATTAAAAATATTAAAGGATTCCGATGTTATAAAAGCTATATGGAATACGAGTTTAGTGGTTGGCCTTGACCTCAGAGAAGGGATATTAATTCTAGGGAACAAATATTTGTACTTTGTCAGCAATTACTTTTTTTCTAAAACAGAAGGTAACATAATGAAAATTGGGGACGTACCTAAAACTTACAGAGATGTTGATATTGGCCTAATCATTAATCACTTTGAGTCCCCTCAGGTGGAATCAAATAAACCTATTGAAGTTAATAGTTGGAGATTGGAACGACTGGCTTTCGTTACTAAAAGACCCTTTTTACTTAGAGATGTCGCTTTGGAGATATTATTTGATAATAACACAACCTTATTTTTCAGCTTTAAGGATAGTTCCATAAGAGAAAAAGTCTACCACCCATTATCCAAGGTTTGTAAGCCTTATTTTTTGGATCCATTATATGCTGATGTCTTGGAAGAATTAAATGACCGGAGTAACATGATTGGAACCCAGAACGGTATTTCGAAGACAAGTTTGACTACAAAATTTGTTAACGTTATTACACCCACTATAAAAAATAAAAATATGTTCGAAGTAACTGATTTATGGAGGAGAGGTAAAATTTCTAATTTTTATTACTTGATGGTCATAAATACTTTAGCTGGGAGGTCATTTAACGATCTTACTCAATATCCAGTGTTTCCATGGGTTATTTCAGATTATACTAGTGAAACTCTTGACCTCACGAATGAAGATACATTTAGAGATTTATCAAAACCAATGGGTGCTCAAGGCGATAAGAGAAGAACAGGATTCGTTGAAAGATATAATGCCCTGAGGGCGGTTGACGATCCCCTAGCTCCGCCATTCCACTACGGTACACATTATTCGTCTGCTATGATTGTTTCTTCATATCTAATTAGACTGAAACCATTCACAGAGTCATTTATTTTGTTACAAGATGGCACATTTGGACACCCTGATCGTCTTTTTAATTCAATTGAGAGGACGTGGAGATCAGCTGCTCTCGAAAATACGACAGATGTGAGAGAACTTATACCTGAATTTTTCTTTCTTCCGGAGTTTCTTCTTAATATTAATGATTATGACTTTGGAACGAATCAAAAAGGTGAGAAGGTAGGTAATGTTATATTGCCTCCGTGGGCCAATGGAGATCCAAAAATATTTATTGCAAAAAACAGATGTGCACTAGAGAGCCCCTATGTTTCGAAGCACCTTCATGAATGGATTGATTTGGTCTTTGGTTATAAACAAAAGGGTAAATTGGCAGAAGAGAATGTTAATGTCTTTAATAAGATGAGTTATCCTGGTGCAATCAATTTAGAAAAAATTGATGATGAAAATGAAAGACGTGCTGTCGCTGGTATGATTCATAATTTTGGACAAACACCTTTACAAATATTTCAGGATGCACATCCTGAAATGTTAACTTTACAGTCCAATACCTTTGATTTTAGTTATCTACAAGAACTTACCGCCATTCCGTCAATTGAAAATAACGTTGAACTTTTAGACCCTACAGCATACTTGGTTTATCTTAATGATATGAAATTCCACGTTAATTCATTCACGAAATTTTTTGTTAGTGGTAAATATCCAGCTTATTTTGTTGAAAGAATAGGTAGCGAATCAGTTTTAATTGATGGTATTAAATATAGAAATATACATTTAAGTGAATTGACAGTATGTATACCTTGGAAAGATGGAATGTTCATCACTGGCGATGTTAATGGGCTGATTAAAGTGTGGACAATTGACGGTAAAGGGATTTCTGATCTTAAATTAACTCACAAGACTACACTACATGGTCATCTTCATAGTATACTGTCCATTGAGATATATTCTGAATATTATACTATTGTTACTTTGGATTCTCATGGAAATGTGTATACATGGGATATGATATCATATGAATTGATTCGTTGCGTTCATAGAGATACCAAATTAATGGCCGTCTCATCACTTCACGGTACAATGTTGATATTATCTAATGATAATAAACTATTAATGTACAACGTCAATACATTGAACTATACCAACATAACGGTCCCAGAGGAATCTAAAATAACAAGTTTCCGATTTTTAGAGTTTAAGACGCACGATCCGTATGCTGGACATATGTATCTGGATCAATTAGAAGTGATTTGCGTAGGGTATAACGATGGAACAATAAGAATATTTCAACTGATCATTAACCGGCGTAATGTATGGGAGTTAATATTATTAAGGATATTAACAGTTAACAAGAAGGTGCCTATAACTACCATAAAGGCAGTGACGGACGTTACATATAGAAAACCTAAGGATGATACCTTGGGGCTTTTTGCACCAACTCTTACTGGTTTAAAACTAGCATGCGGTACAGCCAACGGTGAATTGCTAATTTGGAAATAAAAACACTATACTATATAAAAGTACAAAAGACTATATGTGTATATACGTATAAAGAAATTTAATAACCAATGGTTCAGTACCGAGCGCAAAGAAAGTTCAGTGAAGATTGGATTCCTTTAACTAATTTTTGTTAGAGCACATCTTTTACCCGGACAATCATTATACACGAACCCACACAAATACTCGTAGAAAAACTTAAAAAGAAAGGGAAAAAAAGATGACGATGTGATTAGACGTAAATAAACTGTATGTAGGCTATTTTCTTAACGCTGTGTCAATGTTCAAATATACAAAATGTAAAATATAACGAACTCAATACTTTCAATATCTTGTTTTTTCTAATTTTTTCTGCCTTTAAGAAAGGATAAACAACATAAAATAATCAATTTTGAAAGAGAGAAACAAGTTTAATAACAGAGATTGACATTAAAAGGAAAACTACTGAAGACATTTATTGAAAGAGGTGAAAAAAAGAACTTATACACACGATACGAGTACTGTCTTTCGTCAACTTTAGAACATAAACCTAATTGATTCCTATAACTAATTTAAATAAGTTGAAGAGAAAGAATCTGTTTGTGTTTGAAGTTACGTTCTATCCTCGTCATTATTTGAACATTATATATACGGATATTATTCATCGATATAATAATATTTGAGTGTATTGTTGTTTCTTATTGAATATTATTTTTTTTCAGGAGATCATATTTCCAAAATACTATTTGTATTCAACATAGAAAAGAAAGCGATAGGTGGAATATATTCTAACAACAAACACATATTAATTTTATAACCACAACCGGAAATAATAATAACAATAATAATATGGCCTATCCTCCACCTCCTCGTAGGTTAAACGATAAGAAGAGATATTATTACTCTAATAATCCAAATAGAAGGCACACAGGTCCTTATCCTCATAGACCTTATAATCCTAATTACGCAAATAATTATCCAATACCACAATCTGCTAATGAAATTCCATTGAATGGTAATGGAAAAAAGAGTCATATTATATCGAATTCTAGCGTGATTAATACAAGTCCACTATCACAACCATTATTAGAATCACATAATACAAACATCAATAAACATAATGATGTTAGTAGACCATCGAGATATAATCAACCGACAAGTCGTAAGGCTTCGGTATCTAGTACAGTGGCATCGATTTCCTCAGTTCCCTCTGCACCAGCACCAGTACCGGTAGCAGCAACTGTAGCCACAACTACAACTACAACTTCAGCACCAAATAACTATAGTACTATTCCGTCAATTCCAACGACACCTTCTGGTAATAAACATCCAAATACTAGTAGATATAATTCGGATTCACATGAAAGTATACACCAATCTATACCAACGCAGTTATCCAATCAGATCCACAAATCTATTCCTACAGGCAACTCTAGTGAAAATGTAACACATAATAAATCTCGTTATTCAGCAAATAATGCTACAAGTAGATATAACCCACATACTCCAAATTTAACAACGAATGTGGTTCCATTACAAAAGAGTCAATCATTGCAATATATAACCTCACAAAGAAATAGGCCGAGATCAATGGACTCTGCTCCATTCGAAAAAAGTTACGGTAGTACTATAAGCCATACAACAGTACCAGAGAAACCATCTTTCACGACCACAAATAATAATTCAACGTCATCATTTTTTCAACGAGGTAATAAATGGAGATCACACTTACCACATACAACATCGGGTACGACTGTTGATACTTATCCAAGTAGTCAATTCCAAAGTCGAAGAACCAATTTTTGGAGAGGAACTAAAAATAATCCCTCTAATTACATGATTGGTAGTGATCCGATTCCAAGTCCTAATAGATTCAATACTAAATCATCTCAGGTCGATGAACACATTCTTGATACAGAGTTGAAGCAAAAAAATGAAAAAGAAATTGATACTGATATTGAAAAACATAAAAAGGGTTCGAATTTATCACCAAGATCCAGTTTAATCCGTTCCGTACCACAAACAACAAGAGAAACTACAACACATGTCCCTACTGGAAATAAAAATTTTGATTTAAAGAGAAGTAGGACAAATACACCATTGAGCTCGGTTGATGACAACGAAACAGAAGATAATGCAAGTGAAATAGATATTTCATTGCCTTCTACTAGCTTCAATTATCGTGTAAAGGAACAAGATATAAAAAATAATGACTTGTGGACTGTTGAAATAAAGAGAGAAATTTCTTCAGAGATTAAGTCATTAGAAAATGATGAAAAAGGAATGACCTCTGAAATAAAACTTCCTGAAGTGGAAAATATTGTACTTGAAGAATTGGAACCAACTACAAATGAAATTGAGAAGAGTGATAAAGTAGAATTACAGTCAATTTATGAATATGTGAGTGACCCTTCCATCTTGAAAACTGATATAAGTAAATTAAAAGTTGTTGATACATCAGGTCCGTTTAATGTTAAATTTCCTGAACAAGAAGCATGTATATTCCCACTGAATAGGGTAGAAACTAAACTATGGGAATTAAAACATAGAGAAAGAACTTATAGAATCTCAAAACAGAAATATCTTTTAAAAAGACCTATTAGGACATTCAAAGAGTACCCATTCTATAGATCGAATATAGAGCACCACAAAAACGTTATTGGACCTCAATTGCAAATAATGGGGAAATCTATGGATAAATTCAATCATAGGCACTTATTATCTCTTAAGAATAACTATATCATGCTTAAGAATTCATGGGAAAAAGATTGTAAGAATATGGATGAATCTAATAAAAAAGTTAGGAAAAATGAGTTAGAATTCAAGAAGAAACAAGAGGAAGAAAAAATTGAAAGAGATAAAGAGGAGAAACGATTAGATGACCAAAATGCTAATTCATCTCGTAGAAGGAATAGAGCAGATTTTGTAGATGATACAGAGATGGAAAGCGTTATGTTACAAATTGATCCTGATTATAAACATGTTCAGGCTGCAGCAACAATTCCTGAACTAGAATTGAACTCTGTTGATCGTTTTTCCCTTAAATTCAAAGATGTTAATAACTTAACCATGGATAAAGATAAATGGGCTTCTAGATTAATAACGGATAGTATCGACAATTTCTCTGAACATGAACATGAATTATTCCTTGAAGGTTATTTGAGTCACCCAAAGAAATTTGGTAAAATCTCTCATCATATGGGTGGTTTGCGGAGTCCGGAAGAATGTGTCTTGCACTATTATAACACGAAAAGAAAAGTCGATTACAAACAATTATTGTTACAAAAGAATAAGAGAAGGAAGAGTAGCGCAGCAACAAAGAGACGTAAGAAAAAGGAAAAGATACTTGAATCGGCTGGATCAGCTGCTGAAATTGATGTTCTACATGATAATGATGAAAAGGTGGACATTCATGAGCCCGACTTTATTCATCCAGGGGAAAATTCGGGAGATGAAAAGGAGAAAAATACAACCATGGAGAATATTAAACCAGAAGTCCCTATCGCAAAGCCTGTCGAAAAGCCTGTCGCAGAACCTGTTGAAAAATCTGTGGAAGAACTTGTCGAAAAGTCTGTCGAAAAGCCTGTCGAAAAGCCTGTCGAAGAACCTCTTGTACAGGAAACTGAAACTCTGCCTAAACCGGTGATTAACTCGCCACCAGCGCAAATCGCAATCATTAATAGTAGCTTTGTACCGAAAGAAATTGCACCTGCAACTGAACGTCATGATGAATCTACCATTATTCCAAATGGTAATGTCGCCACAGACTCCGTTAAACAAGAACTAATTATCCCTAAAAAGAGAGTCCATGATATTGCTATTAGTAGAGAAGATACAGAATTATCACATGAAACCATACATTCAACTGAGGATATCAATAATAGGGTAATCGATGCGGAGAATGCTGATGAGAGCTATGACTCAGATGGTATGAGAAAGAAACATAGAATTATGAGTGATCATAAATCAAGCTATTGGAGTGTTAAAGAATCACAAGCATTCCCAGAGTTACTAGAAAAATTTGGTTCTCAATGGTCTTTAATTTCAGAAAAATTAGCAACTAAATCTACAACGATGGTTCGTAATTACTATCAACGTAATGCTGCCCAATATGGTTGGAAAGCTATTGTTGAGGATACTGATTTAAGAAGGAATGCCCGTAGTTCTGATTCTGTACAACAAACCCAAATTTTAATTCAATCTGAACAGTCCCCAGTTATTGGTGTATCTAATGGTGTTCCTTTACAACAGAAACCTGCTTTGGGTTTCTTCTCAAATCAAGCTGATCGTAAGATTGTTAGCACAGAAGGTACAAACACTCAGGCATTTGTTATTGGTGAGAGTAATAGAGATTCATTTTCAAGTTCAAGTACGCCTACTGCAACATTACCTCCACCTAGATTACCATCTATTCAATTGAGTCCTAACCATGTTACTGCTACTAATCCCATTGGTGCTCTTCCTACACGAGCACTGGTTTCTCCAACGGATCCATTAGCACACACAAATGCAGTTACAATTCATCCTAACGAAAACAATAATGTTACTAATATTATGCAAAAGGAATCTGGTACACGTACAAGTATTGCCGATCTGATGAATGCTGATAATCATAGACCACATATAAGTAGTAGGACCCCTACACCTCCACTTACAAATATGGCAGCTCCAATAATGGCATCTACGGCTATTCCTCCTCAACCTGTTAATCATACACACCGTCGTACAGATTTAGGTATTCGAAATTTCTTAAATAATCCAACACCTGAAGACTCGGCTCCTGTGATTCCTACATCTAATACAAGAGCAATCCCACAAGTTACAGATATTAAGCTGGTTACAACAAACAATGCAGCATCAACATCATCGGCACCAGGATTAGTTAATGGTACTTCACGTATTGTAGTTCAAGATATGCATCATCAATATGTCAAGCCAGAGAGTTCCCAACCAAGATTAAGTTCGATCTCTTCGTTATTAAACCCGGTTTCAAACATGCAAACAAGAAATAATTTACCACCAATGGTATTTAAAGATACACGAGGAGTTACTGCTCAGGGAAACCTGGTTTCAACTCAGCCTAAGATAACTGTTCCAGATTTCAATTTTGCTAATGATCCTCTTGCAGCATTAGCAGCAGTCGCTTCTGCACCGGAGACTCTTGCATCAATTGTCCCCCATCAGAATCCAAATACTTCGCAAACTAAATAATTACATATACAATATCTCTAAAGGGACAATAAGTACGTGATAAAAATGTTTAAATGTAAAGACACATGTTGCCATAAGGTCTACATCTAATTACGCTATGTACTTCTAACGGCCTCACAGCGGTTAACGCCGACGATAACCCATTGTCTGTTTATTTTGCCCACCAAAAACGAAAAAATTTTAACGCACAAAAATTTTTGCGTCGCCAAAACAAATAAAGAAAAACATGCATCGCTAAAGTCAAACACTGAATGGGCAAAAAAAAAATGTGTTAATGGTGGGTGACCTTTGAGGAATTTCGATGGTTTTGGTTGAATTTGTTTACAATTTTGATTCACATGGCGACGGCTATTGAACAGACCGAACGTTACTCTGCAATTGCAGGATCTGCTGCCTTTGGTAAGAGTACAGAATTGAACAAGGAGGTAATTCTTATATATATATATCTATTTTCTTTGAAAAGGAGTTTATGTAGTTAGTTAAATTAATTAAATACATATATAAGTTTCGTGTTTTGTTTACTTGAAAGTACTTGTTTGGATTCAATTGTGCAATCGAGTGTTCGGCTATAAAAATAGTAAGGCATTATTTCACATACAAAATGGCTAACGTTATTCAGGAGTATACAGGTCCACTTTTAGAACAATACCCTGTATTGAAGGAGTATGTTCCTAATTTAGATCGTCCATTCTTTAATATTTCTCTATGGAACAATTTTGATTTTGCTGTTACAAAAATTACCAATGGTAAATTTACTCCACATGAATTTGAGTTTGTTGAAGGTGAATTACCTTTAAGTACTTTACCAAGTGTTGCTGCCGCCATTGCTACTTACTATTTAGTAATTTTTGGTGGTAGGGAACTTTTGAGAGGTTTCCAACCATTTAAATTCAATTTTATGTTTCAATTGCATAACTTGATGCTATCTTCTGGTTCTTTGCTCCTATTAGCTTTGTTTATTGAACAATTAACTCCAATGTTAGTTCGTCATGGTTTATATTACAGTATTTGTAATATTGGCGCTTGGTCTCAACCTATGGTTACTTTATATTACATGAATTATATTGTTAAATTTATTGAATTTACTGATACCGTCTATTTAGTTCTAAAACATAAGAAATTAACTTTCTTACATACTTATCATCATGGTGCTACTGCTTTACTTTGTTACACTCAATTGATTGGTACTACTTCTATTTCTTGGGTTCCAATCACTTTGAACCTAGGTGCTCATGTCTTAATGTATTGGTATTATTTCTTAGCTGCCAGAGGTATTAGAGTTTGGTGGAAAGAATGGGTTACTAGATTCCAAATTATTCAATTTATTTTGGATATTGGTTTCATTTATTTTGCATGTTATCAAAAGGTTGCATCAGAAATCTTTACTACATTACCTCATTGTGGTGATTGTGTTGGTTCCACAATGGCTTCTTTAGCTGGTGTAGGTATCATCTCCTCATATTTAGTCCTATTTGTCAGTTTCTACATTAACGTTTACAAACGTAAGGATACTAAGACAAGTAGAGTCATTAAACGTGCTAATGGTGGTGTTGCTGCTAAAGTTAACGAATACGTTAATGTCGATTTAAGTAATGTTAACACTCCATCTCCTTCTCCAACTCCTGTTGCTAGAAGAAGAACCTAGTTACAATTGTAATATATAAATGACTACATATATATATATTTATGTTTATATATATGTATGCATATATTTATGTTTCTAAAGGCCGATATGTCTAATCTTTTTTACCATTGCTATTATTTTGAATTAAACATATTTGTGTTAGAAATATAGCGTTCTATTGTTACTCTATATATGTATGTATATGTGTATGTGACTTCTTAAGCTCCCTTACGTACTTAAAATTACGAAATGCACCATGTACAGTAAACGGTTATATCGATGCTTTAAACTGTTTGTACTTTTAATGTTATATCTCTAGATCTTTGTTTAGAAAGGGTGATTGATCTCATTAACAGTTCCTTCGTTATTTTAGCTCCACCACCAACAACACTAAATTGTTTAAATCTACCATTTGGACATGCAGTTATAGAAATAGTTGATTTAATACTAGTTTCTTCAGCTTCTCCATCTATATCTGCTAACAGAACTGTCTTAGTCTCTAACCCCTCATCCATTGGTTCGTCCACGTCATCGTTATTCTCTAGATTAGTAATATCTGCCTCTGGATCGAGATCAATGATACCATATGTAGAGGCATACGATATGCTATTCTCTCTTAATTGTAAATTAGTACTTTCATTTGGATCACAAAGTAAATTATAGGTCTCCATTACAACAGCATTTCTTCCTCTAGCTCTTACTGTCATCTTTAAATCCGTCGCACGTTCATCTATGAAAGTTCTTGGTAATTTCACCGATTGTAATGCAGCTATTAGTGAGTTCCAACACATATCATAGACTGGACCAGTTCTCCCAAAAACTTCAATTTTAGCATATAATACATAGGACCATTTCTTTTTAGGCTTTAAAGCATTTGTAATTTCTTTATTCTCTTTGGTATCTGGATAGATAATACTTACAGAACCGTCTTCATTTGTTATACGAACACCAGGTTCCACTCTTAATACATCTTGGGTTAATATATGTGAATGAAGTAATGAATCGTATAGACGTTGGGATATCGTCATTTCTTCATCAGTACATGCACCCATTCTACCTCTATTTATTTCGACCACTGGATATACAGAAGAATATTTTGTAATATCAGAATGCTCTTTGGTAATTTCCAATAACTCTGTATCATCTTCCAGTTCCATATCATTTTTTGATAGCGTAATATCTTCAATTATACCACCAGTAATTTGAGTAATTACGAATACGTCACCTTGTTTCAAAACACAGGAACCTAGTCCTTGTTTTCCATTATTTGGTGGTATCTTAACAGAGTTATCATCAGATTGAATACGGCGTGTTACGTCTCCAGTATTTATTGTAATATCTCTAAACTCTTCAAACCCTCTTGAGGATGGTCTGAACCCCAAAGATAAATGCCTTTGTAGTGATAAGTCTGGAGAAATACGAGCTAGTATTTCTGGTGGAAAGGACACTGGATGCACTTCAACAGTGGATTCTTCAACGTCAGTCATAGTTTGAGTGTAATTAGCAAGTTGCACAAAATTTGAAAAGTTTGGTCTACCTTGTGTTTAAGAGAAAATAAAGACGCTAAATAGTTCGTAAAAAAATCACACTTCTTTCACTTTGGTTTACTTTCTTATTGACTTGGACTTAAAAATAAGATGAGAAAGCTCATCTTCAATATTGATTCCTCGCTTAAAATTTTTCAGAGTATTTTAGTTTCCTTTTCCGGATAGAAAATTCTACAAAATAGGAAATACATACCTAATTAGGTAATAATCTAGTATATATATTTCCTTACCCAACAAAAGGTTTTAACCTAACTCCAAACATTATTTGTAATGTTTTATTTTCAATATGATACTTTAAATGTTCTTTGGTTTAGTATTGATTTATCTCCAGATTGATTTTAACGTTCAAAAAACAATTTTTGAAGTTTCACAAGAAAAAAAAAGGGGGTTAGCCACACATGAATATTTTTGTTTGGATTTCGAGATGCGTTGGATTTAAACCATCCTTTAAACTTTTTAAGTTTTATTGGAACAATATCAGATATAAGCTGAACCCAGTATAACTCGAAATTATTGAATATAAGTATAGATCCTAAAATATGGGTATTACAGTTATTGGATCACTAAATTACGATCTTGTTACTTACACAGATCGTATTCCTGAGGCAGGCGAAACTTTTAAAGCAAATTCCTTCGAGACTCACACAGGTGGTAAAGGGTTAAACCAAACAGTTGCTATTTCAAAATTAAAGCAGGTGGATGCAGATTATAAAATTCAAATGGTAGGTAATGTCGGTAAGGACGCATTCGGTGAACAATTGCTTGGTTACTTAAACAAAAATAATGTGGATACATCTAATGTTGGAACTTATTCGGATGTAAGTACAGGGGTGGCAACAATCCTTGTCGAAGAGAAAAAGAGCGGTCAAAATAGAATTTTGATTACAGAGGGTGCTAACGGGAAGACCACATACACTGATGACGAACTAGCTAAAATCTTCAACAATGATGATAATGATACCAATCATATGGTAGTTTTTCAACATGAGATTCCAGATCCAGTATCAATAATGAAATGGTTTAATCAGTATAAAGATAATTACAAAATTGTTTATAATCCATCTCCATTCCATCCTTTGCAGAAGAATGATTGGTCCTTATTTGATGTTTTAGTAGTCAATGAGATTGAATCTCTTCAAATCATAAAAAACATCTATCCACAGAATTATGTTGACAAGGTTGAAACTGATATCGCAAATGACTTTATTGGTGCTTATAGTAAATTATGTGAAGAACTTCAAAAGAATGTTATGAATCCTTCAAAAGCAGCAATAGTCATCATAACTTTAGGCTCACAGGGTGTTTTATTTTCATCTGCAGACGATCAAGATGTGCAGTATTTACCTGCCATCAAAGTCGAAAAAGTTGTAGATACTACCGGTGCAGGTGACACATTTTTGGGTGGTGTAGTAACACAATTATATCAAGGGAACACTTTGAAGCAAGCTATTGAATTTAGTACATTCGCCAGTTCTTTAACCATCCAAACTCCAGGGGCTGCAGAAAGTATCCCTCATTATCCGGATGTGATTACAAGCTTGGGTGTAAACACAAAATAATGATGCTAATGATGAGTTTCATTTATCATTAAATTAACTAATTATGCATTTAAACTTTCTAAATAAAAGAATACTATGTATGTAAATATTATAACTGAATAGTAATTTCATATCCAATTATACGACCGTATGTAATTGATAAGGAGAAAGGAATAGATAATTACTCTAGAAAAGTCATTGCCGAGCCTTTAAATTGAAATCATGAGGAAGTAGTTGTAACGGCTGTTGTCGATCCGTGCAAAACAGATATCATAATACCATAACCGACAGTGATGACACACAGGAATGCAAGAAGCGATGCGGGAACACCTCTCGATAAGAACGTAAGAACATCCAGATATCTATTACCTTTCTTATCTGTTAGAGAGATTGCAGTAACATTAGGGAACCCTGACGATGCAAGACCCATACCGCATGATGCCAATAAAGAACAACCAAACACCAATGTTGGAGCTGCCTTTGGGTCGGATAAACTGTTACCGACTTGTTGAACCAATGGAACAATAATAATTGCACTAACTGTGTGAGAAACAAACGTACCAACAACTAGCATCAGGATACCAAATATACACAAAATTGCAAATAAACCATCATTTTGAATTTTCCTTTGTAATGCAGTAGCAATAGTGACCAGTAGACCCGAAGATGAGACCGCTTTACCAAGAGCAATACCACCCATTGCAAGGATAACAATTGACCAGGGAAATGTGTTTAAATCCTTGGTAGATAGTAACCCAGTCCCAAAGAATAATACTATTGGTAAAACTGCTATTTGGCCAGAAGAACCAAAGGCACCTTCAACCTGACCTTCTACACACCATAATAAAATAGTTCCTAGAGTGACAAAGACGATGTAATATTGTTTTAGTGTCAATTTAGTTCTAATTGGTGTGAATTTCTCTAGTTTCGTTGTATTGATTTTGAAAGTTAAACACATTAAACCCCATGAACAAAGCATAGCAAGTATACCACATGGTAAAGCAACGGCAAAAAACTGACCCCAACCAATTCCATATGGTTTTAAGTACTCCATTGAAATAATGTTTTGTGGAGACGAAATTGGAGAAGCCATACCACCTATATCTGCAGAAAGTGCGACCCCCATTACTAAAGCTTTAGCAAATGGCGTATCACTGTCCAAGGGATCGAGTAGAGGTGCTAATAATGAATAAGTCAGTACTGGAGAGGCGACATTTGAGATCCACATAGATAGAAAGAAGACCACACCCATGGCCATGAGTAGCACGTTTCTTGGTTTTGTACCTGCAAAAGCCAATAACCAAGAAGCAAGGATTTTTGCTATATGATATTGAGAAAGTACCTCACCTAATGTAAACCCAGCTAATAGAATCATAATGGTTGAAGACCACATAGTTGATAAAATTTCAGAAGATGCATCTGCGGCCCCCATTACGTCACCTTCAGTTGTTTTTAAAACTTTGAAGAGAACTGTCAAAAGTGGAACCAAAAATGCTGTAACATGTAGTGGAATTGCTTCACTTGCCCAAAGAAAGGCCACGCATTCGACTAGGGCCATACAACGACCTTCAACACGGTCATTGAATGTTTTAACACCCAATAAAATACCTGTAAATGTAATAATAAATGCTAGTTTGGCAGCTTTTGTTGTAAAGAATAATTTAGGTACACCTAATCTTGTAATATTAATAAATTTCCAATGAATCTCTCTAGGTAGGTTCCAGTAAAAGCAATCAATTTCTAGTTTTGAATCATGTTTTTCTGCAGTTTCATCTTCCTCAATATCAGTTATTATATTCTTATCTTGCGATACAAGACCTAGCATATCCTTCCAAGTAACACTTCTCTCCCAAACAATATGATCGTGGAGGGAGGATTTCAATTCTGTCTTACAAGTCTCAATTTCATTAGGTCTGTTAGTTATTAAGGAATAAAATTCAATCAAGGAATGAATCTTTTCATTAAGAAAATTTAGTGTGTCATGTTGGAAAACATATGTTTCCTTAAAGAACTCACCAGTTAGGATCAGATCTTGTCTTGTATTCATATGTAACACTTTATCAAATTTCTTAGTAATCTTACCAAAACCAATACGGTTCAGATCAATAAATGACTTCAGTTGACAAAGGTCGATGTATAGATTAACAATTGAGTGTTTTAAAATTGAAAGTTTTTGTGATTTGATATTAACATGAGAATAATTTAGAAGGGCACTATTTTCTTGTGTATCATCTAATTCATTAAAATCATCTTCTTCTAATTCATCCTCATCATATATTTCTTCATCATTTTGATCAAATCTACTTCTAAGATAAAATTCACTTGATTTATGCAAATCGAAAGAATTGGTCTTGTGGGAGAGGACTTTATTTATAGTGTCAGTTGGTACAATATCATTCTGAGAAGAAGACGGTATGTGAGCTCTCTGGGGGCTATTAATTGGGTGGAAAGCTTCATTGAAATTTGTTATACCTTCTTGATCTAGATCCTTTTTCAATGAATTAAACCTTTCATAAAATTTAGCTTCTTGTCTTTTATAGAAATCATCGATTTTAGTTCTTTCATCTTGTAATTTATTAACAAAGGTGTCATATGGACTAAATAATGTTCTTTCATCACTCGAGGAAGCGGAAGAGTTAGAAGAATGATGTCTACTTTCAAATATATTCACCTTCAATTTTTTATTGAATGGATTCGTTATTTTCTTTCCTCCATTGTCAGTGTTCTGTGGAATATATTTATTATTAGTTATACCAATTTCGTTGTTATTGTTATTAACATTATTATTGTTGTTGCTATTTGATACATTATCAAATGTTTCTAATTCATAAGTTTCTTCACTAATTTGGCCCTTTTCTACTTTTTCAAGATCATCTTTATTTGCATCATTGTTGTTATCATAAATTTTTTTATTCTTATGTTTCTTTGAAGATCCTCTGAAGAAAGTATTTTTTAATCTATTCTTTAAATTATCAGTTCTTGATGAGTTTGCAATTGCATTATTTTCGTCATCAATATCCACTTCATCACCTGTAGCATTAGTCAAATTATCATCTAATATACCTCCATTTTGTTTAATTTCTTCAGCTTGCAGAGTATATATCAAATTTTTCAATTCTACGTAGTCCAAATATTGATTCTGCCATTCTGGAACAGCGTTATACTTCAAGAAATGAGAAAACCTCATATCTTGGTCTTGATCTTGTGGATATATTTAAAAAGGAAAAAAACTGAATCTATATTAGGGATTTGTAGATTTTGAACCTTCGTTGTTAATTTCCTTTATTGGGTTCCTAGTATATATATGTGTGTGTATGTGTGTGATTGTTTAACGAGTTTCAACACAAAGTAAATACTACGCCAAGATTCGATATTCAGAGAAGAGCGATGTGTGAGTCAATCGAATAGTTTAAAATAAAATAAGAAGGTCTATAAAGTTGGCAAAGCTATACTCAGTCCAACACTAAGAAAAAGAAATGATATCTGGATCTCCAATGGAAAAGTTCTAAACAATAAACCTAAAATCCAATGGCAAGAGAAGCGTATAAACAGATCCACTATTTTTACCATTATATCGTTATCTGCCGATGAGCGGTACATAGAGATGGGAATATATCATACTTTCCTTATTCGACTCGATACTTTGCCCTCTTAAACCTATCCTCCCATCCCCCCACGTTAGTGTAGTGAGCATCAGTTGCGTTGTTTTTTGAAAATTCACAATTCCAAAACTAGAACAGACGTCACTTCACGGGCTTGAAGTCTCTATTTCTCTCAGTTGTCTTTACGATTTGAACAAATATTGATATTTCATTCCGCGCATTCGTCCAGCTTTTGAAAGTGTTAGGCGGAGGGCCGGTGCTCCTGGTGTTCCTCTGGATGCAGAACGAGGCAAAAGTTAGTTGGTTTAATTAATGGAGGAAGAAAACGTGGAGAAGAAATGTCCGTTTCGTCAGCAACGTAGAAAAAATGCAGAGCATGTTACGCTCTCTGAGCCCATTCTATTTTGGCCCATGGATACCTAACATAATAAGGGAAACTGAAATAGAGGCCGCGGTCTACACGGTGGTTAATGTAGGGAACGGTTACCAAAGCACATTTGTCGTCCCCCGAAGGCTGTTTTCTATCTTGTTTCTATAATGTTTCTGATTTCCCTGATGTTCTCCATAGTAGTTTTGAAAAGTTTTCCCCAGATTTGCTACGTGGAGTTGAAAAAGCTGCTAACAGTTTGATCGTTAGCTATGGAGCAGAGCGTGGCGCGGCTCTTCGTGTGGAACTATATACACAGTACAGGAAACGACTTCGAAACGGTGAAGAAATTGAGTGAAGTAAATAAAGCCTGGGTAGTGTGTGTTGCATGAATCAAATTTGTTAAAGTCAGAGCAGATATAGGGAGGAAAGTCATCAGGTACCAGAATGGACACAAAACATATACACCTTTTGTAACGGGATATAGGAATATTGTATCCTAGTTGAATTTGTTCAGGTAGCGATCAGTGTTTCGTGTTATGAAAATTAATAATGCACTTATTTAGTGTGTGTCCATTGTATATTTATTTATATGTATGTATGTATGTATGTACAAATTTACGTTTGGAGATGCACTTTTTCTGTTTGATTATGTCCTTGGGATAAGTTTCAAACTTAGATCATAACCTCTTGATGGATTGGATTTGTATGGTCTATTTACTCGCCATAGCTCAGACAATATAACATTTTGCAAGTCTGTTGCCGGTGTAATAAAATTAGTTTCGATAGTTAATTGATCTGTGATGTTGAAAAAGGAGTCTCTCTTATCCACGCTGTCATTACTTGCAATATAACCACCATTGGTATCAAAATCATTATCGTAATCAATTTGAAGTAATTCAACAGAATTTATGATATTGGTAATTCTCGTGTATTTATCTACATTCACTAGCTTGTTAGGTCTGAAGGAATCAGGGTTCCTGAAGTTTGGATTACCATCTTCAACAAATGTTAGATCTTGTAAATATATATTAAAGAATGGAACCGTTGGTAATGATGGTTTTAGTGCCTCTGCATCATCAGTAATCTGTTTCAATTTTTCTCTATAGACCTTGTAATTATGATTTGGATATACTATCCTAGCAAGGTACTCAAACAATTTTTTGTCCTTATTGTTTAAGGAATTCCATATTGGTTTGATTCTTGAAATCGATGGACTCTGAACTGCAGTCATGATTGATGCCAATGAATTAAAATTACGGAAGTAAAGTGAAGAAAGTGCTATTCTCAACCATACATTAAGTCTCGAGACTCGGAAGCTCAATGAGATGTTTTCTTCTAATATACTTTCAATAACATAGTTTGAAAGTTGATTTGTAAAATTCATCACAAGCATAATATGTGGACATAGATTTAGATTTTTATGGTTCACTAGCTCGAATTGTTCAATGTTGTTGAAAAGGTATGACTCAATTAAAGTTATTTGTTTTGCAATTTCTAAAGGATTCATATCAGTTATATTAAATTTAATAGAATCTAACTTAGAGTTATCAATATCTGATATGTTCGTTAAAGTCTCAAGGCCGTCCCAATTTGTCACCAAATCACCGATTGTATTGTTGTTCCCATGGTGATTTATAAGAGGAGGTGAACCGTTCTTGAATGGTATATAAGAATCTAAGATAGATTTTATAGTATGTTTGTTCTCACTAGTTAATAATGTCGATGTACCTAGGTTTAGGACTGGTAATGGTAACGATAATAGATTTTTTTCTGTATTTTGAACATTTGTGAGCCCATATTCTTCAATTAATCTCTCATCAAGCGAAAACGAAGAGTTTGTGTTGTTAGATGAAGAAGAACTGGTAGAAATGATGGATGTAGTCTTAGACCGAGACATAGATCTAGGTAATAGCTGTTTCATTGTTGTAGATGATTCATCAGTATTCCAATGGTCAGTATACGTTTCATTTAACTCAATTTGTGAAGGTGTAATTTTATTAACAGGTTCGGAAAATTGAATCTTGGAGAACAGTTTCGAGGCAGAAAGTATTAGTTTCTTAGATTCTATTGGCAAGTAATTCACAACGGCTTCGTTAAAAAAATTAATCAAAGTAGGTAAAACTACACAGTCAATGTAATGATCCCAGAAACTATCCATCCACACGCTGATAACTTTGCATACCATACGTCTTCTATTCTTAAGTCTAGATGCCCTTGAAGAGTAATTCCCATTTTTGGAGTCGTATTCGAATTGGGAGCTTTTATCCTCCACATCGAACCTGTTTATCAAATTATTTACCAAATCTATTGGTTTGGCAAATTTTCTATAATTTAATAAAACCGTAGACATAAGAAGAGTACTTGGTTTCTCGAGTTCGTCAGTTAATTTATAGAGTAGAGCCCTAAAAGAAGCGCCAATTAGATTTCCAGTTTTATCGTAAAGCAGTTCCGAAGAAAGAATATTGTTGGAATTAACGTTGTCATCATTATGGGACCATGTTTCGTCATCTAACTTAAATTTGTCAAATGTCGAATCTCTACTAAATTCTTTGTGATCAGGGTTTAGTATTTCATTTAGGAATTGGGAACCTTCTGGGGTTAAACCGATATTTTTGCTATTAGTATTTTCGTCGTTATTAACACCCACTCTGATAGAAGAAAATCTAATGATACTGTGATATTTGTTGGTTTTTTTCGTTTCTTCATTATTCATTATCTTGTTTTTTACCTTGTCTTCATCGATTGAGTTTGCTAAACCTTCTAGACATCTCTTTACAAATTCATCAGCGGTGATTTTGATACTGTTAAAATCTGTATATTGTCTTTCGCCCCCCAGTCTAAAATTACCTATCACTCTTAGATAATTATTACATCCGCTTAGGGTGTTAGATATCGAAGTAGTCATTGTAGATATAATCTTGATTAGATGCTTACCTTCAGAAGTATAATGATATATACCTTCTTTAACAGTGAAATTATCGTATTTCTTAGGTTTAGGTTGTGAAGTTTTGTATAAGTCATCTTGTAATGTTTGCGTGACAAGTACCTTGATACAGGACACCAGTTCGGATACCAAAGCCAGTAGAGGATCTAGATGTTTATCGATAATACTCTCATATGCATTGTTATATTTTTGTTGCATTATCTGAGAACATGACTTACTAATATAAAGAAGTTCTCTTAAAAGAATGATGATTTGATGAACCATCAATTCCAAAGTTTCACACCCAACTGGGTTATGTTCTATCAAATCTAAACGACCCAATATAAGACTTGAGTACGTAAATAGTATGTCGTGAATTTCGTTTAATCTTTGAATTGCATATGGGGGTTGTGGAAGATAATTCATATTAACTGATTGGATCTGTTTATTATCAGTTTTGCCACTAGTATCTGAATGTTCATTTAATTTGTTATTCTCTACCAAAGTTTTATCAGTTGACCAAACCTTGTAAAAGTTGAATGCTTTCCGCAGAACTTCGTAGACCAATTTAACAAGGTTGGCTATATCTTTTTCGGACGTAGTATTTTTATGCTGGTCTGCCTTTATCATCAAATTATACCAGTCAGCTAACAATTTTTTTCTTCCTCTTCTTACTGGGTCACTTTTTTGAACAATTTCATCTGATCTGGATACTGCTTCAGTCATTTCTAGTAGTGATTTTACACCATCTCGTATATCATTAATATCTTCAATATTGAATGTATCGTTGTTATATGTTGTTTTGTGTGATTTTGGGTTAATAAGAAACTTCGCTGCTGAATATAGAAGTTTTTGTAATGGGAGCCTAGAATCTATTACGTCTTCCCAATATGTTATATTTTTGGGTCTTAATTTAAGATCGTCGCTTTTTATGGAGGTGCCTATGATATCTGTGAAATAGTTAAAGGGTACCCAGCCTCTCATTTGGGTGCTGATAAGGGTCACTTCACCCCAACCAGATTCGTCAACATTATGCACAAAAGCATAATCATCTTTTTGAAATGATAGGCAGATGCCTGCATCTTCTTCATTTTCTAGATCCTGTACATTAAAAGAATGTGTTGCTATAATAAATAAATAGGTGTAGTTGGAAATTTCATCTAAATGTGTTTTATTATTAACTGTTTCATCATCTAAATCATCATCAGAGTAATCGAGCGTATTTAGGGTATCTTCTCCGGTAAATTCTCTTTGTTCACTTATACGTTGTATTTCAGATCCCAGTTTTGTATCTCTCTTGGTTATTGAAGCTCTGATGGTATCTACAAGTTCGTTAGTATTGTTGATTTTAGTATTTTGTTTCAGACTGTCGCCGCTTGTTATTATTCCTAATCCGAGGTTTTCTGTAGATATATTATGTGTGTTTTGTTGTTTTATCGTGTCAAGGAATTGATTATTAATCTTTGGTGTAGTATCATCAGGGTTATAGCCGGACTTGTTATCGAAGTCTTTGCTGTTTAATTGAGGTGTCATCGATGTGGGACCACCCTTCAATAGTTTATGAAATACGTGTTGATCAGTTTCTTGAGTTTCTTGTATGTAACTTCTATGGGATTGTGCTGTTTCAAAGGATTCAATAGCTGTAGCTAAAGATGTAGCAGTTATATTATTTCGGGGAAGCATAGGCGTAAGATCATGTTGCTCTATACTGTTATGTATTTCTAGGGATTTAGTTGGTGATATTGTTGTTGTAAATCTTTTATTATCAGTTTCTGTCCCTTTTTGGTCATATTTGAATAATGGTGTAGTTGGATTTAGTGCCTCCATTATTCAATGTAGTGTAATTAAGAAGATTCAAACTTAGTAATCAAGTTTGGATGGGTGTAAAAATTTGCCAGAAAGTCCGTTTGGTGGCCTAAATTGTCAATATTTCAAATATTGGTGAAATGTACAGTATTGGAATTAGAGTGGGTTATAATAGTTATTTTTAAATGCAGCGAAAGAAATGCCTCTTGAATTAAATATGTATCTATAACAAAGAAAATTTCCTCCAAATGTATGTTTCGTTTATAAATATTGCGTTGATATTGTATATTCTAACGTCGAAGAATTCATTAGTTAGTTATATTCAATTATGTTCTATTTTTATTAGTTTCTTTTTTGGAAATTTAATACCAAGAATTAAATTGACACGTTAGTATTTTTTTTCCAAAAGTAGCGTAGTAATTACTAACGATATTTTATTTCCATTTATTATGTAAAAAAAGTTCAGTTGGGGTATCTATATCTGGTACAGTCGTCCTGGTTACAAGGTACATACGATATATTCACAGTAATTATTGAAAATTCGTTTTTTGTTTTTTGTTTTTATGCCGGCTCCTTCTTACACTCTTACCATTTGAAATATAGATTTTCCTCTCTAACTGAACTATTTTGAAAAGCATTAATAAATTACGTAGTTGAAAGGTAGATGTGCAGTTTGGAATAGATATAGACTAAGCATAGTAAAAATCACGCAGTAATGATTGAGTCTCAATCATAAAAAAATTTCAGATTAGGAGAACGAATGAAATGTAAAGAATTAGAGTAAAATTGCATAGGAAGATAATATTTTTGGTGTTTAACCATTTTCTCTTTAGAGCACATTTCTGAATTTTCACAGAGAGTTCTGTATTACATTTGGCGTCTTAGTTAATTTTAGGTTACTACGCACATTTCTTTGTATTTGGCAAAGGTGAGTCTAGTAGCGAAAATCTGTACTTAGTCCACAAAAGAATATTACTGAGAAACGTTGAACGAAATAGGCTGAACTGTATCGGCAATCTAATTATGTGCTTTATTGGGTCAGTTGTGCGATGGTATCTTTCACCGTAAGAATATTCGTGTTTTAGTTTTTTTCTCTCGCGAAAAGTGGTTTGGTTTGTCGATGAGGTCGTTTGGAGTGATATCATGAAAGACGAATATGTTAAAAGAATTACTAGTAATTCAGTTTAGTTGGTTATTTAGCCGCTGAAGTTTATTTACCAATGAAAGTGAAATGTGAACATGTACAATATTTGAGGTACATGTTTTATAATGGGGTATTTGAGTTGCGAGAGTAATAAATGTAAATTGGTGGTATTTATGTTAGTAGTTGGAAGAAATGGGTGTGCATGAGGTTTAGTTTTTGCGTTAGTAATCGTAATTTAAGACACCCAAAATTTTAGTAATGAGTTAGGTTATGGGAGGTCTTAGTAGGTAGAAGTATTATGGTAACTGTTTCTACGAACAAGCGTTGGAGTAAAAAAAATTTTACTCCTCGTAAGGGGCTTGAACCCTTGACGTTTCGGTTTCAATTTCTCTTAAGACTGATCAAATTGGATCACTCCTAACATTACTGATGATGTTTCTAATATCGAAAGTAAGTATTAGTTATTCTTAAAAGCCGAACGCTCTACCAACTGAGCTAACGAGGAATTATTTGTTGCTGATTGTGCATATTTATTGATGTTTTGATTTTGTTGAAATTTGAATTCAAATGTACATAAACTCGTTATATTTTTAAGGTATTCATTAATAAAATGATAAATAATGGGTTTCATTTTTATTTAAATATATGTGATATATTGTGGCCTGTAACTTAAACGGGAACGCAGTTTTTGAAATGTTTATATCGTTTATATACATAAACTGAGCGTTAAGAAAATGAACAAAAGTTAAGATGTAGTAGTACACCAAGCATAGTATTATTAAGTGTCGACATTAGTGTTTGAATTTTATAAATTATTTGTATAATTTATTGTAATGTTTACATTTTTTGTTTACAGCGAACAAAGATGTTTGTGTTAGGCTGATTGGAATTATAGTTGTGTTTTATTTTGAATGTACATAACGATAATGTGATGTAGTTAAATATCCAAGCAAGAAACAGTTAGTATTGTAAATATATTTGTTTTATATTATCCGTATTCATTATAGGATGTTTTTATTTTTGTTTCAAATAAATTTTTATGTTTTTTTTGAAAATCGTGAATTTAATAATTTTTAAAGGTTTAGTGTTGAAGTTAAAAGGTCTTTTAAGACAATTAAACTTATATATGAAGGTAAGGGTTAGAAGAAGTTTCAATCTTGTTTTTTTGGGCAAACAAAATTCCCCCAACGATTTGGCTTAGGGTTAAAAGTACGTCTTTTGCATATTTGTGCAAGGTACTAAAGATGATCATTATAGTGTCAACTAATATTTATATATTTTGTTTACAAATTTAATGTAAGATAGAGTATGAAAGATAATAAAATTGTTTATTAAATTGTATTTACTTTATATATTACTATTATTTATCCATGTATAATGCTATTGAGATCAAGAAATTCTTTGAATTTCTTTACTTCGTCAATAAGGACGTATTCATTTCCCTCTCTTTCACTAAGGTATAATTTCGTGATGGTTTTGATTGGTGTGATGCTGGTGAGTTTGATATTAGTTGTTTCTTGATTGTCTTGAGCTTGCTGCGTTACATAAGCCTTGAAATTAGAATCTGACGGTATTATTGATTGGTTCAATATTTTTTTCCCTGTTAAATAGTTGGCTGTGAGAGTTTCATTGGCAAATGAAACTGATTCATTTTGATTAAAGTTATGCTGGAACTCTGTGGTTGTAAATGATTTATTTACATTTGCTGGTATGAAGTATGCTTCATGTTTGTTGCTAGTTTCGAGAGGAGTGTCTTTAGTCATATTTGTGTTTAATTATGTTTATATGATTCGTTTCATTTTTACGTGTTTAATTATCATATATGATCTGTTTTATGTTCGTTTTTAAATCGTTCGAAAAATAAAACTAAAAAAGGAAAAATGAAAAATTAGATCTATGTACAATAAGGATTTAAAAGGAGTCGGTTAAAGACGCAAATTAAGAGTAAACTAAAATAGCAAACAAATAAAGGGAAAGTAATAATATAGAAAATAAGCAGAGGGAGTGGACATGGTGCAACAGACAGATTTCAATTATATTAGCAAAGTATGTAATTTTTAATAAATAGAAAGGTTCAGAATGAGTATTTACTAACACCTTAGTAGGATATCCTCGATTCGGGACTTAGTTTGCATGAAAAGAAGGAACTTTTAAAAAGGTTGTACGATAACTACAACCTTCTGGTTGTACCAAAGAAACGTAAGAGAACCACTATTAGTAAGAGTACTAAAGAATTTTTGGAAAAAGTATTTGAAAAGAAACAGTGGATCACCAGGGAAGAAAGACAGATTGTGGCAATGGAGTGTGGTATCACACCATTACAAGTCAGAATATGGGTATGTTGTTACTTGTATACATTTACTACTCATCATTACATTTTACTAACAATATCATATATATATATATATATATATATATTATAATTATAGTTTATAAACAAACGATCACGGACTAAACCGTCAGTGTCTAATACATAATACATATCATTATGATCACATCAATGCAGGAGTTTTGTAGAAAGAAATGAATATAGAGAGGGTCTAAGAGGGATTCCATATGAGTGCGTCTAAGTGTCTTCTGCCTGAGTCTAGGTCCAGTTGGTGGAGCGGGAGAAGGATAGGCGAGCGGAAGTAGAGCTGGAACACAATGTAAAGGCCTATGAAAAGGAAGATGGATATATATGCTGCGAAAAAATCAGATGTAGAAAACTTAGGTGCGAATGCAGTAAAGCCTTGAAGAATAATGATCAGAATCATGAAAAATGTCGCATAATACGCTAACCCAGGCATTAGTGATGCTTTGAAAGGAAGGTCATTTCGTGATATATTACGGTAACGTAGAGCCCTCATGAAACGAATATGGGCTAAAGAAATAAATAACCACGAAAAGAAACCTGCTACTGCAGTAATGTTTAGAAGCCAATTGAACGCGTTTTGTCCACCAGCTGAAGTTTCCATATAAGCTAAAGCCCCAAAAGCTGCAGTCATAAAAACCGCGTAGACAGGAACACCGCCTTTTGAGGTTTTACTAAAAATTTTCGGTGCTAGTTTTTCTTTAGATAGACCATATAAGATACGAGAACCAACATAAATATTTGAATTACCTGCAGATATAATTGTAGTCAAAATAACAGCATTGAAAATATGTGGTAAAATTTTTGTACCTGAATTTTCAATCGCAATAATAAATGGAGATGATGAAATATATGAATCTGTTGATGTTAATTTTGGATCATCATATGGTACTAATAAACCAATAAAAAATAACGATAATATGTAAAATACAAGGATACGAGCTGTAACTTGTTTAATCGCACGCGGAACAGCTTTTCTTGGATTAGCTGTCTCCCCAGCGGTAACACCAACCAACTCAGTACCTTGATAAGTAAATGCAGCATTAATTAAAGAAGAAAACCAACCTAAAAATTTAGCTTCGTTTAAATCCTTTGAAATAATACCAGGTCCAAAAGCACCTGGATTACGCCAATACCTAAAACCAACCGCACCACCTAACGTTTTAGACGCACCACATACCATACATAGACAGTATATAATGAATCCAATAATGGCAACAACTTTAATAGAAGCTACCCAAAATTCAAATTCACCATAAAATTTTACTGGGAATAAATTCATACAAGTTAATAAAACCCAAAATATACTAATCCATGCAGCTAAAGGAACAGCTAAAGTCCAAAAATCAATAATTTGTCCAACAACACTTAATTCTAACGCAAATGTAACAGCCCAAGAAAACCAATACATATAACCTGTTGCAGCACCAAATGCGGGACTCATGAATCTAGCTGTAAAAACAGTAAATGAGGATGTCACTGGGATAAATGTCGCCATTTCACCCAATGATTGAGTAACGGCATAAACTAATGTCCCCATGAATAAATAACCAATTAATGCACCTACAGGTCCAGCATTCAGTAATGGGGAAGATATACCAATAAATAAACCTGTACCAATAGTACCACCAAGAGCAATCATACTGGTGTGTCTTTCTTTCAATTCTCTTTTAACTTCAGTCTCTTGAACTGTACCTTCTTCAATCTCTATAGCCATTTCAGGATCATACTCTCCATTCATTGCAGCATTACTTAATATTTCATTCTGAATACGAGCTCTAGTCTCATCAGATGTTTGATGTTGTGACAATGAAGTTGTCACATATATAGTACGTTTCTTTTCTTTCTTATCATCACTTAAACTGTTACTATTGCTATTACTATCACCACGATGATTTTCGATCGAGACTAACTCGATCCCATCGATTTTATCCTCGTCGATGTTCATAAGTATTTCACTATTTTGTACTAACTTTTTAAATTCTAATTTCTTGGTATCTCAGACAGCTAAATCGGTAAATATATAAATATATATTCTTTAAACCTTTCACAATAGAGAGATTCTTAATGCAATATTTTCAAACAAAACTGTTCTGTATACCTTGTAAAGAAGCTACTTAATACTATTAAATCAGCCCCGTTGACTAATGTCACTTAAAATACTTCGATGAATGGTATCCTTATCAGTATGTGACTCTGACAGACGCAAATCTGAGATGAGATAACAGTATACAATTTCTATCTCAAGTTCTCTCTTGCTCTTGCACTTAACGACCACCATTAACTCCCAACCTGAAAAAATTATTAGAAAAACTTTTCCTTGCCTTTCCCTATCACACATAATACAAAAAAAAAGCAGAACCAAAGCATCTCCTAACCTAGCAATATCCGTCAATAAACCATTCCATCGACGCACCGATCCCTCATAATCAATACCGTTGCACGGTCCCATCTCTTTCAAAATTCAATAAAAAACCACACAGTAAACAAGGGAGAAGCTCAGCCGGCTTACCAAAAAGGTGTCCGCCACACAAAAGAAATTTTAGCGGATCCTTTGCAGTTATGATAGTTAAGTGCAAGTAAACCCGAGCTGCACGTGATTTTTAAAAATATATATACCAAACAAGCAGAAACCCATCATTACAGCCTCGACAAAAAATATTTTATAATGATGATTATGACTTAAATGACTATATAATTATATTCGTACGTTTGTTGAAGATATATAATGATACTATGCAAATTAAAACAACTATTAAAGCTATCAGAAACCTTTGTTCTCTCCGTATTGCTTCAATGTGTAAATCGTTAGTTCTTTGAACTAATGCTAATTCTGAACGTACCAATTCTAACACTTCTACTATGCTGTTATTCAAAGAATGTGTAAGGAGTCTATTTTGTTCCTCGATATATTGCACAGTGAGCGTACTATTACTCTCCAAAGTGTTTAACCTTTTTATCATATTCTTGAAAATAGATTCCTCAGTGGGTTTTCTAATTTGACCAGTATTCAACGAAGATTGAGTATTATTCAAACATATATCAGCAGTACCATTTTTATTGGTACTTGACATTACTTCAAATATTTTCATACTGCGCTCAAACCATTGCTTCATTTTATTCTCTAAACACATATCTTCTTCCCTACAAGTATCTTTTTTTCTCTTCACAATAACCTCTTCTTTTTCGACATCTTGTACTTTTACACTACAATCGCCATCAATGGTTCCATTTTTAGGTGTAGTCTCCTTAACAATGCCTTCTTTATCCTTGGCAGTTTCTTTTTTCACTTCATTAGGACTTCCCTCACATTGGGGTTCTGTTTCACCTAATTTAAACTCATCCATCATCGTTTGACCATGAACTTTTAACATCGATATTGGACAATAAAATTCATTACCATAATGTGAAACAATCTCGACTCTTAAATATCTTGCCCATCTTCTTGGATTTTCAATGCTGAATATTTGTAATTGTCTACTGTTCTCTGCTTGAAACTCACCAATTAAAGTCCATCCACTTTTTGTTACGGGTAATCTATCACTAACATAAAATTTAACTCCTTTAAAAGTTGAAGAAAAATATTCAAAATTACCTAATTCAATTTCTTCTACTAGAATATCTTCACATAATTCAATAATAACATACTGACTTTCAGCAGAACATGGATTCAACAAATACTTATCCTTATTCTCAACAAGTATCGATGTAGCTCCAGACGCCTGCGAATTCGTCTTAACAATAGTAGCTGCACAATCTAATGACGCATAGTTATATTTATCCTTATATACACGACCTTCTGGTTCAATTTCTTCACTACCCAAAAATCCAAGCTCTATTTCCATCTCTTCTCCATAACTATCGCCACCACGATAACAAGACGGGTCTGCAACCTCTCTGATTCTTCGGCTACCATCATTTATATCTAACATTTTATCAGAGCCATCTTTCTTAGATTGTTTCCATTCTTCAAAAGATACAAAACTACCATTACTCTCTTCTTCACCTCGACAAATAAATATCAAACAGTATATTATAAAGCCATATAGGATATTAATATACACCATTCTCAAAGTAAACACGTCTATGGAACTCCCTATTTGATCCCACAAGCCCGGCTCTCCAGATACTAGTTCTTTATTTGCCGCCTTTATATTCTTATCACTTACCTCATCAAACTTTAACTTATATCAATATGACTGTATCGGAATCACAATTGCATTTTCGTAAACAGGACAAAAATGTTCTCGCTACGCGTCTTTCTCTAACCTTCCTCTAATAAAATTAAGGCAGAGCCAAAAAATTATTCGATTACTAAAAATATATGTAGAGAAATACAGAAAATGCATAATAATATTATCATCCTTATAAACTAGGTCTTCCTGGGGTATTTAATTTTAACTGTAAATGATCTTGTGTTAACCTTAGGGAATGTAACTTTATCACTGAAAGGAACACTAGATACATCAAGTTTTTTATACTTTTTAGATACCTTAACAAATCTTACCGGCATAGTTCCAACCTTCTTCACCGTATTTTTATATTTCTTGGTCTTAATCTTTATAATGTTTTTGGTCTTCACTGGTGGAAGAGTTATCTTCAATTTATTTGTTGGTGCATCGATTGTAACGGCTTTAATGTGTAGTTTCATTATACCGTCCCTCCTTATAACAACTTTACCCTCTCCTAAATCCTTTGCAATTAGTTTCTTCATTCTTGGGGCAGGTAAAACAACTTCAAGCTTATTCTCCAAACGATACAAAATACGACTAAAATCAAAAAGAACTTTTCTTGTGAAAATATTTAACAAAGGTGTATGAAGTACATTCCATAATATTCCCTTTAAAGGTTTATAATTTCTAAACACATGACGAACGGCCTTTAGAATACCTCGAATATTTTTCCTCTTGTTATTCAACATTCTACGGTAAATATCAGTAGACACATCTTCCATAATAAATGCCGCCACTTCATCTTCATTATCTGGGTTTAAGTTACTCGGGATAATACTCTCCATAACAAAATTAAAGTCATCATCCAAATTTCCAATAAATTTATTCTCAACAACAAAATTTAAAGATTCTACCAATACTTTTGGTAAATTTAACCTCACATACATGTCTGGAAAACAACACATACATTCGAAAAAAAATGTAAGAGCATCAGTGTTCTTAATACCACCGTTCATTAAAATGGCCTTAAAGCAAGTTATTGTCATATCTTGGATACCTTCCCGTTCCCTTGTTATATTTAAATCATTATCATTCCCAAAATCAAAACACCTCTGCAAAATTTCATTCAATTCGTCAAAATCGTATAAACCTCTAACAGTTAAATTAAGCTTTTGCATAACAATTTCTTTGGAAATACTAAAGTCATAGGATTCAGACCACTTATCCAGGTTACTGTACCTATTCAATTGTTCAAGAGCATTTTTGTGAAATATTTTATCCTCTTTGTCATGAATACAACATTCGGTGACTGCCTTGATTAAATCCCTTAGATATAGATGATCTGAATAAAAATTTGTACTGTTGTCGTTATACTTCAATAAGCCCAATAAGAAATCTTTGACGAAAGAAGGAGATTCATCGTGTTCATTTCTCACTCCCCCTAATGCTTCTACAATCTTCTTCTGTATTAAATACCTCGGTATATCCTCAAAATTATTTGATTTCGGCACATTTGATCCATCAAAACAGAACAATGCTTGAAAAATTTTAATTAAGTGATTTGCTCCACCGGGAAAATTTTCGCCTACTTTGTAAGTATATTTAGACAACGCTCTGCAAGCCTCTAACCTTACACCATAAAAATACTTATCGTCCATTACAGTTCGCGTAAGTACTGAAGAGTAAACAAGTGAACTTCTTTGAGAGGTCGAAATGACGTCCTCATAATACCGGATACTCTCAATTTGAGCTTCAACATCGACATCCTGTTGTAATTGTGACGAAAACATGTAGTCTGGTTGATTAATGATAATTTTACTGATCCATTCAAAATCGGAGTCAATCCTTATCCATTCATACGCTTCATTCTGGGCCTGCATTTCATGCCCCTCTGTATTTTTAAATAAACTTGTTAGATTCCACTCCTTGCAATCTTCTTGATTATCTAATATGGCACCCAATCTAACAATATCATCGTCTCTATCATCGGTGTGATCATCTATGAAACTTGCTAAATTACTTGTTGATTTGGTGGAAGGCCCTCTTCCTCTCGTTCTTCTAAATTTTGTATTATATTGAATATCAATTTTTGTGAAAATATCATTTATCTCAACAATATGTTCGTAAGGTGTACCGTCAGCCTCATTTATTCTGATAGTCATTGATCCAGTAAAGTACCGTTCAACATTCCTATAAGGATTTTCAATATGATTCAATGCACTGCGAGCAAACCCCCTCGATCCGATAAATTTATGTTCACCTAATTCCTCACGTTGGCATTGTCTAATGCCCATCTCGACCACCATTCTCTTTTTATTAAATCTTTGGGTTACTCTAAATATAGGTACTCCTGACCCATATATCCATTGTTGAAAGAAAGATTCCAATTTATTTTTATTAACACGTTCACAAACATGTTGAAAATGACCTGCAGTCAAGGAATTATTTGGTAAATCTCCTGACATTGCCTGTAAAAATATTTTAGGTAATACACGAGACATACCAAATGATCTTTCAGTTTTTGTCATTCTCTTATCAAGGATGTATAAAACCATGGGTGCTTTTAACTTGATGAAATCAAGATCACCTGATGTAATGCTAATGGGTCTTGAAAAATCGGCAAAAAAGGTTCCAAGAGGCTGCATTTCCCAATCTTGATCTACAATAGCTTCATTAAATAATTTCAGTCTATATCGAAATTCATTTTGACCATATAATTTCTTGATTGCTTGAAAAACCATAAAACCAGCCATACCTATACAGCACCATATATCATCTATATCATTAGGTGTTATATTCACTCCTGACCATTGATTCGCCAGAGCCCATGCAAGTTTATCTGTCGTAGAAAACATTGGATCTATTAGAGTTGGTGGATATAAGAGTCTAGTATTACAAATTGTTAAACTTGCAAAATCCATAACGTCAGGTATCACAGTTGGTAGAAAAACTAAAGAATAGGAAGCGAATGGATATGAACCAAAATCTCTCGAATAAAAGTCCATTATCCTCTGACATATAATTGTCGAATTTATGATCATCTTTTCATCCACATCCTTTGTCGGTAGTGTATACACTCTAATAGGTATATCATCGGTGGTATCATTTTCTACAATATTCTTCGAGTTATGGTTTACGTTCTCATCATTCTCTTCATGCTCTTCTTCTACAACACCATCTTTAGCAGACACTGTTGGTAAGTCCAAATAATCAAAAGCGCCAATGGCCCAGCCAATGTGCGGTGGTGCCACAGGATTAAATATTTGGAATGCAAAAACTTTTTTAGATATGTCTGTTGGGTGGGCAAATTCTTTTACAGTTGAATATTCAGAACAACATACAATAATATCTCTGTTTAATGGATTATTTGTATCTACATCGTCCCACATTTCGTCGTCGTCGTCATCATCTTCATCATCCTCATTATTTCCATTATCACTTTGCTTGGTCTTCTTGAGTTTTTGCATAAGAATACTATTCGCATTTTCTTCCTTCTGACCAATCATTTTAGAGGTACCAATATCTTTTACTTTTCTTGGAACGCTAATCTCAATCTCCCAAGTAGACTTTTCATCTAACATATTTATGCAAGGCATCCAATAGGAGGCAGTAGTACAAAATTCAGCATTGGTTGTATATACATTCCATAAATGAGGGCTCTCTTCTAAAACTGTATCAAATATTATACCTGTCTGAGGATTATTTATCTCATATTCAATTTTAACCGTTAACGGTGTAAATACACTCTCTTGAGCCGCTGGAGTTCCCTTCACAGATGGAGTAATTGGTGTATAATTTGATAACGAATCCGCATCCTGTAACGTTATTCTTATACTTGAAGGTACTTTTATTATTAATTGTGATTTTCTTAGCTCATCAGGTTTCTGTGTTAAATCTGCAAATTTTTCTCTGAAAAATTGAGATTGTTCAATAGTATTATCAGAAAATAATACATCATCTGTTTGGTTAACATATTTATCACGTAAATTCTTATCCTGATTATCATGTATATAGTTATCACATCTTCTATTTTCAACCCAAACGTCATTAATTTTAACATCTTTACAATCCAGGGTTATATAATCCAAATTTTGAACTAAAGGTATCAATATTATATCTGCTACCCCTTTAATCTGATGCGTGGGCATATTAACGTCCAATTGAACACGTTCATGTGCTATTTTTATAGTTCTAACTTCAGTGTTATCAAATGCAAATGGAGGAGCAGAACTGCTTTTGGGGGTTGCCCCCATCGAATAGGACATAATATGTACAGTTTATTGATTCTATAATGTATCTTAAATGAGCAGAAGAAAACTAGTTCCTTTGTTGAAAAGGATAGGAAGGAATAAATAGCAAAATGAACAATAAAAGAGCAATTGTGATAGTCTATTTCAAGTTAGTTTACCTATTATATCTTGTAATATTTTTGATTTATTAATATTCTATTTCATTTTTTTCCAATTATGTTTAGTTTAGCAGTTCAGCCCGAATGTCAAATTGTCTTTCATCGCGCTTTCAGTTTATTTATTTTTCTTTGGCTTTGGTTAACCATATAGACAAAGTGGAATTTTTCTACGAGAATTTCGTGTGAATTTTATTAGGTGTAGGGTAAATTAAGGTTAAGTTTAGTTATTTTACATTTATATATTTGAATAAGAATAATTAAAGAAGGATCAAGGTTACTTATTGCCTCACATTCTATGTATTTGTGTATTTACTAGCTATATATTAGTCCCTGAAGGTTCATTAAGGTTTGTTTCTTTCAATTTCTAAACTTTTATGTAGTGGTATTTATGTCAAGCATAGTGGTTTTAGTAATGAATTGTAATAATAATAATAAAAATGTTAGTTCTTGGGTATAAATGATATCCATTCAACTTTGTAACTCCCCAATTGAATGTACCAAACGTGTCTGCTTCATTTGTAAGTAGAATTTTGCTTGTTTTAAAGTTTTTTTTAAGAAATTATAAATTTGTTTACTTTGAGGTACATGTTTGGAACTTTCAAGACAAAGAGCAAAACTTAAAAAATATGAAAATTTAGTATATTTTATAAAAAAACTGTAAACAAAAAAATGGAAGTGATAAAGATTTGACATTATCCAGCATAGCTTAAAACTTAATCAAATAAGAACACAAAGAGGCACGGAGTACAATATAATACACACAACACCATAATAAAACTGAAAGATTGAGAAGGTAGTATAGCTATGATCATATCCGTGTATAAACATTTATCTAAAATTTAAAAGAGTCATGAAAGGGAATGTATTACTAAATAATATATTATACAACGTTAAACTAAAGTTAAAGAGTGATATTAATCATTACAAACTAAAGGAAAAAGGAATTGATGATTGAAACAGCAATCTATAAAAAATTTCGAAACAAAAAAACACAGTTTATTTTTTTTCTTAGTTGTAAATCTTAATTGGGTTTTCGATGAAGGTCTTTTCACCAGCTGGAATAACAATAGAACCGAAACACAATTGGGAGTTAACGGTCCAAGATTCTGGAACCAGGTTACCTAGAGCGGCTCTAACGGCATCATTGTAATGTTGTAGATGACAACCTAGACCCATAGTTTCTAGAGCGGTCCAAGAGTTAATTTGAGCGGCACCAGTGGTGTGAGAGGCAGCAACTGGGAAAGCATCAGCAGCAGCTGGGTAATCTTGTTGGAACTTCTTGACAGTGTTTTGTTCGGTGAAGAAGATTACACAACCGTAAGCTTCATCCCTGGCAGAAACTGGTCTCTTCTTACCGTTTTCACCTGGAATAGAGTTGATAACAGCATCCCAGACCTTCTTGTGAGTCTTACCGGTGACAATGATAGCTCTGTTTTCTTGAGAGTTTAGAGCAGTTGGGGTGTTCTTGATGATAGATTGAACAACAGCTTGAATGTCTTCAACACTAACGTTTTGTGGAAGCTTTGGAGTCAAGTTGTAGATTGTTCTACGGTTAGCAATGGCGTTTAAGTAAGTTTGAGTAGTAGCTGGCATTTCTAAAATTTTAAAGTTTATTTAAAGTTTTATCTTGTTAATCTGTAAATTGGATTAGATTTATGATGATTTTCTATATAGTAAGAATACAAATAAAAACAGTATAAGAATTGGGAATTGATTTGAAAGAGAGAGGTCATAGACTTATAGGTTACATGCCTACTTATATATATATTTCTAAAAGTTGGGATCAATTGATCAATCACCCAGATTAATCTGTTAAACGAATATAGGATCCTGATGACACAGGAACTTTTCACTTTCAAATGTGGATTTACAATATTAGTAAAATATAAAAAGAAGGGGTGCTAATAGTGATTGATATACGTACAGTATTGCCCACGCAACCTCAATGGCTAATATCTTTCAAAAGTGAATTCCAGTTGAATGACAAGGATGCCACCCCCACGACCTCGAGCGTACCACCCTTTCAACTTCTCCTACAATTCTGGTAGTAATAGTGATTCTTCTCTTTTCTTTTTCTTTTTCTTTTATTTTTTTTTTGCCTACCTGACTGAGAAAGACAGAGAGAATACCGCAGACAGAAGGCTTACTAATTAATTAATTCTTGATGTACATGAGATTTCACCCAGAAAACGCTGCACAAGAGGTGTTGCTGACGTGAGATGTTTTAAATTGATTAGTAAACGTTTGTCGTTGAAATTGAAGTTGCAGTTATTTCATCCTTTCCCAGTAAGTACAAGTCTTACCTAGTGGAACTTTAGTACTGATATCAAAGTTAGTTGACAATCAAGTGTGAGACACCCTCTCTTCACCGTAAGGTCACAAACATAGAGGAGGATTAAGCATTGTCTAATAATATAACAAAATATGTAAAATAAAAGAAAGTTATAGAAACGACAGCGTTTCATGCTTGGTAAGTAATATTAAGATGGGTGTGACGCCCTTTTTTCATAAGTTTCATGAAGAAGTCAATAGGTTGTATCCATGTTAGAGAGACTTTGAAATAGAACAATGGTTTAGATCTTAAAGGCGTTTAATATTTCATATTACGTAGCATTAAATATGTTTATTATTATTATGATTAGGTTGATAGAATAGAATACAATTATGAATAGATTACATATGCATATATTAGGTATATACAAAATTAATTCTTGAATGGAGTAGAATGAGAAGATGAGAATATCGAGGTTTAGCTGGTCACGGACGCTAAGCCTACCAATGATAATGATGTGATATGATATGATTGTGTATTGATTTTAGTTACAACATGCTGATTTTCTTTAAAATAAGTTGTCTCAAAGCATTATTATTATTTTTTTTTTTTTAATTATTTATTTTGTCTTTCTTTATACTTTGACATGGTGGTACTCAATACCACTGTCACCAAATCTGTTCCACCTTCTCTTCTTGAACATACTATTTAATCCACCAAGTCCATTGACGATATTATAACCCCAGAATACCATCAAAATTAAGAATAATCCCAAATATATATTGAAATTATCATAAATATGTGCACGTAAGATATCCAGACTGGAAGCATCATAAATATCTGAGTCCAATGCCAAATAGTAGTTAAAATAACCTAAACCATATTCTTTAATGGATTTAAAACCATCATTATTGGAAAACACCGTGGGATCTAAAACTTCACTTAAATCGTTATTATTTAAATAAGCATGTTCGCGAAGTAATGCTTGGTCCACGTTAGTAGGAATCATTTAGACTATATATGTGTCTGTTCTTTCTGGAACTGGTGTTTCGTGAGAATGATCTCAAATTTGAGAAAGAGGCAGAAAGACGGAATCAATCAAATGCTATAATACCTTTTGATACTCCTTAATTGTTGAAAAGGGTCTGGTTTTATTCCTTGGCTTGATATATTTTTTTTATATGTTCGGTAAAAAAATTGAAACTCTTGAAATTCTTCGCTTTGTTCGGTTTACATGAATGTTTCAACAGAAAAAAAAAAAGATTTTATTCATACTGTTACAGCTGAGGTACAACTGAAAAATTGTGAGAATTAATTAATTTATTCAAATATATATATAATCTATATACTCCATTTAAAACTTTCTGTTTTTTGTATTATCTATGCATGATTATGCATGATTATTAATTTTTGATTTGTTTGTTCAAGACTAGGTCATAGTCATCTGTGAAGAAACTGTATAAGACCCAGGATGGCCATATCGTGCATAGATGCCATATAGCATGTGCATCAATTTGATAGTCAAATATGAAAAAATCGAATAATTCTAATGACATTGCCATGGAGGTACCCACAACCATTAATACAGGGACAATACATAGTTTAAAGATCAATTGTGATTGTGTCAGATAGATCGATCTACTAATATTATGTCTTTCCGTTTTCAAATACAAATAATTTTGTAAAGCTAATGTCAACAATAGCAAATATTGCATTATACCGAAAAAGATATTAAATCTCATATTATAAGTATAAGACCAATCGATGTATAATCTTAAAACATGTAAGAAGAATATGAATGCCACTGATCCGGAAAAATATTTACCTAGTTTAGGATAACGGTCCAAATGAGTCAACCTAGCAAAGATAGCATGAAATCCCATTAAGACAGTCATTCCAGCGAAAAAATAATCAAATTTCTCAGTGATTATTAAATCTCTCCAATGGAAAATTGAAGATGCTGTCCATGCACACATACCTGCAATGGCAACATATAAATAATTCTGTAAGATCTTTGTCCTTTGTACATCTACCCCTAAAAGTTTAATTTTATTTATCTTAGCAGTAATCTTTAAATACGAATAATAATGTGGGAAAAAATTACCTATACTGAAAATAGTAGAGAAAAGTTCTTGCATTGTGAAAAGTCTTAAAAATGGCCATTTACCATGGAATTGATATATTTCTTCATCATTTATTATTCTTATCTGAGTGATAATCTGTTGACATTGATAATCACAATCTGCTATACAGTCCCAAAACAAAAATTTCGATAAAATGATTGGAGTCTCTGAAAATTTCTCTTTAGCAAATACATTTTCTTCAGGATTGACCCAATCAACCCATGAATTTGGACATTTTCTTTGATATTCACATGCATCACAACAATCAATAAATTCATCCAGGTTATCACCTGGAGATGCGGCACTAAAAAATCCATTAATTATTGTCGACGCTAATAATACACGCCATAGTTTCACGCTCATCATCATAATGTTAAGGACTACACAGAGGATAATACTTGGTTAAGTAAGCTTATAAAATAAACTCAGTCCACTAGAAAACCAATTGATATGAATTGCCACACAAACAACACACATACATAGGCACGGAATTTCCTCTATTGTTCCTCTACTGTAAGAAATATTTAATCCTATAAATATCCTTTGAAATGACATGTTGGCAATTTGCACTCTTTCGAGATTTCAAATTAGGAACTAAATAGTTAAACTAGCCTTCGCTCTTTTCTGACTTTGAATGAGCGCTCCGCGAAAAGAAAAACTAATAAAATTTGAAAAACATATACGCCAGAAATTAATCATTCCCTACGAGCAGTGAGGGTCTTTCTGACTCTCACGATGAATGCAGATAGGTTGTTGCTCTTGTTAAGAACATCTATTAAGTGTTGTTTCACTTCTTGATCTAGCGGTGGATTGGTGTCGATAATGTTAAAGGTGGGTTCCGAAACATTCAAAGTCAATGAACATTTTTGGTCAGGTTTCTTTTCACTAAAGTTGGAAAACGTGAACACCAGAGTTCCCGATTTCGATGCATCTACAGTCATTCCTAATAATTGTTCATACAATATTACCTCGGAATTATCTCTGGCGGCCTGTGCTAGTAATCTTTCTCTAAAGTCCTGTACTAATTGTTCTCTTTGAGTTACCATGGCATCCAGTTCATCAGATTCTTTGGTCAGATTATCTTTCATTTGCATCAATTTGTTTTTTCTTATTTGGTAATCCTCGTACTTGCGCATTGAGATATCATTATTCTCTTTAGCTGTAGATATTTGTAATTTTAAAGTCTCAATATCTTGTTGTTCTTTAACATATTGCTCATTAAGCTCTGCAGCTTGATTACGTAGATCATTCACTTCAGATATGAAACGTGTATTAACATTACGAACGTTGTCTCGTTGTAATCGTAGTGCTTCTTGAATATCTGTAGAGAACTGACCCATCGATTGCTCTAAATCAGCAAATTCCTTAATCTGTGACACCATTGGTAAATGCTTTTGATTACTTTTTTTCTGAAGAAAGACCTTGCAGCTTTATTAATTGAATAGTATACAAATATATATAATCAAAAAAATTTGATTCTGCAGTTTTGTCCTTATATATCAAAGTATATGTTCCACTTACACTGACATAAACAAACAAAATTCAATACCTGCGTATCTCTTTCTGTTTATTTGTTTATATTGTTTTGTCCTGTTTTATTGCGCGTACAGAAATGCTCGTAATAATAAGCTGAGGCGAAACTGGGTCGTTATTATGATAATAATAACTTGAGGGCGATGACATCCTCTAGGAAGTCAAACCTCGAAGTGTTTAAAGGAGTGTGTTAGAAACATTCCATGGCTAGCAATTAAAACACTGGGTTTACTCGTATCAGTGGTTCATAGCACATTCAACATAAGAGTTGTAGAAAAATAAGAAAAAAACAAACAAACTATGGCACAACCATTTCCATCACCTCGAGATACCGATATCTCAGATACACAACTTTCTTTGAACAATGCAGTTCAACAAAAGAAACAACCAAGGATCAAATTTCTTACTTTCAACACCTGGGGTTTGAAGTTTGTCGCGAAACACCGTAAGGAGAGATTAAGAGCCATTGCTGATAAGCTGGCAGGGTTGAAAGTTGGAACCCCTATTGAAGAATTGAATGTTTTAAATACAAATGAGAATGGCGAACAAGAAGAAGAAGAAAATATAGATGATTATGATATTGTAGCTTTACAAGAAATTTGGTGCAAAGAGGATTGGGATTATATTACTCTTCGTTGTAAAGAAAGATTTCCTTACACCAGGATATTTTACTCTGGGATCTTAACTGGTCCAGGTTTAGCTATCTTATCTAAGATACCTATCGAATCGACTTTTCTGTATAGATTCCCAATCAATGGTCGCCCTAGTGCAGTTTTTAGAGGTGATTGGTATGTGGGAAAGTCTATTGCTGTGACACTATTGAAACCACTAACTTCGGATACATATCCAATTGCAATCATGAATAGTCACATGCATGCGCCTTACGCCATGACAGGTGATGCAGCTTACGAATGTCACAGATCATGTCAAGCTTGGGATTTTAGTAAATTAGCTAATCTTTACAAAAAGGCTAATTATGCAGTAGTCATTGTAGGTGATCTAAATTCAAGACCTGGTTCTTTACCACATAAGTTTTTAACCGCTGAAACCGGTCTTGTAGATTCTTGGTTACAACTCCATGGGCAACAGGATATTATTCAAATATCAAAAATGAATGCTGTAGATCAATTAAAAATTGGATGTACTACATGTGATTCTCAATTGAACACTTGGAGAGCTCAAAGACAACCCGATGAAGCGAAAAGATTAGATTATGCTTTAATTGATCCAACAAAATTGAAAACAATAAATGCGGGTGCAAGATTTACTGAAAGATTACCTAATATTGGAAGTTTTTCTGATCATTTTGCTTATACATGTACTTTAGAATTATTACCAAGAGAAACTGAAAAATCTGGCAACATCGAAGACGATTTCAAACAACCAAGAAAATTATTATTAGATAGATTTGCATCATACGAAGAGATGTTACGTTGTATCAACAAGTACATGATAACTGCCAAAAGACAAAAATCACTTAGAGGAATCCATTTCATTATATCCGTGCTATGTATCATTGCTTGCCTCGTAGTGACAACGTTTACTGCCAATAAAGCTGCCTGGTCATCTATATTCTGGGTATTATTTGCTACTGTGGTTTCAGTTACTGGGTTAATTGATGGTTTGATCTCATTCTTTTTCGGAAGAAGTGAGATCAGAGCATTGTGGGAAGTCGAACAAGAAGTACAAGATGCTGAACGTTACATGCAAATGGTTCTTGACAAACAACAATAGTTCGAAGGAATCAAATAATCGTATACCTTGACGTTTCCATCTCTCACTATTGAAACTCTCGAGCTATCATCACCACTTTTGTCTCAAGGGATAAATACCGCAGTTTCAGTTAACCGCGGCGGCTTTAATGGCAGAAGGCAAAAAAAAGGGAAGGATGGGGGTTGAATTCTACAGGGGTCGGGAAAAGACAGAGAGATTTGTCGATCGATGAACTGAACGGCTAATTTCTTCAAGGATTACATTATTAGATTATATAATAAATACAAAAATTAAAAATAGTAATTTCTACAAAGATCACGTAAAAATAGGCATATATTTACTTTGAATTGTCAAAATTACTAGCTTAAGGTTGTATATATAATAAACTAAAATTAAAAGTGAGACTAGGAGTTCGACATTGGTAATTATATAGAATTCAATTTCTGCATCTGTACAAAGCCAAAAAAAGGGAAGAATGTCTGAAATATCTCGAAAGGTATCTGATGATAAAGGTCACCAAGTTTCAAAAGTACCTAAGGAGACTATCCTTATATCGTCTAGTAAGATGATTGGTTCCCGCGCCGTAAGCACTATTTCAAAACCTATTAGTATGACCCAGAGAGGTATTTCGAAATCCGTATCATCTATAAAGCATAATATTCCTTCCAATACATTAATTAAAGGCCCGACTACTCTAGTGGGGAATGTGTTGAAGGATACAATTCCTAGTGTTTCGAGGAGACCAACAGAAGAAGAAGATGATGATATTGCCAAATCAAAATATATGATGCGAAGTATAGCAGGTTTATTAGGTACTGCGAGTGTATATGCAGGTATGGAAAGTGCACAAGTGATTAATGATTTAACACAACAGGTAAGTAATGAGCTTTCTTTTAAAAATAGTGAGCCAACGTCGCCGTTGTCTTCGCAGCCTCTCAAACCTCCCGTGGAACGAAAACCGACCTTATTTGAAATCTCTGTGGAACCAAATGAAAGATCAGATACAACTTCGAAAAGTATTCTTTCAAAAGAGGATTCAGACCAGGCTTCAAGACATAAGGCCCTAGAAGAAAAAATACTTAAGGAAGAGAGTTCAAAATATTCTATATTCAAGACTTTAAGGACAAAATTTAAACTAAAGGATGAAGATATTATGATTTATGACTCAACAGCATGGTTATTAAAGGATGTGTTAATTCAAGGTTATAGTTTTATAACCTTACATCATTTCTTATTTTTCGCATATTTACCTAAACCAACAGGACAAGTACAAATGACAGGTAATATTAATCTAAAATCTACTTTAAGAGGTGTTACTAGATATTGGTGTGTCTTGAAGGACAACTTATTATCTTTATATTCGAGTGTTAGTGAGGTTTATTTCCCACTTGTGACAATTGATATGAAAGATGTCTCTAAGATTGAATTAAAAAAGAGTGACTCGGACCCTAAAACTTTCAGTAACACTTTTAAAGTAACGACAAAAGAAAAAACATATGTATTTATTGCTGATTCGCCGCAATCAGCTAAATCATGGTATAATACAATAAAGAGACAACAATTTGCGGTACATAATAGTGGGAAGAACCACATCAGTTTAAAGATTCCACTTGGAAATATACTGGAACTTGATGATGAAGAAATAATTAATCAATCAGTAACCTTGGTTGTAAAAGCATTAGAAGGCCGATTCTCGTATGCTGTAGACGATTATATTTTTATGTTTCTAGATAGCTCGGGGTCCATTGTTAAACAAAAGTTACAAGAACAATTGAACAAACTTTCAGAGAGTGGTGTAGCCATTGCATATCATACAAAAGCAACAGACTTGAAGAATTATACCTCTATTGATACTCAATTAACTGATGATAATAATACTGATAATGCTGATGGTAAGCCGGATAATGTATATTCTTCGAGCCATACAGAAGATTCTCCCTCAACGGAAACTGATTTAAGCTCTCCGATCGACTTCCCAAATTCTGAATTAAAGACAAGTTTACTCCAAAAACCAATTTCTAAAATCAATAGAATTAGATCTAAGAGTGGTGACTGGATCCACAACACAAGACCTGTTTCATTTCTACTTAATAGAAATAGAGAGAATACAAAAGTAGAAGAGAATGTTGTCATCGAGAGCATATCTGATATGCCTACTACCGAATCATCCAATGATCCGAAGTTGATTAGAGCTGTTACAAATGAAGATATAAAACAAATATCTCATTCAAAAAGAGATCATCTACAGGACTGGACTACAAAACCATTGAAAAATCTAACCGATATGTGGAAAGCTAAACCACAACATTATGAAAACAGTTGTTATGCATTTAAGGAACAAGACAGAAAAAATGCCAATTTTATTGAAGGAAAAGATGCAGCCGAAGCTAATAAACGATTTGTAAATCACTTCAAATTAGCTAAAGAGAGGGACTTACTTTCTACTTACTATGGTTACCTCAACAAAAATGTTCCGACTTATGGGAAATTGTATCTAGCAGATAATGTGCTATGTTTCAGGTCTTTATTACCTGGCTCACATACAACAATGATCCTCCCAATTTCAAAAATCGATACTTGTTATACGGAAAAGAGTTTTAGATTTAGCTATTTTGCATTAGTATTAGTAATACGTGGACATGAAGAATTGTTTATAGAATTCTATACCGAAGCATCTCGTGATGATATGGAATCTATCTTGCTGGATCGTATTGCCACTTTGAATTCACAATCTGGGTCAGATGGAGGAAATTTCCAAAACGATGCACTTGTTAGTACAGATGCATTTATCGAAAACAATCCAAGTTCCGCTAAATTGAAGTTCTTCGAAGATAAAATATCTTCGAATGGATTTAATGTACCCCTCTTAATAGATCAGAACCCAAATGTGAAAGTGAGTATTAAAACAAAGAGAAAATATCATATTGGTCTACTCACCATCGGTTCACGAGGAGACGTCCAGCCATATATTGCACTCGGCAAGGGATTACTAAAGGAAGGCCACATAGTCACTATCATAACACATGGGGAGTTCCGTGAATTTGTTGAAAAGCATGGGATTAATTTCAAGAGTATTGCAGGTGATCCAGCAGAACTGATGTCGCTTATGGTGGAACATGAGTCAATGAATATCGGTATGCTGCGTGAAGCAACAAAGAAATTTGGTGGGTGGATAAAAGATCTATTAGAAACGTCATGGACTGCGTGTAAGGACGAAAAGTTTGACATATTAATCGAATCCCCTTCTTGCATTTCCGGTATCCACATTGCAGAAGCATTAAGAATTGCGTATTTTAGGGCTTTTACTATGCCTTGGACGAGAACAAGAGCGTATCCTCACGCATTTGTGGTACCAGACAAAAAAAGAGGAGGTAACTACAACTATCTCTCTTATGTTCTATTTGAGAATATCTACTGGAGAGGTACGAGTGGAGCTATCAATAAGTGGAGAACAGAAAAACTAGGTTTAGGGAAAACAAGTTTAGAACAATTGCAGCAAAACAAAGTTCCATTTTTATATAACGTTTCGCCTACAATTTTTCCTCCTTCCGTAGATTTTAACGAATGGGTGAAGGTAACCGGTTATTGGTTTTTAGATGAGCAATCAAATTATACCCCTCCTAAGGAACTTATAGACTTTATTCAGAAGGCAAGGAAATTAAACAAAAAACTAGTTTATATTGGATTTGGGTCCATTGTAGTTTCAAATGCTAGCGAAATGACTAAAGCATTGGTCGAAGCTGTCATAAATGCGGATGTTTACTGTATCTTGAATAAGGGCTGGTCTGAAAGGCTTAATGACAAGTCAGCAAAAATTGTGGAGATCGAATTACCAGATTGTGTGTTTAATGCCGGAACAGTACCTCATGATTGGTTATTTCCGCAACTAGATGCAGCTGTTCATCACGGTGGATCAGGTACTACCGGTGCAACTTTAAGAGCTGGGTTACCTACTATAATTAAGCCCTTCTTTGGTGACCAATTTTTCTATGCTAATAGGGTGGAGGAAATTGGCGTTGGCGTGGCATTGAGGCATTTTAACTCAAAGGCGATGGCAGAAGCCCTCATCGAGATAACTACAAAAACGAAGTACAAAGAAAAGGCAATGTTAATAAGGAACCGAATACTGAAAGAAGATGGGGTGTCAACAGCAATCAATTGCATTTATGGCGAGCTAGAATATGCAAGAAGTTTAATATATGCAAAAAACCCACCAAGGTCAGATACGGATGAAATTGCAAGCCATGCTTTAATGCCGATCGATACCGATACTAAATCTAACACTAATCACAATATTTCTACTAATTCCATGATTGAAAGTAACGAGGATAAAGATTCATGGGTTATGTTGTGAAATATCCCAAAAAAAAAATAGTTCGGCTTGTGTTGCATCAAATTTATCCTATGTATATATTTATAGTAGAAGTTTGCTTATTGGTTAAAAGATTCAAATGGAACCTAACATAATAAACTGCCAGTTAAAGAGAGTCTTAATATTTATTAAATGCAAATAAACGAAGTAAAATTATTTTATGATTAAGTTATGTAATAATATCTAATATATAATACAATCCATTTTTATTTAAAAAAGTGGAGTTAATGCGATAATTGTTATCTATTTTATTTTAACGTCCTGTTCTAATTAGCATATGGATTCTTTGACGTCGTAGAAGGCATGAATTGAGAAAACCCGCCTCCTGTTCTTGTACTAGGCCCTTTGTTGCTACCATTACTATGAATAGAATTGCCTGAATTCGAAAATTGAGGATTCTTGTACAATGGGTTAGGCATGTTCATTCTTTGTTGCGGTCCATTCATCATCTGTCGAGGCATACTATTATTCATGCGCATTTGATTTTGAGGAGGGTGTTGAATTTGACGGTTCATCGATTGCTGAGGATACTGAATTCTTTGTGCTGGGTGTTTTTGATATGGATTACCAAAATTTGGAGTAACAGGGGATCCAGATTGCATACCATTTATGTTTTGTTGAGTTTGCAAAGGTCCTGCCCTTATATTCTGATGACCGAATTGATTACCCACATTTGGTTGGTTAGCGCCATTTTGTGGATATACATTATTGGTATTGTTGTTTGGCCTGTATATATTCCTTGGTTGGTTATTTTGATTCATATATTGTTGACCAGTAGCTGCTCTATTCATCTGTTGGTGATGTTGTGATTGTTGCATATTAGCATACTCGTTCAAATCTGTTGTCCCAGAGGAATGGGGAAAAGAAGGATTTGTAGTATTTAAATTGTTGGGCAAAACATGATTTGCACCTGAAGTTGCTGTTTTGTTTATGGAAGAAGAAGATCCAAAAGAATGATCAGTAGACGTACTGTATGGGTTTGCCGAGCTAAATATCTCGGTTTGTTCAATATAATCTGGATCAAAAACATCTATGTCCTTGGTATTATCTTTTCCCTCATTGAAACCATTGTTGTATTCTGAGGTTGAAATATCTTGACTAGTTTCAAAGTTTAGATCTGCTGTAACGTCGGCTAAATCGTCATCATCCTGTCTGATTTCAGTATGTTCAGATTGATGACTAGAAACTTCGATAGATCCAATTTTTGCAGCTAGCCCGTCAATATCATCTTTAGCTTCAACATTGTTGAAGCTATCTTGAAACTTGTTTGCTGATTCATAGCTTCCATCTTCCACATTACTGTTCATACTGCTACTTGAGTCTCTAATATTTGAAATTTCGAACATTTTACTTTCTGACGTAGAGCCCAGATATTTTTCGTATGGACTTTCAGTCTTATGTATACCGGGTGTTTCTAATATTTTATTAGATGGAGATACTTCTTTGCTTGTTCCGCTTGAGGGTAGCACAGCATATTTATCATAAATGGCACCCAAACCTGCTTCTGATTTTCTAGCCATATTAGGTCCATCCCCAATGATCAATCTATCAGCTGGGGTAACTTCTCTCAATTCTTGTGACTTTGATATCTTAAGTTGAACTCCAGATATATTTTGACTTAAACCATTTTGACTAATTGAACTATCCTCTGGTGAAGAAGCCATATTTTCTCCCAAAATGTCTTCCTGTCTGAAGTTCTCTGGAAAGCCAAGAGAGGTTGATTTGCTTGTATCTTCAGAAATAATTCTAGCAAACGGAGAGTCACCTAATGTGTTCGTTCCTCTAAACAATTCCTCTGGAGAAATGACTGGGGAGGTCAATATAGAGTTATCCTTGCGATCTGAACTAATACCTGTGTAACCTTCTCTTATTTTGCCAAGTAAAACATCATTGATTTCATGACGCCAATCTTGCTCCGTCCATGCAGATATCGATGATTGATCTACTGAATTAATAATAGATACAACATCATTACAGTTAAGATAATGAACGTTTGGTAAAGTAGGAAGTGCAAAAACCAAGGATTCCGTGTCGTCTCTTCCGGCAATTAGTCTCTTCGGTCTCCCATATAATCTAAATGCGTTCATAGTTGGAATTAGAAATCTGATAATAGTATCATAACCGGGAACACCTTGATGCTTTTCAGGCATAATAAAGATATTTGTTTGTTCTTCATTATCTTCATCAGATAATGTAATTGCACCTTGTAATTTAATGATTGTTGAAGTGTCAATTAATTTAGGTGAAGAGGGATAAACGGCGTATATCTCGGATGCATAATTAACCGTGGCCATAATACCTGTCTTCTTCACCTTCTTTTCATTTTCATAGAATGTGATAGTGCCAATACTATCTTTCTTCTTTTTCTTGTCACCAGTCTGAGCGATAACCGCATAACAGCGTTTCCAAGGCATACCGGTACCAAATCTCACACTGACCCATTCACTATGACTAAATTTATTGTCAGCTAAAATGACCTGAATATCACCTAATTTTCTACCTCTACTGGATAAGAATGCGCCTGTATAGGCTAATTGTAATGCAACCGATTCATATTGACTTAATCTAATGGCTGCATACCATGCATTATATGATTCTAAATCATTAAATTTCAAAAAATATCTATTTTTTAAAGTAGTTGATATAACCAGAGCATTCTCAAATGCTTGGCTGCCTTCTGTAGTAAAATTATCATTCGGACCAATGGCTCTAATGGATGCATCTGTTAAATTTAAATAAGCTGGTTTTGAAGCCAATTTTTTTAACCTACTAGTAATTTCTCTTGGATCATCCTTGCAATCAGCAAGTTCACGTGCGTCCCATAATGCCAATTGTGTACCAACCAAAACAGCATAAACTTCTTCCCAAGAGTTACCAGTTGGTGTACCATCACTTTTTAAATCCTTTAAAACTAACAAAGTACCTTTATGGTATCTTCTATGGGTATGAGCTGAAATCAGGGTTACGATCGGTACAAGCTCAGGAGATAAACCAGAGTCCTCATTAGGAATCATATCAGGAATATTGGGTGTAGAATCACCACTTACCAATCTTTTAGCAAAAGATGATGTGGAACGTTGCTTTGGAGTTGGTGGGGTTGAGCCACCTGATTCTCTGCGAAACAGATTTGAAGAACTGGATAAGAGTCTCTTCATTGCTGTGTATGTGTAGTCAAAATATTAGGTACCAAAATAACAAAAGAGTTTTGTTTGTCTTAGCTAATTCAAAATTATATTTCTAATGTTTGAATATTTAAAATATGAACCAGAAATAATAATGATCTTGTCCCCAGATATTGCAATCTTAATGAGCGTCAAAAACTAACAAACGTTAAATAGAAAAGGGCAAGAAATCAAATATTCGTAGAAAATGGTTATGATACGTTCTTGATGCCTTTAAACTTTAAAGATGGACAATATCAAATTGAACAATAAGATATTCAAATAATGTCTTGTTTATTCACATTGTTAAGAAGTCAATATCTTTTTCATCGGCGAACTACGTAATTTTGTTGGTCCTTCATTCCGGATGGGTTTTAACTCTTTTACCTGTATTTTTTTTTGCCTCGCATACAGAGAAAAACTCGTACAAAAATAAGAGGAATGCCTGGCTAGCGTTTGGTGATGATGACCTAAATTGAATCTAAGCCCATCTCATCAAAGAGGTTAGAAACTATAAACGATATTCACAAGGCTACTGATGATGGGATTCAATTGGTTATGATTAGGTGCGTAACTGTGTGAGGGTGGGGGAGGACGGAGAGTGGCTATCGATATCTTTATCTTACAAAAAATATCGTGAGAACACATTTGCCTGATTAAGAATTGATCAACAATAGTGGCTTATATTCTCATAGAATACATTAATTTTCTAAACTTATAATGTTTTGTTCATCTGACCCACGTTTTAAAGAACTTTTGTTTAAACAAAACGACTTTTGACGATTTCGATCGGGTACTAACATTATATACTTCAAATACACATAACCCCATCTAACAATCGAAAATTATCTTATTTACTAATACGATTTGTTATCTTGGATTATAAAATTTATTATTATAGTAGACATAGAGTTTAAACGTATACAAAAGATCGGTAAATTACAATAAATATATATATAGTATTTCTGACATTTACAGACTTTTAATAATTTAAGCAGAAGCCTTCTTGGCAGTACCAGTTTGGAAACCGTTCTTGAATCTTCTGGAGACGTGCTTTAGATATTGCATTCTACCAGTACCAACGGTGTTTCTTCTCTTGGCCTTAGCACCCCAGTTGAAAGATCTAGTCTTAGCAGCTGGGTAACCACAGGAAGCACAGGTCTTCTTTTGAACATGGAAAGAACGACGACCACATCTGTTACACAGAGTGTGGGATTTGTTGTGACGCTTACCGAAAGATGGAGTACCCTCTGTTTAAAATATTGATAGATTAAAATAAAAAATACAAAAATAAGAGATAATAGTACCTGGTTCTTTATTAAAGAACAACACTTATCATTGCAATAGTTAATTTTAATTAAAGTTATCAAAAAAATTCGTTAGTATATCTGGCTTTCTAAAAGTAACATTCTTTTCTTATGTGAACAATATTAAAATAAGTGTTTCCTTATGGTATTTCTTCAATATTAATGAACTTCAGTTTTACAACTAGTTTATGGAATTAAACAATTCTCTATAAAATCGTAATAAACGGTATCAATTATTCAAATGATGGCCATATGAATATTAAATTAAATAATGAACATTATTCTCACATTCTTAGTAGAACTACTTGTGGTTATTAGTTTCTTTCCAACATATGAAATCTATGTTTCATTTTTTACAATATCAGCAATATATGACTTATACAATATTAACATTGGTCAACCTTATACCATGATTGTTCAATACGGGACTCATTAACAAGCGAAGCATATCATCATAAAGCATTCAATAATCAATTCATTCATCTCTAATCTTTACAATGTTATCTCATGTTCTGAAGTTATTTCACATTATCTTGTCATAATAATTCCATTTTTTCACTCTTATCATTCACATCAAAATTACAATCATATTAGTATTACATACTACCCATTTTTATTCGTTTTTATTTATGTGGTTATCTTTTAATGACAAGTATGAAAATTTAACCCAAGTTCAAGAAATATAACAACCCTTTTAGATATATGGCTTTACTTACTTTCATCAATAATTCGCATAGAAAGTTAGGTTGATGGTATGCACCCATACAGAAAGAATCACATAGCACTAACAAAAGGTGTGTTCATTCTTACTACTACTTCCTTAGACTATACTAAACTGAAGAAAATTGACTGATGGGCAAACTGAATCTTCCCCCAGCAGGGAAGAAACTTTTTTTCCTCATTAAAACTGGGCGTTCTTTCTCCAACTAGCCTTCAGAGGCAGAAGACTGATCGTCTGAACAGTAAATTATTTTTCGCCAGTGGGAGAGCTGACCTTCTGTCGTTCTAGTTTGAAAAACATTCGGTCTGAGCATTCGCATTTCCCGCATTGACTTTGGGCAGAGCAGGCTCCGCTCTGCTCTGAACTGATTTTTTTTCGGGCATTGGACTACTTTGGTAATTTTCAATTTTTCTAAAATTTTAGAAAAAAAACCCAAAAATGGGGATGTTCTGATGTTCTTTCACAGGGAATGTACGGATGCTTTTAAAACAGTCTCAAAGACGCGTGAATAGAAAATGAAAAAAATATCAAAACAAACAAAGGAAATTTCTGGCGTTTGATTTTTCGCGTATTAGGCCATTGTAAAGATGAGAATGATCAACTCTGCACACCCTTTGTTTCAAACGTTGAACTTCAGTTTCCACTGTCATAGCAACACAACTTCCATTTCATACCTGACTGGGGCCATCCATAATTATTAATTAATACATTTGGTGTACTTTAGAAACTAGCGAATAGAAAACTTTTACTAACGACTTTCTTTCTTTTTAAAATAGTCATTACAGAATTCTAGCCGAGGTAAATAAAATAGTTTTAACAGCAAATAATAAAGCCAAAAAAAAATATTTGTTACAAAAACAGGTGTCCAGTTAGTATTAATCATCAATTGTTAATCGTTTAGTATAATTTAAGCTTGATTATTGTTTCGTGTCACAACGGATATATAAAGAAACAGATTTATACTATCATTTTAAATTTATCATTGAAATTCCACTAAATATTTCATTAAAACGAAACAACACGTACAGCCATCTCACTGGATTAAACTAAGATGAATAACATGTTTCCACCTTCCTCACCACTTGCTAGCTCAAACGCTTTAAATTTTGAGGAGAATAACAAAAACTCTCCAAACTCCTCATTCTATGGATCTAAACCTTCACCTTTAGTATTCAAACATGATGTTGCTAAGAGTAGAAATACTCAATATCCATCCCCTTTCCCTTCCTCAAGTATCGGAAGGTCATCTTCACCCGTGAAGACTTCTGTTGCTAATCTCGAATCTAGTGGCGATGAAAGTCCAGATTCATCCTTTGTCGGTATTCAAGACTTGGCTACTAGCCCACACGAAAAGATTAATGCTATTTCTCCGCCAAAGAGTATGATACATAAATCTAAATCTAAAGATCATGCTAAATACAAAGTATTCCCAAGAATTATCGATATTGAAATTGATCCAATTAGCAATACTCAATTGACCATCGGACGTAAAAAAGATATGTGCGATATTTTACTACCTGGTATGAGAACCATCTCAAGAACTCATGCTGTTATTAATTACCTCCCAGATAGAAATCAAATAAAATTAAAATGTATCGGGATCAATGGTATTATTGTTTCTTTACCCAGAAGATTGAATTGCCTTTTAATCAGACCAACAGATGACAAGAATATTTATGAATTATGTGCTATTGAAACTATCAAAATGCGTCAACAATTCCAACAGGTCGATACCAATGTAGATAAAGACCTAATAAAAAGTCAGAATTTAACTGCTTTTACTCTTGAACCTGGTGAGACTATATTGATGCCATTCATGAATAGCACAATGATAGACTTCAAACAAGTGAAGACATCTTTATCGATGAAACATCCACAAAATGCATATAGTACAAATTCAGAAGAAAACATTGCACAACGCTCTATATCTAGTGTATTACATAACAATGTTAAAGTACTAGCAACAAGTTTCCAAGCCAAAAAACTCAAAGGTAAAAAGAGTACACCAACAACAGCAGCCAACGATACAGTAACACCGATGTCATCGTTTATTGTTAGAGAACCAAAGACACCAACTAAGCAACGTAATTCTTCCTTGAAGGCATCTTTTATTGAACCAAAAGATAAAAAAATTACCTCTAACCTTCACCACGCTTTGGCAGATGCTCATTTATTAGACCTTCATAACTCCACTAAGGATACCACACAATCTCATAAGCGTAAACTTGGCACATCATTTGTAGCGGGTTCCTCAAACAATAAACGTGCTAAACATTCTGCTCCAAAATCGACTGAAGAAATCTTAAAGGATTTGCAAGATAAGGGAACCAACGTCCAGGATTTGAAAAATGTTCTAGCCAATCACTTGGCATTTGCTAACGTTCAGCAAACACCACTTTCGCAACTAAAAGATACAAATTCTACCATTAAGACATTATCGAAAGAAGAATTACGTATGATCCTAACTCAAACGAAATGTGTTGGTGTCATTACTAGAACAGGTAAAGATGCGGCTGGTAAGCCCCTCGAAGAAGAATATTTCTACGACATGGAAAATGATGATGATGAACAAAGAAAGGCTCTTGTTACTTCAATGAAAGGTGGTAGAACTGGTTTGAGATCATGTAGAAGAACTCATAAGCAATATTTTTGGAAAAGACCAGGTAAATAGTTGAGCAAAATCAAATATCCAAAACATTTATCCACATCTAAAGGCGAAAAAAATATTAGAACATATAACTACTATCATTTTATTTATATACACCTGTAACTTGAGCATTCTGAAGTCAGACACAAACATATTTAATACTCTATAATTCATATATATAACTACGTAAAAAAAAAATTCAGAAAATTTTAAATTAATAGTACTCTTTATCTTAACTATGTATCCATTCGTAAATTATTTAAATTACGTATCTAATACCCCTGTTTTTCTATCATACTGCATGCTTTTTCAAAAAGTCCTGCATTTCATCAGTGTCAATATCTTGTGGATCCTCTGATGATATAGCTTGTAGCAAACCATCCAACATACCATCAACTTTATCTTCATCAATTTTTAGACACAACGATAACACCCTTCTAAATTTGGCCTCAAGTTTGCTTTGTTTATCCTTTATGGAATTCAATGTATCATCTAAATGTTTGTCATTTCTTTTATACGCACTAATCCTAGCATTTAACAAGACGGCTGGTGGTAACATGTCATTTATCTTGTCCTCATTATTATCATAATTTTCTTGAATTTCTCGAACAACAGCATCAACGTTTGTTTCCTCTAGTAACTTATCCATGTCACCATTGTACTTTGTATTCAGCTTGTCTTCTAATAATCCATATATAAAGTTAACTCTAAACGGTTCATCAGCATCGTATTCATTCGAATCCCAATCTATACCTGAAGTCTCTTCCGGCGATATACCAAGTTTTTTACTTTCTTCTAGGAATGTTCGTTCTTCTGTTTCAATACCATCTTTGATATTTTTCAATTGTTCTTTGAGAAGGTTATATTGATCACGGATTTCTTTTGATTTGGCCAATTCATCTCTAGATGTCGCCAGTTTCTCCCTTTGTTCACCTAGATCTGTACGCAATTTATTTAACTTTTCTTTGTGTTGGTTTACTTCGATTTCATAATCCTTAGAGACTGCCGATAACAAAGTCTTTATATCATTAACCAATCCATCAGTATCGGGTTTCTTAATATTCTTAAGACCACTTATCAAATTTATGTTTTCGTCATTATTAGTCATATCCTCATCCTTAATTTCTGAATTAATATCTGCATTTTTTTCTTGTGAATTTAATTTGGAAGTACCAGCACCAAAATCAATTGGACGAAGACCAGATTTATTCGGAATACGAGGATCAGCACCATATTCTAATAATGCGTCAACAATAGATACATTCCCTAATCTTGCTGCAATATTCAAACAAGTATCACCATTAGAGTCCTGGGCGTTTAACATTGTCGAGATAACCCAGGTCAAATTCAAGTTCTCTAAAATTGCGTCCTTTCCTTTCTCGTCTTTTGGAGGTCTTGAAGGTTGTTTAACAATCCAACCCATTAAGATATCAAGATAGTACTTAGCAGCAGAAGAGCATCCAGTCATACCAGATGTAATGATGATATGATGCAGGATAGTTCTGTCCATTGAATCTTCTAGAATCAAACAAGGGTATAAATAATCTAGAAGTTCCTCAAATGTACCAGAATCATAATTATTTACAGATTTAACCGCTTTTACTAAAGCAGACTCACCCATATTATCACCTATCAATCTATCAGAACCATGTTTTACCAATTCTTTAACCATACTAATATTAGCAATGGATGTCAACCAATGTAGAGGAGTATTACCATGTTCATCCACTGGAATATTTAGGTTCCAATCAATGTTTGGGAAAGATTGGTCTACATCTTTTAATAAAGAATCAAAACTAGCTGCTGATAGAACGTCAGATTCTTTAGAATTATCAGCATGTTGAGCTTCTGGAAATAATAATTTTTGTAGAAAAGTTTCAAGTTTAATTCTTTGGTTATTGTCGGTATTGTCGTCAAATTTAGTTGTTTGACTTAATTGTAAAGGGGTCTTTAAAATTTCATTATTCAATTTTAAATCATGATCAAATATTACAATAGGTTTTACATCGCTTACATCTGATACCATTAATGTTGGTTTCGTTTCCGTTACCACTTTTTGTTCACTTAAGTCTTCAAGAGTATTTTTCAATGATGAAGCTGCATCGAATTTTAATTTCTTTAAGGGAGAGCCTAGCTCTCTATGTGAATCAACATTCATATTATCATCGGCGTTAGTTGATCTCTTTATTGAACCAGTTCGGTCATCTTTTAATTCTTGTGTATTTTGAACTGTAGAATCCTTTCCATTATTATCATTATCATTACTCAATTGCTTATGTGACTTATCGTCATCGTCATTGTTCTTATTTTCAGACTGTTCAGGTTTCCCTTCCAAATGAGTGGTTGTTGTACTGGTGGCCGCAGAATCTTCTTTCTTCATATCATCCAACACGGATTCATTCTGGGTAATGTCTTCATCTTTAGGTGTTTTATTTCCAGAATCATCATTGTTTTCGTCAAATCTATTCTCAAACAAATATAAAATATGTAAACGATCTAATACATCATATGCCATTTTCCCAGTAATCCATTTTTCATCATTTTCATCCGTATCAACAAGTAATCTTAACCTTGATAATAAATTAGCAAGAGCCTCTGGATCGTCATATTCAGATGATGTTTCTGTATCATGACGCAATTCTTCAACATCTACAGATTGTTTCTCCTCATCTAATTGCTTTAATAACGGTAAAAGGGGCTTTAATAAAAAATAGCCTGTGTCTATGTTCCTTACAAGCGTGACTGGAAATGATTGAGAACCATCTTGAGATGTAATATAACTGGTAGCTGTAGAAACTGACATCCTATATATATATATGAATATATCTTGTTTATACTTTCGTGACCCTTCTTCAAAGAGCTTTTGAATAAAAATAAACTAAAAGAAGGAAGTTTCGTGTTCAAATTCTATGTACCTTACTTTCCTCTCAAGTAAATAGCAACAAAAAACAAATTTAAAATTATATTTCTAGCTAATGACCTCGTAGTAATTTTCAAAAATCGTCTAACCTTGAATCAATTCGTATTCTATATTGTTGTTATTTATCTCTTTAAACTTCTGTTCTCTTTCAAATTTAAAAAAATAAATAAACTTCGTGTGATTATCTCGTGTTAACAACAAAAGAAAGCTTTCACTTTTAGCTATTTTCCTCCTTTTGGGCAGTCGGGCCGTAATTTGTGAGGAAAAAACAGTAATAGCATAACAGGTTGCGCAGAGAGTGTGCGTGAGAGAGAGAGAGAGAGTGAGAGAGGGACATAGGAAACCATAAGCTATAGATAGAGAATATGGGATGAGATAGGTAGATATTTGATATGAACGTTGATTTATACATATATATACATATAATCCTAGTTAAAGAGAGGGTTTTATCTTGAAGTAATACCCAGAGGTGAATTTACTAGACTTGCTTTGTTACAATTTTTTTTCCAAAGCAATAGGAGTAAATTAGGAAATAATAAAAAAGATTGCAGGCTATGGATTTTAATAACCGTTTGAAAAGGGAAATTAAGAGGGCTGAGGAGTTTGATACAGCTGGACTGGGTATCATCAGTTATTACCTGAGACTATACGTTGTTGAGGTTCTCTTAAAGAGGGAAGATAGAACAGCTGAGCAGACACATTTAGCGTCTGATATATTAGATCGTATAGAGAGTTTTAAACAATCGATCAATGAACTTTCAGATGACTCCCGTGAGAAAGAGACATTATTTACACTTGTAAATGATGATATGAGGGCAAAGACATATGTGACAAATTTCACAATGTCCTTATATAATCAACAACTGGTACGAGTTCAGAAGGGACCATGGGATCGAGATCTTGTTGGTGCATTGTGGTGTTGTATTGATTTATTCAATTGTATTATACATCTTTGGTCTAATGATGATGAAAGCCGACAAGCTATAACGAAACGTATTAAGTTTTGTAAAATTTACATCAGTAAGATCGTAAAGGGAGATATTGGTTCACAAGATACTATTGTATCGGACGAAAATGACAAAGAAGAGAACAATATACAATTACATAGAGGAGGAGAAGAAGAAGAAGAAGAAGAAGAAGAAGAAGAAAGCAAAGAACCAACTAAGGATTTGAACGTTACACCTGAGGACAAATTTGTAAACGACAACGAGGATTCTTCAAGTATAAAGGTCGATACGAACGAAATCAATTATTCTCTTGATACACCAGAACAGGAAGATACTACAAATGTACCTGTTGATGATTTTGCATCATTATCTCTGAATGAACAACCTGAACCTACATTTGTTGATTCTGATTCTGAAATCGAACAAAACCGTGACGAAGATGAAGAAAGGAAAATAAAACATACAACTCAAGAATTAAATGGAATGATGGATCGTTCTGAAAAGATTGAACAAGCACAAAAATATGCAAAATATGCAATTAGTGCATTAAATTATGAAGATATAGGAACTGCTAAAGATGAACTAACCAAAGCAATGAAACTATTAGAAACGTTATTGTAATTAAATTGATAATATTAAATAGATTTTTTAAATTTTTTTTCTTTTAACTTATGAGATATGATATACTTACATATATAAGAACATAACTACCCTTAAAGAAAGAAAAAAAAAACATTAGCAAAAAATATTTTTTTTAACTTTTTGATATTTATTCATATTCATTATTTTATAACAATTATGACTTAAAATCCCTGAATTCACAGTATTTACAAATTAAAAGTCATTATAAATCAAATAATAATAATAGTAATAATAATAATTATAATAATAACAATAATAATAATAATAATAATAATAATGGAACATATATCAATATCTTTCTTTCTTCATTGTATAGTATTTGATGAAATATTTATCAGTGTTTGTTGTATTAATGATTTTAAGTTGAGAAATTTTATTTAGAATATGCGTATCTTGTTGTTTTTAAATTTATTTTTTATTATTTATTTAAAACTTCAAGGTCTTTGGCTTTTCCCAAGAATATTCTTGGTTAGTGAAATGACCGTAAGATGCAGTTGGTAAATAGATTGGCTTAGCTAAATCTAATTCTTTGACTAACACACCTGGTCTTAAATCGAAATTGTTTTTAATAATTTCAATAATTTCTTCATCGGATTTAGTAGCAGTACCATAAGTATCAACATGTAGAGATAATGGTTCAGCAACACCGATAGCATAAGAGAATTGAACTTCGACTCTTTTACAAAGACCAGCGGCAATTAAAGATTTAGCAACCCAACGAGCGGCATAAGCAGCTGAACGATCGACTTTAGAGTAATCTTTACCAGAGAAAGCACCACCACCAACGGCAGAAGCACCACCATAAGCATCAACAATAATTTTTCTACCGGTTAAACCAGCATCACCTTGTGGACCACCGATAACAAATCTACCAGATGGTTGAATAAAGTATTTAGTATTTTCATCTAACATATCAGCTGGGATGACTTTTTCAATAATTTCAGATTTAATTAATTTTCTTAAATCTTCAGTAGAAATAGATTCAGCATGTTGAGCAGAGACAACAACTGTATCGATTCTTAATGGAACCCATCTACCATGATCATTTTTATATTCAACGGTAACTTGAGTCTTAGTATCAGGTCTTAACCAATCTAAAGAACCATCACGTCTAGCGTCAGCCATGGCCATGTTTAATTTGTGAGCTAATAGAATAGTTAATGGCAAACCTTCTGGAGTTTCATCGGTAGCGTAACCAAACATGATACCTTGATCACCTGCACCAATATCTTCAATAGCTTTTTCTTCATGAACACCTTGAGCAATATCCGGAGATTGTTGTTCAATTGCTACTAGGACATTACAAGTCTTGTAATCAAAACCTTTATCACTGGAATCATAACCGATTTTTTTGATTGTATCTCTAACAATCTTTTGATAATCCAAATTAGCCTTTGTTGTAATTTCACCAAAGACCATAATCATACCGGTCTTAGCAGCGGTTTCACAAGCAACACGAGAATTTGGATCTTCAGCAAGACAAGCATCTAAAATAGCATCTGAGACTTGATCACAGATTTTATCTGGATGACCTTCACCAACAGATTCAGAAGTAAATAGAAAAGTACCAGCCATTATTTTAAAAAATAAATAATTTGTTTTTTTTGTTTTTTTTTATTCTTCTTCTAGTGAAAAGTAATATTTACAAAACTATACAGTGATAGGTGAAGAGAAGAACAACTATTAGAAATATTTGGAGAGAATTATTATATGAGATAGTAACAATAATAATAATAATAATAATTATAATGTTGTTGTTAATTTGGTGATAATGGCTTACCTATTTATATATTATGCCCAAACCTGCCAAAGCTTGTCAAAAAGCAAGAACAGAAAAATTTTTCAAGTTTCTAAAAAGCACATGCACCAATTGTCTCTCTCTGTCTCTCTCTCGATGAGCAGCAAACGACTCTCCCGATGCCCACAATGTGTCCACACCGCACAGCTCAGCAACTGAAAAATTAAGAACTAAAAATTGAAAACTAAAACTGTGATTGAAAAGAAAAAAAAAGTGTGGCAAGAAAAAGAACAAATCACACACACACACGCACACACACGGAAACCGCCCCATGGGTAATTACAATGCCTGCAGAGCGACAGTAGATTATCAGCAACACTCACAATTAACGCAGGGCACAGCCCAAACAGCAAAACAAATTGGACGACTTCTTTATTTCGTTCGTTGTGTCCGGCAAACTCCGGCGGTACGAGCTGAGCATGAACCATTCTCAAAGATTAAAAGAAACGAGTTTTGTGCTTACTCTATCTAATATGTAAATTAGCGTAGATTACGGATTTTGGATAATATTTAGACAGCTGATATTCTACACTGGGTAAACGACAAGACTCAAAAGTTTGTGGGAGGGCGAGAGAGAGGTGCTGTTTTTTTGTATATGGCAATATATGTAATATGATACGAAACCCGGCAAGAACTCCAGTTCGTGATTTTGACTTGGTTTACTAATGCGGCAAATGAAACTAACTATTACTTACTTATGTATTGCAATTCACTCTTTGATAACACCCACTATGTTCCCACAGCAAGCTTATAGCCTAAATCAATCTCTCAGATGTTAAAGCGAACATGGAGAAGCCCTTTTTTGTTTTGAAAATATTTTAGTCTTCTCTTTTTGCCGCCTATGTGGCATTTTAATCCCCATTATTCTGTTCAATTCCATATTTATTTTGTATCCAAGGAAAAGAATAAATTGAGAAATAAATATTGAAAAATATTTTTGGGGCACGTGATATGTGAAAACTGTGGCGTCACCCGTGAAAAGCGATATGGACTGCAAACTTTTCTTTTGTTTACGAGTGTTACCCTCACACTCACGTGACCCCGCCCATTCAAATTTTTTGTATTTTATTTCTTGGTATTTTTTGCGATGACATTTTATGAAAGGGGTTTCGGTAAAGGCAAAGGGGAAACCGGTCGTCCTTAATTTTTCACCATTATATAAAAAGAGATGACATGACATTCAAAAGTACCATTGATTACTACCAATAGCAACGTTTCATTTAATTTAATTTAATTTAATTATTTTATTTTATTGAAATTTCAAAAGAAAGTATATCATATACATATACATATCTATTAAACAATGTCTGTATTTGCTAAGGCCGCTAATGGCATTACCGCTGCTTTGCAAAAAGAAGATATAATTGGTGATTTATTTCCAACAAGAGCAATCTCTTCAACTTTCGTTCCAGAAGGTTCTTTATTAGTTGATTATACCACTCCAAACACAACTGTTTCATTAGGTAATATTTTACCAACTGAAACAACCCAAGATGTCCCAACTTTTTTCTACAAACCTTTCGATACAGTTGATACTTCTTCTCTTTATACTCTTGTAATGACAGATCCTGATGCTCCATCCCGTACTGACAAAAAATATTCAGAATATTGTCATTATGTAGTTACGGATATTAAATTCTCAAACGCTAATGAAGGTGGTAAAATTGTACCAGGTAAAGATAATGTTGAATTACATAGTTATATTGGTCCTGGTCCACCAAAGGGTACTGGTTTACATCGTTATATCTTTTTATTATTAAAACAAGATCCAAATGTTAAACAATTTTCTGATATTAAGGAAAGATTTAACTGGGGTTATGGTATTCCAGGTGTAGGTATTGAACGTTGGGCTAATGAAAACAATTTAACATTAATCACTTCAAATTATTTCTTAGCTGAAAATAAATAATTTTTATTCTATTTTAATATTATTATTATTTTTCGTTTCATCTATCTATATGTCTATACGTCTATATAAGTATATAATAAATAATTCTATTTACAAGTGAAATAGAATTCTATTTTTTTGTTTGTATGTGTTTTTTTCTTTATTTTTAATAACTAAAATAATTGTTGTACTAGCTCTTGATATACTGCAATTTGGAAATTGTCTAATTGTAATTCATTTAATGGTGGCGCAACTACAAACCCACTACCATTATTAGTATTAGTATTAGTATTATTATTGCTAGTATTACTGTTATCCATAAATTCTTCTTGTGAATAATGTTGCATCATTTCTTGATACATTTTTAATTCTTTTTGTTCAGAATCATAATATTTTGAATCAATATCTAAATTATTTGGTATAGCACATAACCAAATTCTTGTTTTATAAAATTTAAACAATTCTTTAATCAATTCACGGAAATCATTACGTTCTTCACATAAATAATAAAATGTTAATTTTTTACGATCAAATTGAAATTCTGCATTAAGAATTTTAATATTTAACCCATGACATACATTTATTGAATCATTAGTATATTCTTCATTTGATGAATTACCATTTAATCCTCTTAATTTTAATTGTGCAATATGTAATGCTTTTAATTCGTCTTGAAATTTATTATGTAAATTTGTACTACTTTCCCATGGTGTTGCAAATCTTAATACTTGTTTTGATGGCACAACTAATTGTGTTAATTCAATAATATCATAAAGCTTTGGATTTAATGAATCACTTAAACCATTTGTACATTTTTCTAATGCATCAATAAATTGATTATTTGGATAATGTTGTGTTTTACTTGTAATTAACGAATCAAAATGAATCTTTTTTTTCAAAAAATTAATAATTAAAGCTAAATCTAATGAAACTATTGGTTCGACAACAAGAGTTAAATCTCTACCACGGTCACCATCAATGATAACTAAATCACCACGTTTCATTGACATATTTGCTCCTGCAGGCATTGATAACAATTCTAATTTCCCATTTTTCAAAGATACTAATACTAAAGGACGATAATGTAAATAAGCTGAAGCACTATTATTTGTAGTTGAAGATCTTCCTAAGGATGATTGTAGTGGAACACTATTTCTACGCATAGTATTATTATTATTATTATTATTATTATTATTATTAGTAGTAGTAGGAATATTACGTCTATCACCTGAAATAAAACCATCTGATTGTGGATTATACTTTAAATTACAACTTTTTAAAAAATTTAAAAATCTTTTTAATGGTTCATGAATTTGTTTTAATGATGAGGTATTATCGTTTGATAATAATGATTGTTTTAAATAATCTGCAAATTCGTAAACTTGATTACTTGAAAAATAATGTTCACCGCAATCTTTATATAATTTAGCTAAATCATTTGAAGAAGCTAATTGTTTATCTTCTGTTAACATCAAACCATTATTTGAATCCTTTCTGATAATGGAATTTGAATTATTCATATCATTATTATTAATATTAATAATTGGTAATCTATTCAATTTTGTTGTATTTGTATTTGATACTTGTCCACTAACATAATTTAAGTAACCATATTTTTGTTGTTGTTGTTGATTTGATGATTGTTGTTGGTAATATTGTTGTTGTTGTTGTTGTTGTTGCATTGGCTGTTGTTGGTGTTGAATAAATTGTGAATTATTTAACAAATTTGGTTGATTATTATGAATCAAAGTATCAGAAATATAAGAAGATCTTCTTTCAACAACAAAATCATTATTGCTATTATTATTATTATTATTATTATTATTATTATTATTAGTGCTAAAATTAAATGCTAAAGGTGCATTTGAATTTGTGCTTGTTAAAGGTAATATATTATCATTATTAATATTAAAAATTGATTGTCTTCTTGTACCTTGTTGTGGCAAAAAATCTTTCATATTTGATAATTTGAATTGTGCAAATGAATCAGTTATTTCATTATCAATATTTGTTTGTTGTCTTTGAAAACCTTTAATAAAATCAACTTTTGGATAAATATTTTGTTGTTGAACTGAATCTCTCTCTTGTGATTTTCTTGGCAAATCAGCTAATGATCTACCACTACTATTTTTAAACAATAAATTGTCATAATAATTTCTCAATTCTGCATTGTCAGAGATACTTGTTGTACTATTAATCGAAGGTAATTCCATACTGTGTAAAGTCATTTTTTTTCCCTTCCGCCCTTATTACAGTCTCTATCTATCTCAGTTAAAAACAAAACAAATAAACACAGCAACCTATATTGTGTGAAGTCTATTATCAAAAGTGAAGAAAGAATAAGAATATATGTTATGGAAATGAGTCCCCTTCCAACCTATATGACTTATATATAATTAACAAAGTGTAAATCCCCCTTTTTTGTTTATATATACCCCTCCTCTCTTCACAATTTTATCAAAAAATTGTTTTTTAAAAACATAAGATATAAACATGTCAAGAGAAATGGATACACGCCGAGACGAGGGGTATAGCAGTAATACACCTGGACAGAACGCGGAATATCACGGTGTGCTTGGAGTTACCCCATTATTTAATTAAATTTTAAACTATTTTTTTCGTTGCGTTCGTCGTCACATGTGACAAGCCGTAGCGGCAAAGTCCCAGAGCCAGAACAAGGGGTGGACAGATCAGTCTCTGTCTGCCTGCCTGGCAGCCTGGCAGCCTGGCTGCTCGTCACAGCAGTGGTTCTTAGCCCCTTGTTTTGCATGCTTTGGCGGGGCTTCATGCACTGGCCCGGGTGTTCCCGCATAATTTCATTCTCTGTATTGTGTGGGAGAAACGTCGCCGCCGCCGTCGTGGGAAGTGACGGATCACGTGCCGTCTTTTTCTTTTTCTTTGATGCTCTTCGAAATTTTCGGTGCCGTGGAATGACCTGTATTATATGCGTATTGCTATGGACGGGCCGTAGTAACGAATAGTTTGCACGGCAACAATAATATTTGCTTTGTCTTCTGCACACTTTTGTGTTACAAGGGTGTGTGTTTATCATTAGGCACGAGCGGGCCTTCATAAGTATGATCCCCCCTCTGTGGCTACGTGTGTGTGCGTAGTAGTGGATTGTATTGTATGTGCTGTGGCTGTGAATAATAGCAACATTTCCAATGAAAAGCTACACACAAATCTCTCTCTCTGCCTTTTCTGAAAACTTTCCACTTTGATTTCTTTGGTCAACCGGTAACGGGTAGTAATTTCATTGTTTAAGTGGCATTAACAATCGTTAAGAGAATGAAAATTTTTTTATTTTATTTTTTGCTGTACGTATTGGAAACCTGCTTAGTATCTATCAAAGGGAAAGAAAGTAACTCGCCCTCTCTGTCTTCGTAGGTGGGAAAGATTCGATGGACCAAGTTTGAAAAATTACCTATTAACATAGTTTTCTTTCTGTTTGGGTTAGATTCGTCATAATGATTGTGGTTGATTTATTGAATAATCAATTCCTGTAATAATCTAAGGATTAGTTTTTCGTATTTTTTTTTTTTGCTTATCTCATTCCTGTAATCTGGTTTATCTATTCGTTGACTCTTTGATAATCGCGTTTATCTTTTAAATTTTAATTAATTTTAATCAGTTTTAATCTGCTCTCACACTTTTTTTTCTTCATATAATTATTATTATTTTTTCTCACATATATATACATATAATAGACTCATTTTTATTATAATTCTATTTTCCTATTTGGCTTTTTGGTTTTTTTTCTCAGTATTATTCGTTTCTCAATATTTTGATCAATCAACCAATACAAAAATTTACCATACAAGATGTCTCCTAACTCATTAGAAGTTGGGAAATCTGGTTCTCCGTATGAATCAAAAGAAGTTAAAGATGGTACAACAGAAATTAGATCATCTGAACAAGATAATGAAGTAGAATATTTCGAAATGATTAATTCAAATAATAGTAATGAACCAAAAAATAATCATTATGCAAAATCGTATCCAAGAACAAGATTTAAAAATTTTGTTGATTCATTTCGTCGTGCTGAAGAACCACAATTAGAACAAGAATTAGAAGATATTGACGTTGCCGTATCAAGAAACACTATTGCTAATTTAAATAAAGAATTATCTAATACAGAATTAGGTATTGACGGTTTAGGTCCAAATGGTGAAAATCCAACAAATAAAAATGGTAATTATCATGATGATGTTGAAGATAAATTGAAAAAAACAATTAAACCACGTCATGTTATTATGATTTCTTTAGGTACAGGTATTGGTACTGGTTTATTAGTTGGTAATGGTACAAGTTTAGCTAATGGTGGTCCAGCTGCTTTAGTTATTGGTTACATTATTATGGGTTCTTGTATTTATTGTATTATTCAAGCTGTTGGTGAAATGGCCGTCGCTTATCTTTCTTTAATTGGTGGATTCAACGCTTATCCTGCATTCTTAGTTGATCCTGCTCTAGGGTTTTCTGTCGCTTGGGTTTATTGTTTACAATGGTTATGTGTTTGTCCATTAGAATTAGTTACTGCTTCAATGACAATTAAATACTGGACAACAAAAGTGGATCCCGATGTCTTTGTAGTGATCTTTTATGTTCTTATTATTGCAATTAATGTCCTTGGTGGTGCAGCAGGTTATGCAGAAGCTGAATTTTTTTTCAATTCATGTAAAATTTTAATGATGACTGGGTTTTTCATCTTAGGTATTATTATTATTTGTGGTGGTGCAGGTAATGATGGTTATATTGGTAGTAAATATTGGCATACTCCCGGTGCCTTTAGAGGTGATAAGCCAATTGACCATTTTAAAGGTGTCGTAGGTACTTTAGTTACTGCAGCTTTTTCATTTGGTCAATCTGAATTTATTGCCATTACCGCATCCGAACAATCTAATCCAAGAAAAGCTATCCCATCTGCCGCTAAAAAAATTATTTATAGAGCTTTATGTGTTTATTTAGCCTCTATTATTCTAATTGGATTTTTGGTACCATTTGATTCTGATCAATTATTAGGTTCTTCAGGTGGTGGTGTTAAAGCATCCCCTTATGTTTTAGCTGTCTCTACTCATGGTGTTCGTGTTGTTCCACATTTCATTAATGCAGTTATTTTATTATCCGTCTTATCTGTCGCTAACTCTGCATTCTATTCATCATCTCGTATGTTGTTAACTTTAGCACATCAAGGTTGGGCTCCAAAAATCTTTGAATATGTTGATAGAGCAGGTAGACCAACTATGGGTATTGCAGCAGCAATGTTATTTGGTATTATTGCCTTCTGTGCCACATCTCCAAAGGAAGATGAAGTCTTTGTTTGGTTATTAGCTATTTCTGGTTTATCTCAAGTGTTTACATGGTTTACTATTTGTTTAAGTCATATTAGATTTAGAAGAGCTATGTCTGTTCAAGGTAGATCTACTGCTGAATTAGGGTTCAAATCTCAAGTTGGTATTTGGGGTTCTTTATATGCTGGTGGTTTCATGTTATTGATTTTAATCGGTCAATTCTGGGTAGCTATTGCTCCAATTGGTGAAGGTAAACTTGATGCCAAAGCATTCTTTGAAAGTTATCTTGCCATGCCTATCTTGATTGCGTTATACTTCGGTTACAAGATTTGGAAGAAAGATTGGAGTTTATTTATTAGAGCTGAAAAGATTGATTTGAATAAGGGTAGAACTTTATATGATGAAGAATTACTAAGACAAGAAAGAGAAGAATATGAGGAACAATTAAGAACTGGTCCAAAATGGAGAAGAGTTTATGATTTCTGGTGTTAATATTATACTATCACCCCCTCCCATTCCCCGCTTTTTTATTTATTTATTTCATCATCATTCACATTTATCCTCATTTGTTTAATTTCAATTATTCTCATTCTCATATATTGTTTGGATATATCTATCCATTATGTTACTATTCTTATGAAACAAATACCTCATAATGAGGTAATGGCATACATTTCTTTCCTTAACTGGCCATATGCCCCTCCATAAACGATAACTTTCAAATTAAATTGATATTCAAATAACATCATGATCCGGCATTTCTTTTTTTTTACTATATCTCAATCTTTTATTTATTTATTTTTCCTCATTTCATTTCATAGTTTTTGAAATATTGTATACTTTCTCTACATCTAATAATTATCTCTATACTACTTTTTTGTTTGTTTGTTTCCCTTTTTCAATTCAACCTCATGTATTACTATTATATAGTCACCAATAACGTTTCTAATCCACGTTATATCAGTTAATGTCACTGACTTCTTCCCACCAGGTAAATAAAAATAGAGGTGGCACACCTCCACATATTGAACGGACACACCTGAATAATCAACAAAAGATGTTTACACCCCATCTCAAGGGGACTCTCTCTCTCATCGCAAAATCCTATTACTTCAGGAAACTCTTTCACCTCCCACTGATCATCGAATAGAAATAGTATGGCAGTTCCACCCTATCTCTAATATGCTGCAGTTTCACAGTATTGCCTGTACAACTTGCGTGGAAATTTTCTTTTTCTGAAGTATTTTGTAATTTCCTAATTACTAAGCGATTGCACGCTAGTTTCTGTGTGTGAGATCCATTGACAGAACAACGTATCTATCTGCTTGAAAAGTAATTTGATAAACAAAACCTGGACGATCGATCTTCTCATGCGTGGGACAAAAGCAATATGTCATCAGGTTCAACTTTTTAAGGTGTTGGTGAAGAAGCAGGTGTCTTTGATTTGATTACTACTGTTACAAGTTTTTAAGAGAACTACAATTAGATTAAGAATTAGTAATCCATATTATAGAACACACCTTATTTGAAACAATTTAATTATTAATCAATTAAGGGCAGATAAGTAACAAATTTACAAAATTAAAATCGTATATAAGATGAAAGAGATGAAGTGAAATATTATGATTGGGTTGTCATTCTTTATTGTTATAATTAGAAGAATACAATAAAACATCAAACAAACAAACAAACTTCCCATTTTACAAAAATGTCTACTACTACTCAAACTTACTTAAACGCTATTGCTAACCGTAGAACCATCTACAACTTAACTGATGCTTTACCACAAAACGTCAGCGTTTCTGATATTCAAGCTGTTGTTCAATCTATCATCAAGAACACCCCAACTGCTCTAAACTCGCAAGAAAACAGAGCTATCATTGTCACCGGTAACACCCACAAGAAGATCTGGAATTCTGTGATCAACGCTATCCCAGGTGAAAATGGTAAGAAGAGACCAACCTCTGCCAGAGATGAAGCTTACGGTTGTGTCATCTTCTTCACCGAACAGAACACTATCAAGAAGTTCCAAAAGGACTACCCAGCTGCCGCTTCTGCTTTCCCAGTTGCCGCTTCTGCTACTACTGGTGCCGTTCAAATTAACTCTTGGACTGCTCTAGAAACTATGGGTCTAGGTTGTCATTTACAACATTACAATGATGCTGTTAGAGCCGCTCTAGGGGACTTAGTTCCAGAATCTTGGACCGTTAACTCCCAATTGTGTTTCGGTTCTCAAGTCATTCCAGCTGGTGACAAGACCTTCATCGACAACCCAGTCAACATCTACAATTAAGCCAATCGATGTCTTAAAGACAGACACAACCAATCAGGACGAGTTCAGAGATATCCTCTTGGAAATCTGTCCTTAATTTTCACTCATTTAGCATAATTTGTTTTTAAAAACAAATCACCAAGGTCTTACGAAATATCGGTATATTTTCTTATGTAATATAAATAAATTATAAACACAATAAAAATCAAAATATCATTAATTTTAAATCAAATTGCAAAATATTGTCCAATTATAATAATGGGAATACCGGAACCGAGAAAATGGGTCAATCTAATGCAGTTGGACCACACTTTTTTCCATTTTCCATTTATCATGTACCTGTTCGTTTATAATAATACCGATTAACTTCATTACTAAATTTTTAGTAATTTAATTTACATGTCCGCAAATTTTTTATTTATTTTTACTGCACAAAGAAAACACCGTACAAAGGTGTACCGGAACAATAAGAAAGTCAAAGATTACTTAAACAACACCCACTATGCCAGCTTGATACGTAAAGTATTGTAACCTCTCGAGAAGAACTTACAATCTTCTGTTTCGTACTTCCTCGAGGGTGATCCACGTTGGCAGTTACTAAACCATTAGTAGATTCTAAATGAATCTTAGGTGCCACTCTATGTAATACACCCGGTTCATTTTTTGATAGGGGTACAAGTTTTATTTTTCTGTAGTTTCGAACTATATAAAGGGCACTAGCATCAAGCTTATTTAGATGTTTACATTGCTATCCTTTTAATTATATTCTTGTCACTGTAATACATAATAAATAAACAAAACACAACAAATCTCTCTAAATCACAATCTATAAAACATGTCCGCTCAAATTCTAAAATCCATTGCTACCCGTAGAACTATCTACGCACTAAAGCCAGAACTGCCATCTGAAGTTTCTATCAAGAATGTTCAAGCCACTATCCAATCTATCATCAAGGATACACCAACTGCTTTCAATTCTCAAGGTAACCGTGCTGTCATTCTAACCGGTGCTACCCACAAAGCAGTCTGGGATTCTGTTGTTAAGGCTATCGATTCACCAGAAGGTAAGAAGAGACCAGAATCTGTTAGAGATGAAGCTGCTGGTTCTGTTATCTTTTTTACTGATGACAAAGTTACAGAAGGCCTACAAGAGAGTTTCCCAGCCTTTGCATCTGCTTTCCCAGATTTTGCCAACCACTCTTCCGGTGCTGCTCAAATTATCTCCTGGACTGCTTTACAAGACGCAGGCTTAGGTTCTCATTTACAACATTATAATGGTTATGTTAAAGCAGCTTTAGGTTCTAAGATCCCAGAAAATTGGACTGTTCAAGCTCAATTATGTTTTGGTACCCCAGCAGCTCCAGCTGGTGAAAAGGCTTTCAATAAAAATCCAGTTAATATTCTAGAATAAGCGCCACTTCTCAATAAACATTAAAATTACACGTTACTATTCCTATTCATCAATATATCTATACATATACACCCATAAATAAATAAATAAAATAATATAATAAAGATGTATTATATATACACACACATTCACTATATTGGCTTTAAACAATCGCCTGGAACAATTCCTCTATTTTTGTTCAAATAATGCAGGTTCGTTATATCATTATTCATTAACAATTTGTCTCCTGGCACACTTGTACCATCTCTTTGACATTTTTCAACAAGACACCATGTGTCTGTATGTGTTGCAAGGATTCTAACATATTCATCTTTGTTTATTTGAATTTCATCTGTGAGCCGTGGGGAATAATTCTTAGAAACAATGCATATCCCACCAGTTAATATCTGTGATTTTAATTCAAAAGTTTCCTCCTGCATTGGCTCCTCATTATTAGAAACCAAATCCATTACTGTGTCATTACCACATTGTTTAAAACGACTATCTCTTCGTTTCTTTCTCCCGTTTAAGTCTACGGTCGATGTGGAATATAATGCCATATTTTCAACAACAGCAGCTGTTGATGTTGTTGGTGGATTTTTCATTTCATCATATATAACCGATGCTCGATGATGTTCAGTCAATGATATATCGCTCTCTGGAGATATATCAATAGACTCAGATCCAACCAATTTTTTATATGTTTGATCTTGTACCTGTAGCATAGGAGATTTCTCGTCAATATTAGTTTCCGCTACATCATCCGCATAACCTTTATCCACTCTTGAAAGTATATGCAGCCGTTTCACTCTGGCATTAGGCGTATGGCCCTCATTCATCAAATCACTTGAGGAGTTTAAAAACCATTTTGATAAAGGCGACTTATATTTCCAATGGTTACTAACCGATGCTCGAGGTTGTTTAGTTCCATCATTTACCTCCAATATTTGTGGTTTTGTAGAATTGAGTATTATTGGATTTTCTATCTTATTAAATGGAATAATATATTTCTTTTTTTGGCGTTTATATCTGTCGCTAACTGTGCTCGCCTTGGCAGGTGTTAGTACATGGGGTACTATATCGCTACCATTATGGTACACACCAGGAATATCATAATGTATCTTCGATGAGAAATTATTGTTTTCAAACAGCCAAGGCTTCTCACGAAATGAATTTTGATTTAGTCCAGATTGATTGTTCCTTTCTGCGCCAAAACACATAGATAAAAAATTAGGTGACCCTGTTGAAGAATCATCTCTATATTGAGGGGAAACAGTTTTATTAGAACCATGTAGTCTTTCCCTTTTTATGTACACGTAGAATAAACAAACAAGTAGTGAAAAGACGAATATACCAACTGGGACACCAACTGATATCCCTATAGTTGTATTTGATGACGCCTTGGAGGTTGATGAAAAAGTAGGTAAATTTAAAAATTTTGTAGTAAACTCAGTTTGCCTTACGGTGACTGTAGATGATATACTGGTGTGGTAGTTATCTGATAAAGTAGATGTCATCAGAGTAGTCCTCATTGAATTAACTGTTGCGACATCTGTAGACATTTTAGAATAAATACTTAGGAGCAGCCTATTAGATTTTTACAATATGATATACTGAAGAAAATAATAAAAAAGGAATATCAGACATATTGAAATTAATTAACGCCCATTCATATTACAAACACACACATACTTATATACTTTTTAAACAATGGCTTATCTTATCTCCCCTGAGTCATGATTGTACATGTTTCAAGATTGTTTCAAGATCTATTTTAGCGTCTTTTATATATTATGCTATTTTTATAAATAGAGCATCGCTTGGGAAGAAAAAATTATAACGCGCGGTAACCAAATGTGACGTGATAACCACAGTAATGAGATCAAACATACAAAAAAATTCTATTACAACCCACATATACTATTAACTTTTAATTACACCAGTCTATATATCGATACTAAATGGATAAGTATCGTTCCATTATGTGATTTGCCAATTTTATGTTTCCACTTCCCTGATAAATAACTATGCTATTATACGCAGCATGTTTCTTCAATTTATCGTCCTTATAATCTGTTAACACCTTATTGTAGTAAGTTATAGCAATAGACGTAAGACCCATCAAGTGGAAAGCACGGCCGACATTATAATCTGCCTCTTGACTTTCTAACTCTGTGTACATTGTGCTTCTGATATCATGATAACGATACAAATAACGGAGACCATGTAAAAATTGGAAATGCCTGTTAGCCGTTAATCTTTGCATTGATCTGTGGGTATGACAAAGACCCATCAATAGATTAACCATAGGATCGTCTGGCGTATCTTTCTCTAACCAGCTTAAATATTGAAGTGCAGAAAGAAACCCTCTTGATGAATAAAGTAAGACTGCATAAATGTAGTACAAATATGGAGATGCCATCTTATCTGGATTAACGACCTCTTTATTTGTAATGGAAGCTTGCCCATTAACATGTGTGTTAAATCTACAACTATCGAATGCTTTTATCTGCCTTAAGAAGAACTTTTGTTGAACTGTACTACTAATAATGTCCGATGACATTTGACCTTGTGACAAACTTAATAGGAATATTTCGAGGACCTTTCTATTAAATTGGTATTGATTTAATAAGCCTCTTAAATTTTCTGAAATCTCCTCTTCGTTGTTCCTCTCTAAAACAATTGCAAGCTTGACAAATTTCATCATCTTAGCCCTCTCAGGTGCCTGAATAAACACATTAACCTCCTGTGCTGTTTCGATGATACTTAACCCATCTTCGACACCTTGATATTTAGTTAATGTCAAAGATAGATTCATGAAAAGTTCAAACCATTGGTCATATGTTAATCCTCTCAATTCTGTCGTCGATGTAAGAGTAACACGTTCTTCCATGAGAGGAAGCCCATCTGATAGGTTGTCACCTTCTGATAATTTTGACAGCCTTTCTAGTTGGTAGTCTAAGACGGTATTGAACTTCTTTGTTCTACGGATAATACCCACAAATTTCTTGGAACGATTTCTAACAAAGAAATTCTTGATACTTGAGAATACATCAACAAGATCTGAGACCGTATCAATCCATGGGCGGATTAATTTCTCATTACCTTCGCTAATCCCTTTCTCATAATCTACTAAACTTTTATATTTATCCACAACTTTGGTGGTAATCTTCCTTTCACGATCAATCTTTTCACGCTCGATGTCTTGCGGGGTCTTCTTCCTCTTTGCATTATATTGTCTAAACATACTATCTTCTAATAAGGGTTTACTAGATTTATCTCTTTCATCAGTAGGTTTCTGTTTTTCTTGTTTCGATTCATGTTCTATGCTACCGTAGAGAGCAGCATCTTGTTTCTTCCGTATCTCAGTGACTTCTTGTAATAATGATTTGAACATCTCATTGTTCCCCATGTGATAGTAAACCTCGGCAAGGTCTAATTTATTTTCAAGGATGGATGGGTCTAATTTGATTGCATTTTCATAATTATCTCTGGCAGACTCATAGTTTTCAATTTCTTTGTAACATTTACCAAGGCATTCGTATAATTGTACATTTTGAAAATCTTCAATGGAGGATAGTGGCAAAAAGAAATCGATAGCCTCTTGGAACTTTTCTGCTTTTGTTAAGGCAATTGCTACTTCAAAATGTAAATCTGCAGTGTCTTCAAAATTTTCATCATATAAGAATTGGAATTGGTTCATTGCTTCTGTGAAATTATCATTTGACAATCTCAATAATCCAAGTCTTACTCTAATATCTATCGGTAAGGTGTATGATTTTTCCTTTTCACTACTTGGCAAAGCATCATACCTACTATTTTTGGTTTTTCTCATATCATATTCCGAATCATCAATGACATCATTCCAAAATGTTTGATTCTCCCTCCTCTCAATCCAACGTGCATAAGCTTTCAATACCTTAATTCCAGCTGCACCACCTAATGGTGACTTTAGATATAACTCTGCAACGATGTTTAAGGATGACCAATCGAATGGAATACATTTGTATTTTCTGTTGATCTTTTTCCAATTTATCTCAGGATATAGTTCCATTTCTTCCAAATGTTCTTCTGCTATATCTTCCTCAGCATCATCTTCGTTAGCGTTTTTCTTCTTCTTCTTCTTTTCTTTATCACTAGAAGAGTCGTCTTCATCATTATCTTCATCTTCTTCTTCAGAAGAAGAGTCCATAGCATTCTCCATGGCGTTTTCGATAGCCCATCGTCTATGAATATTTGCTTCGTAAACATTCTTGTACAATTCAATAGCCTCGTCAACCTTATCGTAATCGACATATAATATAGCCAATTCTCTCAAAAAATTGGCGTCATAAGGATGGTTTTTGTATAATTTTTGAAACCCTTCAAGGGCTTTACCCAATTGACCTATCTTCTTATATAAAGTTGCCCTTCTGTAAACACATTCCCACTCCTCATGATTAATGTTAATGACTCTAGAAAAACAGTATATGGCCTGCCTATAATGTTCCAGATCTGCAGATAGGATGGCTACAATCTTCCAAAATTCCCAATCGGACGAATTGATATGTGCTGCTAAGAACCACGAATTACAACAATCATTGAGACGTCCTTGCAATTGATATATATCACCCAATGTTTCGTATGCGGCAAAATTACGAGGATCCTTCTTGATGATTTCATTATACAAACCTTCTGCAACTTGTAAATCATTTCTCACAAAGGCTTCGTTAGCTCTGGACAAAAGGTCGGCAACCTCTGGATCTAATACTCTATCTCTCCTTGTTCTTACTGTTTTCCCGTTTTTCTTCTTCCTATTTTTTACCTTGAAATTATTGGCTTCTCTAATGGCATCCATAAAGTTTTGTTCATCATCTTCGTCTGAACCTTCTTCATAGTCTGAAAATTCTGCAAGTAAAGAGTCTCTACCACTACTAGCGCTGTCGTATTCATTATCAATGTACTTATGATCTCCATCGGAATCTGAAGCTATATCTAAGTCAGAAATCGATTCATCACCACTATCACCTACCATCTCACGTAAGTGATCAATATTTCCATATAATTGATCATCATTTTCTTCTATAACATTTCCATCATTAGGCACATTATCTTCACCATCATTGAGGGATAGAGGAACCTCATTTAGAGATGGTGCTCTATATCTTCGTGTGTTCACCATCACTACTTTCTTATTCACTCAGTCTTACTGTAGAAATATTCTTTAGCTTACCTTTCTTATAGACCAAACTTTTTATAAGTTAATTAAATAAATTTATATTTAGAATGTTAAATGTATGATTTTTCTCTCTTCTTTCCCTAATATTAGTCGTGATAGTCCATTTCAAAAGGGTTTGTTGATTTCGTTTCTTAGTTTCTTACGTGTTTTGGTTACTGCAAGGTAATTATCTGTTTCCGGAAAATAACTGTAGAAATGATCCCGAAAAAGGAAACTATTACCTAAACCGCACACAACTTTTTAATACATTGGATTTCCTCTGTGGCAAAATCCCTTTGATGGTTTAAAAGACATTTTAACAACAAACAGAGATATAGAAAGTGTTTCAAACCTTACAACGAAGCTAAAACGATAAGTAAGTCTATTTCATATAATATATACACATATTATCTGAAGTGAAAAAACACAAGAAGATTGTCGTCACATCATGTTCTCTGGTTTCAGTCCCATGCCCGGTAGTGGGTTTGTAAATATTCCACAAACATTTGAAGAATTGTTTCGTTGCTACCCTATTTCGATGATGGATAGTAGAATAAGAAAAGATGATGCTAATTTTGGTGGTAAAATATTTTTACCACCAAGTGCATTAAACAAACTATCTATGCTGAATATCCGATACCCTATGCTTTTCAGATTAACATCTAATGAAAGTGGTAAAAGCACATATGGAGGTGTCCTAGAATTTATTGCAGAGGAAGGTAGAGCATATTTACCCCAATGGATGTTAGAAACATTAAATACCCAACCAGGTTCTCTTTTGAAAATTACTTCAACAGATGTACCTTTAGGTCAATTCGTAAAATTAGAGCCCCAATCTGTGGATTTTTTGGATATATCAGATCCAAAGGCTGTGTTAGAAAACGTATTAAGAAACTTCTCTACATTAACAGTGGATGATATTATAGAGATAAGTTATAATAATAAGACATATAAAATTAAAATACTGGAGGTCAAACCAGAATCCGAGTCTAATAGTATATGTGTGATCGAAACAGATTTGGTAACAGATTTTGCACCACCAGTCGGATATGTAGAACCCGATTATAAAGCACTTCAGAAACAAGAACAAGAGAAGAAGAAAAATAGAAAATTTGACCCTTCAATTGTCGGTCAAGGGTCTATGTCAAACAGAATTAATTACTCCGATGTCCTAGCAAATTCTGAAGAAACATCAAAATTCACTGGGGAAGGCCAGAAATTATCAGGGAGATCCATTCAAGGAAATAACAAAGAGGATGACCTAAAAGAAATAAAAATCTCCTTAGAAGGGAAGCCAAAAAAACTAGACCTACCAGATTACCAATTATTTTTTGGATTTCCTATAGTACCACCAAGAACAGAAGAGGAAGAAAATGATGTGAAGGAAGAAGCATACAAAGGTGTTGGCCAATCACTGAGGAAAAGTACTAAGAGAAAAGGTAAGAAAGATCATGCAACATCTAAAGCTACTAAAGCTCCGAGGAGCCCAGATGTTATAGAAATCGATTAGTCAACCTCTCCTTTCACGTACAAGTAAATGCATTCCACGTCATTCCGCGAACTATTAAATTAAATAAAATTACATATATTTCATCAATAAAAAAGACTGACAAATTATAAATAACAAAAGAAACTCATAACCAGCATGTGTTTCATCATGTTCTCTTTTTCATATGACTTACAACCATTTTTAGAGCCAATGGGAGATCCTCGTCAAAATCTTCCTCCTCTTCTTCTGGATCAAATACCGGATTGGCATCTCCAAGTGTTTGTTGACGATTGATTGTTGATAATTCATCCTGGAAGAAGTTTCCAGATGCCCATGAATTCAATCTTCCTCTGAAGTTATTTGGTACAGTTTCACCTTGATTAATTTTATGAGACGCAATCTTGGCAAGATTTACCGAAGGACGTCTGTATTGTCTTGTGCCTTCACCATTAAACGCAACCGGACCTTGGATAGAATCGATTGATGACCTTACATCACTATTACTACTTAACGAACTAGTCATATCGTGATGGGAAGACTCTATATCAACAACCTCATCAGGTGCGATAGAAGCGCTACTATGTGACGAAGCTACATTTCTCATATTGACGTTGAATTCAGGTTCCTTGATCCCATTAACAAATTTATCAAATCCTGTAATAGCTTCTGCAGTCCAGTCCTCATACAAAGGACGAGATAGAAAGCCATATTTAAATTCGTTTACACCAACCAAAATTTTAGTTAGACTTAACAGTTCCTCAATATACTCAATAATTTCTTCTAGTGCCGCACTAGACGCATTCCAAGCTAAAAATTTCTCTCGTAGTAAAAATTCTTGCTGTTCAACTTCTCCTTGATCAATAATATTCATTTGGAGTGAAGGTTCATTATCGTTATTATATTTTACATTTCTAAATGGTACCCTTTTCGATGCCTTGATCATAAATTCTTCCTCTTTATCTGAATCTTCACTTTCATTCCCTTCTGGTAATGCCGCTGGTGTCATACCCATTGGTACCCCATGTCTTGAATTAAATCTAGAAATTGCTTGTGAGTTTGGTTTACTTGGGTATCTTATTTCTAATGTTGATCTTACTTTATTGACCAGTCTCCTATGAGCAATTCTTGCACTTGGGGAAAATTGAGGAAGCGGAGTTTTGTTAATAAATGCCTCCTGCATTTCTCTCATCAATGAAGTAATACTACCAATCATTTGACGTCTGTAAGGATACATTACATTATTCAACTCTTCAATAATTGCGCTACCATAGGTCTTCCTTAAAAGTGATGCTGTATCTAATCTTTCAATAATTTGCCTTTGAATAAATATAACTTGATTAAAGATTTTTTCAAGTTCTGTGAACTCTCCCTTCAATCTAGGTTCCTGCCTTGTCAAACCATTATAAGCTTGAGCACGATCAAGGGCCTCTTTAGCCGATTTTGACACAAATACTATTTTTTTATAGGTCGATTCTGTCAAGGCTTCTTCAATTTGTTCACCTTCAAGTCCTGATGCATACAGTGATACCATTTCTGAGATACAACCACAAACAAAAGATATTTCTTCATTTAATTGATCCCTCGCTTTGATGGGAAAGATGATGACTTGCACGATTAATGCAATGGTACCACCATAACCAACTGCCAGACATCTCTTCCCAAAACTCACTGGAATAGCTGAAGGTATTGAAGTTGGCAATACAGCGGCTAAAATAACAATATATATACTAATGATCTGGATAATTGCTGCCTTCACATATGGAGTCCCTAATAAAAAATAAAATCCTGGAACAGATCCAAATAGGGTAATGACAGTTTCTAGATATGGGTTACTTTGATTTTGGCCTGAATAATAGGAGACTAGGCCCCACAGAGCACCCAAGACAACCCCCACAGCTCTCAGAAAGAAAACCCAAAATGTCCCCCCGACTGAAGGTTCTAAACATAAAATACACACGAAACCAACCCAGGTACCACGATAATTAATATACCAATGTCTGAGTTTTGGAACAAACATTGGAAAAGATGCCAGTTGTAAGGCAACGGCAACTTGTGTCCCAAAACGGAAGTGTGCCTTATATCTTTTGTAGAACATATTACACCACGTCATATATGATCGTATCCGTGCAGTGACACTAAACGGTTTATCTGATTCTTTGGCAAATAGAGGCTGCCCATTAGAAGGATTTATTACAGGAAGAGTTAAATTGCTGTTATTTATTTCATCACTTTGTTGATAATCCTTCTTACGTTGTTGCAATAAATCCTCTTCCTGGATATTTGGACGTCTCGTCACCAGCTCTGGCTGTTGTTCAAACGTATTACCATGGATAACACCATTTAATGCTTCTCCCTCAGTAAACGATAATGAATTACCAATCATCCATTCTTTAAAAGACGCGAAACTGGTCAAAAAATTGAACCAAATTCTTTTCCCTCTAATAAAACCTTTCTTTTCCTGTGATCTTCGATATTCATATATTTCCTGAATCTGTTTTGCAATTGAAGATACAGCTGATATTGATTCTTTAAAATTCATCAAGAAGGATGATAAAATGAACATCTCATCACTAGGGTCAATAGCATCCTTATCGAATTTAAGTAATTGTTCCTTAAAGGTTTCATTGAATCGTTTAGATGCCTCCTCTAATAAGGCGATGTTGCTAGAAAAATCAAAATCTACGGGTATATCCTGTTTATTTTCCATATTTTTGATACCTAAGTCATTAAATATTGTTGGATAATAAGCATCTTTAACATCAACATCATAAGCGTATGCCAATGTAACGTTAATCTTATACATAGTTTCACTTAATGTTTGATGTAAATCATGTATAGGTACTTTTAAAGTATCTAAAATTTGCAATAATTTAGTTGAGTCAGCATATGATACTTCTTTATCAGGTGAAATATCCATAGATACATCAACTAAATTCTCTGATCTCCCTAATACAATAAACTGCAATTGACAGGCATTAATAATACCATTTGTGAAAATAGATAAATCTTTGAATAAAGAGATAGGAGTCTCAAGACTCTTTGGAGATACATATGAATATGATATTTCATAGATACATTCTTGTAAGACAGCTTCACAAGTACTTAAATGTTTTGACATAGTTGTCTTAAATTTCAATAATCTTGACAATGTAGTAATAGGCTTTGCATAAAGATTACTTTTTGAAGATAAATCACTATTATCTTTTTCATCAGATGAATGACTAACAGAGACGAAAAAATTAATTGCAGCATCAATATCTTTATGTAATTCATTCATAGCCTTAATAGTAGCCGTACCTAAATATGTACTACCAAATTCTGGAAACAATAGAAGATTCCAAAATATTGACATTGCTATCCCCAAATAAAAAGGTGTTGCAAAAGAATTTGCGATGACCCCTGGGGACTCTGTTAATGAGGCCATCAATGCGAAATGTGTCACTAAGAATAAGGGAAACACAATACCAAAATAATGGTGAGATACAGATCTCATCCATCCATGGAAAAATAACATTACTGTTTCAAAACACGCCATGATAGCGAGACCAGCTTCGAACCTCTTAAAATTTTGCTGATATTGTTCTACTTCTGTTAATTTATTCCAGGAATCTCCGAGACATTTTTGTGCTAAATATCGACCGAATATAGAGTAAGCAAGTCCAAAAATTAGACCTGTTATGCAATATATGGCACCTTGTATTGTACCACTAACTCTTCTACCTGGATGAACCATAACTGAAATTAACGGAAGCATCGCAGGTTCAGTACCTAAATGAGCTCTCACTTCTGGTATCAGAGTAAAAATAAATGCTACAGTGCTATTTACTGTTGATTTGAATATTCTTTGGGCCAGAATCCTATCACAAGGAAAATAATATCTCCATAGTCTAATAAACTCCTGAATCCGCTTTGGAAATCTGCTTATAATCTGTTTCTCTGTCATCGTATTTCTACTAATTTGATTATTACGAGAGAGAGCCCCCTAAATTACAAAACCAATGTAACGGTAATTCAAACTTCTTTATTGAAATCAAAAACAAACTAAAAACCAAACGATATATAAAGCTGTAAAATGTCAGGACCTTATTATTATTAATTTTTTTATGCTGAAGGAAATCGTTGCTCCTATAAATAAAATACGGGAATCCAGAACGATAAAAATCAAAAATAACAATAGTAGGATCGATTAAACAAATATTTCACTCTATTGCACATAAGTCATAAGAAAAAACATCAATATGTAAATTTTAGTTTTCAAATTAGTAGTTCTTATCACCTCAGCTATCTCTGTTTCCTCATTTGCTTATCTAAACTATGACGGTTATTATCATCTAACAACTTCATCTGTTGACAGACCGAAGAAGTTGTTTCCTTGCCCTCTCGACAGGGCTGACTTCTTATATTTTCACTCTCCGTGCTCTCTGTTTCCGTGCTTCCCACGGAATTCTCGTCGATTAAATCTTCCAACATTGAAGAAGACAAAGGATCGCCCATACAAATGAGTGATCCGCAGCGTGGGGAGAGTGGGAGAAGCCACAACCAATATGAAGGATAAATCACATATTTAAAAAACAATTAAACAGGAAACATTACAAAATGGTGAGATCTTGTAATGGTAAACCAGGGTTTAAATAAGTATAGAAGTAGAAAAAGTATATAGATGTACTTTGAAAAGGTAAAAAGGATCATTGTTTCTAGTAGTTGTCATAGTTGTTTTGGTTTTGGTTCTGGTTTTGTTTGTTTCCAGAAATATACATGTTAGCCATTGAAGCAATGGTAGAGCCAATACCACCTTGATCTTGTCCTTGATTTTGATTTTGACCTTGACCTTGACCTTGGTTTTGGTTGCTTAGATAAGAGCTAGCCATGTTAGCCAACTTGGAAAATGAACTTTCTTGATGACCACTTTGTCCATTGTTTCCAGATTGGTTTGAAGCAGAACCATAGTCGTTATCGTTATCATTACGGTAATTATCACTGTTGTTAGAACCATATTTATTATTCTTGTTAGAATTACCATAAGAGTCATTGTTGTTTGAACCGTAGCTGTCATTACCATATCTATCGTCATCATTTCTACCGTAGGAGTTAGAGGTTTTGTTGTTAGAGCCATAATTGTCATCATCGTTTCTGCCATAAGAGCTAGAGTTGTTGTTGTTATTGGAGCTGTAATCATCATCATTATTACCATAATTTGAGTTCTTCTTAGATCCATAACTATCATTGTTAGAACCATAGTTGTCATCGTTGTTACCGTAACTAGAATTCTTCTTGGAACCGTAGTTGTCATTGTTAGAACCGTAGTTGTCATCGTTGTTACCGTAACTAGAATTCTTCTTGGAGCCATAGTTGTCATCGTTATCATTACCGTAACTTGAGTTCTTCTTAGATCCATAGTTGTCATCATTGTTACCATAAGAGCTAGAGTTATTGTTGTTAGAACCATAGTTGTCATCGTTATTATCGTAGGAACTGGAGTTCTTCTTGGATCCATAGCTATCAGTATTGTTACCGTAGGAGTTGTTATTGTCGTTGTTGTTAGAACCATAGTTGTCATTACCATAGGAACCAGAATTATTGTTATTATTGCTTTGTTGTTGATTTTGGTTACTATTCTTATGACCTAAAAATGAGGAAGCTGCAGAAGCTAAAGAACTAAAGGAAGATTGACCTTGACCTTGACCTTGGTTTTGGTTTTGGTTTTGACCTTGACCTTGACTACCAAAAAATTGGGAAGCCAAAGAAGCTAAACCACCACTGCCCATGGCACCATTACCACCATTGTTATTGTTACTACCACCTAACATGGACATAACAGAGTTTAAATCAAATCCATTGCTGCTATTATTTCTATTACTGTTACCACCAGATAAGACAGTAGACAACAGAGCCAATTTACCTAACTGAGATTGAGTAGAACCATTGTTATTAGCTTGTAAGGTACTCATAAACATATCGCTAATACCACGAGAATTAGAATCATTAGATTGATTACCCATGATATAATTCGCGATTTTCCCAATTAGGGATTCAATAGAAGACATTTGTTGATTGTCTGGATTAGCCTTAACAGCATCAGTTAAGGAAGAGACAGCTTGTCCATGATCACCTTGATTGAAGTAGTTTTCAGCTTGAGAGATAAGTTGATTAATGTCGGCCATTTTAAATTATCCTGAATAAATATATATCAAAAGACAGAAGAAGTTTGCTTGATGATATGCCTTTTTGTCCAAGAATTCAATTGAAAAAACCGTTTCATAAAGAATTGAATGGGATCCCAATTGTCTACTTACAAGATATATTCTTTCCTTTTATATATTCGTATCCAATGGAATCAACCTCTGTCAATTTTCCAGCCCCTGTCTTGGCAACTCTTCTCTGTCTTCTCTGCTTCTCCGTACCTTCTATTGTAAGAGCCACGAAGTCTAAATTTGGGTGTGAATTTTTCCGAGTAATTTCTTCGTAGAAGGAATGAAACTTTGTTGACGTAGACATCACCGATATATTACGTTATTGTACTTGACTTACCTAAATAAAAGATACAAGAATGTTAAGGAATGTCATATAAACATATACGAAGTTCAATGAACGTGTAGATTATCACGACGCTGAGGATTAACTGCCATTTAGTTCCACCAATAACGAGGAGAAAACCAATTTGTATGTTTATAAGTATTGCGCATCGTGAGGTTCAATGTTAGACAATATATTACCAATTCACTGTCGTTAAATATGTATAATACGAAATGAGATTGTACCACACTGTATCTTTTATTAGTAAAATAATAACCATTCTTAAATGTTTGAAAGAAAAACAATAATAGCAAACTAAAATTAGTTATAACCAGAAGACAATAGTAGCAAATAATACGTAAGTTGAAGAAATCAGATTCAGACGGCGCTGTACTGAAAAATAATTGTTTATTAACTGAATTGGGAAGGAAAACTCAGACTTAGGCTATAACAATAACAAGAAGAAGAATCGATTCAACAGTAAATATATATATATATATACATATACATATATGTATAAAGAGGGAACGGTTAGTAAATATACTTACTTCATTTGACTAATAATTTTTTTTTATAGTAGCCAGAAATGCAATCGTATCAAGATAAGATAGATTGTTTTATACAGATACCTAACATTGGTAGAGGTAAAATTAAATATATTGGACCCGTAGAGAATAAAAATGGTTATTTCGTTGGTGTTGATTTACTTGCAAATATTGGCAAAAATGATGGTTCATTCTTAGGAGTAAGATATTTCACGACAGAATATCCACAGAGTGGGTTATTTATTCAATTTCCAAAAGTTGCTCATTTGGTTGAACAGGCTTCGAGAGTCGCACTCGCTAGTGCACCACCATCTACTCGAACTACTATAATAAATGAATCTCTTAGAAATGATTTCAACAAAGAGACATCTCAACCACCTCCAGCTACCCCTAGGAGAAGTATGATGATGAAAAATAATATGGAGACAATGACAATCCCAGATTTAAGACCTCATCAAGACAACATACCTCGTGAGGGTAATCAAAATAATAATGATGAAGATGATTCTATGGAGATAGATGCTTTTTCTTCTTCTGTGATGGTGGATCAACCATTGAGTCCCGAACAAAAACAACAAGAATCCGTCACAGAAACAAATGTTCAACAATATATCAATACAATAGAGCAACAACGACAAACAATTGCTAAATATGAAGTCTTACTTAATGAACAAAGAGTAGTATTAGAGGAAATTCAGCCTGTAATAGATGCATGTGAACAAAAATCACAATTATTACAAGAAGAGCGAAATCAATTGGAGAAAAAAGTTACATTACAACAATCTGTTCAAGAAAAACAGCGAGCAGAATTTATTGAAGAACAAGAACAATTAATGGCAGCTGTAGATAAATTGAATGAAGAAATTAAACAAAATGAGAAACGAATTGCAGAGAATTCGGCAACTGCATCTTCAGGTTCAACAGTGGTGGATAGTGAAGAATTAGAACAGCTCCGGAAATATAAACAAGATATGGAGAGTGCAAAAGTCAAATGGGATAAAGAGAAAGAACAATTACGGATGCACAATGAATCTCTCAGTAAAGAATACAAAGAGTTAAATAAAGAACTAATGGCTTTAAGTAATAATGATACAGGCGATTCCAATAAAAATGAGGATATTGATAGATTACTTCAACAGATTGATCACCTAGAACAACAACTTTCAAAAGCAAGAAAAGAAATCAAAGAATTAAAGATGGTTAAACACCAAGAAAAGAAACCTCAATATTGTGTATTATGTGAGAAAACTGGCCATGACCAATTGCATTGTCCTTCTCAGTACGTGACAAATCAATAACTATCGAAGTCGAAATCAAAAATATAAACAAGCAACTAAGGTCCTCATAGCACCCCTTTCCCCACCATCTCCTGGACTCTAAACAACATCGCAATGACGATGACACATATACATTTGTAAGCATTACTTAGATACGGAAACATAAATAATCTACCGGTGTAAATAACCTAATCTATTAAGTAGATTTCTCATACCTTGCAACTTACGTATTGGCTTCTCTTACTGTCTGCCTCTCCTCTCTCTCTCTGGAACTCTGTAGGGTAGCGCGGCCAGAGTGAAAAAAAAAACGATGAAAATTAATGTAATTAATATTAAAATCTGTTTAATTGATTAATTGAAAAACAGGTTGTTAAGCGATGAGTAGATATGGTATTTTGCTAGTTGTTGTTATTTTGGGGGATCGGGAAAGTGAACATCCTTGTTTTTAGAACTTGTGGTTCAGTTTAATCGAATTGTCTCGTTTATATATAGGAGTTTTTTTCTATTTGTATTACTTAAAGTTGAGATCCTTCATCTTGTAATTGTTATTTTTTTGACTCTGCCAATGGTTCTTGATATTTCCGCCTTTAGTAATTGTTACCCGATGTGGTCCATTTTCCAGATACGGATGCCATACTGATGACTCAGTTCCGCACAATCTCACAAAAAGACGCTAGCAGTGAAACAATCTCTTGCTTAATAATTCAGAAATTTCACTTTCGAGGTGTAGAGAAGTAAATGAGAAGGAGAGACACATTTGAACTAATTTGATGAAATAACGCAGTTCATGATATCATATTGTATATATATATAAACAGCTTGTATTAAGTTCTTATTGTAAATTGATCCTTTCCAACTAAAATTGTTCTTACTTTTTAGGTTTTTTTTGAAAGTGCTTCTACTGTTTTGATCTAATCGAACATATCACACTATATTTTTTTAGTGATACAAATATATAATTTATCAACAATCATTTAATTGATAATGACTTTCCCTATCATTCCATTGTACGGTAGTGATTTCCAAGCCACTTTAACTGCTAAACCTTTCTTAAGATTAGTAGGTGATGTTGCCCTTGATGCTTCCGCTTTTAAAAATGATACTGATGTTCTCAACGCAGTAAAACAACTATTAAAAGGTTCTGCTAGAACTGTTTCTTTAGTGCTTACTGGTGATAAAGAATTCGATGAAAATCAATTGATTAATTTATTAAACAACGGTGTCTCTAGTTTACTCACCAACACAGCCATTCCTTTTGATTCTATTCCAAAAGCTAGAGTTTTAGAGATTCCATCTACAATTACATTAACTAACAAGATCACTTTACAATCTTTCACCAAGACATTTTTATCTCAAGTGAAAACCGATAGAAAAGACGGTCTATACACTACACTAGTTGTAGACGATAAGGAACGTTGTCTAGGATTAGTCTATTCATCCATTGGATCTATTACACAGGCTATCTCTCAACAAGTCGGTGTATATTTCTCTCGTTCTAGAAATGAAATTTGGGTGAAAGGTTTAACCTCGGGTAACACTCAATCCTTATTATCTATCGATATTGATTGCGATGCTGATGCATTGAAATTCACCGTTTCTCAAGTAGGCACTGGTTTCTGCCACAATGGTACTCAATCATGTTTCGGTGATCTTACCTATGGTTTAACTGGCTTAGAACACACTTTAAACGATAGAATGATTAATGCAGTCGATGGTTCATACACTCAAAGATTATTTAAGGATGAAACTTTATTAAATGCAAAGATCAAAGAAGAAGCTGAAGAATTGACAGAGGCTGTTACTAAAGATGAATTAGCTTGGGAAGCTGCCGATTTGTTCTATTTCGCAATGGTTCGTCTTGTTGCTAATGGTGTTAGTTTAGCCGATGTTGAAAGAAATCTAGGTATGAAGAATTTAAAAATTACTAGAAGAAAAGGTGATGCCAAGGAGAAATTTTTGGCTAAGGACACAAAGAATAATGATAATACTCAAGAACCAGCTGCAAAGAAGGCCAAGGTTGAAAGAACTCTAGGTTCTAATGATAAGATATATCTAGATGTTGTGAATTCTACCGATCTTGAAGGTGTCACCAAAGCAGTAACAAGGCCAATTCAAAAGACATCACAAATCATGCACTTGGTTAATCCAATTATTGATAACGTTAGAAAAATTGGTGACAAAGCTCTTATGGACTACACTAAAAAATTTGATGGTGTTGACTTGAAGGCACCTGTGTTAGAGGCACCATTCCCAGAAGAATATTTGGAAGGTCTAACACAAGAAATGAAGGAAGCCCTTGATTTATCCATTGAAAATGTACGTAAATTCCATGCTGCACAATTACAAAAGAAACCTTTAGTAGTCACCACACAACCAGGTGTAGTTTGTTCCAGATTCCCAAGAGCAATTGAGAAAGTCGGTATATATATCCCAGGTGGTACTGCAATCTTACCAAGTACTGCTCTTATGTTAGGTGTTCCTGCTCAAGTGGCTGGTTGTAAAGAAATCGTCTTTGCCTCTCCACCACGTAAATCCGACGGTAAAGTCTCCCCAGAAGTTGTATATGTAGCTATAAAATGTGGTGCCTCTAAGATCGTTTTAGCTGGTGGTGCTCAGGCTGTCGCTGCAATGGCTTATGGTACTGAATCTGTTCCAAAGGTTGACAAGATCTTGGGTCCAGGAAATCAATTCGTTACTGCTGCCAAGATGTATGTTCAAAATGATACTCAAGCTCTATGTTCTATTGATATGCCAGCTGGTCCAAGTGAAGTTCTTGTTATTGCTGATGAAGATGCAGATGTTGATTTCGTTGCTTCAGATTTATTATCTCAAGCTGAACACGGTATAGACTCTCAAGTCATCCTTGTCGGTGTAAACTTGTCCGACAAGAAGGTCCAACACATACAAGAAGCTGTTCATGAACAAGCTCTGGCTCTACCTAGAGTTGACATTGTCCGTCAATGTATTGCTCACAGTACTATCATCCTATGTGACAACTATCCAGAGGCCTTCGACATGTCTAACAAATATGCTCCGGAGCATTTAATTTTACAAATCAACGATGCTGACAGATATGTTTCGTTAGTCGACAATGCTGGTTCTATCTTTGTCGGTTCATACACTCCAGAATCCTGCGGTGATTATTCCAGTGGTACTAACCATACCTTACCTACCTACGGTTACGCAAGACAATACAGTGGTGCCAATACTGCCACATTCCAAAAGTTTATTACTGCTCAACAAGTTACCTCTGAAGGTTTAGAAAATATTGGTAAGGCTGTCATGTGTATTGCTAAGGTTGAAGGTCTAGATGGTCACAGAAATGCTATTAAGATCAGAATGAGTAAACTAGGTTTGCTACCAAAGGATTTCGTATAACTGATGACGATAACCCCTTGTATAAAATTTGTAACGTGTTTTTTGCTACTATAAGCAAGCGTATATATTATTATTTCTAATATTACTTTAATGTCATGAAAAAATTAAGAATTGTTTGAATAATGTAAGCACTATCTAAGACTAAACGAAAGATGTGCTTAGTATTTCATATTGAACAAATATCGCAAATGTTTTCGGACTTAAAAACGCCTCGGGAAAATAGAAATTTGTGAGAGTTTTAAAAAGGAAGTGTAGGTTCTAAGGTATTGTACTCAATGACACTAGGATCAGTATACATATAAGCAAGAAGGTCACACCAAGTATCCTGTGATTAGATCGATTAATTATATTGCATACAATATGAATTTCCAGGTTTTGTATAAACAAAATTGGGGGTTAGCTCGTACTTATGCGAGGAGGGCGGCCTCACATAGTGCACAGACTAAAGAAACGTTATTACCTCCTTTAATGTTATACAGAAGAATTTTAAGAGCCCACAGAGTCTTACCAGAGGTTCAAAGATCAATCGGTGACAAGTATGTGAAAAATGAATTTAAACTACATAAGGATGTTGATAACCCATTACATATTGTAGGGTTTCTGACTAGCTGGCAGGACTATTTGCATATGATTAGCAATGGTAAATGGCAAGAAGGAACTCTATCAAAGAGCGCTTTAGAGAAAATGTCACCAGAACAAGTGGGTCAGTTATACGAACTTATGAAAGAAACTGAACGTGTTCTATCTGGTAAACCAGAAGATGGTAAAGATAAAAACTAATTAAAAAGAAAAACAACATATAAACATATAACATATTCACAATAACATGTAAATAAAACATTCACATAAGCAAGACATATACATATTTACGTATATAAATATAGATCTCTTAAGTATTTTGAATTTGAGTACTGGTATACTAGGGCTAACAAAGGAACTCTGATCGCTGTGCACGAACATCAAATTTTCTGCGGACGATCAAAATTTCAAGAAAATGAGTCTGTTCCCGCCATTCGATTCAATGAGCAAATGAGATAAAATGGATAAATATTTCAAGATTTGATGGAAACTTCAGTGGATTTGGGGGGTTTCAACTACAGCTGAAGTGTGATAACTGGGATACTAAAGTTGGGGAATATGTCTGATACTGAACAAAAAACCAAGAGGGTAACAACCATGAAGAATGGTTTCATAGTTATTCCTTTCAAACTACCGTCGTTTGATGTCTTGCCATCAAAACATAGTTGCTACCACTATCTATTTGCCAAAAAGCATGAATCAAACAATGAAAATGAACAAAATTGCTTATTTGTAATGAACTTACCTTTACTGACCAACTTAGACAGCATCAAAAGTATAACAAGTCAGATCTGTGAAAAATATGACACTGTCTCTCATATAGAAAATCTAATGTATAATGACGAATTTGGTTTAAACGAAGTTGATTTATCTGTATTGACATCTGATTTAATGGCTGAGAACCAAGATATAATAGAGAAGAGATTTACTCCCAGAAATACTGCATTAGTTAAATTCGTTGATAAATCAAGTTTAAACAATTGTTTGAATGCGTTAAAGAAATATTCAACAGCTTCAAAATCTGATATATTTGAATGGAAATATAATTCTCCAAGTATTGAAACATTTATCAATTTTTATAGACCGTTAGACGTAGAATATTTAAAAGAAGACGTCCATACACATTTGTCATTATTTGAACAACGAGAACAACAAGCACAGGAAGACGTTCAAAGTTCTATTGTTGACGAAGATGGTTTTACACTTGTTGTTGGTAAAAATACAAAGAACTTAAACTCTATAAGGAAGAAAATTTTGAACAGAAATCCATTGTTGAAGAACGATTCTGCAGGTGTTACAAAACCAACTACTGCGGTAGATAAGAAGGCAAAACAAGATTTCTATAGATTCCAAGTTAGGGAACGTAAGAAGCAAGAGATTAATCAACTTCTAAGTAAATTCAAGGAAGATCAAGAGAGAATTAAAGTCATGAAAGAAAAAAGAAAGTTTAATCCTTATAAGAATAGTTTATAAATATAGATTTTAATTTCATATATATCATTCATATTTTGTATAGCATTATAAAACATTTACTGTAACTTAAGATAATAAAAAGAAAAGAATAATAGTAAATAATTCATGAATCGATTGAATAATAATGTTTACATGCTCGTGTATTTTTTATATATAAATGTTGTTTTGTTTTAGATTTTTTGTGAATATGTGTTACAATCTACCACCTGGGGTTGCAGAGTATTCCAATGGGCTTGTGGTGTTATACCCGCCACTAGAATTTGAAGGATTATGATGATTATATGACGATGCATCTACGGTATTTCCATTTACCATTAGTTCCTCGAAGTCCCCTCTTCGTCTTAACATAATAGATGGATGCAGTCCTTGTTGTTTTAAAGATTTAAAAATTGTTACTGGTGTTTCATCTAATTCTAGTGGTCTCTCTTGGTCACCATAACAAATTACGAGAACGTATTGTCTCCAGTCTTGATCGTTTAATCCATGTCTTTTCATTGCATTTTTTAAGATCTTTTCACATGAATCATCCTTTGAGGCTCTTAATTGTTTCAACGGTTCATTAGATGATGAACCAGATTGTGTGTGTTCAACGTTTGTTGAAGAATGATTAGTGCCTAATTTTGGCTTTTGAGTAGAACCTAATGCCATTTGAGATTGGGTATTTATAGACATGGAGCTATTACTATGGTTTTTTAATTGAGGTGGTTGAAATGAATGGTTTGTAGGACTTCTCGTAGTAGGACTTCTCGTAGTAGGACTTTGAGCAATGGGGCTTAGACTTCTATTTGAAAGAGTATTTTTTCGAGATAGGTTTGGTGTAATGTTCCCAGTCAAGGTAGGTTGCGATTTAGGGACTTCATAAAACTCAGTGTTTGAACCATCGGATCCACGCGTTGCTGATGTGACTGATCTGGTTTTTACAACATCTAATATTTCTGATCTCAGTTTTGAATATTGAGTTGAATAATCTTGTAATCTTTGTGATAATGTTGTACATAAGTTTTTTAATACAATAGTCATATTTTCTTCTTTCGCCGCTAAATTTTTATTAAGAATTGCTTCGTAAGTCATAGAATTATTATCCTTAAGTTTATTTAAAGCTAATCTTAATTTAATGGTATCCTGTAATGATCCATTACATAATTCTTTACAATCTTCGAAGGACAAATCATTAATGACATCCCCATCTATATTGTTCAATTGTATATTTGAAATTAATGGATGATCTTCGGTGATATCTAGTAATGGTATACACCAATTAATAACTTCATCGACAGTCCATAATTCATAGTTTGATTTATTAATGATCATTTCAGAAGGTGGTAATACCTGTGTATGATAAATCTCAGTTGTTGATGTTCCAATAGAACTATCTAAGATTGAATTAGTTGGGGGTCCGGTTGGTTCTTCCCCTGTAAGGCTGGCAGAAGTCATTTGAAATAGAAGAAGAGGAAAAGTGATTCAAAAAAGTTCCTACGGAGGATTTAAAAAAAATACAGTCAGGATAAAAAAAATGGGAGATTGTCTTGCAATCCAAAGTTAACGTCTGTTATTTGATGTTTCTCTGAATTTTTTGCAGTTTTCTGATTATGATTTTAGAACTCTTGAAAGATGAAATTAAATATAAAGGAATGGATTTACTTTCTCTTTGTTCTTTGGTGGGGTAAAATGTGCCAGATTTATTATTGAATTCTATTCGTTGACCTTTGAAACAGTATCGGAGCTTCAAAGTTCAATCAGAGTACGCCGTTTATTTATGTTTCAGTTACTTATATTGTGTATCGACGTTAATTCATATCTTGGATTTACGATATTTTGCTTTAAGAAAGGTCCCATCTGCCTCTCTCTTTTCCACTGTTCCACTAATTAGCATAGCGAATATATTTAGATAGAGGGAAATTTTCCCCAGAAACATATGGAGGACAAACGGACCACCAGTGCAGGGTATCAGCTTCCTAAAAAGGAAACTAGAGGGCCGCAACGGGAAAAGGTATTTCCTAATTAGGACATGTGAGTGTAACCCTAATTTAGGGCTTTCTTTAGTATATTATAATTCTTCTTGCATTACGCAGATAAGGGTGTATGTATACCCTCTCTCTCATGGAGGGCATCTGCATGGTACGACCCTAAGTGTTTCATGGATCTATATAGAGATGCAGATAGGGGTTGGTGGTTTCGTTGAAATTTAAAGTAATGAACAGAATATCTTCAGGTTTATATCGTGTTAGAGTTGCTTCATCATTCGCTAGATCGAACCAACGAATAACAAACTACTTTTATAGACGATCTATATCACATACGTTTCATATTAATAAGATGGCATCCAAAAGAGAAGGTTGGAACCCAAATTTGACTGCCGAACAACTAAATGTTTTAAGAGATAAAGGTACCGAAAGACCAGGGACAGGTCTCTATCTGAGTACCAAAGAGAAAGGTGTATACCATTGTGCAAATTGTGATGCACCAATATATAAGAGCGACTCCAAATTCGACTCTGCATGTGGATGGCCAGCTTTCAATCATGAGATGTCAAATGATGCATTGACCTATCATGTTGACAATACAATGGGAATGGAACGTACTGAAATTTGCTGTGCTAAGTGTGGAGGACATATGGGACACGTCTTCAAAGGTGAAGGATGGGATAAATTATTGGGTTTACCAAAGGATGAAAGACATTGTGTTAATAGTCTGTCCCTGAATTTCAAAAAAGAAAAAGAGTAAGAAAAACGATGTTAATTTAAAGTTTATGTATCTGTTTTTTCTTATTATTATTCCTTTATTTTGTTAATAATACATAGTTTAGATAGATATTATTTAATATATCATTTTCATTTTATTTTTTTACTTTAATATAATTTTACTTCTATAATCTATTATTATCAGCAAATGGATTATTGGCTGCCATATAAAAGTCTCCATCATTATTATTATCTGATTGGTAAATATTACCACTGTCATCATCATCATTACTATAACGTCCTGAACGTCTATTGTCATTGTTTTGACTTTCTTCACCTTCTGAATCTGGATATACACCATTTTCTGTAGAATCTTCTCCTGAATCTTCCCAACTCTTTTCGTCATAAAGAGTTAATGCATTAACTAATTCATCATTAGCATGAATCAAGCTACCTAAGAATTCACCTTCAGTGACTAATTGTAAATATCTTAAAACTTTTCTTCTGATGTTTCTTGCTTTAACAAAACTCTCTGTAGCACTCTTATCTAGCATAGCGTTTTGTTCATCTGGAAGCATAATTAAAGTATTTTGCAATGCAGTTGAGGCTGCTAGAGCATCACTAATCAAATTCTTGATCTTAGGGGTTTCTTTCTTCATGTTAATTGTTGGGATTCTATATAATCTATCTGGGTTATTAACCATTTGTGAAGATTCACCAAATATTGAATTGTCAGCACTATCATTCATGAAATTACGTCTTCCTGAGCTACGAGTACCTCTACCACCTCTGTTACTCCTTGTTTTAGAAGTATTATTATAACGATCCATACCACGACCTTCATCACTGCTGCTATTAGAACTATCACGATCATAATCATTTGAACGCGAAGTACTATAACTATCAGTTGTAGAAACTGGATCATTTTTAGAACGATCATAAGATTGTTTTAGTTTAATAGTCATATCATATAATCCCATATAACAATTGGTATCTCTTAAATCATTTGACACAATGTATTCGTTCCAGGATAAAGCATATTGAACACCTTTCTTACTCAATTTACTAGAGTATTGTCTTTTCATCAAACCTTGTTTATCATTAAGTTGACTACAAATAGTATTCATAGAATCTAATAATTTAAAATCATTGTACATCACAGAAAGCTTAATACCTTGAGAAATAAGTAAATCCATTATATCAAACGATCTAGCAATTTGAGTCTTATCACCATATTTGAATTTCTTACGTAAAGTTCTGGCTGCTTCCAATTGATTTTCGTTGTATTGATATTTGTCTCTAGTTCTAATCAAATCGACTAAAGTTCCAATCTCTACTTCGAGATCATATTTCTTAGACTTTGTAAGTTTGTTAAGAGTCTCTGTGATTGAAGTATGTGGATGATCACTTCCCAAAAAACCCATCTTATTGTATTTATATTATATTTTAATAAAATAATCTTCTTATCTTATTTTTAATGCTTGATAACAAAATGAGTCCAAGTTCAACCCTTATTTTTTTTTGGAAAATTAGTAGTATCGATTAAAAAAAAGTTTCTTTGTAACAACCGTTAAGTTTATATATATGCCCCTTTCACAATTGACAGTAACGTTTAGTTTGTTCTTCCTCTCCCTTTCTCTTTCAGAAACTCTTTCACAGTCGTTAGCAACCTCTAACTGTTACCTCAGTTTCCTATTAATGTGTGCACTAATGGGAATATTCCACTTTTTTTTTTCATGCAGTGCATTTAGCATTCTCTTTTGTTTGAGATCAGTTTTACGTGCCCCTCTCCACGAGCCCACACAGTCATTTTTGTTATCGCCCTGTGTGTGCGCTTTAGCTTTGTTTTCTCTTCCCCGCGCTTTCTAAGGTATTCCACTTCGGCGGTAAAGTGCATTCCTTTGCTAATAGTTCTATTCTGAACATCCCCATGTTTTCTTTTGACTTCCAACTTTTCCTTTGAGTTCCCCCAACTTTAGGGCACCTTCCGTGATACTCCCAGTGAATGTTAGTGGCACTATGTTTGTGCTGAGTCTCAGACTATGTTGTATGCATAGACAAGTAGCCATTACGATACACAGTGACTACCATCCGGAAATTGTGTCAGGTGTGCTGTGTATACTAAATGTAAATATACAATGGTATCTGACAATTAGTTTTGTCCTTGCCCAATTTATTCAACGATACTTCTGTTTAGTAAGAATAAACGAGTCTGGATTAAGGTGTTACCAATTATCATTATGGACGAGAGACAAGGTGTGCATCTTAGGGCTTCTCGTATAAAATACCCAACAACCCTAAAAATTAAGAACGACTATTAGCTTAGAGAGAAATACCCTCCTCCGGTGCTTTCGAAGGAATTATTTCTCGGTGACCGAATATTTAACGCTTTTCTTACTAAGGCATTGTAAAGGGGTGAGAGAGTGTGTAAGGAAGGGGTGTTTACGACAGGCGTTAAGACATTCTGGAGATAGTGGAACAGAGAGGGCAGAAACAAAATTATTTGGGTATACTTTACAAGTAAATTATGGAAGAAGTCCATGTACAATAGGTAAACACATAACTGTTTCTCTCTTTTTACTGTGCACTACTTCCAATTGTTTGAAGTTCTCTTGATTACTAAGAAATTTTTTGAAATTCAATATAGAAAATATATATATATATATATATAAATATAATATTCTAAGATATTATAGTTTGGATACAAAATATTCTAACATTTTAAATTTTTGTACCTTAAATTTTATACAAGTATAACATACTTTTTTTCAAGAAAAAAGAAAAAATTAATCAAAACTGTTTGCGCTAACTTTAACTAAGAGATCAGTCTCTCTACTAAGAAACAATTACAACACAACTTTAATTACTCAAAGAATGGTATCCCAACAAACAATCAATAAGGTCAAAGAAATGATCAAGGAAAAAGAAGTCTTTGTTGCTTCAAAATCTTACTGTCCATATTGTAAGAAGGCTAAGAGTACCCTATTTAAGGAACTTAACGTCCCTGAAGACAAAGCTTTGGTACTAGAATTAGATGAAATGACCGATGGTAAAGATATTCAAGACGCTTTATATGAAATCACTGGTCAATCTACTGTTCCAAATATTTTCATTGAAGGTGCTCAAGTTGGTGGTAATGACGATTTACAAACATTGAAGAGAAGTGGTAAACTAGATCAAATGTTGCAAAAAGTTATGAATTAATGCCTTTTTTTTTCTTCTGATTTCAGAAAGAGTTAACTAATATTTTGACTGATTAAATTAAATATGATATTAATAATGCTGTCAATTTTTGTCGCGTTAGACGGCCCTCCCGATGTGAGTTCCATCGACCGACGCACAAAAAAAAACTGAAAAATATTTTTTTTTTTTTTCAATTTTGCAAAGCTCATCGACAAAGAAATCTTGCTCCCATCTGTTTGGTGGTCGCAGCTCTCCTACTAGAATTTTTATACCTCTTTCTACTTTGCTAGGTAGATATATATCTTTTTTTTTCATCTTCCTCTTCAAAGAATACTACTATTATTCTTTTTTCTATATTGCTTTAAAAACTTTTTATATTGTTTGATTTCAAATAATATTACTTTCATTCAAAATTTTATATACATTTTATATTCTAATCAACTATTTAGTAAAAATTTAACATTCAAAGAAGTAAGAATAGAGATATCAAAAAACTTTATTATACCCATCACTCCTTGATATAAGAAAAAATCAAAAAAATATCAGAAAGAAAATTTCAATAATATAATTAGAAACTTTTTTTTGTCTGCTCAGTTTATTTGTTTGTTTTTTTAAATCACTTAAGGTATATTTCTATTTCATTCTATTTTAATATTACATTAGGTCAAAAATAGATCATTTCGATTATTCAAAAGAAAAGAAAAATCATACATAATGTCTGTCTCTGTTGAAAACACTGAATTGACCAATTCTACACCTGCTACTAATACTGCCCCAGCTGCTCCCGCCACCCCAATCTCTGGTCCAGTGGCTCCTGCTCCAGCTAAAGAAGAACAAACTTTTAGTTTAGCTCCAGCTCCTTTACCAGCTAACTCTCCATGGAAACCTATCTCTAATGATATCCCAGTTACAAACATTAATGTAGATGATCTGGAATCAAACAGAAAAAAGACTAGAACTCCTGTTTCATCTACTTCTACTAAATGGGTTCCAATAAAGGCTTCTATTACCGTCTCTTCCGGAAACAGAAAGAATGCTAATAATAAGAAAAAGTCATCTCATAACAATAATAGTAATACACAAAAGAGCAATACCAGCGGTAGTGCTTCTAGCAATTCATCCAGAAAGAAGAAAAGTCATCATTCTCATGGTCATCCTCACTCTTTTGAAAAATCCAATAACAATTCTACTGAAACTACATCTAATGGTGATTCTTCTGCTGTTGTTTCTGAAGATAAGTCATCCGAAACTACTTTCGACGCCACTCAAGCCCTACAATCAGATGAACAAAAGAAACAACAAAATCACAGACATCAATCTCAAAGAAGAAGACATTACAGCAATACTAACAACAAGAATGGACAAGGTAACACCAACGGTCAACGTAACACATTCAATCGTAACAATGGACAAGGAAATAACAAATACCACCGTCATCACCAACACAATGGTCACCACGGTCACTATAGCCAAAGTCATCATCACCAACAGCAACAACAGATGGTTCAATTACAATCTAACTTTTATGCTGTTCAACCTGTTATGATGGCTGTTAACAACATTGCCAGACAATTGGAATATTATTTAAGTAACGACAACTTAATAAATGACACTTATTTGAGGTCTAAATTTTCCAAGGATGGTTATGTTCCATTGACCTTGTTGGCCCAATTTTATAGAGTTGTTAACATGTCATTTGGTGGTGATGTCAATATCATCTTATCTGCTATTAGAGAAATTGTCTTCAACGAGACCGCTACCGTCGACATTGCAAAGGGTAAACTGTTGGTTGGTGGACAAGAAGATCCAAAAGAAGGTGAAAGTGAAGTTGCTCATCCAATTGAACCTTCTCAATTAGACTACTACTTTATCCGTGCTCATGATTGGGAAAAATGGATTCCAGCTGAATTCGGTAGTGAAATTGAAATCGAAAAAGTTTTAACTGGTAACGACATGGATGAGTTCATGATGAAAATCATCCAAGTTCCAACCCAATCAGCAGTTGTTCCACCAGTTTCCAACGAATCTTCAATTAATGAAGAATCAACTGAAACTACCGAAGAAAACGCTGCTGAAGCAATTACTGAAGAGAAGGCTGATGGTAACGTTGAAGAGAAATCTGCTTAATCTTGAGACCCACTAGCATGAAGTAGAGATGTGTTAGATTTTTTTATTAATTTTTTTTTTAAAACAGCATATCTACCTGCTTCTCATCATTTTTCATTTTTTTTCTCTCTTTATTTGCATTATCACGAAATAGATGTCATTTTGAATTTCAAATAATATTTGTTATTCGTTTTTTACTTTTATTTTATTATTATTGTTTCAGTCAACTCATTCATTAAAAGCTCGGTTGTTAGGATTGTATCTACCTCGAACAGGGTGATTCATGATTATATAACATTTAACGGATGAAAGTTGTTTTTGTGCTCTATTCTAGTACATGGAATATTATATCGAGTTTGTGCTACCAAACAGTACAACGTTACTAAAACATCAATAAATCACCTCTTAACTATGTCACGCAATAATTTTTAACTTTTTTTTGTTATTGTTCTCATTAAACAATTGGGACATTACTCCTTCTCCCCCACTGTACATTACTCTAAAACGCCACCTAATTATATACACATTTGTTGAAACAAATACCTTTAAGCTCATACTTAATTTCACTATAACAGTATATCGTTATAATTATATTTAATGTTAAACAAGATCTTTGTATTTTCTTAAAAAATTTGAATCCCTAAGCTTGAAAAAGTTTTAGTTATCCCAAGACTTAGTCTATATTACGCCTTTATATGTACTTTCATACAATATTCTTTAGAACTTTTGAGATCCTTTAGATGTGAATAGATATGTACGTCATGGGAACCGAGCTTGTAAAGTGGCAGTTTTTAGTTTCAAAGTAACTCATCGCATTATGTTGCGACCACCTGCAGAAACGGAAAACAGTCGTTTAGTTTACTTCACGCTAAGATATATAGGATAAACAAATATAGGGAAAAGGCTTCCCAGGTAGAGAATAAATAGAAGAACATATATAACGACTACTAAAATATAAAATAACAAGTATTAGAATATTAATTTACAAATTTGATTAGTCTACTGGTATTCGGTCTATTTTTTCTCATTGATCATTGAGTTACTTTGAATGTCAACGGACTCCACAGAAAACATGGACACATCCAACTCACAACTGCAGCTGACAAAGAAAAATATTAGAGGTTGGTATTTCTATTCCTTTTCAAGTGAGCCATTCGTTGTTTCTGCTGTTTCAACATATATCCCTTTGTTGCTTGAAAGGTTTGCTCGATCAAATGGTGTCAAGCTTGATAACCACCTTCTGCCATGCACATCAGAATCAGACAAATGTGTTTTAGAGGTATTCAATAATTACTACGTTGACACTTCAAGTTTTGCATTGTATACATTTTCAGTGAGTGTTCTTTTCCAAACTATAGTTGTTGTGACGGTGTCTGGTATTGTTGATCTATGGAATTCTGTCAGATTGAAAGGTATGGTATTGGTCATATTTAGTATTATCGGTGCAGTCTCTACCATATTGATTTCAGGATTAGAAGAATCTCAGATATATTCGCTTCCTTCGTTATATATTTTGGCTAACTCCTGTTTTGGGGTTATCAACGTTGTTGGTAATTCGTTGTTGCCAATCTTTGTTAGCGATTTATGTAGATATTCTAACGTTATTGGCCCTGATACCAGTGAATCTAGTGTCGAAAAACTGAACAGTATTATTAGTGGGCGTGGTGCTAGTTTAGGTTACTCAAGTGCTCTTCTAACCCAAGTTGTGTCAATGTATCTAGTTCATAAGAGTAAAACTCAGCAAGACATTCAAGTTGCTGTGTTCTTCGTCGGTGTGTGGTGGCTAGTTTGGCAAGCACCTATGTTATGGTTATTTAATGACATTCCACAAATTGAAGAAGAGACGGGCTCAAGATTGTCAAGAAGTAGATCATATTATCACAATAAACATATCTGGTCATTGACATCGTTGGGCTATGGATGGAAATCTTTGTGGAATGCCTTCAAACATGCAAGATTATTAAAGGATGTTATGATTTTCCTATTAGGCTGGTTCATTATCAGCGATTCTGTTACCACAATTAACTCAACCGCAATTTTATTTGCGAAGACTGAGTTAGACATGGTTACTTTGAACTTGATCACAATTAGTATCATTACGATGGTTGATGCAATGATCGGTGCCTTTGTTATACCCCAATTTTTGGCAAAAAGATTCAATTTGTTACCTGACCAAATTTTAGTTTACATTATTATTTGGACAAGTTTCATTCCATTTTATGGTATTCTAGGGTTCTTCTTTGAATCATTCGGTCTGAAACATAAATTTGAAATGTATATGTTGGCTGTCTGGTACGGTCTGTCGCTGGGTGGACTATCAGCTGTCTCCAGGTCTGTGTTTAGTTTGATTATTCCGAAAGGTAAAGAATCCACTTTTTTTAGTATGTTCAGCATAACAGATAAAGGGTCGTCTATTATTGGACCCTTCTTAATTGGTTTCGTTACCGATAAAACACATGAAATAAGATATTCATTTTATCTTTTATTCGGATTATTGATGTTAGCACTTCCTGTTATGAGATCACTCGACATCTCTAGAGGTAGGCGTGAGGCGGAAGAATTAACTGATGTTATTAGTAGTCGCGAAGTTAGTGTAGAACCAACCAGTCTAACGGATGAGCATGAGCAAAATGATTAATGAAATTCAAGTACATAAGAAGTAAGGTATATATCATACGAATAAAAACTTTAAATATTTATGATTAAAAAAAGAATATAAATTAAAAACTCAATCCTTGATTACTCTCCATATTTTAATTAAACCATCATCACCACCAGACGCGAACATATACTTGTTAGTCGGGCTCCATCCCACTACATTACAGTTTTTACTGAACTTTCTAGCATTACTTCCAGATCTTGTTGGAAGACGATCATTTGCGTGTCCCATAAGTACGCCAATAATGTTTCCCTTTAAACGATCCCAAATATAAACCTTCCCATCCTCCGAACCGCTAACTACTAATTTGTTGTCAAAACCAAAGCACGATCTAATGATAAATTGCTCTTGTTTCTGACCGAAATATTTTTGTATTAAAATATTCTCTTTGTAATCCCACAACTGAAGTTCATTGTGTTGCAAATTTACTAGTACCAAAGATGACAGTCTACGGTAGTTCTCGCAACTGGGCATTGGAAGTGATATACAGGTTATATTTTTCCCTATTTTTAACTTAGTCTCCATTTTGAAGTAATGATTAGACAATACAGAGTTACCTAACCCTTTTAATTCATCATTTGTTGGTAAATTTGAAATATTGAAAACATTGATGGTACCCTGATGGGTCATCAATAAAAGATAATTATCATCATGTGAAACTTTCAAGTCATGGATTCGTGGAAATTGCTCATCCATTAACATATTTACAACAGCTCCGGTTTGTGATTCTCTTGATGAGTGTCTTAATGGATTACTGTTATCTGAACCATGTGAGCCCCTATATACTGAAGTACTTGCTCTTCTTGAACGCAGGTTCCAATTTTGTGAGAATCGATAAATAATTGCTCGTGTGTTGGTATCATATATTACTACATCTCGGTCAGGCGATCCAATTACCAATTTTCCAGAATGTTTTTCTGTATGAAACCAATCACAGCACCATGATCTTAAGGAATTTTCGGTTTGTTCAATTAAGTTATCGGTTGCAGCACGAGAAGATGTGGTTGAATCTGGAGCAGAGGATGGTGATTGGGTATCGCTATAAGGTGAGCTTGTGTTGTATGTTTCATTCCCTGTGCTGTGCATACTACTACCTGATCTTTCTTGTATCTTTGAGCTTGAGTTCGGTATACAAAATGAATCTAATGGGCCAATAATTTGAGTTTCTATGGTGGTTTTTTCCTTTTTTCCACTTTCTAAAGAGTTCCTTCTTGAACTTTGAGGAGGTTCCCCTTTGTCTGCATTTAGTTCAATAGTTTCACCCTCAGAAGTGATATCATAAATATTTGTGTGTTCATTGAAAGGGCAAGTTACAAGGTATTTGCTATCTTTGGAGAATGACAAGTATAATATACACTGTGAATTTCCTCTCAGTATTTTAAAAACAGAGAAATCGTTCTCAACATCATAAACAATTACCTTACGGTCACTGATTGAGTTTGCAATTGCTGCAGCTAAATATTTTCCATTAGGTGAAAACTCCAGATACCAAATTTCATCCATGTTTGATGCCAATGTCTTTTGTTCAACAAAATTTATTCGTTCAAAATCAGAAATGTTATTCTGTAATAAATTTACTGGATCTTCTTGTGAAAAGTCGACGTCAATTTCATCATCAAAAATATTATATGAATTGCACGATCTTTGATATTTGATCGCTTGTCGTAGTAATTCTATGAGCCTACCTTGTGGAACCAAATCATTAGGGTTTATATAAAAGGATATCTTATCGATCAATTCTTGCCTTGAGCTCCTTACTGAACCTGTCCATAGGTTTGTTCCTGTATTTCCATTGTTGTTATCTCTATTGTTGTTCTTGATTGTTACTTCTGGCATTGTTAAAATAGAAGATAATTCCCTTAACACTTTTTCAGGAGTGAAGACAATATCTTCATCAATTATATTTGTTTGTAAACCTGTCAGGACAGTATCCCATAGAGTCAAATATTTTCTAATAATACTTCTTAAGAATAGTACTGCACTAGGTAAATCTTTCACTTCATAAATCATCTCAACGAAAAAATGCTTATTAATTAGAATCATAATCTCTAAAATATTTCTAAATCGATTTAAGCTAACTGTGTTGAAGGTTGTATTTGTATAAAAATCAAAAAACATTTTGTATTGTGTATCAAAATTTGCAGTAACCGCAGCAATATTCAAATCTGAAGAGATAATATCATTAATATTAATAGATGTATTTCTATCTATAAAATTTCTGTTCACATTTCCATTGTTTGCTGGATCATGATTAGTGACTCTTAACGATAAACTATTCAATAGATCAAAACTAATCACTTCATATTTCCCTTGTTTAATATAACCAAATAGTCTTTGGACAACATTTGATTCAACTTGAACACCTCCACTTTCCTCTTGTAATGCGCCAGCGGCGTTATTATAACCTAGTTCCTTTAATGTGTGAATCAATAGTTTCGTAAGTTGAACTTTATCAAAGATATTCCCCACTGTCTTCACAGGTGGACTATCGATCCCTTGTTTGGACCGTTTATTAATACTCATAGTAATGCTGTTTTACTGTGTTCAGTGGTGAACTTAAATCTTTTAATTATGTGTGTATCTTTGTCCGACTAAGATTTGAAACTTTGTCTTTATATAGCATTGTTAATAAATTAATAAAATAATTTTAGGGGGAAATACGATTTTCGGGCTTACGCGATGCTTTTGTAGGAAAGAAGGTAATAAAATATATTCAAGAAGATGAATAATAAAAGAAACCAAATATATTGAGAAATTGAAGCTCAATAACGTAATAATAATGATAAGATTAAAAAGAAAGATTGATCAGAATAAGTTCGTATTTATTTATATATCTAAGTATATATATATATATGTATATTTCATGTAGACGTAAACGCATTAAAGGATTGAATGTAAAAAACAGGGTTCATAAAATGATGAGTATTAAGAAAAACTGTCATTAGATTACAAGATGTTTTAGTAATTTTTTTTAGAAAAAGACATCACGATCTTAAACACTATTTTGGTTTATTAATACAGGTTTTTGTAAAAAAAGAAAAAAATGATGTAAATTCAAATAAGTACTTAACTTTTTTTTTTCTTCTTTTTTTAAAAATTCTTTTTCATAATCTAAGCGACTAGAGCACATAGAGCACTACCAACACCAGAACCATCCTTAGCGATCTTCAAATGAGTCTTACGTTCACCTTCGGCACCTAATGGACCTAGAGCTAAAGCGTGTCTGATCATAGATCTGAAACCTGGGTAGTATTCAACAACGGAACCATCACAACCGATTTCGACTTCACCATGGTATCTCATTTCTAGAGTACCAGTCTTGATGATGATAGCAGCTAATGGAACAGAAGATAAGTAAGCAGATCTACGAGAAATAGCACGAACTAATCTTTGAATTTCTCTACGTTCAGTTGGAGAAGTTGGTAATCTTAAAGATTGTAATAGAGATAATTCAGTTTCTCTTAAACCAGTAGAATCATCAATTTCAATATGAGATAAAACTTCAGAATCCAATTCAAATGGAGTTTGTAGACGATGAGGTAATTGAGCATTAGTTCTGTATTGGTTGAAGATTAAACCATTAGAGTGTAAATCAACAAGAACGTTTCTTAAAATTTCACCCATAAACATACCAGAGACTCTCTTTTCAAATAAATGGAAACCTGGATTTGAAGAGAATTTTTGATCGATATCAATATCATATTTAGTAGTTGGTAAATGTTTTAAATCATTATCGAAGGAACCCCATTCAGTGTTAATAACCATATGAGTCTTACCTTGTTCAGCCCATTTATCTCTAATAGCTTGAGGAACTTTAGTTAATTTAGAAATTTCTTCTTTGTAACAACCATTGGTACCTGTACCAAAGATACAACCAATGACAGGTTCAGAAATTTCACCTGTGGTCATTGAATCAGTATTATCAGAACAATAACAATGAGATAAGAAAGTACCGACGGTATCATTAGTTAAAGCAACAATTTTAACATTTTGCATACCTAATTTATCAATTTCACCTTGGAACAATTGAACGATGTCAGCACCAACAGTATCAGCAATTTGGAAACCCTTAGTCCATCTAATTAAAGTACCAGAATTTAAAGAAGTTTGATCAACAGGGTAAGAGAAAGTGAAACCTAACTTAAATTCTTTACCAGCTTGCATATCAGCTTCATAATATTTTTTCATGAATAACTGAGTTCTTCTTGCTAAATAAGCAAATAGCATTTCAGAAGTAACACCAGTTGGTTCTAATAATTCATCAGGAATTTTTGATTTCATTTGTTCCATTGAAAAAGTATGATCACCATTTAGAGTGACAGAACAAGTTCTAAAATTGGTACCACCTAAATCAGCAGCTAAAAGAGTACCCTTTTCTGTACCATTTGGTGTACCTGTAACATAAGATGGAATCATTGGTAAACCTTTATTAGTTGATTTATCCTCATTATCTTGTGGGGCAAGACCCTTTTCCATTTGTTCAATGAAATAAGCAACTAATTCATCTAATTTTTCTGGAGTAACTTCAAACTCTTTGACAATTTTGTCAACAGTTGAAGTTAATTGTTGTTCATTAGCTTTATGTAGATCGTCGAAGGACATGTTTCTTCTTGTAGTAATTGATCTTGATGTTTTGAAACTTCAGAATAAAAATTAAAGTATTGAATAATATTTATTGAAAATAGAATAATCTTAAAAGAATAAAATTTAAAAAATATATCTTTTTTTTTCAAAAGAAAGTAGTTATTTATATATTAATTGAAGAAATAAGAAAACTAGAAAATAATAAAAAAAAATACATAAAAAAAACAAGGATTGTCTAGTTTAAGAAAAAAAAGATTAAAAATATGTATATGTTCAAGTTACGTTAAGTTAATTTAAGTAGTAGCAATACTAGCAGCAGTAGCAGTAGTGGGGTGGTTTTAAGTTATTAAAGGAAACTGTTCCATTTCTTACTGCTAAATCTCAATTAATTTAGTATTATTATTATTCGTTTAGTCCTTTAATTATTTTGATGACATGATAAAAATAAATGAAAAATTATCTCTCTCATCATGTGAATATGTGGGGGGGGGAGGGATAGATAAAATAGGGGATGAATTTGAAACAACGTGAGGGAACAACTTAGAAACAGACAATAATTCGGCATTGTAGCGGTGTTTCAGCAGTGCTCTTCGTTAGGTTAGCGGCGTATAAATTTTAAATTAGTGGCGTGTGTGTGTGTGTCTCTGTATCTGAGAGAATATATTACTTTCATTCTCTCCGGGTGTACAGGGTGTATGTGATGAGGTCTATGTTTCCTTCGTTGTTTTCTGTGAATTGGGTTCTGGTTGCCCCCTATTTTTTCAATACTATTATTTTTTTTGGCGGAAGTATTTCTTTTCTGGGCCAGCCGCAGTAAAGAGCCGCAGAAATGTAGATTATGTCGGTTGCAAAAGTGCGGGGAAATTCTTCTCCAAGAACACAGCGAATAATAGGGGACGTTGAAAGTGTCTGTGTCCGTTTTAGTTGATGGATAGGAACAAGTAAGCTCCGTGGACAGGTAAAAATTCGCTGGCGTGACCGGGCTTCCTGTATGTGTGGGTGGTGTGAAGAACAGTTTGTGACGATTGCTTACCCCACATACGTCACACCAAACCAAATGCTATTACTTTCTTCTGCTCCCCCTCCCCCACATTTCGAAGTTGAATTTCAGGTATGACTTTTTTCATTCTACGCTATGGACTTCCTGTAAAAATTTCAAAGAACGTACCAGAGTGTGCCGACGTTTGACGAACAGTTTGACATTACCCCTCCCCCACCCTTTTGCATATAGTACATAGTGTATATAAATATATTTGAAAAGATGGTTGTTAGTTAAACGTCGCGTGGGAGAGCAACAAAGTGGTGTGTGAGTAAGTACTTCAAGGAGAAAATAAAAAAAATAGTTTAGCCGCCAGATGATTAGCTACTAGTATGTGATCTTCGCGGTTAAATTATATGAAAAAGAAATTATCTTCTGGTCCCCTCCCCACTTCCAGCCGCAAAACTACTTGGTATTGTGTATATCAACTGTGTCTGTGTTTATACCAAACAACAGTCATATATGGAATACATCACAGAATGTGTGTATGTGTTCGAGTGACAAAGACACTCAACGTTATACGTTTATAATATAATTGAGCGGTGTTTGCTTATATTCTTTTTTCGAAGAAAACACGATAAATTTTGATCGGATATTTTCTCATTATATAAGAGAATACGAGTACTGGAACAATTTGGATATTTTTCCTAGATTGAAGTTGCTATTTCTATGGTGACAAAAGAAGGAAAAAAAAATTTGAAAATTTTCTGGTCACGTGGAAGAAAGTCACGTGGATCAAGGTCACGTGACCGTGGCCGTTCGAACTTTTCTAGAAAAGAATATTAATATTATCATTCTCTACGAAATATTATTTTCTTGTCATTCAATGTTCTTTAATCTCTTTTCTTTTTCGCCACCAGAAAACTAAGAAACGCGAATTTTATTGGTACGTGGTATTCTGAGCTACGCGTTACCACTATTATTATTATTATTATTATTCTCTTACAGCCAACGTGTACAAAAACTTATTTGCTGTTATAAGGACTGCACGTACAAAACAAAATATAATTTCTGTTTCTCAATGAAAAAGAACACGTAATATACTATTACTAATTTCGCGGCACCTATCAAAAAAAAAAAGGAAGAAGAAGAAGAGAAAGAACACTTTCCACCATACACCATGCTCTCACTCTCTCTTCAACAAATTTTAATAATATAGATATACTATGCTATCTATCTTAGGTAATATAATTCTCCATCTTCTAACTGGTTAATGATTACGTATACTTTTTGAAATATTCTTTCTCGTAAAATTTCCTATATATTAACTTAATAATTTTTTTAATAAGTTTTATTTCCAGTTGGATATTAATATATTCTAGTTCTATTACTTATTTTTTCAATATTCAAAATTTTTAATAGAACCAAACATATCTTATATTAGATTATCAAACATATAATTAAGGTAAAAAGAAATATGATGTTTAATAAGAAAACACTATTTGCTGTTTCTAATTTGATTGCTTCAGTATTAGCTCAAGAAGCTACAGCTCCAAAGGATTCTGCTGTTGTTAAATTAACAAATGATAACTTTAAATCTTTTGTTGAAGGTTCTAATTTAGTCCTTGCAGAATTTTTTGCTCCATGGTGTGGTCATTGTAAAAAATTAGCACCAGAATACGTTCAAGCTGCTAAAATTTTAAAAGATGAACATAATATTACTTTAGCTCAAATTGATTGTACCGAAGATCAAGAAATCTGTATGGAACAAGGTGTTCAAGGTTATCCAACTTTAAAAGTCTTTAAGAATGGTGAAATTGATGCTGATTCTGCTCAAACTTATCAAGGTCAAAGAACCGCTGACGCCATTGTTGATTACATGATTAAAGCATCTTTACCATCTGTTATTACAGTCGAAGACGTTAAAGAATTAGATGATTTATTAAATAATGCTACTTCTCCAATTATTGTTAATTATGGTGTCTCTAAATTAGATAAGAATTTCTTATCTATTGCTGATTCCTTAAATGAAATGTATACTTTTGTCTCTGTTCCATCTTCAAAGAAACAAAATATTTCCTTATATTTACCATCTGGTGCCAATGATCCAATTGTCTTTAATGGTAAAATTGATGATATTATTGAAGATAAATTAATTCTAGAAAAATGGTTAAAGGTTGAAGCATTACCATATTTTGGTGAAATTGATGGTTCGATCTTTCAATTTTATGTTGAATCTGAATTACCAATGGCTTATTACTTTTATGTCACCGAAGATCAATTAGAAGATTATAAAGAATATTTCACTGAATTAGGTAAGAAATACCGTGGTGAAATTAATTTTGTCTCTATTGATGCTAAACAATTCGGTAGACATGCTGTCAATTTAAACATGAAGGAACAATTCCCAATGTTTGCTATTCATAACTTAACTGCTAACTTGAAATACGGTCTACCACAATTAACTGATGAAGAATACGCTGAATTAACTATCCCACCTGTTGTTGATAAAGCTGACATCACTAAATTGATTACTGATTTTGTTGATCACAAAGCTGAACCAATTGTTCAATCCGAAGAAATTCCAGATATTCAAGAAACTAACGTTTACAAGTTAGTTGGTAAGACTCACGATGATATCGTTTATGATAATCAAAAGGATGTCTTAGTTAAGTACTACGCTCCATGGTGTGGTCACTGTAAGAGATTAGCTCCAATTTACGAAGAATTGGCTGATATTCTAGCTAACGATAAGAATGCTCAAAACAAGATTGTCATTGCTGAAATTGATGATACTGTCAATGATATCATGGGTGTTGAAATCCCAGGTTACCCAACCATCGTTTTCTACCCAGCTGGTAAGGATGCGGAACCAATTCTATTTGAAAGTGCTAGAACCGTCGAAGCTTTCTTAGAATTCATTAAGAACAACTCTGCTAACAAGATTGATGGTCCAGCCATTTACGAAGATTACAAGAGAGAACTAAAGGCTAAGCAAAAGGCTAAGCGTGAAGCTGAATTAGAAAATGATAACGATGATGATGAAGATGACTACGATCACGATGAATTGTAATTGTAATTTGTAATATCTTTTTTTACAATTTCAACAAAAAGGAAAGAAAGAATGAGAAAAGCATTCATATTTGATTGTATGTTTCTTTGTTTCCTATTTGGATTACCACTTTTAAAGTGGTAGTATTTTACATAATATATTATTCACATACACTACACATACACCCCTCATTTATAAACTAGTATATAGCTCGTTTTTTTGCTAAAGCCTCTGTATTACTATTATTGCAAGCTATGGTAACTTAATCTATCAAAAAGAAATACAAAAAAAATTTAGATAATATGTTTTTGGTTATATAATTTACAATTGTTTGTCTTAATCCTCTTATTTTAATGATTGTGCAAATTTATCAATTTGAACGATGGAAAGATCGCTTTTCATTTCATTATTGCGCGGGACAATTCAAGCACAATTAAAACAGCGTTTTATATCTAAAATGTGTACATAATCTATTTGGCACTTTTGATTATATAAACACATGTATCAATTATATAAAAGGTACAAACTTGGTTGAATAGTGGAAGATAAGTAAAACTATCATTATTAAATTAATACACAATTTGTCTTTTTTATAAATTTTAGTTAGGTTGGTTAAAGATGGCAATTTATTCACCTTCAAATAATGACGATGATAAGGATGACATAAAATCGAACCAAGAGCCACCTCAACAGACTGAACGTTTTTATGTACGGCCTAGTTTAGGTCTTAAACTATGGGGCCCACTTGTTCCTGCCTCGGATAATCGTACCGGACTTTGGACTTTGGTAGGGATCCAGACAGCTTTAGGTTTACTTTGTTTCCATCGATTTCGCAAATTAGTAAATCGTTCTTTGTTAACTGTGGCTAATAAAGCTAAAAAAGAAGGGGAAATGTTTAATACAGTGAAAAATATTGCAGATATTCCTACTTTAAATAGATTCTCAACTACTCATAAAGTCCTCGTAATGAACAATTTACCATTGGCTCAACAAACTGCCACTAATGGTGGAACAAGTGGGAAAAGTAAGTTTAGTATGTTAAGAAAAGTTCTCTATCTAATATCAGGTACCGCTCTACTATCCCAATCGATGTTGGAGTTTTGTCGTTTAAAAGTATTAAAATATGATCCATGGTATGAAGAAGCTCGAACAGCAAGGGATAAGAAATTTTTTAATGATATTATGAAGTTTTATCACGAGGGAATCGATCCAAATGAAGTGAAAGTTAAAGATGTCACCAGCGGGAACATCATGTCTACTAATATTCCAGAAGTGAGACAAAGTGTCGCTTTAATACGTGCACAAGCAGAATCTCAAAACCCAATCATAAGATGGTATGGTCCCATTGAATTTAAACCAATGTCCTTCAGTGACTATTTAGATCAAATGGAATACTATTTAGAAATGAATGATCTATTATTAAAGAAAAAGCAATTCAAGAAAAAATCATCATCACCTTCAGATACAAATAATTCAAGTGGTCCTGTATCTCTATTGAGTCTAATATCACATACCGATGAAGAATATCAAGAAATTAAAAAACAAAATAAGAAGATCAATGATGACGTATTGAAAAACACATTTAACGTTACTCGATCAGAGAATCAAGAAGTTCAAGATGCTGAATCTAATTCGTCGGGTAACTCTCCACATGTACCTGAATATCAGAGGAGGACTGCTACCTCGGACCTAACAGTTCCAGTTAGAGGTGTAACGTTAGATCCTAAATTAACAGATCCTCAGCAAATAAACCTGGAAGAGGTTTGGGCCTTATATGATCCATGGATGAGCCTAGGCCTTGATACTTCTCTGAGTATCAAATTTATTCCAACGGTCCTTGAAAGAAGCCCGACAGATGAAACATTCTCGAATGAAACAATTGAAACGACGGAAGAACCCCCAGTCGAGCCTGAAAAGGATATATAAAAAAATTTAATTTAAGCATGATTTATATAAAATACTAATAATATTTTTAAGTATCTTTAAGGTCATACTAGATGGCTTTTCTCCTTTATTAACGGAATAATTTTAAAATTGTTCTCGCTTTCTCATAACAGCGGAGCATGCAAAAAATTAGACAAGATAAAAAAGAGATGAAGAGTTGAATTTAGAGGAAGTGTGAGTGTGTAAAACTTAAAGAACCTATTTATTTGGTCAGCATTATTTGACTAAGACTCAATCCAAACAGAGAGTTAAATTTAATTGATATAAATCGATTGAGTAACAATGCTTTATATCGGACTATTGTCGGCTCTAATATGTTCCTTGTGTACATTTGTTAATGCAGTCTATCGTGATGAAGCATTCAATGTGGACTGGCAACTCTCTACAATTGGTGATTATCGCTGTATTGTTCCTGATTATGCTAATGAAAATCAATTAATTATATTATCAGATCATTCTCAGTCCGAGACATTGGTGACCTACATCAACGAGACAAACGGGGATGTATTACTAAGATATGCGGTTCCATTTAAAATGTCAGATGCTATGCTTGTTTCAGATTCTCACCAATTGATTCTAAAAGGAGATGGAGACAATAATAAGAAATATTCCACTATTGATCTAGATACTGGATTGATACTGGAGGATTCAGGTAAAGATCTAGCACAGACCAGTGATTTTTCGTTTAAAACTTCATGTGCTGCTTCTGGTTATAAAATTGAAAATATAGATCAAAAAACAAGATTAAAACTGATGGATAATACTATGGGTTTACCTATCTTTGATGTTGAACTCCCAGATACATTTACGGAAGTCAACTATCTTTCAACCGATTACTCACAGATCCTACAATTCATTGTCAGTAACGGTGATTCTCACTATACTTATTTCAATTATACCGATGGTGGAAAGAATCTAACCGCTACTTGGAACAGAGATGAATCCTTAGTGGATATTGTAGATAGTGCATTCTGTGATTTAAAGGACCCATATATTGATACAATTAGAAAAGAACTTGCGGAGGAAAAGAATATTGATGACGTTATAACGGCATATATTTTCAGAGTGAAGACAAACTTTAACAGAATTAGAAAGTATTTGAAAAAAAACCAATATTCTCCTGGTAGAGTTATTACTGCCATACTAAAGGAAAATGAGTTAATGGGAAACATAAACGAAGAAAAAGCCTACAAGAGAGATTTAAAGTTTGGTCTGGCTAAATTGTTGATTGTAGCTACAAAAAATGGTAGAATAGCAGCGTTACATGTCTCACAACAAGGAAACATTATGTGGAACATTCGTACTGGCATGAGTAATATTATTTCTATTGACTATGAACCGCTCACTGATGAATTGATTGTGATTGACGAAAAGGGATCTTTTATTATTTTCACATCAATAAATGAACATATGCCACCAACATTAAAAAAAGAGGGTTCTTTTAAGTTATCAACTAACTCGATTATTACAAAGGCTAAGAAATTGGATGATTCACATAATTCATATTTCGTGTCCCTGGAAAATGGAGAAAGCCAAATTGTTGGTGTGGATAATACTCAAATTGTGAACACATCTAACTACTTTTTAACAACCCACAATGAAAAAGAAATTAGAGGACATATTGTTTCTGAAGGTAATAAGTTGGTAAATACATGGGGTATAACTTTAAACGAGAACGAAAAACTTGTGGCGTTCGCATCTAGAAGTGAGGACCCTGTGGTGAACGTTGGTAATGTGCTAGGTAACAGAACAGTTTTATACAAGTATCTTTATCCAAATTTGGTTTCATATGCGACCATTAATGAGAATGATAGAAATTTGTACATTAATTTGATAGACACAATCACTGGTGAACTACTTCATTCACAAAAGCATTCAAATGAGAAGGTTGATATAGACCATCCAATCAACTTAGTTTTCGGGGAAAACTGGTTTATTTATTCGTACTTCAGTGCAGAACCAATTCCAGAACAGAGACTAACAGTTGTTGAACTTTATGAATCCTTGGAAGCCAATACGAAAGCATCTGATCCAAATGTAGATTATAATCCCTTGAAGGGTAATATTAATAAACCTGAGGTTATTAGTAGGAGTTATTTCTTCCCTGAAATTATTAAGGACTTAAAATTAACGTCCACAAAATTCAGTATTACATCAAAGGCTATTATTATTAAGTTAGCAAATGAACAGATAACTTTCATTCCGAAATTTGTTTTGAATGCAAGAAGTAAAGAGGAGAACAATATGTCAGATGATGATAAAAAGGAATTTATGGCAAGTCCATATATATCCAGTATTCCAATTAATGATAATTTCATTATCTCCCACCAAAGAGAACTCATAATGAGTGCCAATTCAAAGCTTGTTTCATCCCCTACAAACTTAGAGTCTACCTCCATAATTTGTGAGATAGGTAAGGATGTATTTTGTACAAGGATATATCCATCAGGTCAATTTGATGTTATGAGTCCATCCTTCGAGAAATTCCAATTATTTGGAACAATTTTCATTGTCATTGTCATAGTCTATTACTTACGTCCAACCGTCGCCAACAAAAAATTGAAGATATTATGGCTGATTAAGGATTGATTTATTTTATGTATTTTAAATATTAAACAAATTTCTTATGTATAAATTCAAACTTGAATATTTTAACGTTGACGAAAAACGTAATTATAACCCCGAAGTTACGCATAGCTTCGAATTTGTTTGTTTGTTTTTACAATTTATATGACTAGTAGTAATGAGAACTGATCAAATTGCAACGTCTATTGCTTTGTTTTGAGAGGATACACATGTATATACAATATAATTAACTATGAAAGTAAGTGAAAGCCTCATAAAGCTTGATATTCTGCGTAATGACACTGAGCTAGAATTTTCCGTTGTTTATGGACCACCCAAAATTATATGTGAAAACTCTAATGACAATATTTTATTAATACTAGACTCGTCCTTTAATCCTCCTCATTGGGGTCATTATACGCTAATAGAAAGGGCAATTCAATTATATAGCCAGGACTCTAATGTTGAAGTTCACGTTTTACTACTGCTATCCATTCAGAATGCCGATAAAGGTGAGAAACCGGCAACATTTGATAAGCGAATTGACATGATGCATCTATTATCCCAATCTTTGCAAGATAAATTTTCGAACTTAACACCCACAGTGGCTATCTGTAAATCTGCAAGATTTGTTGATAAGAGCAACGGTGTTAGGAAGGAAATGTTTACGGCTGGAAAGATTGTTTATTTACTAGGCTTTGACACCATAACAAGAGTTCTAGATCCTAAATACTATCTTCCTCAAACTTTGAAGGAAGCAATGACAGAATTTATGTCACAAACTGAGTTCTTCTGTCTAACTAGGGGCGAAGAAGGTCAAAATAATTCACAAGATATTGCGAAACAAGCCAAATATGTTGAGAGCATCTCAAACGGAGATTGTGAACCTATTATTCCGAGGAAATGGGGTTCAAAAATTAAAATTGAGGTAAATGAGAATGAATATTGTTCAATTTCTTCATCTTCCATTAGAAAAGATTTAATTTGTCGAGAATATAGAGCAGTGGAAAAGAAGTTACCTAATAGAATTCTAGAATATATTAAGATCAGTGATGAAAAAGCTAAATCATCAATATTTATTTAAATAAACGATTTTATTTATTATTATTAATATTATTATTATTATTACAGCAGATTTTTTTTTAGAAGCTAAAATATGCCAACCGATTTAAGTACAACGAGGATAAATACGTTCAATGATGCGCACATCGTACTAGTCCTTAATGAATTTGAACTATTTGAAAACTTATTCTTGAGACTTGATTTTTTTGTTCCCTTAGCTAGTAATTCTTTATTTTGCTTACCATTTGAGTTGTCATTACCACCATATCCTTCCGATCCTTCATCGAAATCATCATTATCGTTTTCAATACTATCTAAAACAACGCCTTCTTTATCAATGTTTAAGAAGTTTGATTTCCTAGCAGAACTACATTTAACTTTACCACCTCTAATGATAGATCTACCATTAGAAGAGGTAATCCATTGACTACAATCCAGATTTGGTGATGAACTCTTAATGAAGGCACTCCCCTTGACTAATTTTAAATTTTCAAAATTTGTTTCACTAAACTTACCTTCGAAGTGAATAGCACCGCCGATCTGTTTTAAACTTTGGAAAAAATTAATTTTATCCAACTTCCCATTTTGTGCAATCATTAACCCACCTTGAACCTCTGATACATTATTAAAATTAGCTTTTGTTAACTGATGGTTTTCAATAATCCCTAAAGTACCTCCAACATATTGTAAATTTGAGATATCTAAGGAAGAGATTAAATTTTCAATAATTTGAAATGAAGATTGTACTCTTTCTAAATTTGGTAGATTGATAAGTGAAGTATCTCTAATTGTTAAATTTTGAGCAAATTGTAATTTTGGCATATCCAATTCTAAATCTCTTGCGTTTGCATGAACCGTAAATTGAACATTTATCGTATCAATATTTGATTTTATGGTCTCTAAGAATCTATTATTATTAATATTGAAGATATCAATCTCTTTAACTTTTAAAAATTGATCAATGTTTGCCAATGAAGTATCAGAAATTATTATATTTTGATTTACCATAATATTGCTATCTAAAGTAATTGTTCCTAAAATTGGTAAAATTTTCCAGTCAATAGAATTAACAGATTTTAAAATTGGGGCATTAATATCAATCAGTGATGTTAAACTTCTTAGTATAAAATTTTGAGTAATTGCAACTAAACTTTCTGCATTTATTTTACTAATAGCGCTTGAATGTTCAACAATTAAATTCCCAAATATTTTTTGAATATTTCCCAAATCAACGACAGTATCATCATATACTGGTGAAATAATTAAATCGCCAATGACTTCTTTACAATTAACTTGTAAAGATTGTAATTGATCATAAGTTTCAATTAAATGAGAGTCACTTTTACAATTTGCAGGTCCTTGTGATGGAGTATTAATTGTTACATAACCATCTTCTTCTTCTTCTTCATCTTCTTCTTCTTCTTCATCTTCTTCCTCGTGGTTGTTATTGTCATTATTATCACTATCATCTTTATCTTTTTCTTCATCGTCATCGTTTTCACTTTCTTCAGTATCTGTGAATAAAGCTTTAGCAGTACCATTTAAGGTATGATATAATCTTCTCTTTTCAACAAAGAAGGGAACTCTTAAATTTTCTAAATCATTATTTTCCGATACTAGTTGTTGTTGTCCTGAATTATCATGTAATTGTTTAAAATGAGCTAAAAATGCATATGTTAAATGCAAAAAAATTGGTAATACAAAAAAGACACGCATAATTCAATTTGTAAGTAGAGAATTTATTTAAATCTTTTGGATTTGATAGTTGAATTTAAAATTAAAAATTTTATAAATTAAGTTATATATTTGTAAAGTATATAATTATATTTAATTATATTCTTTTTTAGTATTTTTTTTTTTAATATTTATTGTGTCAGGTAGAATATTATGTTGTATTTTTTTTTTCCTGTCCTATGTCATTAATATTGTAGTAAAGAAAAGAAAAAAAAGATTTTTGACGTAAACTACGTAAAAGGAAATGTCAGCACATTATTGGGATTATTATTCTTATAAGAAATTTCAAGAATATCTATGTTTGCACGCAATACTAAACTATACAAATCTAAGATATTGAAAAAATTCCATTTTTTTTTTAATATTTTGTTACATTTCTGATACTCTCATCTTCAAACAACTTTCTAAATTAAGAAGGTAAAAAATTGCGGCAAAGCCTACTTCTTAAAAAATACTGGGCGAAGATGTTAAAAAATACATCAATTTAATAAGAAAAACACTGTTAATTAATTATTATTGGTATTATATTATTTTGCTTAAATATTATTATAAATTATATATATATATTACAATTATCTCATCTATAAAAAAATAATATAAACTGTTTTCTTTAAGTTTCTTGTAGCTGACTATTCAACTATTATCAAAAACTATAAGTTTATTATTATAATTGATAATTGCATAAAAGCATCACAAAGAAAGAAAAAAACATACAATAATAATAAAAAGAAAGAAAGAATCTTTTCAATCTTTCTTCAAAAAAACTTTAAAAAAAAAAGTTATTACTAGATTAGCTGCCTACTGGACGATGATGAATGATGATGATGAAAATGATGAAAAAATAAAAGCTGATAATATATTAGATATTAATAACAATAAAAAAGAGATAGATTGTCTGTTGTTATTTTTTTTGTAATGTAAATTTTGCGACGCAGTTTAATTTAATTATGTGAAGCGAATATTATGGGAATATATTTTTTGATCTTATTAAAAGAAATAGAATAATTGGTTAAAATAAAGAAAAATATTTTTAATTAATTAATCAATTTTCTTAGAATAGGAAAGCGACACCAGCAGCGACGGCAGCACCAAAGATACCAGCGTTCAAAGTGTTAGCGTTAGCAGCACCAGTAGAGATCTTGGTAGTTTGAGTACCGTTGGTAGTGTTAGTACCGTTAGTAACGTTAGAAACGTTAGCGGCTTGAACAGCAGCGACAGTAGCTAGAGCGGCGACAATGGTCTTGAATTGCATTTTTAATTATATTATATGTGTGTAAAAAGTTGATATTTTAGTATACTTTTATTATGTAAGAAGTAAGAAAAATAAAATTAGTTAAAAAAAAAAATTATAAAGGAAAGAATATACGAGAAACAAATTTAACCTAAAGGAGTATTGATGAATGAATGCTCCTTTATATAATAATTGATGACTGATTAAAAGAAAAAAAAAACATATAAATTACTAAGTTAATCAATAGATAGTGGTGAAAAATGGGTCATTAACGGGTCAAAAGAGATGAACAAACGGAAAAAAAAAATATTTCACTATATTATCTCAAAATGAAAAATAAATTGAAAAAGAAAAATTTTCTTTTACTGTAAAACTCATTTAGAAGAGAGAAAGATTAGCCAGACACATTAAGGAAGAAAATATTATGTGATTTCTACGGACGTTTAAGTGGTTGCCACCCGCTTATCAATAACAAGTGAGATAAAGAAATTTTCACTTTGCCACGAACTGACCACAGAGAGGGCCCTGCAGAAAGATAACTTTCTTCTCAGTTTCTTTTTTGACTTTGACTGTACAAGTTATGACCGGGTCTCTCCCCACTTTTGTCCTTTTTTTTTCTTTCCATAATTGTGTGTGTGTGGTGGGTTCACTTATTTGTTTCATTTGCTACGGGGTTTCTGTTGCCCTGGAAATTTATGCCTCACAACGGGAAAAAGAAAACAAAAACAAAAATGAAGAGGAGAGTCTTTCTTTCAGTTTTGGGCGATAAATTGCTTTTTTGCCACGGTCTTAAACACCATATTCTGTATCATATTACTCCCTGCAATTACCTAATTAGGGTATGTGTTGCAATTCACGGATTTTTACTTTTTGATATGTATTTATAAGTTGTTTTGTCAGATAGGGCAGTAGGAAAGGTGAATATTTGGGGGCAAAATGATAAGGATATAACAATGAGAGTAAGAGTGCACATGGTCTAAAATGGAAATATGGATCGAATCCCTGACTTTTTAATAATTTTGGCAGTGATAAACAAGTACAGCCATCTGATTTTTTGATTTTTTTTGATTTTTGAAAAAATAAGAAAAGGACCTTTTGCGTGTTTTTTTTTTCAGTTAAGTGGGTTGGAAGAGAGAGAGAGAGAGAGAGGGACATGAAAAAAAAACATACTAAAAATCTCTCTCTCTCCCATGGCAACAACCCTACCAAGAAACAGATGCAGTAGAAACTCAAAAAAATCAAATAAATATATTGAGAAAAAGTGTCTGATTTTCCTTTACTGTAACAAGTGGTATGTAAGAATGTACGAATGTTTCTTCACGGGGATAAGCGTTGCGCGTAGTATTTTAGTTTGTTTTGTTTTTATTGCAGAGGTATAAATATTTGTGTTGTCATTGTTAGTCGTGGCTGGGAAATTCGCGTTTCGGATAATGCAGCTTTCTTCTATTTTGTTTTTTCTGTTAAACAGAGAACATGTCGTAGAAACCTGTAAAATACAATAATGAATGTCTACTTACTATGTTATGTTTCTCAGTTGGTCCAGAACATATAGTTAAGCAGTACAAAAGAGAAAAAAGTACGCAAAGTATTTTTTTTACAGCCAATGCGCCGTGCAAATCATACTCTCTGAAACAAAAAATCAAAGGTTCATAACAATTACGGCCAGTAGTGCGGTGTTTACTCTCTGAACAAAATATTATGCTAAAAGTGTTTCTTATTTTGCCTTACACGCGCATATACACGGTATTTATTTATTTTTGTAATTGTTGTTTTTCTCCCTTTTGTGAATTAGTTGGTGTATTTGTTTTGTATTTACTACTATCCAAATTAGGTCTAGTATGGCAGCCAAAAAACTAAAATGTAAAAAAATAAGAAATTGCCCTTTAAGTTACCCTGAAATAGCGCCAAAGAAGAAGTTGTATATTGCTTTCTGTGTGTGCGAAGAAACCGACTGGAAGGGGGGTAAAGCCCCTGAGATGACAGTCTGACACACACACAATGCTAAGTAGAATAGTCTAGTATGTGACAGTCATATATTCTCTGTTCTCACACGATAGTATTTGGAAGACAAAGGAAAGAGTCTAGCCCACACCAATTTAAAGAACAAAGTTTTCCACATATGAAAAAGAATTAAAAAATTGCAAAACGTTCTCTTTTTTCTAGAATGATTAGGAAATATAGAAGATGCGGGGCTTAAAACTTATTCATCTCCGTGAATTCCCTGATCTAAAAATAAACTAATGAAATCAATTACATTTCCTAAAACGGATAGAGAGAATGGCTAGAATGCAAATTCAGCCTTCTCAATTAATTGAATTGACAATGATAGACACTCCTGCCGTAATGGGTAATATAAATCATTGCTATCTTTTCTTTTTCAACATTTGGTGTTTATTCAAATAAATAAATATTTTGATGCAACTTTTCGTGTCACCTTCTTCCCACAATGGTTTTGCTCTGTTGTTGTTTTCCTGTGTGGGGCCAGGCATTGATTGTTTGTTTGTTTGTTTGTTTACAGATTTGAAGTTTAATCATCGATTCAGTCCCATTAAAAACATTTTAAAGGTGATGGTGACATTTGGCCTCATTATATTGCTTTGATAGCGGGGGAAGGAGACCACGAAAGAAGCAAGTCAACTCATTTTCTTTTCTTTTTTTGGGGGGGCCTTAATCAATTTAATTTAATTTAATTCATCTGTGTTGTATTATGGGAGGATTGAAACCAACGGGAGGTTTGAGTCAAAAAAATAAAAGGGACACGCACGAGGTACTCGTTATGTAATATTTCATTATATTGCCTGGAATTTTCATGTGATTATTTGACACATTTTTTATTATTTTATGAACAAATTGTAGTAATGTCTTTTTTTCAACCTAATGCAGAACGGTAAGATCCAACTGCAATAAATTAAAATATATATCATCGAACATTGTATTATGTAAAACAGATCATTTACTTCATAACAAGAAGGCGTCACTGTTTACGAGTAGCCCTAACTCCCAAACAACGACAACATGCTAACCCTAAATGCCAACTTAATGTTCCAAGTAGTAATTAAGATGCGCATATGAGAGGTATTTCATTTTTAACAGCATAAACTGGAGCACTCGCGCTGTTTTCAGTTATAATTACTAACAAAATGGATGCCAGAGAAGAAAAAAAACAGACGCACTGAAAAATTCAGAACAAAAAAAAAACAGCAAAATTGCGAAATAATAGGAAAATGACGACTAGTCTTTGTTAAGCAACAAAGAAATTGACTAAAGTCATATATAATTAATTGGAAGATCTACAATTTATAAGGAAAACTCTTAGTTTGTTTCACAACTTGAATAAACAAATAATTAGCTCTATAAGATCTTCAAAAGAAATAACCAAACGATGATTCCAGCTACCGTCTCACAATTAGTTAATGACAAATTCCAAGAAGCTCAAAAGAATGAAAATGTTGTCTTCAAGAAATTAGAATCAAAAATTGTTAAGGATTCTGAAAGTGGTATGCGTTTTTTTGTATCATTAGTACCAAGTTTAAATGAAAAACCAGAATTTGGTCAAACTGATGCTTCAAAGGATCCATTAGCTGAAAATGAACCAGAATTATTAGTACTAGATGATCTGGATGGTTCAGGTGCTTTAAAATTAGTATTAAATAAATTTCCAATCACTGAAAATCATTCACTTTTAATTACAAATGAATTTAAAGATCAAATGTCTGCTTTATCTCCAGAAGAATTGATGACAAGTTATAAATTAATTACAAAAATGGATAATGAAGATGAAAATAAAAGACATATGATTATTTATAACTCTGGTCCCCAATCTGGTTCTTCTCAAAGTCATAAACATTTACAATTGATCGAATTACCACAAAAATTTATTCCTTTCCAAGATATTTTAACTAATGGTAAAGATCATTTCTTACCAAGTATTAAGGATGAACCATTACAAGATAATAAAGTTTCTTTTGCTCATTTTGTTTTACCATTACCAGAAGAATCTGAAGAAGTCACCGAAGATCTTTTAGCTATGTGTTATTTCTCACTTTTACAAAGAACTTTAACTTTCTTTCAAGATTGGTTAAATGAAACTCCAGATTTAATTAAAAGTTATAATTTACTTTTAACTAAAAAATGGATTTGTTTAGTGCCACGTTCTAATATTAAAGCTAAAACCTTAGACGTTGGTTTCAACGCTTTAGGTTATGCTGGTATCTTATTGATTAAAGAAAAAGAAACCTTTGACAAAATCGTTGAAACTCCAAATGTGGTGAACGATTTATTATTTGAATGTGGTTTCCAAAACACTGCCGGTGTTAAACCTAATGAATACAACTACTAATTAATTAGTTGTTAAAAACGATTCCTAACTATTAATTTTTTTTATCCGTATCTCTTTTATACATCAATAGATATTTATAAATCTTTCCTAATGATCATTTATACACATATTAATTTTTTTTTATTTAATCAATTTATAATTTATAAATTTAACTGATCCTTGTTGAATTTTGCAGATTGTTTTGGTTTTCGATCACCATTTGTTTACCTGTGTCAGTGTGCATGTGGTTCTTATTTTTGTTATGACAGGATGTGATGTATATTTTTTGAATATTATATATAAATATATATTTAAGAAGAAAAAAGATATGTCTGTATTATTATTATTAAATTATTCATTAAAGTAAGGAAAGAACAAAAGAAAATAAATAAAATTTTCTTTTTCTTTCCATGTATGTTTTTTTTTTTGTAGTTTTTTATTGTTTTTAAAATTGTACTATCAACATAATTATTTGGAAAATAAGTTCGTGAAGATACTCAACTTAGACCGCTTTTTCTTACCAGTCATCGTTATATTAGTACTGTTGTTCATTATTTTTGTTGTTGAGTTATTTTGTAATCGATTGGATTTCATCTCCATAACACTATCACTAGCACTTCTAGTTTCACCAACAACTTTTAAATCTTCTGCACTTTTCATGGAGATTTTTTTGTTAACCTTATCAATGTTTGATAATGAAGCATCGTTAATTGATTTAATGCCACTAGAAGATCTTTTTGGAGATGTTATACTAATATTTTGGACTCCATTGATAATCTCTGTACTTCCATTATTAGATAAATCAACGGTGTCTCCAGGTTCACCCATTAAGATATCCATTGATAAAGTCATTTTACCATTTGTTGCATTTAACGAATTATTGGTGTCATGAGATTCAGTTTTTTGTAATCGATTGTAGTCCTGTTTCATCAAGGAACGTTCTCCGAACTTCGGCGTCACAGATCTTTCATTAATTGGATATTCATCCAATGTATCTTCATTATATGGGTCATTATATTTGTCATTTAAAGGTATATCATAGCTCTTGCTTTCAAACTTAAAAGATGACTGTATTGCAGGTCCACTATTACGTCTAATAAATTTAGATCCCAAATTATTCGAATTATGGTTATTTAAAGAAGGATATTTTTGGTAGATTTGTTGATGAACTAAAAAATCGGGACTTCTAGCTCTTCTTTGTTCGTGCAGATTTGAAATTGATGATGTACTTCCACCAGAACTACTAATATTTGTATTATTTCCTGTAGATTTATCGGAATTAATGATAATGTTACAATTAGTGGGAGTTGGATTAAATTCTTTACTAGATAATGGTGTTACAGGAGAGTTTATTGCATTTGATGGTGTCGTCACCATTGTCACAGGAGTCTTTGACGTTGCTGAGATTAACGATGTAGCTGATTTCTTTTCTTGAAGAGCTTGAGTTTGGGTATTAACAGTAATATTATTTGTAGGTAACTGTTTTGTATAATGATAGTATCTTTGTTTTTGTCTCTTTATCTTTAATGAATTATATTGGTCGGTCTTTGAACCATTTGAATAAACTCCAGAACTTTGTTGATGGAAAATTAATTTTGTTGGGGAACTTGAAGTTTCATTCATTTCATAATTTTTCTTAAATGCAGGTGATGATGGTCGTAGCGGTGACATAAGGCCAAATGGTGTTGGTTCTGTAATTCTATTGGGACGTGCCTCCATCTCTGATTTTCTTCCATTATTAATATTATTGTTATTGGAATCATCAGAATCATTATTAGCATTCTCTAGAAGATCAGTAGCATCTTCTTCTTCATCGATTCTAAAATCTGGAATTGATCTTGCATGTTTAAAATCGATGGCAACTTCTAAATCTGCAGGTGCAGATTCAGATCTTCTGTGTGATTTAAATGATCTTGGTTTGGTCTTTAAGGCATCATCTAAGTTAATGATAGCATCTGGAACACCTTTCACGGGAGATGTAAATCTTGGTTCCTCGCTAATAAAGAACCTAGGGCTAGGTGATGAAATATCATTTGAGATCTTTCTGGGAGTTAATACATTTGAGAAGGATACATCATTAGGTTTTTCATAATCATGTGGATTAAAGTTATTAACGTTCAAGTTATTTTTGTTCTTAGTGTAAGGTTCTGGAGATATACATCTTGGTAAAGGTGGAACTGAACTAGAATTAGTACCAGGTAACGCATTTGGAGGTTGTTTTAAAAATTCAAAATCTCCTGAAACTGCGAATGACCTCCTATGTGAATGTCCTCTTCTTGACGGAGTAGCTAAATTATTAGATGACGGTGTTGGAACACTACTAAATTGGAGTGGTTGAGTTTCAGCCATTATACGATATACTAACAGCTTCCTTTCTTTTTTTTCTTTTCTCTAAAAATTTTCTGATATATTTTATATTTGGACAATAAAGAAACGAATATTTAAATTAATTCACTGTGGGAGAAATAATTAATAAGATGGAAATATAAAACGCAATAACGAGTGACTAGAAGTTGGATATGGTTTCAGTTTTTCAATGTAAAAACTTGCAATAGAAAACGATTTTTTTTTAAATGGTGCTATTAGTTTACGTGTAGGTAGTATGCAGTAAAAAAAAATATGCTGAAAAAACTAGGAAAATAAGTATAAACAAATATTTGTAAAAAGAATGATGTAATGCTTCCTTTAACAAATATCAATTCGCTAATCTTATGTATCTTTTCCCTTTTGTTTTTTATTTTTGAGGTAGTTTCAGTTTATTTGTAAATTTTTGGACCCTTTCTTTTCAATGCAGTATTAGTATTGTTTAAATATTAGAAAAGAGATTTGAGCTCAACAAAAGGAACAGTTTAACTTTTTTATTTAATTCACTTCTTTAATTACAAGTTTAATAGAAAATATTACTATTGTGAACTAAAAAAAGCACTCTCGAAATAGAAAAGTAACTTAATTTCCAAATTAGATATCTAATTTGGTTTAATTAACGAAGATTAGTTACTTCAATTTGCGTTCTTTGCTGAAACAAGAAAATTGATGATGATGACACGAGATTTTCTTTTCCCCTCTAGGCGTTTTTTTCTAATGTTTTGCCTAAACGGGAAATTCGTCGAAATAGACAAAATATATATATATATCTATTGCTAGGCTTAATAGGGATGAAGAAGAACAAGACAGCGTAATTGTTCAATCTCTAGGCACAGAAGAGAAGAGGTAATAGTTGCTGGTAGTGTGTTAAAGATATTTGTCTCCTTATTAGACATATTGAACTATTGACTAATTTTGCTACCCATATCGAGAAGGATATAGTAGGCACATATTTTGTAACTAAATAAAAAACATTTTCAAGGAAGACTTTTGAAGAATGATTTCTGAAAGAGTTACTGTGTTATTCAAATCAGAAGAGTCACTTAATGAATGTGTATTGCAGGAAGAATCATCTTTGAAATTAACAGAATGTATTGAACCATATCTTATTCAAAGAAGATTCGAATTATCCCTAAAAGACATTACAGATACTTCACCGATGAGATTTACTTGGAAAAATAATACTAACTCATTGTATGTGATTGGTCCTCGTCTAAACAATGGTGCAAATCTCTACATTGGTGGTGATAAGCAACCTTTGGATTCTATTGACAAACAAGATAGCATAATTACTCCTACATATAGACTCTATCATCAAGGAGAAGATGTGAAGATATTGTTCAATTCGTTTATCGAGAGACTTGGTTTAGATATTAACTTAGATGATCTAATAGATTGGGATTGGACAAATAAACAATATGATATAGTTCATGTCAATTCAACTTTACAGATTAATGAATACACCATAGTTCCCCCAAATTCTGCTGTTCCCGCAATTTCAAAGGATAGTTCAACGACAGGTCTTACAATTGATAAATTGGAAGTAGGATTATTTTACGTAGATTTAATTGAAGAAGAAAATATAAATCTTTCTGGGTTAAGATGTTTGTGGGAAGAAGAAGGAACAGGAAGCAAAACATCTAAAATTGAAAAATGTATAAAGACATCATTATTATACAAATCAGCATTTGCACCAGTGAAAACAAGCGTATCCAATAGTATCAATGTATCTTTAGAAGAACCAATTGGTTTACATCCAAAATTGTTAGTAGACCTTTCGAATGTATCACACCAATCCAAATATGAACGTTGCGAATATTATCTATTTTCACAATTACCTTTGGAACTGTTTGTGGATAAATTTCAGTCAGAACCTGTCTTTGTATTTGGTGAACACAACTTAGAGTCCCCAGATTATAAACTAGCTGACAATTCTTGGGGTTCAGAAACACTTTTCAGTTTGAATCGAGATGAGATTAACGAAATAACTTTACATTCTAGGTATATATCTCCAGAGGAAGGAAAACCTGGTTTGAGAAAAGTCAGTTTTACACCTGAAATTATAATGGCATGTGATACTGGATCAGATTCAATTGATACAAACCCTTTTTATTCTAAAGGACTTGGTTACGAATCTTACTTCACAAGAGACACCGTCTTTTATCCATTAAAATCTGAACATTTGGAAGTTCCAATACCTTATCCGAGTTTCGCCAATTACAAATACGTTGAATTATTCACTTCATCAGTTATGGTTGCATCTATAATATATTTGCTATATAAACTTTTTGGCCCAGTGACATCCCATACGAAATCAAAACCTGTGGATGATAAAAAGAAAACCAATTAAATAATGGCACCTTTTTCATACTTCTATATAATATTATCAACGAACAAAATCTATAGCGCATATTTCTAATCACATCTTTCTGGGTAGTATTTATATCACTAAAACTCTACTGAAGAATTCAGAAAACTTTTTCGAAAAGTATTTATTGTTATTTTTATTGTACATGTTATTTAAGGTAAAGCAAAACCGAAGACAAAAATCTTATTTCTTCTTTTTGTGATGTTTTTTGGCAATACGCTTTAATGCTCTTTGTTCATTCTTTAGAACACCATCAACCATCTTATATTTACCCTTCACACCCTTTGGTCTACCAGATAGACCTCTGTTACTACCAGATGCATAGACCAAAGTAACCTGTGGCTTTGTTCTTTGTTTTTTAGTAACCTTCTTCATTAATCTAGAAATTTCTTCAGCCTTATCTCTTTCTGATTTGTCACTATCATCATTAATTAACCCTGCTTTCCTCTTGATCTTTTCTAGACGAGCAACAGCACGCATCTTCTTTCTAGCTTTAGCCTCTGCAACTTTTTTGATAGGACGGGCATTCAAAGCTCTCATCTTTTCTTTAATAGCCATAGCAGCCTCTTTCGTGATAGGTCTGTTAATCTTCGAATGTTGAGCTTCTTCTTCTACGAACCATGCCGGTAGGTTGTCGGTGTCCCTAAAGGTATATCTATTGAAACCTTCATTAACCAAATCACTCTTAGTTTTTTGACCGGTCGCAAGTTGATGTGCCAAAGTCATTGCCTCAACTGTCGCAATATCTAATTCCTTTTTGTGTTTCTCTTCATTTGTTCTCTTTGCTTCCTCTTCAGAATCGTAATCAGAATCAAGATCTTCAAGCTTAGAATCTTTATTTGCCACAATTTCAAAATCTGAATCTTCACTATCACTAGCATCACTACTATCAACTTCTTGCTGATCTATTTGTTCAGCAGCAGCATTTGCCTTTGACTTTGGTTTCAGTTTACTAATATCACCAACAGATTCGGAGTCTACACCATTGGCATTTAGTTTATTAGGTAGATCGGCGACAATGTTATCGAAAATTGGGTTACTAAAGAATCTGGATGCCTTATTACTCAATTTAGATTGAGATGTTTGAGTCTTTATTTTACTTATTAATTGAGTAATAGCCTCATCATCGTCAGAATCAGATAGTTCAGATCCAGTATCTTCCATTTCATAATCACTTTCTTCATTTTCTCCTTCGTCTGCTTTTTTATCATTAAAACCAGTCCACTCTTCTTCGTTGTCACCACCACGGGCTTGTCTGGCTCTGAATTTAGCATCCCTCTCAGATTTTCTTTGTTTAAAGTTATCATACATGGAGTCCATTTCAGCCTCTAAATCATCGGTATCCTTGTATATATCACGTTCTCTAACAATTTTTTCATCAATGTGAATGTCATTATCTTGTGCTAATTCTTCATCGTTGAAAAGCATTCTTTTCTTACCTTTAGCCAGTTTGTCTAGGATACCTGTCTTTTCGGCAGTCTTTAAATTGAAAAGCGATTCTCTTCCTAAGTTAGCAGCTTCGATACCAATATCATCTGGGGTTAACATATTCATTTGCATTCTTGTAATTTCCTTCTGTTTTGTTTCATTCTTCTTTCTCTTTTCACGCTTCTTAGATAGACGTTGCTTCTCTTGTAAGTTGCTTAATTCCTTATCAATTTGTTCTTCTTCTGTCAATGGGTTTACATCAACGGCATCGTTATCTTCATCTTTATCAAGTCCTAATAAATCCCTAGCATTTTTTCTCCATCTCAAAATCATCTTGAAATCTTTTCTACCTAACACCTTTAAATCTTCGATACAGGCTAGAAGTTCTTTGTTAGTTTGCTTCATCTTGTTAACAATCTTCCATTCATTGTTTTCTGGATCTACGTCAAATTTATTTAATTTACCTAACATTGTAATTGGATCCTCAGTCTCAATGAATTCCATAATTGGGGCAGTATTGTACAGAAGGTTATCACCTTCGTCATAACCTTGTCTCTTTCTGACTTTCTTCTCAGGGTTATACACTTTGGCTTCCATGTTCTGTGGACCATCTGGAAGTTCTTCAAAAACTTCCTTTGGATCAAGCAGACGTGGATCTAACTTCTTTGGGGCTTTGAAACCTTTACAAACAACGAAAATTTCTGCAGAGACATTTCTGGATGCTGGTGGCTTTGTAGCTTCAACCTTTTCGAACAATTGTTGGAAAACCCAAATCAATTTATTATAATCCTTAGATCTGAAAATCTTAGTAACAAAAGTACCGTTAACAACCAGGTTCTCTACAGCAAGTTTCAATGCTTGTAAAGTCAGTTGAGATTGAGTGAAAGCATCTTGTACCCACCCTAAACCAACATTTGGGGCACCATCATGAAGAACTGTGTCTGCTTTCCATGTTTTCATGTAACCTCTTAAACGGGATCTACAATCTTCAGTTGTAATATCACTTTGGAATGTTATAACGTTAGGCATTGGTTTCATTGGCACAATATCAACACCAATGATCAGGGAGTTCACCGGACATAACTTCGATGCAACTTGACACCAGGAACCTGGTGCAGCACATAAATCGATAACAACCTTAGACTTCTCTAGGAAATGGCCAAATTTCTCATTGATTTGAATAACTTTGAAAGAAGAACGAGCACGATAACCTTTTTCTTTGGCAAGGTAATAGTACCTATCCAAACGACCTTTAGAGTTCTTTTTTTGTGTTCTACCCATCTTTCAAGTCTGTTCGATGTTCTAAATTTAACAAACAGTAATAAAACTAAACTTAAAGAGAGCTTATTTTTATTAGTAGTATTACGTAAAGGTGAGCTTTACCTCTCATTTAACTTAATAAATTCCAGCGATGCCCATCGCTTCAAGAAAAAAATTTTCAATTTTACAAAGAAAAAGAAAAGTTGCACGTGATCAAAAAATTCAAATTTCTTGTAGTGGGAAACATTATTCCAAGAGACATTATGACACTCTCTACCTACATCCTAAGAAGCTACAGTTGCATTAGATATGCCATTTTATTTCATATTTAGGCTATTCAATGAATGGATAATTTTGATTGATTTGAAAAGGAAAGGAGAGGTCACAGAATGATATTTACAGCTCCAAATAGGTTATTAATAAAACCTGAATTTAATTGCTTACTACAGGTCCATGTATCTTAACCGTTGCCTTTTAAATATTATTTGCAACATAAAAAAAATCTTTTTGTAATATATTTCAATTGATTTTATGTTTTCCACTTACTTACATATTGATGGAAAGATTTTTACTAAAAAATCAAACTTGGAGGCAAACATATTCAACTATTCTCAAAAATAGAAAAATATGGGATTACTAAAATAAAAAATTTCACCACGTAATAAATCTATATTTTAATAGTAAATTATTATATATTCATTATATTATATTATATTATATCTGTAGAGACTAAAATTTATGCACGTAAACAAAAAATGAAAAACTGAGAAGCATAAATCAAAAACTACCAGTAAACAGTTTTTATTTATTGTTATCTGAAGCAATATTCAAAAAGTAACAAATAATGTAAACAAAATGTGTTTTTCTACTGCTGGTTGTCAGTAATACCATCCAATTATTTTTTGAAATCGTGTATATATCCTAATCGGGATATATACACGATTTCAAAAAAATAAAAACGGGAAAAATAGCCCCTCTCACACAAATTTTTCATGAAGAAGTAAACAAATTTCATCAACAAACTATTCTGTACGTTGTAAAGTGGGTATTAGTTCTTTTTGTTTATGAAATTTGTTTATTATTTCGTCTTTTTGTTATATATATGTATATGTATGAATAAATTTACGCTATTTAGTATATATTGCAGCAAAAATCTTGATGGTTAGTTTTTCATAATTTAGGAAATTTTTATTTATATGTACGTTATGCAATAGATTTAATTGAGAAAGTTTTTGAAATATATACAACATGAGATGTTCCTCATTTGTAGCAATAATTCATACTTTATAATTAATCCATATATGACATTTCAAAATGCAAAAGATAGGGAAGATTGGTTATTCTTAGAATAGATGATAATATGATTAAATAATCTTCATCTATTATCTTTGAACAGGACTTTTTGGTCTTAGTGCTTCGATTTCCTCGTTGAAAGGAACATGGCTACCAATTTTATCAATATTCTGCCTATATTTTTGGGGGTCGAAGTTATCCAACATGACATCTGGACTCATAACAACCCATCCAGGTCTCACTCTAACAGGTGTCTCCCAGCCTGTTCGAGCTGGAATGATATGCAATCTTTTTGTAGCTGTTGAAAAGTTTTCGGCTACTTTATATAAATCTGGAGGAACAGCACCATTTTGAGTCTCTGAAGTTTCTATATTTAAATCAGTATCCACATTACAATGGATCAGATGGCCATCGGTAGACCGTCTAACTGTACCGGTAATACACATCCAACAATGCCATTGAACTTTTTCAACGAGGGTATCATCATCACCAGCCAAACCTGGGTAATATGGTGAGTTTTTATCAATAGGTACAAAGACTAATTCTTCACTTCTTCTAAATTTCTTAGCCCATATTTCATTATTTAGCAATTTAGATAACTCATTGATTTTCTGTGCACTAGCCCAAATAAACAAAAATCCGGGTTTGGAAACTAGTTTATCCAGTGGTAATTGGGTCAAAAGTGGGTATATAAATTGATTATCTGTTAGACATCCTATCATAATAACATCAAATGTTAAATTATCTTTGTGAATCCATTTGTTTAATGTTGGAACCATCTTATCAATAGATACCTTGCAACCTAATGGTTTTGTGGCGTAGTCTGCTACTTGTCTTTCTTTTTCTTCGAATAGTTTTTGTAATTTAGGATATCCCTCTACTGGATTCTCGATGTTGGTTACGTGACTCTGGGGATTTGAACCTGTATGTATATAATGGTTAGAGTAATCATTTGATATGACTTCTCTGGAAGGACGGAATGCATTGACTCTACCTTTGATATCATTATCTTTATTGAAATGAGATTCGACTTTAAGCATTTTGTATCTGCTAATGTTATATTGAATGCTTGTGAACTTTAGTGTTCTGATTGACTTGATGAAGAAGAAGGCAACAACAAAAAATTAAGATATAATTCCTGACTCAAAACTAAATGTTTTCTTTATGTAATTCAGATGATCTCTTATATATACGGATAAGCACAATTTAAAGAGATAAATAAAATTTAATTCGAATGTGTTTTTCAGCTTCAGAATGCGTCAAGTTTACCTCATTTGGTCTAATGAGTCTACGATGGATCCTTAAGATCACTTTTCTAGTTTGCACTTTCAAAACCTCAAAGTATTCGCTCTCCGCTTTAACGTGAAGATGAAACAATTTTCGCGCAGTAGCAATTTTTTTAGCTATGAAGAGTAACTTTGCGAAGAGACCAGAGGATATTGCATCTTGAAACAAATAAAGAGAAAATTATCAATATATTTTATAGAAGTTTAGTAAAATTAAAATTTAAGTGTTCTTTGTTTTAAAATTATGTATAATTGAATATCAAATTTCTTTAGTGAAATAGAAAAATAAGTTTTAAAAAAAATGATATTGTTATGTAATGCTATATGTTTGTTTTGTAATAGTAATAGTTTTAGTAGTAGTAGTAAGAAAAAAAAAATAAAGTAAACCCATATTGGAGAAGCCTTAATTGTTACTAGTTTGAAAATAAAAAATAATAATAATAATAATGTGTTGTTGTTCTTCCCAATTTAATAATCCCAATGTTTATACCGATATTTACATTATGCTGTTTTTGATTTTTTTTGTTATTTAATCAAGGTAACATCTACCTTCTTCAAGTTCATCCAATGCGTTTTCGACGACTTCGTCATCATCATCATCTTCCATGATTTCAACAGCACTATACTTGATCATATCCCATCTGTTCCAAAATGTAATGCAATCTTCATAATCTTTAGAATCATAACAATCTTCTAAATCATTTTTTGCTTTAGTTAATCTACATTTTAAAGATTGAAATTTCATACAATCAGGTAATTCAGATACTGTTCTATAATCACTTGAATCTGTTTCATCATCAGCAACGTTAGTAGCTTCTGATTTGTAACCAAAGGCATCACAACTTTCAGTAGTTTCATCGTCACTAATGTTACCATTACAATTGTAATTATAACTAAAATCATCTGCGTCACTATCTGAATATTCAGTAGTTTCTTCATCAGATGTTCTTTCTTTAGATTGACGATAAGAAATTTTATTCATTTTGTTATTTAAATTTCCATAAACTTCTGCTTCAGCAGAAGATGTTGTATTACAATACATTGCCCAAGCTTCATCAATTGCTTGAATAATATAATCAAAACAACGTTCTCTAGCGATTAAGTCTTGTTTTGGTACTGAGTTTTTTTTATAAGAACAAATAGAACCAGGTCTACTGATACTTTTTCTATTTGAAGAATTAACTCTATAATTTGATTCAATATTAAAACTATTGTTATTGTTATCCTCATCTTGACTTGAAGTAGCAGTTTCAATAGCTGAATCATTATTGAATTGAATATTTTTAGAAGTTAAACTTAATAAATTTGATGGTCTATATTTAATATCAAAATAAGAATCTAATAAAGTATTCTTGTTTTTGTTATTATCATTTTCATTTAAATTTTCAAAATTATTTGTATCAAATCTTGGAGATTTTGAACTTTTAAATGATGAATTACGTGGAATATTGTCATCAACAATATCCGATGTATGACCTAATTCATTTTGAAATGAATAACCTGTGACAAAATCTGAGTAAGATCTTTTTGTAGAAAATGGCATAATGAAAAAAAAATAAAATGTTTATAATATGTGAATTTGTTGTAATATTTTTTTTAGAAGAAAAAAATAAATGTATGACTGTTTTGTTTGTTTTTTATGTTATAATGAGCAGCTCAATAAAGGCGTCAAAATAGAGATAAAGATAGAAAAGTGGTGAAAAAAAAATATGCAAATGATAATTGATTAAAAGAATAGAATAAAAATAAATTAATTTTTCTTTTAAATAAATTTATTATAATACTATTACCTTATAATTTAATTCAATAAAAATAGTAATATAATAAAATAAAATTAAAATTGTGACGTCTTTTTTTTCTAAAATTTTAAATTTAGTGTGTCGTTAATAATAAAAAAAGAAGTAAAATAATAATCGTACCGAGATAACCAAAAAAATTAAATACCAGCGTATGAATTAGTGTCTTAAAGTAAAGATTTTATTAATTAACCTAAGTTGACAGAGAGAGGCAGAAAAAAGCAGCAAAATAAAATAAAAAATAAATTTAGTTAGAGAAAGGGAATATATGTATATGTGTATAGTTAACCCTACTGTAAACCCTAATTTTTGCAATAAAACCCTAGTTGCTTACTAACTTTAGTCAAAAGAAGAAGAAAAAAAATTTAAACCCTAATGTTAGGAATAAGTTTCGTTGATGATGATTTAAATTTGTAATTTGTCGGGAAGAAAAGTTTTCCAAAAAGTGGTTGGAAGTGTTGGATGAACGGGTCAAACTTTGGAAAATTAAATCTTTGTGTATTTACCACCCGAACCAAACTTGCATTTCATTGGTCAATCGCCAATTTTTCCAAGGGTAACATCCAGAATGGACGCATTCGGAAGAAAAAAAATTGTTACACCCAGACATCCTGTATCGACAAGGAGGGAATCTGGTCATAATAAGAGTAATACTACAACTTCAAACTCATAAGAATCGTGATAAATGGAAGGTTATGAGCCTGAACAAAGTATCATCAGAAAGCATAGAATCTAGGCTTTCTAATGATGCTAATATCTATCTATATATGATACTTATATATACCTTTAAATCACGTATAAAACCCTCAATTTACCCACCGACGTTATCATTTTTTTTTTGCCACCGTACACATAACTAGCGACGACACCAAGCCCTAACAGCAAACCCTACCCGGCCGTGTTTTAGGGTTTACCAAAGAGAAGAAGAACTGCTTTCAATTATCATTAAAGACGAAAGAGTCTCTCATATGATAGATATATGATTGCCTGATAGCCGAAATCGAAAACTTTCTAAATCTCTCGCATCGCCATCGCTGTTGTAAACAGTTGGAAGGGACAGAGGAGAAAGAGGCAGGCAGGCATATCCAGTATACAGTAGAAAAGACATTAATTTTAATACAATTAAAATAATTCTCTTCTTTTTTAGGAGGAAATGATATGACTAAATGAAGAATAGAAATAAGTTGAAGAAATAAATCTTGTAAAATGAGAAGAGTAGTTACTAGTGTGTAGTAGTAATCATCAATTAATTCCATCGAATAAATGTAGATAGTAGCAAAATCTTTGAAGTAGTATGTTTTAATAAAATAAAATAAAAGACTTTAGAACAATTGTTAAGTAACGGCTCTTTTGAGTGTAAAAGATCTAATTAATTGCAAAGTAGCATTAGCAATAGTAATCTACTATTTCAATTGTAAGTATTCTCATTCTGCATATTGATGACAAATTCTGTATTTAGCTGATCAGAATTCAACCTCTTTATCAGTTGTAAAACAAAACAGTGTAAATAGATATCAGCTATCTGTTACAGTAGTAAATTTAGTGACCATATTTGAGATGTATTCTCATAAACTATTGCAACCACATATATTTAACCATTAATACTCATTATCTGAAGAGATCTAGTTTTGCAATATAAACATATAATCCATTAATGTATTATATTATTGTATTTCTAAATAGTGTTTCTGTCTTTAGAAGAACTGCAAAAAATAAATAAAAAGGGGAAAAAAAAAGTACATGTATATATATTTAAAAAAGTTGCACTGCATCAGCATTTTTTGTCTTTCGAACAATCGATGTTTATTATCTGTTGTATTTATTTACTTATTTTTTTATTTTTTTTTTGGTTTTTACCCTTTTGCGGTTTAAATCGATAGTTGAGAAAATGAGGTGGAGATAGAAAGGCAGCAGAGTGAGAGAGACTCAACTCGGTCTAATAATCTCAATACTGCAGCATTTTATTAAAAACATCGCTGCTGTTTTTTCGCTTCCGTATACAACTAACAAAAGGAATAAGGAATTTGAAATTTGAAATTAGTCAAAATTTATTATTGGATGAGAAGGGAAAAATAAAACTATTGAAAAGGTAATAATAATTGTGAAAAGGTGTCTGTAGTTTATTCATGAATGTAACCTTTAATTTTAAAACAATGTTTAAATAGTGTGACTATCTGTTTCTTATTCTAAGCTTTGCATTGGTAGAACTGTAAAACAAAACAAAAAAAATATAGTCATCACTGTTTCGTTGTTACTGCATTTAATGACATATATATAACCATTTATTCAACAATTTATTATTTCGTTTATTACAATTTTTTCTTATTTCTTTAATAAAGAAAAAAAAAAATTGAGATATAGGGAGACTCTACAGGAAAACAATTAATAATGGTACATACTTCAAATCCAATTCATTTGGATCCCGTTTATTCTGATGATAATGATGACGATGATAATACTACTATAAGAAATACTAATAATAATGACACTGGAATTCCATATGAAAAATATTCTTTAAATGATTCTAAAAATAAAAATCCATCAAGGGAATCAATACCTAAAGGAAATCTTGAAGATATCATTGTTCATAGTTTTGAATCAATTTGTGCATTATTTGATAATATTTATTTCTTGAAAAATATTGGAATAATTAATGAAAATAATTTTTTATATAAAAAATTGAATAAAAGTCAAATTGGTTCAAAAATTTGGTTAATCACATTAATTTTATCATTAAGAAAATCATATAAAAAATTAAAGAAAACAATTTTTGCTAGAATACAATATAAGAAAGAATTAAAAAAATTTAATAATTATCTTAATGATAAGACACAATCTAATTTAAATTTGTTAAAAAATTATGATAAAATTATAATAAATACAATATTAGATTTTTTTCAAGATTTATTTTATATGATAATAATAATATTCGATATATTAAAGACTTCAAAATATCAAAAATTAAAATCATGGTGTGAATATTCTTCATATATAATTAGTATCTTAAGAATATTTAATTCTAGTACAAGAATTATTAAATAAACATTTACATATTCATATAATTTTGCATTAATAAATATTTTTACAGAAAGAGAAAGAAAAATATTTTTATTTATTGGAAAAATTCGTGAAATAATAAGTTATAAATTAACTGAAAACTATTTACCAATACCTAATTCCTTTAAGAATGCATCCTTCTTTGGAGGTCTACCTAAAAATTCGGTCAATTTATCATTGATTTCATATAAACCACCATTAGCTAAAACAATATCTCTGTATTGAACACCAACAGTACTATCTAATGGATTTGGTAAAAATTTAGTATAATACATATCAGTGGCAAAGACCTCTGCCCACATGTAACCATAATAACCAGCAGAATAAGAGTCTGACATAATATGACCAAAGGAATCATAACCCTTTGTATATTCACTGCCTGTCTCAACAAAACATATTTCTTCTCTTGATTCATTCCATAATTTTTCTAATTGTAAATTACTTAAATCCTTATTGGTATGGACCTTCATATCAAATAAACCAAAATGTAATTGTCTTAATGCAAATAAAGCACCATTAACATGTTTGGTTCTAATTAATGAATTTAATAATTCTTCAGGAATCTTTTCACCTGTTTCATAGTGGGAAGATAAAGATAGTAATTCTTGTTTATTCCAAGTCCAAAATTCTAACATTTGAGATGGAGCTTCGACAAAATCCCATGGGGTAGCACCTGGACCATTGAATCTTGATAATTTGTTCTTAGCAACTAAATCATGGATACCATGGCCTAACTCGTGGAAAAATGTAGTTATTTCGTTATGTTTCAAAAGGGAAGGTTTTGTTAAAGTAGACTTTGAAAAATTACAAACTAAGGCAGTTACTGGGTAAGATCTATTGCCTTGTTCATCAACAAATGACGAAGAAATTCCAAAATTAGCAGCATGACCATACTTACCATCTCTTGGATGTAAATCAAAATAGATCCAACCAACAAATTCAGGTTTTTCAGGGTCATCCATCTTCCAAACAGCTAATTGTTTAACATCTGGATGCCAAACATTCTTTTTTGATACATCTGTCTCTTCGATAAACTTCAATTTTAATAATGTTTCATAAATACCTAGCATGCCTTTAATGGTAGAATCAATTGGATAATAATCAGATATTTTTTCAAGATCGACATTATAATTATCTTTCAAATATTTATTATCATAGTAACGATGATCCCAGATATAATAATGACCATCATAAGGAATTTCGTTTTCCTCACAGTTCTTTTTCTTAAGTGCTTTTAGAGTTTCAATTTCTTTATGACCTAATGGTGTCAATCTATCCTTCAAATCAGTTAAAAATTCAAGAACAGTTTCTTGATTCTTTGCCATCTTTATTTCCAAATTGTAATTAGCATAAGTTGAGTAACCTAATAAGGTGGCTAATTCGTCTCTCAATTTTAATGTCTCCTTGAACAGCTTTTCATTTTGAGGAGCTTTATTTTGATCGGCATTAAAGGCTAATCTTCTAGTTTCGGGATTATTGGCAGTCTTTAGAACTGGGAAGATATCAGGGTACTTAAAAGTAACTTTATACTTTTCAACACCTGTCTCTGGTTCAGTAAACTTTTCAAATTGTTCCATAACAGTTGGTGAAACACCATCTAGTTCCTCTTTGGTAAAAGCAATAAATTCTTTCTGTTCACCAAGATTTGTGGAAAATTGAAGACTGTTAGAAGCTAACTTCTTCTTAACTTCTTTAACTTGATCCCTTTTCTCCTTTGGTAAATTTAGACCATCACGAACATAATCCTTATGACATTTTTCAATAAATTTGTAAATTTCAAAGTTTTCTGGTTTTGCATTAACAAATTCATCCTTCTTTGGAGAGATTTCTTTGAAAATTTTATCCATTTGAGTGAACAGATCGTATCTCAAAGATGCTTCGATTTCAAAATCTTGCAATAGTTCTGTAGCTTGAACTGAGGCATCTCTAAGTTCTTTGTTTGCAGAAACGTGTTGTAAGAAACATAATTGATTGACTAATGGACCACTACGATTTTCATGTTCAAAAAATGGTTTAACAAAATTGTCAACATTTGGATTTTCGATGGCAGCTAACTTATCAAATAGATCATTAGCATTTTGAATAATACATTCTGCATCAAATATTAATCTCTTTGGGTTCCAATTCCAACTGGATGGTTTGGAAGGAGCAACAAATTTATTTGAATTGTCGGTAGTCATTGTTAAGAAACGATTAATACCTAGAAAATTTGATTTAAAATTAAGTTGATTAAAGAGAATAGCACCTGCACCAACGGTTAATGCACAAAAGATAGTCTTTTTATTAGTTAATTGAGATTGAAAAATTCTTGAAGTTGAACTACTAGAGACCAAGCTTTTCCAAAACATTCAATATTTGCTAAGCGTTTTGATACACTTTCTTTTTATTTTTTGATTGGAATCGTATATAAAAACTACACCCCTAAGCAAGAGAAGAGAAATAAACAAAAACAGGTATTATCTAAGAAAAAAAAATGAAAGGTGTCAAGAGATACTATCTATGGCTATTGTCTTTCAATGGGTTGTTGTTATCACAAAATGCGTCAAAATTTAATAGACCAAATGGAAATTGTCCTTGTCTCAAAGTCCCTATTTTCTCGACAATTTTAATTGCGAAGTGTTTTACATCTGAGGCGCGAGATATAGCAGACAGAGGTTCATTAAAATAAGAGTACCACAGAACGACATATGTGTACTAATATTAATCTACAAATATATAATTGTTAAAGACGCTTTTAATATTGTAATAATAATTATTATTAGAATCGAAGGTTCTTTGGTTTGTTGTTTTGAAATTAAAATCTTCTTTCTCGCTGTAGATTGCAAATTTGTAGCATAATTGGAATAAAATTTAGCTCTTTTGGAACCTCAACTAAGGTCTTATGTATTCTCTTTAAAGTTTACAATGTATATAGAAATAAATTAAAAGTAATTAAGCATGTTTCAAAGTGTTTTTGTGGTGAATTTGTCTTGAGATATTGCCCTTTTCAATTTCCACTTATATTTTATTTTTTTATCACTATCGATTTTTTGTTTACTGGAGTACACTTTTCAGTAGAAGTTATAATAAACGACAAAAACATAAAAATATAAATGTAATGAAAAATAATAACTATTTTTTAAAAATTTTTAGTTGATGATTACAAAGTGTTTACAATATAAATTACATTATTCACATTTTTAAACAATGGTATAGAGTACCACAATGTACTCAAATTACAGAATATTTTGAGTTTACTCCAAATAACTTTTTTTTACAAATCTTTGAAGATGTTAGATTCTTTTTCGTTTTATTTGAAGATGCCAAACCACAATCTTGAGTTAATATTAAACAATTTTGTGATCCAATATTCTTATTACATGGCTCTGTATAGGTATAAGTATACAACTTGTAACAGAACTATATGGAAAAGAGAAACACATTTTTTCTTGTTCGTTGCAGATCTACATTATCTTCGACCAAACTGACACCGTCAAGATCAAAAAGGTTCGTGATAAAATTCTCCCAATAAAACATGAATCTATTCACCGGAACTCAAAGGTATATAACCGACTACTTTACTAACTTAAATGACAGTTAATTAGTGTCAAACCTTGAGTAACATACTTTCTTGAACCAATCAGATCGGGGAGTGTCTGACAAAAAACTTCGGGTATTCAATAATACTTCAAACCACTACGTAATAACGCAGAACAAACCAAGCAGGAAATACGAAATCCCAAAACAAAAAAAATGAAATTAATGGGAACGAGAAATTTCATTAAGGCATAATTTTAACCCAAGAGAGGTAAACCATCTATGTTTAACCCCTACTATGATTAAAGCTTATTATTGAAATTACCAACAGTTATTGCTCAAAATTTTCATACCAGAGTCCCACATAAATCCAATTAGGATAACTTTTATTTGAGTTATCTCTTAAATCTCTTCAAAGAAATACAAAAGAAGTCAGGCTAATCATTTTTCCTGCCCATAATAATATCAACACATTAACAACAAGTCTCAAAAGATGTCCGAACAAGTACAAACACCTAAAGATCAAACGATTACCAACACCTCGCCTTCTATTGATAAATCTATTCTAAATGACAAATGGGATCTAGTTCTATCGAATGTTCTAGTGAAAACTGGTCTAGGTTTTGGAGTAGGTGTAGCAGCCTCTGTTCTTTTCTTCAAACGTCGTACTTTCCCTGTATGGTTAGGTATGGGTTTTGGTCTTGGTAGAGGGTACTCTGAAGGTGACGCTATCTTTCGTTCCACTGCTGGTGTAAGAACAGTGAAAGTTTAAGGATAAATTTCTGCTAAACAAAAATTATTTTAAGCTGAGAGAAGAAAGTGAAAAAAAAAGAAGATTTTACCCTTAAAAAACAACAACATCAACCATACATATTATCTAATTGGTGATAAAGAGTACCAACATTCCATATCATTAGTACTATTAATTTAATTATAGTGCACTATATAAAATATAAATATTTATAATTACTTATTCCTTTTTTGTAACTAACGGCCTTTTAAAATAAATAAGGATTTAACAGTTATTTACCATCCTAATATTCTTCCATATTGCATTTCATACCCATGCCAATATTATAGACCTTTGTGAAATACTTAGACCTTTTGTCAAAAATACCTCTTTTCTGATAAACTTGTCAAGAAAAGGACTGCTTCTTGGGAAGTTACCGGGAACTTTAGGTGTATCAATATAATCATTTATAACCTCGTCTTGCATGACTATTCCTAAAGTGATGATCAACCAGAACATGCATATTAACGAAGTTCAACAATCCTGAATTCAAAGAGAAAATCCAGACATCATTTCAATTTGTTTTAGTAAACTATCATCAGCAGCCTTTTCTTTCTTATCCAGTAGGTCTTTAATTGCACGATCCTTTTGACGACCTTCTAGAATATCTCTCTTATGTAATGTACTTTTCTTATCATTTTCCTTTGGAGAACCTCTCAATGCTTTGTTCATCTCACCAGCATTAAAGGACAATGCATCATGTTGTTTATTCATTTTTTCAACCTTAAATTTTGTCTTTTTCCTCTGTGATTGTGATATCACTGTCTTAGGTTTAGATCTAGTACTTTTACTAGCTTTTGACACTCTCTTCACTGCTTTTGCCATATTTATCCCGTATATAACCTTCTATTGTTTGTGTTCACACTTGAGTACCCGAATATTTATGTAGAAACAGGTATATCTAATCATTAACTGAGAACTTTGACTTCAAAAACTGTTTTAATATATTGAAATATTTTTATCTCTCTCTCTCTTTTACTTTATGCTCATCGCATCGCTTGGCTCTCTCTTTTCATAACCAAAATTTCACAGTAAATTCACGGAGCAAAAAAATTTAAAAATTTAAAAATTTGAAAAATTAGCGATGAATTTGGAAAATTTTTTTTCTTGTCAGGTTAAAGCTATGGATATTTGATAGTTTAAAAGAAGTGATAACACACATTATTAAACTTGATCGCATTTGATTATATTTTCTTCAATAGGTGAGTTATTAACTATCAACTAACCCATATATCACCGATTTTGTTTTTAATTAAAAATAATGGTTTCTACAAACAATAAGGATAAACCTTGGGATACACCCGATATCGATAAATGGACCATCGAAGAATTTAAACCAGAAGATAATGCTTCTGGTTTACCATTTATGGAAGAATCTAGTTTTATGACTTTATTCCCAAAATACAGAGAAAAATACCTAAAGTCCATCTGGAATAGTGTAACGAGAGCACTTGATAAACATCATATCGGTTGTACACTTGATCTTGTTGAAGGTTCCATGACTGTCAAGACCACTAGAAAGACATATGACCCTGCTGTTATATTGAAAGCTCGTGATTTGATCAAACTTTTAGCTCGTTCTGTCCCATTCCCACAGGCAGTTAAGATTTTAGAAGATGATATGGCCTGTGATGTCATTAAGATTGGTAATGTCGTTACAAATAAAGAAAGATTTGTTAAAAGAAGACAACGTCTTGTGGGTCCTAATGGTAATACTTTAAAAGCATTAGAGTTACTAACTAAATGTTATATTCTAGTTCAAGGTAACACTGTAAGTGTCATGGGTCCTTTCAAAGGCTTAAAAGAAGTTCGTCGTGTTGTTGAAGACTGTATGAAGAACGTTCATCCTATCTATCATATTAAAGAGTTGATGATTAAAAGAGAATTAGCTAAGAAACCTGAATTAGCTAACGAAGATTGGTCTAGGTTTTTACCAATGTTTAAGAAGAGAAATGTTGCTCGTAAGAAGCCAAAGAAGATTAGAAAGGAAAAGAAGGTCTACACTCCATTCCCACCTGCTCAATTACCAAGAAAGGTTGATTTGGAAATTGAAAGTGGTGAATATTTCTTAAGTAAGAGAGAAAAAGAGATCAAGAGACGTGAAGAGCGTAAAGAACATCAAGAAGAAAAACAAAAGGAGAGAGATACTGAAAGACAAAAGGATTACATTGCTCCAAAGGAAGAAAAATATTCAAGTTCAATAAGTAGACCAGCAAAGAAAGAAAAGAAGAGTCATCATGATGACGAAGATTCAGTTGAAGAATAAATTTGAACCTTTCCTTTAATAAACACACACATACACACACAAAAGAGTGCCCGACTCTATTGCTGTTAATTAAGTGCAGTTACCACTTTCATATTGTAACTAAGTATTCATTTTCCTTATTTGCTTTACGGCCTTTCATTCTTATTCTATACATCACATTTTTTTTCTTACGGTAGCATTCTATATACATTTATTAACACTTTTTCAAGGGAAATGATTGTAAAATATATAAACAAACACACACATATAAAATAAAAATGGAGAGTTTGAAATTCAATATGTCAATCTTATCACTTATTTATTCTTTGAGCTTTATGTTCCTTCCTATTGTTGGGATCTGTAGGGCAGCAAAATTAATTTTTCAGTGCAAGCGACACGCGTCGAATCTCGATGATTTAAAATGTAGTTTGAACGCGTAACGAGGAATAATATAGAAGGATCATAACAATATCTCTTGGAAATATATTTATTTATATAGAGATATAAAGTTCTTTGAACCAATTCTAATTACATTCAAACGTTAAAGAATTTAATTAATAGAAATTGAACAGAATTTCGATAAAAATTAACTAAAATATGGATTTCTTACTTGATTCTCTACTACCAATCAAAAAGAAAAAGAGAACAACCTATCAGAAGGTTACATCGACCAATCCTGAAAATGCAGAAGCTCTTACCGTTTCAGGATCTGGGTTCCTTTTCGATAATGAAGCTATGAATAAAATTAAAACTCGTCTTGATGATGGGGATGAAGAACAAGAAGACACAGAGGAATCCACTCATGAGGTTAATAAAAGCGAGGCATTATTCCCATCTCAAACACAATTAATTTCACAATTATACGAAGGTGGTGAAGATCTGGAGGAAAGGAGAGATACACAGGTGATTGAACGACCTTCTGTCCAAAAAGGTGAGGATCGCTCAGCAGTAAATATGTCTGGCAAATCAACTCAACTTACGATAGAACAACATGAATATATGGAAGTAGATGAGGACCAAATAAGTCTTAGCCAAACTCAGGTGATAAAGTCTATCCCAAAGAACAAGGAAAATGATAATAATAATAATATGGGTGATATAGATGATTTAGCAACACAACTGATAGTGCCTCACGATGATTCCGATGAAGAAGACACGACTGATTACCAAGGTACCGAAAATGTTAACAATGAAAATATTCTAAACTTCACTCAAAACTTTAATAAATCTTTGTTTAATCCATTTGATGAAACCAATGAAATAATTATTTCAGAAAATAACGCTAATGTTACCAAATTAATTGCAGAAACTCAACAAATATCAAATATATCAGAAACACAAATAATAAGTTATGGTAATGAGGAACCAGATATTGCGTACACAGCTGAGACTCAAAAAATCAAGGATAATGTAGCAACACAAGAAGAAGATCAACCAGAAGAAATCGAAAAAGAACTAGAAAATGGGTATCCGAAGACACAGGCGGATGAAGATATGATGAATACCCAGCCAATTGAAACTGAAACCCAAATTGACCACCCGAAGCTCAAAATACATGGTATTCAAAAAATGCTTGAAGAAGAAGACAAACAGAGAGAGAAGGCCAAAATGGTAGAATACAAACGTCCGATTAAAAAAACAGTCGTAAAACTAAATTTTTCGAAGGATGACTTCCTAGCTGATTTTGATGACAGTGACGGTGAATCTTCGGATACATCTGTAAAAGAAGAACTGAAAATGATTGAAAGAAAACCAATTAATATGGAGGAACAGTTCGAAAAAGAACTAGACGAATTTGAAGACAGCGGAAATGTCAACAAGACAAATGAGGAGGAAGAATTTGAAAGTAAACCTACTACTGAGCTTGAAAATAGACCACCTTTTCATATCACAGGGCTGATAAATTATGAAACAGAATTGAAGAAAGAAATACATTCCGATCAGTACATCAACTTAGAAGACGATAGCAGTGATTCTGATTCATCCCAGTTAAAACCTTCACATGCCTCAAAGGCATCCCTATTGAATATTCGTGTTCGTCTTTCAAAGAATGCAACTCTCAAAAAGAAACTGCAACAAACAAAGTCCACACCTAATAAACTGTTTAATTCTTTAATGCAAGCTAACCAAAAACAAATATTAGAGCACCGAAAAGGAATAATAGAAGCTAAGGGATTAGATATCAGCATGATTGAGAAGGAGAAGGATATTGTAGAAAATCTGTTAGAACAAGAAATATTAAGAAACAAGAAAATTAGAAAGCGTGAGAAAGAACAAGAAGAGATGATAGATGCCGAGGGTGAGATGGATTTCGATTATAGTGATAACGAATTGGAAGGTTCAGATGTAACTGATAATGAGGGATCTATCAACCAAGAAGATGGTAATATTGACTCAGCCGCCATGGATACAAACGGTCTAGATTACTCAAGCGACAACAATGACGAAGTAGACGTTGTTGCCTTGGATAAAGAAGACGATGATGACATCATTCCTTCCAAAAAGTCCAAAAAAATGAAGGCGCTTCATATTGTCGGGGTGGAAGAATCTGATGATGACGACAACCATCCTGAGCCAGTTGAAATATCCAAAAAAAACGATGCTAATACTGACGACGAAATTTTATCCTCTGAAAGAAACGCTATCGATCTAGGTCATTACGGTAGTAATTTAGATAGACCTAACACCCAGGACAATGAAATAGGTTTTAGTAAAAACAACAATGACGAAGCAGATGATTTAGAAGAGGATGATACTGAGGTCAGAATGGAGTTTATAAAACACGAGAAAAAGAAACAATTAGAACACGAAAGAAAGCTACAGAAGAAAAGAGATGAATTGAAAAAGAAAGGTGTGTCCAATTTCGTTGAAGAAGAAGCAGAAGAATCTGATGACGAATGGTTTGGTGTAGGTGGTGCTGACGGTGAAGGTATTGAGGACTACGATTCTGAAGTCGAAAAAATGATTGATGATTACTCGAAGGCAAATTTTGATCCAGATGAGATACGTCAAATGATTGCACAGGAAAAGAAGGATGCTGATATGAAAATGGTTGAAAAGATATTATTTGATCTAAAAAATGGTGGTCTAAAAAAACGTGGAAGATCCGATTTTGATCTTGAATTAAGTGACGAAGAAGATGATGACCTACGTCAATACCGTATAAAGAGGAGAGAACTGATGAAACAAAGACGTCTAGATCTAGGTGAAGATAAACTAGTCCAGAACCCGAGATCTAAGGCTTTCTTTGAAAGTATGGTAGAAGATATCGAGGATGCTAAGAATCCGTTTGGAAACTCAGAAGTAGTCGACGATACCCAATCTACAACAACAAATGGAGAGACACAAGAGATACCAGAAAAGGACAGTAGTGAAAGTCCTGAAGCCGACTCGAAAATAGGTGACATATCTAAAAAATTCACCTTATCAGAAGATTTTGTTCACAGAAGTTTATCGTTCCTTAATGAAACAAATAAGGATGTTGCTGAGATAGAAAATGATAGAAAATTAGCAAGAATCCAACATGGAAAAGACATCGATGACTTGAATACTTTAAAAAAACAAAGCTCAATCAAGTCTTTCAAATCTATACATAGCTCACAAAGTAGTATTGTGGATCTCGCATCAGATGATACCCAATCCGAATCTAATCATACAAGAAATCATGGCCAATTTGATCATGATGAAGGTATTTCACGTTTTAGAAATCCATCAATTCTTAAATTATTTGGTTCAAAGACAGATGTTAACGATAAGTTTAGAGAAGGAACTAAGTCTGTTAAGGTAACGAACTCATACAGGACAGTCGGTGGTAATAAATCCTCAATTACATACATGGGCAAAAATAGAAAATTGGTTCCACCGAAGAAGAAAAATAGAGGGTTTTTAATTGGTTCAGACAGACGTTCAAAACTAAATCAATTGTTTAACAGTCACACAGATAGTTTTGAATAATTCTAGTCATCAACCCGACATTACTGAACTCGCAGAAGCTGACATTCCTGCTTCAACCAGCATAGGATAATTGTATCAAACACTACGTACACATATAATAATAAATATATATATTTACAAATCCGCAAAGATTTAAGTTTGAATATTACAAATTATTTGAATAGAATGATAACCCACCCTCTTAAACAGTAATTGAGTATATGTTACCTGATTAACATGAGTGAATTATGTCATTAGTCTTCCTAAGAAGAAAAGTGTTAGATAATTAACTGGGCAGCGCGGAGTTCGCCGTGGTAAGTATTTCACGATTAATTTAACAGAAAAAAAAGGTAATGTAAGTTATAGATGAAAAAGAAGAACACCAGACACTACAACTCCAAGAACTGTCGAAGAAGAAAGCGTGCTACCTCTATCAAAGAGACATAACCAACAAACCTTCTTTTTAGTTATAGTATTAATTTTCTTCTGTCGAGTTATACAATAGTACAATTCCATATACCAAATATTGCGAACCACTGTTAAAAATGGAAGCAGATAGAATTCAAGGTGATGAAGATGTTCAACATAAATTTGTTAAACTACAAGCAGCATGTGCAGCTCTTAAAGAATCAATCAGGACAATCTATGGCAATTCTTTATCAAACGAAGAACTCAATAAATTAGCCTCGGGAAATAATGAGTTGGAGAAGATGATAGCCAGCTCTCCTGCTGTTTTAATCTCGACATCTCTTAACGATGCCAAAACAAACCTTAACATATATGACCTGTTCGATTATTACAAATTCAACTCAGAAATCTTTGATAAGCAAAGTCTTTTTACTGCTCCAGAAATAATGTCAAGTGACTTACAAGAATTGGTTTTTTCTCACAAGGAACTCATTGTTTCCGAAAGGGTTGAAGATAATGAAACTCTAGTCCACGTAGGTGAAGATTGGTTAAACGCTCTGTTGTCCGAAATTATTTATAAGAAATTCCCATTCTCGAACACAAGAGCATTCCTCAAAATTAAGCAAGAAATATTAAATGAGGATTACTTATCTGTTTGGACAAGTCAAATTCCACTATTCGTGAAGTTCGAGAATGAGATTTTGGCTGCCCCAAGGAACAAAGACATAAGCGAAGGTGAATTGTCCCATATCAAAAGCGATTGTTTCAAATCTTATGTTGGCGCATTGGTAATTGAAGACAATAACATAAGTACCAATGATATTACTGTTTGGTTGCGTTCATTATTCCAACCTTTAATTCAAAAGATTCAATACAATCATTTAAACGGACTATACTCAGGCAACGCTAAAGAGCAACTAACTCACTTCATGGAAAATAATAAGTTCGGACTAGACCTTCATTTTGAAACCGAAGTTAAGACTTCTGAATCTGTTTCTTGCCAGATCTACTTAGGTAATAAAATAATCGCATCAGGCGAAGGTTCTGATGACCATGACGCCGAAGAAAATGCTGCTGCATCTATTTTACTCAACAATTCTATTATTTCAAAGTATTCAATCCATCCATTCAACGAAGGAGAAGCCAAAAATCTTGCGCTGCCCATGAAGAAATCTGCAAACCTTGTCGAACATGTACCTTCTCAAGAATCACCTATTACAGAAAATGCGAAGGTTGATAATGATACGAAGATCAAGGAAAAGGATGAGTCAAGTTTCTTATTACAAGATGAAAAGGAGAAACACCTAGTGGGGCAAGAGACTCCAGTAAAAGAAGAGAAAAAAGTGAAACAAGATAATGCTGCTGCTGATGACAAATTTACTGAAAGAACCGAAGAGGAAATGAAGGCCCTCCCTCTAAATACTGCTGCAAGTAAGACTGACAAGGCCACTTTATACAGAGAGATTGGTATGTTTAATCACTATCCACAATATATTACTATCCAATTAAGTCTAAATGATTTCTACTCTAGTTGCCATATCTTGAATAAACCTAATTCCTGTTTGGGTGGGGGCCGTGGTACAAACAAAAAGATTGCCGAACAATGTGCTGCCACTGAAGTTCTGAAGACTAAATCTTATAAAAAGTTCTTTAAAACTGAAGTTAATCATGATAACGATGATGATTCTATCCATTTACTTACGGATGATGAAGAGGACACAGCCACGGAAGCAAACCCAAACGATCCAAATTCAATTGAAAACTCGAAATACTTTAAATCTTCCTATTATTTGGATCTTGTGTTACATGAAACTTGTGATAAGCTTGCGATGACTAATCTTTACGCAGAACTAGGTAAGTTTGGTTTCCAACCACAATATGAGACGCAAACTATAGATACTAACGATTTTTATTCATTCTGTTTTGTGAAGAATACATCTATAATCATTGGTGAGGGACGTGGTACTTCCAAGAAAACATCACAACAGATTGCAGCTACATCTGCACTTGAAGGGGAGGCATTGAAGGAATTTGTTAACAGCTAGGTATATTTTTGGAAATAAAGTCCTTCACTTCTTAGCATTACTAGTTGCCAAAAGAAGACAAATAAGAAAAAAAAACTGTGCGATTGGATAGAATATGTATTAAATTTTGATATAATTAATATTATATATGTATATACATGCTTGTACTACAAAGCATGATCGACCTATTAAAAGTAACAACAAATTACAAGATTAATTCAGTATCCAAAGCTTCATGTAAATCTGAAAATTTAACATTTTTATGACTTTCTAAAGTATATTCACTGAAATTCGTAGATAAACATTGCGTTGTATCTTTATGTTTCCTGTGATTAGAATCACAATATGCATTATTACTAAATGGATTTCTGTGGTTCAGTTGCTTTTGATTTGGAGTTGTCGAAATGACTGTTGATATTACAATAGTATCATTTGATACTTGCTTTCTAAATGTTTGAATATTGCTCTTTCTAGTTATATTAGAAGGAATAACGTTATTGAGATCATCCTTACCTACTTCTGATGTTAAAGAAAGTGGGTACCTATTGAAAACGTTCCAACTATCGAAAAATGATGATTTAGTTGGCTTTTGAGGTTCATCATTGGTTGCTGTTCTAATTTGTGTGTTCATATCTTTCATAACTGAGTGTAATAAATCTGTTGATCGTATCCTTTGAGTAACTGGTTGAGAATGTGCAGTAGTCGATGTACGAATTGATGTTCTAGCAAAAATAGGATTAGAATTAATTTGTACACTTCCAGAAATAGCTGTAGTTGGATTATTATAACTTGTAGAGAACATTGAAAATTTTAATGGCTTTGATTTTTTCTCCAATAGGATTGAATTTCTTGTAGATAATATACTCTCATGAGAATTATAACGTCTTAGAGGCTCTAATTGTTGTTTTGAATTAGTATTGATGATAGGACTATTACATTGCATAATAGTGTTTTGGTCAGAATCATAATTACTATATTCATTGTAATCATCACTATCGTAATCTATATCCGCATCTTGACTTTCATTAGTTCTTGTATATTCCTCTTCTTCACCGACTAATGATAAAGAGAGTCTATTTTTTTGTTTAAATAATCTTTGGTATTCATTATCAATGTGTTTTGAATTTTTTCTTTCTTCTGATTTTGTAATATTTAAACCATCAGTATAAGATTTTGTTGATCTTAAAGTTTTTTCTTTTAAAAAATGAGATGATGATTTATGATTATTAGTATCAATAAATGATTGAACGTTTTTTGATTTAATTGGAGAACTTGGTAAAGAATTATGACAAGATAAACTCCTAAAAGTATTTTTTGGTATTATTAATTGGTCTGATATTTTTCCATTATTTTTTTGTGTATTTGATATTGGTTGGTCAATTTCTAATAATAAACTATCTCTTTGTCTTGAATAAATCTTCAAAGGTTTTGGTTGAAATGAATCATTAGAACTATCAGTTGTTTGAGAACTTGGAGATGAATTAGTATTAACAATTATCCTTTGTCGCTGTGATAATTTATTTAATTTATCTGTAATATCTTTATATTCAAAGACTAAATGTTTAACATAATCATCCGGATTTTCAATCATTGTTGAAGAAGCTCTATTATTACTATTAAAATTTTCTAATTTTTGATTTAATTTATCTCTAACATATTTTGATCTAATAAATAATGAATTTAATTGTGCAATAAATAAAGTATATTCATCTTCAAAAATTTGTCCCGTTATTTCATCTTGACATTTTTTCTGTTTCATCCAAAGATCTAATTGTAATATAGTCTCTTGTGATTTGATTACTAGTTTATCAGATATATCTACTAAATTCTGTAAAGTCATCTTTTATAACAAAAAAAACTTTTAGCAAAATGAAGAAAACTATAGATGGAATATTTAGTTAATGAGACAACAACCAGCGTAGTTAGCTATACTTAACTGGAAATATAGTAGAGTATGCTTATATTATATCTATATCCAAAAATAACGTCGATATCAAATTGACTATATATATAAATAACAAGACTAAACTTAAGTTAAATAAACTCTATATTGATTGCATCTCATCTTTACTGTTTTCCGATCTACCTCCCAGTATTATTTTTCATGCAGCAAATACTGTTTGCCGTGTATGTCAATATCTCTCTGTTTACAATTTTCATATTTTTTTTCATGAATTTGTCAAAAAGTGGTATCATTCCGTTCCATTCTATTTTTCATTTATTTATTTATTTATTTTTTTAAGTGTATTATTTTATTACCCGGTTAGGGCACGAACGGGATGTCCCGGCTTCTCGAATCCTATGAAAAATAGTTCATCGAGACACAGCTTCGGGTAGCCGAGATGCAATTTTTTTTTTGAAAATTTGGCTGTGGAGATGTATAACCGCATCTCAAAACAAACGACTTGTGCTATATATGTTATTTTTGTTTATCATACGGAGACACATCTCCGTAACCCCCCCACAGCCAAATCTTATTTATTTATTTATCTTTTTTTTGTCACAATCGGAAATTGGGCAAAAACAGGACAGACACATCTCAGACAGATAAAAAGATATCTCTCTCTTTCTCTGTTTATATCGCTACAACAAAGGCAATACATCTCCATTTTTAATCAGCAACATTTCAAATATTGATTATCTTAGACATATAATCTACTGCATCTTGTCTTCTTTTATTTATTTTTTTGACATTTCTTTTCGTTCACTCTGATTAAAATGGTGAACGAATTTTAGTTAAATCAGAAAGTGAGAAGGGGACCCTTACAAGACCAAATGTTTCTATAATTCGATCCTCTGTACTAGATTCAATAGAAGAATGGGTAGTAAGATATCTTAATAACATCTTGTAATGTATCTATTAAAATTCTTATATTTATTAAAGGTATATAAAGAGACCATATTTTAGGATTTTGAAACTTTTTTTTAAAACACTCACTCACTCACACATGTGTGGTTGTTCTCTAACTATTCATATTTTTATTTACTTACATTCAGATTCTATACTTTTCTCATATTAAGCATCCTAACGCACAATAATGTCTGTAGTATACAATAAGACTCCCTTATTAAGGAAAGTATTTCAAAACTCTCAAAATTTACCACAATTTTTTTTAAAATATGAATGCTTACAACCAAGTGGTAGTTTTAAAAGTAGAGGTATTGGTAATTTAATTTTAAAGAGTGCAACACAAATTAATAAAATTGGTAATAAAAAACCTCATGTTTTTGCAAGTTCTGGTGGTAATGCAGGTTTTGCAGCTGCAACGGCTTGTAAAACTTTAAATTTACCTTGTACTGTTGTTGTTCCAAAGGCAACAAAACAAAGAATGGTCGAAAAAATTAAAGATACTGGTGCTAATGTAATTATTAATGGTGCTCATTGGAAAGAAGCTGATATTTTTTTAAAAAATTCAATAATGAATAAAATTGATAATAATTTAATTGAACCAATCTATGTTCATCCATTTGATAATCCACAAATTTGGGAAGGTCATTCAACTTTAGTTGATGAAATGATTGAATCTTTAGAATCACAAAATGTTCCCTTAACAAAAATTAAAGGTATAGTTTGTAGTGTTGGTGGCGGCGGACTTTATAATGGTATTATTCAAGGTTTAGAAAGATTTAATCTTGCCAACAAAATCCCAATTGTTGGTGTTGAGACCAAAGGTTGTCATGTATTTAATACCTCTTTAAAGATGAATAAACCAATTCAATTCGAAAAGATTACAAGTATTGCTACATCTTTAGGAACAGCAAATATTTCAGATAAAACTTTTGAATATGCTAAAAAATATAATACTAAATCAGTTGTTGTTGAAGATATTGATGTTATTGAAACTTGTTTAAATTATACTCAAAGTTCTAACATGGTCACTGAACCTGCATGTGGTGCTGCAATTCATTTAGCTTACCATACTGATATCTTAGAGAAGGCATTAGGACAAAAATTGTCAGCTGATGATGTTATCTTAATTATTGCATGTGGTGGTTCTTCCAATACTATTAGCGATTTAGAAACAACTTTAGTTAGGTTGAAAGAAGAGAAATCTTTGAAAAATATTCCGTTTATTAATAGTACACTCACCGAAGGTGAAAAACATACACTAAGATTAAAATCTCTATAGAGATTTTAATATGTTGACAGTTATTATGTTCACACATTTGAAGTTTAATGATAACAAATAACGTTCATATATATTTTTTTTAAATTTTACATATTTACATTCATTCATAATTTATATATTTATATCCATTCATAACCAAGCGTTTAATTTATTAGTAAAACTATTAGTATCGAATATCTATTCGCTCCACATTAATTCGCGAGAATGTCGGAATGTCTGTATATGTTTATTTTTCATAGTTTTCCACCTGTGAAATTTATCGATAACAATGAAAGGCCTGGCGGTGCCCGCCAGGCGTACGCCATAACGTGACAAAGTGACAAAAGGGACTTGGCGTCACAGTCATCGTTTTTTTTTTGGTTAGGCGCGGCGCAGACGCAAATTAAGAGTAAACTAAAATAGCAAACAAATAAAGGGAAAGTAATAATATAGAAAATAAGCAGAGGGAGTGGACATGGTGCAACAGACAGATTTCAATTATATTAGCAAAGTATGTAATTTTTAATAAATAGAAAGGTTCAGAATGAGTATTTACTAACACCTTAGTAGGATATCCTCGATTCGGGACTTAGTTTGCATGAAAAGAAGGAACTTTTAAAAAGGTTGTACGATAACTACAACCTTCTGGTTGTACCAAAGAAACGTAAGAGAACCACTATTAGTAAGAGTACTAAAGAATTTTTGGAAAAAGTATTTGAAAAGAAACAGTGGATCACCAGGGAAGAAAGACAGATTGTGGCAATGGAGTGTGGTATCACACCATTACAAGTCAGAATATGGGTATGTTGTTACTTGTATACATTTACTACTCATCATTACATTTTACTAACAATATCATATATATATATATATATATATTTACGTTTTTTATTTACCATTTATTAGTTGTAGAATTTCTGAGGAAACTTGTACCGTCTTTTCTTTCCTACGTTTATTAGATACCCAGTTTTTAATTTGTGTTCTTGATAGTTGTGTCTGATATTGTAGTACTTCTGTACTTTTCTTGTCTAAATATGGTTTATGTTTATGGATACTATACCATTCTTCTAATACTTCTACATTCTGTTTAGAAAATCTATGTCCTCTAAAAGAATTCTGTTTTACATTATCCATATTCATCATATTTTGTGTTACTACATTAAACACAACTTCATCTTCTTTAGGGATCTTCTTTTCTATCTTCTTCTTTTTTTGTTCTTTAATAGGTTTTATATTTTCTTGAGTATTACTATTTAAAAAGTTGGCAACTATTGTTGCCAACTGAAATGATATTTTAATTAAATACCTTTCTTCACTGTCCAATCTACCTTCTCTCTTTATTATGCTGAGTTTAGTAATTATCTCATGAAGATCCATCTTGATCTCTTTTATATTTTCAAATATACCTTCTGGTAATGAAGAACATATATGTATTAATTTTGTATTTATTTGTTTTAATTCTGGTTTATACTGCCTCCTTTTGGAGGCAGGATTTAATAAATCTCTAATAGGTATTTTATTCATTGTTGTCATGTTGGTCGGTGATTATCTTGATATTTTATTGTAATGAAATAAGATAATTTCTTCCTCTTTTATATATAACTAAATTATTTATGATCCTCAACATTTTATAATAAAAAATTTATATATACTTTTTTTTCTTTTTCTTTTTCTTTTTTATTTTCTTAGTTCCTACTTTGCATCACTAGTAAAAAGATTTTGAGGTTAGAAAAACAAAAATCATGAAATAGATGTATATAAATACATCTATTTTAAAACAAGGATAATACAATTAATTAAATTATCTTCCCAATAAAATAACCAATCACAAAATATTATATTTTCGAAATGTTAAGCTCTAAAGCATCTTTTAAAGTAAATCTAACCAAGAAGAAATCTAAATCACTTAGACCAAAAACTATTTCAAAGATTAAAATAAATGACAAAAGAATTATTAACAAGAAGAAATTAAATTACTCTACTAGTGAATTTGTTATTGGTCCAAACCTTTCTCAAAATTTTATTCCTAATCCTAACATTATTGATACCATAACCTATGAAAGTAATATACAACAAACTAACACATTTAATAATATATTAAATAATATATACAGTTTAAATAACCTCGAGACACTTATTATGGACCCGGTGGTTTATCCACCTGGTCTATCTATGAATATCATGGTTAAGAAACAACCGTCTGATATATGTCAGAATAGAAAACTAAATGCATTTATTGCTTTTAGAATTTATTATTCTCAATTTGGGAAAGGCTTAAAACAAAACACATTATCAAACATCTTATCCAGAATCTGGCATTCAAATGAAAAAGAACAAAGACTATGGAACCGATTAACGCAGGAGTTTTGTAGAAAGAAATGAATATAGAGAGGGTCTAAGAGGGATTCCATATGAGTGCGTCTAAGTGTCTTCTGCCTGAGTCTAGGTCCAGTTGGTGGAGCGGGAGAAGGATAGGCGAGCGGAAGTAGAGCTGGAACACAATGTAAAGGCCTATGAAAAGGAAGATGGATATATATGCTGCGAAAAAATCAGATGTAGAAAACTTAGGTGCGAATGCAGTAAAGCCTTGAAGAATAATGATCAGAATCATGAAAAATGTCGCATAATACGCTAACCCAGGCATTAGTGATGCTTTGAAAGGAAGGTCATTTCGTGATATATTACGGTAACGTAGAGCCCTCATGAAACGAATATGGGCTAAAGAAATAAATAACCACGAAAAGAAACCTGCTACTGCAGTAATGTTTAGAAGCCAATTGGCGCGGTGTTTCAAATTTGATTTATTTTTTGTCCCTTAAATCGTAAACAAATCGTAGCGTAACGCTACAAAAACTCCAAAATAACAGTTTCATATAGCTATGGGTACATATATAACTTTTTCAATCTTCCTAGACGGATGCTATGAGGTCAGAATGAGTTCGGCAACCAATTAGCACTGTATCTAGGCACTCTTTGAGCGAAGCTCAAAGATCATCTTGTATAAAAAGAAAATTTGGTAAAAGAAGTTACCAAAGGAAGGATTATGGAGTATTACTATACATTCCAACAGGTTATCACTTGTAACATATATCACTTGTAAGGTAACTTTTCTTGAAATTTGTCGTCTCCGAAAGTGACAACAAAATCAGTAAACAGCAACCCGAGACATCCATAACATTTACATCTCTCTTGAACAATCAGAAAGCATTATTAATTGTAGTCACAACTATGACATATTCCCCGCTTGAGGCTTGTAGATATTGTTTAGTTATAGGTTTTGTAGTCTATCATCATTGGTAAAATTGTTTATTTTGAGTCTATAATCATGATCCTGATATGTTGACATATATTTTTTTTATGACGCCTGCATTTCCAAGAAGCGAATTCGTGTCAACCTCATCGCTTCATTTAGTCAGCAATGAAAAAAATATCCGAGCCTTTCTGGCTAATAATTCAATTAATCATAGCAACTAATACAGTTAGGGATAAAAAAGGAGGGTAATTTTTTTAGTACGACATGCCAATGCCTGAGTATCGCAATATTGACCAACATTCTAATACTTTATACCAAACACTTCTATACCCTCTTTTGGTTTCAAGTCTATACCTCAATACTAGAACAATAAACTAATATAGTGAAGACATTTATTGTTAAAAAAATCCAAAACTGAGTAGTTTCTCAAATCTTACGTTATATCGATAGATAACATCCATTCATAGGAATACTAACTTCCATTTTAAAAAAAAAATTGTTAGGTTCACATAGAGAAAACAAGATCGACTTAGTAAAATCCTAACTTACTGTTCAATGTCACTTCATAATGTACCTAAGTGTGTCAGCGTTTTGGATCGCATAGTATATGAAAGGTAAAAGGAAAAAACTCTTGGCAAAAATCTAATTTATGAATACACAATTACTAAAAAACATTACTTATTCGACAGTGGGATACTCCGAAAAAGTAGTGGGAAGGTGACACCACAAACAGGTTCAATTACGTAGAAAATCATCAGTATGTGTATAAAACCAGCAACAACAATTAAATCAAATTCCGGTTTTACTTTGTTTTTCTTCTGCTGCTTTGAGAAAATTGAAACTGAACTAACATGAAAATACATATCGCACTGCCGAGATAAATCTAACACATAAGTTTGCAGTAATCGTAATCGCTTACATTAGGTCGTAAAATAAGAGACACTGTAACCATAACTTTTATTATGTCGAGCTCTTAACGTAACGTTTATAAGTCCCTAGAGAGGGCCCCTCACTTCAAGAACACTTGGTACTGCCATTTAATGAAAAAAGAAATCCACACAGTTTAATAGACTAAAGGCTGTTGATCTTCCCGTACAGCATTATTAGTAGTCCTCTTTTTTACCATTTTTTGTTGAGGGAAAACTTATTGTTTCCGGTGTTGTTAAAAGATTTCTACTGACTGCCTGCACTAAACATTACGCATCGTGAATTTGTGTGCAAATCAGAGAAAAAAAATAATAAATTCGCTAACACGCCTGGTGCTCGCGTCTTTTTGTTTACATTTCTGAAAGTGAAAAAAAAAATCAACAAAGGAAGATGAACAAAAATTACAGAGAGAGAGAGCATCGCAATTTTAGGAGAGCTGCAAGCCTGCATAGACGACTCGTATACATGATCCCGGTGCAGTGTATTAGACATACTTTAATTATGCGATTTCATTTCTACATGGTTAAGTGATTGCAGTACCTACGTCTCATTCTCAATAACTAAATTGTGTGATATCATGGTCTGCCCCATTGTTCTAGATAGTGATTGAAAGAGGCAATTATCACACTTTTGTAGGTACAACCTCAGGCAGACAAAAAAAATTGTTGGATTAGAAAGATTTCTTTAACTGCATAGTTATATGCTCGTTTGGTTTTTTTATTGAAGAATTATTTAAAATCTCTGTGAGAGAAGCAATGCCAATACTCAAATTTTCTGATACGTTCAAGAGAAAAATATCACCAAGTTATTTATTATATAAAGATGCTGTCAACCTAAATTTGTTTCTTATTTCGTCCATGTGGGATGGTGGATTGTATTTTACACCTGAAAATTATTAAACAAGATAAATAAAGCTTTGACAATAGCAATAAATACTGAGAATAGGTTCAATTCAGTAATTAAATCACTATTTTTTTTCTTTATTACTAGCGTCAAAGAAAAAAATAAAGTAGAAAGAAAATATGTTATTGAAGGATCTTATTTTGTCAGCTACCTTGGTGTCTTTAGTTGAGGTCGCTAATGCTTGGTCCCCAACTAATGGCTATGCTCCAGCGACAGTTGATTGTGATAAGAATATTAATTTGACTAGAGCTGCTTCTGGTTTATCCGAATCAGAATCTTCATGGTTACAAAAGAAGGATGCCTCTACAAAAGAAGCATTACTGAGCTTTTTAACTCGTTCTACTACAAACTTCACAGATACATCTCTTCTGGATGCTCTTTTCAAGAATTCTTCCGATATCCCAAGAGTTGGAATTGCTGCATCAGGTGGTGGTTATCGTGCTATGTTTGGTGGTGCTGGTATGGTTGCAGCCATGGATAATAGAACTGAGGGTGCGAACGAATATGGGTTAGGTGGTTTATTACAAGGTACTACCTACCTATCAGCTTTATCCGGTGGTTCTTGGTTCGCTAGTACTATTGTATTCAATAATTGGACTTCTGTTCAAGAGATAGTCGATCAAATGAGTGATACAAACAATTCTATTTGGAATACCGCTCAATCCCCTTTCACCCCAGGTGGAACCAACAATACAATCACTACTGAAAGATATGCAAACATTACTTCTGCAGTCAACGATAAGTACAATGCTGGTTTCCCAGTTTCCTTAGCTGACGTATGGGGTCTTGCATTTGCTTATTCTTTTTTCCCAACTTTACCTCAAGGTGGTGTAGGTTATACTTGGTCCACATTACAAGAAATAGAGCAATTTACTAATGCAGAAATGCCTTTCTTAATCGAATTAACAAAAGTTCAAAAGGCCAATGGTGACTCAGTTGACCTAAACTCACCAACAGTCGAAATAAATCCATTCGAAATCGGATCCTGGGATCCATCCATTAATGGTTTTAGTGAAGTTAAATATCTAGGTACTAATGTTTCTAATGGTATTCCTATCGTTGAGGGTAAATGTGTGGAAGGTTTTGACAACGTCGATTTCTTTTTTGGTACATCCAGTAATCTAATCGAATATATTGATGCCTCTAACGTCACTACTTACAAGTATCTAATCAATGAATTAGCTACATTATTTTTAGGTAACCAAAGTACTAGCAGCACCCGTGATATGGCCTTGTACTCTCCAAACCCATTCAAAGGAACTAGCTTTTATGATAAATCCAATGGCACCGTCAGTGAATATGTCACCGATGAAGAACTTCTAATGATTGATGGTGGATCTGATGGACAAACTATTCCTTTCACCCCATTAATGAGAAAAGAACGTAATGTCGATGTTGTGTTTGCGTTAGATTACAGTTCCGATGGTAGCGATAGTTATCCAAATGGTTTATCTGTCGTTAACTCATACGAGCGTCAATTCTTAGACATTGGTAAGAATGAAGCCTTCCCATATGTTCCTGGTGTGGACGCCTTCGTGGAACTTGGTTTGAACAAACGTCCAGTTTTCTTTGGTTGTAACTCTACCAATTTGACAGATTTGGCTTATATACCGCCTTTAGTTGTTTACCTACCAAACGCTGAATACTCCTATGCCTCTAATGTTAGTACTTTCCAACAATCCTTTGATGTTACTGAGCGTAAGGAACTAATCCAAAATGCTTTCGAGGCTGCTACTATGGGCAATATGACTAAGGACCCAGAGTTCTTAAGTTGTATCGGTTGTGCAGTTATGAGACGTAAACAAGAACAACAAAACCTGACTTGGCCAGAGGAATGTGAAAAATGTTTCTCTAAATACTGTTGGGATGGTTCATTGAGTAAGAGTACTTCAGTGTCCAACACTACCTCTAGTACTTCTAACAATGTTACATACTCTAACGCTACAGGAATAAGTGGTACTACTGCTGTTCCAACAGCCGACATAAGCTCGTCCGTCTCCTCTGTAGTTAGATCCGCAAGTGCTACAGCTTCATCAAATTCCAGTACCAGTGCTAGATCTACGAATTTTGGTACTGGTTTAAATATTAATAGAGGATTTTTGTTGTTCTCATTTGTGAACATATTCCTAAGTATCATCTAGGCCAGTTGCATACCTATTACATTACATAATATATAAAATCAATACCACTACGTACGTAGCTCAGACTATTATACATTTCATCTTATATTTCCGTGCAAAAGGGTAATGGGCGATACAAATAACTTCAGTTGACTGTGTACGTACTAGTTTGTTGGAATTTAATTATGCGAAACAATTTGAGTATCAATTTCGCTGCTTACTGCTCTTACATCCAGTACATGTTCAGTGAAAAAATGTGGACGTTGAAAAAAATGATTTCCTAAAAACACGTGACTAAAAATTTATTTGGTTTAATTGACCAATAAACGAAGAGTAATTTCAAATATGCTGATTACTAAGCAATCGCTTCATCCGAGAACGTCAAAAGAAAAACAATTTTCGCTACGTAAGCCGTTTAACATTTTTTTCCTTTCAACCAACAACTATATTATTTATGTGCACCCTTTTTGTTGCTAGATTATCTATTCCAGGATATGTACATATATATATAAGTATGCATATTTGAAGAAGAATGGGACATTACTTTTACTTCTCTTTTTATCATTTATTCTATAATTTATGTTCCTTTTGCCAGTATTTTATTTTTAAATCCTACAGTGATCAAGAGCTTTAAATCTGTATTTATAATAAATGACATTTCAATTGATATCATAACCTTTTGAGAGGTAATTAAGCGAAGGAGCAAGTAGTTACTAATTACAGATCATTTTAATGGCACCATAATAAAAGTGAATCATTATAGATATTTCGATGTCATATGAAATGGTATACATGATCGAAGAAAATTAACCTCATCATGAATACATTCTACCGCAGAGAGTAAATGATGAATGGAAATTAGAAACATCCTCAAAACATATAATTTATCTGAGAAATGGGGAATCCGGCTGCAACACATTAGTAACCCAAACCATGCTATTATAGACTGACATTTAATGGATGATCAACGTTAATCAAAATCCTGCCAATGCACACTTCGAGAGTAATCGACAGTCCTGAAACGCACGATTTTGATTTGTATATCAGATTACTCTAGATTGTCCATAATCAGAGTAATAATAAGTTTGATTAAAACATATTTGCCATTTATTTTCTTTCGTTCTGTGAAACAGAATGCTGCCTTTTCACGGTTACACGAATCTGTGGACATTTGATAAATGCACGTGATTTTTTTGAAAATTTCAGTTTTCCTAAAGTAGATCGTAATTTGATACAACAAGTTATGAGGTACGTAATGGGTCTGATAGATCCTGGTTCCTGAAAAATAATATGCATATTATACTGTCCATGCTTATGCGGTCATGTGCTGTTACAGGTTTGACTTTGGTTCTCTCTACTACATTGACAGATGACTTAATATACCGTAAGTGAGTAAAGAAAAAAGTGTGGTACGTATTAATTGCCTCTCTAAACGCGTATCTGACATTAAACAACGAAATTCTCGAGGCACAATATGTAATTACAAGATACAACAGGCAAGACGAAATAAATATCTTGAAAAACAGAAGGTAATGACTGCTAAATTGATACTATTACAGCTAAAATTTTGCTCAGAGTTTGAGAAAATTAATACAATAACATCACACCTGTCAATTCCACACCTTAGCTCATAATTTACTCTGAAATGACATGTCATTCGGGATGCCTTATAGTTCCACACTTTATGACCTTGTTGAAGATACCCATGAATAGCAAATTATTAAAATGTTATTAACCCAGAAAATAATCAAGATATTGTAGCTGTAAGTAATGTTATCATATATATATAGCAAGGCAAATGTTGTAAATATTCGAATTGATTAATGTTAGATATATACATGTATTTCAAATTCTTTTTAGCTTATTCTGAAATTGGGTAAGCTCTCTTAGACACTCAAGAAACCAAAGCTATAGTGATGAAAAACTTATTTCAGTTATTATTACAGCGTGCTGAACTTGACAAACAAACAAATCTTTTTGTGACTGTAGATACTAAGGACCAATTCGGTACCAACGGTACATATCTGCTAAAGCAAAATGATCCATTTGCCTTAATTAAGGAATATACAACTCCCAACCAATTGAATACTGTATTCACTGACGACTACACCTTGTTGAAAGCGTTGCCTCATCTATCTAATTTTAAGGACACAGCTATTGTCATTAATGTCTGCCTCACTTATAAAGATTATTCTGTGATTCCTGCCCTGAAAGATTTGAATATTATTAGTTTTATCTCAAATTCAAACACTGCTGCTATTCATAATACTAACTTGGCTAATACTGTTGCCTCAAAGTGCCATACTGCGGTATTACACTTCATCAACTATGAGAATTCCGATCAAGATCTATTAAGTGAAACAGATATGTTTATCCCAATTGATACTATCCATAAAGATCAAGCATCAACTAGTGATGAAATCCTAGCCGATCTTGACTACTTTACATTATCATCTACTGGTTCCAATTCTCCTTCCGTTCTTATTGTTAATTTGTCATCGTATGAGAACGAATTTAAGGATAATTTACCATCTTTGGTCTCTTTAATCAATATTAATATCTACCGACCATGGAAAATCGAAAAATTCCTCAACCTCGTTCCTTCCTCTATCCGAAAGATTGTCATTGTCCAAGGTTCTTGTAAGGAAAACAATAATTCTCAAATCTATTCTATCGAACCACTGCTTCTCGATTTTTTTAGTGATTTCAACAAGTTGGTAGAGAGAAATATTGATCAAGTAATCCTTACTAGAGTAGGTTTGATTAGTTCCACATCTATTTTAGACTCTTTGGATATCATTATTGCTAATGTTAAAAGAGATTCACCAGTTCACAATCTATTTGTTGGTAAATGTACGAGTGAAAGCGACAACACTTATTCAGATTTAATTCTTTCTTCTATTGAACATACACAAACTTTGGAGAATGCCTACTTTAAAGTTTTACATCAGTTGTTTGCATCTAATTTGAAAATTTTGAATGAATTCAACAGTGACTCGATTAATGCCAATTCTCCAGAATATGGATTTGGATACCTATTAAATTTTCAAGAGAAACGAAATGAACTAGTCAACCTAATCAAGAACTCACTTGATGCAACATTATTTGGCGAGATTCCAACCACTGAAGCAACAGAATTAGTCGAGCTTTTATCAAAATGGGTTGACTTTCAATCTAACCATGATATATCCCTTGAACAAGCTAACGATATCAGCGCTAAAATTTTCGGTATTTTCCAGGAGTATTCATATAACCAAGCAATTAGGTCCTTCTTAGATATTGCACCTACCCTAAACGATTACTTGTTTAAATCAAACTGGTTGATTGGATCTGATTCTTGGTCGTATGATCTCGGAACTTCAGGTGTTCATCAAGTATTGACGTCTAAACAAAATGTTAACATGCTGATTATCGACTCTGAACCATTTTCGTCAAGAAAAAATGTAATCAATAAATATAAGAAGAACGTAGGTCTATACGCATTGAATTTTCACACTGTGTATGTTGCTTCAGTTGCTGTTTACTCATCCTATACGCAATTATTGACTTCTATTATAGAGGCTGCAAAATTCAACGGTCCATCTATCATTATCGCTTACCTACCATACTCATCCATGACTACCACTCCAATCGATATTCTCAAGGAATCAAAAATTGCTGTTGAATCTGGATATTGGCCACTGTATAGATATGACCCTTCTATCGAGAATGAAGAGAACTCTTTTAAACTAGATTCTTCTAATATAAGAGCGGAACTCCAAGAGTTCTTGGATCGTGAAAATAAACTAACTCTACTAACAAAAAAATATCCTTCAATTGAACCATGTATCGAACAATCTGTTTCTGATGTTATAGCTGGAAAGAGAGAACTTAAAAATGCAGCTGCTCTAGATGAACTACTTAATGGCCTGGCTGGCCCACCCCTAAAAATTTATTATGCGTCTGACGGCGGAAATGCATCTAATGTTGCCAACAGGTTATCTACGAGGGGTGTTGCTAGAGGATTGAAAGCATCTGTATTATCCATGGAGGATATAATCATTGATGACTTATCTGGTGAAAACAATATCGTTTTAATTACATCAACTGCTGGCCAAGGTGAGTTTCCACAAGATGGGAAATCATTCTGGGAACAACTGAAGTCTGTAGGTCAATTAGATTTAAGTAATCTCAAATTTTCTGTGTTCGGTTTAGGTGACTCTCAATACTGGCCTCGTAAAGAAGATATTCGTTATTACAACAAACCCTCTAAGGATTTGTTTTCCAAATTAGAATCGCTAGGGGCAACGGTCTTAATTCCTCTTGGTCTAGGTGATGATCAGGATGATGATGGCTATGAGACCGGTTATCAGTTATGGGAAAACCAATTATGGATGGCCTTAGGAGTCGACAATGTAGCTGTAGATGAAGAACCGAAAGAATTAACCGCAGAAGATGTAAAACTACAATCTAATTTCCTTCGTGGTACACTAGCTGCTGATTTAGTTAATGATACTTCAGGTAACATCACTGGCGAAAACACTCAAATTGCGAAGTTCCATGGATTATACATGCAAGACGATCGTGATATAAGAGGTACTCGTAAAGGACAGGGATTAGAACCATTATATGCTTTTATGGCTAGAGTAAGAACTCCTCACGGTACTGCTACACCAGAGCAATGGCTATTACTGGACAAGTTATCAAATGAAACAGGTAATGGTACTATTAAGTTAACCAACAGAGCAACTTTCCAGTTACACGGTGTATTGAAGAAAGATATCAAACATACTATCAGAGCTATGAACTCTCTATTAATGGATACATTGGCTGGATCTGGTGATGTCAACAGAGATGTTATGATTTCTGCAGTTCCTGAAAATGCAAAGATTCACGACCAGCTTGTCACAATTGGAAAACAAATATCAGAGTACTTTTTACCAAAAACAACTGCATATCACGAAATTTGGCTAGAAGGTATAGATGATCGTGATGATAACCAAAATTGGTCATCCATATTCGAAAATAGACCAGATGGCCCAAGAAAACAGAAATCAATGGTCAGTGGTCACGCCTTAGTCGATATTGAACCAATATACAGTCCTGTCTACTTACCAAGAAAGTTTAAGGTTAACATTGCCGCTCCCCCATATAATGATGTAGACGTTTGGTCAAGTGATGTGGGTTTAATATCCATCATTAATCCAGAAACAAAAATTATTGAAGGATTTAATTTTCTAGCTGGTGGTGGTATGGGTACAACCCACAACAATAACAAGACATGGCCAGATACTGGTAAACTCCTTGGTTTTGTTACTCCTAATGATGTGATCAAAGCTATTGAAAGTGTAATCATATTTCAAAGAGACCATGGTAATCGTACTAATCGAAAAAATGCACGTCTAAGATACACAATCAATACTTTTGGGTTTGATAATTTCAAAAGCAGTGTCGAAGAAAGAATGGGTTTCAAATTCCAGCCTGCTAGATCCTATAGGATTGATTCTAATATTGACAAATTCGGTTGGGTTAAGGATGAAACTGGTTTAAATCATTTTACAGCGTTTATCGAGAATGGTAGAGTTTTAGACACTGTTAATATGAATCAAAAGACTGGGCTTAAAAAAATTGCTGAGGTTATGAAAATAAATAATTCTGGTAGCTTTAGGTTGACTGGTAATCAACACGTTATTATCAGTAATATCGAGGATCAACACCTACAAGGAATTAAAATACTACTAAAGGAGTTCCAACTGGATAACATCCAATTTTCTGGTCTTAGGTTATCCTCCTCCTCCTGTGTCGGTCTGCCAACTTGTGGTTTAGCCATGGCTGAATCGGAAAGATTCTTTCCTATTATTGTCACGGAAATCGAATCTACTTTAGAGGAGTTTGGGTTACGCCATGATTCGATTGTTTTAAGGATCACTGGTTGTCCAAATGGTTGTTCCCGCCCATGGCTAGCAGAAGTAGCTTTAATAGGTAAAGCACCAAATATTTACAACATAATGCTTGGTGGTGGTTACTCTGGCAACAGATTGAATAAGTTATACAAATCTAATATCAAAGATAGCGATATCTGTGAGATCCTAAAACCATTGTTTAAAAAATGGGCCCTTGAAAGAGAAGATGAGGAGCATTTTGGTGACTTTTTGATTAGAAAAGATATCATAAAGGAAACTACTGAAGGAAAGTTTATCCACGAGAACATTGCTCAAGAAGCCTATTAACATATATATTTGACATATTTATTTACTTTTTATATCGAAAGAGTGTAATCTAATTTATTTTGCTTTTACTAAACATAAAGTGTGAAATATTGGATGCTAGCATTTTGTTAGATATGACTTGTTCCGAAAGTGGGATCCAAAATAATGTTTGACTGTTAGTAACTATAAGAAAGATATATAAAACAAAATAACACACACACGGTTATTTTGTTATTTTATAATAATCTTGATGAATCCTAATTCTCCATAGAGCAATAGCATAAGCTTATTAAGAGCAAAGAAATAATAAGTGATACGACAAAAGTCAGTAATCAAAGATAATAAAATAGGCTTATCCGACTTGGTCTGAGATGAAGGGATTCTTGTATGAACAAGAAAATAACGCAATACCAAACATATATAAAGAGCAGAAATTATGGAAGTAAAAATATCTATGTCCTAAATATTATGTACATTAAATTTCGGGTTTGAAAGAGAACTACGAAGAATAAATTGTATAATATTACTAAATAACTTTGAATAAAAATAAAATTGACAAAATGGATTACGCTCTACAAGATAACATAAGCAGTAATGGAAACGCTTATCAAATCTACTACTTACCCAGAGAAAGTCACTCGAATTTGTTTGAGGTCTTAAGTGTCCGGACATCATACCTAGTGATCTCTCCCTCCCTGGAGGTTAAAAAAATTGAAGATCAAAACATTATATATTTTATTCATATCATATTTTAATTTAAAGGAATATATTACTATTTATCGTTACAAAAAGGTACATTACTTTGAACATATATTTGATAATTACCACCAATTCTGATAACCAAACTTTTCACCTTTTTCCAAGGTATAGAATTTTTTGTACTTGTAGTCATATGTGTTCTTATACACACTATTTCCCCACCAATTTAATTTACCTCCAGGATACTGGACACACAAAAATATAACAACAACAGCTATAGCTACACCAGCTTCAACACCGGCACCCATCACAAAATTGTATTTACTGAACCATTTTGGCCAATACCTTTTAATTGTAAACAGAATAGACGACATTGCAAAAAATAGGGAATAGTTATATGGAGTACTAGGCGGAATACCACCTGGTCCAGTGAAGAAGATTGGTGTGTGAATATGTTTCAAGAATTCGTTGTTTGGGAATTTTCTTTGGACAATATACACGATAATGGTTAATATAACACCTATAAGGAAAAACCATAAAAGAGGATTATAAATCCTACCAGGACTGAAAAGATATTTAGGCATGGACCAAATAATTGAGGCATTAAACACAGTACGACCATTGGAGCAGGTAAAACCATCCTTCTGATCTGCACTACAGAAATTTTCAATATTTTTTCTCATCCATTCTTGAATACCAACGCTCACTAAACCAGAAATAATGGTAGCATATATTTGAATTGCAAAAATAAACCTTGGAGCTATTTTCATATAAACGGCAAGTTTCAGATCTCTAGCTAAATTTAACCCTTGTCTCATGACAATAAATCCATACAATTTAAATAAAAGGTTAGCCATAGGTCTTAATGGTAGCATATAACCACAAACTAGTTCAGTAATAATGTTCAAACCTACATGTTGATTTGTCATAGCCTCAAGGATACCTTGAGGAACAATATTTATGAAAGCAATAATAAGAGCCACAACATATGCCCAAGCTGGGAAATGGGTTTTAAACGCACACACCGTGACAAATCCTAGTGCAATAGTAATAACTTGTAGTAAACCATACCACCAATCTGGACAGTCCCTATAATTATTAAGATATGTTCTCATATGAATATCAGCACCACCAAAATGTTTATCCTTCAATTTCATATAAATGTCCTTCCCATGATACAAACCGCAATGAACAAATACAGCAGTGACGGCAGCAAAATTTAAAGCGTATGATAATAAATATGAGAAAGGGATATAGACTGGAGAGTAATTCTTGTATTTTTCAAAATTGATACTGAAATCAGAATTTAAGATCTTGGTAACATCATATTTACTTTGTGTATTATCGTAAGTAGAACCAGATATAACAGGCATGAATTTAGCGTACCAAGTATTTGTGAAGTACAGACAAGGTAGAACAATGACAAAAAATATAAGTACCGATGCGTACGTATTCGCAGATACAAAAAATGGTGTGGCAAATACAGAACCTGACATTGCCTGTGAAATTTGGGTATAATCAAATGATATTGGTAATATACCTAGACCACTCTCTGCACCAAACAGAGTGTTTACCACAAAATTGTTCCTGGTCTTTGATCCCCATAAGACTACATTAAAATACGAAAGACCTTGAAATAAGAAACCTGGTACCCAATACCATACAAAACTGCCAATTAATACCCATAAAAAGAAGGTATACCTGGATATACTCCACCCATTAATTATTGATCTAGCTTCTTTTCTCTGGTGTAGGGAATCGAATAATGAAACTGATATTAATGTTTGGGGCCATATACAGCTTGCTGGATAAACTGTCCAACGCCTTGTTAATCCAGCAGCACCATAACCTAATATTTGTGAAGTCCATACTAAAAGTAGTTGATAACCGGCATTCACATCCATTTTATAAAAACTTATTTGAGCATTTAAGATATACATTGCATAAGCTGTCGAAGAAGTTAATGCTACGGCAATGGTAACTACGGCATGCTCTTTTTTAGTAAACGGTCCCGGGTTTAAATCGAAGAATGATAATCGTTTACATTTGATATCTGGTAGAAGAGCAAATAATTTTCCCACTGGGAAGCAAACAACCTGAGCCACTAAAAAATTTATTGTTAATGATGGATATCTTAGAGAGAAAAATTGGTTAACACCAGCAAAAATTATCACGAAAATGGTTGTTAAAAACCAAGTTCTCCAATGATTTAATGTAATACTTGAATCATCATCAATTGGAACAACAGCTCTGACATCTGGGTAAGGAGAATTATTCATATCGGAGACATCACCTTCCCAAACCGACATATCCTGGACTAAATGTTGCTTCTGAAGCTCCAGATCATTTTTATCAAAACCAAATTCTTTGATATCATTATCGTCCACATCTGAAGATGAACTATTTGGAAGTATTAAAATTTGTTCGTTAGTTATATTTATCTTTTTTTCTGTGATATTACTAATATCTGTAGTATGTGACGAAGTATCGTCTTGATGGGCTAGATCAAGTTCTGTCATAACAATGAATTTATCACTAATAGGCTTGACTAAAGAAAATCCGTAAAACGAAAGAACCACACAACAAACGAATCATAAAATTATAAGCTTATTTTGTTTTTGTTAATCATTCCAATTTCGAAGTACACACATATATATATATATACTTGAAAGTTCTAAGATGGTTAAATCTGCCCATGGAAAAATAGCAACATACACAGTTATAGATCTATTACCATCACTTTGAAGCCGCACAATTGAGACATGACATATTGCTGTAATAAAAATTAATAATGGTTGAAATTTTCTGTTCAAGAAGAAATAAAACAAATATGAGTACCTTCAAACAGTCATAATTAATTTACCTGAAGAAATTCATCAATCGATGTGTCAGCAATACAGCAGGTGCGATAAAAGCCTCAGTTTAAAGTGATAGGTAAATTCTCGGCGAAAAATGTAGCCACTCTATGATCTCTCAGAAAGTGACGTATCATATCAATACTTTAACAGACATTTTCCATCGACGTTCAATGTTAACTATCACCACAAACTGCAAACATATGAGATCCTAAACCAGCTCAAATGAAGTGGATATAATAAGGTTTGCCTTAGCTAAACATCTGAGCAATTCGACACAATTCTATGTCTTTCCGAAAGACAGGGAGGAAGAATCTTTGGATTCTCGAGGTCTTCATGCTGAGGTAACAGCGAAACCAAACATTTTAGTCTAAGTTTGTCCGTAGTTAAAGTGAAAAATAATTAAAGAGAGCCATACAATTTTTTCTTTTGCATTTTGCCGTGTCATGCCGAATTTACCACTTTTTGTCCGAATGGGTATTACGTATGTTTTTCAACCTCTTCCAATCTGTGTCTCTGCTGGAGAGATTTTGGCTCAGTTTTGCCGTTTGTGTTAGCCTTACATAATCAGCGAGATGAACGTAACAAATTCAATACTTTTGTAAGTATACGTAAGGGAGACAAATATATAGAAAATCGGTTACAACCGGTAGAAACCGAATGTTTAGAGATTAATAAAGCAAGGAACAGGGAACGATATTTTGTTTCTACTACTGAAAGATACAAAATGCGAGAAATTACATTACTTAAGTGCAATGGTGAAAAATTATGAAAATAGATTACGTTGATAGTGTGGAAGTCAATAATATTACATACACGACAGGGGATCATTCATCTGATTATCTTTTTTTTTTTTTTAAAATGATATTTTATAAAGAATATGTAAAGTTGATGGAATATTATGCTACATGACTGTTAGAATAGGAATTGATAAAATATTATAACTAGACAAATGTTTACACTGGTTAATGAAGCTGCATTACCACTATAGTCAAGGGAAAATGACGTAACTGAAAGTGTCACAAACTGTGGCCTGGATGTAGATAAAAATGTCTCTTCGGAAGAGTCGGTTTCATGAGTGGATGTAATTCTAGTAGATGCAGCAACTGTAGTGATAGTTGTTGGCACCTTGCTAGATGTAGAATATGAGACGGTAGTTCTTTCAGTATTTTCTACAACATCTGTTTTAATATTTGCACTATTATCATTGCCGATATTTCTGGTTGTGACAGTATTAACAACTAATTGATCATCTGTGTATTCATTTCCTTGTTTTGTTGTCGATACAGTATGTACTGAAGTAGTTGGAATATAAGTACTTAATGATGATAACGAAGTTTTTGTTACAACGGTGCTTTCTGCGGCGAAAACTGAATCCATAAATGTAGATCTTGTTGCTTGAAAATCAGATGATGGGTATGTGGCCTCTGTTTCTTCGGTATCTATTGATATTTTTGTCTGAGAAATAGATTTAGCAACATCTGAGGAGGATTTTACGCCGTTTGACGTGAATGTTGATGTTTCAATTCCACCAATATTAGATGACTCAGATGCAGTATATTTAGTCGTTGAAGAAGCAGCACTAGACACACTGTATGACTGTGAAGTATCTGATGTTATCGATTCGGTTATATCAGATGTTGATGAAACAATAACCGAAGAAGATGATTCTATAGTATCCGAAGTTATAGATGCGGTAGTTTCTGAAGTTGAGGATGCAATAATATCCGAACTAGATGTTANCTCTACAACTTCTGTTGTTGAAGATTCGATACTATCAGAAGAAGAATATTCTAAAACATCTGTGGATGATGAAACGACATCTGAAGTAGATGACACAATAGGTTCGGTGCTTGATGCTGTGTATTCACCAGGAGTGGCGACAACATATATCGTCTCTGTCGTCACACTACCATTTTCGTCTGTATATGTGGCCATACTTGTTGCTATCGTAGCTGTTTCGGTCACTTGTGCCTCTGTGTACGTAGTAGTGGTAGTATAAACGGGACAATACCTTGGGAACATACGCTGATCAGTTTCGGCCCAATCTGAGTCTTCTAAATCTAATGTGAAAAGATTCTCTTCATTGAAAGGATATTCGACACCTTCTATCACAAGTGAAAAATGTGAAATATCAACTAGAGTTTCGCGGTTAGATATAGCAATAATAATTGGATACAAATTTCCTTCAATAAATGCATAATTTGAATTCCCTTCAAATTCCTGATCTGGAACATTGTCAACATAATAGAACATAAAAGTGTTGAAAGCTTGAGTAGCCCTACCAGAATCCAAACAGGTAGCTGAATCACCATCTAAAGAGGTAGTAATACCAAAACTAATATTAAAGTACACCAAACCATTGGAGAATCTATATTTACCATCAGAATCTAGCTCCGAATTAAATGTAGCCGAAATTTTTGCAAGTCCTGATGCTGGTGCTTTGTAAAATCCTCTTAACGTTATAACAAAGTCTTGCAAATCTGTTGGTATATCAAATCCATACACAGTACTAGCAAGTTTTGAATCGTAATTTATCCTTGGATCCGAAACCCCTGAAGTTGTACCTAACAATTTGGCAGTGTCCATATATTTCCCTGTTCTAAAATAAGTAGCCATAGTAACCCCCCAAGTATCAAAATCGTCGTCTGGCCATTGTGGGTCCCATAATCTGCTCATTAAACCGGGTTTCAAAGTGAATTTTCCTAGCTCAGAATCATCTGAGTATACGAAGGAAGTAATATATAATAATATAAATATGATTGAATTTTGCATGTTAATTTGTCTTGTGTATTTGTTACTTTGATATGAAATCTATTATTCACAAGCATCACTTACAAAATAGAATGAAAAAGCGTAAGTCTGAAACAAAACTTCAAAGTTAACATTAAATAAAGAAGAAAACTCTTAAACTTATATAATACAGGAAAATTAGAATTTTCAACTGTCATATTAGTTCTTATTAAAATAAATCACTAAAAATAAAGATCTGTGAAGAATTGAATCAGTAATCATTTTGCTAATTGGGGAACGCTTAGAACTTTAATCGAATATTAGATAAGACTATTTTTCTTATTTGATTCGCACAATGTACTATACACCCCCTTAATACCTAGAGCAAAACAGGACAACATACGCTTAGTGCAATACTCCCTAAATTAGCTAACGTGGAGCATAATAAAATTTAAAAAGCAAGTATTCTTTGCAACGAAATCAAGGTTAACCATGCCTTTCAGGACATAACTAGTTGAAGGAGAATATACCAACCATAATGGATCTGTCGGAATATTGTGGTCGATAATCATAATTTCCATTAGTGTCTCCTCGAATTTGTAAGAATGAGAATTGAGATTTTCATCCACCCCTCTTTCTCAAATAGTGAAGATAAACTACCAAGAATATACTCCACACTTACTGCTTTAACACGAAGAAACAACAGAGCAGAATACATGTTTATAGAGATAAAGAGATACCATCAGCTATGTTCATCATGCCATTCTAAAGAACAGACTAGAGGGGTTTCCATAGCTAAAACTTCCCATATGAATACTAATTAAAGTGGGAAGTCTGAATGAGCACCCGCAGTTGCTCATTCATTTATGGAATTCCTTCTACCTGAATTGCAGAGAAGATGCAATCCTCTAATTCTAATGAAAAATCTCCTCAAAGGCCAGATCAAACAAAGGCAGACAAACTCTCACTTATTGAAATACCATAGTACAACATTCCTTAAAACTTGAGAATCTTAAAGAGAGAATAATGAGGAAAAGGAACAATATAAAAAAATATCAGGCCATTCTACTTGTATTATTTTTTTCATTTTATCATTTACTCTCCCGGGTGATCACAACAACATACCTCGAGATTACCCTTACTAGTACGGCACTTTTACTGCCTTTGGAAGGAAAGGGCTTTTACGTAAATCAATTCTTCTTGCTCTCTTTGAGTTCTGATGAACTACGCAATAAAGTAAGCGCACCAACTTAAATAAAATAAAAAGAACAGAAGGCTTCTCCAATCCGCGGATCTTCACAACTCTCGCAAAAAAGGTTCTGTATTAGCAAAGCGTACACTACGGCATTCATAGTTCACCGGACAGAAAACATTGATCACCTAAAACAAGGGAAAGCGGAAAGGGCATTTGGATTCGTTCTTTTTAATTTTATTGAGAGGCTGTTACTCAAATACCAATATAGAGTTTACTCCATTTATTACAACAGAGGGAAGAGTCTCATTATGAAAAAAGCAGGTAGTAATTATAATACATTTAAGGGCTATAAAGATATGCATATTAATTATAATATTTAACGTACTTGATATTTTTATTTTATCATGACGCTTCTTATTTCGCAATGATAAGATACTTACCGAGATAAGTATTCACAATTCGTAAACTGAAATATAATTTGTAACATTTCTTCCAATACTAAACTCAATCGATCTTGACCAGAGAACTGAGGTCAAATTAACATTATATGATGGTGGCAATTTCCTCACCTCGGAGAAAAAACATTTCGTTGATTATTAGTCCTACTCCAATGATTTGTGTGCTTGCTACTATGATTACTTCAACAACACAATAATCGTTTTTGTATTTTATACGTGACCGACCCCCCTTGTCCCTGGCTGTTCAATGCGGCTTTGCGTAAGACTGAAGAAAATTGGCTCCGCGGAAAATACAGATTTTACGGGGATAGGGTTTCAGCAAGGTTATAGGTGTTTAAGAATTAATTTTGTAAAGAAGATGAAACTACAACTCTCCATAACAACAAATAGTTTTTGGGTATTATAATGTAAATCGGACAATTAACATTGTATAGTAAAGCTATGTTGTATATTTTTTATGGAACCGGATCCAATCATACTTTCGTGCACAAACTTCTCTGCCCCTCCCCAAAATGCATATATAAAAATATAATTGTAATTTCCATTACTCATAGACATTTAGTATAGATAGAACTTTAGAGGCAAAAATGTTATATTTGTTATAAACTGAAAAGATATTTAAAAACTCTATATAGTAATAAATAGAAATATACTAAGAGCATGGATTTCAATAATTGCTTTGCCTTTTTTTAATAAGTAAATATAAGTAAAATTGGGGAACAAAAAAGATTAGTTAACAAACTGATCAAGACTTAGTTGAACGAGAATTAAGAAATCATTAATTTTAAACCAAAGTTTGAGGAAAAAAAATTGAATTCCCACAAAATTACGGTCTTTATTATCTATCATAAATCATAATCATCACTTAGGAATTGTAATATTATCATTTTACAAATATTATTGATGAT